CACGGCTTTTGGTCCAAAGTCCAGCATAAAGTAAATTATAGGTCCCTCTGTGTAACTACGGGTTTATGCTGGAATTGACTGCGTCTTGTTGTCACGATGGCCTCACTTGTGTTCAATTGGTTAACTCATTTCAACTCCGTCTCATTTGATCGACTCTGTCTCTCTTCCTCCGTTCCACTACGGTTGATCTCACTCCGTTCAATTGCCTACGCTCCGCTTCGTCTATACTTCCCTCTGGTCAGTGTGTCTCCTTCCGGTCGCCATGTCTACAGTTGTTTACTTCGTTACTGGGTTCAGTTGATTACCTTGTCACTTTTGTTATTAGTTGATTGGTTACGTGACTCGGTTGATCACAGTTTAATTACATTTATCTAGTTGTACGGTCACTACGCTCCCTATTGATTCCATCCTCCCTGACGGTTGTCTACTCCCTCTGTTCGTGTATGTCGCTGTCGCTCCCCTAGTCACTCCCGTTCCTCTGTTCCTCCGTCACACCCGACTCCGTCGTATCACTCCGCTCTACGTTCACTCTGTTCACTCATGGTTAGTTCTATTGATGATTCTAATTTTCTAGTTCTATTGATTAATCGTATCACTGTTAATGTTTTGAACTGGTTCACTGCGTTCACGCGTCATGGGGCGGGCCCCCGGTACCCCTCTTTTTTCCGGAATATAATCCTGTGTGGTGTTGTTGGTCAAGAGTATCTACGTTGAAGAGAAGAAGTCTACTATAAGAAGAGGAGTAAAGTGAAGGCATCACAAGGTTCAAGTCTATGATCACCAGGTTCATCTAGAAGGGAGTGTATAAGAATAGTGCATGTCAAAGACCACATCTCCCAATATCAAATCCTTTATAAAACGTTCCTATCCATCGAATCTATCACGTTCTAATCCGTTCAAAACAATCCCTATTCCCAAGCAGTCTGTCCATGGCCTACACACTGTAGCACCGCATCACTGAAGCTCCCAAGCCCAACACATCCTCCGCCATCCGTTTCCTAACCGACTCTCCTGTCCAGCGCCACCTGGCACCCTTCAGGCTCCTGGTCTTCTCGCCCGCTCCCTCCCACGTTCGGACTGAACAACGACATGAGAGATGACATGAGCTAGGTACTCCCCCGTCCGTAAAGACACATGATTGCAGCCAGTCTGTCCAGTACAATCTAACATGAGGAAATCCCACTTCTTTCAAAAGAAAGGGATCATCCCAACTGTGCCCCGTGCCTTCATTCGCCCAAGCCACTCATCCTTCAGTTCAGGCTGTGGAACAACCATGATAAACCAGAGCCCGAGGCTGTTGAGCCGTTGCCGTACATCGGCATGCGTGGATACCAGGATAATCGTCTTTTCTGTAATATGAGCCACAATCATTTTTGTGTAGTCCCCCACAAAGTTGGGATTTCGGCTTCTGTCCGTCAAGAACGAATACACCGACGAGTCAAGATCCAGAACTGAGTACCCTGGTACACCAGCGTTCCTTACAAGCCACGACTTGCCTACACAAGCAAACCCGGATATAATAATGGCTCGTTGCCGTAGAACGGCCATTGACCGGGTACCTCCCATATCGTACTTTAAAATTTGTTCACAACACACGTCCGTTGGTATACTGATCGTGTTGTCTCTGTTGTTGTCTCCGTCGAGCGGTGCATCGATGCCCTTTCTAAAAAGAAAATAAAAGAGAAAAGAGGAACTGTCAACAGTGGGCGTTCCACTCCTTTAGTATTCCATTCACAGTGTCAGCACCGTTTGCGTTGGGGCCAACAGGTGTCAGCCTGTGAGGGCAGTATGAAGGCACACACCAGCGCAACCTACTGCGCCCCACATCACACCCTGGCCAGGGGTTCATCTAGATAGCTCTGTCTCCCACCTGTATCTAGCTCTCTTTCCTTCCTTTCTTCATCTTCGATATTTTCGTCTATAGAGTCGGTTACCCCCTTGTCGTCTGCTTTGTCTCGTCTTAGGTGCCACTCGCCGTGACACAGCCCGGATGAGGTAATCTGTTCCCGGTGGTCACGATTGACTGAGAGGCCCTGCGCACGGGCCTTAGTTGTCCAAAAACAATGCAGTCAAGCATTCCATTTTTTGTTTGCACATGTTCACTAACCAACCTCCACTATGTTTCAGTGGGTAGTTGGTCCTTCTGACCGTACGCGGGTGTTGTACACGGCTTTTGGTCCAAAGTCTAGCATAAAGTAAATTATAAGTCTGTAGGAGTCAACTCCCTGTTATGCTGGACTAGTTCTAAATCACTGTTGGTGATGCCCTCACTTGCGTTTAGTTTGATTATCATTTCAACTCCGTCTCATTGCCTCACTCCTTTTGTCTAACAGTCACTCCGTTCCGTTTGATCTCCCTCCGGTCTACGGTCTACGGTCACTCCGTTCCTTTCCCTTCGCTCTGCTCAGTGTAGTCGTCGCTCCGCGCCTCCCCTTCTAGTTGTTGGTTTATTTTCGTTATTAGGTTTGGTTTAGTACCTCGTCACTCCGTTCCTCCCCTTCTAGTTGTTGGTTTACTTCGTGGTTGGGTTCAGTTATTTGTCTCGCGGCCGTGGGTGTAGTTGATTTTGTTTCGGTTGCTCAATAGTTTGAATTACTCATACCGTGGTTCTATCTATTGTTACTACGTTCCTCATGCCTCTATCGTCCCTTTGGTCCTTAGTCCCTCCGGTCCCACAGTCGGTGCCCTCCTTCTGACTCTGTCCACACCACTCCGTGGTACCTCAGTCCGTTCAATCAGTTCGTTCCACTCACTGTTGTTTCTATTCATGATTATTCTAGTTTTTTAATTCTATTGTTTATGTTTCTACGGCACATTCTTTGAACTGGTTCACTTCGTTCACGCGTTACGGGGCGGTCCCCCTGTACCCCCCTTTGTTCATAATTCAATCCTGAGGAGGTGAGTTGGTAATTGTATCTTCGTAGGGTCAATCAAGTATGATCCAAGTGCATCAGCCGTGCATCAGTCGTGCATCATCCACGCATCATCCAAGACTCTAGTCCATTCTATACACAATTCCTTTGTTCCAACAAACCAAAAGAAACGACCATGCCTACTATCCACGGCTGTCACCCCACGGCCGTACACATCAGGATGGCCCTGGGTTCAACAGTCACCATCAATGTTGCCCTATCGGTATATAATAGCACCAGTCAGGCGCAACTAAGAGAGTACCCCGCAGACCCCAGGCCTGCCTGTAATTATATACATCCACCTGGCCGTCTTCCACCGGACAGGGACTATCCCTTGCCCGAAACTGTCGTGCACAACACGTCCATTCCGGGTGTTTGATTACATCGTGAAGCGAACGAACAAAGTACCCAGTGCCCGGTCCCTCCGCACAATAATAGACTCCCTCCTCCCAGCACGGTCGATGTCGATAGCGTTGTACATTGTGCCCACAACAATACCAAGCGGCACAGGACCATGAACACGACACCTTCAAGGACCGTTCCACCAAACCGGCCTTTATCATAATAACAGACACCGTCCTCGCCAATGCTACCAGCACTGATTAGTAACTCCCTTCCGGCGTCACTTGTAGAAATGGAATGCAATGGACTCACCCTCGTTCGCTCGTAAGAAGCCCGTCACGCGCAGTCCAACCTCCACATGGCGACAATACCGTACCGGTGCAAAGGGGGATACCTGTCCTACCAGCTCTCGTCTCCCCCCCTCTACGGATAGATAGTGTGCCCACCACATCTCCGAGTTCAAGTGCTGCTACGCCAGACTGCGCAAGAGTGAAGACACCTTACTCACTGTCACTAGGGTCTCGACATCCATCCAACTTACTGTTAATGCCCACAGGGGGTACGGGGGGCCCGCACCGTGACGCGTGAACGAAGTGAACCAGTTTAAAGAACGTTAGAGATACTTGATTAAAACTTGAACTACACAATTAGATAGATACTAAATAGAACTAAACATGAGTAAATAGAGTGAACATCATAGAGTGATCTGACGGAGTCGTGTGTGACAAAGGAACAGAGGAACGGGAGTGACTAGGGGAGCGACAGCGACATACACAAACAGAGGGAGTAAGGAAAGACAGTGACATGGGAATAGAGGGAGCGTAGCGACCGTACATAGTACTCAATCAAACTAGTAATCAATTATGCACTATTGAGGCACTCAATCAAACAAAATAATTAAAAATAAGTGACGAGGTAACAAATGAAATCAAACTAGAAGGGGACGACCGGAGGGAGACCAACACTGAGTGGAACGAAGGAAGGGAGGGACGACTGATCAAAGGAACGGAGTGACTGTAGAAGGCACGGAATGACTGTTAGACGAAGGGAGTGAGACAATGCAACAGAGTGAAATGAGTTAATCAGACTGAACGCAAGTGAGGCCATTGTGACAACGAGACGCAGTCAATTCCAGCATAAACCCGGTGTTGACACTGGGCCCTTATAATTTACTTTATGCTGGACTTTGGACCAAAAGCCGTGTGAAATACTCGCGTACGGACTAAAGGACTTCACTCACCACCCAAAGTGCAACGGAGGGCAGGTAGAGTAACAGTGGGGATAAAAACTGGAATGCTTGACTGCACTGTTTTTGGACATGTAACGCCCGTACGTAGGGCCTATCCAATAGAACGAAGGTCGCTTGCGGCCACAGTGATGCCTACCCGACTAGGGCAAATGGGGTGGACACCTGTCAGCCCGTAATGGAATGATAAGATGGGACCATTGCCCACCCTCTGGAGACAATGATTGTTCTTCTTGACTACCTCTTTTTGAAAAGTGCTTGGGATAGGTCCCTCTTCTACCAGCGACGATGGCTTTGGTGAGGTTACTGACGGAGTTGATTCTATTGATTGTCTCGTTTCTTGCGTTGGACAAACTGGTGATGCTAACCCAGGTCTGTTCTCTACTGCGGTCCCTCGCATGGTCCTACTTGGAGAGTGAGCGGTGGTGGGCACACTATCTATCCGTCGACGGGGGGAGACGAGAGCCGCTGGCACGCCGGGGCTTTGGGAGGGTCGTCGCTCATCCACGAGGGGTGGCACCAGGGTTACCTAGGCGTTGCGTTGTGGTATCGGACGCGGTGTACTCCTTTCTGTTGGCAAACAAGAGTAGGTTTTCTTGGGCAGGTGGAACAATCCAATCAACTGTGGATGGAACTGACGGAGTGTAGAGTTGGACGACCAGTGTGGCATCTTTCTTGTGACGCGGCAACGGGTGGTGCGTTGGCCCTTGGTACGGTGTAGTTGGAAGCTGTTGCCCTTGGATGGCCATCGTGGCTGGTACGAGTCGGGTACTGTTCGATCCGATGGGCGGTATGAGCATCGTCCCTGTTGGGAGGAAGGGGTCTGTTATTGTGCGGCAGGGCCGGGCTTTGGCCTGAGTGTGTTGCGTTCTTTTCACGATGTAATGAAACACCCCGAGTGGACATGTTGTGCACGCGAGTATCGAGCGAGGGAGAGTGTCTGTCCGGTGGAAGAGGGCAAGGTGGATGTACTGGACTCGGGGTCAGACACGGAAGAGGAGTCGTGACAGATGGAACATGTAGGTGGGCTTATAGAGAGCTACTACAGATATAGGAGAGGACACAAGTAAGTGGCCTTACTGCTGTACTAGACGGGAGGAACGAAGTGACTGTGAATAGAATGTAACTCGATAGACTTGATTTTATAGTAGACAATGACCCTCGTAGATACGATTGACCAACAACACAACCCCCATTGAATTGTGGAAAAAGGGGGGTACGGGGGGGCCCGCCCCGTGACGCGTGAACGAAGTGAACCAGTTCAAAGTATGTGCGAGATACTCTTTGACAGTAGAATTAAACTACATAGTAAATGAATTGAAACAAACAGCGACCAGAGGGAGCATGACCGACTGGAAGGAGATACACGGAGTGTGCAGTGGAACGGTCGACCGTAGGGAGTAGAGGAACGGCAGTGACTAGAGGAGGGGACCGACTACACGACCAAAGGGAGGTGGAACCAACATCGTGAGATAGATAGAGGGAGCGTAGCGACCGTAGATAGATAATACTAGACAACTGTGAACCCACGAGTCACTCAAACCAAACTAAACGTAATAAGTGACGAGGTAACAAATGAACTCAACAAGGAGGGAGGAGCGGAGCGACGACTACACTGAGCAGAGCGAAGGTAAGGGAGGGACGACCGATCAAAGGAACGGAGTGACTGTAGACCGAAGGGACTGAGGGCCAAACGCAACGGAGTGAAGTTAGATGAATGGAATGAAATCAAATGAGACGGGGTTGAAATGGTAATCAGACTGAACGAAAGTGAGGGGATCACGAAGTGGTGTCGAAGACTAATTCCAGCATAAACCTGGTGTTGACATCCAGGCCCTATAATTTACTTTATGCTGGAATCTTGACTGAAAGCCGTACGAAAGTACTCGCGCACGGGAGATTCTACCACTTACCCACTGGAACGCAGTGCAAGTTAGTTAGTGAACATGTGCGGATAAAAAATGGAATGTTTGCATGCACTGTATTTGGTCAAACAAAAGGCCCGTGCACGGGACTATCCAATAGAACGTAGGTCGCTCGCGGCCACAGTGATGCTTACTCAAAGGGGGTGGACAGGGTGTCGACCCGGAATCAAACGGTGCTGACACTGTTGGAATACTAAAGCAGTGATGCGCCCACTTCTGAAGTGTCTCTTTTCTCGTCTACTTTCTTTTTGGAAGGGGGATCGGTTGATTTCGTGACGTAGATACGGTCATGGAGTATTGCGGTGTGCAGATGGCCCCCTGGGGGAGGGTAGTGATACAAGCGCGAGCTGTGTTGAGTCCCGCGGTGGATGAGGCCTGGGACGGTTTGCTATGGAATGAGGCCGATGGTTGTATGGAGGGTGAGTCGGAGAGCGAGACAGACAATGTCGACGTGGAGAAGTCGGGTGCGGTCATGAATGCCGCTTTTGTACATCAGGTACGCGTTGCCGGGACACACGGGGTGGAGGAGTGGCTTTGGCCACGTTTGATTGGGTACACGCCGAGGCAGGGCAAATTGATCTCTCTTGCTGCACTGGAAGGGACGTTGAGTACGATACTGATGGGCTTGGAGGAGCGCGTTGGGACGTTATTGACCTGGTATGGGTCTCGTGAGGAACTGATGACCATGGAGCCGGAGGGGGGGCGAGGCAGTGTGATACCGTCGTCGCTTTGGCCGGTTGTTCGGCAAGCCTATATGGAGGCGGTCTGTATTGAGCAGTGTGAGTGCGATCCAGTGGCTACACTCTTGTCCCAGCCATGTGTTGATGTCCTTGTCAGTATGTTGGCACGACTTGGACAGGCGTATGAAACAGACGTGCGTGTGAAGGATACGTTGAATGGTCAATCCGCGTTGGCTGAACTTGGTTGTGCGGAGGCTACAGTAGTCTGCGTGGTGGCTTCTATCCAAACGTTATTCTTGGTAGGGGATCTGCTTAAGAGTACCGCGGTGCAGGCCTGGGCTGTGGACTGGCTCTGTCATCTCGAGAGGAGTGGTTCTTGTAGTAAGGGGGACTAGGAAGAGTGACACTACTGTTGTAATATTCTGTAGGTTTTTATGTTTAGGGTACTGGTATGTATTTGATTAGAACTGCTGTGACTTTGAACCTTATGATGCCTTGACTCGACGTGAACCCTGTGATAGTGACCTTCTTATGATACTCTTAACCAACTAAACCCCTCAGGATTTAATTGTGGAATGAGGGGGGTACGGGGGGCCCGCCCCGTGACGCGTGAACGAAGTGAACCAGTTCAAAGAATGTGCGAGATATTGTTTGACAATAGAACGATGTAAACTAGATAAACAATAGAAACAACAAGTGAGTGGAACGAACCACACGGAGTGTGTAGCGGAGCGGTCGAACGAAGTGAGTAGAGGAACGGCAGTGACTAGACGACCGGTAGGGAGGCATGAGGACCGAAGGGACGATAGGGGAACAGAGTGACCCAGGGAGCGACAGCGACGTGGAACCATCAAAGGGAGCAGTGCGACCGTCAACTAGATAGACTTAGACAACGTGCTTACTAGAGTCACTCAAACAAACAACTAAACAAAACAAAGTGACGAGGTAAACAATAGAACCCCACGACCAAGTGATCAAACAACTGTAGACATGAGGAGCGGAGCGACGACAACACCGAAGGGACTGAGGGGCAGACGACTGGAAGGAGGCAAGGGAGGGACGACCGTAGACGCAACGGAGTGTAGTCATTGACCGGAGGGCGATCAAAGGAAGGGAGTGACTGATTAGACAACTGAACGCAAGTGAGGGTATCACCAACAGGTGGGAAAGAGCATTCCAGCATAAACCCGGAGTTGCACGGAGGGACCTATAATTTACTTTATGCTGGAATCTTGACCATAAGCCGTGCGATAGCACCCGCGCACTGACTAGATGACTTACTGTACCACCCAAAGTGTAACGGAGGATAGGTACTGTGACAGTGGGGATAACAAATGGAATGCGTGACTACACTGTTTTTGGTCCAACAAAAGGCCCGTGCGCGGGACTATCCAATGGAAGGGGAGGTCACTTGTGGCCGGACCAACAACTATCCGACTCTCGGAAATGGGGTGGACACCCTGTCGGCACGAACTGAACGAATGGAATAGATAAGCACTGGTGCGCCCGCTCGAACTGAATAAGGATGGTTCTTCCTTTCTCTTCCTCTATTGCGTAGAGGCACCGCTTGTGGTGAACAACTGGGCTGGCCCGAACTATTGAGTCAACCTGGGTTGCACGCCCGAACTCTTTAGATGATACTGGGTTGCGATCGACTAGGTCGTCTTTCTAATCATGGTATAGATCTTTGTTTGACAAAGAACATAAACAATGGGTTTTATTGAGTGAACATACGAATGGAATGATCGATTGACTGAGGAACAGGATGCCCTCACTACGGACACTTTGGGGGGACAAGCACGGATGGATGATGCGTGACTGATGCGCGGCTGATGCGCTGGGAGTAGACTGCTCCTCTACCGGACAAACGAAAGGTAGGACCGCACCTGGATGAACATTGTTGTTGTTCTTTCTCGTGGATGGAGAAGGAGACGGGGCGATGGACTGGTCAGGCCACAATACCCAACTGTGATGGGGGGCGTCTCTTGGTGAGCATAGGGATGGGTGGAAGGACCCTTTCTTTGCGCTGTCTGGTCGGTGCGGGGCTCTTCTATACCGCCAGGACTGGTGATACTGTCACCTAGTGGCACGTGGAACGGGAGAGACACACTCTGAGCAGTGCATCAGGGTTTCAATACGGTGTAAGTAAGGTTTGACCAAGGTTCCAATGAGGTTGGAGACTTTGCGGGCCGCTAGTGGACTAGTGGTAGCGTGCTTTCCCTGGGGATGAACGGTGTGATGATGGGCCTTCCCCTACGAACCGGGTGATGAGAACCCAGTGAGATGGACCACGGGGGACTTGGTGGAATGGAGGATGGAATCAGTGGAACGTGACTGATAAGACGGGGTGATGGACGTAGACTCTCGCTGTGCCCCTTGTATTGGAATGAAACCAGATACAATCGTAGACCTCTTGTAGTAATGGAGGCACTGGCAACCTGTGATGCCCTTCTTTGTAGACTTCAACATAGTGATACTAGATAGTGACCCTTTCGAAGATACTCTTACCCAACAACACAACTCCCATTATATTGTGGAAAGAGGGGGGTACGGGGGGCCCGCCCCGTGACGCGTGAGCGCAGCGAACCAGTTCAAAACATGTGCGAGATACTGTTAGACAATGGAACTAAACTAGATAGATAGACAATTGAACCAAACAACAAGTGAGTGGAACGAACCACACGGAGTGTGCAGTGGAGCGGTCGAACGAAGTGAGTAGAGGAACGGCAGTGACTAGACGACCGGTAGGGAGGCATGAGGACCGAAGGGACGATGGGGGAACAGAGTGACCCAGGGAGCGACAGCGACGTGGAACCATCAAAGGGAGCAGTGCGACCGTCAACTAGATAGACTTAGACAACGTGCTTACTAGAGTCACTCAAACAAAACAATTAAAACCAAAGAGTGACGATCAGACAACTGAACCCCACGACCAAGTGATCAAACAACTGTAGACTAGAGGAGCGGAGCGACGACAACACTGAGTGGAACGAAGGAAAGGGAGGGACGACCGATCAAAGGAACGGAGTGACTGTAGACCGAAGGGACTGAGGGCCAAACGCAACGGAGTGAAGTTAGATGAATGGAATGAAATCAAATGAGACGGGGTTGAAATGGTAATCAGACTGAACGAAAGTGAGGCCATCACGAAGTGGTGTCGAAGACTAATTCCAGCATAACAGGGTGTTGACACCCGCCAACCTATAATTTACTTTATGCTGGAATCATGACCATAAGCCGTGTGCCAACACTCGCGCACTGATCAGATGACATTACTGTACCACCCAAAGTGTAACGGAGGATAGGTACTGTGACAGTGGGGATAACAAATGGAATGCGTGACTACACTGTATTTAGTCCAATATGGCCCGTGCACCGGACCTACCAATGGAACGACGGTACGGAGTGACTCATACTGAAAGGGGGCAGACAGGCTGTCAGCACCGACTGAACGAACGGGGTAGATAAGCGAGGGGGCGCGCACTATTGATAGTTCTCTCTTTCTTCCTCTTTTCTGTTCATTAGATGAATATGAGTACCATGGCAGCTGCCCATGCTATGTTTACCGGTGAGGGGTTGGACCTGGCCGCATTTGTGCAGACGTTTGGTCTGTCTCTGGCCTCGTTTTTACATGAGTTGAAGCGAGCAGGTGCTGTCGTGACGGGAGCCGATGTTGTCTCGTTTATGGCGGGGGAGTGGAAGGAGTCGTTACGCTTGCGGCCCCGGGCCGTTATTCTCGATGTGCTCTGTCATGGGTACAAGGCGAGGGGTGCGCTGGCGCTGTTCTTGACTCGGTCGGGGTACCGCTTAAACCCGTATGCTTGTCGTCACCGCATAGGGGAGTGGGCGTCTGTCCGCGCGGAGCGTAGGGTGTGTCTGGTGAAGGGGGACCTGTCCCAGCGCGTGATCCATTTGGTGGAGTTGCAACGACCTGTGGAGGAGGTGTTACTGAGTCGTATTTACGGCACGTTGGTGGGCAACTATATCACGGGCGTCGGGCGCATTGTCTCTCTGTTCCCGCGTATGAGCTTTGTAGAGCGACGGGGTTGGTTTCCCTCGGGGGTGACAGCCGTGGATGTGGCGGGCTTGACGGCCAAGTATGTTGGCTGGCGGTGTCTTGTGGGCGATGGGGACGAGGCTGGGGACGAGGTGACATATTGGTTTCGGAAGACGCTGGACCGGTATTGTTGGGTCCTCCGTTGTGACCTGCATGGTCATGTGCAAGACAGTCAACGTCCTGCTTTGCCAGGGTAGGTACTGATGGAATGTTGTGTGGAAGAGATGGAACTAATTCTGTGTAGTGATGTACCGGGAGACGAGATGGAGGTGAGTGACGAGAGGGAGGCAAGCCGGAAGGGGTTCGCTGTATTCTTCCCGCAGATGAAGGCTTCGTTGAATGCCGGGGCGTGTGTGTATGATCGGGAGACATGGGAGTGTACTACGTAGACGAAATAGAGACGTGACCTTATGTGATGCCTTTCCCCTCGCAAGATACGATTAACCGACAACACCCCTTAGGATTGAATTGTGGAAAGAGGGGGGTACGGGGGGCCCGCCCCGTGACGCGTGAACGAAGTGAACCAGTTCAAAACATGTGCCCTACCAACATTGACAATTGAACTATGTAAACTAGATAATGAATAGAAACAACAAGTGACTGGAAGGAACTGTGACGGAGGAACAACCACGGAGTGGGAGAGTGGAACGGTCGACCGATAGGGAGTAGAGGAACGGTAGTGACCCAAGGAGCGCCAGCGACATACACGAACCGGGTGAGTAGACGACCAAAGGGAGGTGGAACCAACATCGTGAGATAGATAGAGGGAGCGTAGCGACCGTAGATAGAACAAATAGACGAGTAATCAACCGAGTCACGTAACAAACAACTAAACAAAACAAAGTGACGAGGTAATAGACTGAACTCAACAAGACAGGGCGACCGGAGGGAGACCAACACTGACCGGAGGGAAGCAGAGGGAGGGACGACCGTAGAGATGCAACGGAGTGGAATCAAACGCAACGGAGTGAAGTTAGACGACGGGACGGAGACAATGAAACGGGGTTGAAATGGTAATCAGACTGAACGAAAGTGAGGCCATCACGAAGTGGTGTCGAAGACTAATTCCAGCATAACAGGGTGTTGACACCCGCCAACCTATAATTTACTTTATGCTGGAATCTTGACCAAAAGCCGTACGAAAGTACTCGCGCACGGGAGATTCTAACAGGGCGACTACCGGAATGCAGTGGAGGTCAGTTAGTGGAACGGTGCGAACTATTTTTGAAATGTTTGCATGCACTGTTTTTAGTCCAACAAAAGGCCCGTGCTCAGGGCCCTCCAATAGAACGTAGGTCGCTTGCGGCCGGAGAGACAACTACCCGACAAGGGTAAATGGTGCTGACAGGATGTCTGCCCGGAATGGGATACTAGTAGCGCTGGGGCGCACGCTCGAACTGAATAAGGATTGTTCTTCCTGACTACCTCTTTCTTACCCTCTGTTGGATGACAGATTGTGCTACTCTCCGACAGGACTGGTAGGTGTACCGGCGGGTACTTTTATATGACTTAGAACGTCACTTGATTTATTGGGTTATTACTTACAAGCAGGAGTGCGTGGTAAGACACTGAATCTTGTGAGGATGGTGATGCCAGAGGTGGTGGAGGCAACAGGGCCTCTCTTGAGCGATGTTGAGCTGTCCGATGGGGCCAGGAGTGGTCCTTTCTATTGTGTGTTGACGCCTTTTGGGGAATCGTTGGGTTCGTGGGTGACGAGCCATTGTCCAAGGGGGACTCTGTACTGCCTTCTAGCGAATAGTGCCTCGGCCTATTGTTATGCGGTGTGTCATCCGGAACAGGGAGTAGACTTGGAGCGGAGCATGGACAGTTTACCGGCAGGCTTTGCATTGTGCGTCCCGGATGGATGGGAGGAGCCATGGATGTTTTGGCGGAGGATGGCCGAACCATATCCTGTGATGACCAAGGAAAACCGAGTGAAGCTGGGCCTGGAGGAGTCGAGTCCTTTGGGACAGGTGTCTCCCTGGTCATTGGCGGAGTCGTTGATGGCGAAGCTAGTAGACCCGCGTTGTCTGACGGCGTCCGATACTCTTGACTTACAGGACTGTTTGTTATGGGAAGGAACAGAGATAGAGACAGAGAGGGACGAGGCGGTTGTGGACGTGTCGCAGTGGTTTGACTTGGACCGGTTCTGTTTGGATCATGAGGTCGAAGGTAGGATAGATGGTGAGGGGTTCGAGCCGGGTGTAGGTACGACTGCCTAGGAAAGAGTATTTCTTTAATGGGTGAGACTTTACTGTAGTATCTACTTATATATGATGATCTGATCAACTTTGTGTATAAATATGACATGAAAACCGCACTGGACGGACTTAATACTGGTGATAGCCTCTTTTGTAGTAGACTGCTCCTCCCTAGAGTACCAACTGAACCCCTCAGGATTTAATTGTGGAAAGAGGGGGGTACGGGGGGCCCGCCCCGTGACGCGTGAGCGCAGCGAACCAGTTCAAAACATGTGCCCTACCAACATAGACAATAGAATAAATAGATAGATAATGAATAGAACCAAACACTAGAATACTGAATGAATAGAAACAATAAGTGAACGGAGTGAACTACGACGGAGGAGTGGAGCGGAGCGGTCGACCGATAGGGAGAGACCACGGAGTGTGGTGACGGAGGAATGGAGGAGCGACAGCGACGTGGAACCATCAACCCAACCGAGAGGTGAAGGGAACGAAGTGACCGTACATAGACTTAGACCAAATGTAATAGACTGTTGAGCTACCGAAACAAATCAATTAAACCCACGGTAGCGAGACAAACAACTGAACCCAACCACGAAGTAATCAACAACTGTAGACATGGCGACCGGAGGGAGACACACTGAGCAGAGCGAAGGCAAGGGAGGGACGACCGATCAAAGGAGTGGAACGACTGATAGATGCAACGGAGTGGAATCAATGGACTGGAAGGAAATACATTGAAATGGAATGGAGATTAGACACACGAACCAAAAGTGAGGGTATCACGAAGTGTAGACGCAGTCAATTCCAGCATAAACCCGGAGTTGCACGGAGGGACCTATAATTTACTTTATGCTGGAATCTTGACCAAAAGCCGTGCGATAGCACCCGCGCACTGATCAGATGACATACTATAACTACTGAAACGCAGTGGAAGTGAGGTAGAGTGACAGTGGGAACAACTTTGGAAAAGCTTGACTACACTGTATTTAGTCCAATATGGCCCGTGCACCGGGACCCTCAGTCCATCGTGACCACCGGGAACAGATGACCTCATCCGGGCTGACACCTGTCGGCCCCAACACAAACGGGGTGGACACCCGAAACGGAGTACTAGTAGCAGTGATGCGCCGAACAGTGGTGTTCCTTCCTTCTCTTCTTCATTCTTTGGAAAAGTAGAATGGCGTACTATCAACAACGCGGACGGAGTCGGTCCTATGCACGCGGCAAGGGACGTAGGTATACCCCTCGACGGGGTCGGTCGACTGTGTATAAGAGGCGATGGAATGGCAAGGGAGCTCACAGGGCGACTGGTTCGTCAGCGATGGTGAGAAAGATGAAGGTCGAGGTGGACAGACTGGCGTTGGAGCGCAAGTACGGTCAGGTACAGAAGGTGGTGGTCGATGGGGACCTGCCCTTGCCCTTTTACTCGTATGGGGACGGGGTGGGTGAGAACTATTTTGAGGTACCTGTGTCTGTTGTGTTGCGGGCGGCCATGGGCTCTTCTGGGAAGACGACTGCTTTTGTTACCAAGGTTGTCTTAGAACTCGATCTCTTACATGCGGCAGAGTGTGAGTTCTTCTCCATTTGTGTGGTGAAGTCTGCGGGTTTTCCGTCTGTCTCGGTCGATGTGACGAACGGTCACTTTCAGATGGGGGTCGGTGGAGAGGACCCGGATCAGAAGCGGGTGATGATGCGTATTCATCATGAACGTGTGGCCACCTTGGCCGCTGGTGTGTTGTTGGCGCCTGCGCGGGATGGGTCCCTGTTTGGGGCGGTGTTGTCTAATCATGGGTCGCCTTATGTGAAGCGTTGCGAAGGGCGCATCAACGGAGGCAAGGCACGGATGCATCAAGGCCGGGCTGCGTACGGACTACAACGAAAGGCTGGCAATGCCTCGGTCTCGGATACGCGGGTGAAGGACACCGTTCGCCTCTGCTGGACCATGGAGAAGCAGGTGATGGTAGGACCGGTGGGCAATTATGGGCTTGCGGAGTCCATTGAAGACGAGTGTGTCTTATTTTGTGGTGTACGGCCTGTAGTCGAGATGGCGGGGAACATGGGATCAGGGAAGCCGCAGGATACATTTGGTATTGTTCAGAATGTGCGACTGTCCTTGCACGGGCGGTTTTAGTTTCTTTAGTTAGTTTGTCTAGATTGAATGTATCTCCTCTGCCTTTTAACCAACCTCCCATTGAATTGTGGAAAAAGGGGGGTACGGGGGGCCCGCCCCGTGACGCGTGAGCGCAGCGAACCAGTTCAAAACATGTGCGAGATATGCTTAATCAATTGAATTACCTAGATAGATAATAAATGAATTGAAACAACAAGTGAACGGAGTGAACATCACGGAGTGATACTACGGAGTAGACAGGACCGAAGGGACGGTAGGGGAGGGGACCGACCATCGAACCGGGTGAGTAGTAGAGGAGTGCAACGGAGTGGAATCAATTGAACATGGTGGTCAAGGGAGCGTAGCGACCGTAGATAGAACAAATAGACGAGTAATCAACCGAGTCACGTAACAAACAACTAAACAAAACAAAGTGACGAGGTAATAGACGGAACCCACCCACGAAGTAAACCAACAACTAGAAGGGGAGGAGCGGAGCGACGACTACACTGACCGGAGGGAAGTAGAGGAACGGAGTGACGAAGAGGGAGTGGAATGACCGTAGACGAAGTGGAACGGAGTAGGGGAGACGGAGTCGAACTAATTGACGTGGGACGGAGATGAATCACACGAACCAAAGTGAGGCCATCACCAACAGGTGAGACAGAGCAATTCCAGCATAACAGGGTGTTGACACCCGCCAACCTATAATTTACTTTATGCTGGAATCATGACCAAAAGCCGTATGAACATACTCGCGAACGGTGGATTCTACCACTTACCCACTGGAACGCAGTGCAAGTTAGTTAGTGAACATGTGCGAACAAAAAATGGAATGTTTGCATGCACTGTTTTTAGTCCAATATGGTCTGTGCTCAGGACCTTCCAATAAGAACGACGGTACGGAGTGATGTGGGGGGGTGACGCAGAGTGTCGGCCCCGAATGGACTGATTGGTCAGGACGGGAGACAGCGCGGGGGGGGGCTGTACATGGACATCGTCTGTTCTGGGGAACATAAAATGAGTGGGTTGCCCCGCTTCCTTGGGGCTAGTGTCCTGTTCTCTCTTCTTCTTTTCCTCTTCAACACTTGGCTTGTGGTGGCACTCGTTGGGACAACGCTTTCTCTACGAAGTAGTATTCTGATCATCAGAACGTGTTGGTCTGGTAATAGATCGGATCTGTTTGTGGCTGGGATCAAAGCAGCGCGTCGATAGTGGACTTGGTCGACTGAACCATTCTGCCGGTACGTAGCCTTTTGACGCTGCAGGGGAGCGAGTGGCCCTTGTTGGCCTGGAAGACGGTCGGCTTGACCGGTTGATTGGCACAGGTTGAATGAAGCATGGTGTGCTGATCGTTGGCTAGGGCCAGACTAGGTGTGACGTGACAAGATGGCCGCGTCCTCTTCCAACCCCACCGACACGACAACGACAGCGATAGCGACAGAAACGGGGACAGGATGGGCCGTGCCCGAGGGTTGTCTCTGTACGGTAGAAGACTTGGGAGATGTGCCGAACCGGAGGACATTTTACTGGGTGCATAACCAGGGGTGCCCTCACAGCTTGGAAGCACACACCGGCCTCTTCCGCTCGAATTTTCGACGGGCCTTTAACCTCGGGGTGGGGTTATGTCACTTGCCAGGGGTGGGAGCCATTGTGTTTGGCGACGGCAAGGTACGTCTTATGTGTTTTGTTCTTAGGAGAGAGAGGGTGCGGAGTAGTCTACTAGCGAGTATCGCAGTTACTAACCTTGTGAGACAGGGGAGAGATGTACGGGGTGCTGGGCGATGAGCCATGACAATGTTGTATAGGGTCCTTGGAGGCACTGGGTGACACAGAGAAGCAGGAATAATCGGTAGGCTATGAGAAAAAGCGACGGGGTTTCGAGATCGACTTTGTATGCCGTGCTTGTGGTTTGAATGTGAAGGTACTAGTCAAACCAAACTTGTTCTTCTGTTTCCGTCTCTGAAGTCGTAAGTGACATGCGCAGGTAGTAGACCTTTCTCCTCCTCCCTAGAGTACCAACCACCCAACCTCCCATTGAATTGTGGAATGAGGGGGGTACGGGGGGCCCGCCCCGTGACGCGTGAGCGCAGCGAACCAGTTCAAAACTCGGGCGAGATACTGTTAGACAATAGAACTACAATACTAGATAGACAATGAATAGAACTAAACATGAGTGACTGGAAGGAACCACGACGGAGGAGTGTAGCGGAGCAGTCGAACGAAGTGAGATACACGGAGTGGGGTGACGGAGGAATGGAGGAGCGACAGCGAGGTTGACGAACAAGGTGAGTAATAGAGGAGTGTAACGACGTGGAACCAACAAAGGGAGCAGTGCGACCGGACAATAGATAGACTTAGACAATGAACTCAACGAGTTACTCTCAACCAAACAAATCAAACCAAAGAGTGACGAGGTAAACAAATGAAATCAATAGAAACATGAGGAGCGGAGCGACGATGAGACGAAGCGGAGCGTAGTCAAAGGGACTGGAAGGACCGTAGAAGGCACGGAGTGCCTGACAACCGTAGTGGAACGAAGGAAGAGAAACGGAGTTGATCAAATGAGACGGGGTTGAAATGACCCAACAGACGAACCCAAGTGAGGCCATCACGAAGTGAACTCGAAGAGTAATTCCAGCATAACAGGGAGTTGACTCCCGCAAACCTATAATTTACTTTATGCTGGACCTTTGACCAAAAGCCGTGCGATAGCACCCGCGAACGGTGTAGATGACTTCTCTTTACCCACTGGACTGTAAGGAAAGTGAGGTAGAGTAACAGTGGGGATAACTTTGGAAAAGCTTGACAACACTGTATTTGGACACATAAGGCCCGTGCACCGGGCCATCCAATAAACAGAGAGGTCGCTCGCGGCCGGACTGGATCACCAACCGAACGAATGAGAGGCATCGGGGCAGACAAGGTGTCAGCCCGAACTTGAAATGGAATACAACTAGCAGTGATGCGCGCATTTGGGAGACAGAATGGGTTCTCTTCCTCTCATCCTTCTTTTTGAACAGTGCTGTTCATCTTTGACTTGTCGTCCTCTTTTCGTTGAACGAACGACGGTATGTTGTAAGAGAGATTGTGTAATACTTGTACACCATGGGTGGTGAGTTGTTGCCTTTGGAGAAGTGGGTGGATGTGGTGGACGCGTGGAAGGATGCGGCCCGTAGCGGACTGGTGGTCTCTGCCTTTCCCGGGGTGAAGTCGGAGGCGTTATTTACCCAGACAGACTTCAAGGCGGTGGAGCTGGATTCGCCCTTGTTTCGGTGGGCAGCCGATGGAGCGGAGCAGGAGAACTGGATGGAGCGGTATGGCCGGGCGATTGTCGAGTCGCTCAAGGAGGAGTGGGACATTCTTGTCTTGCCTTCGCATCAGGAGGTGCGGGACTTTCTAGTGTCAGAAGGGATCCCGTTCCTCTTGCTCTACCCCGCGGAGGGCTACAAGGAGGTGTGGAAGCTGCGTTTGGAGGCGCAGGGCTATGAGGGCCGTGTGGTGTCGACGGTGATGGAGAACTGGGAGGACTGGATCCGAGGTTGTCGGGCACAACAAGGTTGTCAACACTTTGTCTTGTCGGCCGATGAGGCAACGGAACACGGTTACAGCTGAGACAGGGGAGGAATAGAAGTGGTGGGGACATGATAAGATGTGTGCTATCTTCTTTCATAGCAAGGTGGTGTGTCTTTTAGTCTTGCTCTTAGACAGGTTTCTTTTGTTACAAGGTGACATAATAAGATAGATAGATAGCGAAGACGAGCTTGGCTGCCTGATACAGAGGGTACTAGACATGAATAGACTAGACCTTATGAGACTTTACTAGGGTACATAGAAGACTGAGTAGGATGACCATGACAACAGGAAGGAACAGGAGAACGTTGGGATCACCCCGGCATGAATAGACTCAGTGACCTAATAGACCTCTTCCCCTCGTAACTAGAGTACCAACAACACCACCCCGATTGAATTGTGGAAAGAGGGGGGTACGGGGGGCCCGCCCCGTGACGCGTGAACGAAGTGAACCAGTTCAAAACTCGGGCGACTAGACGATTAATCAATTGAACTAGATAATTAGATAGATAGACAATAGAACTAAACAGTGAACGGAGTGAACCACACGGAGTGTGCTAGCGGAGCGGTCATCGACCATAAGGGAGATGGGGAGGGGACCGACCACAGGAACGAAGTTACGGTAGACGAACAGGGTGAGTGGAAGAGGAGTGTAACGACGATGGAACAACAAGGGAGCAATGCGACCGGACAATAGATAATACTAGACAATGAACTCAACGAGTCATTTGAACAAACTAAACAAACTTAAACCAAGTGACGAGTAGACAATAGAACCCACAACCAAGTAGTCAAACAACGGTAGACATGGCGACCGGAGGGAGACCAACACTGACTGGAAGGAAGGAAGGGAGGGACGACCGTACCAGACGAAGTGGAACGTAGTCATTGACCGGAGGGAGATCAAACGAAACGGAGTGACTGTTAGACGAAGGGAGTGAGGCAATGAGACGGAGTTGAAATGAGTTAGACAACTGAACGCAAGTGAGGGCATCGTAACCGTGTAAACTCGCGCTTTGTTCGACTCAAGCTATCTCCACGAGCTATGATGCCAACCAACACGTAGGACAGTACCACTGAATTGTTCAAAGAACTTCTCAGTCGCTTGAATCCATAACCCAGCATGCTTCCCCGGGCCAACCTGTTAGGTGCTGTACAGCAGGCAATCGGTGTCAGAACCGGGACACAAGTACCTGACGGTGCAACTCGCTCTTTCTTTGGTCGTATTGACGGTGTAATGTTCACGCCCTTCATGCAGCAGCAGATCCCTCCTCCTTGGATACGCTGTGTGGTTGGAAGAAGTCGGTGTTGCCTTCGAGCTCTTCTTTCACCTGTATGATAGTCAGCCAGTGTTGTCGTGCAAGGATCCGGTCCCAACTCACGATATCCAAGCCACCAACCAGGTCCCCATCCATCCACAACTGCGGGTATGTCGGCCATTCTGCATACTCCTTCAAACCCTGCCGTACCTCGTCATCGGCCAGGATGTTGAAGAAGCCGTACTTAACGCTCCGCTCCCGCAATATGCCCACCAGCTGCCGCGAGAACCCACACTGAGGCGCGCTCGGTGTACCCTTCATGAACAGCATAACGGGCGCGGCCTTAATCAGCTCGCCCAGCCTCTTGTTGAGGTCCTCCTTCGCCTTTGCAGGATCAGACGCTGTCTCAACCTCGGCCGGGGCGGCCGTCTTTCCAGCAGCAGCTGCTACAGTATTTGCGCCTGGCGCCGCACTCTTCGCGTGCGTCTCGATGGCCGTCCGCACCTTGACGGCGCTGCTGCCGCTCACCGTCTCGAGGACCTCGTCGTTGCACTGCAGCACTAGGAACGGCACCGCAGTGACGTCGTATGTCTCGGATATGTCGCTCAGCTCCTCGGCGTTGAGCGAGACCCAGCTCGTGGCCGGGGGGTCGGTGGCGGGGTACTCGGAGGCGAGCGTCTTGAGCACGGTGGCCATCTGTGCGCATGGCGCGGCCCACGGCGCGTGGAAGGAGATGATTAGGAGGGTCGACGAGGGCAGCGAGGCGACGTGGGCGCGCCAGTCGTCCTCGGTGGTTATCTCTTTTATCGTCGACATCGTGAGCGGGAGTGGTTGTGTGCGTGCGGGCTGTTTATTGTTGTATTGTGGTACCTGCGATCGAGGCACGGGATTGCTGTTTGCGATGAGGCGGGAGATGATGATGATGTGTGAGTTGGTGGAAGACGTCTTCTCCGGTTCCTCTCCGGTTCCTCTCCGGTTCTAGGCGACTGGGAGATGTCCAATGGAGGGGCACTTGATTACTTTTTCTGTGACGATCTTATCAATCGGATTGTCGAAATCTCGGGGTGAACATTGCGTCATTGCATTGTGGCGGAGCCGTGTGGCTCGTGTTCCAGATTTGTGGCTCGTGGCTGATAAGGCCGTGATAAAAAGTGGATATTGATCCCCTTACCCCTATTCTATCAATATAGGAGGCAGAACCGTATTCCCTAGGCGCATGTTCAACATCCCACAGGTTCATTCTAAACCTGATACACTGAGCTACAAATTCTGAACTTCTGCAATATCCAGTGCTCTTCAAGCTGTACGAAGACCTTTTCCTACTGCCGGAATCAATCCTGAAACGTCGGAATGTTCTTGAAGCACTTCGAATTGTTTGCGCTCGGGTAGGCTCCAGATGGAGGCGGAGCAATGCGAGGATCTCTGCGGTCTCTACTGTCCACCGAATTCCATCTTAAACAGGTCATCGGGTTGGGTCATCACTGTGGCACTGTCCTGAACATGATTCCGCTCGAGGGGATCGAGGCTAGAACACGACTTACCCTAGTAGTCCACCCTTATGTCCCTGTCTATAGAACTCACTCCATAGGTGTCATTCCGGCAGAGGTGGTGGACTTGTGGTGAACCCTGGAAAACAAGGCGCGTTGTAGCAAATCGAATTGCCAAAACAAGGTACGGAGCTGTGTTCTCCTTCATTTCTGTTGATCCTGGGATAAACGAGAGACCTACAACTGCGATGCCGGGCGTGCGATTGCAGTAGTAACGTCATTCCCCACATATTCAGCTCGAAGAATCGTCGGTGGACAGCTGGCTGGCCAGCGTAGATCGTAGGATCGAACATATACCCACCCCCTTCGAGTGACATCGAGGCTTGTTAGTCGCTGTTTGCTTAGCAGGTTACGTCAGGTTCCCCTGAATGTGGTGTAGTGTTTTCATAAGGCACTTCTTCGGAAGGACTCTACCCGCGTGATGTCAGTGAAAGGCATCAGGGAGACAGTCAACTATTTCGTTCCCCTTTACATACCTACCACAGTCAGAAGTGCCAAGCTGATAATATACCGGACTCGGGGCCTTGTTGCGCTGCAATATGTCTCCGAAACCGACCAATACGGCAGCAGTGGACATTTGCAGCGCTTACGCTCAGGCCGCTATATATATGTTCTTATGATGGTTTCTGAACCTAATAAGGCATGTTAGAAGGCATCCGTCATGAATTATTCAGTCCTGGGCTTTCTCTCCATACTTGAAGAACCAGCTTCGCCGACATCAATAACACAGGGTTAAGGACAGTCGAGTCCCTTTTAGGCATATTCTCCATAGTCAGCAAGGGGCGGTGCAACTCCACTCAGCTGAGGGCCGGGAAAAGATCCCAGCTAAAGGTTAACCATCCCAGCTCATGCGGCCGCTTCCCGGAATGCCTCCGCCAATCCCCTCTTCCCCGTGGCTTACATCAACGTTTCTATTCTAGAAGCTTCCCTGGGGCCTGACTGTCGAGCCTTTCTTGGCCTGAGAGCCCGGGCTATGGTTCAAATACGCCGTTAACAGGAGACAAGTTGTCTTGGCCAAGTTGTAGTATTAGACATTGCGCGACTTCTTGGGCCCGGAACACCCCTCGATCGTTCTAATTGTGTGGGGAAGGCTTCAGCCGCCACGGCAAACTCTGGAAAGTGGGTAACTTCCGCAAGTATGCCTTGCCGCTAAGCCTCCTTCTCTATGCCTGGACAGCTCCAAGTGCTCAAAACAGCTGCAGGTGATGATGTAATCTCAGCTGGAGATGAGGCATCATGAAGACCTGGTCTTGACCCGTGTTGCCAGTATCAAGTTCGTATTTGCATTCGCTTCCGCATAAACCTACATATTAGGTAGAACTACAAGTGCGGTTCTTGCAACCTGGCAGTGGATTTGGTGCAGCGTGGCCTTGGTGGTGGTGGTGTCGGTGGTGGACTTGGTTGAATTTGGTGCCTGAGGTTACAACGTTGGATTTGGTAGACTTGGTGGACTTGGTGGAGGTGGACTCGGAGTCGATGTGTCCCCTATGTCCGGCCTGTACGTAAGCTCCAGGATCACTTCCCGGTGCAGTTGTATCTGCAACCATCGATGAACTTGGGCAGGGCGCTGGTCATTCATTGCCTCATCATCTGAGTACTTCCCAGCAATGTTTGCGCAATAGCATCGAACTTCTGAACAGCCTTCTCGATGATCTCGGCCCGTTGCATAGACCTATGGGCAGCAAGGATGGCACATTCACAGCCTGATCCCATGTACTGTTTGCAATACCACCAGCGTGGGCAGATGCAGTCTTTAACGTTGTCATCCCAGTCGTGCTTACCGCGTTGAAGAAGAAAGAATCCGCCTTACGAGGGCGCAGCACCGCGGCTAGATCCTGGCAAGTGACCAGTATGGGGCTTGGCGATGCGGTTCCGCGCTCCTATTCCGCTGACTGTGCCCCCTGTCGCGCGAACCTTCTATCCCCACAGCCTCGTCAGAGGATGTGCCGAGGTGTGGATACCAGGATCGGGGACAGTATGTACAGTAGGGTCGGGTGGCGTAAGCGGTGTACGGGACGGGTTGCAACCTTGATTCTCCTTGTGGCTTATTTGGACATATATTCTCCCCCCCTGGAATAATGACGGTGTGGCTGGTCAATGACCGGCCTTGAAGAGGTCACCTCAAGGGGTAGTTTATGCCTTCCTCTTAGAAATCGATACCTTCATTAGGTACCAGCCCCCGTGTACATTAAAACAAGGGGGAGAGTGTGGTTATTGGACGATGTGTTTGGTCGGAAGTTAACTTCGGAAGCTTTCCCTTCACTGGATACTGGCATTGCGCAGCTACCAGCAGCATTGGGTCTTCGTTAGAAAGTCATCACGATTACCCAGGCATAAGTCAGTAAGGGAATGTTGCTCAGGAGGATTTCGCGGTTCCCACGTTTGATATTCAATCTAAATCATTCTTCTATGACTTTCCTGGCTTCCACTGATCTTGGCCGATAGTGATACATGTACAAAAGCTCTCATTTCTAGCTGCCCAGTCCCAGAAGATGCCTGATTACTTCTCTCGCATCCCGTCGAGGCTTCTTATGGCTTCGCAAATCCAGGAGGTGGAACACCCCGAGGTCTTCCTCAGATACCAGTTCCGGATTCGCGGACGCCTCTGAACCTAGCACCTGTCGGAGAAGTTTCTGGCACACCAGTTTCACAGCTGCCTCCTGCTCATTCGCTGATGTAAGTGTCGTCCGTATCGATTGTCCGTAGACCGCAAGACATATCCAGATGAGCGTCGGGCGTTGTGGATCACTCGAGTCTTCCTGTAGAAGGGGATCGATAAGTGGATCTGCGGATGTCTGCCTGCATCGGTAGGCGAGAATGTCCTCCAGGAGCTCCCTGAACATCTGGCACTGTATCATTTCGCCACAAGGTAGGTCGAATGTCGGTTCGCGCAGGAACCTCAAGGCTATGATGCGTATTACGGACTCGATGGCCTTGGTACACGTGTCTGAAGGGTCCATGCGTGGAAAGGGCGTCCCGGAAGGGACGTTGATGGCTAGTCTGCGGGTAGTCGTGGGCGATATCACCTGGTCGAGTGCTCGCAATGGTTCCGGGTAGGAGAGAAGCTCATATTCCAAATAGTGGTAGTGTTCGATCATCACTCCAGGCTCGAGGTGCAATGATCTCCTGTCATCTCCACATAAGGAGACACATCGACTATAAATCGCCACTTCGCTGAGCGTTTTGATGATGGAGGGCTGGATGCCACAACCGGACAAGTGGTGTGTAAGGCGTGTGACGATTCTCTCGTCATCGATAAGAGGGCTTGGGGATTGTAGTGGAATCTGGCGCCTGATGAACGGAACGCAGGGCTTAGTAGCTGCCGAGATAGCTCCTACCAAGTCGGCCCTTTTAAAATATCAGTAATGTAACCCAGATATGTCTGAAGCAGCTACTTACGTGCGGATCGTATGTATCGTGCGAGGATTCATGTTGTGTTGGCCACCAACTAGGTCAATTAATCGTAGCAGACCATTCATGTGCACATGCCAGTGATCGTGTTGCCCACCGTATCCCTAATATCATCTACCTATCAGCAGGTCCTCTGAAGCACTTGAATGGGCACGAGAGTCGTACCGCAAGGATTGCCATCGTCGCCACAGCATGTATCGTCACGTCACGGGAAAGCCCGGTCTGCGTATTGTCGTTGAGCCTTCGATTGATGATGGAAGACAGCTGAGATGACAATGATAGAAGGTCTGGCGTGTCCCGTTTTCCCGCACTCATGCCATCAAACAAAGCCCCGAGTGTTATCGCGCAATGTAGGCTGGTGGGATCCTGGACCGACCAGACGTGCATCTCGGGTAGTTTCCAAGGGTCTTGCTCTAATAGTCTAGCCTCGTCGTAGGAGAACTCATCACTCGGTGCAAAAGCGAGGCACATGAAGAGAAGTCTCTTTTTCGAACTCGGCAAGCTTTCGGGTAGCCTGTAGGATGCCCAGGCAGGTAGCGACAGTGGTTGTACGCAAGGAGCCGTAAGTAGCTCGGGAGTTCCTCGACCACTGTCGATCAGGCGCTCTTCTGAAGACACGGAAGCCGTGGATGAAGCGGAAGAGCTTGACCGACGGCTAGACGAAGTCTTGAAAAGCCTCTTGGCCTTGGTGACTCCAGACCCGAGTGGCTTGTCTGAGGGTGATTTAGATCTTCCTGTTCGTCGTCGTGGAGGCGCTAGTTTCCCATCATTCGCGCCGTTGGTGATGAACGTGAGTTGTGTGTTTCGGAAAGGCAGCGAGCAGAGCTGCTTTGGTTTCTGCTGTTCGGCATTCTGTACCGAGGAGTTGACGAATGCGGTGCCCTTGTGTTTCTGCTTGGTCACTTGGAAGCCCTTCCGGGTGGCTACCATTGACCCGTTGAAGACTGTAGCATTGAAGTGATCCATCATGGGGACGCGAGGACGACAAATACACAGAGTTCGTTCAGGACCTGTTTCTCGACGACATGAGCCAGACCGACCTATTGCCGAATGTGGAAGGGTACCTCATGATATACGATGTTGCTGCAGTGGCTCATGACCCGCACAAGCGTTGCTGCTTCAAGCTATGTCAAGACGACTTACGTGGTTTGTAATCTGCCCAACCCGTCATTCGGCTGGTGCCGAGCCACTCTCCTTCCACTCATATCCGGACTTGGCAGCAGTGTACTTTTGTCAAGTTGACTAGCTGTGCGATCGTCCAGGGATGATGTCGGGTGGGTATTCATTGCCGGCGCTAGACAAGCAGGGGCACAACCTGGCAATAAAAAGCCTATGGCACGTGGGTAAGGTGGGCGACAAATGTCGCTTTGAGTCTAATTATATCCTGATCGACGGGTGAGGCCATGCAGTGTTCGCTCCTATAGGGCTGAGTGTCTTGGTTTGGAGGAGAGCCCAGTAGAAAGGAAAGTACTCACTTGTCTGGGTGTGATGGCCACCGTCAGACTCGGACCGGGGGTAAGGTGGTTGCTTACTGTAGTCTGTAATGATAATAAGTCGACATTAGACCCAGACGACGGGAGTATGTATCCCCTTGAGTGTTGTTGCGCACCACGTGCACCTTGTAGAGTACAGTACAGATGCCCCCTAGATAGCCACACCATATAGACCTTCTCCAGAGAGCTACACAGTAAACCAATCACGACTCGTATGACGTTGCGACATAGGGCTTGGATTGGTCCTTCAACAGATCTCACGAGGCGCAGTAAAATCTGAAAGTTCTGTACCTGAGTTTTGGAGAAGTGGTGCACAACAACACTCATCAAAGGGGACCGTCTAGTCTTCCTCTAATTTGTAACCAATGGACAGCATGCTGTTGGCCGTCGACTCTTGAGGCTGATCGAGAGTGGAGAAAATGGGGTCTCGCGACGATGACCTCGGCCGACAGATGTGGCCATGGGGCGCCGTCACCCGTGGACCGACAGATGGGGCGCCATGGGGTCAACATAAGCACTAGAGCGCTATAGGAAGGATTACCCCTTTGGGACGGTGTTGAGGCTCCATCGCGATCCTCGTCGGCCTGGGACCGCCTGGTCGAGTCGTCGCTAAATGATCCTTCAAGGCAGATACAGCCTGACAGCCTCAGCTCAACCACCTTTCAGCTTTCACACAGATGATAGCACTCCAGTGGCTCCGCTAGGTTGCCTATTGCCTCGGCACCTGTTATGGGGCTGTCGATTGACCCAATCTTAACGGAGCAGGAATCTGACAGGAGCGAATATGCGAACTTTAGAACCCGAATAATAGTATCACCGTACCACAGCAAGCATATTTAAATCATAGACTCACCGCCATGTGTCGTGGGAAAAGAGCTAACCGTCTCCTAGTGCCTCCCTCTCACACATGTGAGACCGTGCACTCAAAGCACCAGTCATGGAAGATCGAGGAACGGCGAGTCACTTGGGAAGCCTGTGTCTCATAACATGTTGGTCCCATTTAAGAACGGCATTTACCAGCTGTCAAGGGTGTGAGAGAGACGCCGTCCCTCGTGTATGTAGTCTAAATCAGAGACTCAAATTTATTAGATACAATGATACTTCAGAGAACCCCGAACTGGCAGAACTCAGTACTAGCGAGCCATGTGCGCCCGTGTCAGTCAACTAACGATAACAAGCCGAAAGCTTTGGATGCTACTACGTCTGTAGGGCTGACGAAGTACCACCCCTGAATCATGCACCCTGAATCATGCACCCTGAATCATGCACCCTGAATCATGCACCCTGAATCATGCACCCTGAATCATGCACCCTGAATCATGCGCCCTGTCCTGTAAATCCTTCCGAGTACAGTCCATCCCTGGAATCAGGTATCAGTCCATCGTATCTAAACAGGATTTGCTTCAAGTACTGGTGTAAAGCCTCCACGCCTCTAAATGGAGGCCTGTCCTTGTCATTTCGATACAGGTTGTAAAAGAAGGACTGCTTGCTTCCTCCGTCGAAACATATGGCACTAAGAGCGTACGGTACCTCAAGTAATCATCTGCAACATCGCTTTGACCTCGTCATTGACTTGTAGGGCAGGGCAAGCATCAGGTTGTACAGCATAGTAGCGTAAGACATCTCTTGCGAGCATGGAATTACAGTTCGGATGACGTGTAACGCTACACTGCGGACATGACTGTGCCTGGTCATTTCGAGGAGGATGGTGATTACTGTTTTTCAAGATCTCTAGGCTGACTGATTTGGTGAGATAGATAAGCTATCCGTGCCCACACTTCCACTTCCACTTCCGCTCATCACCCTCTGTTTTCCACCACCTAGTGACGACGGATCGGTATCCGAGCAGTAGTGTATACAGCCCAGTTTGAGATCAAAGGCGTGCTGCTTATCGGTATAGTCGCCTATGTTGACACGGGCGGCGTGCTTGGGTCTCATAACATTGTGGTAATATTCGTTGGCTCGATGATTAAAGGACCGTTCACCGAAGCTACTCCCGCGTCTTAGTCCTATTGCGTTCGCGAAATGAGAGGTTGCTGTTGTCGGGTTGTTGATTAGCGAACCCCTGCTTTCGAGTCCGGTTATGGGATTCGACGCCTTGACCACCTTGCCGATCAAATCTGCCATATTCATCTCGATCACGAGCTTCATCAGGTAGGTAACCGGGTGGCATTGCATGTATACCAAGTGGTTTGGCAAGGACCTGCGTGTACGTTAGCATCCTGTCTTCAAACCCGTATGGCGAATTTCTAGATGAAGAGGGAAAGGGAACAACAAAGCTTCTTTCAGAATACAAGGCCTAGGGTCTTAGGATGGGATGTTTCTATACGTACATCAGTCCTATTAGTACGACCTGCGGTCTTGCGTTAGCTAAGGGCTGTGCAGGCGCGATAAGATGGCTGAGGAATCGTAGTTCAGGTCCAGCTCTCTTGTCAGGCCCGTGGGGGTGAATGGCATGGGACAAGACTCACATCTAGCGATAATGAGACGAATATCATGACTAAATTGTATCGATAGAGTCGTTTGTACTTTGTCAGGCCGTTCTTGATGAGATGGGACCTAACCAGGTAGATGAAGTAAAAGCTGAGGCCGCAGTCGACTATAGTAAATATGGACCTCTCCATACGGTCCCAGACTTCGTTGATGTGGACGTAGCGCTCGCTGATCTGCATATGCGCCGGAATCCATATGCAGAAGACGCTGATACCGACGGCCGTGGCGAGACCGGCAATGCCCCATTTCAGCTTTGCGGCCTTCCCTGGTACAACTGAGATACGTCACGTCAGTCGACGATCCCTCTTCGTGGGGCTGCCACAATGGCCTGGGTACTCGGGCTACGGCTTAGGTGTCGTCGTTGGGGGCTGAGGGTCGGCTTACTGATCAGGAGGGATATTCGATTGATAATGATCTGTAAAAGGAATTGGACCTGGAGTTGCCCGAGAAAAACTGTGATGAAAGCGTCAGTCCATTACCCAAGCGCAAATAACTGGGCGAGTGATGGAATATTCAAGCACACATCACTCACCCATGAAGAAAAATGTCCACAAGCTGGATGGCACATGGCCCCGAAGGTACGACCATGTCAGAAGGGCGACTGCCATGCTGGCAATCCACTCGATCCAGATCATGACTATGTAGGCCGTGAAGCGGTGTCGTCGTCGCCACGTGCCGAGGGTCTGGGCACCGCCTATCACAGCTGCGAACATGGCGACGGCCAGAGAGAATCCGAAGAGCAGACTGCCGAGGTTCATGTCGGTGTCACCGATCGGCTGCTTCCTAAACCACACCGGAACGAAGAGGCCTCGTTGATCGTCGGCAACATCGCGTTCCATGCTGCCGCTGCTGTCGGCTGTGCGCGAGCCATGTCTGGGGTCGAACAGGATCATATTATCCTTTTTTCGAGAAACTTCAGGAACCAGTGGAGGAGATAATCAGACTGGTGGGCAATGGTTTCTGAATCCAGACCAGAGGAGGAAAGAGAAATCCAATGTCATCCATGGCGGCTGAGTGCGCCCGGAGGCACACTCAGGGAATAAGCCATGCAGGTCTGGCCAGCGATTTAGGCTTTATGGGAGGAATCGTCGATGGAGAGGTTGACAGGTTACTAAAGTTCATGGTTCAATCCCTGCTCCTGGCCAGTGAGCTGGTCTTGAGCATGGCGCCGACGTGGATGTTGTAATGTGTGCTACTAGCCTAGAGTTAGAATCGGCATACTTTGCTAGCGGAGATGGTTCCATATTTCCAGAACCTGTCAATTGGTTCTATTCTAGAACCATCTGATCCGAAAGCCTGCTCGGGATTTATACTCCGGTTGCCATTCTCATGGGATTGGACACATCCAAGATTCCGAACGCCGGAGAGGCACCCTAAACACTGCTTTCGAGATCCTCTATCACCAGGGACGAAGCTACTACGAGTATTTAAAGTTCGCCAGTATAAATTGAGGCATGTGAATCATGTGCGACTTGTCACAGACCGGAACAAACCGAGGAATTGACATTGAGAGGAGACACCTCGGGGACTTTTCATGATCAAGCAGACCTAGCCCAAACTGAGGAGTAAATCATCCGCATTATTCTGACGCCCATCTCGATTGGCGTAACGTCATTAAAGTTGAGCCAGATGGTCAAATATGCCCAGCATGGAAGTCATGTTCAAGCACCGAACGTGGTATTGTCCGAAGCTCGCCGAGACGTGCGATCATAGCGGACATGCGTGGGACGTCAGATAATTATTGATTTTGCATCTGACTAGAATCACTACTTCCTATCCAGCCAGCATCGCAACCTCCGACTCAGTCCCCGCCCCGATAGTCAAAGTACGCGTTCCACTCAGAATCCTCGAGGAGCTTGGGCACCAGCTCCTTCTCCATGGTGAAGGTGAACATGCAGCCCTCATCCGGGTCGGCCCCCGACCTGATGGGCGCGTAGACCAGGATCAGCCCGGCCGTGATCAGCGAGCCCTAGAGGTGGCGGTACGTGATGGGCCTGGCGAAGCCGAAGTCGAAGCCGCTCACGTCGCCCGACCGGTGGTCCGTCACGGACATGCTCATCGGCGGGTGCGCGTCGACGCGCAGGCTGATGGACCGCTTGTCGCGGATGGGCGCGATCGCCGCGATGAGGTTCTCGAGGTGCTGCTCCGTGCACGACTCGGTCAGGGCGCGGATGTAGCCGGCCAGCTTGGACAGCGGCGCCTCGGAGATGACCTCGCCGGCCGTGGGCGCCGGCACCGGGGCCGTGTCGGAGAAGGCGCCCGCGAGGACGTTGCGTAGCATGCGCTCCGGCACCGGCGGGTTGTGTATACGCGGACGCATGTTGACGGCCTCGGCCCACCAGAGCGGCTTGGACAAGTCCGGGCGGTATAAGGGGCGCGCACCTTGGAAAGCAGGCGCCAGATGTAGGCACACATGCCGTCGTATGTCGAGATCCATTGCGCCGCTGGGTCGCTCGGAGTAGCCTGCTCTTTCAACTGGTTGGCCTTGCTCTTGGGAAGGTGGACAAGGATACACTGCTGCTCCGGGTGATCTGGGTGGCGCTGCGGGATCGGAGGGCCGTCGACGAGCTCCTCTTCGGGCAGATCCCTGGTGAATCGAGCAACGTCGTTGCACTTCGGGTCCCAGGGCGGAAAGGGGGTGCTGTTGGCAATGGCATAGCAGTTGTCGGCAAGCTGATGGGTGAAGTTGCTCCAGCTCATCACGTCGCTTGCGTAATGGTGGGAATGCATGCTGAAGACGAGACCATCACGTGCGAGGTTGATCTGGTACGCTGCGACAGTGGGACTGCAATTCGGGTCGGCCTCCGGTCTCTCACCCCATCTCATCGTTGGGATACCTGTTCGGATCAGCCAGTCAGCCTGCCGCTCAAGTCAACGAGAATAAACGATGTCTGCTCCTTGCATCTTCACAATTTGAGCTTTCAAGACAGCACACTCATAGAAGCAATCCAGAGCTGCGACGGTGACGAACCATCAGGAATCAGGGGAGGACGTACTCCATAGATCAAGATCGCCCAGCGCTTGGCAGGCAAAGTGAGCCTTTTCGAGCTCATCCAAAGACGGGTGTTCCTCATCAGGCGAATCCAGCTTCTGAACGACCAGCCTCAGAGTCAAGTCCTTCCTCTTCACGAACGAGTGTCCACCTTCAGGATCTTGCTCGATCGTTCCACACATGTACCTGGCCTGGCTCAGTATCGTAATAACGTCCTGTGGATAGGGGTGGAAGAACACAGTGTTTTATCCAAAAATACTATACAATACAAAACACGCGTACAATACGTATTATACCGTATTGTATTATTCGGGCCGGAACAACCTCCGGAACCATCTTCGAAGCCCTGATAATTCACACCCAGGGGGTCAACCCTTAATAGCGGACAATTTTGTCCGACCGCCGACAATTTCCGGGTGGTCCGTGGTACCACTAAGTACCTTTTACTACGTTACTACCAGGAAACGTACGTATCGTTTGCGAAACATACGATACAATACAATACAATACAATACAATACAATACAATACGTGTTTTGTATTGTACTGTATTTCTCAGACTCCATCCCTACCTGTAAATGGGGGTGTGGGGTGTCGGTCAAACGTCGTGACCACCACTGTTAGGTCAACCCCGTGCTACCCCTTCTTGGAAACCAATTCTTACCATACCATTCTGCATTGTCTGTTGGCTTACATACTCGAAAAGGAACACTCTGCCCAAGACGAGAACAAGGCAATTCTCTCAAGAGTAATATAGGAATCAGGCCATAGGTTTCAAGATAGGACATATGTAGATATCCATAGCTGGCCTCGGCTGCAAGCGAATCCTCGAACAGGGGTAGCCCCTATCGTCCACTTATGCAATGGGTTTTCTTCTCTCCGGCCTCAGGGGCCAACCCTGTTATGATACACAGAATCCACAGCACGCGAGCGTTGAAGATGATACCGCGAACATCTGGAGTCATGATCAGCAGTTCCGTTGGGTAACTTGAGAATCCTTCGCGGGATGTCTTCCGCCACCTGAACGAAGCCATACCCCTTTTCACGACCCTGGCTCGAAGGGGAGGCGGATAGAATGATGCACACTCGACAATTTTGCATTTCATCTCCCATCAGCGCGGCGTACACCCTCCAATAGCTTCGTACTTTATCTTCCATCGGCCGGACAGATCTAACTATTCGTTTAGCTCCTGATCCTTCAGAGGGTAAACTTGTCTACTCTCTGTCTCGGTATCATTTTTTATTCGGTGCCATGGCGTCTATCGACCTCTCGGGGCCTGCGCTGGCGCCCCCAGCAGGAGTCACTCCGAACTTCGATAACCCGCCAAACAGCGATGGCACGGCGCAGGTTGCTCTGATACTCATGATGATCATCTCGACTCTCTGTATCATACTCCAGGGCTACAGCAATGTCTACTTGACAAGAAAGTTGCATACCGAGGACGGTAAGCTTTGGTCCCTTTTCTTCCTCCGCTTCCCTCGGCTTCGATTATTGTTCAGTCTCCGCACCAGCGGCAGTGCACGTTGTTCCACTGCTCCTACTGACCTCATGTGTTTGCTATAGTTCTGATCCTCCTGGTCTATGTGACTCATGATCCAGTGCACAATTACCGCCTGCGCAGGGAGACTGACGGTGTATCATTCACAGGGGAATTATTGGGGTTGCGCTTGGGCCTCTTACTCTCTCGTCTACTCGCCCGGCTACTACGTTCACAATTGGGATCTGGTCCTGGGGAATACGATTCTACGATACTACGTGAGTATCCTCCTATTTGACTCGCCGTTCAGGAGTATCCGCGGCTGACATCGCCGGGGGCCAGTATGTCTTCGTCTTCGGCGTCTTCTACTCCGTCGTCCTTGCCCTGGTCAAGATTGCCATCTTATTAGGCTGGTGCCGTATATTCGTGCCCGACGGCACGCGAGGCTACTTCTGGTGGGGGTCGATGGCCATTGTCGGGCTCCAGGGCGCTTTTGGCATCGCCGCCATCTTCCTCCTGAACTTCCAATGCACTCCGCACCAGGCGATCTGGGATTTCACTATCGCGGATAAGACGTGCATCCCTCTGAACACGCTCCAGCTCCTGTCGGCTTCGATACACTTGTTCTCTGATGTGGCCATCTTCATTTTGCCACAGAAGATCATCTGGGAGCTGAGGATGTCGATACAGAAGAGGTTAGGTGTGGCGATTGTGTTTAGTCTCGGTGCACTGTAAGTCGGGCTTGTCTCATTGGTTACTCTACTCCATATCTCTTGCGTAGACCCGAGCATAGAGAAGTCCCTTTCCCCCTCGATCCTTGCTAACCCTCGAAAGCGCCGTCATCTGCTCGATCTTCCGACTAACAGCCACGATCAACTTCGGCAACACCGACGACACGTTTTACGCGATCGGCCCCGTCGTTCTCTGGGCCACCGGCGAGATGACCTGCGGGTTCTTCGTGGTCTGCATGCCGTCACTGCCGCGGGCGCTGAAGGAAACCACATGGATCGGCAAGCTCAAGCGCGCCCTGGGGCTCTCGTCGTCGGGGACGACCGGCCACGGTGCAGCCAGGACGTGAGCAAGTTGGCGTACGGCACAGTCACCCGTTCGCACCGCAAGAATCCGCTCGGCTCATCGTCTCAGGACGCCTGGCTCCAGATCGACGAGGACGGCATACCCCTGGATCGCGTGGGGGCGTCGGAATCGACCGAGCGCTTGCGGAAGGATGGTGGCAAGGAGCCTCGGATTACGAAGACGACGCAGATCACCGTTTCTCGAGACGATATCCGGGGCAACGAGCGGACTGAGGATAGGACTCCTTGGGTCAGGGAAAGATAGACTTTTGGTAGGTCTTTAGAGATGGATGTTGACGAAAAGCCTGCCTAGCTGAGATGATTTCTGGGGACGCAGGTGGGGGAATGTAGTAAGGTATAATGGCCTGGATCAGGGATCTAAAACTTCCAAAAAGGTTTCGGAAAAGGGCAAAAGCGACCTAGATGTAACAACAGGGCACTCAGTCCACCCCTATCTTTTTCGCTGTATGGCGCAATGCAGCATGCGGTGTATATACTACGGTAAACATGATTTTAACGAGCCTCACGACCAGCAACAGCTGCTCGGCAGTCCACAACGTCATGCCTCGCAAGAGACGCAGACATCTACGACTTCGCCCACTTGGTACTCGTGATCTGTGAATATTTCGGTGTCTGTTACGAGACTGACGTATGCTATGTTCTGCTGGCGAATGATCTGATACCTACTTTTGACTCCCCGGTTTCATTCGAGCTGCCCCTAGGTATCCTGTTTTCGCCACGACGTCGTTCAGCAGTAAGAGCAAGAAATTCTGCCGCATAGGCGGTTGAGAGGCCAGTAGATAGGCATATCTTCACCAGTATCAAAAGAGAAGTCTCACTATTAACAAGTATTTTTTTTTGCAGCTTACAGGTCCTGTCTCTCATTCTCGAAAAGGTTCCTTAGAAGCCGGCAAAAGATCAACCTGGACAGGGCTCAGTTCGACACATGTCTATGGCTCCGGGGACTTTGGCTGCATAGAGGGGATAACTGCCAGCAATTCAAGCTCCAGTTCCCCATTTCTCGGAGGTACTCATTCACGTCCATATACGAGCTGCCGGTTAAGCCCCCCTTTATAGCTTCAGTGTAGTTAGCCCTCGTATTTCTTAGTATCGCTTGCATTATCCGTCGTGGATCACATAGGTATTGCCTGGTCGAGGACGATCGGAGCAATGGGGTCGTTGTGTGCTCTGGATGGTTAATGTGGGTGGTCCCGAACGTCCCTGCTGAGCGGCTCCTCATCAATATTGGCTTTAAAGGAGCATATACTCAACGATAGGTGGGTGGAATCGTGTAGAGTCTCATATGTATCACTCTGTGTGCAATGATTATACGTGCGTCCTTTTTGGTATTCTCTTGATCCAATCTTAGATGTTGTTTCTTTCGAACGACCAAGCCACGACAGCCCACATTCGTGCCACTGAGGATCATAAAGCTTTATCAATATATTTTAAAGCCACACTAGTACCGGCATAGCTTCATCAGATTTCAGCTGATATTGAGCAGTTCAGTTGCTTGTCTCGGTAACCGAATTGCCAAAGGTCCGCGTACACCACTTGACCAGAGTTCTTAATGTTCAGCGGTATCCAACATGGGTAGAACAAATACTCTGGAACAAGTATCAAAAGTAGCTCGTTAGAATAAACTGCTCTACCATGCGGTCTTACGGCAGACGTCTTGGCTAATATTTAGAGGTTCGGAACAAGCCTCAAGGTTCCTTTACAACAAATTCTGCTTCTTCCTCTGCCCCTTGCTACATGTCTCGTTTCTAAAATTTCGCCGCGGCGTTAAACGTCTTTCTATAGTCTGGACAACAAGCATCATTTGAAGCCACGTGATCATTAAAACACCCAAGCAAGTAGCAGCCCGTCGGTCTTGATGTTGTTAGATATGGACCCTATTAGCAGCAATGCTACAGATCCTTTTGCCCCGCTGGGAGCTGTGCAACAGATGTAGGTACACTGACTCGCATTACGTTAGATGCAAGATTAGTCTAATTTTATATTCTTATGTGCTATAACTACCGAATTTTAGTCCTAGAAGTATAGTAAAGTCTCTTCTATACATACCCTCTTGCGAAATCCATCCAAAACGGGCGCTTTTAAACGACGATTTACGATTTATTTTAAGGTTTATTTTATTATTAAGCTCCTCGACCGGAAGAACGACGTGAACTTATACAATCTTTATATCTTCTTATTACATTCCTTTTTACACGATCTCAACATGGCGTGGAGAAGCGGACTCTCGAGTAAAAGGAGCTAGGCATAGGCAAACCTCCCACGGACCAGAACGGGCTGCACGAGTGACTGGACTCCGCAGAGGACAAGGATAATCACCGCCTCATGGTGCCCGACTCATACATGAGTTCGATGATGGCTTACTACTGACGGTAACGGATCCCTAGTGAGGATATCTTGGAGCTCTCTGGAGGTCTGCTCGCACTGTGGTGCATCTCCCTAACCTAGGCATTTGATCCCGGATCACCCCAGACACAGCTAAGGCGTCTTTTCATCGCCAAGTGTAAGGAGAATCACCTGCGCCGGTAGAGAGTGGCTCGGATGGTACTGTACGAAAAGCACAGCCGGCGGAAGTTTAATCAGCCCGCCCCGACGTCAAGCTTAGGAAATCACTCCCCTGTCAGCCATCTGCAGCGCACTTGCGGATCCTCCGCCTCCGCGGCTTGAAGGATATTGCAGTCCAGCACGGTCATAACCAGGCTGAGGTTAGGTACGATCAGTGAATAGCAGTACTGAGTATATATACCGCTCGTCCTCAACTCGATGTCACAGTATTTCAAAGCATCCAAAGTTCTCTAGTGATCTAACTCTTGACAGTTCCCGTCCACCGCCATCATGTCGACCGCCTCCCGCAGCATCCTCATCACCTCCGCCTCGGGCAACATAGGCCAGAAGCTCATCCCCCTACTCCTATCCACCCTTTCCACAGCCTCCTTCACCCTCGTGCTCCCTACGCGCGACGCGGCGCGCCTGCGCTCTAAACTCGCCCTCCCGGACGCCCTCTCCGCCCGCCCCAATCTCGTCATCGCCGAGGGCGACACAGCCAACGTGCCCTGGCTGGAGTCGCTGCTGCGCGAGCACGCCGTCGACACGGTGCTCAGCAACTTCGCCCACGTCGAGGAGCTGATCCTGACGCTCAACCTGTGGAGCGCATGCGAGGCCGTCGGCATCAAGCACTTGATCTACATCTCGGCATGCATGGATACCTCGCTCGAGGCCGTGCGCGCCGGCACGCTGCGCAACGTCCTGGCCGCGCATGTAGCGTGCAAATTCCCCGCCGAGCAGCGCCTGATGTACGGGAGTCCGCCGTTCTCATGGACGATCCTGGGACCGACACTTTTCTTCCAATCGGATCAGATGTTTAAGGAAGCGCTATTGAAGGATGGATTATACAACTTTCCGATGGGGCGGAAGGGGAGTAGCAGGGTCGACACGGCTGATATTGCGCTCGGGGCGCTGAGGGCGATAGAGGACGGGGGGAAGTCGTGGGGCGGGAAGAAGATCATGATCGGATCTAGAGAGGCTTACAAGGCGGAGCGGGTGGCGAAGCTCTGGGGCGACGCGCTGGGTAGGGATGTCACGGCGATGGGTGCCCGCTCCGAAGATTTGAAGATGCTGGAGGATGCGCTTATACCGCATGCTGGGGGGGCTTGGGCGAGGGATCTTGTTCTGATGGCCAGGCAGTTCGATATGGATGGCTTCGGTATGACTGATGAGCAGTATCAGGAGCAGGTCAGGTTCCTGGGCAAGGAAGCTTCGAGCTATGAGGATTTCGTGAGGAAGACGGCTAAGGCGTGGAAGGCCGAAGCTTGAACATGCCGAATTTGAGTCCGATGACCTCGTTGCGAGACAGCGTGGATGAGGAACGAAGGAACGTGTCTGTCCGGTATGATGATCATATCCGATGCTGAAGATCCTCCAAGACTGCAAGTCGAACAATCACGCCGACGCTTGCCGGCTTCTGCCAAAGTATGCCACCCATGAAATTCATCAGCACAAAAATCTGGTGACAACCACCGGCCAAGGTGCTGACTTCCACAAACGGTGTGAGCAGCAGAACAAGCAGCGATACGTGGTGCTACACCTTTTTGACCATGCTCTGTTGCCACAGCTGACAGACTTCAACCTATTTCAGTATTTTGGAGAGCGAGTGACAGTGACTACCTCTAGAACACCTCAGAATTTGACTGCCTCGGAAATATTTACGACTTCGTCCATATATACGTTGGTATAATGAACCCGAGTCCCGTAGCGCAGCAGGAACCCAAATCCACCTTGAACCCTTGTTTGGAATCCACCCTGTATATGTACTCATGCCCTTTATACTTTGTCCACGTCCCTCGAAGCGCGCTATGGGTGTGCATAACGGGCTTGACGTCAGCATGTAGCGCAAATGGGGTTTTGCTGTCGAACAAGTCGCCCCCAAAATTCCTCTCGTACAGGTCCATGGAAACAGAGGGCACCTCTGCGGCAGTTTTTCGCGTGATCTCATAATGAATGCACAGTGTGAGAGTAGCAACCTTCAGCCGTACCGCCACGTTGATGGTGTGCTTCGGCTGTTCGCTGCTGAGGTCGATGATGAGCATATCGCATTCCGAGCATACGACGATCTTCGATGAACTGTGCCACTGCGCACCGTGGAGATTGTGTTTGGAAGTCGAAATCAGTATCGACATCGCATAGAATGGCCCTTTATGTCGTCTGAGGCAGTCATCATCCCGTGAATGGCGATTGCCCATCACATCGACATCAAGTCCAAAACGACCTAACACGAGCTCATGCACAGGTTGTTTAAACCTCAAGGCATGGCTGCTTGTGGGCAGTGGGAATGGTGGCCAGGGACTCCTTGAGAACCCGAAAGGACCGGACCGTCCATTGGTGAGGCTCATCGGCCGGTTCTTGGTCAATGGAATACAGAGCCTACGACCAGTACTGTCGAGGCAGTCAAGGACTGCAAACAATTGGGCCCAGTATGGAGTTCTCAAAAGCGAAACCTTCAAGGACAGCCCGGCATTCGTTATGTGATACTCATCAATACCCCCAGGCCTGGGGGAGCTGGTCATGCCAGCCAAGCCAAATGCACGAGGCGACGGGGCCAGCATGGTGATGTCGTCGTCGGGCCGCCAGCCGGAAGGAGGCCAGTTCCACGCGAAGATGGAGTGATCGAGAGAGACCTTGATGATTTCTTCCTGCAGGCGGATGAACGCTTTAGGACCCTCGCCATAAAGCAGAGGCATGTTGATTCGAAAGAGGCCCAGAAGACAATACGCTTCGTCTTCTATCCGAGTCGTCTTACGCTGCGAAGCCCAATGCATCCTCTCGGCGATGCTCGCTCCTGTGATGCCTGAACGGACTAGGAGGTAACGCTCTCGTACGCGCGTGACTCTGGATATGGTTTGTGTAAAGTCTTTCTGCATGCGGTACATAGACTTGATGTCCTCCATGTGCTCCATGGAATCGACTTTCTTCAGTTGCGAGATTCTCTGCCACTCCCTTGAATAGAATACTACCAGTGCTGGTGCCAATAACTCCTGGAGCGTCCAACCCCTTGTAAACCATCGAGATTGTTCAAGACACTCAAACCGGTACTGGACACCTTGTCCAGTGGAGGGCGACTCAGGTGCTTCGGACACCACGGGCGAATGAGACCGTACAGTATCGATAGAGACATCGGCGAGGTGAGCATAGCACACAACAGACCGCTCGTACAAGGCGAACATGGAGTTGATGGCCTCGGACAGCTCCGCGCTGCTGCTCTTATCGATGCAGCATGTATCAACCCAGAGGTACGTCAAGTTGTCCTTCCGAGTCTGCTCGCAAGCCAAGCTGATCTTCGCATAGCCAGCCTTCGTCTGTGCCTTGTCGTGATCTTGCCAGTCCTTGAACACGACTTCCCCTTCATCCCAGGTGTGGGAGAGAATGGCGTAAGGGGGAATGTGTTCGCCGATCCATTCTTCCAGCTCCAGGGTTTCGACGTTGATCAGCCGCATGCTTAAAGATAAAGCTTCAAGGCGAAGAAGGGGCCGTGAGTTGAATGACAAGGTGACGAGTAAGTAGTTTGGAGGGAAACAATAGCGAGGCAGCCAAACAGACAACGACGTGAAACCGCAAGTCGAAGGCTATAATTTCAATTAAGAACCCAAATGGGGATAACGACGATGCCTGTCAGCTCAAGCGGTCGCGGACAAATCGACGAAACGACGAGGAAGAACAAGACATAAAGCTGTTGATGGCGAGGCCGGGAGAAGCAAGTCGAAGGTAATGATTCGACCAATAATCGAAAGGCTGATGATGGCGGTGGCGACCTGCCAGCCAATGCGGTCGAGGAGGAAGAGTAAAGACAAATGAGGAGTACAACACAAAAGCTAATGATGGCAAGGCTGAGGGAGCCTGGCTTTCGTGTGATTCTGGTTGAGATGTTTTCTGATTGGCAGGCTTACCGACGAAACATGACAGGGGGAAGTTGAAACGCCTCGCATCTGCTTTTCGAAGCCCCGAACACCAGACACCATCTTGCAAAAGGAGTAAACGCGTGGCCATAGTACCCTCGCCCTTATGGAAGCTTGAATTGGCTTCAGAAGCCACTTGTACGTATGTACGGGTGTCCGGACTGCTTGTCACGTCCCATCGCCCTTGAGGCCCATCTTGCTAGACGTTAAACACTGCAACCAACCAATCGACCAGCCATCATTTCAGAAGACAGGACGCACGACTTCTTGACGAGCGACCCTTGTGAACACATCGTCACCTGATGAAGCCGCCTGGATCTGAGTGATGAAGGACAACCCCTGATTTTGGTCAAACTTGTGGCAGTCCCTAACCCAAGCTGCACATATACCAGACGATCATTGACATACCTGGATAGAGTGAGGCTTGGTGTAATCTCGGAAGGTTTATAGGGTATCAATTGTTCTGCCAACCTGAGGAATGTAAAGCTCCCGTAACTCCCTCATACTAACATTACCTTACCCGCAAACAAAAACTGCTGCAGCGTGCTTTGCAAGATCGCAAGCCAGCCCCTGCCAGTTTGGTTACATGCTATCTTTGCTCGAGCGAGCCCTCATCTGCTCTACCCACCGATAATCCATAGGCAGAATCTGCAGTCGAATGTGTTGCGGCTTACAGTGTACTCAGATCAGGTCCCCAACTTAGTGGCCCCATCTCTCCCGACGGAGGGTGGTGCAGCTCGTGCAGATACATGTGGTTGCATAGGTTGCGGAGGACGAGGCAAGGGCTAGTCGGTTTCGCGCTGGTTAGCCATGGAGGCTTACGGCCTCCCAGGAAAACATTGACGGTGGAATTGGAACGGGCGACCTGCGTGGGCGGTGGTGATGGTGATGGGTGTGCGCGCGGGCCGCGGCGCCTGGTGGCACGCATCTTGCGGATGGCCTCGACATCGTGAACGCCGTCCGGAGGCTTCGGATTCTTCTCCTTGATGTAGCGATCTAGATGCCTGCCGACTTTCCCACTTTGGGTGAAGGTCTGGCTGCAGAACGGGCAGTTGTGACGTTTGGGGGCACCCGCCCCAGGCCGCCCACGCGATGCCTAGTCCACGGTTTGACTCGGTCGCGCTGGCTCGCCGTTTTCCGATGCCTCTGCAACGTCCATAGCATCGTGATCATTTCGGACGAAGTCTTCTGCTTCGCCTTTCAGGGGTATCCTGCTGCTCGCCTCTGCAGCAAGGACTGCTTCCCGGCGCTGCCACCAGTCGTCTTCGACTTGCGCGACCTGGTCGAGTAGAACCTCCTTTTCCAACCACTCTTGTCGATACGCCTCTTCCGCCTCCATGCATTCTTGCCGTAAATTATCCCCTTCTGCTGTTCCCCACTTCACTTGTGCACGGCAAAGCCTGAGCAGTGACTTCATGTCCATTGCCAACTCTCTGCTGGTGAAACCTTGTTGCTCTGTGAGGGGGGTAAAGAAGTCGGCGGCAACATCCTCAGAGGGTTCACCGTCGTCGACAGCGTCGTCTTGTCCAGCTGCATGAGACTGGGGCGTCTTTATTATGATCTTGAGCTTGTTGCCCCTCTTCTCGCCGGCGTGATACTGCATCGATTTGGGGACAGGATCAGACGGCCGCAGGGCTTCTGTCTCGTGGACTGTTCGCATGTGCTTGGCGAGGGCGTCGGATCGCGTAAAAGCGCGATCACATTCTGGTGCGGTCAGAAAACTGGACATCGACGTACAGTGCAGTGGTCGGCCTTACCGGGCAGGTAGCAATAGAAAGGTTTTTCTCTAGTATGGCTTCTCATATGCGCCTTCAATGCATAGCCACTCGCATGGGGCAGGCTCTTTCGGGGACACCCATTCCATTCGCACGTGTACTTCTTCTGGCGGTTCTCGATGTGGTCGTTGTGGATATGCTCGACCAGCCTGTCCATGTTCCCGAGGTCACCAGCCTTGCAACCGTCCCAGGCACAGACTGTGACTTGCTCCTGGAATTCGTCCTCGTCAAGTTTTGCGTTGATGGGCGAGTTGGGCACGTCGCCTGAGGTATCGGAAGAGATGTCACCATCTAGGTCGTGTTCGGATTCCTGCTCGGGTTCTGGTTCGGGCTCTACATGAACGGAAGAGGATGCTCTCGAGCCGTCGCCAAGCTTCTGGCGCTTCGAAGGAGGTAGAGGCGTTTCGTCGGCTTCCGCTTCGGCTTCCGCTTCGGCATCAGCTTCGGCATCAGCTTCGGTATCAGCTTCAGCGTCGGCAATGCCAGTATCATCAAAATCATTCTCGCTTTCCGACTCGTCCGGAGAGCTTATTTCGGAGGAATCCGAAAGCAACACCATGATGGCTGATGATGGCTGATGATGGCTGCAGGACGATTGGTCAGGTTGAGATGGGTTCAGAAAGCTGATGGTGCTTGGTTCGCGTAGGCGACTGGCTGAAGCACCAGAGAGCTCGTTGGGTAGGTAGGTGATATCCTTCCGGTATGTAAAGATTTAACCCGGGAAACGTGGGTGGAGTAGACTGCGCGTGACAGAAGATGTGGTGGTTCTGGAGATGTGGTGGTTCTGACGAGTAGAAATGATTAGGAGGGGAGAGGTAGGTAGACAGCTTGGTGTTTGCGCCGCACCAGGGCAGCCGCGTTCTCCAAATCGCATCGATTGGCACTCACGCTGTTCGCCTGCAGTGTTGAAGGTACAGCTGTACATCCACTGTGGGACGTGCTCTAGCGTGTGGGACGGGGCGGGGACCTCAGACCGGAAGCACTGGGCTGTGCACCGCAGCTCTGATGCGATTACCGGGGCTATTCACGAAGCAGGGTCTCGACTTGCAATGGAAAGGAGCCAAGTTGCACAGCCTGCTTTCTTCGTAATGACTGGAGGTCGCCAGGCACAAACTGTCAGAACTGTTTGCTGGCTGGCTGACTGAAGCTTCCTTCGGCCACATTCGCCCTCAACCTCACGAACAAGAGAACAGGAGCTGGTGCGACTCTCTTCCGCGACCCGATCTCCTTGTCTCTCGCGCCACTGCGCTACTTCAATCCCTCGCCCCTTTACGCGTAGCGCTCTAAGCTCGAAGTACTGTACCCTGAGCACCCGAACATTGAAGCTCTGACATCACCCCCACCCGACATACTCCTGTGGATTCGACGCAGTTCTACCTTAAGAAACACAACCCAGGCTGCCAGGAACCAACAGACGACCACACAACTCAACAATCCGTCCAGTCCAATACGCAATCGCAAACCATTGCCTACAATGGCCTCCCTAAATCTGTCTATCAATGGGCCCTCCATCAAGAGCAGCTATCAAGGGGTCGTCAACGCTCCCCCGGCCCCGGCGGGCAGCTCTTCAACCTACGGCAACTGGGCCCTGTTCTCCGTCCAAGCTCCTCTCGCAAACGCATTCCAGGACAATGGCAGCAAAGAGAGTGTCCTAAAGGTCCAAACAACCGGCGAGGGTGAACTGGATGAGCTGATCGAGGACTTCAACGAAGGTCGAGTCCAGTTCGCCTTCCTGAAGGTCAAAGACCCGAACACCGGCCTGCCCAAGTCCGCCCTGATCGCATGGGTCAGTTATCCTTCGCCCAGGCTGTGGTTCGTGTCTCCATACTGACGTCTAGCTAGTGTGGTGGCGGTGTTCCTGAGCGGACGAAGGGCTACTTCACCAGTCATCTCAACGCTGTCTCCAAGGTGCTACATGTGTGTGAAGTGCTCTCGGGAAAAGCAAAATCATGTCAGGCTGACAACCAGTAGGGATACCACGTTCAAATTACTGCTCGTTCCGACACCGACCTCGAGCCGGCAAACATCCTCCAAAAGATTTCCGATGCGTCAGGTGCTAAATATACAGCAGGGGGCAGTGCCCCCGTCAAGGCGGGAGGCCCCCCACCTGCGGTCAAGTCGAACCCCGTCTTCTCGGCCCCTTCGAGCTCCTCCATTTCTTTCAACCCCATAGTCGCAGCACGGAACGCTAGCCTGAGGCAGAAGACCAACGACGACGGATGGGGAGAGGATGCGCCGCCTGTTTCCCGCTCCGAGATTCAGAAAGTCGAGTCAGCATACAAACCCACCAAGGTTAATATGGACGAATTGAGGAGTCAGAAACAAGCACCTTCAAGGTTCAATGGCTCGAGTCAGCCGGATGACCGGTCGAGTGGTGTTATTGGGGGAGGATATCAGCCGGTTGGAAAGGTCGATATTGCTGCCATTCGAGCCGCCTCGAAGGGCAAGCAAGATGAGAGACCCGCTCCAGTCAAAGGCACATACGAGCCCGTGGGAAAAGTCGACATTGCTGCTATTCGAGCCAGAGCTCAGAAGCCAGAGGAGTCCCAGCCTCCTCCGGACGAGTCCGACGCTCCACCGAAGTCTCTCGCCGAGCGTAGCGCAGCGTTTAACGCATCTGAGCGTATAACCGAGCTGCCAAAGCCAAAGGTCGCCAAGAAGTTTGGCGGAGCTTCTACATTCACAGGTACCAAAGCACCCACCCCTGGTGCTCTAGGCTTTGGCGGCCCTTCTCCAGCGGCGGCACCCCCAGTTGGGTCAGCTAGCCGTACCTTTGCCGATAAAGGTGGAAAGACTCCAGCTCAGCTCTGGGCTGAGAAAAAGGCGGCTCAAGGTGGTGCTCCCAAGGGCGCAAGTCAGCCGGTCACGTCGCCTGTAGCACCCCAGCCGAGTGGTAGTGGATGGCAAAGCGGATACAGCGGCAAGAGTTGGGCACCTGTCACGGCTCCTGCATATGGGCGCTCGCTGTCTGGGCAGAAGACTGGCGAAACCGAGACCAGTCAAGAAGCCCCTGCGTCCCCGTCAGGAGGGATCAGTGCTATACGTGATCGCTTCAAGGATGCCCCGCCGATGGTCGCTCCCGCCCCGTCCGCACCCGCTGTTCCGACCCCAACCCAAGAACGTGAGCCAGCACCACCCGCCCTACCCATGGGTACGCGGCCGTCAGACAGCGGCCCGTCTGGAGGCTTTGCCTTGCCAGGAATGCCCCCTCGACCTCAACCCGCAACTGATGAGGAGGAGGAAGAGGATGAGGAGCCCGAGCAACCGCAATCACCCGTTCGTGTTGCCATGCCCGTGGCTCGAGGACTAGAGCCCGAACTCGAGCCAGCTCACGAACCACCTCGCTCGCTCCCAGTGCGACCGATCGAGCAAGAATTACCAAAGGAGGAAGACCTTCCTGAGGAGGAAGACGCGTATGATCCACGGGCAGCAGCAACTGCTGTCGCAGAGGAGCAATTTGGACACGGAGCAGTATCGGAGGCTCCGGCTGCTGCGAGTGCTGGAAAGCGTGCCGTTGTTCAGTACGACTACGAGAAGGCAGAGGACAACGAGATAGAGTTACGAGAGAACGAACACGTGACGAACATCGAGATGGTGGACGACGACTGGTGGATGGGTACCAACTCGCAAGGCGAGACCGGCCTTTTCCCCAGCAACTATGTCGAACTTGTCGACGATGATAACGATGGGGCTGGGGCTGGGGCTGGGGCAGCGGCACATGCGCCTGCGCCTGCCGCCGCGGCAGTACCTCCTCCCCCGGCGCCTGCTACTGCCCAGTCGGAACCCGAACCTGCCGCCGGCGGTGGGCACACAGCCACAGCGCAATTTGACTACGAGGCTGCTGAGGACAATGGTGAGTTGCCTTGCAAGACCTGCGCATTCCCAGAGATGATGACTAATGAGCATGACAGAGTTGAGCTTCCCCGAGGGGGCTACAGTTACCGATCTCGAGTTTCCTGATGAGGACTGGTGGTTTGGTCACTACAAGGGTGACTCTGGTCTGTTTCCTGCCAACTATGTACAGCTCGACCACTAGACGCGTCCAAGGCCCAGGCAACGGACGAAACGGACGTGACAGCCCAGCAGAGGGCTGGATAGCTAGGTGTGGCGAAGATAGAACTGAAGGTTCAGCTTTATAAGAGAAAGTCAGATGATGAGAATCATGTTGTTACAACAGTTGATATATCCACGGCCCAAATTCACTGTTGCTGTTCCAGTTACCTGCCTTTAGTTCTGCTTCACTCTCATGATACAGGTAACTTCAGATTGTGACTCAGCCATATGCCAGGCCATACATTGAAGTCGTGTCCCCAAGCTTCAGCTCGAAAGCCCGACAGGAGGTGTGTTGAGAACTACAGTAATATCGTCTACATCCGATTGCGTAGTCCGCCACTTCACTGCACGCGGCATTCCTGTGGCTGAGCAGCCCGCAGCGCTTCGACCAAGTGCCCGTGGCAGTGCTGTCAACATCTGCAGGAGTTGCCGCTTGCGTCAGATGGCATTCCTGGGCAGGGTCCGTCCCGTTTCATTGGGCTCCCGCCGATGGCTGAGGCGACAGGGGTCGGATATCTCGGCCACCCTCCACTGCCTCCAGACTCCAGACTCCAAACCAGACTCAACACGCTGTCCAAGTCGAGGGATACGGTGAGTCTGTCGGATGCTGACCCAATGGGAGAGGCCGACGAGCAGGGCCTAGAGAAAGGGTGTCCCCAAAGCTAGCTGGGCCTAGACTCGCCTGGTAGAGCAAGGTCTGGCGCTCGGTACATTCCTGGTCCCTTTTGGGGTGTTGTCTGCAAACGTGATGTCTCTGGTGTGGTGAATATGAAATAGAGCCATTGGAAAGAGATTAGACATTGTATGTACCTAATTAACATGATGTTGTTGCGCGACGGGGTGTAGGTGCCACGAGTTGATGTCACAACTCCTGAGAAGTATGTTGAGGTCTGATACATGTACTGACTGTATGGGAGTTGTGTCAACGCTTTGATGTTGCTGTTAGTAGCAAGCGCCTTATGACCAAGCGCGTAGGTACTAAATAAAGAGGCTGTTCCAAGGTTGAACTCATACCTAGCTGACGTGTTTCGTAGGCCTCCCGTGCAAGTAGTCGTTGAACTCAGCCACACCACACTACGACCCTCAGTAACAGTACAAGACGCGTATGTTCAAGAGGCAACCCATTGCCACGAATAATGATGTTATGTCTTTGATCATATGATTCACAGCCGTGCAGTGGTAGAGAGGCGAGAACATTAAAGGACAATGGAAGGTGAATGTGGCTGTCAATAGTAAGGCAGATGCAGGATAATGTGGCGCACCCTGTTCATGATTTATGATTGGATCATCTCTCGCAGCACAAGTCTTGACAGTGAACACATGCGCTGAACAGTCAACACTGCCACTGAACAGTGACCCCATCCACGGCCGACCCGCCATCTCTCTTCTTACACCTAACACAATCCTCAATCCTCACCACCAACATTTCCTCCAAGTCCTTCAGCATCACAGCCTTCATTCCACCGCCAGTCGCTCACGTTTCCTCGCGTCGCGACACCTCTCCATCTACCACAACCGTTCAGCAACCGGAACCGAAAGCCAAGAAAGCAGAGCCACCCAATCAAAGTCCGTCCTCTCCCCAAGCTGCCAATCCCCAAAGTAAGCTTTCGCGGCGCAAAGCTTACACCGCCGCCACCCGTCACCCATCACCCGTCAACCGTCACTCACGGGTACCACTGGCTAATCTCGTCGCTTGCGCAAATACAGATGTCGAGCGGTGACTACTACAACCAGGGCCCTCCCCAGGGCTACCACCAGGGCGGTTACCCTCAGCAGCCTCCGGCGGTGCGTCGCAATCCCAAACATCACAACTCCCAAAGCTGTCAACATGCCAACGATGCCAATTCCTGTCTGCCAAGGCACTAGGCCGATGTCACAGACATGAGTTGCTTGGCAAGCCAAGTCGCAACGTTACCTCCATGTCGCAACATATTCTACAATAACCTGCCACACAGTTAGATGTTGTCGCTAACATATTCGTGTCATAACAGTCGTACGGACCTCCCCAAGGCCAATACTACGGTCCGCCCCCGGGCCAGCAGCAGATGCAGTACCAGCAGCAACCCCCGCCGCAGCGCAACCAGGGTGGTGGTGGCGGCGGCTGCCTCAAGACCTGCCTGGCCGCGCTGTGCTGCTGCTTCGTCTGCGAGGAGGGATGCGAGTGCTGCGCTGACTGCTGCGAGTGCTGCGCCGACTGCTTGTGAGCTGCATGCCTGCGACCGACCTTCGACCATCCACCCTCGAGGACGAACGAAGATGGATAGAAGAAAATCATGGAAGCCAGGCGCATCTACAATGGACTAGGGGCGGAAGAAGGGTCTAGAGGGACACAGCCTATTCTTGCTGCGGTAACCGCTGGACAACGTACCCGGCAGCATACTCTTGGTCTCCCACGACAGCACAGCAACGTTGTTGGTACAAGGATGATATTTGGGCGCAATGGTCGAGCAGCCGGCGTCTCCTTCGAAGGCATATCTGATTTGTAGGCGGAGTATAATGACGCTTGGTTTCCTTCACGGAGGGTGCAAGTAGCAGGTCCTTGGACTACGGGACGTTTAATACACTCGGCTTTGGGCGGCGACACGTTTTTCTTATGTTGAAATACTCATCTTGCAATTATAAGCCCAGTTTTGCCATACTTGACGAGGTTTACCTCTAAACTAGGTGCTTGTGAGAGCAGTTGGATATGTGACGCCAAGGATCTTCCCTCGGCTGTGACATGTCCAGTTTCAGTCTGCCAGTTCTGCCAGAGCCACACCGGGGTCGAACTGCTACCCGACACTTTTCAAAGGCAACTATGTCTCCAGCCCTTGGAGACGTGGCATGATTTCTAATAGCTTAAGATGAAGTAATTCACATATCATCAGGCTTGATCATCGAACTCATGGACAAAAAATACCGGTGACCTCAAGACACTTTTATTCGCAGACTCGGTATCCCCTGAAACGCCGTGTGACCATATTGCAAAATTGCAAAACCAACTCCTCAAGCCTATCATTTTCATAACACAGCATGACCTCACTACCTCCCCTCTCTCCTCATGTCCCTGGCCATTCTCATTCGTCATCTCACCTCCCCACGAAGACCCTTCCTTCTCACCGCCCCTTCCGCTTCTCCGCCTCGGCATTCCGGAACGGAAACCCGCTCGTGCGCTTATCGGCGCCCGTGCGGCGGCTGACGCGCGCCTTGCCGCCGCCGAACAGCACGCACCAGGTCCCGAACGCGGCCAGGACCGCACTCCCGACGAAGCCGAGCAGGAAGCCTGTTTGTTGCGTCTTGTTGTACCGCGCCCAGCAGTAGAAGGCCGCGCTGACGTGGTGAAGCGTCGTCAGGAGGACGCTGGCGGCGGCGTAGGGGGAGGGAGTTTCGGTGGGGGCTAAGGGCTTTTGTTAGTTGTATGTTTGGGTGGTGAGGATGGTGAGTTCGTCGTGAAGGTTATGAGCATTGAGAGGGCATGAGGTAGGTAAAAAGTAGTGCAGATCTCAACCAGGCATGCTGTATCCAAATACAATCTCCCCATACCACATTGCCCAGATGAGCGATTCCAACACAGCACAAGAAGGAAGGAAGGAAAGAAGAAGAACAAAACAGGGCAACTCACACTCGACCATCGAACCCAACGGCAGGCTCCCCGTCAACACAACCGTGACCATCCCCAGCGCCAGAAGGGCCAGCCCCAGGCTGCGCGCGAAGTAGTTCTCGACGGAGCTCGACGGCTGCATGGGCATGCTGGGCACGGGCACGGCGCCCTGCTCGCCCGCGTACGTCAGCAGCCCGTTGATGGCCGCGGGCCAGATGATTAGTGGTATTGCCTGCAGCAGGTGCCAGGCGCAGGACGTGAAGCTGTAGGCTGATATGGCCTGTGGATGAGTTGGGTTGTTGGTTAGTGGGCTGTTTACCTAGGTAGGTGTGGAGGGAGGGAGATGCGGCGGGAACTTACATCCATGATGGCGATTGTGTTTGTGAACTGGCAGGTCTTGCGATTGGTATGAGTGGTTGGTTGGGTTGTTCTGTTGGAGTTGCGTATGAGATATACGAGTGGCGATTGTGTATAAGGGATGTGGCAGTGCTAAATTGCAGCTACTTGAGAAAGTGGTGTGAATGACAGACTTGAGTCCTTGACAGTATGCGTGGAAGTCTGACCTCAAAGACCTCACCGAGGATCCCGGTTGCTTGGCGCGATGCAGTTCTGGGGCAAGTCCCAAGTCGACGTCACTCGACACGTATAACCGACGTAGGTATGGTGAAGGTCTAGTGGGGTAGATGGATGTGATTGGTGCATATCTACAGTGTGCAGTATCTTAGATACTGTATGGTATCTGGTTGACATTTTATCCCTGACTAGTAACTACCCCTGAAGCCTATACTCAAGGGGTCCTACTGACTCTATCTAGAGAGTCGGGCCTCTTCGACTGACTCTATATAGCATGCAGTTCTCATACCACACAGCTACCGCGAAGCCGAGTCTTCAAGATGGGATACACGTACGACCGCAGCATCGACTCTTACCCAAAGAGGGCGTCTTGACGCAGATTTTGCGCCATGTTGGAAGTTGTTCATCCCGGTGAATGGCAAAGCGAGGCAGGCGTATAGCTTAGTTGCACTATCTGGTTGAGCCCAGCGAGTTCATGTGGTGAAGGCAATTGGTCGCGGTAGGCCCCGTGGCTGTCGTGGTCTAATACTGCATCTGCACCGCCGGTGGTATGAGGCCGAGAGCATCTGTACCTTACCAGAGACATATGTAGAGCTGCTGTGGCGGCAAGCTGCACAACGACAATGTTGGCGAATATGGTGCCCCGGCTGGACCATGGACGCTTCAAGTTTGGCACACCATTCACACCGTTGATTGTCATTGCGTCTGGAGTGCTCCAATGTATATGATGCAGGCAGTCCTGGTAGTCCTGGTATCTCCAGATTCTGGTGACATTGAGGAGCTCAGTAAAGCAATAAAGAGATAAAATCATCATAGTAATGCGCCTCTTGAGGAGTTCCATGTGTGCCATGAATAACCGATCTCAGGCGCCTCTGTCGTGAGCAGGATACAGTGTGAATTTGTGTAGGTCCCGCAGAGATGTGCTTGGCGATATGGGGAGGGCCAGGGGTAGGAGCCGAGAACCTCAAGGAGGATATTCGTATAGGAATGCAGCAAAAGAAAAAACGTGCTCGCAAAGGAGTGCATTACCCTACTACATCTCGCTCCCGGAGGATGACTCCCGAGTGTGCTCAGGAGAAGAGAACTAACCCGCCCACAAGGGATTGGATTCGAACCAACGAGCTCCCAATACGCGTTGCCAGGTAAGGACGTCATGGCCACTAGACCACCCGACGGCCATCTCTTGGAAGGGCATCGAGTTGTTTCCTGCTACCTTATATACGGGAGACAAGACTGTCAAAGCAGGTGGGGGAATGGTCCGCCTGATGCAGAAGAGTTGCTCTTTCTTTGGGAGGCATCGTGGTAGAAGAGAGCCAGGGAAGGCACGGGGAGCTGATGCCGATATGGGGAAAATGTTAGCCGTGTCTAAGGGGCGTGTAAGGTGTAAGCAGACTCCGGCCCCAACAATCCACGGGAGTATGTGGCTCAACACCTATTTGGGAAGTAATGTCTTCGAATGGCGATCTAGGGGACGAGGAGATGCAAATCTCTTCCCACTTGCGGCGACGGCTGAACTCTGGAATTCCATGTACATCAGATACATGTATCTCAGACGGCGGCATGTTCCCTTGTATGTAGTGGCAGCCATAGAGCACACATGCAAGTCTACCAACAACGCAGTTCGTTCCGTTTGGCTTGCTTGGCTCGTCGCTCAGCATGGACTGAACAAGGGTCTAACACTCCAGTTTGTGAAGTCATAGTACGGCAAATAAAGGTGATTGAAGCCGACAGTACCTTAGGCTCATGTTTTTGTTGCCATAAAGATTCGATGCTGTTGGATCAGGGGTATACTGTTACGAACCAACGAGGCGTACAGGGAATGAGGCCCGCTGGCAGGCCCAACAAGATGGACAGTAACTGGAAGAACCCGGGAGAACGCACGGGCCAAGGAAACGTCTAGGTCACGTGATCAAGACATCACGTGATGGATAGCTTGGATAGCGAGGTTATCCAACATATCCAGGATAGCTTGGATAGCAAGGTTATCTAACATATCCACCCCATCAGTGAGGGAGAGATTGGATATATAAGGATGGACATTTCCTAGCTAGACAGATAGACAGTCTCTACCTCAGTGATCAATCTGAGCATCTTAGCCAACCCTAAGGTGGGAGAAATCTCCTGACGACTCGACTACGCAGTGAACCCAGTTCAGACCAAGCCCCAGCTTTTGAGTGTCTTCTAGTTGATAGAAGCCTCTACTGTCTTTTGTATTAACTTATCTCAGAACATAAACCCTACAGAACCTTTTAGCCTTATAGGTTAGACGGCTCGTCACATTATATAATAACTAATTTTTAACTATACAAAGACTTAACATTAAATAAATAACGTTTACGCGTATATTAAATTTACGAAATAAAAAAGGTCGCTATTAAAAACATTTAAGTCTTCCATTTTGATTTAATATGTTTATTCTTTATTTTTATATTAAAATTATAACATTTGATAACTTTGATTATCGCTTTATTAATTAATAAAACTAAACTAAATATTATTTATATATAAAGATTTACTATAAAAATATAATCGTTTTATAAATAAATCTTATTAAATACGCTTTTTAAAATATACATGTAATTAAAAATTTAAATAATAGAATGTCGGATGTGGGTGGCTCTGAGTGTTAGCTCAAGGTGGTTCGTGCACTAGAATGGGGGGTTGGTTGCCCCACCGCTCCGTCAATACGCTAGATAGACGCGCTGCACCAGTATTTAGCTGTAAATACGTCCGTACGAGATTGATTGTGACGGCCTGCACAGACCTTCCCACATGACAAGCGGATACTTCCCAATAGGGGAAGGATCTGACCAGAGGATCCCCTTAAAGGGGCAACCTCCCACTGTACCTATCTCTCTCTCTCTCTTCCTTTCCTCTCTAGTCTTGATATTCTTGTCAATAGAGTAATAGCTGCTTGCTTCAGGCCATGTCCCAGCTCCCCAGTATGCTCGCCGTGACAAGAGCATGAAAAAGAAAACCCAAAAAAATGAGTAATGACCGTCGCCTGTAAGTGTACTACCACTTGACCAGCAGCCAGACATCCTTTGGATGGCAACACGTATTGGGTGAAATAATTTGAGCTTGCACTGATATAAAAAGCCTTAACTGTTCAGGTGAGAAGTGAAAGCTTAAAGCAAGCCACACAGTTTGTGAGGCCATCATCCAGTCAGCTGTCAGTCCAACATACTGTCGTTCTGAATCGGAGTGTCGGTCTCCACTTCAAATCGCTGACGCTTCCTAGCTTTTTTGACAAGGCGACAAAAGTACGTTTTTTACGGTCGCGCTTTAATTTACCACGTCTATATGTCATTCTATATTATTATTTAATAGCCTTAAGTCGTGGCTATTAAAAGATAGTGATAAATAATATATATAACGTCATAGTAATAGTTGTAATATCGAATACCGTACTTTTGTCTTTTTCTTAACTAGGTTGTTGAGGTAATAAAGGGGTAATAAAGGGGTAATATAATAGTTGTAAAACCCATAAAAGAAAGGTAGATAACTTTATAAATTAAGTCGTAAAAAGAAACCAAGACATTTTTTAAAAGCGTATTTTTAAACGGATTATTATAAAAATTGTATAAGAAAATAAATTTAAATGAAACTAGTTAAAGTTAAAATTAAGCTTATAAAAATGTATAACGTGGATGATAAGCGAGCGGCAATTACAAGCAAACGGCAACTTTTCACCAACCTTCCAACCAACATGTCAAATAACTCGATCACAACACATTTAATTCAATCTAATCAATCAGATTCTTCTTCTTCAGATATTTTTATCTTTATTGTACAAGTTTGCGCATTATGCCTAGTGTTGCCATAAACGCCACAACGTCGCTCACGCGCTGCCGCCCTTCTCGGACGACGACTACCTTCGCCCATTTCCTGTCTTGTCAGCTCATTACCATCCTTTACAGCCTGGAGACCTACTGCATCTTTAACAGAAAGTACTCCTCCTTTCACTAAATGTTTGTTTTTTTGTCCTCCAGCGTTTACTTAATAGGTGATTGGCCTCCTCTAACTCGCGGACCCAGGAATCAACCAAAGCGACCTTGTGTATAAGACCGTATGTAGCCTTTGAAAATGAGCTCAATGCATCAACTATTGATGTAGGTGAGCTTCCCTGGTGATTTCTGACTCGATTTTGGATATAAACCGACTGGTTTACCGCTTTGTTGATGGTGATAGGCGTCTTTGAAGTCAAAGTAGTGGGTGGCAGATTGAGGTCTGGCAACGGTGTTCGTATCTTGGATACCATGTTTTGCGACTGCCCAAAACCACGCGCGATACACGTCTGGATCTTTGTTCAAGACCCTCTGGTAGTCCATCCTCCGATGAAAACGCGTCCGGAGGCCTGGTGTGCGTTTAATGAAGTTCCGTGTCCAGTTCTTTCCAACACGTCCATCCCCACCCGCTGCCAACAATTGATTCGCCATATCTTTAACATAATTGTGCCGGGGTGGAAATGCTCGCACATCCAGGTCAAGAATAAAGGAAAGAATGGCATTCTCTTCGAAAACCGTAAGTTTCAAAGTATTGGGCATGCTATCGCGTCGTGATGGTCGGCCAGCAATTCTAGTCTTCAAGGTATTATATGGGACATGAAAAGTCTTAAAAAGCTTGCCAATGGTAATATGAAGGCCGCGTCGCTTAGCTTGGACAGCAAGCTGTAAGTCTGATTTGCTATAACGCAATGCTATTATTGTTGGTTGATCAATTAGGAGCCTTGATTGAAAGGTTAGGTAGCTGGTGAAAAGTTGCCGTTCGCTTGTAATTGCCGCTCGTTTGTCATTCATGTTATATATAAGATAATTTATTTTAAATGTTTAATATAGTTTTATATTTTTATAGTCATTTCTAATACAATCTTTACATAAAGCTATACGTTATATATATATTAACCTTTTTAATAGCTTTTTAATTGGCTGTAATATAGCTTGTTTTATTAAAAGCCCGTTTTTAAAAAAGTTGGGAGGTGCTTGTGATGGTTGCTACGTCGCTGCCATCGGTGATGATCCTGGGATCACGTGACAGCACGTGACCTCCTGAACGACTGGCTGTTCCAGACCCACTAGGGCTCTGAATTATGGGGCGGACACACTTATCTAGTTGCCCACCAGATTTGGCTGTGCCGCTCGATCTTCTTTTTCCTCTTCAGCCAGAGATAGTTATACGTACATAGTAAACAAGGGCTTCTATGTCCTATTCACATATACGGAACGTCACAGTGCCAGCCATTTGAAGTGGGGACCAACACTCCGATTGAGAACGACAGTATCTTAGCCACGACAGTGTGGATGCACCACTTTTGGTACTAAGTACCCCACGAACGCGGACCCTGCAATTGGCAATTGCCCCGCTAGAAGCCGATCTCGCAGGCCAAAAAGTAGAGTCGCATTTCAAAGCAGAGCAAAATCTCGAGCTTCGAATGTCCCATCTCCGGGTACCTATGATCATGTTGCCACTCCCACTCCCACCCTCTCTTCACCCAGGAACGTTTTTCTCTCGACAAACAAGAAATAAGTCTGTTGGGTTTGCATTGATTGTTCAAGGCTGCGCTATTCTCGATACCCGGATGAGGGCCCAGCACTATCTACTTGCCGTTCGCTGAGCTTCTTCGATCCGCCACCACTCACCCACTTACGCCCGCCATTTTCGACAGACGAGCCTCAACTCACAAGGCGCGACTCAATCAGCGTATCTAGCGCTCCCCCAAACCCTCCGAAGAGACGAACAAATTCACAAGCGCCCACAATGTCAGCCATCCTCTCCGCCGACGACTTGAACGACTTCATCTCGCCCGGCGTCGCCTGCATCAAGCCCATCGAGACCCTGCCCGCGACAGCCCCACCCCACCCCGACTGCAGCAACACCACCGAGCAGCAGCTCGAGCACGAAGTGATCCTCGACGGCCTCCCTGGCAGCACCAACACGACGGCAACCCCAAACGCGCCCGCCGAGATCTCCCTCACAGACTGCCTCGCGTGCTCCGGGTGCGTGACGTCGGCCGAGGCCGTGCTCGTCAGCCTGCAGAGCCACGCCGAACTGCTCAGCGTGCTGGACGCGGCGCCCGGCCTGCGGGTAACACCACAACGAAATGGGAACGAGGAGAAGGGTGTGGGTGCGGGTGTGGGTGCGTGGAGGGTCGAGGGGCTGGAGAACCCAGACAGCAAGCTCTTCGTCGCCAGCGTATCGCCGCAAACGCGCGCCAGTCTCGCCGCGGCCGTTGGAGGCAACCTCAGCGAGCGGGATGCCGGACGCATGGTGTCTCAGCTGCTGATGGGCGAGGGCGGGCTGCGCGCCGGCGGACGCTGGAACAACGCCTTCACGTGGGTGACGGACACAAACGCGGCGCGGGAGGCCTGTCTCGTGCTCGGCGCCGAGGAGGTGCTGGCCGAGTCCACCACACAAGTCGCAAAGCCCATCCTGACGTCGAGCTGTCCGGGCTGGGTGTGCTACGCCGAGAAGACGCACCCCCACGTGCTGCCGCACGTCTCGCGGATAAAGTCGCCACAGGCGCTGATGGGGACGCTGCTGAAGACGACGCTGAGCCGGGTGCTAGGGATCTCTCCGGACCGGATATGGCACCTTGCGGTCATGCCGTGTTTCGACAAGAAACTGGAGGCTAGTCGCGAGGAGCTGACAGATTCGGTCTGGAACGGGGATGGGCAGCCCGGAAGGGGCGTGCGGGACGTGGATTGCGTTATCACGAGCAAGGAGATACTAATGCTCACTGAGTCAAGGGGTATCGATTTCTTCAATCTATCCAAAGCGCCCATACCTAAGTCTTTACGGACACCGTTTCCCGACCCTACTCTCCAGAACTTCATATTCCCTCCACGTCGGACCGGCCAGTCAGATCTCGTGGCTGGAACTTCGGGAGGCAACCTATACTACACCTTGCAATACGTCGCTTCCCGACACCCCGGATCCAAGCTGGAGTTGGTGCGTGGCAAAAATGCCGACGTGTTTGAGTACAACGTCATCTCAGCATCTGGTGAGCCTGTCATGAAGGCCGCGCGATGTTATGGCTTCCGGAATATCCAGAATCTGGTCCGAAAATTAAGGCCGGCGAGACCGTCGCGGATGCCAGGCGGGAAAGTAGTCGGTAGAAGGCCCGTGGGTAAGCCAGCTGGTCTGGAATATTCCTATGTCGAGGTCATGGCATGTCCTGGCGGTTGTACCAACGGTGGAGGCCAGATCAAGATTGACGACCCCGTGGTCGCTGATCGGAAGGGTCTCGAGTCGAAGCCAGGGCCGCTAGAGCAGAAGCAGTGGCTGGCCCAAGTCGACGAAGCGTATTTTTCGGCGGAGGATTCGGAGACGGATGACGCCAACGAGAGCTTCGTGCCGAGCGGCGGAGCAAGAGGTGACGAGGTCGGAGGCATTTCTCCATCATATATTCGGGATACCCTGGCGCTTTGGAGTAGCATAACAGGTATAGACATGGATAGACTAGTGTCGACGAGCTACCGGGAGGTCGTGAGCGACGTTGGCAAGGACAAGGCTAGCGACACAGAGCGAGTAGTCCAGCTCGCCGGCAAGATCGGTGGCGGTTGGTAGTTGCCCATAATTCGGCCCAGCTGGTATAGATAGTAAGCACAATGAGCAAAAGCACTTCAGCCAACTCTAGCGCCGCGTTTGGCGAATCCCCTGCCGTCGGGTCCTCTGGGTGCTCGAATGACTTGTTCCTCATCTCGTGGTCGTGGTGTTGATCTGCCGGAGCCGGGATTGCTGCCTCCCCTCCTCTCGAGCTGGAATCCGGGCTTCGGTGAGTAATTCGGGTCGAAGAGCTGTGCACCACCACCGCCACCACCACTACCTCCGCCACCTCCAGACTGGCTGCTTGGCCGCTGACCGGTGTCACCTCGATTCTCATTATGCCGTTGACCTCCACCACCACCACCACCACCGCCCCTCCCGCGTCCCCGTCCCCTCTGCCCGCGACCCCACTCACCCCCTGCCCTTCCCGCAGGCGGCGTGACATTCCCTGGCGTCGAAGTCCCTGACGATGATCCTCCGCCTCCGAAGATCTTGGCGCGCGCCTCATCGTACCGCCGCTGCTTCTCCTCGCGCTCGCGCTGCTGCTTCGCGCGCACCTCCTCGGGGCTCAGCTGCGCCTTCTTGTTGCGCTCGTCCTCATCGTCGTCGTCGAGGCGCATCTGGGAGAAAGTGCCGGTGAGCGGGTCGCGCTTCGTGATAATGGGTTTGCGTGCTAGAAGCGTGACGGCGGGCTTGAAGGCTGTGGCGCTGGCGAGAGGGGGCGCGGTGGTGGCGGCGGCTAGGTGGTGGAAGGTTGGGGTTGGGGCTTCGCTGGGGTTTGGGGGTGGGGATTAGTTGGATTATAGATGTAAGAGGTGGTGGTGGTGGAAAGTAGGGATGGAAGTTAGTTGGATTATAGATGTAAGAGGTGGTGGTGGAAAGTAGGGATGGGGAGGAACAGGGTGCAAATGGGAACTCACGCCGACTCCCAGAGCTTCTTGTTGGACTCTGCATGCTGCGCCAGTCGCTCTTTCTTGCTGAGAGGGGCCTCTGCCTCTAGTTCGACTTCATTGACTGCGGCTGCTTTGTCGGCCTGCGCTTCCCAGTCGTCGTCTTCCCAGGCGTCGGGCACCTTGGTCGGCTTCCTTGCCATTTTGCTTGGTTGTTCTTTCCCCGCCTGTATAGAATGCGTGAATGGATAGACAATTGTGGTCAGATTGTATGCTTTTATCGCTGTTGGTACGTGTGCTGGGAGGGTAACGAAGGGTGGGACGAAGTGCGGAACGAAGTCACGAGAACATTGAAGGTTGAAGTGGCCCTGGGAGAGAGGCTCACGCGTTTTCGGAGATTTTGGTCTGCGGGAACGATTAACGATTAACAATTCACCCCTGGATTGCTTTAGCGGGGTTGAGGCTGACGGTCTTGCAAGTAGCGCCTCTCTCACCGCACGGGCCCTCACTTCACTACGTCCTCTCTAGCATCATAACCTCCATCGACGTGGGAAACAACGACACACTGTCAAACCAGGTTAAGTGTACATACTGCTTCCGACTCTTTTGGTTATTTCAACTCTGCTTCAATATTGGCCAATACACTCTCAACTGAATTGGTTGCTGTCTTCTGTAAAAACAACATTCGATCCCTTTCCCGATCACCACTGTACGATTCGCAGTAAGTGAGCTTGGCTAAACAACAAATGTCAAGGCTATAATCTCACCAACCATACAGCATTCCTGTAGCCCAGATATCTCCCAGGCCTTCCATCTCTCAGGCCATCAATCACATTACCATGCACCCCAGTAACTCCGGCCCGTCACGACAGTTCGCAGAGCGCCTCGGCCCGCTTCACACACCAAGCCAATCTTTCAGCGAGGCAGCCCAGACCGGCACTCCGGACTCCATGGCCGCGGGCGGATCCAAGGCTGGGGGCGCGGGCTGGAACGACAAGAAGTACAGGGAAGAGTACGACATTGCGAAGAGCAGACTGTTGGATCAGAAGTTCAACATACGTGTGTGCCCATCATTCCCCTTTTTAGCCTAACACCCATGCTGCTGATGACCTGTTCATCCGTGGTGTAAGGGACAGCGAACATAGAATGCTGATCAAGTGATGAGAGTGTAGGAGATTACGAAGACCCTCTCCTGCCGAGGGAACACCCGCAGTCCAGCTACTACCCCAAGGGGGTCACCGCAGACCTGGAGGCGCGCCTGCTGGACGTTGTCGCAAGGGTGAAGGCCGCTGCTTCGTGAGGTAGACATATTTTAATGATTGAGTCATGTTTGGGGTCTTTTTGGTTCTGAGATGCTTCGCTGATGGGATAGGGTTTTCAATACACCTTGTTTTACGCTGTTCTCTGAGCTTCTTGCCTTGTTGTATTGCGGGTCTGGGAAACTGGAGAGTGTGCAGTGCACTGGCTCTACTGATGGGCGCCTCTTGGAGCGGAGCGAGGTCGCCTCGGTCACAAGCTATGCCGGCCCATCGAACGTCGACTGCCAACATGGATCCAGGTTGGGGCCAAGGCAGTATGATTTCCTGGCAGACCCCCTTTTGGTAGTGTGCGGACATCGCCGGGATCCAATCCAGACTCTCATTACGGGTATAGCTGGAAAGTAGTAGTAAAACCTACGAATGCGATTACGACACCCGAGACTATAGAGATACTCTCTAGCGCGAAAGGCGTTCCTCGAAGGTTCGCCACGCGATTTCTGAGATGGACAGGGGTGCATTCTGATTCGTTCGTCAGCTGTTGGTTGCGATGAGTGGATCTCGGGAGGAGGAGCTCACCATGGCTAACGTGCCGACACCAAGACCAGCGATCGCACGCCCCGCAACCAGAACACGGTATTTTATCCGCGGCGGTCTAGATGATGGCACCGATATCGAAAATAACAACCACGGAGATCTCACAGACGGTCTGAATAGCCAGTTAGAAATGATAGCTGCGAGGAGAAGCGGCTTTGCTCAGTCTACCAGAATACCTAAAGCCGCCTTCGGTAGACCGACACGACGTGGCTTCGAAGATCTCGTATCCTGAGGGAAAGATAGCCAACATCCTCGACGCTAGGCGTATCCAGGTTAGGATCGAGAACGCTGGCTAGGCCTAGCCTGGATCTCCTGGGAAAGACACTTGTGGCCGTGCTTGATGCATACCTAGATATCCAGACCAGACTGGTGAGTTGCTCCACCAAAGACAAAATGCTGGCTGAGACAACGAACAGTGGATTACTTTTGCGACCCGACACACCCCCTCTGAGCTCTACTTCCACCTGCTCCTGGGCTTACAGATGGTTTGTGCCACCCTCCTGGCCCCGGTGTCGGCGTCCCCTTCTTCCCCTTCCCGTCCCGCTGGCTCGCGCTCGTCGGCCGCGAGGAGTGCCTGATCAGCTTGACCAAGCTGCGCGGCCTGCCCGCTTCTGACGACCAAGTGCAGACCGAGTACATGTGCATCGTCGCCAAGGTCGAGTTCTAAAACGTCCTGCAAACCACCCGGGCAAAAAGGTTGCGGTGCTCGGGGTCGTGAGCTAAATACCCAAAACAAAGATACAGCCAGGAGCTAGATCTGCTGGGAGCAAAAAGAAAAGAACTATCAAACAATCAAGCTAAAATGTAAAAGGAAAGCAATACTACAAAAAGCTCAATCTCCAATCCGACCCCTATTGGACGGTAACGTGCCTTGACCCGAGCGAAGCCCTATCCACTTGCATGCCAGCACGTCCCGGAATCGAACCTGATTCATACGAAAAACCCAGGGGATTTTGTCTCATACCACTATACCAAGAGGCTTTAAGGGTTGACGTTGGTACAGAGCGTCGGTGAAAGATTGAGCTGATTTTACAGTACATATGGCCTGCGGGTGTGGTTGCTAGGGGACTCGACCTGCAGCAGCACCTGAGGTGTTCGCCCTTGAGAACATGCCCTGCAGCACCTGAATTATTCGCCCCTGAGATCATGCGCTGCACCAAGTTCACAGCGGCTATGCAGGATATATATATATATAGGCAGGCAGTCTACACCTCAAGCAGGTAGGCAGTAAGTAGTACATACTTCTAGCAGCCTGGTGGCATGCTTCAGCTTCGCCCAATATCGTACTGGAGATTGTCGCCGGCCAAGCAAAGACAACATAGTGCTGTAACGTTACTCGATTGAGGAGGAGCCGGCGATAATCAGAAGCTGGGAGCGTTCAGACCCACCCATCACCCCTTGGAGCTGAGGCTCATGCGAAAGGGGTAGGTAGCACTACTGCGTGCTGGACGTCGTGGTTGCTGTGAACGACAAGTCGTAAGTTCCCCGGAGCACGGACGTACCTCGACTACCGGGACATGCTCAACAGCGAGAGCAATCTGCAAGCTGTGGTTGTATCCAGTGCTATGACAGTCCACGCAGAGCAGGTCATCAGGGCGATCGAGAAGGGGCTCCACGTCCACTGCGAGGAGCCGCACAGTACTACCATTGAAAGTCGTGTCATATCTAACCGCAACTCACCGGCTTCCGAACCGCTTGCTGGCTGCCTAACAGTCACAGTCCGTCCGCATAGCCTACCGAAACTCGCAAAAGAAGCATCCAAAGCAGAACGTCATCTGCGGTTTCCCCGGGGCGATTCGACACCTCGTACCGGGACGCCCACCGACGAATGGCCAACGGGTTGATCGAGACGCCATCCGTGTTCCGCCCGTAGACCTCTGACAAGCACGACCCTTCGGTATTTCTCGTGGCGTTCGCGGAGTTCAGTTGCGACATATTCGTCGATTGCTCTATCCAAGATATTGATCTTGCGTTCTGTTTCTTTGGCGAAGACGGCGAGGTCAATACCGTGTCCGCTGTGGGTATCACGGCTGTGCAGCGGGATCTGCGGAAGCATAATGATAGAGATAACGCGGTTGCCGTTGTTGAGTTCTATCAGAGTTGATTGCACGGCATTGTGGCTAACGTAAGGCTTATATGTAGGGGGCAAGATCGCACAGCTGTATTGCTCCCGCATGATGGCAGCGGGACAGGGGGACACAACAAAGATCATCGGCAGGGAAGGCAAGATCGCCGTCAACACTCAGTCCATGCTGAACCGGGTGAATATGTACGAGTCGACGGGCATCAGGAGAGAGATTCCGCCTGACTACTATGGGAGGTTCAAGGAGGCGTTCATCACGGAGGCCAACGAGTTCACGGCGTGCTGCTTGGACGACACAACCCCGCCTAAGGTATGTACCTAGCTGGAGGGTGCGGTCAATGCCGTTAGAGTCGGGTGTGCGCTGCAGGAGAGCCTGGGTACTGGGAGGAAAATCGAGTTCGACGAGTCTGGAAATCGGACGCAGAGGGGTCGCTTGTGAGATGTACCTAATGCTATCTTATTGTCACTTCGGATCAAACGCCGTAAAGCGTCTGCAGCAGAGTGGCCTGAAGCTAAGTGCCCAGAAGAACATACGTACCTTGGATTTATCGGACATGGGTCTATCTTAGCGTTGTGATTATATGAATATCGAGCAGTGCTTCTTGAAGCCGTTTGTTTTACCCCTAGGCTGTGTCCAGGTTTGGATCCATGCGTGTAGGAATGTGCACCATGACGGAGAAAAGTCCAAAGCTTTCCTGAGTACATGTTGGGAGTCTCGTGGGGAGCGCTTTCTCGACTTGGCCTTCCTTGACCCAAGTCGAGGCGATAGGTTGCAAAGGTCGTACGGGTGGTGGACTGCTCACATGTGTTTGTAATTGTCTCGGTGGCTTGTTCCTCGCAACGTCGTGTTTACTTCCCTAATCAAGGGTGAATGAACTGAAGTACGCAATGCACAAGATTATGATCTGCGCAAACAGTAACGTTATCCAGAATATCGGAGGGATAGGGGAAGGGGGGGTATCTTGTCGTGGTAGATCACTTTGCTATCTTGGACTCCTTTCCGAGCAACCCGGGCAGATACGGAGAGAACCATTTGAAGGGGGAGAGGCATGAATGTTGGGGTTGGCCAATGTGATTCTGCAAAGGTTGTTGGAAACCATTGGGTAGGGCGAGATTGTCGACGCGTGCACGCGGCGACGGCCTTGAAGCTCATGAGGTAGGCAAACGCAGGAACTTGAACGTCAGTCAGACATGATACAGCCAAGTCAGTGCAGACCATGGTGATGACGCGGCAGGGCTGTGTAGGAACCCGCATGAAAGTATTTTGCTTGGTGAATAGGTCAATGGTCCAGTGCGCATAGTTTCTTCGCAGTACTCCAACCACAGGAACCAGTAGGTAGCGCACATCAACTTCGACAAGTATTCCTGCCCGTGTCAATGGAGAGTTGGAGCGCCCCGGGCATGGTTTGCAAACGAGCCACTGCGAGAGTCGATCGTTGTCAAATAGTGCAATAGGAAAGGCACGTGGGTGAAGGGCGAAGTGGCAGATTGGGGGCCCCTCAGATTGTTACCTCGACAGATGGGACGAAGTACTCTGGTTACCATCACCTAGATATCATTCCTCTAGTGACGAGTGATCAGCCGTCTGTGTATTGGACTGCAGGTTCTACCAGATACAATAAGTGCCTGAGGTGCACACATTGTTCACCCTCACCCAACTCCCCAGCCACCCACACACCAGTTTTTAGCAATCACAACTCTTCTTCCTCAGGCACAAACTCTTCAGCAGCAGATTCGTTTCCTACATCCACTCGAGCGCGGAATTGTCAATCTTTTCTCTCTCCCACACTTGTCAACTCACCCACATTCTTCCACCAAACTGCGTTCCTTCACGATCGACCAAGCTTCACTGCAACACCGATCCTGGAGCGTACCAAGTATTCGCGATTCCTGCCTCTGTCATACAGAGCAAGGAACCTCCTCTTTACTGCATCTGATTTCTGCGCGCAAGTCAATCAATTCGTTCCTACCTTCCCCAACCACAAGCTTCACCTTCGTACCAGAACCTGAGGCCTACCCAGTCCCTTCACCATCTCCATCTACCTTACCTTACATTCTCGATTCATTACCAAACAATACTTGACGAGATCCAATTGCCTACCATCAGTTCTCATCAGCAATCATGGAGGCCACTTCGGATCTCGCAACGCCTCAGAAGCGAGTCAAATTCACCGATGCAATGCAGCAGCCCACGCCACCTGCCACGCTGCCCAAGAAGAAGTTGACCATCAAGATCGTCAATCGCGGCTTCGAGAAGGCAAAGCCCGACTCCCCCAACCGTACCATCGCTCTCGACCCAGTCGGAACCCTCTGGGAGCGCGGTCAGGCGAAGAAGAATGCGCCAGTCGAAGACGACGAAGATGAGGAACCCATCGATGAGGATGATACAGTCAATGAAGAGAACCCAATGGTATTCGCGCCGCTCGTAGAGAATTCCAAATCGGAGGAGCAGACTCAAAAGGAGCAACCTAACGAGACGTACGAATGGATCGAGTCCGGGGTCAGCGCCGAGCAGCGCCGCAAGCGATTCCTCAACTGCCTTCACAGCATGTACTCGTCCAACGAGGAGTGGCACTCGTACCGTCACCCGTTTTACGACTCTGAGGAGGACGGACATCATGACGATTTCAGTAAGTAGCACCCCTCTTCATATGAAGCACTCATGAAAACCCAAGGAGCTCTTCCCTCGGGAACCTAAAACCCCACTCAATCTCTCAAACCTCATAAAAAGACAACTAGTTACTGACCACATGTATTACAGTCAAGTACCAGATGTACGAGGGCCGCTGGACCGGCGACGACAGCGACTACAACTACGACGCGGACCCGATGCACAGCTGCGAAGTCTGGCAGCCCAAGGTCGGCGACCACGGCATCGACAACGAGCACGACCTCTCCATCGTCCTCAATGTGCGCGCGGATTACAAGAAACGCGTCAAGAGGAGCAGCAAGTTCAAACGGAGACTGCATCGGTACAATACCAAGAAGTACAAACGACTGTGCCGTGAGCAGACTCTCGCCAGATTACAACACCAGCGAGAGCTGGACGCCCAGCTGGGGATCCATCTCGAGCCCGCGGGTGGACCCAGAGCTGAAGAGGCCGAACAAGCTGATCATGAAGGCGATGGGGCGGACGCCAAGGTGCCTCGTGGACACCTGCCGCTGCCTTTACTCCCACCCTATCGCAAGCCCGAGGCGCAGCACGCGGTGGAGGAAGCGGAGCAAGCTGATGACGAGGCGGACGCCGAGGTGGTTCATCGACAACTGCCGCGCCGGGCCCAGTTGGAGCCTTACGTCAAGCCCGAGACGCAGCACGAGGTGGAAGAAGCGGAGCAAGCGGATGATGAAGGTGACATCTCTCCTGCCAACAGCTCTCCTGCCAAAACCTCTCACGACCAGACGCAACAATGGTTCCAGCAGCAGACGGCCTCCACCTACACCCCGGGATTCCAGATCCAAGACGGATGGGGCCACATTGTGCCGGCTTATGAGACGGCCCTCCGTGCGGCAGCGGCTGAACAGACCGTCGCGACTACCGTCACCGCTCCGGAGGCACCCGGCCGCCCATCGGATTGGACGCCTACCACGCCCGGCGAACTTGTCGTTGGCCCCGATGGCAAGCTCGTATATGATGCACGGCGCTCGCCCGGCATCTTCGTCAAGAACGCCGAGGGCAGGTTTGTCTGGCAGCGTCTGCCCAGGTCCACGCCCCCAGTCGAGCCCACAGACGACGCCGGTGGCGACGACGAAAGCTCGCATGCCGCCCGGAAGCGCAGGCGTGATCGCAGGAATGATTTCTTTGACAACCTGATGGACGCAGATGACGCAGCTGACTCCGCGGATGCGAACGTGAATGGGGATGCGGACCACGTCAGTAGCGACGAGGTAGAGTCGGATGCCACCCGGATCCGCAATCGTGAGAGGAGATTTGCTTTCTTTGACAAGATGGACGCCATGGACGCAGCTGACGCAGCTTCCTATGCGGATGCGAACGCGAACGAGGATGCGGATGAGAATGCGGAGGCCGCGATGCCCGACATCGAATCTGCGCCTACATCCGCGACGATGCCCGAATTCGACTCCGCACCAACGTCCGCCACGCTGCCCCAACCCAGATCCGTGCCCACGTCCGCCACACTGTCCGGACTCGAACCACAGTCCCCTCAGCACTGGAGGAACATGCCCGACATGGCGGCGGCACACGGGACACTTTTCTTCTCAGGCCTCCAGCAGGAGTCATCCTCCTCTTCAGATTTGAGGTCCGACAGCTCGGATGAGGAAGACTCGGGTGATGAGACACAGGCTCCGCAGCCAGAGACCGAGCTGAAGCAGCTAGCGATCAGCAATACCAGCAACACCGTACAGCGTGGAACTGGTCGTGGACGTGGACGCCCTCGTGGTAGCGGTCGGGGCAGAGGTAGCAGCCGTGGACGTGGATCATCCCGCGGTGGCCGAAACCCCCGCGGCGGCGGTTCAAAGAAGCGCAAGAGAGGCGATGATCCTGACGGCGACTTCCGCATCGCCAAGGACGAAGAGGACGACGACGACATCCCCAAGGGACCTGCCAATAAGAAGAAGAAGCACCGACGGGGGCACAGCAAGGCGAAAGGTGCTGCGCAGTCTCAGCAGCAGACTCCGGCGAAGCCCAAGCCGGAGGCGAAGCCGACGAGTGCCAAAGCTCAAGCACCTAAGCAGAAGAAGCAGAAGGCGAAGCAGAAGGCTCCCACGGTCCCGAGGGCCAAGGCCAACAGTGGATTCTGGATGGCTACCACGCGCGCCGCTGCGAAGAAGGGTGGTGGGGATGCTGCGCTGTCTAATGGACTCGATGGTGTCTACGATGCCGACGACGAGGACGTTAGCATGTAGACTGACTGACGAGCGACGGACTGACTAAATAGCCAAGTATTTGCATGCGCTTTTGCAGGGTTTTCGATAAATTCGAGGGCATAGCTGCGTTACTGCACAGGGGGTTTTCACGAGGTTATGATGAGGCTTGACCAGCTCGGATACTTATTCGCCCTTGCAGAGGGGAACGATCGTACCTGAAATAGGACGATGGATAGATGATACCCCGAAACTTATTACCTACCTAGATACCATACTCAGGGCAGAGTGGATAGGTACTACGCGATGAATTGCACTGATATCAACCCAGTCCTCTGTTGTTTCGACGTGGGCGATGTGGTACGAAGTCCTACAAGGCGATGAAGTTGACCCGACCCGCATGGCCGGGGGTCAGGTTGTTCGAATGCCGGAACTCGGTCGGGGATTCAGCCCGCCTGCGCGATCTCATTCTCATTCCCAATCCCAACAAACCACCGTAAAAGAAAACCTCCGACTCGTCGTCGATTTACGAGCAGATCGGATCCATGCTCGTCTCGTCATTAGCATGGACCCATAACTCCCCGGGGCTGTGCCAAGTTGGTACGGGTCGGCAACCCTCCGCCGACAATTCACGATTAATCATCATCAATCAAACCACCCTCACAGCCTCACCGGGACCCTCAACAATCCAATGTACGGGGAAACTCGGTGCCGGTGATTGACTCAGCGTTTTCACCACGACTGCGTAGGTAGGCAATTATATATAGATCGAACTTGTGTATTGATTGATGTCATTATGGATAGAAAGTACTTATAAGATCTGTTGCATCTGCTCATTCTCTGGCTTCTCTTCGTCTCTCATCTCATCCGCACCATCAACTCCTTCGCCTCAGCCCGACTTTAACCATATACGCTCACTTACCTACCTACCCATCTACCTTACCTCGAGACAGCACCGAGATCACCATGTCGGGCAGCACGCCAACTGTGAGGAATGGCTCCTGCCTCTGCGGCAGCATCAAGGTCCGCATGGAGGGCGAGCCGTTCCGGACGAACCTATGCCATTGCAGTTCGTGCCAGAAGTTCTCGGGCGGTATCTTCGCCTCGCTCGCCGTGTACAAGACGGATGTAAGAAGAGACCCCTTCCAGTCCATTGCCCGTTGCAGTATCCCCTGACACAGCCCGCGTTCCCCCATGACATACCTCAAGCTCTTCCCCATGGTTTGACATATGCCCCTACCCATCATGCCTCCCCAGTCTCACAGTCTCCCACGCACCCACCCCCTGAAGAACCCTCACACTAACCACCCCAAACAGCAAGTAACCTACACCCCCTCCTCGCCATCCGTCATGAAGACGTTCACCGACACGACCCCCGAGTCCGGCAGGGTGCTCCTGCGATACTTCTGCGGGACCTGCGGCAGCCCCGTCAAGGGCGCGCGCACCGGCCGCGACGCCGACTTCGTCGTCGTGCCGCTCGGCATCATCGACGGCGACACGGCTGGGGCCGGCCTCAAGCCCCAGGTCGAGTTCTTCTGCCGCAGCCGCGCCGACTGGATTGGTGATGTTGTGGGGGGCGCGGAGGGTTTTGAGACGCTGCCGCCGCCGGCTGCTTAGCGGGGTGGGTGGGTGTGGGAGGAAAGGGGCGGTGGTTAAGTCAAGTTAGGGGGTGGACTGGTTACCCATGGGACGCGTGGAAGAGTGTAGGCAGCTCTGTTTTTGGTGTTATGGCAAAGGGATTGCGCAAGGACGAAAGCGAGCACTGTAGCGGTTGCCACACTTTTTTGGCAGATATAGGGGCGGTCGTGGTTCGATATCAGACAGATGTCTCCGAATCCAATAAATCTCAAAACGTTCAAAAAAGCCATACCTAACCCCCGTAACACCGTCCGCGCCTCATGCCATCCCTCCATCCACACGCCCGCCGTCCAAGCGGGCGTGGGTCAGCAAGGTCGTCAGAAAGCACGGCACCGATTGCTGCTCGGCCCCAATTTCACGGCGCCGCCGCCGGCCCGCCTCGGCAACCAGACGCCTCCTCGAAGCTTCCGTGACGGACGGGCATGACTGGGCTTGGCTTGAAGGGGATTGACTAGCACTGCGAATGATATGCCCGGACACTGGTCCGGGTGCCGGAATGCCTGTGGCGGTCGATGGATAAAACATGTATGTGCGCTTCGTCGGCCTTGGTTGGCCAGTAGGTAGGTAGGTAGGGTACCTACCGTAGCTAGGTCAAAGTTCACCTCCTTCTATCTGCAGTCGCTGGTGGACTGTAGTCTAGTGGTGTGTATCAGCGTATTCGTTTCCTTGTTTTGCCGTTCGATACTTTCCTTCGCATAAGGTAGAGACTTGCCAAATTGCCAATATTTCACGAAAGTCCAGTGCCTAATGTAGTCCCTGTTGTGTAACGCTCGAGAAGCGCGGTCCGTCCGCCAAGTCAGCCAGCCCCCTAATGTTATGCAGGACAGCAAGTAACTACCTACCTACCTAAGCTAATAATAACGAAAAAAGTGGTGGTCTCACCTTAGACCGGCAATCTCCCTCATCTAGAGGCTAGAAGCCTCTAGGTAGCAGGCTAGAAGGCTAGAAGCCAGGTGAAAATAGGCGAGCGGCATGGACCACCACAAGCTCGCTCATGCGGTGAGCCTGGCAGAGAACCGGATCTGGGTTTGTGATTGCTCGATCGTCTAAGTTATCTGCATGTCTGAAGGGACGCAGACAGGCGAGGCGAGGCGAGGCGAGCTGAATGGATATTGGAGAGGGAAGATGTGTGCTACCTGATAAGTTATGAGGGTGTAGTAACGGATGTAGGGGGTGGTATATCTGCAGCGGGAGGGCTTGGCGGGCAAAGGGCAAACCCCCAGAGCGGGCGCCGGCCGTGTGTCACCACCACATGGCGACAAGGGTGTCTATTTGCAGGTGTGTAAGACTAAGTACGTACTGGTATACTTGCCACTCGGGTTGGTTGGCACGTATTCCCGAAGAGGCTGAACCGCGTAGCGATACGACGGTTGTTGATAGGTTGGTCTGCCATACCGCTCATCAGGAGCATCGATCCGTCCATCGCGCGTTGAGTCGCACTATACTATCCGCATTGGATATCTACCGTGCCTTATGGACTGGTGTTGGAAATGCCCGGGCGGTCTGCGTGTAAGACTTACTCTGATTATGCGCAGATGGAGTGCCGGGAAGAACATGAAGGCAGAGAAGAGACGAGACGGATCCTGCAAGTAATAGGCCCGGTATCACCAGGTGGCAAATGTATATATGTCGTGCTCCCACCACATCGAATACGGAGACGCGTGGAAGGATGCGAGGCACTGCTGTCTTGGACTACTATCATCTTTGTAGTATAAGTATGTGCAATGCCCGATCCGACCAATGCATGACTTGGCATCCACAAGTCCGGGTTCGCATTGAATTAACACTCGCGATGGAATGCCCCGTTCGTCCGCTGTTGTACTCCCACCCTTAAATAAACCTCCTCAAAAGATGAGAGATGCCGGGGCCGGAAAGGCGGTGGAGAGTTCGGACGGGTGGGTGGTATCAAGCGGTCATTGCCTCCGTTGGGGGCAGCTGGAGGTCGCACGACTTGCACGTGCAGCTTGTTGGTCTCTTTGCGGCGGGTGGTGGTATTGTCAGCTTGACGTTTTGGGTTCACTCGCACTTTACACAGCTGCGTGGCTTTTTATAGGTAAACTCTTCTTCCGGCCGCAAATGGTCCTGGGCGATGCACGAGCGCCGAAAGGGGAAGATGGAGGGCGGCACGATGCCGTCCTATTTCCGTATCCTGTCCACTGGTGCCGCCGGGGTTGGAGGGAGGGAGCAATAAACATGTGCAAGTGGTTCGGTGCATCATGTCATACCTCGTCACCAACAAGTTGCAACATCGTACATCGCTGTACGCATGTCCGGGCTCAGCCGATATTTCGTCAGCAAATGCAACATGGAAATGACGGCTTCTATTGTCGGCATATAACGCCAACGCCGTACAGGTTTCAATAGCGGTGTTATCTGGCAAGATGGGCAATCAGGCTAGGAAGCAACTTATCACGCCGATCGGTAACGGCGTGGTGCGCATCTGCCGAAATAGTAATACTAGCATGCGCTTGATGAAAATAATTGGAGCCGACATTCCCTCGATCAAAGTCGACCTGAAGGCTGACAAGATCTCGTCGCATGTTTGGTCGCACAAGCTGACGACTTATAGGTTAGACATAGGCCAATGACAGCGAGAACTGCACTGCTTACTCACCGCATTGGCGAGGCCCCGAGAACGTTCACCGTCTCATCCTCTCGGCTAGTTCTAGACCAGGTGATGTATGGGAGTCTCGTTCAACGGGTAGCTGGATAACTAATTGTATCCAAGCGAGATAGTCTAGATAGACCGTTGACGATGATCATTGATAGGTGCTGGGCGACCTTCATTCGAATCATTGATGGCCTATCGACCCGTGCTCGGATCCAACACGAGTTCGTAAAACCATATCGACCTGAAGTAACAATAAGCTCTGGCCCCTTCCGCCGTCGGTCCTTATTAGTAGGCAGTATTGAATCCTCTCGGATCCCACGGCCGCACTCAGCCAGGTCTGAGGTCATACCTCTAATTACCGGGCTAATATGGCGGCTCGTCCACTACATGTAGATAGATAGATATATGCCTTGGATATATATATCAAATCATCTTGTTCCAGGGTTTTGTGAACGCCATCTACTAGCCTGTCTCACCCAACGTAGGGTGGTCGATCATCAAACTTGGCGTATGAATCTCCCTCTTCCTTTTGGCGTTTTGGCGCATGCATGTGGTTCGTGAGCAAAAAGTCTCTATCAAGCAGTCAAGGTGATTCTCCACACGCCCACCACGTACCGACATGGAGTATTGACCCAACATTTGCAGATCTACGGGTTATCGCGATGTTATCCCGGACTTCCACGACCACACAATAAGGTAATAATAAATAAACACTTGAACAGACAAGCTAAAATTCGGCCCATTGTTACGCTGCCCACTTATTGTTATCTCATTCGGAATCGATACCTGACTACCAAGTTGTCCAACTCAGCTAGTCCCATCCCTAATACCTTACTGCATACTAAGGTACTACACACACCTCTCCCTGGCACTGCAAGTCTGCAACCATTGTCATGCTTTATATCCCAGAATCCACCTTTAACTCGATCCTTCAAGCAAGTCAGACATTCGGTGAGGAAAAGCAGCGAGTGTCGGAGCTACCGGTACCTTGGCGGATCGAGAGCTCGCAGTGACCAACACGCACACCCCACGACCAGTCTCCTGCCTTTTCAGGTATCCCTGGATAAGAAGCAACCGACTGCCGACAAGGACGAACGAAACGGACGGACGGACGTCGAGCAGAGGACCCGGTTATCAGGAGTTTGTTCTCCTTCGGCTGATTTCGGTATCGCGGGTTTGGACCCTGAACGCTGAGGGCGGTTGGAGAGGAAAAGGCGGGAACCTCGCCAGAGTCGGCTGATTCGTCAGCGAGTAAACGAGCGGAACGAGCAAACGAACTTGAAGCAAAGCAAAGCCTCTCTCCTCACTGGTCGTTGAAGCTGAAGTGGTTCCGCCCCTAGAACGACTAGAGCGGCGCGCAGCCCCCCTACTACTGCCCCTCTGCGACCCCTAGAGACGACCCCTACAACCCCTACAACCCCTACGGCCCCTACCTAGGTACGCCAGCCCGCTCCGGAATAGATTCGTGCGCTACACCCGCTACACCTGCACATGCTAGGCACACCCGGGCCTTTTCACCAACATTGAGTCTCAGCACCTGGGCAGTGAGCGCAGCACCCGGATTCACCCTTGATGTGTGCACGTCGAGGCGGCGGCATCCCCATAACAGCATAACAGCCTCCATCATCATCAGCTCAATCAATCTGCATCTGCATCTGCACCGGATTCTCATCAAGCAACGCCTCCCTTTGCCTTTTGCCTTTTGCCTTTTGCCCATCTGTCGGTCCCATCGGATTTCAAGTACATACAAGCTTGCAAGCGACCCGACCGCCGCCTTCTCACTCCGTTTGGTACATACAGTCGGAAGAAGCAGACAACATAGACGACCGCTGCACAAGTGGGACATTCGACGTTCGACATTTGAGATTCATCAACTTCGAGCCCGTTCCTCTTCCCCTCACCACCTGCGAGCTGGAGGATGCACCACTCAACACCCGCACCCGCGCACCACATCTACTACTACTACCGGAGGTAGACGGACGAGTACCTGCAACCTCCAATAATTATTGGCCACTCTCTTCAGTTGTCCCCCATGCGCACATCTGATCTTCTCCTCCAAACAAATCCGATCAGCTCACCTTACGACCACCACCTGCGCACCCCTCAACTACCTACCCACCCGACCTCATACCTACTCCGACCTAGAGGTACACACCTCAAGTTCTCAACCTGCCTTAACTTCTACTGCGTCGATCAACCACGCGAAAGCGCAGCCGGACCCGAGTAACGAAACGATAACGAGGAGTCCTTCGTGCAAACTCTACTCTGGCACGCGCCCCGCGACCTGCACGAGCGAGCAGCAGGATCACGACAGTGGCTGACATCATTTTGTTGTTCACGGCGTGATCCAAAATGTCAGCTTCGGAGGGTGGTTTTGACCTGCTTCGGCGGGCGACGCAGGCGATGATGTCAAAGTGAGTTCAATCCGTCCAGTCCTGTTCCCAATCCCAGTCGCACACACAACACAGCCCGTTCGCCCTCCCAAGCCCCAGTGCGCGCGTCTTGCCTTGCCTTGCCCTTCCACACTCTCGACGCGCATGTGACAAGTAGCATCGCAGTTCTTATTACTTTTCTTGCCCGTTCCCCTTCAGCCGTTATTCGCCTTCGGTTGTCCAGAGTTGGACCCTTAGCAGCTAGCGGCCCAGTTGGGAACTTGGCCGCTGGACATGGGATGGCCCAGCCCAGCCCAGCCTACAGCCCACCTGCCCACCTGCCCCCCAGCTTGAGTCGTGGGCCGCCGTGGCGAGGGGTATTTGATGGGACCATGCCACCATGCCCACCATGCCCACCATGCCCACCACGCCCACCATGCCACCATTGGACCATGCGCAAGGTACTTGGATCCATTACCCAGCCAGCCTGCAGTGGATCTACCTATCGACACAGACAGCCACAGACCACAGACCCCTACACATGGTGTCACAAGTCAGAGCACCGCCGGATGAGGCTCGTCGCCCCGAGTCAGCCAGAGCAAGAACCACGACGGCCGCAGTCAGCCGTATTCCATTCATCCACCACCACCGTCGTCATGACTTCCAGCCAGCCACTGCCGCTGCCACTGCCGCTACTCCCACAACGGCCGTCGTCTCAACAGCCAGCAGTAACATAACCGGCTCACTTCGGGTTCACCTGCGTTTCACTACCACTCAGCTACCGCCACCGCCTAGCTTACACCTTTACCACCGGTGTTGGCGCTCATCGGCGCACCAACAGTCCAACACATCAGCGCATCAATACTTCGCTGGGCAGTGCTCCGTTGAGCACCGGCTTGGGATGCGACGCGGGGTCCAGCGGTCCAGGGTTCCAGTGTTCCTTCCAGTGGCCAGTGGTCCAGCTCGGGCTTGCCTATCTCTGGTCCCTATCGAGCGTCCGGGTTCGGTTGAGGCCTGACTCGCCAGACGACGGTCCGAAGAGCAGCCCAATGTACTGGGTCTGCGCTACGGTCACCCCTCCTTCCTCCTTCCACGACAATCGAGCTCCCATCTCCAACGCCCGTCGCCCCCACTTGCACTCCCCTCTCCCACATGGCGAGTGTCATGGATGGCGCCCGCCCTGAGGCGAGCATGGGTCTCGACGAGGATAACTCGTGAAATTTTTGTCCCTGTTTTCTCGCCTAATACCTCGTCACAACCTATCTTACCTTACCTCCCGCGCATTGCAGCTCGCAGTGTTTCTTTGGTCGCAAATGTCATCGGCAGCTTGATCTCACTCGCGCGCGGCAATCTGGAATTGTCTTTGAAATGCCAATTTTCAAGAACCATCCCCACGAATCCTTGAGACTTCGTTCGCAGTCGAACCATGACATATGCCTTCTTCACATGTTGATACTTTCCCTCTTGTTCAATTATCTTCCTATCACACTCTATTCATCACTTGACCTTTCGCTCACAACCTCACGATGGCCGACATTAACAAACCAAGCAGGACTTCGCCGGCAGAGGAAGATGGATCTACCGGTCAGTTAGGCTATGAGAGCCCGCAATCCGGCATCGCCACACCTCAGCCCGACCTCAAGGACAAACGACTGCCTGGTATCATGAGCTACTTTGGCCAGGTTCGTTCCACCTCTTCAGCGTTGTTGTGTCGTTCTACCTCTTCAACCCGAGCACCGGACACTGAGAAGTCACTTTCTATCTCGCCTCAGGAAGAGAAGGAGACAGGAGCACTTCCACAGCAATTTCCTACCCCAGGCCTGAGCCCAGACAAGGACTCCACGCCCGAGGTTTCGCCTCTCCTACCTCATGAGAGAGTGGAACCCTCGGAAAAAGTGCAGTCTGATCAAGAGAAGGCCCCAGAAATCAATCCCTACCCCACACCTCCTTGCTCGAAAGAACCATCCGTAAGAGGAGTCGATTCGAGCGATGCGAGTGGTGATTCGGTACCGGGCACTGCTGGTGCATGCTCGCAGCGGCCCTCGCTAGACATGACTGGGACGAGCAAACCGACTCCCCCGCCCATGAAGGTTCGGAGAGCCACTCTAGCCTCCCCTCTCACGAGCCTCGTTACTACGAATAGCGTTCATGCGAGGGATCTCTCCAAACCCAGTGGCCGTGCACTGTCATCAAGCTCACGCTCTCCTTCGGACCTTCTTCCCCTTCTACAAGGCGATTCTGCTAGTCTCTCTTGCAAGTCTGCTTCAATTGATCTGCTCAAGCAGCTAACAGATACTGGTACTGAAAAGAGCGGTCCTCCAACCCCAACACGAGCCCTCTCGACAGCCAAGCCATCTCAGGCCGAAACGAGATCGTCGTCGAAAACGAGCGGAGATGGCGGCGCGGACGAAGAAACAAGCGGTAGAGGAACCCCGGCTTCTTCCCAAGGCAGTACTAGCGCACCATCACAGAAGGGAAAGCTCACAATCAAGATTCTGGAGGCGAGAGGGCTCCGAAGGAGTCGCGATCCTTACGTTGTTGCCGTGTTCCAGAGAAGTGAGCTGATTTCGGCTGGACCACGAACTTTCGAGGATGAAGAGGAAGTGTCGCTTCCGACATCTGCCCACATGGGTGGGGTACCCATATCACGCCAGGATAGTGACTCGGGTCGTCCAATGGCGATACCCATGCGGAGTCGCCAAAGCAGTAATACCAGCACCTCAGAGTACAATACCTTTCGCAACCGCCCTCGAAGATCGTTCACGGCCCCGAAGTGGGATGCGGAGGCAGTCTTGTAAGTACCATTGGTCAAAACTGTGATCTGTGGTTGGCATTCGAACTAACAGAGCTAGTGACGTCGTTGAGTCAGATATGTTGGTCGGCATCTCAGTATACGATCACAGTGCGGCGGGCGAAGAGCTCCTAGGCCACGTCAATTTCCAAGCAGCTGTCCCCGGCAAAGACGAACCCGTACGAGGCTGGTTCGGATTAAAGGGCAATGCCGATACGACGATTGAGAAGGAGCCCACAGGCGAAATATTTGTTGAGGCATACTACCAGAAGGGAGAAAAGAGACATTTCGGCCCGGATGACTTCCAGATACTACGATTGATTGGCAAAGGTACCTTTGGTCAGGTCTATCAAGTGAGGAAGAAGGATTCTGGTCGAATATATGCCATGAAGGTTCTGTCCAAGAAAGTCATCGTGCAGAAGAAAGAGGTGGCACACACGGTCGGAGAACGAAACATCCTCGTACGGACAGCCATGTCAGACTCGGCGTTCATTGTCGGCCTGAAGTTCTCGTTCCAGACGGCAAGTGATCTCTTTTTGATCACGGACTACATGTCTGGCGGCGAACTCTTCTGGCACCTGCAGAAAGAGGGACGGTTCGACGAGAAGCGAGCCAAGTTCTACATCGCTGAGCTCATTCTGGCCATCCAGCATCTCCACCACAACGACATCGTTTACCGCGATCTGAAACCCGAGAATATCCTTCTTGACGCCAACGGCCACATAGCCTTGTGCGATTTCGGGTTATCCAAGGCCAACCTGACCAAGAACGACACGACCAATACGTTTTGCGGCACAACAGAGTACCTAGCTCCGGAGGTGCTCCTGGACGAGTCTGGCTATACCAAGATGGTTGATTTCTGGTCGCTCGGCGTGCTCGTGTTCGAGATGTGTTGTGGCTGGAGCCCTTTCTACGCCGAAGATACGCAGCAGATGTATAAGAACATTGCTTTTGGCAAGGTTCGGTTTCCCCGGGATACACTCTCTCAGGAAGGTAGGAATTTCGTGAAGGGATTGTTGAACCGAAACCCAAAGCATCGTCTGGGCGCCGTCGAAGACGCAGAGGAGCTGAAACGTCACCCATTCTTCGCCGATGTCAACTGGGACATTCTGTCCAAGAAGCTCATCACACCGCCATTCAAGCCGAAGTTGAAGTCGGAGACGGACGTGTCATACTTTGACCCTGAATTCACGAACGCTCTGAACACTAACGGGTCGTTGAACGAGCGGGCTCAGCAGTTGGCCACCGGCTTCGGTGCGTCATCAACACCGTTATCGCCTACCACGCAAGCAAATTTTAAGGGATTTACATTCGTGGACGAGAATTCGTTGGACGAGCACATGAGAGGACGATACGACGACGACGACATGAGTGACGCAGAGCGCCGAGATAACGACTGGGACGATCTCGAAGATCTCGACCTCCGAAGGGCAAACCGGATGAGTGGCATCGTCGAGACAGGTGGACAAGGCCAGCCTGGCGGAGAGCCATTCCAGCAATTTGACATGTGACGTGGCCTCGTCTCTTTGTTTGAGCATAGGAGCGAGTAATCATTTTGCATACTCGCACCGCAGCATTAAGATCATTTCCCATTTTCGCAAGGAAATTGTATCCAGATGGCATCATTGCATAGGGTGGTAGTTTATTTGCATGCGCAATGGCTGGCGGAGCATTGCAGCTGGCCGGCAGAAGGGGCGTTCGGCTGTTGCTGATCCTGGCACATACATACATTGCAGATGGCTATTCGAGCCACATACTATATCATAACCGAGAAGCGTTCTGGAAGCTCCAACACACCACCGGTTGCGAGGTCCCTTCTGCCTATTGCCGTCTTGGGGGAATCCACAACGCGGGCGCTTGGAACTGACATGATCCTATCATCAGCTCGCAAGAAGGCGGTATGAACGTCTTTGCTTTGCTTATTTGCGACGCCGCCGGAAGAGGCTACGCACACCACATTCACGTCCTGTGACTTCGACAGGTCTTGATACACGGGGCTGATGCTGTAACATCAGCGTTGGAGAGGTGAACAATTGTCGCCGTATCGGAATACTCCATTCGGTCTATCCCAGTTCCTGAATTGGGTCAGCAGCGAAGTTTGGATCCTTGTCTGTCGTGATAATACGCCGCACGCAGATGGGATTCCTCACATCAGCTACTAACTATTCGCATACGCACTTCTACTGGTAATAAGGGTCAGGTAGATGAATGAGAATTACAAACTGAAGCAAATGCAATCGTGCTGTCTGTGACACCGCATGTGACGTGATATCCGTGAGACGGTGGTCCTCGGCGGGTGTAATCCATGTGGTATTAACTTCTTAGGTTTGAGACGGACATTCATTGCCTAGAATCTGTTTGCGGCGGTAAGCAGGCTGCGGGTGTGCTCTGCCGCGGTGGTCTGACCAATTCCAGCCTTGCCGCCATTCAATCTGCCTTGGGGGGCTCATCGGCCATGCCTAGATACTCAGCCTCCCTCTTACCTAGCAACAGGTGCGAGACAAAGCAGATGCAAACATTTCTCGACCTATTCTGAGGCGTGAAGCTGCCCGGAGAAGAGCAGCGCGTGGAACGTCGATCGTCCGTGGTCAGGATCTCGACATGATCACAACGGAAGAGCAGCATCAACCATGCCTCGACGGAGACCGCAAGTGGCCCTTTACAAGCCTCTGATGCCGTTGCAGATCCGGCTTCTCAAGCTATTGCCGCTACGCAACGGAGAAACTCCCGACTCACGGATAAGATGCTCTATGTTCACCACGCACATCAGCGCTCTAGGCTCGAGAATACAATATGAAGCCATTTCGTACGCTTGGGGCAAATCCAGACGACACTGTCGATATCACGATAAACGGTCTACCACTCAGCATCACAAAGAATCTTCACGAGGCTCTTGCGATTTTCCGTGAGCACGAAGACTTCGAGCTATATCTGTGGGCGGATGCGATATGCATTAACCAAGCCGATAAAGCGGAGCGGAGTTACCAGGTCACGCTCATGAAGCAGATCTACAGCTTAGCGAGCTGTGTTGTAGTTTGGCTGGGCGAAGCTATCTCGGGTGTCGAGGAACTGTTCCAGATCTTCCGCGATGGGTGTACCGACCACCTTCGAGGTAGCGTCGCGCGGACGCATAAGGACGATATGGTGGCAGCAGTCTGTGATCCCGGGACCAAACTGCGGGCTCTTGAAAGTGTCCTCCGGTCCCCATGGTGGTATCGACTGTGGGTCGTGCAAGAAATTGGTCTGGCACCCATAGCTCATGCCTATTGCGGCCCTGCCAGTATCGCATTATGGCATATAAGGAAAGGACTGAGATCGATCTTGAACAGGGCTGTTGTCAACCATGATTTATTTCGACACTGCCCCTCACTGAATGATTTCTCCATCGCAAGTCTGCAAGCAATCCGCGTCCTCTCATACACCATGATCGAAGCCTACCACATCGAACAGGAGCGTCACAGGATTGCCGGAAGCGATGCAGCTACGATTATAAGATGGCTGGCTTCAGTCTCAAGACGTCAGACCTCGGATCAGCGCGACCGGATTTATGGGATCATTGGCCTCTTTCCGTCGAATCTCGGTCTCATCCCAGACTATAGCGCAGGTCTAGCAGAAGTCTATGAAAAGGGAACTGTAGGCTTTTTTAAGCACTTGCACTCGCCAGCTGCGCTTGTGATGGCAGGCTTACAGAACCGAGAGGCGTTTAAGGCTCCGTCATGGGTGCCTCATTTCGGCCGTTGGGGGTTTTCGCCCAATGAGGCTAAGGCTTGTGACGGAGGCCTCTATCCGCCGCAAAAGAGGTCGTTTGTCTACAATCAGCCAGGGCGGTTGACACTTTACGCGGCGTTCATAGACACAATATCTTGGGCAGGATCTTGCTTTGACTGGAGGTACGATACAGTGAGAGATATGCTTCGGCAGTGGCGGAGTCATTGTGATTCTTCTGGGTCGGTTGAAAGAAAGCCAACTATGATTCGCAGGTTCTGGGATGCTGCCATAGGACCATCAGAGACTTTCTGGCGGAGATTGCTGTCTACAACTGTATCAGACACCACCGACGCCACGGCGATGCCGATGCTCGATGCTTGGCTATATGCCGACGACCTAGATGTACCGTCGCAATGGATGTCCGAACTTTCGACCCAAGTGGTAGGCCGGATACAGCGACGCTGACTCTTCGAGACCGCGAAACATGGACTCGGTGCGGTGCCATATCATTCCCCTTTGCCAGGCGACATTGTTGCAGTGATTGCGAAGGTCCCACAGCCCGTGATCTTGAGGCCTGTGGCGCATGCGGGTGTCAACGCTTACCAGCTCGTGCGTGTTTGCTCCTATTGCGAAGGTAAGGGACCAGGTTGCGGCAATTTGGTGAGCAAGGCTGACTGTAATTGCTTAGGTATCATGTACGGCGAGGCCGTCCGCGAAGCAGCCTTGGCCCGGAACGGCAATGAAACGAACAGGGACGGTGTCTTCCAGGAAATCGTGCTCGTTTGAATTGGGTGCTATGCAACTCCTCCTGGGCTCCTCATGACGTCGCGAGCTGTGAATGCAGCGACTTCCACTTTCGCTGTTCAAGGATGAGTCACAACTTCATTCGAGGGCTTTTATGCAGCTGAAAACACTTGTCTGCAAGATGCAACATATACAAAACCTCAGTCCTTCTGCTCTTCGCGAGCGCACTCACCACCGTCAAGATCAAGATGGCGGAAGAGAGCTCGCCAGGCGGCTTTACCAAGTAGGGAAGAAGGTAGTTGAAAAGAGCACCGAGAGGCCGAGAGCGGTGACAATGGAACTAGATCCTTTCCTTGCGAGGTACAGTCTTCGTTATTAGTGGGTTATTAGTTTGGTACACAGTTCAGCGGCTCGAACTTTTCTGCTTCACTTGGCTAAAGGGGCGTATAGGTTCAGTACCCACTTACTCTTGTTCCCTGTTTTACAACTACGTAAGGTAGACAGGGCCAAGGGCTCAGAGATAGACAGTCATTGATCCTGAATCAGCACAGCACAAGGCCATCATCCACTGGCCTTTAGTGTTAGATGGGCTCGTGCTCATTATCCCACAAACCTTGACTGTTATAATCTGTAGGTAGATAGTATACGATTCGAGGAGGCAAGATCTGAAAACCAACGTAACTCTTCGCCTGATACTCTAGCTAGCTGCGCAAGTGATTGTATATTGCTCGAAGGGCACGAGAGCTCATGGGCAAGTAGGAGAGTCGGGGAGCTTTGTCGACTCTTAAGGCTTCTTTCTCTTCTTCTAGGGCCCAGTGAAGGTTACCTAGGTGTGTAGATGCCGAACTCTCGCGTACCACGCGAAGGTTTTGCTGTTGTATCATGATCTCAGATGGCATGAGAAGAAAAGCTGGAATCGTTGTTTCAGTCATTCGTCATCAGATTAACTTGTGAGGAGCTCTCTCCACATGAGCTAGTTGTCTTCCTTTCCAGGCTCATGCCTTCAACGTGGCTGTATCGTGATGAAGAGTTGAGTTGCATGTGGCACTGAGCCAGCTCGCCAACAGGTTTAGTCTAAAGAGGCGGATATTCCCATAGTGTAGTAAGACGGAATGCAGGATCTTTGTTGGTTCGGCACCAGCAGTACCATAGGCGTAATATACACGGATTACTCCCCTTGTACACAGACAAGCATCCACACAGGCATTTCGTTGGTCGATGTTTGTTCGATAGCCTTATCCCCATAGCGGACTTTCTCTCTCCCCTCTGCGTCTCTCTCTCTCTCTCTCTCTCTCTCTCTCTCTCTCTCTCTCTCTCTCTCTCTCTCTCTGCGTCTACCCATATCGTGGACCCTCCTTCACCGTATCATCGCCAGGTATTGCATCTGTACTTCACTCATTTCCAATGTTTAGTGAGCCGCGGTCTCCTCCTCTTCCTCCTCGACCAGCCAATCCAAGACTTCAGCGGGTGTCGAGCCTGGGGTGGCGCCCTCGTTGCCCTCGACCTCGACGGCCATGCTCTCGTACTCCTTCAGGCTGTTGGCGAGGTCGGTCTCTTCGGGCGACTTGGGGGCCTTGGGTGCGCTGAAGGTCTGGACCTGGCCGACGCTGTCCGAGTCCTTGATCGGGGTCGGCTTGTAGGCCTTGAGCTCCTTAAGGTAGAGTTCCTGTACGAAGTCGGCTGCGCGGGAGAAGTGAGATGTTAGCTTGGTCGTATGTCTGGCTGGGTACGGGAAATGCATATGGGCAATCTGTGCAATGGCGTAAGAGGAACAGAGCCCCTCGAGGTATCGTCCTGTGTATGTATCATCGGCTTCGCGTTGCCATTGTGTCGTGACTAGCCCAGCCCGGAGTCTTTCCCAATTGCCAGCTCCGCCACCTCGACCTTTGAACGAGCAACCAGATGACCTGCCCGATAGACGAATATAGGAGATATCGAGCTTACCTCGTCGCGACACGGTAGGGGCGATGAATCCTCTGACGGCGTTGACTCTCGCCATGCGGGTGATGGCCGAGAGGGCCGATCGGGCAGTCTGCAAAAGCGCTTTCAGTCAGTACCGCAACTCCCTCACAGAACGAGTCCATCCATCGGGCGTCTAAGGCGACTCACCGAAGCTTTCAATTGGACCAGCATTTTGGACAGGTGATTTCGGAGATGCCCAACTGGGGGGTTTGGGAGATGGAGGTTGGTTGGTGAGCGGTGATGTCGATGATTCTGGGCCAGAGGTTGCGTGGATTTTTCGCTCGACTGGCTGGCTTCGCGGGCGTTTCGATTGTTCCAATCAAATCCGATCAATGGCACTGAAGCTTGGACCACTCCCCTACCTTTGTCGGTCGAGAAGCTGCGGACAATTGTGGCGGGTCCCGGGTCACGGGTCACGTGCATAGCTCAGGACCTCCTGATATTGCATCTTTCCTAGGAAACTCGGATATTCGAATATGTATGCTTCTTTCTATCTCAGACCAGCCTGTGCCTTTTGGTAGCTTTCCCAGATGCTGATAAATCACAAGTCTTGTTGTAATCTATCAGTGGTCTGGGTGGTGCTTCATTAAAAGGTCGGATGGAAAGGATTCCATCCGAGATGTATCTAAATACCTAAATTACAGTGGTGAGGTACCTGGGGCAACAAAGGGTTGCCAGGCAGCCTTCATTAGGTAACCTCCAACATATCTGGTGGGGTTACCAGAATACTCCATATAGGTCCATGCACTGGATCCACAAGCCTGCCTGCCTGTTCTGCTGTTCACAATATCTTGTCACCAGCACGGAGCAGCTCCAAACACAGACAATTTGGCGACTCATACTCTCTTCTGAGTACAGCATGGCAGTGTTTCAGAGTCTCGCGATGAGTACCTACTCAGTCATCGTCCTAAGCTCTACAGCACACCCTGAGGATACCTTGAGGGCTTTTGGGGGTCGAGCGTCTGGCTTAGAGCAACCCGCAAGATACGTGTTTCGTGAGTGAGCACGATTTATTATGCCTCGATACGTGCTTGACGCCCAAGTCTATGCCGGCACTTGGCTAAAGGGATCAAAACATGCTCAACAAGATGCCGGACTAAAGTCTAACGCGTCAAAATCAGTTCCTCACTAATCCTGCCGCCAAAGAGCTTTACTTTAACTACCACTCACACCGCATCAGAACCTCACTCACACCAGGACCTCCCTCCCCACCCACCTATCACTTTTCCCTCGACGACACCGCTTGCTGGCATCCTTGCGCTATTCGAGATGCCCTGCCAGCCCTGCTTTCTCGGATTGCCTCGGGAGGTTCGAGATGGCATATACGGGCTGGTTCCTCTGGCGCAGTGTCAGGCCGCTTCTGCACCTCCTGCACCTCCTGCACCCTCTTCTTCTTCGGAGCTAATACGACGCGCAAACACTATATTCCACCACAGAGTTGAACCCTACGATATTAGCGATCCGGCAGAGCACTTGTACGCGTTCAGTGTATCCGACGCCCAGCCTTTAGTCAACCCGGCCTTGTCGTTACTGCTGGTCAATCACCAAGTCCATCATGAGACAAAACAGGCGCTGGATTGGATGGCAAAGAAGCCCCAGGATCTGTACCTGGACGTTATATTTTGCAAAGCCACAGACTGTTTGTGGGCAACCTGGCTGTCGGTGCCTTGCCTCGCATCTCGCTACCGCAACTTTTACGTCAAAGTCCGCCACTTTGATCAACATGAGTTGTTGGGGTCCGAGGCGCAGGAAACGGACTCGTCCCATACATCGCATGAGGGGCGGATATTGACCAAACTGCTCAGCGGCGCTCTGTGCACATATTTGCAAGGGGGAACGTTGGCTCATGGCAGACCGGCCAGCGACTCGGCAGGCTTCACGGCAGAGCATCTGCTGCTGGATTTCTTCCCTAACCCACACGAAGACACCGAGGATGACGAAGACACTGGGGATGACGAAGAAACTGTGGATGACGAAGTCACTGAGGATTGGGGCGTGATCGACTATGCGCTCGATTTCATGTGGGAGTTGGGGTGGTTCACAAGGCCTATTGCAGCTGTTACGCCGTTTTACGAGCGGATAGGAAACATCCGGTCTGTGGGTAATGGAGCCCAATTCCAATTGCAACGGTTCGATCTAAGCTACAATCTCGGACGTTATTTCAACCAGCCGAACCCAGACTCGGATATAGATCCGATCAAGTGGAGAGATGCCACAATCCGGAAACGACAAGAAGCAGGTTTACCTACCGAGGCTGTGAGGCCTGTTGCCCACGAGTGATGAACGTCGTGTTCATGGAACGGGAAGTGGGAAACGGGAAGTGGGAAACGGGGTTTGCGTTACATAATGACCAAGGGCAACAAGAATTTCGACACGTTTACTGGCCAAGCACAATGCCCGACGATGAGGACCTCTGGAGCGAACTTATACCTGAAGCCACCATACCTAATCCAGCAGAAACCGAAAAGGGGCCATGAAGCTTGTGAAATTTCAGTCTGTTGTCATAAATATAATAAGTATATCAATATAAATAACCATTAATTCCCGATATACCCCCCTGGCCCTGTGCATTACGAACCCTTCCGCGCTTCATCCCCTCGAGCCGCCGCCCCCGCCGCCCGTCTTCTCTTCATGACTCCAAACAACGCGCCCCCGATATAGATCACGGAGACGACGGCCGCGACGATCGAGTACGCGATGACGAGGCGGTTGCTCTCGTCCGCGAGCCGCAGCCCCAGGCCGCCGTTGATTATGCCCATCAACATCAGGACGCGTCCGTACCATATGTGCGCGTGCGACACCAGGCCCCGACGCTGGTGCTTCATGTAGTACAAATGGTGCAGGTAGCCGCCGATGGGCTGGATGGCGAAGAGTGCCACGATGGCGGTGCCGAATCTCTGGTGGGAGGAGTTGAAGTCCTGTTGGGAGAATTTGTCAGTTTCATGATGCGGTTTGGCAGCTGCTGGACGTGAGGGACGGGAGAGGGTAGGCGTGCTGTAAGGAATTGTATAGGGGCTCGGGGGGCCGGAGGTCGGGAGTCAAACTCACAAGTCCAGTACGGTGCGCAAGCACGACACCGAGCGCGAAGCCCGCCCACATGGCCAAGAAGGCCACCATCTGCCACGCAGCATGTAGAACCCACGAGACGCCAAACAGCGGCATCAGCACCGCGCCCAGTGGGTACAGGATCACCATGACGAGCGCCATGAGGATCCCATGCGCCGACGTGATGGTGGGGATTTGCCGCACGTACCACGGCGCGGCTGCAGCCGGCGATGCCCCCGACCCAGGCCCGGCGCTCGTATCCACATCTGCATCCGGATCGGAGCTGCTCCCGCCACTGTTGCCGCTGCCGCTGCCGCTGCCCCCCGTGGCGGCGGCAACAAAGGGATTCACATCATTCGCAACCGCGGCCTGCGTCAGGTCGAACGTCCAGCTATCGTGGGCGTCGTGGCGGCTGATCTGGACATCGACATCGCTGCTATCGAGCGAGGCGCCGCTCTTCCACGCGCCGATCCACGACGCCTGGCTGTCGGACAGCGACATGGAGCCGCCGGGCCAGGTGCGGCAGTTGGCACACCGCACGTTGGCCAGCATGGTGGCGCCGTCGGCGGACACGCCGCTGCCGGCCAGCAGCTCGAGTTTTGTTTCGGCGTTGCTCTCGGGCGGGACGTGGCCCGTCCCTGTGCGCGGCGAAACCGTCACTGCGTGTACGTTAACATCCTGTCCTTAAACCCGTACTGCCATCTTCTAGATGAAGAAGGAAAGAGAACAACAAAGCTTGTTCTCGAAGACAAGGCTCAGGGTCTTGGAATGGGATGTTTTTATACGTACCGTTGCCGGTGCCGTCGGTGTACAGCACGAATATGTTAGAGCCGGACATCTGCGTGCCCTGGCCCAGCGCCACCCAGGCGTAGGATGTGGGCGCCTGCAGCTGCAGGTAGATGTTGCCGCTGTCCGAGGCGGCCGAGGCGGCGGGCACGCCCACCCGGTAGCAGACGCCGTCGATGGGGCAGTGTTGCACCGTGTTGTCGGCGGCGACTGCTGCGAGGGCGCTGTATGTGAGCGCGGCTGTGGGGAAGTAGTGTCAGCTGTGTGGACAGTTTTGAGCTCGTTATTGCGGATTCGATAAGTTTGATTTCGGGATAGGGGTAGGAGTGAGTGAATGAGGTGACGAGACGTCGCAAGTCGTGGTGAGCTTGATCGCTTGCTTGGGGCAGGGTCCGACTTACACAGCGCTGCCGAGGCTAGTAGTGAATGCATCTCGACTGCTTTCCTAGATGGTTATTGGACGTGTATAGAGGTCGCAAAAAATATCGCCCAAGTTCCCAACAACGTTGGCTGCTGCAAAAGCGTCTCAAGGAAAGCGAGGTGCAAGTGACGAAGACAAGACCACCGTCGAATATTGCTCGCGCGCTGCTGCTGTTGTTATTGTGGTATGTCTTGTAGGTAATCTCTCTCAAGCGTCACGAGGATTCCAGCCAGTCCAGCGCGATCGAGACCGGAGCTTGTGACAGCCGCAAGATGAGACCTTGTTGTCTTGTCTGGTCTCGGGTCTCTGTAGATGATCACCCCAAGGGGCTAGCAGGCGCCAAGCTTGAAGCCGCTTTTGGCTCGTTGAAGTAACGCTTCCCCGGATGGGCGAGCTTCCAGCCGTTAGGTTGTACCGTACGTAATGTGCGTTGATGTACGTAATGGCGTTCAATCCAAGAACGGGCTTAGAAGTTGTGAGTTATGTTTTTTCGGGTTTGTTTTTGTTTTGCTGCGCCTTGTTGCTTGTGTGAGATTGGTGAGTGTGAGTTGGGGGACACACTGGCGAGGACGAGGATGATGAAGACGTGAATGGTGTGTAGATTCGTGCAACGATTTGGTGCCCGTATGTGACGAGATGGGAGGATGGACTAACCCTATTCCTTTATGACTATCTGTATACTTGCTTGAGTGGGATTGCCGTTGAATGAAGGGGATTATAACCCGGCTTCAGATAGACGTCAGAATCGGTGCTGCAGGATTGAGGAATACTAATCCCTATTCGTGCTCAAAAGGCACCCTCACCGGCTTGGGCAGGCAGGAGCAACGTCTCTAATAATATATGAGGGACTAGAGCGTCAATCCCATGTTTCGGGATCTCTGGGATGGGCTTGGCATCGGTTGCTGAGCCTATACCGTGGATGCTGCGGACAGGGACTCTCATACATAGAGATACGATACGGCCTGATTTGTCACGGCTCTACTTTATTTGAGAGTAAATGGAAGTAACGGCGTCTAGCCCTGCGGCCGTCGGCATGGTTATACGATGGGTAGCAGCGATTAACCCTTGGGCAGCGGTATGGACTCATTATTAAGGAGGCTGGCGGTCGTGTCTGTCACACCCATCGACAACTGTAGCATGCAGTCTCTCTGTAGTCTGTCGATCATCTTCGGGAGTCCAAGATTTTCCAAGGCTAGCCCTGACGGCCTCTTCGGGCTTGGCTCAGATACTGACTTTGGAGGCGGCTTGGCTACATCGTATTTGAGTGACGTGGACAAGCCAACTACCGGCGCCGATGGGGACGTGGGACAGACGGGCTGAACGACGATATCCGGGCGAGGACAGCTGCAGTGCACTGGCTGCTTTGAAACACAGCCACGACGATTTGACAGGTCGGATCTCTGGAGAGATCATCGATGTTGGCCGCGTTCTGTCAAGGGTCACGCGTGCTACCTACCTATCGATAATAAGTATCGCTTTGGGGATAGTTTCAACTATGGTCAAGAGCCGTCGATATGTGTGGAGGCTTCGGGTATATGGGGTACCGGTAGTGTGGGTGGAGAGCTGAGGACCTGGGGTTACGGATCACATCCCGCAGATAGGAGACGGATACAGCTGGTTCCTGGCAGCCAAGCCAAGCCTGGGGTCTATCAGCCTGTCAGCCAGTCAAGATGACGGCTCATACACTAGCAGACGCTTGCCTGCTGATGCCGGTACCAGACCAGCCGGCGCTGTCTTTTCCCCATTGTGGTTCATTTGTTGATTTGAGTGCCAAGTCCCAACTGCCAGCGCCGGTAACGCGAACACTGCCAAGGGATGGTCTGGACAAACGGACGTAATCTGTGCTGACTACCTTAGTGTTGTGTGTGCTCTTGGGCAATCTCATGACTGACTGTAACTTGGATCAGACGAATCTCACGGGGTGGGTTGCACTGATCTTGATGACATGGACCAAGAAGCGGCCGGCCGCCCGGTGTGGTGTCCCGTATCTGAGACATGCCGTCGTCGGCACTTGCTGCTTCATGCGGTGTAACGACCTCTGGCGATATGCTCTTTCAGGTTTGCCGGATAGTGGTATTCGTGGCACGCGTGGGTGACCTCTAGCCGTGCAGATAGATGGTGGTCAAGGTAGGAAGTTGCACAGACTCAGGTGCTGCATCCGAAAATAGAAGGCGCACTTAACCATAACTATTGGGGGTCGAGTTTCACATTCCCAGCGAGGTTTCTAGATTCATAAGCCTGGCAATCATCATCGACAAAACCAAGAATGATCAATCGTTTGTCAGCTCTTGGTAATAAGGAACACACTCGACGAGAAGGGTGTCCCCGGTCATCTGGGCGTTGTGCAGCATGGGCCGCGAGTCCTGGAGGAATGTCCTGATGCAGTCACTCTGTGCCTATCGTCGACGCCACTGACGGCAGCACCTCAACGGGTAGCATCAGTGGCAGATTGAGTGAGCCATTGTTCCTTTGGCGTAGACAATGCACCTACATAGTGAACCACCAGACCAAATTGCATTGAGAATGTGTGGTGAGAGGAAGAGACACCGAATGACAATCAATTATGTGATCCAGCCAGAAGGGAGGGATCCCAATCTGCTGCTGGCTAAGAAACTGGCTACCTAGGTACGGTGGTCATGTGACCGCCCCACAAATGGGCAGCATCAGTGGTAAGGTATGCAGTTCACCAGCAGCCTGTCTTATTAAGCAAGCATTCATCCTCAAGCTTGTACTTCACAATGCGGGATGACACAGCAACATGCCCAGCCACGGCCAGCGTTGATGGCGTGGGAGACGCGCGTCGGTACTCTAGCTTCGCGATAGCCTCTAACATCGACTGGAAAAGAAGGACGCCACGCCGGCGAGGCTGCTAGGTAGTAAGTATCTCAACTGCCTCGGGGGTTTCAAGTTGGGTCGACACCAAGAGTCCAAGACCTTTGCAGCCCGCCGCGGGCATGACAATCGTTGCGGCAGTGTGACACTGGCGGGAGGACCCCAGCAGCTACCAACAAGCCTTGGCAGAGGTCTTGTTATACAATTATCCCGCGGGCCGCCGGATCTGCCCCGTCCGGAGATGGGGACCCGGGACGCGCATTCTTCAATATCCATCTCATGCTATGGATTTGACAACGCAGTTACGTGAGGAGGCCGAGCTGGGCCACCTCCCGTTCAATATCTTCGTGTTGGTAGGATATCATCCAACAGCCTCCCGCCAAGCTCTGTCGCCAAGCTTAGCAAAGGAGTCGCGCTGATATGCCGAAGGAGAAATGGGACCTCTCGAGACCGGTTGAGCAAGACCAGGAACAATGGAACGCCCTGGCCCGCCAATGGCTCAGTCTCGACCATCGCGGTCGCCATGTACGCACACTCCCGACGGAAATTGGTGCAGTCATGCTGACCGACGCGCCGTCCGTCCGATCAGTCTTACCACCGCCTCGTCCAGCCAGGCGAGTCGGCGGCGACTGAGGACCAGATGCACCGCATCCTCACACGGCACCAGACCGTGCGCGAGAGAAACCTCTCGTTCTGGGTCCACAGCGGAAGAAACTCGCCCGTCTGGCTGCGAACTTGCTACCTGCCCGAGCTGGCCGTCGTGCACGCCGATTGGGCCGTCGGGCTCGAGGAGTGGCTGGGCGACCTGAGCCAGATAGATCCTCGACGACGAGGCTCTGTACGCACCCCTAGCCGAGGACTGGTCGCGCATCTTGCTTCGCGTGCCGGTCATTCCTGACACGGGGCGTTATTCTTACGGAGAAGAAGTCATTGAAGACCTCCACGACTTTGATGAACGCCCTGGTCCGGGGGAAGAGTTCAAGCTGCCGCTGTACGAAGCCGCGCTGAAAGAACGGACTATGCTGTACCTTATTGACGAAGAAGCCCTTCGAGAAAAACTTATCAAGATCCTCTGGCTGGATATACATGGATCCTGCGTGTGGGAAAATCGCCTGCGGCCCGATGAGAGGCTGGAGTTTAGAGGCCGCATGTTCGAGGGGGGTCTTTGGGTGACCTGTATGTGGAATGCTACAATCCTGACGATCCCATGTACAGAAAAGGTGCCGTTATCTACGTAGACTGATGGGAGTAGAGCTTACGCTGGTTGGCGGTGTTGTACCTAGCTATTCCAAAGCGGTATCTTCAGAGCTCACCGTTCAGGCTATAAACGCAACGACAGCAGGGTCCAAATTCAAACTTTGGACGATGCTGAGGAACTCGGTCCAGTGGCCAGAAATTCAATCCTCGGGGTTCGGACTGGCACTTGGCATCATTACACCTACCTTAGCGAAGGACAACCCCTTCAAAAACGTCCCATCCGAGGCCAGCAATAGACTAACCTAGATGACCCCGGGCCTGGATGTTATGCCAAGATACCATCGAGCCGATTGGCCCTCAGTGCTCACCCAGTATCTGGCTTTGTCGCCTGACACGTAGACCTTGGCTAAAGTAAGCCGGACACGACGGGACGGAGTGGCTACACGGCATCAACTCGGTCTACGAGAGAGATATACTCAAGGGAGCACTGAACACGAACCGCCGTCTAAACCCAGGTAGGTATGGCCTTACCAGACTGTCCGACTGCCTTCTGAGCCTGCTGAGCGGGATGACTCAGGGGTTTCCCACTCTCGCCCACAGACGATTTGTGAAAGCCCGAATCTGCTCTATCACGGTATATAGTCACCTTCAGAAACCATAGAAACATCGTCCGGACGTCGGTGTCATGCCATCAGAACTCCGTCTCATGCTTCACCGCAAACTGATACCTGTCCCCCTTTCAGTCATCGAAGTGCCCTGCTCGAATACCTATACAGTACCGTCGACATCCTCCACTGACTCCCGAAACCCAGGTAGGCAGAAAGCGAGTAAAAAATTACCCACCCATCTCCATGCTTAACTTCCTTCCATGCCTATTCCAAGCTTATTCCGAGCCGCTACCCTGCGCACGCAACCTCCCACCACACGCCTCAGAAGCACTTGCAAATCAAGGATAACGCCTCATCTACAGTACATACGAAAGCCGGGGGATCGATCCGTGCTCTCTTCTGCAGGCTCAGGTACGAAGATGGTCCGTGGTATGTATATGTATTATGATGTCACATCTCTTCCTTCGCCGTCGCAGACATCGACAAGGAAGCAAGCGGAAATCAGCAGAATATTCGGTCCCCTTCTTCCCCTGCTTCCCCGTCCAGGTCCCGTCCGCTCGGACCACGATCCCGCCGCAAGCATCCGAGCCGGAGCTGGCTGATCCCATCCGCGACCGGCTACGTAGGTACCTACCTAGATATTCTCGCCGAGTGCGGTCTACGGTGGCATACCATCCGCTCACTCATCAGCATGCGCTTCTTGGAGAGAACTCGACGGCCGGAGTTCTTCCCCTCGAGGGTTTCCGCCCTGTGCGGAAACAGAGACATACGGGTCCCGGTCGGCCGTCGACATGTAGCCGCCCGCACGCACCCATCTGAGTCGCAGGCACGTGGCTGTACCTTCGTCTCCAGCGCAAATCGCCTAACTGTGCTGTGATCCAAGAGTCCCAATGCCCAACTTGGCGTCTAATGTCCAGGGTCTACTAACTGTCAGTAATCAACTAATCCATCAATCATGAGACCGAGTCTGTGGAAGGGGTTGTCTTATGGTAGCGAACAATCAGGATGACCATGCCTTGCTGCTCCTGCGAGAAACGTACGCTATCTTGACAGCATCAGTCATTGCAGAATTTGGGCGAGACAGATAGGTAGAGGGAAACTGAGGAAATAAAGCGGACAGACAGCAAGGACTTTGTAATAACTATAAGCACATAACGTCGACCATTATAGATCTGCTGGCAGGATATGGTCATTATGGTCACTATCTCGGACGATAAAAGATGCATGCAGAGGACGAAATCTATCATCATTAGGTGTACGCCGCAAACGCCGGCTCCATGACTGGTAAATGACTGGCAAAACGCTCTAATGTCTAACCATAAGACGTGCCCTAAGCACAGGCTCCAAGACCTGTCTGTCTTCATACCCTATGTAAACCATTATTTCCCAACCGGACTCCATCGCTCATTGACTTAGGTACGAATCGTAGTCGCTGGCCGATACCGTCACTTTATCCAGTCCCGCGGCCCATTCCATCCGTGCCTCTGGTTCCGAACCCAGGACCACTAAGCCTCTGCCGTCATAAATCCATTATTCTCCAGTAAGCTGCTGGAAGCCACGTAGCTAAATCCGCCAAAGGGGTCTTCGTTAAAGCCATCAATTGGTGACAAACCGCTCCACCGGTCGTCCTTGCTGGTTCCAACCAGCGGGTCCAGGGAGAGCTCGGTGAATTCCGGCGCAAAGTTCTCGGCCAGTTCGGGATCCGTAATCATCGGCTGAATGGGCGGGTCCATCTCTCTGGCTTCAAGCTTCTTCCAGTCGATCTTCCGGAAGAATCTGTGCTTCTTCATCGCCTGAAGGTCCTTCGGCATGTGGAAGCCCAGGCGTTTGGTGGGGTCCTTCTTGAGCAGCCGAGCAAGCAGGTCCTTGGCATCGAGGCTCAAGAAGTACGGCATCGCCAGCTTCTGCTTGACGATGTTGTGCTGGATTTTGGCGTTGTTGCCGCCGCGAAAAGGTGGGTGTCCCGTCATAAGGTCGTAGCCCATCGCTCCAAGCGACCACCAATCAACCGCCTTGCCATATCTCTGACCAAGGACAACTTCTGGCGCCATGTACTCGACCGTTCCAAGGATTGACTTGCAGCTCATGTCGTCGTCGACAGCTACTTTGGAGAGACCGAAGTCGGTCAATAGGAGGTGGCCTTGGGCGTCGAGGAGACAGTTCTCTGGCTTCAGGTCTCTGTAGACTACCCCCAGTGTCTGGTGAAGATGGTACAGCGCAAGGATCATCTCCCCCATGTAGAAAGCCGCGGTCGTCTCTGGGAACATCTTCTCGGTGCTGAGGTGTGTGAACAGTTCTCCGCCTTGTCCGTACTCGAGGATGAGGTATAGCTTCTCATGATCCTGGAATGCGTAGAACAGCTTGACGACAAAAGGGTGCCGGTTCACAGACTCGAGGATCTGTCGCTCGGTCTTGGTCTGCTCAACCAGCTTCTTGTGCACGACGACAGATGCTTTCTTAAACTGCTTCTGGGCGTAGAGCCGGCCGGTGGTTCGTTGCTTGACCAAAAGAACGGTGCCGTATGTGCCCTTTCCGAGGCATCGTAGAGGTTCAAAGTCGTCGGCCTCCATCTTCCGGGGCACAAGGCCGCCCTCGACGACGTTGACCTTGAGCTTGTCGTTCACACTCTCGCTGACAAAGTCATGTTCCAACTGGACCTCGTAAGCGACGGAGCCGTTCTCGGAGGAGGCGTCGTCGTCGCTACGAGCGGTCTGGTTCGTAGATGCGCTCATACAGCGCTGTCGGCTGCTGCTTCGGGTCATGGTGCTGCTGCGCGAGTCGTCGAGACTGAGAGGTTCGAGCTTCATGCGCAGCTTCGCGATGCCGCCCACGGCAGAGGAGTGGGTAGCGCGCAGAAGGGGACTGCAGTTGGCGCTTACGATGTCGTCGATGCGCGGGCCACGAGTACGTCGCGAGGAGAGAGGTGGCGTCGCGCAGTAGTCCGAGTCCTCGTCGCCAGAGACGATCGGGGTGGGCGCGAAACCGCGTACGGTCGACATGGCTGGAGCGGCGGCGGGTGCCATGTTGGCGAGGTATCGATTGTTGTTATCGGTGATACTGTGAATTAGCCCGCACCGATTCAAGGTAGGAAAGGTAGGCGTGTGCCGCGTCGGCGCTCGGCGTCGGCACGCGCTTCGCAGAGGTAGTCTAGATGTACGGGCTGGATGGTGCGGGTGGGCATCTGGGTCCGGGAGGAAGAAGACAAAGAAGAAAAGTTGTCGCGTTTCTGTTGCTGATGCATTTGCGATCGGGGGTAATGCTGCGGTGGGTTGGGGCGTGGGATGTCGTCGAAATGGTATTCACCGGATGGTGAGAGGAAGCAATGGGAGAAAGGGCGAAAGTCGGCCTGGTCAGGTAGAAGAGGAGCCACGACTTTGAACGGCTGACAGGGGACTGGGACGGAGCAGAGATTTCACTGTTCAGGCGCTCAGCCGCTAAAAGGCCCCTGCTTACAGCCCTTGGCAGCCTGGCACTAAGCCCCGCCACCCAGCCCGCGCCCCGCTCCCGCCTGAACAGTGAAATGGATGATTTTCAGGGATGTACACCGGGGTTGGTTCCGGGGCTTGAATCCATGATCCATCTGACACATGAGCTGACATGGCAGTGATATTTGGATCATGCGACACTCTTCTACCTACCTCTCTGTCACCCCTCGAATACCTACTTCAGTCACCAACAATACTCTGGCAGGTAGATGCACGTGAAGACGCAAGCGGCGGACAGCATCAGCTGTTTCGGAGCGCTGGAAGTAGCCTAGTTACAACCTAAAGTCTTCCGCATCAAGATTGAAATGGGTAGGTAGCGGCTAGACCCGGGAGTAGGGAGCCGCCGATCTTGCACGCCTCATTCCGCCCATCCTGCTCGAGCTGAGATGACTTCATTCATGCATCCTTCATTCTTCAATCCATATTTCCATATATTTATATCTGTTCCGAACCAAAATAACGTCCATTCAAACAGCCTTTGTATCTCGCTGGCATCATAAGAAAACCCCAGTTAGGTGCCCACTGGCGATACCTACTAGAGAGAAATCCCAATGGAGTCGTCCATCCGACCTGCGCTAACCGAGGCATCGCAATCCCCTTTCAGCGCGGGCACACCATTGCGCTGGCTGCTTGTCACAGATTGTCGCACTGCCAAAGGGGCTGACTCTGTTGACAAGCTTCGACTCGCATCGAAGCAAGGCATCCAAACACGACAGACAGTATTTTTCAATTTTCTTGCTCACGAAAGCCATTGCGCCTACTCTCCCCGGACAAAGCCCGGCACATACAATGTCGTCAAGCACCATTGAATGACTTGTGGTGGTGGAAGCACAAGGATATAAGTAACAACTTGATATTGAAAGTCATGGCGTGGCTCTCTCTCGCTAGGAGTCGATATTGGATTCGGACTAAGTCCTGGCAGCATCTACGCTGTGACTGCTGGAAATCCAAGACGCCGTCTCTCAAGCAGCTTCTCCATGTCAAGACACTAACGTACATAGATGTTCCGATTCAAAGCCATGTTCTAGCCAACCCCTAAGCCGACGGCACATTCTCCCGGCCCTGGCTCGGCGCGTGCTCCGCGTCCCCACGCGCCAACATGAAGTCCCTCTTCTCCGCCCTCGTCGTCAGGTTCCGGTACGCCTCTCCATCTGGTGAGTCCATCTTGACATGGTAGTTGATACCGCGGTGACGCCACGTATGCATGGACGCGACCACGTGTAAAAGCTCTTTAGGCAGGCTCTTTCCCCTGGGGATAGTGCCATAAACCCTGGCTCCCGTAAAGGTCATCCCTTGCTGACCGCCAGCGAGGCACTCCTCCTCCTCCGTCTGCGTGTATGGCCTTCCGCAGGCATCCCGCCTATTATTGGTGTAGGTAGCAGAGTAGATAACAAATTTGCTCCAGCCGCCTGCCTTGTTATGGCTTGCGCTGTCGTACAACTCGCCCTCGTCCGCAGGGGCGCTGCAGCAGTCGCCGAAGCCGGTGACGTCCACTTGGCAGGTATATCCCTCGCCGTCTCCATTGCAGGTAAGATCGGCATATTCGTCGTCGTCCTTGCTCCTCCAAAGGGTTATTTTGACCGGTTTTTCTGTACTCCGACTCTCGACGTTGGTCGAGCGGGCGTCTCTGGCCTCCGCGGGGGCGACGGCTGCAAATGCTGGCTACAGGGGCACAAAATGCGACGACTAGGGCGGTCTTCATCATGATGAATTCTGATAGTGTAACGAGTAAGTTGAAGGTGTTAGTTTGAGGTGGTTGGTGACGATCTGTTGGTGTCGTGATGTAGTTGGTATCGGTGTGGGGTGGTTCATGGAATGGTAATCCAATATAAGCCTTGTTCTGGGAGACATACGACTACATATATATATATCCGCCTCCAGGTCGTACTCGGCCTGGCCGTTGGCAAGACCATCGCGCAGAATACGCCTGTCCCATACAGAGATCGCATCGCCATCCTAGCACAGCTTGACTACATACGCCAATGCCCCCTTGTAGCTACGGCTTATGCCTCTCAGCAAGTGGCGCTATGACGTCCCGTTGCCTCATCAGTCGTGCTGAGACTAAGATGGGTATGAATATACTAGAAATCACTTTAATGTTCCGCTTCTTAGTATGAATAAACGTAGAGCCGATGGGATATGTTTCCATATAAATCTACAAGGGAACTCGGCCAGTCCGTTTACGCTACTACTTACCATCCTGGTAACCTGTGTATGGATTAAACTCTTTTTAGGTTGCAAAGTTCGAAGAGGAATACAAGTGTCCATAAAAATGGTAAACAAGTAGCGTCTTCCACCACCCCAGTTGTCTAAATATGTAAATACCGGCACCTCCATATTCCTACAAGATGTACACACCTTGAGCATTGCTGGTAGGTGGCGACGACGATGACACGGAACCCATGAGCATATGTATATCCCGCCATAGGCTGGGTGATGTAACGTTCCATTATGATCATCCTGGACACCAATACGTAGCTGGAGGCAGGGTTCTAGCTCTTTTGGCCACAGATGGACATCACAGCACAAGAGGAAGAATCTCTCTTGCCACAAACAGCGGAGGCAACTTCACCGAAGCCACTCCAGAACAAGACACGCGGTGTGTTGAATCACCTTGTCCATGATACCCGTAATCCTCCCCCATCATGGATGGCCCCACGGCCCTTTCGCCATACGCCGATTCGGGATGCCCATGGATATGAAGCTCGGTGACACTAGTCACCTTCAGCTGCCCGGCTGACGAAAACGAAGCCGTTTTCGGGCCTCGTAGCCGTTTTTGGGCCTCGCGGTACCTTTCCCACGACTGCGTCTGCTGGTCCAGCCAGAGGTCACAGGGTCGACCGATGAGCCGAAAACATCTTGCCAACATACTGTCTGCTTCGCACCGCCGTTCAGGCCAAAGTGTATACATTTCCCTGGACTCTGGCTCTACACTCTAGAGGAAACAGGCATACTCGATTGAAGCCCGTAGGAGATAGATCACCCATCGCGGTCCCGCAAGCGAGCCCTGCGTCGCCTTCACGACTCCATACACCCCACGCCATAGCATCGTCGCGTGGGTGGAACTGGGTTCTAGCACTCACATGTATGGGGGACTGCTACCGTAGGCACTTGAGCACAGCCAAGTAACCCCGTATGGAACGAGTCTACCTATGGAGAAGAAGAGACCCCAAACTAGCGAGTTTCGACAAGATTGCCGCGGCTTTCACGACGGAACAAGACCTTGAGCGCCGACCGAGTACCTGGCTTTTCTTTAGGGCCACGCCCAACTAAACGCTCACAAGCAGGCCAAGTTGAACAGACTTAATATTCCGGAACTCAGCCTCAACTAACGCTCTCCCCTGGCACACCACGGCTGGCTCCAACTAAAAACACCCATAACATTAAATGCTCCTTTTCAAAGGGAGCACTTGAAGGTGAAGATTTACATTGGCAAGCCAGACCAGATGACCACTCTTATCCATACCTACTTCATTCAAAGACCTCAAACCCCACGAGGTCAGGCGCAGAAGCATCCCCACTCGCCGCAAACACGACCTGATTGACCCCAGCCACGAAGCCGCCGACCTCGAGGAACATCCTGTCGGACTCGTACCAGTCGCCCCCCGAGATCGGGAAGGCCCATCGCTTCGGCGCGCCCCTGTTGACCGCGACCGTCATGTTTAGCGTGTTGGAGCCCCAGCCCCAGGAGGTGTCCAGCGCAAGCTCGTAGTTGACATAGTCTACGCCGATCAGCTTCGATCCGTCTGTGCTCGCGGTCACTGAGGCGAAAGTCACGCTGGAGTTGCCGCCTGTGATGCTGACTTTGCTCCCGGCGGGGATGCACTCGCCGCTTCCACAGGCTGTGTCTGTCGTGTTGCCCGCGAGCGTGGCATTGGCCGCCGAGTAATAACCCGCCGAGACCTGCGACGAGGAGGCAGTCACGATGTCGGACAGGACTAAGATCCTCATCTCGTGGCCCGCAAGCTCGTAGGTCTGCACTCCAGAGATGACCCCGAGGTCTGCGGCTTCCCAGGCGTCACGGGCGGATGCTTCTGAGACGTTGACCGCGGCCAGGTCGACAGCCACGGTCTGTGTGTTGTTCTTCCAGTTCGCGATACCCAGGACCATGCGCGAGCCCGAGAGCTCCCCAGCCCAGATGTCCCACTCCTCTTCGGTGTATCGCCGAATTAGCCGTGCTTGTTTGCCAAGAGAGTCCTGGTTGATGGCTATGATTTCTGTGTTGCGGAGGATATCGAAAGACTCGGTGGGCGTGAGCTCCTCGTTCGCCGGTGCCCCTATTCCGAGGGGAGACTTGTTGATAGCCCACATACTGAAATGGAACTTCTCTTCTTGAAGGGACAGAGCACCGAGACCAACGCTGAAATTTTGTTAGCAGACGCGCGAATTGTGTAGTTGTTGACGTACATCAGCATGTCCATGTCTGGGTACGCTCCGACGGTGGTGGATCTGTAGAACGGAACAACTTGGTTGGTTATCCGCCACATGTTCCTCCATGAGGTGTAAATGTCGTTGCTGATTCTGAAGGTATCAGCAATCGGTGGAGCCCACTCTTCGAGATCCTCGCCAATGCCCCATTGGCAGATGAAGTAGGCAACATCTCGGTCAACCGAGTCCAGAGAAGTGGCCATCTTCTGGTGACGATCGGGTGATGTTGCTTCTGCAGAAACGTAGTCTACCATGGTGTCCGGAGTTACTGCGTAGCAGTTGTCATATCTTAGTTCTTGTCAGCTACACTGGACTCTCATAAGTCTTCCCACACTCTCCAAACGGAGTGACTAAACCATCAGGGTCACTAATCGTCAAGTCTGGAATAAGCACTCTGGGACAAGCATGGACAGTGATGTTAAATCAATGGTCATTATTCCAGTGTGCTTATTCTAGCACGACAAATAGGTACTGTATCATTCTATCAAGATGCGGACGGGGTATGAAAGGCGACTGTAAAGAAATCGGATACTCACTTAAGAGAGTCTCCTCCCCAGTCTGCGAACGTCTCGGCGTCGATCTCTTCGTAGCCTATTCTTGATTTTAGATACGCATGTCGACATATCCGTATCAGGGCATCTTACCCAGAGAAGCAGGCAGGTCCGTTGAGCCACACTGGTAGTATCCAGCCCCAGAATAGAGACCAAATTTCAGTCCTAGTCCGTGTAGATAGTCCCCCAGCGCCTTGCCGCCCCCGGAAGGGAACAGAGTGGTGTTCCATTGCAATCGTCCCTCCGAATCTCTGTCGGATGTCATCCATCCACAATCGGTGGTTAGGTATACGTAGCCGAGGTCTGCTAGACCTAGGTCCACAAGTCCCTGGGCGTTCTCCTTGATGATGTCCTCGGCGGGATTACAGCCGTAGAAATTGTAGCTGTTCCAGCCCATTGGCGGCGCTGTGGTCTTGTACAGAGTAGCTTCGGCCAAGGCGGCCAGCAAAGCTAGCAGAGCTGTCACAGAACTTGAAGATGCCATGATATAAGCTCTCGATCCTTGGTCGTGTATGGCTTGAAGGTTGAACTGCTCCAGCGAGACTCTAAAGCCTGGAGTACTGCAACTGTTTGCCCCATGGCTGCTTTTTATGTGCCATGGTATTGCGGCCAAGAGAAACTCCCCCCTCGGTGGGAATTATCCGACCGCCATTCAGTGTCACCACAAACGGCATTGTCATTCATGGAGTCGGTTTCCACCGTCGCTCTTGTTCACTTGTGCCATGTGGTCTCCATGTTGTAGTTTCCCTATGCGGGGAACCTAGTCGACGAAGGTACCATCCGCACTGACTGGCCTGGCAGCCGAATCTAGGTAGGCATAAGCGGTCCTATAAGACGAGCTGATGGAAGCAGTTGCTATATTTGCTCGATACTTTCCCCATGGGCGGGTCGATACCCTCTGGCACGATGATGAGAAGGTACGAGACGGAACCACTGTTCTCATACGAGACGGGATAGATGAGGAACGCAGAAAGATGCGAAGAAGGCCGAAACCATTGGAGAAGAAGACGAATTACTGAGAATCACCCCAATACCGCATGTGAACAACTTCAGAGTGGTAAGCAGAGGTGGTTCAGAGTGAAGGAGGCACGGAGCCACGGGAGCTGGGAGCTGGGAGCTTGGCAGCTGACAGCTCGCCTGGAGACAGGAAGCTTTGACCATGGCGGACGGGCCCCACTTATTAGTATTCCTCTGTTCGAAGCTTCGGCTTTGGGCTCGCCAGAAAATTCCCATGCCACTCATGATATCGCATACTTCCTCTGTCTCTTTTCGTCAATCAGTCTGATAATCCCGCGCGCAAGAATAAGACCTCAAGTACAGTTCCTCCGACACAGCCGCCACAATGATGCACCCGTCGCGCCAGGCGTACGTGGAGGAGGCCGAAGAGGTACAACCGCATCGCGTGCAAACTCAACTAAGTACTGATTCTAACTATCACGGTACGCAGGATCGCGGCATCAGTCTAGACGAGATCCCCATAGACCGCGACTATGACATGCCCTCAGCTTCCGCGGGCATTGCGCCCGAGAAGGCCTCCGCCATCCTCGGACAATTCGAGCGCAAGAGGATGGCTGCAAATATTGCCGTTCCTACAGACGACGGCCGCGTGCGCGCGAAGCTCCGAGAGCTCGGCGAGCCTATCACACTCTTTGGCGAGGGCCCAGGAGATCGTCGCGACCGACTAAGAGGGCTGTTGTTGAATATACAGACGGGTCAGGGAACAGGCGAGGCAGGAGATGTCGCCATGGAGGATGCGCCGGACGAAGACCAAGCCGACCAGGAAGAGGAGTTCTACACGAATGGCAGCCCCGAGCTGCTACGAGCACGGCAAGAGATCGCGCGGTTCTCTCTACCGCGGGCGAAGCAAAGACTAGCATTCCAGAAGCAAGAGGCAACGATACCATTACGAACGCACGTCAAATTTCGCAAGCAAATTAAGGAACGATTGCAAGGTTTCGAGCTTCAAGGCAGTCAGACAGCAGGAGATAGACACGTTAGCATGACGAGGATATCACCGAACGGGCAGCTTGTTGCTGCAGGCAACTTCGGAGGTTCAATCAAGCTAATCGAGATACCCTCGCTCGAGGAGAAGATGACGCTACGGGGACACAACAATAAGGTCAGTGGCATATCGTGGTTTCCGGGCGCCACCTTGCCAGAAAGCAATGTCTCGCCGGACTCCGTCAATATGGCATCAGGCGGTGCAGAGGGACACATAAATCTCTGGTCTTTGACTCAGGATACACCCCTTTCAACACTCGAGGGACACGGCCAGCGGGTCTGCAGAGTCGAGTTTCATCCTTCCGGGCGGCACCTCGCTTCGGCGTCCGAGGACACAACATGGCGACTCTGGGACGTGGAAACGACTACAGAGCTCCTACTTCAAGAAGGACATTCTCGAGGTGTCTTCGCTGTGAGTTACAACTCGGACGGATCGCTGTTAGCCAGTGGAGGTCTCGACAGCATTGGCAGGATATGGGACCTACGATCGGGTAGAACAGTGATGATTCTAGACGGTCATTTAGATGGTCATATCAAGCCGATCCACGGGATTGACTGGGGCTCGGACGGCCACCGGGTGCTGACAGGCTCGGCAGACGGCTGGATAAAATGCTGGGACGTAAGGAAAGTACAAAGAACAGGTGGGATCGGAGCGCATAGCAGCGCGGTCTCAGATCTCAGATGGTACAAGGGATTAGACGATCCAATATTCGGCAACGCACCTGGGATGGATGAGAAGGGCAACCAGCTTCCGAAGAAATCGGGTACCTTCTTTGTATCGAGTGGGATCGACCGCAAGGTCAACATCTTCTCAGCTGACGACTGGACACTCACACAATCCTTGGAAGGCCATACAGGCCCGGTGGCAAGCGTGGACATCAGTCGAGACGGGAAATGGATCGTCAGTGGAGGGCATGATAGAACTGTCAAACTATGGGGTAGGAATGATGGTGAGGGAGTTTAAGCTGAAGCCCGAGTCGACAGATGATAGGATATGAGGAAGACTTGATACCCAATAAACATTCTAATGCACCCTGTCGGCTACAGCGTGCTCCAGCCAACCTCTGCATTACCCAAGGGTACTGAAATATCTGGGTAAGTACAGGTGCACATCCGCTACACACATGCAGTGGGATTGTGCCAATGCTAATTGCAGACGTGATATACCCCCCGTAATATATATTCTTCAAGGAGGCGCATCACTCTGTTCGCGATCAACTGCGAAAGGCTTCACAACTTCCTTCGTGTTTGATATCATAACATGTTGTGACACGCGCAGCCTTCTGTTACCTGTAATCCTGTCTGAAGCCATTCAAATGTGACATGTGCCTCGGGCCACCCTGGGGGATCACCTTTCCATAAATACCTTATTAAATACGGGAGCATCTCCTCTAAAGAGTACCTAGGTATCTAATGGTCGGGGTCGGCGATTAGATAACACCCGCATTCTTGATCCACACCATGGCGTGGCGTGCCGATGAAATGCCGTAGAGATGAAAGGGCAAAGGGCAACCTCAAAGAAATCGAGAACATCATTCCTCCCACATTGTCGAGTTGCCTCTCGTCCCTGCATCACATCAAGACCTCAGTGGACCAGAGAAATGAGCACATCCATCGACGCTACCTAGGCCAATATTTGCGGCGTGTCAGCCTCTCTACGCCCCGTCACGACTACCAACTGCCTGAAGCTACCTACTGCCTTGAATATCCAGGCAGCTGGAGCTTGACACAGGCACGATGGCGAGCATCGACAGATACCGGCCTCCTCCCCGGGAAGGCTACCAACCGCCAGCCGTACCTCCTCCCAACAATCGCGCCGACCGTCCCTCGAGATCCCCATCGAGACGACGCGACGTGCCACCTTCCGTTCCATCGCCACCTACACACTCCTCTCGCACATCACCTCCGAGACCTCACTCGCGACGAAGCGCAACCTCGCCTGCTCAATCAGCACCGAAAACACCGAAAACACCAGTCGCCATGCCGAATCAGTGGGTTTTCACCCATGACGAGGTTCGCAGCAGCCCGAGCATCTTGGACGGCCTTTCACAGGCCGAGGAGAGACTGCGCCGAGCGAAGGGTGTCAATTTCATCTACCAAGCCGGCGTTCTGCTCGAGCTTCCCCAGACCACTCTCTACGTTGCCGGCGTCTTCTTTCATCGGTTTTACATGAGGTCCAGCATGGTCGAGGAGAAACAAGGAGTACATCATTATGTGAGTAGACTCGCAAGTCGCATCCATTGTGTACAATAAGACAACAGTCGAGCGCATATATTCGACCCTGCAAGGGCAAGACCTTGTGGCATTGCGCATCAAGTGCATCTCCGACGTTGCTTGATCAAACATTTGGCTAATCACATATTCGAAATAGAACATCGCTGCCACATCGCTATTCCTGGCAAACAAGACCGAAGAAAACTGCCGTAAGACGAAAGATATCATCATCGCGGTCGCCAAGGTTGCCCAGAAGAACCCTAAACTCATCGTGGACGAACAATCTAAGGAATATTGGCGATGGCGCGACAGTATCCTCATGTACGAGGAAGTGATGCTGGAGCAGCTAACCTTTGATCTCATGGTTGAGCACCCGTACGTTAAGTTATACGACTTTCTGGGCCAGCTGGGCGTGATTCACAATAAGCACCTGCGACACGCGGCATGGGCCTTCTGCAATGACTCATGCCTGACGATTCTGCCGCTTCTCATGGAGGCACGCGACGTCGCCATTGCATCGATCTTCTTCTCGAGCACCTTCACGAGGGAGCGCATTGAAGATATCAATGGTGATCCGTGGTGGAAGTCACTACAGGGGAACGAAGAGCACTGTGTCAAGGCTATCGAGGTCCTAAAAGAGTTTTACATTGAGAACCCTCTGCGCAAGCCTGAGAACCCCTATCAAGCCTCACCTGAATTCAACCTCGAAAACACGAGACGCAGAGGCGAGGATATTGGCTCAAGCAATGCAACTCCGAGAACGGACCGTGCCACGCAAAGCCCGAAGGCGTACGTCAATGGCGTGGGCGAGGCAGCGGCGGAACGGGAAGTTGACACTGCGGCGGCTGAGTCGGCCTCTCAAGCAGCGCCGGGCGATTCAGATGCAGCATTGAAAGAGGCTGCTAATAACCCCGTCATCCACTCGGGCACGAACGGAGAGGGGCTGCCATCACCGTCGAAACGGAAGGAGGTCGAGTCATTGGCGTCCGAAGGCCGTGAGGAGAAGCGTCAACGTCTCAACTCGGATGATGACGAAGGCGAGGTGCGCGAATCGTAGGATACGTTCAATCGCCTCAGCCCCCGGCCCGCTATACCAGGCGAAGAAGGATGTAGTATGGACCACGAGGCGAAGGTTTGGAAAGGTCCAACTTGATTACAAGGCTAGGGGTTCATCATCATCAAGGCGTTTGGCTTTTGCTGGCTTCTCAAGAACGGCGTCTGGAGTATTGCCTTCTTCAGGGCATTCGTCTTTTGCATGGACTTTTTCAACATGATACCTCATTTCATATTCATCAGCTGTGTACAATATAAGATGCGTAGCCTTGAGTCAGGAGGCATTAAGCGCATTAGGGAGGGACGGCTAATGCAGATTCGATAGCTGCAGGACTCTCCGCAGGCACCGCATCAATGGATACCAACACAATCACCTAGATGACTCAACTCCTAATGCATGTGATGGCTAATGAGTCTTGATAGGCATAACGACTGATTGCCGGAGAGACAGGCGCGTGTTGCAATTTTTCCTGAGGACTCACCGGCCACCATACTCTATGATTTAGCACAGTCCACCGCACGATTCTCCTTTCCACATGTTAACCCAGTCTATCGGCAACCCCAGCTCCTCTCGAATCTGATGTGCACGCTGACAGGCATTTCATCAGGTCACGAATCTACCATCCCCCCCATCCCCCCCCCAATCTCCCTGGCCCTACGAAGTTCATCTGCCCTGCCAAATGCGCGATAAGAAAGTGGTCCTCGATCATGATCCAAGCTGATCCTTTCCCACCACCCTCCCCTTCTGTCTGCACTGTACAGTCACTCACTCACTCACTCACTCACCCACGGGCCACCCCCATCCATCTCCACTGGCGACCGCGTCTTCTCTGCCTCGGAACTGAGCTCGTACGTCGCCACTGGAGCAGCCAACTCGACTCTGCCACCCCCCTCACCACATCCCCTGCCTGTCTCCCGTGCAGCCAGGGGCGATGAGGCTTCGAGCTCGGGTTTGTGGTAGCTCTGTTGCTCGGTTTCTTCTGGTTGGCTGGAGTTGAAGCTGGAGGGGGCTTTGGTTGCGCTCTTTTTGCGCTTCGCTTTGCGGCGGTAGTAGAACACGAGGATGCAGAGGGTTACTAGGACTGCAACGACAATTGTAACTATTACGATGCTCTCGGTGTTCATTTGTTTGTTCTGTGCGGTGGGCGTGGGTGTTGGGGTGGTGGTCTTCCTCGTGCCGGTGCCTGAATTGGATGTGTTGAGGGAGGATGAGGTGGTGCGCGTCACGGGGGTGAGGCTGCTCGTGGTTGATGGCTTAGTTGAGATAGTCGTGGGACTGCTTGATGAGACCTCTGACGTCGTGGACAGCGGCAGCCATTCCATAGTCTCAAACTTCAGCCCCGTCTACTCGACCGTATACACCCCTTCCATTAGATAGGTATCACCACCATGAGCCACAGTCGTTTCGAAAATGCTCGTGACGAGCCCCGGTGACGACATTGGTGGATTTGTTCCTGTCTCGGTTATATCGTGGGATAAAAGACAATGATCAAAATGCTGAACGTATAATTCGAGAACTTCCCAAAGCCCAAGAGAAGTGAGAGGGGAAATGGAGACGCTCATTTCAAATACCGTTTCTGAGCATGCAGAGCGGAGGATACCTGCAGCTGCCAGCACATTCGGGTATCACTATGTGCGACGCAAACACGCGATACCTATGAGGTGCTACTCCTCCTATCCATGACGATAGTCGTCTGGGCTTCATTCAAGAGGGCTAGTCAGCATCAACTAACTCCTGATATGTCATAACCCCCTAATACTGAGTCTTCGTGATATAGTACTACCAATAGGCTGAGTGAACTGCTCTCCATACATCGATCTCCCATGCTTGAGCTGGCAAACCATTCAAGGCGGCACCTCCATCTCCACCGGCGGCCTCGGCTTCTCCGACTCGGCGCTGAGCTCGTATTTCACACCTGAGTCCATAATCGCTGCCTTTCCATTTGCTATATCAGATGTCGTAGCCGGTGGAGTGGCTTCCAGTTCTGGCTTCTGGTATCCGTGTTCGCCGGTCTCGTCTGCTCGCTCACCCTGAGATGTGCGAGATGGTGTATTGCACAATGCTTTCCATCGGTAGTACAGCACGAGCCAGATCAGTCCAGCGAGTATCTTAGCGCCCAGTAGACTGCGGACGGCAACACCTGCGATGGCGCCGCTACCCAGGCTGGAAGTGGTAATAGTCGGGGCGCTATCCGTTGCGGTCGAGCTGTTTGGAGGGGATGTGGGGGTGCTATTCGTTGCGCTTGAGCTGCTTGAAGGAGATGCTGAGTGAGTTTCCGAGCCGAAGGCACTCGTGGTAGAAGACGGAGTCGTCTGAGTCGCCGAGCTCAGGGGTATTGACTCGGTCGTTGCCGCCTCGGTCGTTGTCTTGGCCAGAGGCAGAGTAGCCAACCCAACAGGGGTGAGAACAACGCCATCGGGTCCGATGAGCCACACATTCGCCTCAAGGCCAGTTTCAGTAACCGTGGTGGTGCCTCCTCCGGATACGCTGCGAACATCGGTGTGAACGACGGTTGAGAATGACTCCGTCGACAGCCATCCCTCGGCCTTTGCGTGTGATGCCATTGGAGCACAGTCGAGACTGTAAGCATGAGCAAACCCCCCGAGCCCTACAAGAAGTGCGAGCTATGTTGTTTCTTCGCAGAGAGGCGGAGGAGAGGACATGCTCATCTCAAATATGTAGGCCCCTGCCCTTGTACGACGGAACGAGGCCATGCGCAACCGGGAGGGGACCTGAACACCAGCACTTACTCCGCAAGGGGTTGCCTTTCTTTCTAGGTACTGTATTTCAGCTCTTGAGAAGAGATTTGATAAAGCTAGCTTGGTCATGATAGGATTCTCCACCACTGACCAGGTTACAGTAAAAAGGATGAAGCTGCCGATCGCCTACGTACGTTTGACTCGTGAGGTTGTCAACTGGTACGAATCACGCTGACTTGCTGTTCCTGCCTAGTCCACAACGTTCGACGCAACCTGGTTCATACACGATTGGAATCTCTTTATGGTTCGGCGGCTCAACAATATCCGGGCGGATAGCGCACCTGACGACTACATTCGGCCTCCTACTGGCATGGAGCCCATGGTCGTCATGTGTATGGGACGGTCAACAGCCCCAATCAAGCGGTGAGTCAGCATGGAAGAAACCCTATATCTAATGTAGCTGACTTTCGCACCAGGCTCCTCACCGATTGCCGACGCTTTGTCGACCGGCAGACGCAGTCCTACGTGAGAATCTATGTGACTGACGGAGGTCGAACTCCTAACTGGGAGGAAGAGGCTTTGCGACCCCTGCGTCACATCGATACCGTACACTTCAACCACGATACCAAGGCCTCACTTGTCGATAATATCGCCAAGTATTGCGCCGATTCTACGAGAAGATATCACGGAAGACGCGGCATCCCGTACCGAAGAGGGTATCTACTGCAGTATGTCATAACTAGTTGTCACGTTCCTTGCGCACCAAGACCGTGCCCTCGATGCACTCACTACCTAGGCACAAAAAGGCTGACTATCATTGCAGTGGCCCACCTGGAACGGGCAAAACGTCTCTCTCTATTGTCCTCGTCGGGTTGTTCGACCTGGACCTCTACATGCTCAACCTTCCGAGCATTCCCACCGACCGTTGTCTCAGTAATCTATTCAACCAGTTACCCGATCGCTGCCTTCTCGTTATCGAAGACATCGACGCCGTCGGCATAAAGCGAAGGCCTGAAAACCCCGACAAGGGCGAAAAGGGCTGCACCCTGTCCGGACTCTTGAACGTCCTGGACGGCATCGCCTCTCCGGAGGGCCGAGTCGTCATCATGACCTCGAACCACCCCGACGAGCTGGACGAGGCGCTGGTGCGGCCGGGCAGGGTGGATAAGAAGGTCTACCTCGGCAAGATCGCGCAGCTGGCGGCTCGAGAGATGTTCATGCGGATGTACTCGCCGGACGAAGAGAGCGATGCTCTTATCTCTTCTCAGGGGAAGCTGGAGCTCGAGGCCGCCGCAGTGACCTTTGGCAGCAAGATCCCCAACGAAGAGTTCACCCCGGCTCAGCTACAGGGATACCTGCTCAGTTATGCTGAGAAGCCTGACCTTGCAGCGGAGGAGATCTCCGACTGGATAATGCATGAACGGAAGATAGAGCACAAGGGCGAGGCTTTCAAGCAAAGCGAAGGATGTGGCAACTAGAAGGGTGACCGGAATGACTCTAAGGGCGATTCAGAGGAGGAGTCCATGTAAGTAGCTTTGGCACGTCAGTTGGCATTTGGCATTTGGTTCCACAAGCGGAGCGCCGAAGAGGAGAGTCCCTTGGATCTCTACGCCTTTTAGACTCGGCACCCACACCCTTAACAAATCAAGCAAGCATGACGACCACCTCCAAGACGTCAGCACAGGATATGCGCGTTGGGCCGCACGATGTGAAGACAAGCAATCGGAGCCATATGCAGCCAAACGGTGACGAGATCTTCCCGCTGTCAGACACTGGTCACCAAATCATCAGCATGTGGGTGTGGTTGGTCGACTTCATGGCGGAGGTATTTGTCGCAGGCTTGCTTGCTGGAGGGCGGTATTGTAGACGGTGGTTAGGTGCGGTGGACTGCGAGTATGGGGATTTGCGCCTGAATGGCGAGGATGCCGTCGTGGAGGGAGTGTTGGTGGTCGGGGAAGGTGTTGTTCAGGTCGATGAGATTGGCTTTAGTTGGTGTTTGAGGCGGGTTCGCCATGGTGAGTTGTGGTCATAGGGGTTGCTGGTATCATGTAGACGAGCACACACCGCGGTGTTCAGAGACATGCTCTTTCGCAGAAGGCGGATAGAAACGTTCATGGTGGGAATAAATCTTTTGGGGTTTGAATGTTTTTTTTGTTCTGACGCAGATCAATACTCAGGTCGAGGTAGTAACAGTGTCATTATCAATGTTTTCACCCCACTGAAGCAACCTAGGTATCAATTCCTCATGCCTTCCAAATACGCCTTCCAGTCAGTTGAGACCAGCTTCTCGTCCTTGGCGATGACTTCGGTCCGCAACTTCTCCTGATATCTCTTCATCTTACCGGCGTACTCGGGAAACGTGGTGCCCAGTATTCGAATGGCAAGGAGGGCCGCATTGGTCGAGTTGCCTATGCCGACAGTGGCGCACGGAATCCCACGTGGCATCTGGACGATCGAGAGTAGCGAATCGTTGCCATCTAGTACACTGGCCTTTATGGGAATCCCAATCACTGGTATGTGAACTTCACTGGCCAGCACTGTAACGTCTTGAGTCAGCATTTCCTTGTCGAGCCAGGGAAGATTACAGGAGCGGGAAGGTGGAGAGAGTATTGCTCCAAGACCGTCAAGCCATAAGCTCGATATACGCAGACGCAAGATGGTAAAGAGGACGCAGATTTGTAGGAAACACTGAATTTACTTACTTCCTGGTAGATGAGCAGCGCCGCCGGCTAGAGGGTCACGAGTTAGTAAGAGGCTCATTTCAACGAAGGATATTCCACATTGGAGAGGTCGCGTCAAAATGAAGGGCGGGGCTATGAATGGACACTTACCAGCTGCAATTATCACCTTGCATCCTGACCTGGCAGTTTCCTCTGCGAACATCATCATCTCGCGTGGTGTGCGGTGGGCAGATGTGATTCGAATCGAGAAAGGGACTTCGAAATCGTCTAAGATCTGAAGCCCGGCACTCACGGTTTTCAAATCCGAGTCAGAACCCATTGTGACTGCTACAAGCGGTACACCTTTGAGCTGTGGGGTATTCAATCCTTGTATCGCGTCCCTTGATCCGATCCGCTCCGCTCTAATCTCGTCCATGCATTTGATGAGCGGACTGATTCGGCTAGACAACTGGTCCACTGATGAGAAGCCGGTCGCCGTAACATGGCCGATCTTGCGACCTGGCTTGGACTCCTTGCCGTATAGATGGACGTATACATCGGTGTATTGATCGAATGACCCGTTGGCAAGGTCGACGAATCTGTCGTGTGAAGTCGGCTTTGCTCCACCAAGGATATTCAACATGATCGCGCTAGGAACCCTTGGTGTGAGAGTCAAGCCGTTTTCCGGTACTTCATCCAGGACAGCATGTAGTTGTGCCTTGAACTGAGACATCTGTGGTACCATCTCCATTGTAAGGTGACCGGAGTTGTGAGGGCGTGGAGCGATCTTCGCAAGTCAGTCGTTACTCCTGCCTTATGTATCGAAGAGGAGGAATAGGGGTATTTCAAGGTAGCGCACGAGATGTGTAAGAATGAAGTCAACCCCCGCCAGACACTGTCCCCGAAAAGGTGGGAAACGGGGACAGGGAAACTAACCTCATTGACGATGACCTGTCTGTCGACTAGGAACATCTCGACAGCAAATACGCCTCTTCCCCAAAGGCTAGCAACAACATCGCATGCCACCTTCTGGGCCTTTTCCTTGACCTCCTCAGAAACATTACGGGGTGGGTAGAAGACTTTGGTACATATCGAATCCTCGTGGATGGTCTCGACGACAGGGTAGGGGTAGACTGCCTTTAGTCTGCCGTTGTTGTCTTCTGTCCTCATCACCATCACGGCGAGCTCCATCTGTTTAGTACGTTCGCATTAGCGACAGCTCATTTTGACCGTTTCAAGACATATGGAGTTGCATGAGGCCCAGCCCGCGACTCGTTGCCGGCTACGTGGACTGGGACAGCAATCGGAGGAAAATATGTCGTGCTGCAAGCCTCGAATGCTACCTTAAACAAGGGTCTAACAATGCCAGACACTAACCTCAAAGGGAACCCATTTCTCAGCATAGAGGTAATCGCCCATTTCCTCAACCGCAGTCTTGAAATCCTCAGGACTTCGGACTTTGAAGTTCCCACGGCCATCGTAGGAGCCCTTGCTAGCTTTCAACATGAATGGGAACCCAAACCTGGAGGCGGCTAGCTTCAGTGACTCGACACGACCATCTCCAGACTCGATAGCCATCTGGGGAGCGACTGGTAGCCCGTTCTTGGCAAGATACTCCTTTTGCTGGTACTTGTCTTGGATCAAGCGTATCGTCTTGTAGGACGGATGCACGGGGACCTTCTTCATGGTCTTGCCTTTGCCATCAGCTGTGGGGACCTCGACACCTGTTGTCGCGACTTCTTCGAGCACTCCAGTGTCGACATGCTCGATTTCAACGGTGAGCACATCACATCGCGAAGCCAAGAGCCTGATCTTCTCGGGGTCCTTGAAAGACCCAGTGACGTGTAGTTTGTTGTGGTTGATCTGTTTCGCAGGGCAGTCTTCGGCATCCAGCACTGCGACAGTTATCCCCAGAGGCGCAGCGGCTTGACATAGCATCTGGCCCAGTTGGCCTTCAGGTCTGTGTCAGCAGTGTTTCACTCAGAAAAGCTGAGAAGGATATGAAGACTCTAGACTAACCTCCGCCCAGCAAACCGATGATTGGTTTCCGTGTCATTGCGACAATTGTGAAAAGGCTTCGGGGGACGGATGCTGCGAGCCGGAATGTACCAGTGGCAAAAACGGACAAAGGAAACTCAGCGACAGTGACTTGGAGTACTTCAACTGCCGAACGTCGGAAGGTATCTTTGATGTCTTTAATTCGAAAAGCCAAAATCTCAAGGATCAATCATATGTCTGGCAAAATCTGGCAGCAAGCAAGAATCAGACCCAGTCGGCAGGCGGTGAAGAATTATGGTGGGTCCTGCGCCCCTTTCCGTTTTTTGCCCCTCCAACCCCGCCATCCATTACCTTACCTAAACGTCGACTTGAAAGACTACCTATCGTGGTCTCGTGATCTACTTTTCACCATTGAGGTAGGTTGCGACACAGGAGTCAGGTCGTTCAATGTTTGCATTTGGTGAGCTTAGTAAGTACCAGCGAGGTTGAAAGCTGACAGTCAGCAAGCTTGTGAGGCACGCTTATCACTGACTTATTAGCAACCGTATGACATATGTGAGGCCCTGTCTCGGGGTCGTAGTGGAACCGCGATGTCACGGTAAGATAGAAAGGATTGGAAGAAGCTTATGAGGAGCACATTATTCAGCAAGCTCCATACTACCTTAGGAAGGAGCTATTCTGAATAGGCTATCCACGGTAAGTGGCGTCTATGGCGTGTATGAGAGGGGAAGGCTAAAAGTATAAAATCGCCACCGAGTTCTTGGATATCAACAACAACAACGCAACATCATCTTCTCCCTCTCAAACCGAATCGACAGTCGAACAACAGCAACAATGGTCAAATCCCGACAATGGCTACTGGCGAAGAAGCCTACGGACATGCCACAACTTGACGGACCGGACGCCACGTTCAAGCTCACAGAGAAAGACCTGCCTGAACCCAAGGACGGCGAGATTGTCGTCAAGGCCGTGTATCTCTCCAACGACCCAGCCCAACGCGGATGGATTTCTCCAGACATCAACCCCGAACGCCTCTATGTCCCACCCGTAAAGGAAGGCACACCCATGCACGCGCGTGCCATTTCTGAAGTCATCGAAAGCAAGTCGTCGTCTTTCAAGAAAGGAGACTGGGTCTTCTCTTCGACTGGATGGAGCGAATATGGAGTCGTCCCTGCATCATCGTGCCAACCTGCTCCTGAGTTGCCAGGAGGTATGAGCCGGACCCACTACCTAGGTGCTCTCGGAGGAACAGGTATGACAGCCTGGTTCGGTCTCACCGCCGTCGCCCAGATCACCAAGGACGATGTTGTCGTCATCTCCGGTGCTGCAGGTGCTACAGGCAGCATGTGTGTGCAGATCGCCAAGAACATCATCGGCTGTAAGAAAGTCATCGGAATCGCTGGGACGGACGAGAAGTGCAAATGGGTCGAGTCCCTCGGCGCCGACACGTGCCTGAACTACAAGAAATCCAGCTTCGCGGACGACTTGACGAAAGCGACACCGGAATTCGCAACCGTCTACTTCGACAACGTGGGCGGCGAGATCCTAGACTTGATGCTAACCCGTATGGCGAAGCATGGCCGTGTCGCTGCTTGCGGCGCCATCTCCAACTACAACTCCTCCAAGGAACGTGCGACGGGATTGAAGAACTGGTTCGAGATCATCAGTATGCGCATCCAGGTCCGCGGCTTTATCGTCTTGGACTTCATGGACAAGGTCCCAGAGGCGAGGGAAGTGTTCACGAAAGCGTTGCAGGAGGGCAAGCTGAAGGTGGAGGGTAGCGAGCACATTGTTGAGTGTGGGTTTGAGGATGTGCCAAAGACTTGGATGCATTTGTTCGACGGGACGAACCAAGGGAAGCTGATTACTAAGTTGCAGTAGATGGGCTGGAGCTTGAGAGTGGGATGAGGCTGAGGAACCCTGCCCCTTTCTCTATTAGATACCTGTTAGCGATGAGAAAGTGATACATAAATATCTGAACTGGCGCAAATCAAGTTATGTGTGTTAATCAAGTGGCTCTGAGACTTAGTAGTTACTTCAAATTAAACCTCCTCGCCAGCACTCTTCTAGAAGTGCTACTCGAGCTGAGCATATCACGCAGGCGCTTGCGCTGCTTGGATTCAATCATACAATAAAAGCCTCAACGAATTGGGTACATTTGCTCCTAACAGGGACTCGAACTCCCTCGAGGGTGCTGTCGAAGACGTCGTTTGAGAATTAGGGGTAGTCTGCATGAGGTAGCTAAGGTAGAGACACGCAGCTGTCGCCAGCTGCCTGGGCGCAATCCAAACCGCCGTCAACGAATTTCAATCTTTCGTGCATTCATGTGTGTTCATACCTGGGTAACTTCCCAAGATCATGACACTGCTCAAAACCACAAGTATTGCGAATGAATAAGGCCTTGCCATCTGCAAGATGATACCTGCTACCTGAGTAGAGTCACAATCATGGATGCACATAGGGAGGATGAGGGTCTCCAGCGGAAAACTCAGTAAGGCTGCTGGGAGGTGTTCTCATCCAGGGGCGCATTGCTAATGCATGCATTTTCGTACAGTCCGCTCAAGATCTTCGATGCCGCGAAATCACAAGGCAGATTTCTCTATGCTTGCGCGCCCATGGTACGGTATAGCAAGGTGAGTGAAGTCCACCTGGGCTACGGCAACCCCCTGGTCCTAGGTAGCCATACTGAATACGCCCCAGCTTGCCTTCCGCCAAACAGTACATCACTATGGAACCGACCTCTGCTGGACGCCCATGATTCTGGCGAAGGAGTTCAACCGCAGTCACTTCGCGCGGGAAAGCGACCTGACCGTGTCCACCCTCGGACCGGAACTGCCCACCATCGCGCAGTTCGGCGCCAACTCACCCACGGAGCTCTCGCGCGCCTCCTCCCTCCTCGCGCCCTACGTCAACGGCGTGGACCTGAACTGCGGCTGTCCGCAATCATGGGCCTGCGCCGAGACGCTCGGCGCCGCGATGATGCAGAAGCGCGAGCTCGTGCGCGACATGGTGCTCGCGACGCGACAGCGTCTCGCGGACGACGGGTGGTGCGTCGGCAAGGAGGCCGACGTCGATAACCCGCAGGGCAAGAGCCGCAGCGTGAGCGTCAAGATCCGCGTGCATCACGACCTGCGCCAGACGATGGACTTCATCACGACGGTGCTGGGCGATGAGCAGAACCGGAATATCGACTGGTTGACCATACATCCACGAACGCGGAGTACTCCATCTAGTGTGCCGATCAACCTCGAGGCGCTGAGTATCCTGACGGATACTTTTGGGGATAAGTTGCCTATTCTGGTGTCTGGAGATGTGTTCACGCTTTCTACGCTGCCGTATACGTCGCATCTGCTAGATCCACAGCCGACGTTCACTACGTCCGTCAAATCTAATGGTACTACCAACTCCCTGTCTGATACATCGCAGACCAATGGCACATCACCACCCGCCACAACAAGACCGCACCTCCCCAAGCTCGCGGGTCTCATGTCCGCGCGCGCCCTGCTCGCCAACCCGGCGCTCTTCGCCGGCTACGAGTCCACCCCCTGGGAGGCGGTCGATCTCTTCATGAATAACGTGGCGCGGGCGCCGCTGCACCTGAAGCTGGGCATCCACCACCTCAGCGAGATGTGTAGCGCCGGGTTCGGACCGGATCGCGGCGCGGCGCTGCTGAGCAAGAAGGAACGCGCACGGCTGATGGAATTCACGAACTGGATTGATGTCATAGATTTCATTGACGAGATCAAGAGGAAGAAGGGTTTGAGTGATGGGGTGAAACGGCTTTCTTGATCTCTGTGGTAGCTTGGGTAGCCAGATGTGTACATATAGGATGATATAATGGACTCGTGATCAGATTTTACGTTAGACATGCAGGCAGGGGTCCAGTCAGACGGCCTGGGGGGACGATCATTTCTGAGATACAGGCTTATTCGTGCTCACTTTATAGGGCTTTTCCCATCAAGCGGCTCATACCTAAGTTTCCTTGTGCGGCAAATGGCTGTAGCCAGCGCTCGACCTGCTTGTTTGAATATGAATGTTGAGTCTGGCTAGATAGATCACTCCCATCGTAATGTTTATTAATAGCTGTCTCTATTTCAAGCGAGATCCAGAGTTTTTGAGCGTGGCATTATGGCCCCGATACTACCTTTTCTCTCCAAAACCCCCAATGGTGTAGCCATGCAGCATCATAGGGGTAGCCAACATAGCTTATTTTTCGCAGCAAAGGGCATAAGTCGCGTCATGTCCGTATCACCATGCTCTCTTTTTCGCTCAAGCATTATCACCTGCGCGGGTTCCTGTCACTTTGGCTCTGGTCTTGAAAAAGACGGTGGCCATTGTTTTCCGCACCATAAAGCGTCGACGCTGTAAGGGCCTGGGGTTCCTGTCGGGTAATGACGTGATGACGCATCCAATGCATCACGTCTTGATTCAGCTTGTCGCCAGCACACAAGCAGATGGACGCAACGAAGAACCTGGCTACCGATCTCCAGAGCCACGATCCGAGCCGTCGCATTTCACCGATCCCCGCTGAAGCTGAGCCCAGAACACCGAGAGCTAGAGCGAGTGCCGTGATATCGAGGTTGAGCCATTTCTCGAAGAAGTGCTTCACGGCCAGTAACCCAGGGGCCTTCTGGTCCAGCAGATTCATGAGAGTCGAGCTGGTCGAGACAGTGGGTAGGGCTCTGGCCAAGGCCAGGAGGTGCGTCTGTACCGGCTTAGGCATCACGCGAGCACCGAGTATGCAGGAATCGTATGGGTAGCTGTGTTGGCGTGGTACCCAGGGCGCTTGTCGGCGAAGCTGGCTTGTGCCAAAGAGATGGAGGTCATGGGGGAGGTTGAACCAAGAATGAGACGGGAGTGGAAAAAAGCTTCCAAAGTGAGATGTGAAGAAGCGAGAAGTGGGGGAGTCGTGGCAATCGCGCACATATATTGGAATATTTATATTTCGGGTTCCAACGCACAGTCCCAAGCAACGGTGTCAAGTTTCTACCCGCTATAGGGTCCCGAACATTCCACCATGGCGTGCCAACCGGTGAAATATATTACCCAGACATCAAGGAGGCGTCAGGCTACTGCACGCAGTGAGAATGGATCATCGTGTAAGGGATGTTTGTTGTCTGGTTGATGGAGGGGGGATGGAGCCAATGTCAAACCATACCCGCCACCTCGGAGTTTTCATGGGCACAATCGATAGATTTGGTTGAGTCTTCTAAAACCTCGCAGTCTATTGTCGGGTAACAAGTGGATGCACCCGTTGTACGCAGGAGACAAGTACAGAACTACGTCGTTGGCTTATGTGTGCCTCCGAGGGGCGAGAGGTTCAGGTCATTCTCCCACCACCTGGAAAGCCGTCCCGTGTACATTCGCCGCTCGGGGATTCGCAACTGAGTTATCGACTGTTTTGCTTCTACTTCTCATGGCCATGATTGCGATTCTGCGTGCCATCAAATGCGGGAAACTGATATTAAAGGGCTACGAACATCTTGACGAAAGTGGCTCGGCCGTGAAAGTGTTACGAGGGACATATAATATCACAATATTGTGGTTAGGGTTGTCCGGATTTCATCCTAAAGTTGATCAGCTCTCTGGGTCATATAGGTCGGGGCCATGCAGTAATCTCGTCCAGGCTTCACGTACTGTAGTCAAGCCACATGTCCTTCCCATGTGCCCGTAGATGAAATCTTCAACCCCTTTCCCGACAGCCCTTGGTTTCGATTTGGTCGGGATCCTTCCTTAGTATTAAGTGCTCTCGTGCACATTACGTCTAGGGCTATCCGTGAGGATAATGTGTTCCACAACTAGTGTTGGATATCGCAACCCCTATTCAGCCGTTCGTTCGAGCATCGAGAAAGACGCGAGTAGAAGCTGATTGGCTGCGTCAAGCAGGGCCCGGCCCATTACTTCACGCGGTCGCTCTCGGCCGAGGGGTCACCACTCCCGAGCCAATCTCGGTCTTGGCCTCGATCTCCGGGACCCTTTATCGGCGTCGCGTAGGTAGGGCTGGGTAGCCTGTAACGCAAAGTAGTTCATATCGCCGAGCCGACGCTCCCCAAACCCGCGCTTCACCTCCGAACGAAGGCGACAAAGCTGGTCGCATCCAATGGCCGGAAGACCCATGCAGCAACAGCCGGTCTGGGTGACGGCTTGCGGTCTTACGGGACCCGCGGACTCCCGAGTGTGCGAGTTGTTCGTTGGGTAACGAAAGGGATTATAGCTTAGTCAGAAATGGCCGCTTCGGGATTGCGGACCTGGATTTTTGGAAATCCGATTTAACGCCGTAAAACGGCCCCGTGGGCGACTGCCGACATATAGCGTCATAGACATTTCCGCTTAAATCCATGGTGTTATTGCTTATTTCCACGGTGGTAAAATAGTCCGTAACACCGTGGATTTAAACATTCCGGCCACAGCGGGGACATTATCTCAATCGATTCGCAGGACACAGATCTTCTGAACCTTGAGTATCTGCGCATATAAAGAATATATCCTCTGCAAGAACACTGTAGTCTGTCAGGAGTAGACATCACAGAGATTAGCAGCACAACGTTAGCATCACAACACAGTTCTTGCCAACGACTCACTATCGCACTAGCAACATCCCAACACCGTACATCAAGTCAACGACAACAACAACAATGCCTCAAATTCTCGGAAAGGACATTGGCTCAACAGGCTACGGCCTTATGGGCTTGACTTGGCGCGCAAAGCCCTGTTCCCAGGAGCAGGCCTTCGAGGCCATGCGGACCGCCCTCAAGACAGGCTGCAACATGTGGAACGGCGGCGAGTTCTACGGCCCCAAGGAGTACAACAGTCTGGTTCTGCTCGAGCAATACTTTGAGAAGTACCCCGAGGATGCCGACAAGGTTATCATCTGCATCAAGGGAGGATTGAACGCGGAGGGCACTCATGCGGACGGCTCGCCTGCGGGCACGCGCAGATCGCTCGATAACTGCATCGCCCAGCTGAATGGACGCAAGAAGCTCGACCTGTTCGAGTTCGGCCGCCGTGACCAGAGTGTGGACCAGAAGGAGACTTTCAGCGTTGTCGAGGAGGAATACGTCAAGACAGGCAAGCTTGGCGGTATCTCGCTTTCCGAGGTCAGAGCCGAGACGATCCATGAAGCCGTCAAGTATACTAAAGTGCATGCTGTCGAAGTTGAACTTTCACTGTAGGTCTCCCACCCCCTCATGAGAGCTGCCGCACAAATAAACAGCAAGCTAATTTTATCGCGCAGGTTCAGTACCGACGTACTGGAGAATGGTGTGGCCGAGGCTTGCGCAATGTACAACATCCCGCTCGTCGCTTACTCACCCATTGGCCGAGGTATGCTTACGGGACAGTTCAAGTCAGTCGACGACATCCCCCAAGATAGCATACTCAAAAGCTGGCCTCGATTTCAGCCAGGCAACTTTGAGATCAATCTGCAGCTCGTGAAGCAGGTGGAGGAGATGGCCAAGAAGAAGGGATGCACGCCAGCACAGCTTGCGGTCAACTGGACAAAGGCCCTGTCGCGACGGCCCGGCATGCCAATCATCATTCCGATTCCCGGTGCGACAACCGCTGCACGGGTCGAGGAGAATGCGAAGGACGTGGATCTGAGTGACGAGGACATGGCTGAAATTGATGCTACGCTGGCCAAATTCACCACCGCTGGGGCACGGTACCCTGACTACGTTCCGGTCAACACCTGAGGGACATAATGGCAATAATCAGATAGATATCTGTTCAGACTGTCAGCCAAAGTACGTGACGGGTTGGGCAGTGTATGGAAGGTCCATAGTTTGGTATCTCATCAGGCAAGAGTAATCTCCACATGATCAAGCCCGAAGGCTCTCTTGAGTATTGCAGAATTCTTGAAATGGACATCATTTGAGAGAAGGGAATGACAGAGAGGTTTGGGGGAAGACTGACCTAGGACGGTTGTCGAGCTAGAAAACTCGCTGCCTTCTATCATTGAAGCGCCGAGCGGCCTTTGAACTCGGGGGACTTGGTGTGCGCGAGTAACTGTACTTTGACTGCGAGGCGACTAAGTGCTGTCAAGAATTGACAGCGTAAACAATCAAGTCAGTGGGCATCAAGCATGAACAGCGGTGTTCATGTGCCACTCCTCCCCAGGCCAAAAGGGTGCCCAAAAGGGTGCGTGCCTTCATCTGGGGTCAATAGCACGACTGGTCTGGGGCAGCAAGGCAGGTCCAGGTAAACGCAAATGTAGTGCCCAAGCAGATCAAATTGAGCAAGGCTGTCTTCATTGAAAAAGAAGAACAAGAGCAGCGGAGACTGGGAATCGTCGTGTGCTGGCCTTCTCCCCTTGCTTTCAATGTTGTTTTGCCTGTGTGGTGAGATTGATCGAGGAATTCTCTGCAGCCTGTGAGATTGACAAGAGTCTGTTTTGATGAAGCGGGGCCCTTGACCTACCTCTAATGGAAGCACGGGCCACGCTCGCAGAACCCACTCTTTGGTGGAGCTGCGTCCATTCCATACAGTGTGACACTGTCATCCAGTTTCGAATGCTGGCGGCGGGCGTTCTTGCATTATGGCCACCGATATACTTGATCCCATTTTGCCCTTCCATTCAGCAAAGCATCATGTTTACTACAAATATAGGCATGGCCTCGACAATGCGTTCTGATTTCTCATGTATGCAACGAGCTCGAGGGACCCTTACGACGATGACAGTGGCGCCCATCTGATTACTGAGAGGATGGATGATGGGATCCCAAGAGATTGGATCTCTGGGTCTATCTACAAGAGGGTGTATGAACTGATAATAACATCAATGCGGGCAGGGACAGATCTTGCGTACCTTGATAGTCAGTCTGTCGCGTGCTCTCCCCTTTTTATCAGTAAAGCCTTGTCACAAAATGGCAAGCGACCAGCGAACCACAGATCAGATCAGATAAAGCTGCGCACATTGTCATATGCATGCGCGACATGTGTATCCTACTCGGGAACGGGATGCACGGGTATATCATGGTCTCACTATGAATCGGTAAGCTGGCAGATTAACGTGAGCCCCTGAAAGAGCACTTACTACCAGTACTTATCTTCCGAACCAAGATCTACCCGATCCTCGACGAGCACTGCTCATCCTCAACCTCATATCTGTAATTGGCCCCCATGGTTCTGTCCAGTGTCAGATCGAATGGACGCGTCACATTGACAGTGCAATAATATTATTATTGTATTCAGCACAATTACACGCCAAAGCCCTGCAGGCAGCCTCGCATCAGTTGGCGCGGCGCCGACTTATTAGACTCAAAAAAGCTCTAGAGCCGGCACCTGGAGGCTGGACAGTCTGGATGCATCTCCCCCAACGAGGGATCGGGGTTCCGGCATTGCACCAACTCTATCAGGATTGAGGATTCAAGTGCCAGGTACCCGCAACTGCTCCACGGGGCGGCTTTTGCTTTTTTATCCTGTAGCGGAGTACCTTTAAAGTAGGTACCTACAGTACGGAATGTACCCGCGCGCCCGTGATGCAATTTCCACTGCCCAATGTCGACTGCGGATGCGACGTCAGAAAGTTCAGACTTCTCGCGGCATGAGCAGATTCTGGTCAAAGCAATTGTTCACTCTCAAGGTCGGGACGGGGGTCTGGTCCCCTTTATTACCTTATTACACAGTACATAATTACATGTGACTCTTGCTTCCCGTACACCGCGGCTAGGAGGTAGGTAGGTTTTCCTTGGTAGCGAGCGCCTTACCGCATGCATCTAGGCCACTACTACCTCAACTTTCAAAGTTCGCTTTCATCGCCGACCACCTGCGCCCACCTGCACCCATCGGGTTCTCGTGAAGCTGGGTGGTGCTTGTTGCTTGTTGCTTGAGCTGATAGCTACCGACACTCGTTTGACCATAGGCAGCTCCGGCCGGTCTCGCGAGTCTGACGACCGTTACGACCGCCCCTTTGCCTTCTTCGTCCACGCCGTTCGCAACCGCCCATTCGTTCTTCGTTCCGGAGAGGCAGAGAAAGTCGCATGTCGTCCGACCCGACTCTTGCGACTAGCACGACTGCGATCCGAGAGAGTTTACCAGCCGTCGAAATTGCTCAGGTATCGTATCTGGTCTAACCACCACCACCTCTGGCAAACTCTACCGGCACCGGCCTCCTCTATTTGCAAGCCGTACGGCCAACCGCAGCTGGTGCGCCAACCTTCTCTGTGCCGCCCCGGCGCTGGCCTCGTTCCTCTCACATCTTATTCGACTTGACACGAGCGACACTGGCAGGCGTGCGAAGGACCACCGCGGCCGAGACATAGCCAATCCCGCCCAGTCGCCAATATGCAGACGCAGACGCAGTCGTCGGGTTCGGGGCCTGCATCCTACCCGCCTCTGCCTGCCTCGCCCACGCTGACGAACCCAGACATGATATTACCCGACTACGACGACATGGCTTCTTCCCCAGATCGCTCACATTCTCCCCTGATCATGTGGAAGAACGCACACGTCGCCGATATGCAGTTCGATCTGTCCACCCAGTCCTTCACGACGGGGCTGATGTCCCCTACCACCCCGATCATATATGGGAATGGAACGATGCTGTCTGACATCGGTGAAGTCACAGAGGTGGAGAGTACCTGTCCAACGAGGTCACGCTCGGCATCCATACGCAACGACTTTCCCACGCGGTCTACCCCTACAATGACCTACGACGCTTCCATGAAAAAGGAATTGAAACTTGCGCGCGAAAGGCGTGCGTCAATTGATTCAACCAGCACCGTTACGGCCAACGAGCAAGTTGGGCTGTTTGCAGACTTCGACGATTCCGTCAGCATCGACGATAGCAACTTCCAAGGGGACGACGAATTCCAAGGGGACGACGACGAAGAAAGCGTAGCGGACTCGTACATTGATGATGCTGAAATGCAGGAGTCGATATCGCCAGCCAGGGAGCTGCCAAACGGCTTCGGCGAGGAGCGATATTCTACCGCTCTAAGCCGTAGAGCCGAGCAAATTCTAGCAAACGCCAAACGGCGGTTGACGGTGAGTACAAAGGCCATAGCCATGGATGAACACTTGCTAACGTGTGGAAGACTATGGAGGGCAATCTGAGTCGAGCAAGGACCTCGCTCAATTCTCCAACCCTATCCTCCCTGGGATCCGATGCGACACCGTCACCACCCATGATCCGGCCGGCGACAACAGTCTACCACGAGAATGACGCAAGCCACCGCGAGAATTCACACGCACATACCAGGGTTTCCAGTGAGGGCAATCTTCCAACTGAGCGCAAGCCCAACGCGTACGCGCAGAGATCCTCGAGTGCTCTGGGCTCGGCTGGTGGGTATCGACAGCCGCTCCAGACCTCTCGCAGCGCTGAGTACAGACGCGACGATCGCAAGAACAGTCCCAACGGCAACTCGATTTACGGGAATGCGTCTTTCGCCAAGACTAAAATGTCTTTGCGTGTCATTGATCGCGGACTCGAACCTTTGAGCGAAGATGAACCTGTCGTGGCATTGGACTCCTCGAGGCCCAGCTTAGAGGATGATAGGGTGGATTCTTTCCTCACTCCGACCTTTGGGACCTTTCAGGAAAAGAGCCTGAGACGGTCGGCATCTTCAGCACATATAGGAGACCTGAAAGACCAGATGAATGATTTGAAAGGGAGGCTGTCGACGCTAAGGGACCAGGCACGTGCTGACAGCATGAAGCGTCGGAGTCTCCAGAGTTTGCGGACACCGAGCCCCTTCACTCACGCACACCAATGGTACGCTGAAACGAATGGCCACGACGAGAGCGACCCGGTCGATGATGATCCAAACTCACATCCCACTGAGGGCGACAACTCGAGTGCAAACCATCGCAATGTGGATCATGTGGGACACCAGAGGATTCTGGAAGAGGACGAAGAGTCTCTCGCGAGTGGCTACACCGATGCTGAGGAGGACATCCCTCCAACAAGATTGACTCCTGCCGGTACTCGAGCACATGCTCCCGACAAGAGTGCGATATCAACCATGAGCCGAGAAGAGGAAGGTATCGACTACCAGGAAGACATGAAGACTGAGGATGGTTATGATGATGCAGTACCGAACAATGGGGACGATTCCGGAAGCGAGAGTGGCGAGTCATCGTATCATGATTCTGTCCAGAATCAGGTGTCTCACGAGGATCGTGAAGATGCCTTTGACTACGAGCACTTCTTTTTGCACAGCGCAATGGGAAGTATGAGTCAAAAGCGATTGAATAGGAGCGGGAGTTTCAGCTCTGAAGAGTCGGTGGAGACCACTAAGGGGCCAACTCCGTCTGCCAAATCGAGAACGAGCGCTGGTAAGAACAGGGGTCGATCTCGACCAAGCAGTACAGGTTCGATATCCACCATAGAATCATTTGCAACGGCCACCGAGGGTAGAATCACCAGAGCAGACAACAAGGAGATTGAGGACTACCACGAGCAGGTTGTCGAGTTACCCCACCGTGCCCGAACACATACGCCGGAGACAGCAAGGCGAACTGATTCTGCGTCTGAAAGGAGCGATTCCGGCTCCGATGGGAGTCGACTACGAAAGTTAGGCACCAACTGGCCTCAAAGTAGTGCATCTTCCTTTTCGCACCGCCCATCAGTGTCATCTCTCGAATCGACTGGCACTACCAGGAGCTTTCCACTGGTCAATCGGGCCAAGATGAACGACGGCGTTCTTACGCCACGTGACTCGCCAGACCAAGTACTCAAACAGATTTCGGAGGCACTCATGAACGACACCGCCAGCATATGCGAAAGCGTCAATGACGGAGGAAAGACGGCCCCGATTGAGATGCTCCAGAAGGAAGACCAAATTCTTGTCGAGCGGTTAATCGCAGACCTAGGCCGATGTGTCCTCGGGTTGGCTGAAGCCGGGCGCGCCAGCACCGAGAGCAGGGTGTACCGAAGGAAGATCGAGGCAGCCCGGCGGATCTTGGAGGGTTTGGATGACCCTGCGTTATGATAATGTCTAATCAATGACCAGGAACCGCAGCATACCTTACAGAAGGCGGCTGCAGTTCTACGACAGGATCGAACCCCTTTCCTTTCAGGACATATTCATTTTGGCACCGTAACCTTACCGAGCTCTACACTTCTTCCTCCAACTGTGATACCTGTCCCATGAGGCTAGGGGGCCCAGATCTATGTCATTCGGTGTTGAGTTATTCTCAGTATCTTCAGGATTGTGGCGAAAGCCGGTCGGATATTGTTGGCCGTGTTGTATTTTTCGATACCCTAGGTCTTTATTATGGCCTTTCTGCAATTGTACTTACGTATTAGAGCTCCGTTCCTGACTACGTGCATGTATTCACCAAGTTTGTGTTGGGAAGTGTCATTATAACTACAGGTCTAGGGCCAATAAACCACTATTCTGTCCAAAAAGTAGGTAGAAAGTGTGATCGCAACCAGGTGCATGTGTGTTGTCAACAGCTTCAAGGTGTACGTAGGTAGGTAGGTGGTAAGTATGTATCCAAGTACACCGTGTGGTCTTGGATATACACGGAGCTTCAGACAGTACGTAAGCTGCAACCTGAACCAATTGAGAGCTGTTCCTTCTCCCACTGTATCTGACACCCTCAGGCCGTCACATCCTCTGCCATCTCAAACTTACAAAACGCTTTCCATCTTCCGCCTGCGGAATCGTATACGTTGAAATACCTATCGGCACGCGCGAATGCAGGTTGAGCCCTTTCCATCCTCACATTCCACTCTTCCGGCACAGCTAAGTAGCACACACATCCGCCATCTTCGCCGTAGACACCCATCTGATATCACCATCTGCAGCAGAGCAAGGAGGCGACCATGGAGGAGAAGCATTGGACCACCCAGTACATTCCGGCTGGATGCATCGTCATTCGCGCAGACGGGAATGAGAAAGCACCTGAACTCCTGCCTCCTGACGTAACCGGTTCCTGGAGACTCTTCGCCCATCCGAGAGATGATCTTCCTCCATCGTCCTGCCTTTCTGCAGGGACACAGCAGGCGCTCCTCGGATCACATACTCTGAAACCATTTCGGGATCTGTGGCAGCACCGATACGTCCACCTGTCCTTCTCCAGTATACCACAGTCAGATTCGCAAATCATCGGAAGGGCCCGCGTCTACGTGCTTCCCCACGACGTCAATGGAGGCATCAAGAATGTACGTCCTGAACTCATCAAGGCATCGTCGCTCCTTCTCTCGTGCCTGGAATACGCTTCAGGTTGCTGGGATGGACACACCAGCTTCACTCATCAGAGCCATCCGACAGATCAGGTCGGAGCTGCCCTGTCAGATGGCAAAGACACCTCGCTCCTGGCCATGTTTAACAACGTCACGTCGCCCGATCCTCATCCAGAGGCAGTAGCAGATCCGTATGCCCGTGATGCGATGCAAGGCTTGCTCGAAAGCCAAATATCAGGTCTGAGTACCTCTCTTTATCCATACCAGGGTAGATCAGCTGCTCTCATGCTTCAACGTGAGTTGGAGCCTGGTAGGATTGTTGACCCTCGATTCCGTTCCGTTCTCGATCAGTCAGGTTGTCCATGGTACTACGACGACGTATCGGGCATGGTCCTGAGAGAGCCAAGATATTATGACGGATTGCGTGGCGGGATTCTCGCTGAAGAGATGGGTACTGGCAAGACTCTCACCTGTCTGGCTCTCATTCTCAGCACCAGGAATGAGCCAACGACACCTCCAGAGCCATTCATCCCCGAGACTTCTCCACGAAAGAGAATGGGAAGCTTGATGGATATGGCTGCAGCTGCAGTAAACAAGCATTCGCTACCATGGAAATCTTACTTCGAGTCTTGTAAGGCCCAGTTCAACTACGATTATCAGCACTGCACCCAAGTGTTGCTGCAGGCTGAGAACCGCGCTTTTTACAAGGTTAGCAACAACTTGGTTGAGCCCCGTCGAAGCAACCGAACTGCACCTCGCGTTGTTCCACCCAAGGAGGTGTTTCTCAGCCACACGACGCTTATCATCGTTCCCAACAACCTCGTCAGACAATGGCAGGAAGAGATGAAGAAGCACACAACGGGACTGAATGTTATTGTGCTTGTGGAGAAGGCCCCGATACCATCATTGACCGTGTTGCTAGGTTACGACGTCATTCTCTTTTCAGAAACTCGCTTTGAGCGGCTTGCAATGGAACGCTCGAACGGCGAAGGCCCGGCTATTGACACATATTGCCCGTTGGAATATGTTCATTTCAAGCGTTGTATCATTGACGAGGGTCACAAATTGGGCAACAGAACTAGGTCGTGGAGGAGCGCCGTGATGATGGTTCTCGATCGCCTCGAGATTTCTGCTCGATGGGTTGTCACTGGAACGCCTTCACGAGGCCTTTACGGCGTTCATCAACACGCCATTGCAGCCAAGGATACGTCCAGGAAGGGCGATGCCCAAGATACATCTGAGGTCAAGCTCAAACAAGAGAAAGATGACCTCCAACGCATTGGCAACCTGGCCGCGAAGTATCTCAAGGTCAGACCTTGGGCTAACACGAAGAATGAGGTTGGAGACAGCGTAGCGGATTGGAATTTATATGTGTTGCACCCAAAGCAGCACGCCAAGGGCCATGATCGCAAGGACTGCTTGGCAGCTACCCTCAATTCCTTGATCGTCCGCCACCGGCTACCCGATGTCAGCGACCTTCTCCCGCCCGTCAATGACAAGATCGTGTTGTTGGATGGGTCATTTCAAGATCAGCTTTCGCTGAACCTCTTCTCCATGATGATAATCTTCAACTCGGTTCAGTCTCAACGAACGGATATGGACTACTTCTTTCATGAGCGGCAAAGAAAGAGCCTCAATCAGCTCGTAAGAAACCTGAAGCAAGCCAGTTTCTTTGGTGGGGTATTCTGGTCCACCGAGGAAATCACCAAGTCCTTAGAGACCGCTGAGAGCTTTCTCGAAAAGAAGGCGATCCCAATCTCAGCGGAGGATGAGGATCTCCTGAAACGGGCCTTGGAATTTGGCAAGATGGCTGTGAGTAACCGCCTGAAAGCTGTTAGCAACCAGTTCCATGCGATGCCTCTGTACCTACAGAGTTTCCCCGGTGGCAATGGAAAGAGTTGGTCGCTTGATGACAACGAGGCCGAAGGTGGACTCATCTGTACCGACGCCGGGATGATCCACTCGTTGCAGAAATTCCTCAACCCTTGCATCGACGCGCCGACTTCTCTCCGGATCATGATGTATGTACATTTTAGAGCTCCTTATTGCCCCTTCTGGCCTGTGTCAAGAGCCATTGCTCCCGAGACACGCATTCTGGCTCTTTGTTTCTCGTCGAAAAGAAGTAATTACTGATTCTAAGTTGCTACCAGAGAAAATGGCCGTCTAGACCGACAAGGTGTATCTGAGCGGTCGCAGGCGCTTGCAGCAGCCATCGAAGCATCTGGCGGCACAACATCCCAGAATCCGCAAGCGACCAGTTTAGCTGGCAACACTCCTCTCGGAAACGATCGTCAGGCCAAACCGAAGTCAACTCCAATCATTATAGAAGAAGACGAGCAACTAGGGGCTGCAGCGACAAGCAACATCGAGATTGCCGAGCCTCTAGCGAGGACTCAGATCATCTCCTCTGTATCGGCCAAGTTGTCGTATCTCATCGACTCTATCATCAAGTATCAAGATGAAGAGCAGATCCTCGTCTTCTATGAGAATGACAACATTGCATATTACCTCGCCGGGGTACTCGAGATCGTAAGTGCATTTGTCCTCGGGGTACCAGGCGGGAATGACCGACTGACCTTGCTTGCAGCTACAAGTCCAGCACCTAATATACACGAAAGCCGGTCTAAGTCCTGAAAGGCGAGCGAAATATGTTACTACGTTCACTCACAATGCCAAGTTTCGGGTAATGTTGATGGACATTAGTCAGGCAGCTTTCGGCCTCGACATGCGCAGTGCCTCGCGTGTTTACTTCATTACTCCTGTTTTGAATCCGCAGGTCGAGGCGCAAGCGATTGGAAGAGCACGCCGCATAAGCCAAAAGAAGCCGGTGACGGTCGAAACCTTGGTTCTGCGGAACAGTATCGAGGAAATCATCGTGATTCGTCGCAAGCATATGACTCAAGCCGAGCACAGCAAGGTCAAAGACGTGCTGGACGATCGAAAGATATTCGAATGGATCTTGAATGCGAAGATCATCCCTATGCCTGACATTGAAGACGGCGTCCCGCAGACGACGCGACTGGCAATCCCACAATACGTGTTCGGAAGGGGCTTTGGACGCGATCTTCACCCAGATGAGGGACTGCTTGCAGACAGCCCAGAGGGTAAGAAGAAGGTGAGTACGACGCAAACGAATGGAGCTATTCGCAAGTCATTCAAGCTCGTCAAAGGATTGAAGCGGCCACACAGTCCTTCTCCAGCAGCTGCAACGGCGTCTGAGAATGCTGCCGATGGCGCAGAGGCGTCCGCGAGACCCACCAAACGCCGTACCCGTATTGCCTGGGTCGAATAGGGGGCTTGACGAATGCGAGGGTGTATATCAATGATGGCGTTTGCGGAAATTCGGTGCAACCTCGATGTGTGACACGATACAGGGATAAGGAGTTACTCAGCTGTTGGCTCTGCGACTGATATAGCCAGTGGTATATTGGTTGGCTACTATGGCTGCTGAACTTCTGATCTTGCTCTATATAGATGACAGTGGAATCAAATGCGCAACTTCAAAGTGGTCTGGTTTAGACAGACAACGCTGTGACAAAGTGACGCTTTTTTGTTACTGTGATGTAACCGACCGATGGCGGACGCAACTCCCTGCATGAAATGGTCTGCGCTTCTCATCAAAGACTTCAAACACCTTCAGCTTACTTTCTTCATTTTCTAGGCCTGTTATTTTTACTACTGGTTACCTGTAGTACTTCATTGTACGAATTTCATTCCACAGCACTTGGTCATGTATCAGATTTCACGTGAAGAGTTCCAGCCACGCCGCTTGTAAACCGTAAGGCTTTGATTTCGAAAATACGTATAGTATATTATACGGATTATACGAATACAATACCTATATTTTCGCAACTATCCGTATAACGAAACGAAATAACCGGATATCTTAAGTATATTTAAAGAGTATATTTATATACCGGGGGTATTAGCGTATCATATAAAGCCGATTAAAAATTTCGAATTTTTATTATCATAATTGTCACGAAGCCTGCGGCGGTGTGCTGGATACTGGTGTTATATTCCGAAAATAACAAGGTGGGAGAGAAAAGGAACAGTTGTTGAATACACGGATGTTGATTGATTCTATTGATTGTTCTGCTCTGCGTGCAGAGATTGATCATCTTGTTGAATACACGGATGTTAATTGATTCTATTGATTGTGTTCTTGTTCTGCGTGCAGAGATTGATCATCTGTCTTCTTGGTGGGTCAGATGCCCTGTGCGTCTCTGCCCCACTGGAGATCTTCCGGTGTCTGTCTCCGGCTTCCATTCAACATATTTGTTGTGACGGCCTGCACAGACCTTCCCACATGACAAGCGGATACTTCCCAATAGGGGAAGGATCTGGCCAGAGGATCCCCTTAAAGGGGCAACCTCCCATTGTACCTATCTCTCTCTCTCTCTTCCTTTCCTCTCTAGTCTTGATATTCTCGTCAATAGAGTAATAGCTGCTTGCTGCCGGCCATGTCCCAGCTCCTCAGTACGCTCGCCGTGACATTTGTGCTAGTATCTAACAACAGTTGTGCGTACAGCCGAGGCTGCAATACATATGGTTCAAATCTCCTATTTAATCTATATGTGACCTGATGACTCAGCATCCAACCAGGTGGATACAGCTGTACACCGTCACAATAATCGTGTTTATTAAACCTAATTTAACGATTTACCCCTTTTAATTATTAACCGCGTATTAATAACTTTATATAAAGCTTACACTTTGAAACATTTAATTATTTGTTTATTAAATTATTAAAGCTATAATTTATTTATTTTTCTTATAGCTTTCATAAAATACGGCAATTTATACAAACAAAGACTAATTTAGTAATCTTTAATTAGCTTAACCCGTTTTTCCGCGCGTTTTATATACAATTCTATATCTAAAAAGGGCGTTTAAAAAGTATAAAATTAACGATTATATTATATAACCTGTTTATAAAATTTCCTAGTATATTTCTAGAAGTCTCGGTTATTTTTTAAGAATATTTAAAGACTTAAACTTCATTATATAGCTTTAAAGTATTAGAAAAAATACTTTCACGCGCTTTAAAAGTATGAACCTTTTTAATAAGCTGCTATTGTTATTAAAAATCGCTAAACCCGAGATTATAAATAAAGCCGAAAATATTCAATTAATGTTTAAAATAGATGTATTTAATAATAATCTTGAAATTTAATTCTCAAATTATTTAGTTTTAATTATTTAGTTGTTTCGTTATTTATTCGTTCAAAACAATAAATACATAATATTAATTGACTTTTTAAAAATATAAATTTAAACTAAATGATAAGAATATTTTTGTGGGAACAGGCTTGAACGATCAATCATAATACTCGAGTATGGGGTCAAGGTCATGATGTTGCTGATGGTTGGATTGGAAAGTCTAGCTGGACCTGCAGGTCTGGCTAAGTGACCTCACAATCTGGTATCTAATCTCTTATCTAATCATATATGTGGGTTCTGTATGGATGGTTTAACTGTGGAATCACATGGATCCAACAGTTTTCATTATTCAACCTCTTTTAACAAGTAATAAACCTGTTAAACTATATATTATTAACCTTAAATACGCGTTCAGCCTTTATAATAAACTTAAAAATCCAAATTAACGTTTTAAGCTAACGCTATTACCGGTCGTTATTAATAATATCTTTGATTTTTACAGAGTTTTCTCATTATCGTCGTTATTAAATACTACGCCTTGTGACGGTGTACAGCTGTATTTACCTGGTTGAATACTGAGTCATCAGGTCACGTGTATATTGGATAAGGAACGGGACCACTATACAAGGTAGGTGTACGCACCACACCTTGGCTGGCTTTCCTTTTCTTCCTCACCTTGTTATTTTCGGAATACAACACCAGATTTCCACACAACGCCGCAGGCATCGTGACACGGCTTAAAACACAGCTATAATGTGAAAAGGGTTTAAAGAGTTTTTAAACTATTTATAATTATCTAGGTAAAATATAAAAATAACGTTATTAAAAGCATTATTATATAATAAACGTTTAAAATAATAATTTAACCTTGTTACATTTATCCAAAAGTGTGATGGAACGCTCACCATAACCACCATGCCACGGCTGTTCCTCCCAAAAGGATGTCGAATATCAAGCGTGGTGTCACGGCGAGCGTACTGAGGAGCTGGGACATGGCCGGCAGCAAGCAGCTATTATTCTATTGACGAGAATATCAAGACTAGAGAGGAAAGGAAGAGAGAGAGAGATAGGTACAGTGGGAGGTTGCCTCTTTAAGGGGATCCTCTGGTCAGATCCTTCCCCTATTAGGAAGTATCCACTTGTCATGTGGAAAGGTCTGTGCAGGCCGTCACACGTGGCAGCTTGACATTCAATGGTGGTACATGTACTCATGTCCGGGCTCCAAGACTCACCACATGGGCTACCTATACCAGACCATGACAAAAAGTAAATATTATATTAATAAGCTTTTAAAGCATTTAATAAGCTATATAATTAACGAATAAACCTCTTTACATAACAATAACTTATTGATATTTTAATTGAAAATTGAAAAAATATAAATCGTATAATATATAAATAACTTATTTAAATCTAGGTATTATTATAACTATACATAAATAATACGTATTATTAAATAAATATCCGTATTCATAGCGTTAATCTTAAAAAGAATTTTAGTTCATATTTTAAAAAAATTAAATACTAAATACTAAAATAATTCTATGTGATTATTTATATAATATTAATATTAAAAGTCCTTTAATGAAAAAGCTTACTCAATTAATAACTATATTAAAATATTGAATACCCTTTTTTAAAGTTTTTAAATTTATCAAAAATCACGTTTATATATTACGAACTTAAAAGAAACTTAATTACTTGCTTGTAATATTTTTATATATTTCTTTGAATGATTCGATATTTAAAACATTTGAATTTGAGCGTTTGAAAGTAAAATTAAAGTCGTTAAAAATCGATCGTTTTGTACGTTTCATACTTAGTAAATATCTTATTATAATAATAAACGGCGTAGATTATTATAAAACGGAAAAAATATTGTTATATGTTATTAAAAGTCATAACTTGGTTTTTTATGAATGTTGACCTTTAATGATTAATATCGTTTATATTTTTAAAAAGTTTGAAGTATTTCGCACATTTTTCAAAATGAAAGCGTGCTTTTGTACTTTTTAATTGAATTAACATTATATTATCGTAGTAAGTGCAGATAATACGCCCTTATCTAAACTTATCTTAAGTAATAAGTTCGAATTGAAGAAAAGTTAGTTCTTGGCATTTTAAAAAGATTTAGCTTTAAAAGCGATAATAAAGTGTTATTTTAATAATATTTAAACTATAAAGCAGTAAAAGGTTTTTTTAAAAAAGCATTAAAAAGCTATAAAAACAGTTAGTTACATTTACTATATAGCATTATACGGCTTAAAGTACAGCTTAACTATAGGTATAAGGGTATAATACGGGGTATTATTTAAATACCCGTATATTGATCTAGAATACGTCTTAATCGGAGCCCTAGTAGATCGAGGTATCTGGAGGCTGGTGTGCCCCTCGCGCTACCTCTAGAGCGCGTTGCGGCTTGGGAGATGACCCCGCTCGCTGTTCCAACCAACACGGCAAGCCGGTTACACATTCTCTCCCAGGAAAGGCTCGCTAGTTGAGGGGCCAGCGGTTCAGAACTCCAGCCATCCACGTCACGCTGCCCTGCTTCGCTCTGCTAATCAGTAACCAGGCCATCCGCATTGCAGGGAACATGCGTGTTGCTTTGGCCTTGAAACAGTTCCTGTCATCTCTGATTTCCGCCGAGGCGAGTTCCTCGGCGAGAACGACCGGAGTTCGGAGAGGACTACCGGCTCGTCGGGTCGGGTTGGTTAACGTTACGGGAGCCCTGACTCAGCTGAGTCGGGGGCTTTCTCGTGACGGCGCTGATTACAAGACAGAGTTCAGCCCAGCATTGGACCACTCCCAGCTTATACGAAGGCTGGTGAACCGCCAACACGGGCAATATGAAGCGCCACATGCCAACTATTTGTTCAGCCCACTACCATTGCAGACAGCCCACATTGGCAGTGATGGATCAACAAGATCTGATCTCTGATCTCGCCTCCCAGGTCGCTCCCTGCGGCTGCGTCAGGATACAGCCCTGGAGGCGGGCGGCGGGCGGCCTTGGCACATATTCAGGCGCCCATTGGATTGCCGTGAGCTGCTCCGCCATCTCCTCGAATGCAAGAATAGAACAGCTGGAGCAAATGTGCAACGGGGAATCAAGGCCGCATCGGCTGGCCCACAGCAGGTTTCCTCCCAGGCTCACACCCATCACTTGCCGGTTAGGTGGTGAGGTTACAGACTTTTAGGCCGTGGTTATCATCATGACCACACTTGCCATCTCTCTGACCCTTTCGAGCCAGAGACCTGGGATCCTCTCTTGTCGATCTCAGGTTCACATTGTAGACAGTAGCTGTAACTGGTAGTCGCTGCCTCGCTGACGTCTTCACCATACACGAGACACTGGCGGCTGACTCGCGTCCATTCCAACTTTTCTTCCCTCGCGACTGAACTAGTCATTTCGAGACTTCCACTCGGTACAGGGCGGTGCCTGGCATTCGCAAGGAAAGAGAGGAACCCCAGGCCTGCATTGACGTTTGATGTGAGACTCTTTATAAACCTGCCTGCCCACCTTGTCGCTTAGTACTTCTTTTCGTTTGTTCCCTTAGGTCTTACAAACCCTTGCGACATTCCGACGGCCACCGACTATACTGCAGCAACTTCGAGCACGCCGGGAGAATGGTCGAGACGAGCAAATCCTGTCACACTTCCCGCCCTTGAACGCAGGAGCAAGCCGGGTACAGCCAAGCGACCGTCCCACGCCGGGATTCCCTGCGACTTGAGGTGGTACCGGTAACGAACGCACCGAACCATCGCCTACGAGAACGGTCCTGCAATGATGGACAATACTACCACGGGCCCGGCTCCTTCCAGGGGCGTATCTCGATTTTTCAAGCCACGGTCGTCGCCTCGAAAGATTCAGAAGAGAAACTCTCTCCCGGCACAGACAAGCGACAAGCAGCCAAATGTTTATGTGATTGACGATGAGAAGCCTCTCAATCGTCGGTGTCCGAGCAACACAAGGGAGCAGCCGGCCACGCCGGTGGTTCAATCCGCCGCCCCCGGTTTTAGACCCCCGTAAGTCATTCGTCTCACAAATTCCCCGAGCGGCTGGATATCGGAAGGATCAGCCTCTCTTCGTCAGCTCCTTTCCGTACTGGGAGACGACGATCTCAACTTGGCAATGTCCCCGGATTTTGGATGTTGGATCACCAAACTTGAGGTCCCAATAATCAGGGGTTTTGGTTGACAAGTGCAATTCCAATCCCTTTTTCTCATGGTAATCTCATACGCCATCAATGCTCTTCAGTGTCGTCATATATGCTCTAGTGACAACTTCACCTGAACGGCACCCGTTCAGCCCGTTCCGCTCTCTGCAGCCGATGAATTTTTCTCCAGGGGGATGGTCAATTTCCACATCGATCCCGCTATACGAATAAGGCTTGCGCTACGACCCGCCAAGTGGCAACCCATCGTGAACACCACAATCCGAAGTGGTGTAGGCCAATGACTTAAGGCCCTCTCAGCCTCTTCGGCGACCTGTTAGCAGCAAGCGGCAAGCTCTGTCATAATACGCGATGTTGCTCGGACTGGCGGAAATAAGCGCCTGGGGGTGCGAAGTGCCGTGCGAGCTGGCGGGTTGGAACCTCATGGGAGACGGTCCCATGGCACAAGGCGTCTCCGGTCTTTTAATCTCTGGTGGACCCATCCCGACGCGAAGATCTTCACCTCCGACTCGAATAATAATACTGGACACCCTGCTGACCTCCTTTTCCCTTTGGTCCCAGACACCTACAACATCAAAGATCTCGCTCGACATCTGCAGTAGGGAACCGATCCAGCTATGACAGTGCCCTCCTAAAACCCGTAGCACCGAGAAACGCCACGATGGGTTCCGTAATGGGTCCCGGACATTCCTATGTCCCTCAGAATGCTGGATATTCGCCCGACTCCTTCGCACGACGAGGACCCTCGAATCGAGAATCCATTGCGAGATCAGATCGCTCGAGCTATAACGCAATGGGTCCAGCATATTCCCCCAAAACTCAACGGCCGAACCCCCTACCCCTGGCGATGATGGGGAACTACGCCCAGATCGATGCGCGGCCGACGATGTACCAGCGAAGACCTTCGAGTATCGCCAGCACAGCAAGCTCCGCTGTGACAAATGAAAGTTTCGATGGTATCTTGGGGTCCCCCACAAGCAGTAGAACGAGCCACGAGTCCTGGCAGTCAGCCCCGCGAAGTTGGCAACGTCCGGCGCCGATCAAGCAGTACAGACGAAGAAGACCACAGGGAGAACTCCTCGCTGTCTTACCAGATGAAGTACTGGGGCTTATCCTAGACAATCTGAGAGGGTTACACTTGGCTCCCGGCGGTGCCAGCTGTGCAACCTGCATGATGAGAGATCTCTGCTCAGTTGCAGTGTCCGCGCGGAAATTGTTGAAGGTTGCTCAAAGTGCACTGTGAGTCTCTGTTGCTTTACGACATGCAGGTGCCAAGACTGACATACAGAACCAAGCTATGAGGACATCCAGCTTGTTGGTTCAGACCTACATACGCAGAAGAAACGTCTGAAGCTGAATTTCGGATCCCGCTTGGTGCTACTTCGCCGCACGCTACGGTCCAATCCCGAACTCGCGATCATGGTTCACAGCCTCAAGGCCCCAGCTATACCACAAGGGCTTCCGATGGACTTGTACTCGAACCTTGTCGCATCCGTGCTCATGGCGTGCCCCAATTTCGAACGACTTGTTGGCTTTCACCTCAACTACGACTTCTCCTTCAACCGTCTATTTCACGCGCTGTCGACCCGAGAACAACTACGGGAGATCCATTGGACACTAGAGGCGTCCCCGTTACAAAGGAAGCGGCGCATGTCGAACGCTGCTCCGATGCTCAATTCGGGGAACGCGAGGTATCAAGAAGCCCCCGGGGATCTCCAGGAACAGCAGAGTAGAGACTTTTTCGAACTTCATTCCAACTGGTCGAATTTGACAACGCTCTCTATCCACTGCCTACCAGGCGCGACTCTCACCCCAGTCTCGCTTCTCCCCGACATCTTATCCGATACGCCGTCCCTTCAGACCCTTCACTTATCGCATTTGCCATTCACGGCCTTCAATGACGCGAATTTACTTTCGCTACCTTCGCTTCACACCTTAACTATGTCTCACCTTCCAGGTGTGTCTAGCGCCGGACTCTCGTCCTTTGCGAGGCGACCATCCAGTCGAACGCTTCGAGAACTCACATTACACCACATTGACGTGGACTCCTTGCCCACCATCGGCCAGATCCTCTCTAATCTTACTTCCCTGGAGACGTTGGCTATCGTGCAGACTCAAATGCCCCAATTTCCCGAAGACGAGATGATCTGGTTATTCCCGTACTTGGCATCATCGACATTGAATAAGCTACACTGGGACATCACGAGTCACCCTTCGTGCACAAACATGGCGGATTCGATCCTAGCGAAGAGCATAGCCGCCAGCGGGTTCCCGTCCCTGCGCACCCTGCGCGCGCCCCACGACCCGGACGGTGTCTTCCAGTCCCTCTGCAAGCCCCTCGAGAAGGTCGAGATGGCCTCCGACAAGTACCGCGGCCTCATCAAGGAATGCAACACAGCCCGGCCCCGCAGCCCGCCCAAGACGCCGACCACACCCTCAACCCCAAAGACGCTCAGCAAGTCCCCGGGCATGATCTCGACCACCAGCCTCGCCTTCCCCATGGAAGACCAGCTCTTCCCCTCCAAGGTGTCCAGCAACCTCTCGCAGTCGCGGCGCGCGGCGCAGGCACGGCTCGAGGCGGCGCGCCAGACGCCGCGCTTCACCGTCAACGTCGTCAACGAGGACGGCTCGCTCGCCGAGACGTGGGGCATGGCGGGCTACATGGGCGACGCGGCGTCGGCGGTCGACTACTGCGTGCGGCCCGACGCGGGCGCGGTCGACGAGAACGGCGGGCTCGTCGAGATCGCCGACGTGCTGGGCGACGGCGGCGAGAACCTGCGCGACGGTGGGCGCGAGGGCTGTACGGGCCGCTGGAACACGTGGGCCGGCATCGTGGTCGATAAGCGGGATAAGGAGCGGTGGTGGCATACGGAACGGGGGCGGTGGAGGGGTGTCGAGCTTGCGTGAGGTTGGGGAGTGAGCTCGTCAGATTAGGGAAAGGGCTAATACGATATGTGACACCTTGGCGAAACTTTCGGGCGGTGTCGTGGCGCTTGAAAATATCCTCGGGAGAAACGAGCGAAGGAACCCATGCTTCGCCTCCTTCGTTCACACTTAGACTTGGGATTGACCGACGTCGGTTGGTTGAGGCTCTGGCATTGAGTCACGACATACCGGCTAACTGCATGCAAATGCAAAAGGCAAAAGGCGAAAAGCAAAGGGATAATGACTAATCTGTATCATATATCATATACCATATCGTACATATACTGGGATACCCCGTCTGATCAATCGGATTGATTGCTTGGACTCTAGGCTGTTCTTTCGACTTGGTACTTGAGTGTTGTGGCTGTTTCAGGTGGTGGTTCGGATTGAACTGAGACGGGATAGAAGCAACACAGCTTGTTGGAGTTGAGCGACGGAGACGTACGTCAATGCGGCCTAAAAGTGCGTCGAAATGGATTTTGAGGAAGCAGTTCCTTGGTGTAGGGGAGCTCCCTGACCCTCGTTGGGCTGCTCAGCTCGGGGGATGGTGGCCAAGTCCAGGTGGTCGTCTTCTTCTTTCTTTGGGCAAGTTGGGGGATGGCATTCGTGGGATGGAGGCTAAGTCCAGCTTGTCGTCCTCTTCTTTCTTGAAGAACGGCATGGTGATGGTGATGGTGATGGTGGTGAAGGCTCTGTATGCTGACGGAGGAGCGGTATTCCCGATGATTGAAGACGCAAGCCGGATCGTGTTCGGATATGAGGTCGCGCGCTCATCGTGGTGATTGGGATAAGTCTTGAGACTGTCGGGTTGAATTTGAGTCCAAGCAAATTGAAGGCCAACAGTAGTAGGTCTTCGATCAGCTGCGGGGGTGTCCAAACATCACTGAGAAGGTCGCCAGCAAGTCCAGCTCGAGAAGAGATTGTGAGGTCTTCCTTCTCTTGATCCATACGCCCTGTGATCCTCTCCCAGCTGTGTCCAAAACACAAGCCATATCCAAGCCCCATTCATTCCATAACCATACCCTACCCTTAAGAAGCCGAAGCCCGCTATACCAATCACCATTCCACGACCAACCCACCGCCATTCCACCATTCCATCACCGTAGCCCTTGAAGTCTTCCCGGAGACTGTGGCACGTCCAAGGATATACGTCAGAGTAACTTATCGCTGGGAACTTGTATTGGGTTGCCGTGTGGAAGGTTATGGGCTGTGCGCAGGGCAGATTTGATGTCCTGATTATGAGCTGATCGAGTGTTGATGATGTGTTGTGCTTGATGCCGGTTGGAGTTGATTGAGAGTAGATTCATTTCTAGGCGTCTAGGAAATGAGACGCTGCCCATTGCGTAAGAAGGCCCGTTCGTTCGTTCGTTAGTGTGTATGAAAGCCTTTGCGCTGTGGGTGGCTAATAGCGTCGGTTGAGAGCGGTTTAGAGGTTGATACTGATTTGATGTTGGCCGAGATCTGAGTCTGAGTGAAAATCGACGTGGAGAGACTTTGTTTATGGTCGCTGCGAACTCCATGGTGGCTGAGAGTCGATGTTTTTCGAGGGCTGATGTTTTTCGAGGGCTGATGCTTGAGGGTTGATGCTGGATGAGGGTTGACGCTGGCTGAGGGTTGACGCTGGCTGAGGGTTGACGCTGGCTGAGGGTTGTGTGACGAGCTGTCTAACCTATAAGGCTAAAGGGTTCTATAGGGTTTATGTTCTGAGGTAAGTCAACACAAAAGACGATAGAGGCTTCTGTCAACTAGAAGACACTCAGATACTGGGGCTTGGTCTGAACTGGGTTCACTGAATAGTCGAGTTGTCAGGAGATTTCTCCCACCTTAGGGTTGGCTAAGATGCTTAGATTGATCACTGAGATAGAGACTGTCTATCTGTCTAGCTAGGAAATGTTCATCCTTATATATCCAATCTCTCCCTCACTGATGGGGTGGATATGTTGGATAACCTTGCTATCCAAGCTATCCTGGATATGTTGGATAACCTCGCTATCCAAGCTATCCATCACGTGATGTCTTGATCACGTGACCTAGACGTTTCCTTAGCCCGTGCGTTCTCCCGGGTTCTTCCAGTTACTGTCCATCTTGTTGGGCCTGCCAGCGGGCCTCATTCCCTGTACGCCTCGTTGGTTCGTAACAGGTTGATGCTGAATGAAGGTTAATGCTGGATGAAGGTCGATCGATGGTAGCCGTGGACTGGATGTTGACTGAGAGTTGATGCTGGCTAAGAGTTGATGCTAGATAGGTGACGGCGTTTACCAAAGTACGGTCTTTTTGGGATAATGAATAGACGTTATTAGATGACGTTCAAATGGGTTAAGGGTTAATGATCGTCTAAGGGTCGATGATGGTCGGGGGAGGGATGTTGGTCGAGGGATCGAGATTGGCTGCCATGTCGTCAAGCATTTTGGTTTGGCTCTTCCCTTGCGGTTGAAGGGTTGTTGATCAAAACGAACCGTCTCCGCACTGAGATACTGGACTTGTACCAGGTCCACAAAAGATTGGTGGAACTCGATGCTGAGCTTGGCCCATAAACCTGTAGGAACTGTTGACTCAATTGGGAGGTTGGATGCCATCTGCCAGAACATTGTTGTGAATTCGTAACGAGTTGGAGTGTGGTAGGGATAAGGGGTATGATAAAGGGGCCGGCCGTCCTACTTGTGACAGCTGTGGCGCAGGAGGCATATAGGCAGGCATACGAGTGTTGAAGTCAAGTGCTGTACTTTTGCCTGTGCCTTCGTTGGGGTATGGAAGGGTTTGTTGGGTCACGAAGTCTGGCCTGCGCTGGCAGCGCTGTGTTGGATCGATATTCCAGTGGGCTGCACTGGATTGTTGGCTGGCGATATTGGATGACTCGCCAGGGGCTAGAGTTTTTGTGCAACGAGAACATGGCAGCGTGCGGACGGGATTGGGTCAGGGAATCAGCAAGGGGGGAACATATGGTCGAGTTCCAGGAGCAACGGCAGTGATGGTGATAGAGACAAAGCAGAAACAGGGGCATAATCACTCTTGGCCTGGGCAATAGATAAGAAATACTTGAAGAAGAAAAGAAGAAGAGGACCAGGGCCGAGACGTGCGGCCGTTGTTTTGAAGACGTGAATTACAATGCCCACTGCACCTAGGAAGGGCCGATCTAGTTACATCGTGGTTTCCAACAGAATTGTCAAGACCGTTGGCAAGCCCGGCCAAACCGTCCGAAATAGGTGAGGCCATCCAGGATCTGAATGCTCCTGCTACAAATGTCCCCTGAGTTCAACATCCTCCACAGGCAGCCGCGGCCCCGTTCTGTAATCAGGATACTGCCGCTGGTACGAGTCCTTCACCAGGTCAAGCGACAGCATGACCACATTGGGCTGATTAGGACATCGGTCCAATGCCACAAGTAGTACTCGCGATCCAACTCGTTCGCCAAGCGAACCTCCTTCCGCGCAGCTATGAGCAGCCGCAGATCCTTCCAGATCAAACGCGCCTCGCGGAAGGGGTGTGCGATGGTGGCCAAGACGCGTTGTTTCCGAGACTTAGGCTTTTCTTCTGGGGCAACGGTGCTGGATAGCTCTCTGGGGCGGGGGAGGATGAAGTCGCAGTCGTCGAAGAGGTGCTGCCGCTTCGCCATGAACTCTGCGTGTACGTTAACATCTTGCCTTCAAACCTGTATGGCTAATTTCTAGATGAAGAAGGAAAGGGAACAACTAAGCTTGTTCTCGAAACCAAGGCGCAGGGTCTTGGGATGCGATGTTTTTATACGTACCGTGCTTCGCCGTCATGCGGTCCTTGATCTGGGTGGGGATGTCCTCGGGGCGCAGTCTTTGCCGCGCTTCTGGGTCACTGGCGACCAGCCCGATGGGTGCGAGGTGGGGTACCAGTGGACGAGCAGGCGGTTGAGTAGGCTGTTGAGCAGACTCACAGCTGGTCTTTTTGCGGAGGATTGCCATTTTTGATATTATTGGAGTCGGCTTGTTGTGCTGTCATGAGAGCGGTTGGTGTGGGAGGGAAGTTGGTCATTGCTCGTTGGACGAGGGTCGGGGGGTGCTGGAGCTTTTATGTCATGCTGTTGTGCGTTGAACTCGTGTATGGCATCTCCGATCAAACTTACACCGCGCAGTGGCGCTGCCGTCAGTGAAAATCCAAATGTATATTGGAGTTTTAGAGTTTCCAGCCACTTCACTGTATCTCCATCGTCGCAGGCGGGCTATCACTTTGGCCTTATAGCCAGCCCTACGGCTCCCATCACACACGGGATTTATGGAATGGACACATGAAGGATGAATGAGGAAGGCTCTGGGGTCTATCCATTTATCTAACAATCCAGTGAGTCAGCCAGATTAGCTAAGGAAATACCTGGATGCTTGCCTGAATATGAGCACACAGGTCAAGGTCCTTGGTTTTCAGGGGACGGCTGGGGCATAACCTCTCGTTCGACGATAGCGACGAGCCAGACGATCAGACGCAAACAGGTCGTTTTTTGAGTCACATGTAAGCGACATCAATCAAGCAAGAATGGCTCAAATAATCAGTGGTATCTCGTGACTAAACGCCTGTGGCATCATGCTCTGCGCCCCTAACATTACAATCCAATGTACACAATCTGTTAGAATACGTGCTCAGTGGCGTATTTAGCCTTGTTATGAGTAGTTTTATGTTGTTATCTTGTGGGATTATATGTGTTTGTTAGAGGTACCTTTCCCACCTATTTGAGTAGGGTGGTATCCCCATCAGCTATCCTTCTTGCTTTTAAAACAGACCATTCCTAAATCTCACACAATCATCGAACTTCTCTTGTTTGGTTGATATGACTTAGTAGTCAGCACGAGGGCTCTGCTTTTTGTTGTCTTTTAGGGTATTTAGGCTTGGCTCCTCCCTTGCGGTCGAATAGCTTAATAATAAAATAAATCGTCAACACGATATTGGCCTGCGTATGGTGGCCTGGAAATGATGCGCTGGCCATAGCATGTCACCGAACCAGGCACAGGCTCGACGACCCCCAGCTCCGTCCAGACAGGCGTGCATGTCGGCACCACCACAGCCGACGTCGAGGCCTGCAAATATGGGACTCACCGAAAGGGTTGGAGTCGAGGAGGTAGGCGGGCAGGGGGCTACGCCTTCATGGGCAGCAGAAAACAGGAGCCACGTCGCCGGCGCTGGAGGCCTAGCGCTGTTGGACTTGCAGTCCGTGGTCGACCGGCAGCGCTAGAAGCAGGGTCTAGCATACCTAAGAAACACGGATGAAGCACAATGAAGGAATTTGTTTTCTTAAGGTGTACTTGTGTGGCTGAGCTGTGCTGTGAGGCTGGTGGGTGAGATAAGAAAGAATATCAGTGTTGTAGGATGGGGTTCTGTGTCTTCAAGGTATACAGGATTGAGATGTTAGTGGGTTGCGAGGAGGGGGCTACATGTGCAGAAAGGGTAATGCATCAGTCCAGGTACAGACGGCGCGTTTCTTTGCATGTAAGTTGGGGGGTCATGTGCATGACACATCGTTGTGACAACTGCTCAGGGGCAATGATCTGACAAGGCCTTCAACCTCGAGCAGCTCCTTACGAATGGCCAAAGCCATGTCCACGTCAGTTCTTTGGGACACCTGTTTCTGCCCAGCCGAGGTAACTCCGACCCGGGGGTCTGCACGCCGAAAAGCCTAAGCAAGCGGCTTACATCGACACTGGCGTTTCGTTGCCTATCATAAACGTTGGAGTCGAGGGGCCGGAAGCGGTCGGCGTCCGTGAGGTGGACATCGGCGTCGGCCTCGGGATCGAACTGCAGATTGAGCCAGTATCCCACCAGTTTCCCGTTCGCCCGGACCGGAGTCTCCCACGAGCCCGGTGGCCGTCTCTCGGTACGGGCTGGGGAGTCGTTGTACTTCTTGATCCGCACGATCTTGCCGATCTTCGGTCGTCCTGGGGTATTGGGGTTCTTTCTCAGTCCGTCGGCCTTCCTGGATGCGGTGGTGTTTCAGTACGCGAGTCAAGTCTCAAGTCTTGCAGTCGAGAAGGGGGTTTGACTTACGCTTCATCGAAAAGTTTACCTCCGCGCCGCAGCAGCTCGCGCTCAGTCAGACCGCTGTCGTGCAGGCCTGCAAGGGTAGCGTATTTTCGACTGACCAACATCTTGACGCCCTCGTGCGCGTAGGATCGCCCTGGCTGAGCAGGGTTGTGCTCGTTCTCGAACTCCCGGTACGGCAGGGTATTCAACTCCTCTGTCGTGAGGCGGTAGTAGGTTTTGGCTGGCATTACCATTCGTCATTCAGTCTATACGGTAGGCCATGACTTGCGCCACTGCTGAACAGAATTGCCTACCATCAGTCCGGTGAATCTCCACGCTGCCGACCTTCTGGCGGTAGCTCTCATCCTTGATCCAGGCCGACTCGGCCACCCATTCCGTCCAGGCTTCTTTCCACTGCTGTCGCTGCGCTGCACGCTGCGCTGCCTCGGCTTTCTTCACTGCGGTCTTCGATAGCGTTCGTAGCGCCTTTAGTATTCTCGGTGTTTTTGGTGTACTTGGTGAAATTCTCTGCGTTCGAGGCTTCTTCGTTGGCGTTGCGGGATCAACATCCTCGTCTTCGGATATGGGTCGCTTTCGCAAACGCTTGGATGGGGTCCCTGGCTGTGCCGGCGGCTGGCGCTCCATGGTTTCTTCCTGTTGAGGAGCTTTGGAAGATTAGGTAGGTACCTACTTGGAGGTGTTTGAACGACGGCGTCTATTCTAGACGAAACTCTAGATTGTCGTGCCGCCGAGCCACGTCGTCTCAACAAAAGGGTAAATTATCGGGGAGTCAATGTTGCTGGGGAAAGCGAAAAGCACATAGCATATCCTCACAAACGGACAGAGAGGGGATAAAAGGCTGTATGGGATATCCTTGCCAGAAACAGCTGCGTCTGCATGTATTGATACCCTCCCACCTACTTTGATAGGCAGCTCTATGACCCTATGACAATCGTTTCTTTTTCCCCCAACCCTGTTCAGCTACAACAATCGCGGCCAGGCAGCCAGGGTGACTACAGGATGAGTCATGAGCTATTTCTCAAATCAAGATGCTGACGGCGTTCCAGTCGGGACTCAGCACGTTGTACGTGATGCTCCTACCATCCGTGTCCTCGCCATAAGCCCTAAACTCGCCCTGGCTCTCGGCGAGATCTTGGTAGAAGCGCGCCGCGGCCGCCGCGATCTTCCGCTCCTTGTCGCTCGTCTTGAACTTGTACACGTGGTCTTGGACGCCGCGTACATGATCAGCGACTCCTTGTCGCCCGGCTTGAACGACAGCAGATACGGGATGTGCGAGGCCAGCAGCCAGTCGTGCGGCTGGTTCATGGGCAGCGCGGCGACGAGGTCCGCCTCCGTGTAGCCCAGCAGCTCCTCGCGCGTCGTCGGCGGCGCCGTGTAGAGGCAGGGCGGCTTGTTGGGCACGAAGGCCTGGTAGTAGTTCTGCAGGTAATTGACGGACGTGTGCTGCGGCGACGCGATGTGGATGCACATGGTGACGGTGTCGATGAGGTCGTCCAGGCTGTTGAGCTCCAGGAACCTGGTGATTTGGGCTCCGTCCCCTGTGCCGACGGGCGCCCGCATCTCCTTGGACCAGTTCTGGACCGCGCTGTCGTTGCGGACCTCGAGATCTGGGTCTTGGCCCGTGTATCTCAGCGAGAGCATCGTCTTCACGTAGCGCCGGATCTTGAACCACATGCTCAAGATGCAGCGGGCCCAGGCGTAGTTGTGGTACCTGTTGTCGTTGATCTTCTCGGGGGGGAACCCACGACGTCGGAGGTCCTCGGGGATGTAGGACCCCTGGAAGTCGAAATCATCTTTATCATGTCAGCCAAGTCTCTATTTGACTGTGTTGTATGATACTCACAATACTCCGATCTGATACACTGGTACGTGGGCCCCTCCTCCATACCCATCAAGGAAGCGATGACATAGGGTATGAGCACACTTCGAGCTGCAGCATTGAGTGACAGTGTCTTCTGCCAGTGCGGGTACAGAAGCTGGAAGACGTCGTGGTCCTGGGGCAGAGTCCTGTGTGCTGTGACGATGGCAGACTCCTCGATCAAGTGCGTGCGGGTCAGATGGACAGTGAGGGTGTGTCGGATCCAGTCACTGCTTTGGACACATGTCTTGGCTGGAGGACCGTCAGTTCAAGTCCAGGAGTAAAGATTACCATCCATCGACTTACCATATCGCCAAGCCCAGTCCTCCTTCTGCTCAACAGTGTTGAGCTCCCTGTTATAGATGAAGACCGAGTCTTTGGGGTCTTCGTCTTTGCCGCGCCAGTCAATGATGATGGCGATGGGCTCCAGTTTGCCATTATCTGCCAGGTGAACAAGCACACGGACGCAACACCGTACTGATAGGTGGTCTTCTCAGCGACGTCGTCACCATCCTTGTACGCCTCCGTACTTGCACGGCGGAGGTCATCAGTTCCTGCCGACTTCCGGATGTAGCTGTAGTCCTGCACGTACAATGACTCGGGGGACTCGGATGCCCTCTTGCTGATCTTGGACTTCATGCCGCTGTCCTTGGGGTCCGTTGCTGCGTCGACGAAGATTCGGACCCATTTGCCGGCCTTCTCGATAGTTGTAGGGTTTGTCCCCGTGAAGAATTGCGGGGCGAACCGAGCATCCGAGTACCAGTCAGAGAGGTTGCCAATGTTTGGTAAATCGAAGATATCATTGCGGATAAGCTTCTTACTGCGGAAATACAGAGTCAGCAGGTGACTACGTTGATGAGAGAAATAAGGGGCAAAATTCAGGAGCATAGAGAAGGACAGATGGCAGTGTTTGTTTGTTTGTTTTGTATTTAACGTGGGGGGTAGCTCCTCAGTAGTGCAAACCACGCCTCCCAGAGCCATTGCATCGCAAGGTTATAGAGGTGTCAAATTAGATACATTCAGATCCGCGCACGAGCCTATCCTCGCTGTAGCGGTACCAATCTGGAGTGTTCAGATGGTTTTAGTCAATACCCAAGCACGATTTCGTCAGAAAAACCTCCTATCTAGTGACAAAGCGACCCAGTGAACCTCAGTTCTCTGGTGTACATATCGTTCCAGTAGCCGTTCGATATATGTCGCATTGGTGGGTGGAGTATGTGTTTGTTATCTGCTGGCGAGGGAAACCACAAGGGGGAAAACCTCGCAGGAGTGGGTATTGTGGAGACAAGCTGCTTGGCTATCGGGCTCTGCGATAAAATGGGGCCTCTCCACTGTCGTGTGCTGGTTATCGACTCGCACAAGCCGGGTCAGAAAGGGGGCCATAGCAGGATTCGAACCCACTTGTTCTCGTCGCCCACCGCACAAGCGACAGATGGCAGTGGTCTGGAGGCAACTCACGACTACTTGTTGTTGTAGTCTTCCACATCCAACAATTTCTCGCCCTTGTCAGGTCTACCCATACTACCATGCACGGCCTCAGCCACCAACTACCCAACCTTGGCCCCAGCTCGTCCGATGAAGTTCTTCGGCACCACGGCAGGGATTAGTGCTGTGAGCTGGGCAAGACGCAGCGTGTTGAACAGATCGCCGGGGGACAGAGCCGACCCCTGGTGCTTTGGCATGACTCCATTGGCGTCTTTGTTGGCCGCAAGATTGAGGTGTGGGGGAAAGTTGTCCGTCTTGGGGTCAGTGAAGGCGAAGAACTGCTTCTTTTGGTCAAGAGAGAGCGGTGAGGGCACGGTCGGCTCGAAGTTGGCGGTATCCATGAACGATCCGTATCTGTTGTAAACATCAGTAACTGTGTCCATCTAGGGATTTGTCAATACCTACTTCTTCTTAATGAGATCGTATATCTTGGTCAACGCAAGTTGAGTACCACAGTAGGTACCCTCCAGAAGCTGGTCGGCGCGGTTTGCATCGTTCTTGGCTCGCTCTAGGAGGACTTCAGGGTTGTCTTGAAGTGAAGACTTTTCATCCTCGGTGAGTGGATTCTCAAACATCTTGGGCAACATGTCATTGTTGATCAACTCAGTGATGAACACACCCGTGTCGAAGACTGGGATGGGAACCTCGTTGACGTCCATTGGCCATTGTTTCTCGTCATCCAGCGTAGCACCAACTGCCAACCCAGGCGTGAGGACGATTGGGGTAGCTTCAGCCATGGTGGTCGATCCAAGTCTGATAACTCACTATGATCTGGTGGGGATATGGACAGGGCTATGGGGCAAGTTTGTGTGAACGCGATCTGGCTGTGAGCAACCCGTGATAGATTATATACCCAACCTTCTCATAGCAGACCTGATGGTTCAAAACAGGCTTGGCCTGGGAATGCGTATCAACGCCGCCATCAGATGTTCCTTTATTGGAGATCTTGATCTTCTGTTCCAGAATCAGCCTCATGCACTTCCCCAATGTTGAAAACTGACAGAGTCAGACCGAAATGACTCCTAGGAATGGTGCCGAGTGACTTCCATGCATATGGATCACTTTTCAATTGCAGTATCAGCACGCCACACGGAAGCCTCAGCCCAATGGCGGGAGGGCTCGTCTGCCGGCCGGCAATCAAGCTGTTGAGACATGCGTTCATTCGGCGGCTGGCAGCAATCCAGACAAGACTTGGGCGCGTCAGGTCGCTTCGTGGCTTGCTGAAACGAAAGAGCTGAACATACCCCGCGGTGAGTGTCCAGCTCAGTGTCGTGACAGAAATCCCTGATATAGACTTCTTCACCAGGCGTGTAAGACATGTGACATGTCTCATCACCGGGGATGGCCTGGCAACGACGCAAGATGCAGATATAATGCCTCTGACTTATCAACATGCTTTGGGTCGACGACTGCAGCCGCGATGGCTGATCGGATGTCTGCTCAGGGGTTAATGACCATGATTTCGTGTTGTTGCTGCTGGTATGACGCTTGTTGTCATACACCAGTAAGCCAACATCCAACGCGGAAACAATGAATCAGAGCACATGTCTGTAAGCCACATGTAAGTTAAGTATGCCGGCTCGCAGATAGTATGCATACTTTAGACTTGATCCGAACCTGAAGGGTCTAGGCGACCAGGTAGGTTGATACGCGCAGCGCTTCTGAAATAAGGGATTAGGATATGTAGTACAAGCCAGAGCAGCAGCGGAAGGCGAAAGCTTCGAATCCTGGTCAAGCTCGGCCGAAAGCAGCGTCACGCTGAAAGGCTTCTTTCTCGGCCGCTCGATAGCCTTCCGCCAGCATGATCTGACCAATTCATCTACTGCGGCCGAAGTGATGATGAAGACTCGCCGAGTCACCTCTTGTGCGACGAGTAGCTTCTCCGCGATCGGGTCCCGAAGACGTCGTTGATAAGGGCAGGCACGTTCATTGGGGGTCTGATGGCGACGGCGGACAAGCTACAATGAGCGGCGTGGTCTCGACATCGTGAACGGGGACTTTGCATTTGGGGGCGGAAGTGTTAGTGCTTACCTCCTAAGGATGACTAGGTAAGATCGTCGGACTCTCGGAGGTCGTTTCGGAAGCACCACCCTTGCAGGCGGAGTGTAAGCTAATTACTTATAATTAGTAGCGGGGCCGAGTAGTAGAAGTGGAATTAATTTCATCTCACACCATCCCCTTAATTCCATCTCTCATTAACTTCACTTTTTACCACATCAGAGCATAGAAAACTTCTCCCCGACCTCCCAAGTGCTCCCCAACACGGCGGTAATCTTCGGCCTCTTCCCCCTCGGCGTCGCCCTCGCCTCAATCATCAACCCGCGCTTCGGCCTCCTGAACGTCTTCGAAGCTAAAACCCCGTCCACGCCGCAAGACCAGAAGCTCGTGGACGGGCTTATGATATTGTTCGGTGCCAGGGACTTGTACCTCGGTTTGTCGCTGACGGCGGCGTGGTGGATGGGGCAGAGGGAAATGATGGGGTGTCTGTTGTTGATGGCGTGTGGGGTGGTGACGGTGGATGGGGTTGTGCAGAGGCAGCACCTGACTGGGCCAGGTGGGGAGTGGAAACATTGGCCGTTTGTGCCGCTGATGGGTTGGCTTGGAGCCGGGTTGCTTGGGTGGTTGGGTTGAGCGAACCGGGTCATTTGGTACCTGTGGATGGAAATAAAGGATGCGGAGACGGCGAGAGCACGGTGATCGTTGATGGAGAAGGACATCTGACTGGTGAGGGTCGTGGGAGGCGTGTATCTGATAAACTGCGGCGAAGCACCATCTTTGATGAACTGCGGCGAAGCATATATGGGACTACAGGGAGTGGTAATACCCAGGTCTGAGGTGGTGCTTCGCCGCAGTTCATCAGTTAGGACAATCAACCGTTTACTCAACTCGAGTACATACATAAGCCTGCTTTTGGGTCTCGCTGCATGATACTTAACTTTGTTTGGCTTGCTCAGCATGCCTCAGAGGCCTTGTGACTTCTGTCAGCTTGTCTACTCTTACGTCCATCTCCTCATGCACTGAAAGACCTGTTGGCCTAACGTTATCTCATAGAGCAAGTCTTGCCAACCTGGATATTTACGGACCAGGCGGCTGCCGGTGGCTCATTCCAACACAGTACTGCTCTGCGGGCTGTGAAAGATTGTCGATTGTATTGGCCCGACTTTGTCAAGACGAGGCTCATGCACGCACGTGTTCAGGGTTGGGCAGATCAGAGACGCTGGGAGGTTATTTCTGCTATCACGAGCGCTGTGTGGCGGCCAGCAAGCCCAACATCAAGGTATTTCAAATCGAACTGGTCCTACTTCCGGGTTTCCCTCCGGCCATCAAGTCATTCGCTAAGCCTCAGAAGGATTTCATGTTGGTTGTCGTGCTTGAGCAACAGAGTTGAGGCTGAGGTCATCACCAATCAGAGGATGTTCCCGGTTGATAAGACGCCGACTACGACTGAGTTGGGGTACGGGTTTGAACCCCTCGCCATAAAATCTAGGGAATTGACTGGCGCCAGCATACAATATCGGAGGGACATCTTTAGCTACAGCTACCCAGACCCTTATCTGATGAACTGCGGCGAATCACCATCTTTTGATGAACTGCGGCAAAGCATATATGGGGCTACAGGGAGTGGTAATACCCAGGTGGTGCTTTGCCGCAGTTCATCAGATACCCTTGTGATCAAGCTGAACCAGCCGTCCAAGGGTCACTCCAAGATGATGCTAGCTACTGGTACGGTCGTTCGTGTTTAAATTCGAAGCTGCTCATCGGAGCCACGCCAGAAAACGAACGCGTGTTCATCCCAAGTCGGCCTCCAGTCCCCCGAGTCGATCAAACATAGAGCAGCTGCATATTCCCAACTATTGGCAGTTCATAATCCAGATGAAAGACATAGCTTGGCTTGACAAGATAGTCTTCGCATGGTTACTCGCCCGTTTACCTGATAGGAGTGAGCGCCATCCCATGGAATAAGCGCTACCATCTCTATCATTGGTCGATTCGTAAGTCTTGGTGCAGGAAGACGTGACCAAGCTCATGGGTCATCAGTTTTATTTTGGTCCACCTCCAGAGTCTAAGCCACCATCATCAATCGTGCTTCTTTTACATCTGCGCGTCTGACCCGACCTACTGGCCGCTAACAGCTTACTGACCGGGTTGAGATACTCGGCACACTGGCTTCCGTTCTTTCACAGCCGTCCGGAACCACAGCTTCCCATGGGCCGGGGATTCTTGTAGTCTGCGGTTGGGATGACCGCATGGCGTCGCCCCGCTAGCTCTGTCGTACGAATACAGAAAGATTCGAGAAGCATAGGAGTCGCGATGTATATAAAGCTCAAATGAGTCCCACCGATGGCAGACTTCTAAAAGATCATCCTCAACAACAGCATAGCATCAACGCCTTTCCTACCGGTTTTCTACCTTTTCCATTTCTTCTTCCTTTTCCGCTCTTTCCCCTTTCCCCTATCCCCTAGGTTCTGTTCTCTTTTTTCGGGTCGCTTACTTCTTTGACTCTTCGGACCGGTTCTCCTTTACAGTTTCCAGACAAATCATATTGCTTAATACCGTCACCATGCTCAGAGATGCTACCGTCGCTGCCATCTTCGCCTTCTGCTCCGTCTCATCGGCCGCGCCCGCCTGGTCCTCGTCCATGCCAGGCACTGGCACGTACCCGATCACCTCCGGAACGGCCGCGGGTTCAAGCGGTGCTGCCATTGCCACGGCACCCATTTACTCCAACTCCGTGACCTACCAACAGGCAGAGCAGGCTACCGACTCAAGTTCCACGGCCGCGGACACGGCGATGGCCACCGGGCCCCCATCCACGCCGACCGACCTCGGTCTGACCAAGACGCAGCAGATCCTGCTCTCCGACAGCCGCGTCGACGTCTTCAACAACGTACTGAGGGAAAACAAGGACTTCGTGTTCGACTTCAACGCGAAGCGCAAGTTCGGCCCGGGCAAGGGCGGCGAGGTCGTGCAGGCGAACCGCAAGACCTTCCCGGCCATCACGGACACCGCCATCGGCATGGCGGTCGGGTTCCTGGGGCCCTGCGGTTTCAACACCCCGCACGTGCACCCGCGCGCGACCGAGTTCCTGATCGTGACCAAGGGCCGGCTCGTGTCCGAGATGTTCGTCGAGAACGGCGTTAGAAATGCCGATGGCACCCCGCGCAACGTTATCAACACTATCGAGGAGCTGCAGGCCACGCCCTACTACCAGGGCGCGCTGCACTCGCAGTTCAACCCTACCTGCGACAACGTCACCTTCATCGGGCCCCAGTCCAGCGACGACTTCGGCGCCAACACCATGGCGCAGGCCTTCTTTGCCCTCGGCGACGACACCATCGCCGCCGTGGCCGGCAACTCGATCGACGGCGCCGAGATCGACAAATTCCGCGGTATGCTGAGCGTCAATGTTGCGGAGGGCGTGCAGCAGTGTCTCGACACTTGCTTCCCGAAGAAGGACCAGTAGGGGGTTGGCCAAAGACGATGGGCAGCGTGGAAAGGGGCAAGCGAGGGGCTGTGCGGGTGGGCTGTTTGCCTCGCAGAAGACAAATATGTTAGTGATGATGATAGGGGGGAGCTTGGTGCATTCATAGATACGGTATTCATCGGGAACTGGTTTAGGAGCGTTTTTCATCGGTCCGGAGTTCATTGCATTGGTCAACCTCCCGATTCTGTTTTTACCCCCTTTTACATCACAGCATAGACCACTGAGATGGTAGCTCAGCACACTCCTTCAATGTGATTCGAGATTCTGTAACGCGTGTGTAACCCTGTCTCGTGCGGTAGTGGTGACTGAGTTGCATCGTAGATCTTTGGTATCGTGACTTGACGCCCTTGACTTCAATACAGCAAGGGCACCCGCCGGCTTCTTGACAACTACACATTCCAATCTATATTCATGATATGAGCCTATTTATTATCGCGTATAAAACCTGCGACCATTATAGCGGCAGTAATGTAATATTTCCTTGTTACTCTTCGTCCGTATCTCGGACTGGTTACCTTAGTCTACTGTCCGTCTGTCCGTCTGTCCGTCTGTCCGTCCGCCCGCTCCGATCAGATTAACGTTATATTAAACATTCCTCCCCGGCCTTTCAACAAACTTCAATCCCCGTCTCCCCCCTCCACAAACTCCACCTCCGGGAAAGGGCCCCTTCCCTCAAAAACCACCTCCGTCTCCCCTCTCACCAGCCCGAACAGTGCCCTCACAAACACCCTCGTAATCTCCATCACGCGCAGCCCGCCAATGCCCCCCAGCTGTGGTGTCGTCGTCTTGTTCCGCAGGTCCAGCAGGTCTATCCAGAGCGGAATGTCGGAGAAGTCGAGGTGCTGCGCTCCATGCACCACGAGCCAGCGCCACCAGCCCGTCTGCGCGGCGCCGAAAGGGGCCCAGGTCGGGTCGGCCGTTCCGTTGAATCCGTGCTCATCGCCACCGAGCTGGACGAAGGGACCGCCGTGGCGGAGGCCGAGCGAGGGGTATGTGCTGTTGGCCGGGAAGTCGTAGCCGCCGTCAAGGTTGAGGCCGGCACGGAAGAGGGGCGGGGTGGTGGTGGAGGCGTTGGATTCTTGGGCGGCGAGGATGGCCGCGGCGGCAGCGCCGCCGACGCTGTGGCCAAAGACCCCGAAGTGGGTGAGGTTAAAAGGGGCGGCGTAGAGGGCTGCGAGGGAGGGTAGAAAGCTGACGAGGGCATAGATATCGGCTACGCGGTAAGCGTAGATTTCGACGATGTCGGCGGCGGTGAAGGAATAGGTGTAGCCCCAGCCGTAGGTACCTGAGTCAGTGTAGGGGGTGGGCAGGTAGGGAACCTCGCCGGGATGATCGATGGCAACCACCGCGTAGCCGTGCGAGGCGAGGTCGGAGAGGATAGCCGTGTAGGCAACACAGGGGACACCGCCACCAGGGGAGAAAATGAGTGTGGGAGAGGTGGAGGTGTTGAAGAGAGTGGGCGCTTGAAATTGGAGGGTGGTAGTCAGGTGGGAGAGGGAGTCGGGCGGGTAGTCGAAGGACGCAGAGAATAGGTCGATGTTGATGGGATCGAGGTAAGGCGAGGTGGTGTTTGGGAGTTGCAAGGTCGGATAGTAGATTGTAGCGACGATGAAAGTGCCGGTTCCGTTGACGGCAGCGGGCGTGGGATCATCGTAGGTGGTATGGTTGAAAACGTGCTGGGTATATCCTACATGGTAAGGTCCGGTGCCTGGAGGAATGGAAATGGCATGGAGAGACCCTGCTATGCAGAACAACCGAAGCGTGTGCAACAACATGACCTGACCGAATGTTCTAGGTTCGAGGTCACAATACTGAATACGGTGAGAAGAGCAGAAAACCCAAGAGAGTAAAAACCGAGGAAAAGAAAACGAAAGCGGCTGCGAAATGGCGCCTGATAGGGAGCCATTCCCGTGCCACAAAGCTACATGAGTCTAGCAGCCACCTTGGTGCTGACGGCAGAGCCTCAAAAGACGGTATAAGCCCGTCACAGGTGAACTCTGTATGCAAGTAAGCCGCCACCATACATGTAAGTCAGCAAGCCATCGACCAATGACCATAAGGAGTACTTGTACCGTCAAAGCTGCCACCTGCAACTGACCGACCATCAGCCTTTCCTGTGGCCAGTAAGTTATTGATTGGCAAGTCACCGGCGAAAATGCTTGCCCTCGGTGAAGAAAATCTGGCCTCAGCTAGTTGTCACGACTTTAAGAGAAAAATAACATGCTGCGACGACCAGTTTCGTAAAGCGCCTACCGATACCCAACGGCTGCTGCAAGTCACTCTGCACGCTGCTGCCCCCCTGCCAGCTGTTCCCTGTCCGAGACCACGGGCTATCAACCAACACAGTCGAGTTGTCCCCCCACACCGGGCCTTGCGCCTCCGCTCCTCTGCTACTCCGCAGGAAGGGGAAATCTCTCCGAGTTCGGCAGGGCTCTCAACATCAAGTCGTAGATTAACACCAAGGACGATACCTCGTCAAATAACGGCGGGGGCATAGATGTGGGACAGCCCTAGATGTGGGACAGTTTTCACACCAAAGGCCACACTTGCACCCACACATAATTCCAATCTGGATTGAGGATCTAGATAATATAAAAACAGCAAAAAAATCGCCTTTTCTTGGAGTTTTTAACAATACTAATTGTTGTCTCGGTACTGTGCAGGCTGGCGGATTGCGCGGCGCAAAGATCGAACCACAATGGGCTCCTCATCCTCCTCATCCTCGCTTTCGTCCCTTTTATCAACAATAACTCCTTTATCTTTAATATTCTTTAAGGGCTCAAATTCTTCTGAATCTGATGATTCAGACGAGAGAGAGTCATCAGAGAATGATCTCTCTGATTCATCCGTATACAGGTTCTGCAATTTGGCCATAATTTGTTGTCTCTTGGCCCGCTGCTTAATCAAGACTCGCGCAGTCTCCGTCGGCTCGATCTGTTCCTGAACAACGTCCCTAATTCTCTATAGCCGTTGATTAGGCTCTTCTTGAGGTGCCTTATAGCGCTTTTTTGACTGTAGACGCTCAATTTCGGCGTCTTTTGCCTCTAATAGCTCCTTTATGAGGGCTAGCTCAACCACCATCTCATTGTACAACTTCGCAACTAAGCGCACTTCTGCTCACTGCTCAGGGGTCTTAACAACTGGTGGTAGCATCAGGGCCATGTCCTGCCCTGATTTAGGGGCTTTTGGGGCCTTGTGGGTGGTCTCGGGGCCCATTATAGCAGCTGCTGCTGCTTGGATCTCTGCTGCCTTCACCAAATGCTCGTTCGTCAACATTTTTTGTCGATTTACAGGCCAAAGCCCAGCAGCATGTGTTGAATAGGAGCCGGAAATAGACACCGGAAGATCTCCAGTGAGGCAGAGACGCACAGGGCATCTGACCCACCAAGAAGACAGATGATCAATCTCTGCACGCAGAGCAGAACAAGATAGAATCAATCAACATCCGTGTACTCAACAGTAGATTTCTCGATATATTCAATCCTTAGACGACGAGACATGCATCATATACTAAAAGTGTAAGGAAACCCTACACCTAGAACCCCAGAATAAGCTGTACCATACCTAGCTCAAATATTCAAGGAGAGTAGTCTAGACACGGGTCTCATCATGAACTGCTGTTACCAGATACCTCACGTTTAAATTCCCCCTTTCACTTCCTGATAACCCGTCCTGTACCTGGTTATATAGAAGCTCTTTCTCTCTCTGCCGTAGCAGACCCCCAGTCGCTAACCTCGCCGTCATAGTTAGCGTTTTGCGCAAGTGAGGTTCTCAGCGACCACGTGATCGAGACTAAGTACCTTAGTTACCAAGTTAGTCAGACCACCCCAGGCTATTGATCTTCTCAGGTTAGAGTTCACCACCGAACCGTCGACTCGGTTCAGTCTAGTAGCAGCATCCACCGAGAACAGGCCTGCACCACATTTGATTAGGCCCATAAGGTCCAACTTATCCCACATCCACCCCCACCCCCACCCCCACCCGTCCCCGGATCCGCATGTTTTTGGTGTCTCCACGGCCCCAATTCTTTCGCGACCTAAGTTCGACTTCATCTCATCCATTCAATCATTCATTACCTTGGACAGCGTTAAGATAGCGCAGTTCGGATTCCATAGGTAGCTCGCAGGAGGGATCGGGGACGACGATCCGCTCCGAGTGTGGGTTAGAGAAGGTATCTTTCTCTGTCGGATACCATTCAGTGTGGCCCCGGTCTCGAGGCATCAGCACTAACTCGGGTGAGAATGCAGGCCGCCACCGACTTGCGTTGGTAGCGGATGCGGGACAGCATTGCGGTATTCTCGGGGTATACTCACACCGAGTAGATCAGAGACATTCCTCTCCAGCAGATTAGAGGCATTCCTGCGCCATGGTCCGCCAGGCCGCAGGCGTATCTGACCGCAACCGTGCTAAGTTGTCACGATGAAGTTAACAGACAGCAGCGGAGTCGAATTACATACAAGGCAGGTAACGTTAGTAAGGATCCCAAATAGACAGCTTCATTATTATATATGGTAGAGATCTGGGATATCTAGGTATCATGGCATAAGTAGCAAAGAAGCCCGGAAGAACAGTTCGCAGGCATGATATGGTAAGATCGTGGTATATATGTCCCAAGGCCGACCGTGATGGCCGACTTTAAACAAGACGGACCGCCATCCCGAGGCGGCGATGGATGCAACAGCACCCGAGATGCCAATCTAGACCTTCTCCTCCACAGTGTCGTTGGCCAGTGCCTTGTCCTCGTGGACGTGGTGCATCTCGGAGGCAAAAGTGTGGTCGGGTTTCCACGCGGCTGACTTGCGTGGTGGTACCGACTCCATGCACATGTCGGCCTGCTCGAGAGACAGGCCCTTGAGTTCGGGGACGAGGAAGTAGGCAAAGGCGACGCTGATCGTGCAGAGAGAGCCCCACAGGAAGAAAACCCGAGAGCCCAGGTTGGCCTTGTCCGCGCCGACGAGGTAGGGAGTAATGACGGCTGTGCAATGAAATCGTTAGTACGCGTGTCTTGGCATTATTGGGGGTGGGGTGAAAGTTGCTTACCAATGATAGTGTTCCAGAACCAGTTCGACGACGTGGAGATACCAACACCGCGTGACCGGATGGGCAGAGGGAAGGATTCGCCGACAACGACCCATGCCGTGGGACCCCAGGTCATGGCAAAGCAGGAGATGTTCAAGCAGATGAAGGCGATCTGGGCCGAGACGGCCGAGGTGTTGTGGGCTTCCTTTCGGCCAGCGGTGACACCAATGGCACCAACGATGAACTGACAGATGATCATACCCGTGCCACCGACAATCAACAAAGCACGGCGACCAAACTTCTCAATCGTGTAGAAGGAGACAGGCGTCGAGCAAACATTGCATAAAGTGGTGATCAGGGAGATGAGGAAGGGGTTGGAGATGGTGCCAAGCTGCTTGAAAAACGGAGGTCCGAAGTAGAAGACGAAGTTGATACCAGTCAGCTGTTGCATGCACTGCAGACCAGTGCCGAGGATGGTACGACGGAGAGGACTGTTTCCCTTCATGATGGAGCCCTTGAAGCAAGCTGTCCACGAACCAATGTAGGAGGTCGCCGGGACGTGCATCATCTCAAATTCGTTGTTCGCCACGATCTCGGCGAGCTCGAGCTTCACGTAATCGGAGTCCTCAGGCTGACCACGAACGTAAGCCAGGGCCTTGGACGCTTCCTCGATTCTGCCCTTCTTCACGTAATACCGAGGAGACTCGGGGAGAATGAAGAGACCAATGGCCAAGACGGTAGCCCAGAGGAATTGGACGCCGATGGGAATTCGGTACGAGCCGGAGTCGGGGCGGTTCTGAGTGGCGTAGACGACGCAGTTGGCCAGAAGGATACCGATAGTGATGCAGAACTGGTAGCCGGATACCATGGCACCACGGACCTTCTTGGGGGCGATCTCGGACATGTACAGGATGACGACGGTGGAGATGAATCCGACACCAACACCAGCAATCAAACGGCCGAAAACAAACAGAACTTCCTGGTTGGTTGCAGAAATTTCCAAGATGCAGCCGATCGTGAACACAAAGCAGCCCATGATGATAGTAGGTCGTCGGCCGTAGAAGTCGGCGATATCACCGCCGATGAGGGCGCCGAAGAAGGTACCGCAGGACAGAATCGATGTGAAGAGTGACTGTGTGGCAGATGGCAGCACGAAGTCGTCCTTGCTGATGCCACCAATCGGGTAACCAACGCTGCCGTCAGAGTTCACGATGTTATAGTCGTACTCGACGCCGGTGTAGAGCGTGATGAAGTATGGCATGGCCAGCACGCCACCCATCCAACCTGTACGAAGTCAATGGCTGAATTCTCGGGCCAGCCAGCGGTTAAGGAGCTTACCTGTATCATAACCAAAAAAGATACCGCCGAAGGCGGCAAAGGCGCAGATGAGATAGGCCTTGACGGTTACGGGCGCCTCGACGCGCCCGACGTCGGCCGTGCCCTCGACAACAGGTGCCACACCACCAGCCATGGTTGCTGGTAGACTTGCGACTTTTTACTTGCGTATAGTTGAGCAGAAGCGATCACTAACCAAGACGCTTGACACCGGTGGCTGAGGTAGCGGAAGATGGCGTTCCAAAACAGGATAACCAAAGGAAAGGAAGATAAGAGATGCGGAGGAGGAGGACTGGCCGGGTTATATAGGGCTATACTTGGGGGCGAGATCCTCGGTGCACGCAACAAAGGAGATGGCCAGTCAGATCCGAGCAGGATATATTACGGGTACTCTGCAGTGCCATCAGTGGAACGGACGCAGGGTAGTATGAAGAAGGCGTGTGACCTAGGTACCACTGACAAGGGTGTGGTCAGTGTCATGTTGCGAGCAGGAGGTAGGCAAGCAGAGTGGTTGTTTCTGAGCCGTTACACCAGTGACAAGTCCTCCCGTTTTCGGGGTGAATCAAGAGCATTCACAATACGATACGGGGTCTTCGTCGAATCAGGCAGACTGGAAGAGGTCCGCAGATCGATCAGGTGCTGCTGCTGGGTGGCTGGTGGTGATTGGATAGCCGGCCGAATGCAAAGCCAGGGTATCGGCTATAGGCAGGGGTGTAAAAGGGCCGTCTCTTCCTGGGAGGCAAGAAAGTCATGCGCAGTTTGGCCGAGATGCAGTCTGATCCGATCAACAAAGCTGCTGCAAAAGATCCCAAACCCGAAAGCCGACGATATTTCCCCAACATGGGGATTTGGGGAATAGATGGAGAAGATGGAGAGGCTGGGGAAGGAAGCCCATGGCTAGCCTATCTGCAATCCACTGCTGTATAGTGCATCGTTCTCGTGACCGTGACCGTGAATATACGCAAACGGCAAGGCAGCGACTCACTGAGTCAATGTCTTGCCCAGTCTCTTACCGCATTCAGCCGTACCTGACAGCTGGTGATCTAGAAGGGTTCGACAGGTGCCCAAGAACACAGAGATCAGCGCCAGTATATTAGACGGTTTTCCATTTGTAGAAACCTAATTCTTAGCGTAGCAGATGCTTTCAGGTGTGCGTGTTTTTGAGAAAACTGCAAGCATTGAGGGTGCTGAAATGCCCCATGCCAATCACCAATATCGTGAAATTGGTGCAATCAGGAAATGGACGATACGAGCAGGGGTAAGGGGTACCGACTTACGGCCGACCAAGTTCCAATTGCTGCCCACATACCCCCTGGCCGGAGATTTCCTTACGTCGTGAGCTCGGGTCTGCTGGGAGCCCCGGCGAGCGAGCTGGCTGCGGCGGCGGCTGCGAATGGGTGTGCGCACGTTGCATGGTGGTATGTACAGTAGCAGGTGAACGAGTAGGATCAATGCCATTGTGCTCCTCGACGAGTCGTTTCTGATAGCTGACGTGACTCCTCTCTTGACAACGTAGAAATTGACTCGGAACTTGGAAGGATTCGGTCTCCTGGTCTTCTGGTCAGCCGGTCAAGGGCCACTTCTTCCCTCGTTTTTGTGCTAACTTGGTTCAGGCGCTTCCGGACCGAATTAGAGCACGATGGAGCGAGTTCTCCTACTGGCCAGGTGGACGCGACGTTACATGGTAGTCCACATACGGCAGAACCAAGATAGCTACCAACAAGTACTGTGTACTGTCGGGTCCAGAGAACAACGGACGACCAGCCTTCCCCACAGCCCACAAGACTGGCATGCTCTCGATTGGGAGACCCAGCAACGTGGCGGCGCGGGAGGTACCAGCTAGGACTAAGGACGCACATGGCATGCTTTGTCTGCAGCAGATGCGACCACCACGGCGCTCATCAATCGGCCAATTTGGCAGGCCGCCAGGAATCACCGCAGGCCGCTTGGCGAGTCACAGAGGCAGCCAAGGAAGGCGTTCGAGTCGTAGACCTCCCCTACGGACAAAGGCCTTATTCCAAATCTTGGGGGATTCGAGCACGACATGACCGACCAGTCACTGATCGGACCGCTTGTCTCGCCTACACAAGCCATTCTCTGATCGGGGCCGGGGACCTGGAAGGCTGTCATGGCATGGTGACTTCACCTGACAGACCTGACACCTGACCAAGCGTTTACGGTTTTGCATCGCGCAACACTTGGGACGGAACGAAAGGGACCAGAACGGTGTGGTGTGGTGTGCGGGCTACACAGCGTACATGCAGTTGGCGCTAGCCTGCCGACAACCCGACAAACCGCGACGCGTGGGATTATGGGACACGAAGGAACGTGTACTGTGCATGTATGACCTTCCAATCGCAGCTGTGGCTTCATGGGCACTGCTTGCTGATCGGCGAATGCGTCTCCGACAGCCATCAAAGTCGGAGTCATACGTTCTTCCACTTCTTGACACAAGGACTTCCAGTGAATGGCCAACGAGTGAAGTGTCAGCCTGCCAGGATAGGGCGGCCAGAGTCGGAAAGGCAGAAAAGGAAGGGTCCTGACTCATGAGATGTGTAGAGAATATCGATAGACACTGGACAGACAACAGCCTACAGCAAAATGTGGAGGTGGACACCGTAAATCCTTGATGAATGCAGCTGGGAAGGGACATTGGAGTTCAGAACTTCAGAACTTCAGTGCGAGTGCGGAGAAAGCGTGGAGGAGGATCCTTCCGCGGCGGGGTCCCCGTCTCAAACCAGACATTGATCCCCAGTTCCCTAGTACTTACCCCAGTCCCCGCGATTAGAACCCTTGAAGTTGATAGTCTAGAACACCAAGCGAACGGAGCAGACGCCCATGAAAAGGAGATCGGCCCGAATACTATCATATCCCGTCCTTTCCCATCGCTTCTCAGCAGATCACCATTCCCACTACCTAAAGCCACTTCGCTCCCACCGCTTCCATCCAATCCCCTATGGGCATCCTCCATCAGGCGAAGGACAAGGACAAGAACCAGCCCTATTCCCACCCACCGTCGTACCAATCTTGCTATTCGGCCCAGCTGCGAGGTGAGATGCTGTCGTACCTTATTCTCTGTACGGCTGTACGGTCACACCAGAGGGGCATGTAGGAACCCAACATACCCTCAGCCGCCATCCGGCATGTGTCACGTCGTGCGTACGGATACGTGCTGCGAAAGAAGCTTCCCCTTTTCCTTTTCCCTTCGGCGCAAACGCGGTCGCCCTCGGCCATAAATTGCTGCATTCATGCTTAAATTGCCACGCCACGCCTGGCTTCCACGCCCGCGGATACCGGTAGCCTCATGCGGTGACACGAGGTGCATACTGAGTAGTAAGTACATGCCCCTGACTATATTGGTGGCCGCCCCATATATCCTCCTCCATGATCCATCGCTCCATCGCTCCACGGTCCCACCCCCAGGATCAGATCATGGGAGCCCACACTTCCCCAGGCCATCTCACTACTACGTGGGTACTACGAGGTCTAGTTCCAGGGCGCTTGTTACTGGTGGGTCACGGAAACCAACATCGCACGACTATCGGCCTGGCAGCCTGGCCTCGACGTGCTGATCCGGAGTCGCCTTACCAGAGTTGGTATCGCTACTCCGCGTGCAAACCCACAGGTCCAGTCTAGACAACGCAGATAGCAAAAGGGGTCAAGCGCCAGAACATTGAAGCAAGCATCCTGGCCTGTTGAACCCAACCACGAGGCATCCGTGGCTTGGGTTTCTCCAAAGTTGAAAGTACCCGCGTGCCACAGACGCTTACCGCATCGTCGGGACCGCACCGATGCCATGCGCTCTCCGGCCTCCAGACCTCGTAGCCCACGGACAACATTTTCAATTGACTCATTGTCTCGCGCCCGCGCTCCGGAATCGGTAGTGCACATTTCCCTCCCTTGGATCTCAGTCACAACTCGCCCTTCCGTACGGGAGGCCAATGCCATCGCAAGCCGAACTCAAACTCTTCGTGCCGCTTTGAGTAACATGAAGGAAGAGGCTCCGCCTCGCTGACATGGTCACTTGACGTGCTTCTTTGTTGCTTACCCGGGGTCCAATTTCCACGTCCCCCGGATTGAGGACCAGATACGCGAGTCTCATTTGAACATTGCGCATATACTTCGAGACATGTCACGAAAATCCTTGGGCCAATCACCAACAAGTCATTGGGATGGCATTGTAGCTCGTTCAATCTCGGCTGTTTGTGTCATGAGACCTGATGACTTGCTACTAGCCTGACTTACCCAGAATTCGGAGGGGCCCATCACCTAGGTTTGGTTGGGGTATCACACTACCTCATACGCTATTCTACGGAGTGATGCTTGCTGTCCCTAATAGACGCTACTCTCGGCAGCTAACTGGGTTCTAAGCCAAGCGCGCGGACTACATTCCCTATGCGAGCAAGGGACAGTCGCAAACCCAACCCGTCGGTACCTCTCGTCCGTTAGCGGCTGAACGACTAGGAGTAGACGTCTTCGTTCGCCAGCAGTGGGATTAGTCTGATTTTCCCTTGCCGTAGTGCTTCAACAAACAACTCGTCCCTCACGTCTTCGCTCAGCTGCTTCATCACACCACGACCAAACAGACGCACTTGTGACTCAGTACTTCGCTGGGCCAGACTTGGTTCAACCGCGGAGACCGGGTCATAACCGGCGTAGTCAGGGATCCCCAGCCCGAGCCCATATATACCAAGTGGATGAGGGGGGCGGTACTCGATGCTCGTGGAAGGCACATCGAGGGAATCCAGCAACAAGCAGCCATTCTCTCCAGCCGGTCCCGGAGAGAAGCCTATCGCGTGAGCAATAGGTTGGTAAGAGTCTGTGAAGAACAGTTTGGAGCCTTCGGACATGGTGATTTCGACCTTTCCATCCTGCCCATGACCACGATGGGAATCCGGCCCTCCGGCGGCGGGAACCCTCTAGTCCCCAGGTCCAGGCGTTCCTCAGGTGCATCAAGCAGAGGCCGCGGAGGAGGTCCAGCTGCTCGAGAACCGTCGTATTGCTGATGAAGTCGAAGTAAGGCGATCCATAGATGTGCGACATAAATGTAGTAGTTGAACATCCCAAGCACAGCTTGAAGTGAGTCACCGTCGTGACTGAGCTGCCTGTTCGTGTAGTCCGAAATCAAAGCCATCAGGTAATCCCACCTCCTGATTAGTAAATCAGAGGCGTGCTCATGGGCATGGTGGGCGACGAGAGTTTACATAGCAGATTGCCACTCAGAGGTCGCGGTTTGCGGGATACGGCGTTCCGCTGTGAGTAGAACGAACGGCTCAAAGCCTCCCAGTCGTTTGACTGGCCGTACTCGAAGAACAACTGCTCGTCCTCAAACACAAGCCGGCGACAGGAGAGAGGCATTTCTTGGTGCGTCCATCCCCTCGTATTCCATTTCTAAGTCCGAATCCGCTCTGCAGGAACAGCGATGGACAAAAAAGCTGGTCTTGTCGCCTTCGATATAACTGAGGCAGGATTTCCGAGGCGAAGAAGCCATGCCGGGCAAGCCGTCCTGGTCACTAGTACCCTCAGCATTGACGCTGGTCAGCTCTGCTCCTTGATAGATGCGATCTATCTCCTGCGTCTTTTCTTTCGGGTCGTCCTGGTCGATGCAGTAGCGGTCTACCCACAAAGTAGCGATGGCCCAGTATCACCGTTACTTCCATAGTGTCTGAGATCACGGCGGGCAGGGATCTCGGCAGCTCGTCGTCTGGGGAGGACTCCGCGGGTAGAGGGACCCAGACATAGGGCCCCAGACATAGCTCAAAGCAAGATACGGCCGGGAACCGCCCGCCTTTACCACCTTCCGGCTCTCACAGTCGATAACCTTGATAGCACGATCAGCTCGTCCCGCCTTCCCACAGCTGTGCGTGGCCTTATAAATCTCCAACCACGTCAACACGAGCCGAGCATCGAACACGGGCGCAGGCCGCGGATCGTCCCACGTCCTACCCTCCGTATCCACGCATACCAGCACCTTCTTCACCCGCGCATCCTCCTTCTCCAACGGCTGTCACAAATCACATTCCTATCAACCAACGGCGGCCGGTCAACCGCCGGAGCAAGCACGACCGCAAACAGCTCCGCGCCGGGCCCGGTAATCCCTCTAGCACTCGAGGTCCCACCGCCGCAGCTTCAGGCCGTGCTTCAGCAGCGCGCCGGCCGGGATCGCCACGATCTGGTCGCCCGCGTTCTGCGCGAACTCGTGCGGCGGGTCCCACGTCTCGAGCTGGATCGCCTGCAGCGCCGCGCAGAGGTCGCAGGTGTTGTCCCCCACGCAGGCGCGGGCGCTCGCGTGCCGGTACTTGGCGCCGGCGAAGGCGACGCGGAGGACGAGGTCGGCGGCTAGGGCGTCCCTTCTATCGTTTGCCCAGGTCTCCCTCCGGGTGTACTGCTTTAGGGAAGTCGTATGATTCGCAGTCCGGGCATAGATTGCTCTTAGGTTTAACGATATTAAGGATAATTATGTTCATGACGATATTGCTTCACATACTAGAATGCAAGTGGTAGTTAATGAGTTGTTACTCTAATACGTACGTAAATAACTTACATTAAAAAAATTTCCCCAACCACCTGACCTGTACTGCGAATGCGTACGGGGGGAGAAGGCTCTCACTCGGTAGGTACCTAGAGATGCATCTAATCTATTACTCAGTTTCATTCTGCATCGTCTAGCTGCCTGCCTGTCTATCTAATCTACCGTGTCGAGACAAGAACCACCCATCTTTCGTAACTTCACCTCCCAACCGACCGATCGACCAAGACCTGCAAATGCGCCCTCTCCTCCCTCCCAACCGTCACACACCCACCACAAGGAATCTCCACAATAGTCCCATCAACACAAACCTTCCTCCACCTCGCATCCTCTTCCAGAGTAGTGATCCTGACCTCCGTAACCTCATCATAGCCCACCCTCTCCTCCGCACTGTCCACGCCAGTCCAGCTCATGTCGACGTGCTTCCCATCGTCGTACGCCCGCATCATGATATCCATAGTGCGCTCGCCGCCCACCGGGCCGAAATGCACGAGCCTCAGCCGGCCGTCTAGGGGCCTGCTGGCCGGCGAGATGCAGAACGTCTTCTCTAGGTTCGACACCATCGTCGCGAGGATGTAGGCGTGCTGTTCTCTGTCCAGCTTGCGGGGACTCGACCCGTCATTGTTAGAGCAGATCTCGACCGTAGCCCGGTAGGCGTGGCTCTCCTTCAGCAGCTCCTGCGCGACCATGCCGAAGCGCTTGTCGCCGTGCTTGCGGTACTCGGGCGTGTCGCTCTCCCAGACGAGCTGGCTGTGGAAGCCGTAGCTTGCGACGATTGCGCCGTAGAGATGCGACACGGAATCAGTCTGTTCTTCGACGCCTGTTGCGGCATCGGAACTTGCGGCGTTGGTTTCTTTGTAGGTGATGGTGCGAGACCCATCGGGGAATGTGGCTTTGAATGAAGGCAATGGGGCCGCTTTGCCCTTTAGTAATGTGCGCAGTGCCTGTACGAGGACGGTTGGCGCCGCAGACCCGACTGGCGTCTCTACCGTCTTGTGTAGCGAGTTGAAGAGCGCGTTCCCGGTACCCAGGGGTAGCATCGCAATCAGGGGCAGAGGCGTCTCTGCCGCGGCGTCATCCACCGGTGCCTTGCCATTCAGCATCTCGACGATCCCGCCATCACCACTAAGAAGCACAACCGTATGCTTTGTCGTACCCTCGCCGCCATCAGTTGAGCCGTCACTGAGCTTCCGAGCAAACCCACGCACGCTCTCCGCATCTTGGGTCCTGACAAGATTGTAGCAGCCCGGGTTCGGCGAACCTGCCTCCGGCTCCGACGAGGCAGAGCCGTCCTGCGCCGACAGGCCCAGCGACCCGAGCAGAGGCCGAAGAACAGACTCGTAAAACTTCGAAGCGAGACCAGTCCCCGCGCGCGTCGACACCAGGACGTGAACGCGCCGTGACAGGCTGCTCTGCAGATACTCCGGCAGTCCATGGACCAAGAATGCGTCAAGAAGAGATCGAGGCAGGTCTGTGGCGTAGGATTGCGATAGCTTGAAGGGCGCTGCTTGGTCTTCGCTTACTTCCAGGCTGAATACCTCGTATTCACCTGGTACATCCGGCCGCTTCACGATGCAGACGACCTCCTCGGCCTTGATGGAACTGGCAGCATCGCCGTTGTGTCCGGTCGAGCCCGGAATGCCTTTGTCGGTTGACATCTTGCCGGTCCAAGGCTACCAAGTTGCCTGTAAGTGTTACTGGGTGGCGGCTTCGCACCCGTCCGTCGTCCCTCCCTAATACTGAGCGGTGCTGTTGCGGAACGGGCTGACTTAAACTCGTCGAGGTTGAAGGTTGGGCTAAGTAAGGGGTCCGGTCGGTGACCGGTCCCTCCCCTCAAGCCAAGGTCCTATCAGAAAGCGGCCCCGTCTGGGCTAGGCAGCGATTGATTGGCTCTGAGAATGATGACTGCTGCTGAGTAACATGGGAATATCAAGAGTGGGCCATTCCCGTCCACCAGAACCACAATCCGGTGTAGGGTGTACCTATCCGAAAGGATGAACACGACGATAGGAAGGGAACAGATTCAAACACCTTTCTTGGATTAAGTGGAGGCAGCACGAGCGACAGCGTGACACGACAGATAAATAGCCTACCTAGCACAGCGATGCATACTTAAGCATGAATGTGATAATCCTAGGAGACAATCCAGGGGTCCTGGTAGGCTATTCCTCCTGAATCCGAACCACATTCATGAAGACGAGCAGGGAAAGCAAAGGGTATCAATTGACTTAGCCAGGATCTATTCCTGACGGCAATGTCTGTGCACTAGCCTGAAATTGCCATACAACCAAGCCGTACGTGTCCACGTTCACCGGCCTTTCGCCCGACTCTGGGGACCCCAGTTCCCCCTAGGATTGGTTTGGTATCTGACAATGCCTTTCTTCGACTTGTCTCGCCCAAGCTTCTGATCGAAGACGACCTCCAACTTGGCGACCGGGTCGTTGTCCTCTTTGGACGTCTCCGCAGCGCCATCCTTATTTGCCACTACATCGACGGCTATCTCGGTTGTATGCTCCGCGGGGCCATCTTCCTCAATCATTGGAGCATCTGCTTGCTCGTTGGAAGGCTCTGTCGGCTCATCCCTTTTGGCGACTGTATCGTCTGCTTTCTCCTTAGCAAGTTCCGCCCCATCATCCTTCTCTTCGCCCGCGTCATCGTTCTTCTCCTTAGAATCGGCAGCAGCAGCAGCGTCCTCTTTGGGCAGCCTTAGCAAGATCCGTGCCGGGCTGTTAGCGGCTAGGTTCTCAACTTTCACAGGATGGTCCTGACGGACCCACTCCCTCATGATGTGCCAGATGACCGACCAAGGCGCATTCGTCTTCATACTCCCCGGTTTGCAGTGGCTTCGGGTGACCTCGTAGCCCAGATGACGCAGTGCACCCCTGAGGCTATCTTCATTAGGGCAAATGCAATGCATTGCACCGGCAAGGCTCGATGGATGGAAGAAGAACGGATACGGCTCAACAGCGGCGTTATCGTCATCTTTACAACTTGGTTGAGTGTCCTCTGGTGGCGGGATCGTCTCTTCGAGGGCTGTCTGTAACATTCCTTGTATCCGCGGTTTTGTGCCGTATATATCGTCCGGAGCATTAGGCATATCGTCGAGGATCTTGTTGATGAAGTCATGGGAGTGCAGCGGCCCAGCATACATAGGGCCCGCTAGATGCATCTTGGAGCCGCAGTGCTCGCATGATTCGTTGGCAGTGGGGGCCATAGAAAGCCCATGCTTGTAGAAGGCACCAGTGCCAGACTTATTGGCCGCTTTCTTATTGCGAGCGAGCAGCTGTGTCTTCCATGCGCCGCACCCATGATCGCAATTGAAAACAACCATCGTCTTGCCGGCCAGAAACTTAACCTGCGCGGGTGACTTCCGTATCTTGACAAAGATCCGGACGTAGTAGTCGATTGATAGACTGAGAATTGGCTCGATGGCTAAGCCGTATCTTGCTGCGGCGGTAGCAATCCCATGTAGGATAATTCGGAGCCCAACCTCGTGGGAAAAGAAACCCTTGAGAGGAATGCCGCCATACAAGGAGAATGCCTTTTCCGGATATCCATTAGACGCCCACACTGCCGAGTCGGTGCAGGTGACGCATAGAAGTCCTCCGTCATCACGGACAGCGTTTACTGCGGCGTCGAAAAAGGTAGCGGCAGTTCCATAAGGATCCAGATCGATCACATCATATCTTTTGCTCGCGCCCACTTTGTTCTGCTTGCTTCGATTCTGCCTTGCATGGTCACGAGTGACTTCCTCAGCTACGACCGAGTACATGTGGGCGCGCGCATCACCTTGTACAGCATTCATTTTCGACTGTACGCCGTTGTGCTCTGCATTGCGGCGAATAGCCTCAACAGCTGATGGATCGAGATCATTCGCAGTAACCGACGTGACAAATGGGATCTCTTGGGTGTATCGTAAGGCACGGAGCCCCGTGGCAGACAGTGCATCGAGAATGGTAAACGGACGCGGCTGAGGTGCGTTGCTCTTCTTGTCTTCCTCAGGCTTGTTCTCATGTTCTTTCGGAGGTCCTGACGGTTGTTCGGCAGCTGGGATTGCTTTTGTAGCGACGTTGTCTTTACCGGCGCAGACATCTGTCATAGCGCTGTCCTCCCCTGCTGTCGGCTCTTGGTTTCGGGCAGTATCAACCGTGGGCGCAGCACCCTCTGCGACAGTCGAGTCCACCTGTGGCTTTTTCGTAGTTCTGTCGCCGGCATCAGCCTTTTCGCGTTTCCTCTTGGCCACCTTCTGGGTGTTTGCGGACGGCGGTTTTGACAGGACTTGCTCTCCGTATGCTTTGATAGCGAGGACCGTCAGATCGCGGTTGAACTGTTGGATCGGGTTGTAGAAGACCTTCTGCTGCTCGGCGACATTCTGGGCTGTTTTCTCTGCAGATTCTTTCGCGGAGAAGGGGACCAAAATGCGAGCCAGGCCCTCCTTGACTTCTGTGTATTCCTGTCCATCTCGTGCTATGCTCTGCATGGGGGTGGGTGCGGCCGACGTGCCATTGTTTGGTTTCTTTGCCATGGTGCACACAGCTCGGAAAAGCTGCAGTCTTGGTACGGGTCGGTTCACATGCCGAGATGAGGCTCGCACAATCGCAATGGGCAGTGAGCAGAGCATGCAATGAGCTTTGCAATTGATGCTGAAGAGAAAGCTGAAAAGTTGAACTCGTGCCAAAAGATGAGGATAGAGCTTAAAGCTTCAATCAAAACATTTTTTCCTCCAAGCTCGCGGTAGTGTGGATCCAGTGCATGGACCCATATGGAGTATTCTGGTAACCCCACCAGATATGTTAAAGGTTACCTGATGAAGGCTGCCTGGCAACCCTTTGTTGCCCCAGGTACCTCACCACTGTGATTTAGGTATTTAGATACATCTCGGATGGAATCCTTTCCATCCGACCTGTTAATCAAGCACCACCCAGACAACTGATAGATTACAACAAGACTTGTGATTTATCAGCATCTGGGAAAGCTACCAAAAGGCACAGTAGTACCCCACATCCCCACGTACATTCTCTAGATGCATATAATCACCCAGTTTGAATGTATGTACATATATAGCAGTGGTATACCTTCGTATGCAGAGTAGTACTTTACGCAGATAGCTATTATGTAGAGCGGTTCTTGAAGTTTGTAGCCCAGAAAGTCACATGAATCTATTTGCAGAATGTCTAAGGTAGTCTCCCAACATAATGACATCTGCTGCTCCCACTAGTCGCGAAAGATCCCCGAGACATGACTGTGCCTTCTGGCAGGGGCCCAGAATACCATGTTACGATGTTCAGTATTCTGGATGTTCTGCTTGCTGTCTAGAAGGATGGGAGCGTGTCCCATCCGAAAGGTCACTTAAGTACTAGATACAGTGCAAACGGTACCTTGTCCCTTGGGCAACAATCCGGCCCAACCGACAAGACACCTACAGCTGGAATCAGCTGGATCCACATGACCACAACCAACGAGACCCTGATAGATGCATCTCGTTCGGCTCTCAGAACAAATGCAGCAACTTCTCCCATTTCAATCCCCACACCAATCCCCAGCCGCCAAACATCGTACCCAGCCCCGTGAACACGATGAGAGGTCCATACGACGATCCGTAACCGAATTGTCCAAGCGATGCCATGCTTCCGGCCTTCAGTAACGGTACGCTCGCAAGTCCGCCACTCACATACCCAATGCCCCTGGCCCCGTTCAGCAGGCCATACAGCATCCCCGTGTCGATGGCCTCATTCATCTGCGCGGCTTCACGCTCCATCTCGTTGATGACGCCTCCCCAGGTCGCACTATAGCTGCCGGCGAAGAAGCCGTAGGTAAGTGAGAATAGCACTAGGAGCCCCATGCTACCTCTCGACGTCAGGCCCCAGAACAGGAAAGCCGCCAGGCCGGAGCTGATAGCTGATATGGCAGTCATGGTCGTAGCCGACAGGGTCCAGTGCTTGTTGTCGCTCAGATAGCCAAAAAGGTACGAGCCGACGATGCCGGGGATGTTGAATATGGTCAGCAGTAGAGTGGCGGAGGTCTGGGATAGCAGGGTGACCTCGCGGGCATATGTGCTGAGGTATGTCTGAGGTATGCCGTATGCTGCGCTCTGGAGGATGATTGCGACGGCGTAGATGTAGAAGGTCTTGTGTCTGAGGAACTGCCAGGCGATCCTCCGTCTCCGAGGCGTACTCGCGGGCAGGCTCGAAGGTGGAGTCGGCACCAGCAAGATTGCAAGAAGGCTGGTTCCCGCCGCAATGGCCGACCACACTCTCAGAGCTACACGAAATCCATAGCGGTCGAGGAGAACTCGCAACAGGAATGGGCAGGCCGAACCCACGATGTTCTTGCAGGATAGAGTCACCCCGTATGCCACAGCCCTGTTGCTGGTATTGTACCATTCGCCGAGGGAGAGCGTCAAGGGACTGAACATGAGCGCGCATCCTAACGCTGCTAGGACACCTTGTGTTGCCACGAGATGCCATATGTGGGTGCTGAAAGACGAGAGGATGAAGCTGACACAGATGATGGCAGCGCCGCACAGAGCCGCGGCCTGACGTCTGCGAGCCCATCGCTTGGTGAATAGCGCGAATAGGAACGGCATGGACAGGTACATGACACCATTGGACGTGGTACCGATAATACCAGTGACGTCGCGACCCCCTTGCAGCGTCCAGTTGTCGTAGTAGTATTCTTGGAAGACACCATAACTCATCGCGAACCCTGCATGTCTTGTGTGAGTAGCATCTCAATCAAGGGAATCATTTTACTTTACCCCAGATCGGTAATTGGGAGATAGAGGCGCCGACGAGGATATATATCCTCTTCCTCTTCGAGTCCCATTGTCTCGACTCAACTGTATCGAGGTTGCCTGCATCCTGTTCGGTGTCGCGGGCCTCCTGCCCTTCGACACCAGGGCGCGGCCTCTCGTGGAGAGAGATACTCGCGTTTCGACTCATGGTGTAGAAGTCAAAGGAGCAGAGGTACATGTAGAAGACGAAGCTCTGTTTGCAGCTCACATGCAGCTCACATGCAGAGGGCGTGATGGTAATCCAACGTAGATTCCCCGCGCCGATGCCGGACCCGCAAGGACCCCGTCCAACGTGCCGATCCCCTCTGCTCAACGCAGTATCATGGCTTCAACATTAAAGCACATTCCCCATATTCTATGACTTTGTTCAAGAGAGGGAACTCCTCAAAACTGGCGAATTTCCTGCTGGGAGTACTATCGAGTGTTCATGGTTACTGCACATCGGGCTTCAGGCGGGCAACTGCCTTGAGCAGACTGTTCCCCGAAGTGCATGGGGTCAAGAATAGTCTAAATTGCCAACATTCCTTCAGGGGCACTCTTTAAATGGTCACCTCAGCATCGGCTCAGTTCGACTTCACGAAATAGGGGTATCCGCGTCTCGCTGAGCTCTCTGCTTCCACTCAGTGCCAGAAGGCAGCGCCACACGCATGACAAGCGCATGCTATTTGTCATCATATTTATATATTATCAGGCCATCAGCATTGCAGCTGACCTTACAGTTGAGCAAGCCCGTAAGTTGTGATTCCCCATGCAACACACGTGATTTCAAACGGCCGCCTCGCTCTGCCACGTTTGTGACTCAACAATATTCTATTGGTCCTCCTACTATTTCCTGGTCGTCTCTAGAGGCGACGCTTGAGTATATCTATTGGACCGTTACTTTACGAGGGAGCCTTGCAAATCAGCCTTGCTGTGCGGGTTGGCATAGTCCTGCCAGCTTCCCGGAATCGTCAGACCAATTTACCGCTTCAGCAATTCTATGCCCGTGGAAGGGTGTGACGAGCCGTCTAACCTATAAGGTTAAAGGGTTCTATAGGGTTTATGTTCTGAGATAAGTCAAAGGACGATAGAGGCTTCTGTCAACTAGAAGACACTCAGATGCTGGGGCTTGGTCTGATCCAGGGGATCACTATATAGTCGAGTCGTCAGGAGATTTCTCTCACCTTAGGGTTGGCTAAGATACTTAGATTGATCACTGAGATAGAGACTGTCTATCTGGCTAGCCAGGAAATTTCCATCCTTATATATCCAATCTCTCCCTCACTGATGAGGTGTGCTCACCGTTGCTCGCGTGAGCAGACGTGAGCAACTCTAGTCACGTGATCTTGGCTCCCTGGATCACGTGCCTGGATGCCCTGCGCTGTTCTGTATTGTGTCCCCGTCCTAATTGGGTTTCCTCATAGGTCATCCTTTTCCCTTCAGGGCTGCCCACGGGCCCGTGGTATTGTTGGTTCATAACAAAGGGGATGACTATGGCCGATGTCCTGCTTCATGCATAGCTCGTCAACTTCTCAATCATAATCGAGGTGTCAAGATGACAACAAGTCGACGAGACTACGTCTTCCGCGCGTACTCGCGTTCTTCGGCAGGACCGCTTGTCAGTGGGCAGGGTCGCCGTCCCCAACAAGCGCCGCCAATCGATATCCACAGGGAATTCGACCGGCACCGGTATATCTATAATATGAATCCTACGCCTTTAGTATCAGTTAGCAGCCGAGTCATCGACACCCTACGCCGCGCTTTCAATAAATACTACCGAAACGACGAGCCGGCCGACCAGATTTGGATCGCCATAATCCGCCTCCCCGAAGAAACAGCCGACGATGTGGTTTTCCACAAAGCATCGGACCTAGTGGCACGGCACAGGGAGAAAGCCTTGTTCACGTATGAGACCGTATTCGAATGGGAGATCCCAGAACATTACGTTGTGCACAGAGTTTCTGTGAAAACTCTGATCGGCCGAGGGTTAGACCTTGAGGCGTATCGAGACACAAGCGACGCCTTGTTGGATTATGGGCTATGTTAGCCCATCCATAGTCATCCTTCAGGATCACCATCCCCATTTGTGACTCTGTCACATACGTGGCCAATATAAGGCCACGTATCCTTTCCTTTAGTATCTTGGATATATATAGGGCCACTCTGGCCGCTCCAGAGTAGCTGGAATTCCTCTCCTTAATAGAACACTTTGAAATCCCACACGCCTGCCTACCTGGAACAAGTGATTTGCGCCATCCGCTGGCACAGGACCTCTTGAATTTTTCATCTGGGGGGTTCTATGATGCAGGGGTAGGCCTGGCTTCCTGGGCAAGATCTTTCGGAACACGAGCACCGACCAAGTATATCGCCAACCGAATGTTGGAAGATATGCTAGGCCCCGTAATCGACTTCCGTGGGGACGACCAAAGGATGAAGTTTAGCTACTGCGACGGCTATTTCGATTTCATGGAGCTACGTTACCTTGAAGACGGCATGGAGTTCGTCGACGAGCTCGTGCTTGACCACGATGCGGAGGATTATGACGACTACCTGAATTACTCTCAATTCAAATGGGAAGAGTGTGCCGAGGAGCTCGAGCGTCTCGAAGACTACTTTGTCGACCGGTGCACCGAGTCTTGCATTACCAGTCACGAGTATGCAATACTGATAACTTGGAAACACCAGGACGAGCGGTCAACGAAGGAGGCCACGGAAGAGGCTATCGAGACCTGGGCGCTCCAACGTGGGCTTTGAGTCTTTCGCTCGGCACTCTCTGCCGGCGAGCGCAGGGAAGGAAGGCGTTGAATGGTTGGAAGCTTGTGGTGAGAGGCTATTGAAATATAGGCGAATGGTCAGGAATAGAAGAAGATACAAGGGAGAGAAGTAGTGCCATAGTGAACAAGGCCTGAAATTTAACTCTGTTTCATGCAAATCAGCAAGGCTAGGCCAGGACCTTAAGAGGTGAGCTTATGTGCCAACAAAGGTGAAACATACTGTTAAATGTTCATGTTACAAGTTGTTTGCACTAAAAGTCAGTAGTTCTTTATTGAGAGGCTTTAGCAGCGGATAGTATTCTGGCAAAAGGCAAAATAGACGTGCCTTTGCCTCGGAGTGATCGTGTAATCATAGGCTCGCTGGCCGAGATGTGTGGACCCTGAACGTGCGGTACTCATGTTTGATTGATTGATTGTATTTAACGTGGGGGATCGCTCCTCAGTAGTGCAAACCTAAGTCGCGTGCAGGAGGCACCACCGGAAGAACAGGACGACGACTTCCCCGTCCTTGCGGAATATGAGGATGACCCCGAAACACAGGACCGACACTTTCTTGTTCAGGGCACAGCACACGGCCCTCGCAGGCAATCTTCCCTGCCCATCTTGTGCGATACTGGAGCCTCCGGATATTCACTTATAGATCTTCCCTTAGTGCAGTACCTTGAGCTCCTACTCTCGCCCCTTAAGAAGCCACGTTTTGCCACTGACTTTGAGGGCAATGTCCACTCCGGCATTACCCACATAGCCCTGCTTATGCTGGATCTGAATGGTCACCGCTCTATGTCACACTTTCTTGTGACCCCTTTTCGAAACAATTCTCGAATCATTATTGGGCTGCCCTGGTTCTGTCAGCACGCAGCCACGATCCAGGCATTACCGGACCGGACCGTTACTCTTACGTTTGCATCGTCCCGCTGTCTGCAGCGCTGCTGTGACAGACCTGTTACCGTTCAAGCCCTCCCTGAGGCTGATATCGTGGAACTCCGTCCTATCGAACTTGAACCGAAACCGAGGCCTCAGCGTAAGAGTCCCTTAACTATGCGTTATCGTGAGCAGCGTAAGCTCAATCGACACCTGCCCGGATCAGGACAGGAATCCGAGGTAGAGGAATCTGACCATGAACCAAAACGACCCATCTTATTCGCCCGTGCTTCTTGAAGCAAGCGCTGTTTCTTTTGGCCTCCTGGCAAGACAGCCAGGAACCGAGATATTCAGTCTCTCGCTCAGAGATATCGACCGTGCCCTGCAGAGAACCGAACTGATTCGACACAAACCCACTGGAGCCAAAGCAGTCTCTTTTCGACCCGACCTAACGAAATGTGGTGCTGAGAATGACCATAATAAAGACATGTTTATGATGCAGCAAGAACTCATCGTCGCATCCATCGACACTGCTGCCAAATTAGAACAGTACCGGAAGAGTAAGGATGTAGATCCTGCCATAATTGTCCCCCTAGAATTCTATAACTGGTTGCACGTATTTTCCCGACAAGAGGCCGATAAATTGCCTCCGCATTGCTCAACCGATCATGCCATTGAGATCCAGACAGAACGGCTGGACAAGTTACCCAAAGGACGGCTATATGGAATGAGCAGGGACAAGCTTCTTGAGCTCGACCGTTACCTCAAGGAAAACCTGACCAAGGGTTTCATCTGTGCCAGCAAATTAGAAGTTGTTTCGCCCGTCCTTTTCGTCAAGAAGCCTAGGGGTGGATTGCGATTCTGTATCGATTACAGAGGCTTGAACGCCATCACGGTCAAGAACTGCTACCCGCTCCCTTCGATCTCCGAAACGCTCGACCACCTCTCTCGAGCAAAGGTGTACACCAAGCTCGACATCATCTCCGCCTTTAACCGCATTCACATCAAGGAAGGACAGGAGCACCTGACAACGTTCCGCACTCGCCAAGGGTTGTTTGAGTACTTGGTAATGCCTTTTGGCTTGTGCAATGGACCCGCCACATTCCAAAGTTACATCAACGAATCCCTTCGTGGCTATCTGGACAACTTCTGCACGGCGTACCTTGACGATATCCTGATCTACAGCGATAATGAGCTCAAACATACGGAGCATGTTCACAAGGTTCTTCGTCGCCTTGACGAGTTTGGTCTACAAGTTGATGTGACCAAGTGTACGTTTTTTGCGAAGGAAGTCAAGTATCTTGGATTGATTATCAGCACCAATGGAGTACATATAGACCCTGACAAGATTCAAACTATCACCGAGTGGCCCGCCATCTAGAACGTTAAAGATGTATAGTCTTTTTTAGGCTTTGCTAACTTTTATCGCCGATTTATCTATAATTTTAGCAAGATTGTCACGCCATTGACACGCCTGACTAGGAAGGACGCCAAATGGGATTGGACATCAGAATGCCAACGAGCCTTTGACACGCTGCGTGCCGCATTCACGTCGGGAGTGGTACTAGCCCACTACGACCCGGAACGCAAGATTATCGTGGAAACCGACGCCTCTGAGTACGTATCGGCTGGGATCCTCTCCCAATATGACGAAGATGGCGTCCTCCGCCCCGTAGCTTATTTCTCGAAGAAGCACACACCAGCGAAATGTAACTACGAGATATATGACAAGGAACTTATGGCGATTATCTGAATATTTGAAAATTGGAGACCAGAGTTTGAAGGCTCTGCTCACCCCATTGACGTAGTCACTGACCACAAGAATCTTGAGTACTTTATGACCACCAAGCTCCTCAGCCGACGACAGGCCCGGTGGTCCGAGTTCCTGTCAAGATTCAATTTTGAGATACGCTATCGCCCCAGAACTCATGGAGGGAAGCCTGATGCCCTCACCCGCCGCACAGCCGATCTTCCCATCGAAGGGGATTTGTGGGACCCCCGTAACGAGATTCGTCATTGCCCGCTGTTAAAGCTTGCATAGATCGACCTGGCAAGTATCGATATCGACAAGTTTACGCCAACACTGTCGCCTACACAAATCCTGTTGTTGCTGATTGACCTGAAAGACTTGACTGCAGAACCAGACGCGGAACTAGAGCTTGATTCAAAAGAAGAAATGGAACGCTTTGACGAAAGTCTTGGCTTGGAAGACTTGTGGACCATCGCACGCAACCGCAATAGGTTCACCCTCTCAGTGCAAAAGGCATTAGATAGAAATGACCGCCGTCATGCTCACGTACAGCTTGCCGACTGCAAGATCCGGCTTGGCAGATTATATGTTAATAGAAAATAATACGTACCCAACTCGACCAGTCTCTGCGCCAAAATCTGCCAGACATTGCACGACACAATAGCAACCGGCCACCCGGGCCGTACGAAGATGATATCCCTAATGTACCGCAATTTCTGGTTCCCCGGGCTTCTTTATTTCGTTGCTTAATAGATTCGAAACTGTCATGTTTACAAATGCACCAAGCCGTGGCGGGAACAGTATCAGGGATGGCTGCGCCCCCTAGAGCCAACCTAAACGCGTTGGACAGATATCGCATTTGACTACGTCGGGCCGCTTCCCCCCAGTACCTTCATAGGAGTCACGTACCGATACATCCTGGTCGTGACCGACCAACTGACCAAGATGCGTCATTTCGTGCCCATGACGGGCCAGACAGCAGAAGAGGCTGCCAGTGCCTTTTACTGATTCGTTTGGAAGCTTCATGGGACACACGAGCGACAAGTATCCGACAGAGGTACGCAGTGGCTCTCCGAATTCTGGCAGCACTTGACCAAACGACTCAGAATCGAATCGCAATATTCAACCTCGTACCATCCAGAGACAGATAGACAGTCCGAGCGAAACAACCAATCCATGATTCACTATCTTTGGGCTTATGTCAGCCACTTTCAGAACGACTGGGTCCAGTTTTTGCCAGCGGCAGAATTTGCTACTAACAACACCAAGTCATTTACCACGGGCGTTTCGCTATTTTTGGCCAACTATGGTCAGCATCCGAGAATAGGAATAGAAGAGGCGACAGGAGTGCAAGATCTCCTGCCAGAAATCAGTAACCTAGTGGATAAGATAAAATGACTCAATGAACACTTGCACGAGTCTATGCTTGTGGCACAAACATCGCACAAATTTGCCGCAAATCGACGACATCGTCCTGCTGAGAGATATGAAGTAGGAGACATGATGTACCTTGCCGCCGAGAATATCCGTACTAACCACCCATCCGCTAAGCTTGACAATTTTGCCCTTGGCCCGTACCCTGTTTCTAAGGTTTATGATTTGAACCTGCTGATCATGAAGCTGGAACTCCCTGATAGAATGAACATACATCCAGTCTTTCACGTTAACTTATTGCACCACGCTGGAACTGACCCATTACCGGGATAACGAATCAAAAACCCTGCCCCTCTCGTGGACGAAGAGACAGAAGAACCACTATGGCTTTGGGAAGCCATTAAGGACTCGCGTATCAACGGCCGTCGTGGCCAATTGGAATATCGAATCAAATAGAAAGGCGACTGGGATGACACTTGGGAACCGTGGTATCTCGTTGAACAAGACATGACAGATACTATGACTGCCTTCTACCATGTCCACCCTGCCCGTCCTGGGCCTCATGTTTCACCTTGTCACAACAAGAGGTGCTGTATATCACCATATCAACCTCGAATCTACAGTGCCCGACGGTGCTGGCAGCGTTCAGCACGACGCGTTGCAGGAGCTCCGCCTTGAAGAGGGGGTAATGTCATGGAACGATCTGGAATAATTTGGAAGCATGCGTAGAACATTATGGAATGAGATGGAGTCTCTGTCCGAGATTCTATATAGTTGGCTCGTAAAATGTCTCTTTGCTTTTTTCTTTTTTTTTCTCTTCGTCTCTCGTCTTGTACTCTACCACTAGTACATAGGATAGCAATATCAGTGTCAATCTACCCACCGGCCAATCTTTGTTCGTCTAAGCCTTGACAAGGACACCTAGCCATCACATGGAGTCCTTTGCTGTTTTGTTCATTGTCCTGTGGCAGACCGGAGGATTGTTTGAGTTCTTTTTCTGCGAGAAGTGCATAATCTCGGTTTTGTCGGGGTCAAATTCAATAGCGTTATTATGTCCCTATTAATTAAGCAGATAAAGATTTTCAAAAGCCTCTGTGACTGTTTTTTTAAGGTTCTTTCCAATGCAAAGAGTCGCTAGGTTATCTGCGTATCCAAAGTGTCTCCTTTTTATACCAAATTGGGCACAGAATGGCTCTGTATACAGCATGTAAAGGATTGGAGAGGCTGATGAGCCTTGTGGTAGCCCACAAGTGAGAGCTTTTATATCAGTCACGATACCTTCAAACTAAACCTTTGCGGACCGCTCGGATATGAATGACTGGACCCATCTTATGAGAAAGCCCGGCCAGGCCTGTTCTTTCATGCGAACCACCAGCCGTCCCATTAGGGCAGCATTAAAGGCCCTTTTCACATCTGACGTGACTACCGTTGCAACGAGGCCTTGATCAAGGGCCTGCTCAATATTGTGTATGAGTGCAGCTACCAAGTCGGTGGCAGAGCGCTTTGATAAAGCTCCAAAATATTGTGGAGCTAAAATTCCAAGTTTGACAACAAACCAGGTAATTCTTTTTGTGATAAGTTGTTTTAGGCCTTTGCCAAGACATGACAGTAGCGATATTGGTCTGTAGGCCCTGGGATTGGAGTAGTCTTTCTTTCCTGGTTTGGGATCATCACCACCTCAGCTACTTTGAATGGTTTAGGGTGGTGTCCAATCTATAGACAGGTCTGGAAGAGGGCTCTGATATGTTCCCCAATGACTGGCCAGCAAGCTTTCAGAATCCGTACTGTGAGGGTGTCTACTCCCGGGGAGTTGCTCTTGGTCCCTATAGTGCACCCTTCAGCCTCTTTCAGTCCGACATAGTATTCAAGGGGGATGTGTGGCTTGGGTTGTGTGATCTGAGCGGACCAGGGGTCGATGATATCGTTATCTGAGGTACTTCGTTCAAGCGTGGCTGAGCGTAATGCATTTGCCTTGCTCTCTTGTGACTCAAATATTTGGTCTCCTATGATGATTGGAGGGGAACGCAATCCTGCTGACAGCTTGTGCTAAGAAACAATTCTGTACAGGTCCTTTGGCTCAGTCGCTGAATCAATTAGAGTCTGCCAGTACTCTCTCCTAGCTTTTTGAACCACGCAGCGAAATTCTTGTCGGGCTGAATTCCGCCCTTCTTGGCTTGTAGTCTGTTTAGAAAGGGACCTGTATGTCTGAACAGCTGCTTTGCAGTCATCATTCCACCAAGCAGTGGGCCTAGATTGTCGGGGCTTTTTGCCCACTGTCCTGATACAGCCTTGGATCATGTTGATCAAGCTCTGTGTAAAGGCATCTACCTGGCCAGGGAATACACCCAGCCGGGGGAGCTCATGAATCCTGGTTTGGACATTATCTGCCAGCTCTTGTAATTTATTGTCCGGTACTATCCAATAATTGGCTTTAGGGATTCAGTCCAGATCTCCCTGAATTGGAATGACTATTCGTAATGTCTAATGATCTGAGGTGCACTGAAGTGCATCATTGACTGAGGCTTCAGCCATGGGGACATCTGAGAACACCAGATCTAGTACATTTCCGTCATCATGTGTTGGGACATCTGGTTCAGAAATCAGATCCAGTCCGTGGTCTGTCATAGTCTGTGCAAGTATGACAGCACCATGATATCCTGGATTGCTCGAGTCCCAGGATGTGTCGCCAGCATTGAAATCTCCAGCTATAACGCAGCCAAAAGGTGGAGTCCATACTTCCAGAATGTCATCCACTTCCTGTGGGTTGTCACATGGCCGGTAGACACTGGCAAATGTAATGCCTTGTACCTTAACCCAGGTGATGTCTCGTGTAGCATAGGGCCAAAGTTGATCCACGTGAAGGTATTTTCTCATATAGATAAGAGATCTGGGTTGTGTATTGTCGCTGTCCCAGGAATCCACTGGGGAGTATATATCGTAATTGAGATGTGTCTTTACTCCCATTCTCTTGCCTGGTGGTGTGCCAACCCAGGGCTCTTGCATTAGAATGATGTCTGCTTGTTTTCCTTTGTAGTCAGCCAGGTTGATGGCTAACTCTGTAGGGCTTGCACTCTTTTGTCCTCCTGCTGCATTTACAGAATGGATGACTAGATGCCCGTGTTAATGTGTTTCGTTTGATGTACCTAGCATTGACTGACGACAGCTAAGCTCCCCACAAAAGGATGTGGAATATTCAGGATGGCAACTGAATATTCTATGGTGGTAGATATACCTGACGTTCCACGGGCTCCAGGGCTCTATCTCATTCGGACATACCTGTACCGTATTAGAACGTCACATATTTGCTCACTACTCTCGGGCTCTGGTCTCTTATCCTTGAAGCCATCAAGGCAGACAAGAAGGAACCATATAAGGCTACTACTAGTGCTGTTGATGCACAAGCTATACCTTCTGTGGGAGCCTCTTCCAAGCCCCCTGAATTGGATTCTAGTCTGAGCATTAAGAGGTTAAAATTATACCTCGCTATCACCCAGAATATTAAGTCTGACCCTGATTCTCGTATCACGGGTTTATTTAACCCTGGTCAGATCTGGATAGCCTTATGACAGGCATATTCAGGCACGAGAATTGACGCAGTTTCATCCGTTGTAGATGAACTGGCTGCTATTCGATTCCCTAACTATGGAGACAAGTTCGTGGGCAACTACCGCAGACTAATAGACAATGTTCTGCGGCAGAATATCACATATCCTCTGAATATTCGCATTGCCAATTTCCTGGCTGTTATTCAGACAGCCTTTCCAACCCTTTACCACGAAATCTCGGAGGACTATAACCATAGAATCTTCCCCTATAACCGAGAATCTCTTGTACCGGCTCCAAGAGAAGATACAGATTTGCAAGGCTTAAGATGAGACCTTTATCACTAATTTTAGTAAGCCTGCTATACTGTGACGAGCCGTCTAACCTATAAGGCTAAAGGGTTCTATAGGGTTTATGTTCTGAGGTAAGTCAACACAAAAGACGATAGAGGCTTCTGTCAACTAGAAGACACTCAGATGCTGGGGCTTGGTCTGAACGGGGTTCACTGAATAGTCGAGTCGTCAGGAGATTTCTCCCACCTTAGGGTTGGCTAAGATGCTTAGATTGATCACTGAGGTAGAGACTGTCTATCTGTTCTAACTTAGGAAATGTCCATCCTTATATATCCAATCTCTCCCACACTGATAGGTTGGATATGTGTGCTCTAACATATCTGGATATGCTGGATATGTATGATCCAACATATCCGACACGAACCCTGATCACGTGGCCTGTACTTCTCCGTGTGGTCCGTGCGTTCTCCCTGGTTATTCCAGTTGCTGCCCGTCCTGTTGGGCCTGCCAGCGGGCCTGATCCTCTTGTACGTTCCGTTGGTTCGTAACATATACTTAGTAAAGGCAAGAACAAGTGGAAAAATAAGGGGAAAGGCAGCAATCGCCCATCTCTTAATGGCCCCAGAACCCCTGGAGTCAATCAGGGCTCTTCTAACAGCAATATCACGGATCCTATCTGGTGCTATGAGTGCAAAGAGCTTAACAAGAAGAAGGGCCACCTTGGATGCAATAAACGCATCCTTAACCAGATTATCCAGGCTTATGAGAAGGCTAAGAAAGCTCAAAGGCCTTCAAATAGCGCTCCTACTCACCAAAGGGGTCACACTGGTGCTTCTGACGCCGCTCAATGGTGCAATTATGCTGATAAAGACATCTCCAGTCAACCTTTCCTTACTACAGGTCCACATAGCGCCAACCAGGGAGCGAGTACCAATCTGATCGACACCGTTTATGCCACAATAAGCACAGACTTGTGGCTGTTTGATACTGGCTCTACCGTTCCTATTTGCAATAGCAAGAAGTTGTTTATTTACCTTTGAATGGACCCTGACCTGGTTCCCTTTAACACTGAAGGAGGCCTTGTTACTCCTTAGGATATTAGCAATATAGAGATACCATTTATTACTTCCAATGGTGATACTGTCACTCAGACAATCTCTGAAGTACTATGTGTGCCTTGCTTTCTAATCAATATTCTCCCGGGAGACCAGATGTATCGCCAAGGATGGTATCTGATGATCCGCGATCTGTTTGACCCCAATGGGACATAGATAGCATCGTTCCACCAGGGAATATATGTTCAAATAGAGATCCCTAGTGTCTAGGAGGACGTATACGGGATCAATCCAGCCCTGGTCGTGTTCACCAATATGATATCCAAGGATTCTTCCTAGGAACTGACCTCTCAAGCCAAATCTGTGGCGCTGAGACTACTCCACTGCTGGCATACAAGACTTGGCCACCGATCTATTAATGACTTGATCAAGACAGCCAGTATCACCAAAGGGATTGAATTGCCGCCAAATGTACAAGAGCTGGTATAAGAATTCACCTGTCTAGAATATCTGGAGTCTAATCTACGTCGCCTAGTCTCTCAAGTTGAGCAGGAACATTCAGATCATGCTTTAGACCTGGTCCATATGGATACAGTCAAGCACACTTCCCAAGGCTACAATTGTTCTCTCTATGCCACCATATTTGTGGATGGCAAGTCTCGTTTGAGGGAGTACTGCCCTCATGAGAAGAAAGGGGAAGCTTCCGACCAAATCATTTGCTACTGCAAATATGCTCACACCCAGTATGGGCGTTACCTAAAGTAATTCCGAATGGATGGTGGTTCTAAATACGCGAGATTCAAGCAATGAGGAGCTGAACATGGTATCCTGTTTGAAGTCAGTGCTTCATACACTCTTGAACAAAACGGAGTGGCTGAAAGATCCTTTGGCGTTATACATGCTCTTATTTGCAGTATTATGAAGGATTCCGGGCTACCTGAAGCCCTTTGGCCTGTTGTTGGACCTGCTATATGTGATAGGCTCAATGTGAGCTATACATCTTTCTTCCAAGGTATGAAAAAGACTCCATTTGAAGTCTTCTTTGACAATTTGAACCCTAGAAAGGATAACAAGCCTGATTTGACGAATTTACTGTTAATTGGGCAGGCCATTGTGGTCCATTTGCCGCAGCAGCGCCGCCCTAAGGGAGACAACACCGCTCCACATGCAAGGAGAGGTTGTATTCTTCGTTCCCTTAGTTCCAACCAGTATCAGGTGTATCTTACACACCTGAGAAAGGTTATAGTTACTGTCCATCTTGAGATTTTGGATGGGTACGTACTTTCAGGGGATTTGATCCATATCTTTCCAAACTTCTGTGGTACACTCAATGACTATAAGACAACCAGACCCGATACTGAAGATCTGTCAACGCCATCTTTTCCAGAGGGCGCTCACAATCCTCAGCATATATATATCGAGTCAGATAACAGAAGGGATGGTAGAGAGGATTCACCCCAACCAGTTGTCACGTTAGGGACCCCTCTTGAGACCCCTGATATTTCTGATAATGATGATAGTCATCATTCTGACTCTGGATATAGCGACCCTGAGCCGAGTACTGCTCCAGCTGACTTGATTCCTCTATCATCTGAACCACCTCGTCAAGAAGTAGCCTCAACGGCTGCTCCGAGGTCAAGAATCCAATCAGGGCTCAACCCAGAGAATGTACTCTCTGGAGGGCGCACTCGGAGGACTCACAACCATTACGTGGCCGAGTCTTCCACCCCTCGCATATCTCCATATGTTACGATCAAGGCATCTTATGCTAATTGGCCTTCTTTTGACCCTGGTCAGGCACTTCCCTGTGATGACGAGCCTTCTAGCTACAAGGAAGCCATGGAATCTGCTGAGGCTCCCCAAACGCTGGATGGCACACACACAGAAATTCGTGCATTATTGCGAAATAACACCTTCATCCCTATGTGGAGGACTGACCTACCTACTGGGCATAAAACTCTCTCTAGCCGCAACGTTTATAAGTGGAAGAAGGATTCTGATAACAACACCTCTCGGTACAAGGCTAGGGTGGTTATACGAGGCTTCATACAACGCCATGGCCTCGATTATTTTGAAACCCAGGCCTCAGGCGCTCGTACTACTACCTGGAGGCTCCTTCTAGCCATAGCTGCTGTTCTGGACTGGGAGATTGATCAGATAGATGCTGTATCTGTCTTCCTAATGGGAGAACTGGATGAAGAGATCTTTACGGAGACGCCTGATGGTCTCTCTGACTTCTTTGAGATGTATCCAGATGAGAATATTATCAACTGGAGACCTAGCATGATTATGAAGCTTGTAAACCCACTATATGGGCTTAAGCAGAGCCTCAGGCAGTGGCAGAAGCGCATTTGCAGCGTTTTGAAGGACCTCGGATTCGACTCTCTGGTCTCTGACAACGCAGTCTATGTCAATATCAGCCGTGGCATTATAGTGATCAGCTATGTCGACGATTTCCTCATTTTGGGGGCTAATCATAACCAGATTGCTGCCTTCAAGAAAGAACTAGGTTCTATATTTGAGATAAAAGACATGGGAGTTTCTGAACACTTCCTAGGAGTCCATATTATCAGAAACCGGGCTAAGAGGACATTATATCTCTCTCAACAGACGTACATGAGAAGGACCGCAGAAGCGTTCAACCAACAGAATACTGGCAAGATAAACGTGCCGATATCTCCTCAAGCAGTGGAACAGATGGAGTCCCTGTACAACGACCCTGAGATCGATACATGTCCTATACAGACATACCAGTCCCTGATTGGTTCTGAGAACTTCCCTGCGTCGTATACTAGACCAGATATTGCATACTCTATGGGTGTTCTCTTGCGATACCTTCATAACCCTTGCTCAGCTCAATATAAGGCCGCTCTTGGCCTATTTTGCTATTTGTGGCACTCTCAAGATCTTGGAATAAAATTTGGAGGTCCCGAATATGTCAAAAAGACCCCCCAGGAGGTCCTTGAGATGATTTCAGATCTGCTGGTTGGTTACTGTGATGCCAGCTATGCTGGAAGCATCAAGACCAGCGCCAAATCCACCTCATGCTACCTATTCACGTTTGCTGGGGGTGCTGTCTCCTGGGCATCCAAGCTGCAGACTGTTGTGGCTCAATCTACTGTGGAATCAGAGTACTACGCACTCTCTGAAGCCGTCAAAGAGGCTGCCTGGCTGCGAGAACTAATGCTGGAACATGGATTCACTCTGAATGTTATCAACATCCATTCAGACAGTGCTGGAGCTATTCACTTGGCTCAGAACACTGAATTCCATCGTTGAATTAAGCACATTCGAGTCAGGGAACACTATATTCGTCAGGAGATCTCAGAAGGCCATATATGGCTCTCTTTTCTTGGAACTAATGAAATACCTGTAGACGGTCTTACCAAAGCTTTGACAAAGGCAAGTTTCTTTAAGTTTCTGGAGTTGCTGGGACTCGTTCATGTAGAGGGGTGATCTTCTGGTTATGTTAATTCCCTCAGTCTGAGAGGGCGTGTTGGATTCTGGGCTACGTTAGCCCATCCATAGTCATCCTTCAGGATCACCATCCCCATCTGTGACTCTGTCACATACGTGGCCACATAAGGCCACGTATCCTTTCCTTTAGTATCTTGGATATATAGGGCCACTCTGGCCGCTCTAGAGTAGCTGGAATTCCTCTCCTTAATAGAACACTTTGAAATCTTACAGGAGGAGGCTTTATTCCCTGTATTGCGTTTAATGGCTTGGTCTGTAGAGATTTCGTTTAATTAAGGTCGTTTCATTCCAGTGGTGCTGCCGCCATTAACATTTCGGGATTTTCCTTTCAGAGGAGAAACAACGGTGAAGTCAGCCTCGGAGACCTGTGACGGGCTGCTGCTAATGTCGTCAAGCAGCGCCTGGCGGAGCCTGCTCGGATTTGCCGGGCTGTATGTCTTTCTAGGGGCCGGGGATTTGAGCATGCCGCCGGTGGTCGTCTTTGGGACGGCCATGGGCGTGTTTAGGGGCCCGTCATGGAAGGGTGCCATCCGACTTGTGAGAAAAATTCTTTTGTGCCTTGGCAAAGATAATCAGTTACTGAAAGAAGTGCCTGTTTTAGCGCAGATATTGAGGTTGCGCCCTAACAGCGGGGCGCCAAGAAAAATAGTTGCTTTTGGCAAGTGTGTGTGTGCGGTACTCATGTTGTTCACTCAGACAATGAAGCGATCATGGAAGAGAAAGTGAACACAAGCATGACCCGACGGACACAAAACATTCTTACAAAGAGGGAAAGTATGTAGGTCTCAACACATCATACGGCTATACCCAGGCTGTGCTTATACTGGTCCATCATAGCATAATTCCAGCTGGCCTTTTCGTAAAGCAAGCCCGTCCGTTTTCAATTTCAATTCCCATGCAACACTTGTGGCTCCATGGCCCCCTCACCCTATTACTCTCGACAAGTATACACGCCTCATCTTCCCACAATGTTCGCAGTCTTTTCGTAAAACCTTTCCAGTCTCTTCGCCAGCAGTCATCCATAGCTAGAACTTCGAGCCCGTAAGGAAACAGCATAGGAGATGAAGAAATCAGAGGGATCTCAACCCTCTAAACTCATGTCCGAGCAGCGCCAGCCCCCGAAGATGGCGCGGGCCTTTGAGCTGACAGTGCATCTACCCACGATCCAATGCTGTGTTGAGACGTCTGCACAGAGGTATCCGGCGAAGACACACCAGCATAATGTGGACTCAAGCCCTGCTGCGAGTTGTTATAGACGTACTGAGCTTGGTTGTGAAGAGCTTGAGCGCCGAGGTTGAAGTTCATGCCTGAAGGAGTACTACCCCACCCCTGACCTTGCTGACCCTGGAAAAGGCGTGGGTCCGTCTGGCTTTGCTGACGTTCGTATCCCATACTCGTCGGGCCCATAAGCTGCGCTTGTTGTGGATATTGTCCATAAAACGGTCCCATATTCTGAATTGATCCCATAGAGTAGCCCTGGTTCACCGGAAGTTGAAATTGGAAAGGTTCTCCTTGGTATTCCGGTTTGGGTGGAATACTGCCAGTACCCTTTGCGGTCGACCTGAACTCTTCTGCCTTCCTGGAAAACCGGCTCGGTGTGGTTTGATATGGCGTCTCGGTCCTCGCTCGCAGGCCATAGTCGATGGCCCTCCGGTCCCCTTGCGTCCCGCGAATATCGCCCAAGTAGTGCCCAAAATCAAGATACGCAGACTGCACGATCTCGAAATACTTGAGCTGCAGCTCGACGACCACGTTCACGTCGATATCGCCTTCCATCTTCCCGCCGTGCGCATCGAACTCAGCCAGAGCAAGCGCGGTCTGACATGCGTTGCGGATCTGCCGTCCGTCCCATCGGTTGTACGGGTGCTCTACAAAGTGATTCCTGGCAAAAGTCTGGATGGAAGAAGGGTCGTAGTTGACGACACGCCCTTGACGCTTGAAACGCTCATTGGTGAGGTCGAGGTTCAGCTTGAATATCTTTCGCGTTTTTATCTCATCAAGTTCCGGGTAAAAGAGACTCATGTGGATTCGAGACGCGAAGGCTTCGTCGATATCGCCCAGACGGTTGGTGGTGAGGAAGAGGATCCCAGCGTAGTACTCTAATACGCGAAGGAAAAGTGAATGAAGACATTAGTTGATGTCGGTAGAGACTTTGAATGCATTTTCTTGAAGAGCTTACCTGCTACTAAACCATTCCGAGCGAAGTCTTTCCTCTCTCTTGCAGAGAGAAAAACATCGGCTTCGTCTAAGAGCAGAATGCAGCCCCATCGACTTGCCAACGCAAAGTTTTTCTCGAGCTCAGATTCAACCTCTTTGGCAGTGGTCCCAAGATCACCTGTGGTATACGTTAGACCTGACTGCATGATCAAAAGGAGGTCGTCTTACCGCACGTTATCCGGAACAGTGGTCTCTTGAATCGCTCTGCCACGCCCTCTGTGGCGTTATCAGTGATATTGTGTTACGCTGGTGGTAAGGGGCACAAGTACTGACCGGCTGTAGTAGTCTTTCCGACGCCTGGGGCTCCGTGCAGGAGTAAGATTTGTGCCTTGCCTATAGTATGTTAGAAAGAACACATCGAAGCAAAGATTAGTATGCATGCTAACCTTTCCCCTTCACCAAGTCCGTTTGCTCGTCCCTCGCTTTTTCGTGACGGAAGTGTTGCGTTACAAGTGACTTTACCATCTCACGGTGGCCCGAGAGAAGCTCGAGCCTGTCAAAAGCGTTGAGAGTCGTGTTCCTGGCATCGACATTTTCGTATCTCAGGAAGGTGAGATCGAGCTGAGCTGTACAAGTATATCAGCCGGTGTGTCACCTCGAAGATAGGTTCTTAAAGTGAATCGATTGCACAGTGTCACAAGTGATCAAGTCATTGTTCGCTTACTCTCACCGGCCTCAGGGTCATACATGGTGGAATGCAAGGCCGAGTGGAAGACTCACCCCACTTTCGACTTCGTAGTACGAAACCGAAGACCCGGTACGTCATCAATACGAATTCTCCCTCTGTTGGCCCATTCTCGTCACTAGTGATTTCGTCCAAAGGGCGAGGTGAAAGGATGAGGGACGGTGCCCCGAACGTATTGTCAGGGATCAAAGTCTTGACGAAAGCTTCCGTAAGACGTGAGTCGACATCTGAGTCATCATGGACGACTTGGGAGCGGCAGCAAGCAGCCATACACACATCGTCATAGTCGTGGTCTCGGGCGGGGTTGATGGGCGCGATTGTCGGTCTCCAGTGTTTCTTGGTCTCGTTTGCTAGGGCTTCATTGAAGTCAACAACAACCTGGCTGTCAATCTCATCTCGGGTGTCTAGAGTCGTGCCCATGTAGTACATGGGTTTGAATTTGAACTTGGCGACACCTTGTAGCAGCCTCCCGCGATTGACCAAAGTCTGGCGTAGTTGAGCATCCTTGGCCAGTCTCAAGCTCGCAAAGAACCAACAAGGCTACAAAGGAGCTTCCAACTAGTCCCTGACTTCCAGAGACCAATACTCACCAAGCCATTATGGAAGAAGCCCCCAGTCCGTAAAGACAAAGACAAAGAAACAGAGCTCTTCAAGCAATGGCTACAGGAAAGAAATACGAACACTGACCTTGTCATCTATTCAGATGGATCACAATTGGACGACCAAGGCACAACCCGCACTGGATGGGGCTATACCATCAGGAAAAGCGGCACTACACAAGAAGTATACCGGGGAAGGGGCAGACTTCTACAAGCAGAAGTAGTGGATGCTGAAGTCCATGGTGCTCTCCAAGGTCTTGCAGCAGCCAGGGCAATTAGACACGGAAAACAGCTATATGTCTGCCTGGACAACACATCAGTGGTGGATGGGCTCAATGGGACTCCACCCGAGACATCACAGAAAATTTTTCTGCGATTCCAAGAACTCGCCACAGCACACACTCCTGGAGTGACCGTCAAGTGGATTCCTGGACACAGAGATATTGATGGTAACAAAGCTGCCGATATATTAGCAAAAGAGGGTACTATGCTAGAAACAGACACAACAAACCTCCCTACAATCTCTTGGGTCAAGAGAGATCTCAAGAGAAAGGGCAAGAAAGAGTTCAACCAATGGTGGAAAGACCAATCAGAACCTAAATATCAAGAAGTATACTCACATACAGTAACTGAAAGAGGCCTTATATCCTTTAAGAGGAGCACTCTACACAGACTTCTAGCGGCCAGATCTGGACATGGCGACTTTGCCAGATACCACGAACACTTTGGGCATACAGACTCGAACAACCACTGCAGCTGTGGTGAAAAGAAAACACCACAACATATTTTCTTTTATAAGAGGCTAGGAAAAAATCGGTTATTGTCTAGGTACTCGCCTAGGACAGCCTGTTTACAATACTTAGGGGAGAGGAGCACAGAATGGGCAAAATTCGTAGAGAAGAGCAAATTCTTTTCAACAATCTGTCTCCGATAGATAGCTATTCTTGAAGGACCAGATGGATGACCCCAAGGTCATACCGCCGCAACAACGGGGATGGGCCCGTGAGCGGGACTGACTGTACTTATTTTCTTGAGACCTCCACAACCCTGCGATGCAGAGGCTCTGGGAGGCGTGGTCTGCACTACTGAGGAGCTACCCCCCACGTTAAATACAAAACAAACAAACTTGGCCAGTCTCAGTGGATATATAGGTAGAGACTTGATGTCTTTCAGTCCGCCAGATGGCTGAATGCAGAACTTTTCTGAGACTGGCCCAAGCTTAGTACCATCGAAATCGATGTAAGCGCAGTGGATAGTCATGGGCGTCTCGTCTTTCGATTCATTACCACTGCCCCCGGACGACCATCGCACCCACGGGTCTTTAACATTATGACGGGGAATATGGACGCGGATCACTCGGTAGGCCTGTTTTTCCGTCTGGTTTATTACCTCATGCCCAGGCTGGAAGAGGTACCAGAGGTCCTGGAAGGTTAACTTGCGGCAGTCACGACTTCCAATGTACTGGGACTTGGCAAGAATCTCAGTGCGGATGAACCCCATCAAGCAGCGCAAGTGCAGTAAGGCTGTTGGATAAGTTGGCGTGTCCTCGTTGCTGTTCTTTCCCACATCAGGTTCCTCGACTTCATCACCCTGGTTGGCATCTCGACAAGATGGTGCACTCCTCTGGTCGTAGACGTGTTGGTCCGCGCCGTGGTCAACTGAGCTAGTAGCTGCGGACTTTTCTGCGGAAATGTTCGCAGCTGTGACATCCTGAATTGCCATCGACGATGCCTCGTTAACAGTTGTTTTGTAGCTCTCGAAGCTCCGTTCCAAGTCCGCAAGCTTTTCTCCCAATTGCCTTGCATAGAAATAGAGCTCCCTGAATGGCCTCAAGTATACCATTGATCCATCTGGAGCAACCCCATGGCTAACGTCCGAAACTTCGTCCATGATAGTCAATAGAGGGCTAGAATGAATCTTGATTCTCTCGGGGAGGGCACGCTGCATCGAAGGATCGGCGTTGGCGAAGTCTGTGTCCCTGTCTAGGGGACGATGGCTTGGAGGCTTTGTCCTTGATGGGTTGCGATCCCGAGTTGTGAGCTGCAGTATGACATTCGGCTCGGTTTTACCAATGACGGCATCGATGGGAGCCAGGGCCGAATTCTCGGGTTCTCCTTTGTCTTTCATGAAGAGATCCCAGTCGACCTGAAGTACTCTTGCCGGACGATTTTCCAATAGAGCCTTCATGCTGATCTGCTTGAGGGATTCTGGCTCAACAGGTCGAGTCTCTGTCTTGGTTGCCCTCCGCAATCTCTTTCGCCGTTCCTTCAATTTTACCTCTCTGGTGTATGCTCTTTTTACTCGCCTTAGCGCCCAGAGAAGGTCGGAGATAACCTGGTCTTGCCTGTCTGAGGAGTCTGAGTCGTATGAAGAGGATTCCGTATCACTGTCGTGCACTGATTTATCAACTGGCCCTTGGACACCGAACATAGTACTGATCAGGTCGAATTTGCCCTCTATTGCGTTCAAGCGTTCATGAAAAACATCCCCATGAGGAATATCACCGCTCGCAGCCTGCGTACCAGGGGGCTTGTCGCTGTCCAAGCTGCCAGCCTTGTGTGCCGCGCCTGTTCCTTCGTTGAGCTGAATGGTCGGCGGGGACATGCCATCTCTGCTGGGCTGTGTGAGATGTTCGATCGATGCTGAATCAGGCTTCGTGTGTATTGGGGGGTTGGGCTGGGTGCCAACGCCTTTGGCTGAATTTCCAATCGAATCCACCATTTCCAACCAGTATGTTTGGCTCGGCAAGAAAGGGAGCCTGGCTGGGGAAGGCCTGTCGAATGCTTCACAACGCCGGCGTGTCTCGCTATGAAAAGGTCAACCACAGGGTTTGAGAGTGATGGGTTCGAGGCTCTACTCGCCGTTGATATGCCTTGCGACTGACGTACAGCTTGATTCAAGAGAACCTTCGAGGATTTGGGATTCTAGACCCTCGATGGCACTGCCTGTTGGTATGATATTCTCAAATAAGGCTCTGTGACGGGTTGGTATACACGCCGGGAGTCACCAAATAGATGGATGCAGGATGTTTCGGGAGCAACGTCAGGTACTTTACTCTGGCCAATTGGAGTAGCAGTGGCATTGTCGCACGGAATAACAGCTCGCTACTACCTTTTTATCTCGGGCCTTGGGGCGTTAGTCATCGTGTCTGGGGGGGGGGGGGGGGGGGGGGGGGGGGGGGGGGGGGGGGGGGGGGGGGGGGGGGTACTGGCATCACGTATGCCTTCCTACCTAGGTAATTACAATTGTTGCACTGTGCGCCTGGCTACCTACCTAGGCACATAGTACCTACACACATGTATGCATCTGCAGTCATCCATCCCACATGTGATACAGCAACTGCCAGTATTCATGGCCAGGCCCCTGCACTGCTACATGGTCAGTTCCAAAGTTGAGATTTGTGACTCGAAGGGAATGAATGTCCCAAAGTTGCCAACGCTGAAGGAAATGCCACGATCTGGCCCCTCCTTGTAGATTAAAGTTTAGGTACTTACGAATTGGCCGATCACTCATACTGAAATAAACTGCACCTTGGACTCTGGGGTCTGGATAGAAGCCTCATCCCAATGTATCGCCATCGGATATCGGCGACCTCTTTCGAGCTGCGCTCCCCAGCGGTGGACTTTGTTGAGACCATGATGCAAGGTCCGTCGAGCCTAACAGTACCAGGTATGGTGCAGACTACGCCCCGACCATCGCCAGGGGCCATCAACGATATGGAGTTTTGGGCGAAAGTCCTCCCAGAAGCAATGCAGAAGCTGAAACGACAAATACCAACTGCAAGACCACACAAAATGGGCCATCCGCCATCTACGGGCGTGGAGCGATGTCTAGACCAAGTTGGAGATGGCGCGCAACTACTATGACTTCAACCATGGCTCGTAGAAGGTTGGAAATTTCTTTTTAAGGCTCTTTAGCTAGTTTATGTTTAATTGCATCACATTCACAAGTGTGTGTTCCTCAAATGGAGGTGATATTTCATAGACAATGATTGCTAGACTACATCTCCATCTTCTCGTCAAGATTGTTAAACTACATCTTCAGCAGCCTCCAGCTGCATCTCCAGCTCCAGGTTCATCTCCAGAAGCATCTCCAGTTCATTATCAGCTTCATGTCCAAATGCATGCGAAGCTTCTAGCAAAGAATCGAAATTGAATCCCGGTGTAGGCAGCGCCAGATGTGCTTGAAGAAACATCCATTCCGTTTCTGCGTCAAACTCCTCGAGCTCATCTGGTGACGGTGCTGGAACTCGGGTATGACCCTCAACATTCAATAAGTGCACCAGAAAGGAGATGATGACATCCTTGACGCTTTGGGGGTTTCCAGTGTAAGAACTACCGTCCACCCTCTTCAGCAGAGCCGCGTAGAGAGTTTGGGCCGGCTCGCCAGAGCCTCCGACGCACTTACACCTGGCAGGCACGTGCTTCATCTCGATAGAGATTTCAGCTACCTTTCGATGGAAGATCGCCTCGCACCCCGTGTAGGGGTTTTAACACTTCCTCTAAGACGGGTGAGTCCATTTTCGGCGATACTTGCCTTTCGCTTTGGGTGTGTGATATACAGAAGTTGGAATGTGGTTGTTGGTGATCTGCAAGAAGTGAATCAAGGGAAAATGAAAGTACTGGTTACCTATTTGTAGCCGTGCGGAACTAGGAACATTTTCCTTGTTCACGGAAAGAAGCTGAAATGGTTTCTTCTTCCGGTACAATATCCTTGTTGGCAGTGGTCGGAAGACAATGCCATTGTCATGATGCACAAAGCGACACGTGAAAAGAGCGTCCTTTGTGGGTGATGCAGGCGAAATGACTACCCCTAACGCACTACCAGTCCAACAAGGAGCTGGCTACCTAAGACATTGTGTTGGTTGGCAGAAAGGGGGAATGGTGATGCATACAGTCACCAAGGAACGAGAAGTCAGGTCCTCATCGTGCTACATGTCATAGAGGCAACCCCTCGGGCATGCGACGAATCGGTTTCCCTCAACCAACGAGATGCGACCATGGAAGCATTACCCGTCCTCCTTAAGAGACTTTCAAAAATTGCTCCGCATATACACACAAGGACGGGTTCTATGCATCCGACCGAGAACCAAACCCGAGTCCCGATCGACACCTCCGGCTCAACAAGCATCTAAAGCACCAGCCGAAGTAGGCACCGGGAGCGGCCGATGCAATCTCGTGACAATCTCCAAATAGTCCGCTTCATTATCATCGGTGATGATACCATGACGCACGAAGAAATCGATCATGACCGGAGCACAATTCGTCTTGAACTCCTCCCGCAGCAGCGCCTCCTTCACTTGCCGCACATCCAAAAGGTAAAACTCCTCCACCTCATCATCTTGCGGCTTGAGGACCACATCCTCGCCCACCTCAAGATCGTATACATATAGCACGTCCGGAACCACGAGCCCCATCTCGCCGCCAGACCCCGCGCCGCTCGACGACACATACGTCACAGCACCACACGCCTTCGCATGCCCCCTGACCAGGGATGCAGGCAAGGAAGCCTCCTCGTCCGCCTCATGCACGATGCATTCGAAGGGCGATTCCTCGGCGCGCACTCCGCCCGCCACGCTCGTGTCGAGCTTCCCCGGGTACGTCTTCAGATGGGCGCTGCGCCGCGGCACCCAGATCTTCAGTTCGCTGGTCTCTTTCGAGCGCGTGTACACGGTCATGTGTGCGCCGCGACAGGTGATCCCGAAGAGGCCCGCCGCCTGCCGGCGCAATTGCACGGGCGGACTGGGGAACTTGGCGCCCATGATCCTGAAGGCCTCCTCACGGGGCCGCGAGAGGGAGGCGAAGGCTTGTGTCTCGGTGGCGGCTTGGATGAGCTCGGCGAAAGCGGCGTTAATGGCGGCGCCGGTGCTGTTGACGCCCTTCGAGGTGTCTGCTTTGACTTTGATGGTGCGGGGACGTGAGGCCGGTGCGCTGACCTCGAAGGAGGTTGTCCATGGCATCCGCTCCACTGTGGAAGGGAGGATGTAACCGTGTGGGCGCGGGTCATCGGGGAGGAGGAGCTGGTAGAGCGCTGGGTTAGGGTCCTCTGCCCATGGTGTTTGGCCGATGTCGATACAGGGGAAGCTGAATGTGTTGGAAACTCAGCTCTGGGGCACTACCTACTTGGGGCAGGGTGGCTCGCTCACTTGTCACAGGCCTTGATCAGGTCGAGATAGGTCTTTGATGACGACGCCATCATGAGCTGGATGGGAGCTTGCTCTGAGGAGGGATGCTAGGCTGGTCGGCGAAGAAGTTACCTGATCGGGTGAGGTCTTAAGCTTCGGTAAGTGAGTGGTGAGTGAGTCACTCGGTAGCAAGGTGTGACATACTAGTTTGCAATGTAGTGATTAACCAGCACATACATGTAAGATATGGCGCCGGTTGCTAACTAAGTAGGTAGACGCTCTGATCTTGGTTTCCTGTCAGATACTCACTCGCAGCCTTAAGGACTGATGAAACCTTCCGAGGCTTACATGAAGACGGAGGGGTATAATATAGCAGCGGTTTGAGCGACGACTCTCACATACCCACCTTCTTCGAGACCATAAGAACGGTACGCAGCCAATGAATACACAGATCTTAGGAGCAAGGTTGTGAGTCCTTGGTGATATCAATGGATTATTTTGCTCTAGTTTTTTGTCCCCAACAACTTGAAGTCAATGGGAACAATTGACCTGCGCAAGGCCCGCTCAGGGGAAGCAGTGGATAAGGCAGTATAATTCAAGTGTGGGGAAAGATAATAGTCACACCGGGTGAGTAAAAACGCCCGTCATTAACAACATACGGATTTGATACGCGACACATAAAGTCAGGGAGTTACTCGCTTCTGAATACCAACCTGAGATCCGGAATCTTGCAGACGGCAATTTAATCATCGATCGCCCCTTTTCACGACTATCCTGGTCATCCGATTCTTAGGTACTCGGTAAGCTTGGCTATTTCCTACATGACCTTCATCGCGATTGTTTCAAAGGAGACAACGGGCAATGGAAGAATGCAAGCCAGAATTTATAGGGCGGCAGGGCTAAAACCCTGCCGCTGCCCAAAGTGGGTGTGCCGAGGATCCGCCGATAAGTCTCCAGCAGGGGCCGCCGGGTGGGTCTGTATTGCTGGCGCCTCTCACTGGCTGCACGGGCTGCACAGCTGCGCGCCCCCTACAAAAACAAAATTCCATGTTTTTGCCATTTGGGCGTGGCGGGCTGGCGGGGTTGGATAATAATAATGGAACAAGCTGCCCCGCCTCGCCTACCCGCTTTGCTGCTCTAAACCCAAACCCCTCCTCCTGCCTTTGCCTTGACAAATTTTCCCTTCCTTCGACCACTCCGACACCTCTGTCTTCGCCTTCGCATCAACCTACAGCTGGTCGGTGGTTGCTTGCGACTGCATTTCTGTCCTCTTCATCCCCTTCTCCCAGGTTCGTCCCGCGTCTCCTCTGGCACGAGAAAGGCAGTCGTGGTCTCTATCGATTTCCTCCATCGACAACCAAATCCACCCCGCTTCCCTCTCTTCGTCTTCAACCACTCCACCTTTTGGGAACGTGGCCCGTCGCTAACATCCACATAGTAGAGCGACCACATCAATACCGCCAAAATGGTCAAGTAAGTCCATCACGAACCTACCTTTCTGCCTATCTCGAGCAGCATCGCGTCTACACGCCGTTGGGCTGGGAGTCCTCGACGATGCCGCTGCCCGAAAACCCCGCGCCGGAGATAAGCACTCTACCACCGCAAATACTGATATGTGCTTCTTCTGTATAGCTTCACGATCGACGAGATCCGGCAGCTTATGGACAAGCCGACGAATGTCCGTAACATGTCCGTTATTGCCCACGTCGACCACGGAAAGTCCACCCTGACCGACTCCCTTCTGGCCAAAGCCGGTATCATCTCCACCGCGAAGGCTGGTGATGCTCGTGCCACGGATACGAGAACCGATGAACAAGAGCGTGGTATCACTATCAAGTCCACTGCCATTTCCCTGTACGGCACTCTGCCTAGCGAGGACGACCTGAAGGACATTGTCGGCCAAAAGTCCGACGGCACTGACTTCTTGATCAACCTGATCGACTCGCCCGGTCACGTCGATTTCTCTTCCGAGGTTACCGCTGCTCTCCGTGTCACCGATGGTGCCCTTGTTGTCGTCGACACCATTGAGGGTGTCTGTGTTCAGACCGAGACTGTCCTGCGACAGTCCCTCGCTGAGCGCATCAAGCCTGTTGTCATCATCAACAAGGTCGATCGCGCCCTCCTCGAACTTCAGGTTTCCAAGGAGGATCTGTACCAGTCCTTCTCGCGAACCATCGAGTCCGTCAACGTCGTTATCTCCACCTACCTCGACAAGTCTCTCGGTGACCTGCAGGTCTATCCCGAGAAGGGTACCGTTGCCTTCGGTTCCGGTCTTCACGGCTGGGCTTTCACCATCCGCCAGTTTGCCGTTCGTTACGCCAAGAAGTTCGGTGTTGACCGAAACAAGATGATGGAGCGTCTATGGGTAAGCTTCTCCTGCCTCGTGGAAATTTTAATACCGCGATTGGAATACTGACTTGTGTCATCTTCTAGGGTGACAACTACTTCAACGCCGCTACCAAGAAGTGGACCACCAAGGGCGAGCACAATGGCAAGCAGCTTGAGCGTGCCTTCAACCAGTTCATCTTGGACCCCATCTTCAAGATCTTCGGCGCCGTCATGAACTTCAAGAAGGAGGAGATCGCGACCCTGCTGGAAAAGCTTGAGCTGAAGCTGCCCACTGAGGACAAGGAGAAGGAGGGCAAGCAGCTTCTGAAGGCTGTCTTGAGAACCTTCCTCCCCGCTGCCGATTCTCTGCTAGAGATGATGATCCTCCACCTACCGTCTCCCGTCACTGCCCAGAGATACCGTGTTGAGACTCTGTACGAGGGTCCCCTCGACGACGAGGCTGCCATTGGTATCCGTGACTGCAACGCCAAGGGTCCCCTCATGCTCTACGTCTCCAAGATGGTGCCGACCTCGGATAAGGGTCGGTTCTACGCCTTTGGTCGTGTCTTCTCCGGAACCGTCAAGTCCGGTATCAAGGTCCGCATTCAGGGCCCCAACTACACCCCCGGCAAGAAGGAGGATTTGTTCATCAAGGCTATCCAGCGTACCGTTCTGATGATGGGTGGCAAGGTCGAGCCTATCGACGACATGCCCGCTGGTAACATTGTTGGTCTGGTTGGTATTGACCAGTTCTTGCTCAAATCTGGTACCCTCTCCACTCTGGAGACCGCACACAACCTGAAGGTGATGAAGTTCTCCGTTTCACCTGTCGTCACGCGTTCCGTGCAGGTTAAGAACGCCCAGGATCTGCCCAAGCTGGTTGAAGGTCTCAAGCGTCTCTCCAAGTCCGATCCCTGTGTTCTGACCTCCACCTCCCCGTCCGGTGAGCACGTCGTTGCCGGTGCTGGGGAGCTGCACCTCGAAATTTGCCTGAACGATCTCGAGCACGACCACGCCGGTGTTCCTCTTATCTTCTCAGACCCCGTCGTCCAATACAGAGAGACCGTTGCTGGCAAGTCCAGCATGACCGCTCTCTCCAAGTCCCCCAACAAGCACAACCGTCTGTACATGATTGCAGAGCCCCTTGACGAGGAGCTTGCGCTGGCCATCGAGAGTGGCAAGATCGGACCCCGTGACGATATCAAGACTCGTGCACGTCTGATGGCTGATGACTTCGGCTGGGATGTCACCGATGCTCGCAAGATCTGGTGTTTCGGTCCGGATACTACCGGTGCCAACTTGCTGGTTGACCAGACCAAGGCTGTGCAGTACCTCCTTGAAATCAAGGACTCTGTTGTCTCGGGTTTCCAATGGGCCTCCCGCGAGGGTCCCGTTGCCGAGGAGCCCATGCGTGGCACCCGGTTCAACATCATGGATGTCACCCTGCACGCTGATGCCATCCACCGCGGTGGTGGCCAGCTGATCCCGACTGCCAGACGTGTCCTATACGCTGCGGCGCTTCTTGCCGACCCCGCTCTTCAAGAGCCCGTCTTCTTGGTCGAAATCCAAGTGCCCGAGAATGCTATGGGTGGTGTCTACGGTGTCCTGACCCGAAGAAGAGGTCACGTCTTCGCTGAGGAGCAGCGTCCCGGTACTCCTCTGTTCACCATCAAGGCATACCTGCCCGTCATGGAGTCTTTCGGCTTCAACGGCGACCTCCGAGCTGCCACTTCCGGCCAGGCCTTCCCACAAATGGTGTTCGACCACTGGCAACAACTGCCTGGTGGCTCGCCGCTCGACGGCACCTCCAAGGTTGGACAGATCGTCCAGACGATGCGAAAGCGCAAGGGTATCAAGGTCGAGGTCCCGGACGTCAGCAACGTAAGTTAAATCGCGTATGCTATACTTGGTGGTATTCTGCTAACCTTGTTTCACAGTACTACGACAAGTTGTAAAAGATTCCCCCTCTCTGCTTATAGACTACGACCCCATGCCATTGTTGGCGAATATCATGAGACGGCTCGGCGCATTGATTCTGCATTGGCCGATCTAATAGGGATGATGCCAAGTCTCCGAGGTCGGCAAGGATTGATCTGCGGCCGTGGATAAAGAAAAGGCTATACTAAGGCACTGAGCGTGGAACCTTGACTAGCTGTCGTCCATCCATATGGTTTGCTTGTAGTGTCGACGCAATTGATTACGATTTAAGACGAACTGTTTCCAGCATCGTTCTACCTGATTTCAAGTATTTCGTGACTAGTTCGCCACTAAGCTCTCCTGGTATGATCTTTTAGCAATTTGTGATAAGATGAGGCTAGCTGGGGGGGCTTAATTATTGACACAACAAAATCTGCTTTATGCCAGAATCCGATACATCTAAGCAATCCATTCAGGAGGTAAGCACATAAGATTCGTATTGTTCTCAAAGCATGCGCCAAGTCAACAAGTTATCAAGTCATCGTGAAAATATATAGCATGGTATCTTGTCACCGTAACCGTTGATGTAGCCGCCTGATACCGCCACCCACAGCTAAGGACCCAAGGAAGTCAGCGTCCTCTGTTCTGACCTAATACCTTGCGGTTAACAGCAAAAGAGCTGAATTAGTCAGACGGTGGTAGTTTTGTTTCAAGAGAAGGCGGTCTGGGCATTCGGCGCCTATCAGAACCCTGAATCCATACTGACGTCCGCCACAGTCAGTCCCTGAGACGAGCAGCGTACTCTCGAAGAACTAGACTACGTCCTCGCTATACCGACCGGAAAGCACATGAAGTACCACATGACCAAGTCGCTGCCTTTTTTCTTCAAGCGCTGGGTCTGCTTCAACAAGAACGCTCAGCTCAAGCCGCTGAACACGTTCGACCACATCCAGGCTGAGGCCACCAGGTCTGCCAGCGTCGTGCAGTACGAGGAGGAGCGCAAGAACCGTCGCTAGGCTCCCACATTACCAAGTATGGGCTGAATGATTTGGGGACGATATACACACACTGTGCGTAGAGCAAACAGTTACAAAGCTTGGTTGAAGTCGTAGCTGCGAACTAGCTCCGGACCTATCCAGTGTGTAGTTGCACAGCCTAGAAGATGGTGTGAAAGCACCACCAGCTTAAAGCAGTGACTGTGCTCTTGACGCTGAATACTTATTCCTGCATCTGTTGTATGCCTGCTAGCCCACAGACCCGCACTTCACGATCGCACTGCCTCGCAGTCTTGTGCTCAAAAAGAGTCACCCCATGAAGACTCAATCCATAAGAGTGCTTGCACTTTCCGTACGACGTTTCCCAACGACGTTTCCCAAAGTCCGCAACTCGAGATGTTCTTTCTCACCCACCATCTCCACGAGAGGGACCTGATTATTGGGATCTTCAGCTTCAGCCTGGATGGGTAAAGCCCCCGGAGGCTGGGTCAAGAGCATTTTCTGCCAGCTGCCAACTGGCGGGTCTGACTGCGCTTCAAGCTCGCCGCTTGGATCGTAACCTGGATCATAATGAATGCACACCGGATCCAGTAGCTTGGGAAGCCGTCCTTCTTCCCCCTCCGAGGACCATGGTTTAAACATGAAGATGCTGGATCCGATTTTGTCGACTGTGATGATACGGGCGGTGATGAGATTGTTTCTGAGAGGAAATCTTCTGTCGTCCGCGTGGCTGTCTCCAATGGGTGCGAAGAAGAGTGCCTGCTGCAGGCGCGTAGACGCGGCGATGGTGGACCGAAAGCCTTTGCTAACCCGCTGACTGAGCAGCAGAGTCTTCATGTCGAGGTTGAGAAGGATACCTTCGAGCAGCTCTTCGATGCCCAAGGCCTTTGCCATTGCGGCACTGGCGCCATCGGGATCCTGCCATGAGGTCAGCCCTGTGCCTCTCACATACGAACGAGTGATGGCGTACCTTTTGTTGTCCTGGACCCATCTCCGCCATACTCTTTGTGTGTATGGTCAGTGGTCACCATGCATAATTGGCAGGGAAGACCGTGGTTTCCTTCTCGGTACAGACAAGCTTCGAGGTGGAGAGGCCGTGGAACGACGCCGTGCGTCAGCTTGGTGGCTTGGTCATGTGGCAGCGCAAACGGGCGACCAGTGCCGTGGGGTAACAGGACGGCTCGTCGGGCGAGCCGGGATACGCATCTACGGACGCTGTTGCCAACTTTGCGAAACGCTTAGGTGTTGGTGGACATTATGGCGGATAAAGAGAACATGTTAAGGAGATGTTCGATATTCTCTTAGGCTCATCCCAAGAACTCATATACCGTCTCAACGGCGGAAGGATACTTAGGCTCCCAGCCAAGAGAGCGAAGTCTCGTCGCCTGGACCCGGAAGTTTCCTCCCCAGAAGCGAGCAACAGGGTAGACTTTGTCAGCCTCTTCCGCGGTCAGATTGTCCAGCTCTGCGGTCTCGATGGTACCTTGATCCGCCATCCTCTTTGCCGTCGCAGCTACCATTTCTCTCCACGCTGTCTGCCCGTTCTCCGCATAGTATACTCCTTTCTCCCCCCATTCCACCTTGCTCTGATCCTCACCGAGCCCCGACTCGGTGAAGAGCAATATGACCTCGGCGACATCCTTCACATGAATAGTGGTAATGATATTATTCCCCTCTCCGACCGTGTAGCCCTTCCCGCGCTTCTTGATAGCAGCCACGAGGTCCGGCACGCCCGCCAACCCGACTTTCCACGCAGTGGTGCCCTCGCTCCTGCCATTGATATACGGCGGTGCGAATAGGATGGTCCTGATACCGAGTCTCTTGGCCTCGCTAAAGAGGAGCTGATCGGAGCTGGCATGAAAATGCGTTTGGTCAAAGGTCGTGATCTCCTGCAGGTCCGCGACATCGTCCCAGATCTTGGGAGACGGGTTGCCGAGGCCCGGGGACGTGTCGAAGATGCTGGCTGCGCCGGACATCTGGATGTACGCGCCGTTCTTGTTGCCTTCCGAGATGCCGTGGGCGATGGACTTGATGACGCCGAGGTGGTCTGCATCTGCTGCTTCTGTTTTTCTTCGGTCAGCGTCGTTTGTTCTTGGAGAGACGTCTGAGGTGCTGGGACTTACGAATCACGACGTCTGATTGCTTGCTCTGCTCAACAATTACCTCGTGCGAGTCCAGATCCCCAAGGACCAAGTGGACAGTCGGGAATTTGGAGGCAACTAGCTGCTTCTTCTCCTGGTTGCGGACTAGTCCTGTGATATGGTATTCTGGGTGTCTTGCTATCATCGTGTGGAGAAGTTGTCCTCCGCTGTAGCCGGTAACGCCGGTGATGAAAATCTTGGGTGCCATGATGTAGGGTCGGCGGAGGTATGTAGATGGTGAGGGTGCTAGATGTAAGGTAGCATGTGTTGGTTGAAGGTATCACCCAGTGAGGAAGGGGCAAGCAGCTCTTATAGAGCGCACCATCTACGCTAGCACACTGAGGTCGTATACTGACTTGACTCAGCAGAAACTCGAAGCCGGTCATTCTATGATTATAAATATATAAGATTTGGGGAACGGGACAACCTTTGGAAGGGACATTCCGGACAACTTGAGGAAAAGAAGCGTCTGATTGGAGGTTGCAAAGCTGCAGGCCCGCTGCATCCCGAGGTCTAGGGCCGCAGAAGCGGTGGGGCACACGGGACTGCCAGTCTGATTTCAAATCAAGGCTTTGATGCGTGCCCCCGCATCCCCTTGCCTGCTGACGATGCGGTGTGGGATGGAGGGGTGAGTATTCTCCTCGTACCCCAAACGGTGCTGAACAACCCACCTCCGAGCTTTGGGAATCATGAATCGCGCTACCCGCAGAATATCGCATGGTTGCGTTATCGGCGGAGGCAGCCCGGCTCCTATTCCGAGTTCGCGAGAACGCCGCAGCCGGCCCGGCACTGCAGTCCTTCGAATTAACCGAAGCAGACCCGGGCGTTGGCCCCGTCTGCGTCGAGGGCGCCGAGCCTGACGACGTCCTGCGCATCGACTTCCTACCACTCGAGCCCTCGGTGAACTTTGGCTGGACGGCTGTCTTCCCCGGCTTCGGGATCCTGAGCGACGACGCGGAGTTTGCGGAGCCTGCGCTGAAGATCTGGGATCTGCGCGGTGTGCGGGAGAGGGGGTGCCTTGTGTTCCGCGAGGGCCAGGCCGTCGACGGGGGTAAGGATGAGACTGTGAATGGGAGGGAAGAGGTCTGCATCCCGTACCGACCCTTCCTCGGTCTGGTCGGGGTCGCGCCGGCGCCGGAGGCCGGGGGCACCCCATGGTGCCGCCGCTCGACACGGGCGGCAATATCGACACGCGCTGCGTCGGCGAGGTCTGCGGGACGGCGGTGGAGACAAGGATGCGGGCGCGGGTGCGAGTCTTTGTTGAGAAGAAGGGGAAGTGGTGGGTGAGGAGCCCGTGGGTGCTGACGGCGGCAAAGAAGCAGGAGGCGGAAGAGGAAGAAGAAGGGGCTGTGGGAAAGGGAAAGGGATTTGAACAAAAATTGGAGGACGGGAGGGAGATGGTGTGTCTGGGCGTTGGCAGTGATCTGAGGGAGGCGACGCGCAAGGCGGTCAGGGGCGTGGTGGACTGGCTCGAGGCGGAGAAGGCGATGACGCGGGTGGAGGCTTACATGCTGGTGAGTGTGGCCGGCAACCTGAGGATGTGCGAGGTGGTGGATATGCCGAATTATGCTATTGGGTGTGCGGTGCCGTTGGGTATCTTTGTGTCTTGAGATGAGCTGTATGGTATGGTAGCATTGCCTACCCCTATTCCTCGTTTATAGCGGTCGTGAGTTAGTTGGTGCAAGGGGACGGAAAGCACGGGCCACACAGTAGACTACCTCCTATAAAATTCAGCCGCCTCATCAATCCAATACATCTCGAAAACCAGCGACCCGTCACGTGGTCAAACATGCGCCCTCGGCTCTACATGCACCGCTGCCCATTCAGGTGGTCAACATGGCACCACCTGCACGTCGTGTTCACGCGCCCGGCAAAGGGGAAGACGCGTCGAATTGTATTGCCTGCGCCGACCCGCAGCTTCGAGTTTGAGCAATGTTGCTGTTGCCGCACACCACAGGCGCCGCGATGACCTCACACGACCAAGCTCGCCCAGCTTCCAACCTGCTGCGCGCGACTCCAGCCGGCGCCGATCCGAACCCAAGACCACTGTACGTCCCGGGTCCCCGTCATCTTCTCTGCCACAGAGATGAAGTCTGACGAGTCCATGGCACTTCTCGGAACCCTCGGAACCCACCTCCGACTCACGGCTTGGTGGGAGAATTGCAACCATCGAGTTCGATTCGTTGCAGCCGTGCGAAACCCTCGTCACGGCCAAGACGGGCCACAAGGTCATTGCCAGCTTCAATGTAGCCTCTTGGCCCGCACACGCTATGTACATACCTGGTACGTACATACTTGGTGTGAATGTGAATCCCAGTCCACCATATGCTGATTGTTATGACAGGTGGACCGGCTATTTTCCAACCGCCAGCCATGCCCGCCATGCTGGAGCGGAAGCAGGACACGAGCCCGGCTACGAGTTGGCATACCGACCCCTGGCCCTCCGGCACCTCCCGTTCATGGAAGCCTATGGAAACACTGGCGTGGAAGCGCTCTTGTTTGGCCATCCAGGCCATGTCGCCGGACTTTCGTTTCGACGACGTGAGTAGTACCCAGAGCTGTCCCCTCAAGCCCGCTGTTGTTCACAGGAGCAGCGACATTCTACCTCTCCGCCATGCCTCCATCGTGATTCGGAACTTCGGGAGCATCGCCAAGCCGAAATACAACACGTATCACTAACTCCGCATGCTGCAGATTGATGTCGCCATGAGTGTGACCCATTGTCGTGGGCTTCTAGCAATGTGCACCGGGGCCGAGGACCACCGCTGTTTCTACCAAATCTCGCTCGTCCACAACATATTAGTGGTCAACCGCGTATTTCGTCGCCAGAAGCCTAGGACAGGGGAAACCCCCGGCGAAGAGGAAGAGAAGAGCCCCGACGATAGTCATCCTACTCAGCGAAGCTCGTTCGATTTCGGCAAATACTTCGAAAGCAAGTTTAGAAAATGGCCCCCTGGGCTCGAGAATAGCTACAACCATGTTCGACACCTGCAGTACGACCTAGGTCAGCTAAAGTGCTTGATTGGGGTCGGGGTCGACGCCACTATCCATGCTCCAGTAGAAATGAGGACGTCAGGATCGTCGCAAGCTATGCCTCCAAGGTCGTTCGAGATGGAGGGTTTCCAGGTCGTCCTACAGGGTGCCAACCCAAATACTTCTGCCGCCGAGATGAAGACAAAGCGGCAGTTCAGACAACACGAAATAGACCAAGTCTGGTTCAGCCGGACAGCCAACTTGATCCACGCCGACATGGGCCTCGACAAGGGTAAAACGTCACAGAACAGCGACCATGTATTCGTCCGAAACGTCAAAGTGGAAGATACGAGCAATCGACTCCATCAGTGGGAGAATGTGGAGCGCAACCAGCTCGCGCTACGAAAGCTTGTGAGTCTGCTTTCTCATCTGCGGAGTATCCTCAAAGCTGCTCCCCAAGACCATTGCCTTATTTCTCGGCCACCTGGCAAACATCGTGCTTCTCTCAAAATTCATTCTATCATTAATGGCGCGCACACTGTGTCGGAAAGTGACATTCAGAAGCTTTGGACAGGCAGGTAGTTGATACTTGTGGCACGTCGGCTTGGCTTGGGACATGATCGTTGGTCCCATATCAAGGAGCAAGTATCACGCCTCCTGTAACCGGCACGCCAAAGTCGTCACGTGCGGGAGCTACTTTGGACTAATCGACACGGCTCGTTAACGTTACGCTGCGACACATGAGAGGAGGCGGGGAGCGGCTATCATCGCCGTCATGATAAGTAGAAAGGTGCCCATGGCTGTCCCCTGGAGGGAGAGTCATGCTCTATTTCTTTCTTAAACACAGTCTTGTCTGGCGCTTACAGCAAGCAGAGCGAGGTGCTGGTGATACGGGTCTGGGCAAATCCCAACGCTTGAGGGATGTTGAAGATACTCACCCTGTAGCAGAGAACGTTCGTGCTACGTGTCGAACTCTGTCTCAGATCACTTGCCATCCCATCATTGTTTTCACCCTATCATGCGGTGGGCTCAATGGGGTGGCAAGATCCGATCTGGTATGTATTATTTCGGACATACACATCGTCTGAATAGCGGAGACGGAACTTGTGGCCCAAGAAGAGGGATAGAGTAGACTCATGTAGCAAGAGCTATGCCACAAGCACGATCGAGGCGGTGTGGAGTCCCATCTGGAGGAGGTGGGTCTTCAGACGAATGGTGCAGCCCTGGGATCAACTGGAAGAGGCCTGTCTCCGTCTCGGCCCGGGCTGGAGGACCGAGGAGACACCTGGAAGAGTAAACCGGCAGGCAGACAATGTAACAAAATCCAGCATGTCACCGGCATGATCCAGGCCGCCCCTTTTCTGTGAGCACTGCCGTGGTGCATTTCATGCAGAGATCACATGGCCGCAAGTAGAAAACGTGGTTTTGACCCAGAAAAGGGGCTAGCTAAGGTATGTACCCTGCGAGCCGGAGCATCTGTTTGAGTGGTACAACTACGTGCCAGTGGACCCTAATCGGGTTCCTTGACGCATCATCTTCTCGCAACCTGCTGAAGTGCTATAATGTAGGATTCCTATCGATCAAGTATTGGCAAATACACTGCTATCACAGCAGAACTGGACTTGGAGATATGGCTTACAAGGCATAGTACCCGGCGACTGGCACTGTTTGAGATGAATTACCAGACCGGAACCAACCCACACTGACAGCAATGGTGCCGGGCGAACATCGTGGGTGAAACGACATGTTATATCATGGAAATCTGTATGGTCTAGTTCGCACATCAAGCCTAGTATCCAACTCTGCCGCAATGGAAGCAGGGAGCTTGCACGGGCTGGTGTTCGGCTTGTCCCAGTATGGAAGGGGCATCAGAAGTAGCGGCCATCACAGAGTAGTGCCTTCCTCGAGACTGTGTTCAGCATGCCGGTGCGTCTGGAAGCAGGTGTGACTCTTAGAGAGATTGAAGGAAGGTGGGATCTAAAGATGGTTATCAGGAAGGCAAGAGCCTAACACTGCACCAATGTCCACGGTATTTCTCCCAAGGACCCCTCACCTCATCACGCTTCCAGATCTGGCGGACCACTCATTAACATCATCAAACAACATCATTCCAAGATACATCCTACACGCGGCCATCGTCAGAGCAGAGTCCATCGGTCACAACATCCGTAGAACAACACCCCCAACACCTACACCAACACCAACATGCCGGACACCTACCATCTCGCAGCAGACGCAGAGGAAGCACTGTCGCCCGGCCTCAGCCCCAAGCGCTCGGAGACGTTCTCGAGTTTCACTACCGAGGAGAAGACCATCGATGGCGTTACCTTCCTCGACATCCTACCAGCTGAGCCCTACAAGCTCCAAGTCCTGGTCCATCTAGGTCCTGGCCTGGAGACTCGCTGGCGCTCAATCACAGTCACCGAGAGCGACGACGTCGCGACCATAGTCAAGAAGCTGCTCTCCGAGTACAAGAGCTCAGTCTCCTGGTTATGGCGGCTCCAATACCGCGTCGTCGAGGGCAAGACGCTCACTCTTCAGAAGGCCGCGCTGCGGAACGCAGCTGTATGTGCTCGCCTCCTCTTCTCCGCAGCACAGCATCAAATACTTGAAATAATTCGTACAACGCAAGACTAACACACCTTCCTATCGCAGACCTTCGAACAAAGTGGTCCGGCCCACTGTGACCACCCTCAATGCTTCATCGGGCGATGCGAAGACGCCGGCGACCTCACGAGGGCCTTCTTGTTCCCCCCCGACTGTCTATATCAGTGGAGCGGATACAAGCTAGACAAGTCTGCGTACAAAGACTGCCGGGTCACGTCCGGCCACGAGGTCCTCCTGATCACCCACACGCCTCCCGTTCCCAAGCCCAAGAAGGAGAAGAAAGAGAAAGAAGAGAAGAAGCCCAAGACCACGCGAGCGAAGGAATCGCACTCCGCCAACTCGTCGACATCGAGCACCGGCCTGGTATCGGAACCGGAGCATAAGTCTGACGGGGTGTGTTGTACAGTGTGCGGAATCATCACGGTCCTCGTCATCCTCGCTGTCGCCGGATTGTTCGTATGGGCTTTTGTCAAGGTACCACCACAAAGCCCCAAGTAAAGAGAAATAGACTGACGTATACTTTAAGCTCGGTAAAAAGGGAGACAGCGACGATGGATCTTCGCTATGCTTTCCATATGGCCCTTTTTACCTATATCTTGGCTGTGTAGACGACGATTAGAGGGCTACTTGGTGGCATTGCCAGGGGCGTAGCGAGGAGTAACGACCGGGACGGACGTGCGAGTAATGGTGTCAGCTTGGAATAGGAGGCCGGAGCATGGGTAGCTATGGTCCCCCTATTGGTTTGGTGCGTGTAAACAGACTTTAATAAACATCCTCACGAACATCGCGATCAATAAAGTAAGTGTGTCACTGCTACTCAAGGATACTACAATATGTGCCGTCATTTATCTATCCACCCGTGCCACTCAAAAGGCGCATATCGTGTTCGAAGTATGTCAACCTTTTTATGGTGAACACTTCAGCTTCGAGGCGTCTGGTGGTGGTTAGGGGTGTCTGCACCTTGCAGCTGGTTTCTCACCTTCCTCTTCTCCTTTCCACGTGTCGGCAACCCTGGTTCGTGCAGAATAGGGGTATATTACCTCCTACTTGCTTACTTGTTCTGTCTATGGGTCAGGGGGACTGATCTGGTACTAAGTACACACTCAAACCACAAAGCCAGGCTTACCTTATCCTTAGAGCATCCTGACGAAGCTCCTTCATCTGCCTGCGACCTTTGACCCGACGTGACCACCAAAGCCACCAAAGCCACCACTGCTCACACCACGTGTACAAGGTTTCGGGTTGCTTCCATTGACACGCAACAGAGCGCATTGGAGGAAACTGGGACTTGCGCCATAGTACGTTAGCGCACGCGATAGTCGTTTCCATTCGACAGGCATTATGATTGATTGCACGGATCACTTGGTTAACACGAGGACAAACGTGTCATAACCTCATTCATTCTGATTCAGCAACAAGGACTAGCAGGGGGTTATGTACAGTCGAGATCTATCTTTCGCCGAGAGTGTCGGTCTGATTTATGTAGGTGAGGAGGTATCACCTCCAGACCAAGCCGCTCTCTTCCACCCCACGCCTAGCAAATATGTTCTCTATCCCACGAAATCTGCGTTTCATAGCGTTTATGTGCCTTCCGAGTGCAGATCACCCAACTGTGAGTAAATTGGATCTGGACAACTACCAGAACACTGAATAACGTCAATGATGGGGTCGGGCCGCAAGCGTCGCTGTAAGAACCCGACTGTGATCGATGGCCTGACGAGCCATGATATTCACAGCTATCAACCAGTGAACCGGAACCGCGATCCCTCCAACTGGCCAAGTCCATCCCGGGGAGCGACGTATCTCCTACGGTAGGTATTGGTGAAATCTTGCATGATTGAGCGAATCTGGCGAACATCACCAGTATCGTTGGCATTAAGCCGGCCCTTGATCTTAACCATGAGGCGGTCAACTTCGACCGGAGAGACGGTGCCGGGAGGGAGCATGCGGAGTGTTTGATCTACCCACGCTGCCGTCTGGTCTGGTAATATCTCGAACAGGGTAAGCAAGGCACCACTCGCATCGGCAAAACAATCTCCCGGGAAGGTGATCATCATGCCGGCGAGAATGCGCTTCACCAGCATCTCGCCTTGAGCAACTAGCAGTTGCTTCACAATGCTTCCCATCTGTTCCGCAACCGCCGGTGATAGATACTCAAATGAAGACGGTGAGTACTTCGCCCCCCAGGACAGAACATCGCGGATGTAGTGGAGAGTGGCCGACACAGGCTCACGTTGCTCCAGAACGAGTATCGAGATGGCTGCTTCGAAGACGGGCGCAAATACTGGGGACGGAATGAACTTCTGGGGATAGTATAGCAGGCCATCGAGAGCAAGGCGGTAGAAGTCTTCGGCAACGTCAGGCAACTCCTGCGGTGATAGATCACTAATATACCGCAGTACATTCGTTGCTTGAGCCTCGAAGAACACGTAGATGTGTTCTGTCATTGCCTCGTCGACATGCTCTCGGTCGTCGGAAAATTCCCGTAGTATGGCGCCAGTAACCCACAGGAAGCAGCCTTGCTTCGAAGTGGCAAATCCAGTTGCCAACTTGTTTGCCATTTCCGGCAATATTGGTGCCATGGCTCCTCTGTGGGATATCACCATTAGCCTCCAACAGCGGCAGACTCTCTCACAGATCGGAGGGAAGTCCATGAAGCTCTCCAAAATCTTGGCTAGGATAGGGAAAACCTCTTGCCAATACTTGACCGCGGGGTCTTCTTCCCCCCTTTCGACAGGTGGAACGATGACGACGATCTGGACAAACATGGTGAGTAGCTGGATGTGGTCCGCAACCGCTAGCTTCCCCTCCTTGTCTGTCGCATTATTCGCTTTCACCATCAGCCTCTGTACGAGCGGCTCGCAGAAGAGTTTCAGGAGCTTGTAGATTTCGCTCTTCGGCTGTACCGAAACGACACTGGCCACTCCTTCGGTGATCTCTTCTTGACTGATCTCGGGAAGCTTGTCGATGATCTGGTCGTAGAATTGTTGTAATTGGATGACTTGTTCGCTCAGCAGATCTTTGCAGTCTGTACAGAAGTACTTGATCGCCATGGCAGCAGCTCGAACAATCTCTTTAGAGCTTGTGTCGAAGGATGATACGATGTAATTGAACTGTGGACTCAGGAAGTCGGGGTGTGCAGCAGTCCACTCCGTATATCTTCCCAGTACCATGATCGTCGCAAACCGTAGCTTTTCGTGACTCGGCATCTGCACCAAGAGCGGCATGAGCTGGGGCAGAACGATGTTCTCATCTTTATCCACCATGCGGCCCATGGCGCGCATGGAGAATAAAGGAGCTTCCAGTTTCTGCCAAAGAGGCACATTGGCACCACTCGCCATGCCGGCGTACTTTTGCATCCATAGTGTGATGGATTCCAGTACCTTCGTGAGGCATTCGGTCACACCCATCACCTCACAGGCGTCCTTGAGAGTGTCCCCCATGTGGTGTCGGAATTCGCGGAATTTCTCTTCCGCTTCCCGGTCTCCATTGAACAGGTCTCCTTCGTTACCGGATTCCGACTCGGGATATTGGAGGTGATTCAGAAGGATGTCGACCAGCTTCGAATACACGTCCAACAGTTCCATACGCGCTTGTATATATCGCTCCAGAACCAGGTACTGCTTGAGTTCATACCAAAAGTCGAAGGTGTACTCGATGACGTCCCTATCTTTGTCTCTGGCGGCACACTCGAGAATGGTGTCAACCAACGGCCTGAAATGGCTGGTCTCGCGAGCAATGGCTACGACCCAAGAGATACCTGCGTCAGCTAACACCTTTGTCAAAGATTTGTAGGACTCGGCATCCTCTTCCTCGACAAACTTCTGGATCTTCGGTCTCAAAGCAAGGATCCTTGGTAGAAGCACCTGGATAGTGTCGATGTTGTCATCCACTTCCCTCGTTTCTTTGACCATAGTCGACAAACATTCCGCGGCTTCTTGGAAGGACGAGTCTGACTCCAGAGCATTGAAGACGATGTTCAACAGAGGTGAGCTGACGATTTCATTGACAGGGACCTCCCGCAGCCAGGACGTAATGCACTCGAGCAGTTGCGGATTGGAAGCAGCTTCCGCTGTTGACCTCAGTGTCAGCTAGTAAGTCTTGGAACCAAGCAGTAAACTTCACTTACGAGACGAGTGGGCGTAGTTGATAAGGAGTTGAACCACCTGAGGCGCATTGTCTCCAAGGAGTTCTGTGGTCCTCGCGTTGAGTTCATCTTCCTAAATTGATACCGATTAGATTGCGAGCCAATGATTCGTCGCACCACCACGAGTCGCCGCCGAAATGTCAAAAAGCAGACGGTCGTGCTGGTTCTGTCTCGGTCCACGTACTGTCAAGGTGATTTTGCGCCCCTCGGTCACTTCTTCTGGTAGAACCCGGAGGAAGTCCAGTATGCAGGCATGACTTCCAGGATGATTACCAAGCGAAGATACCACTAGAGGAAGAACATCCTTCCACTCCGTCATCTGTATCGCGAGTATTGCCAGACAGACGCAGAGCTGAACTCTGATGGGCTTAGGTCCCGGCGCGAACAGCTTCAGGAGTTCTAGTAGTTGCGTTCGCACAGCCGCATGCTCTATCGCAGGAACCTGGGTTGAGAGGTCGTATGTTATCTAGTCCAACGTGACCTGGTCAGCTAGGTTCCAGCAGTCTCTCAGGTCCGGTCGAGCTCACCTTTCCTCTCAGGGTCGTCGCGGCGAAGAGCTTGGCATCGGCCTCTGCGTTGGACTGTAATATCGTAATAGTGGTCGTCCATGCGCCCGTCTGCATACCCTATCAGTACTCATGCTCTATCCCACACAAGGCTCCGCGTCGCAGCAGCCGAAGACTGACCGATTTCTGGAATCCACCAAGGTACTCGTGGGCCTTCTGCTTCTTGTCCGAGTCCCCACCCCGCATGGTCAGCATGGCCTGGAGGACCTCCTCGGGGTGGTAGGTCTGCTGCGCTCCGTTCGTAGCCATGATGCGCAGGTGGTATCGGTCCGGGCAAGAGCTGTGGGGTGGGCACGTATGCGATGGCGGCGGCAGTCGCTGCCTGTCGGTAGTGGCGAGGTCCGCTGGCAATAGGGATGGCTGAAAGAACTGATCGATCGCTACGGGCCGCTCGAAAATGCAGCAAAGGCCGGGAAGAACTAGTATCTAGTTCTCAAAAGGACGGGCGAGGGATGCGACGAGTACGTTGGTCGGAAAAGACAATGGAGCTTGCGAAAGGAGAGGAGGGGCCGACAAAATAAATGGAAGCGCAACTTGTCGTTCGCGGTTGCCATGTAAGTTTGGCATGTGGCTTGACGCTTTAGTGTACCTATGCTTCAATGTTAAAGATGGAGGGGTGATTTGTGGCGTGTTACTTGTGATAGACCGATAGCCTCGTTACAAGACATGTAAAGTCACCACGACCACTGTATCGCGGGCTCCTGTCCCTGTTCACGGAGGTCAAGTCACAAAGGAATCTGTGACTGGTTATTTAGATGGAAGACATGTGTGTTATCATGTGTGTTGTCATCAACTATGTTTGTAGCAAACCGTCTCAGGGCTTTGGTTATTAGATGCGTGTTTCCTAACAATCTGTCTTGTAGGATTGGACATAATTCATGCCACCAAAGAAGAAATACGACGATGATTTATACTGAACTGAGTGCATCACTGATATGGTGGCGTATCTTTATCATCCAGTCCCAGGATTGTCTTGGGGCCAAACATTCAATCTCAGCGTGATGATGATGAAATACCAAAAGGAAGCGGCCTCATCTGCCAGGATCTATTGGCAAGCAGATTGATACCAAAATGCGTCAAGCAGTTATCCCAATGGCATTGGGGAAGAGGGGCTATGCGCCTAAGAGAGTCAGTATGGAGCACCTGTGGGGCTCTGACCACTGGTCTCAGACCAGTGGTCTGCGCTGTTCAGTTCAGCCTTCAGCCTCGCCAAATTTCATCGCAACCCTCATTCCGCAACGTCGGATCTACCTACCTCTAGATCGACGTCGACCTACACCTACCTTCTCAGAGCTCCGACCGCCCGATTGACCGATGAGCCCAAATCTCGACTGATATCCCCTCTCGTAATCGATTTACGACGTACCCAATTCCCTTTCGACAAGATGGGTGGCCGCGGAGGTGGTGGACGCAAAGTCCTGCTCCCGCCTATCAACTTCATCTTCAAGCTCCTCCAAACGCACGCGACGGTCAAGATCTGGTTGTACGAGCAGCTGGCGATCCGGATTGAGGGCAAGATCAGAGTATGCGACCACCCCGCATGCCCACCAGTCCCACATATCCCATGTACAAAGCTAATGCTCTACATGTGTAGGGTTTCGATGAGTTCATGAACCTCGTTGTCGACGATGCGGTCGAAGTAAAACAAGTCACGAAAACGAACCCGGAGGAGAAGAGAAGGCAGCTGGGTATGGAGAACCTATATCCCTGAACAATACGCGCTGGGACTAACTTTGCCCGCAGGTCAAATCTTGCTGAAGGGTGACAATGTGTCGCTGATTCAAGAGGCGGTATGAGCGGCGGTCGAGAGACGTTAGAAGAATATGCGGTTCAATCAGAGATTGTCTGTAAAAGCGCAAGGTGGCAAGCCTCCTTAAGACATTCACGGCCGGAATCACTACAGATGCTTACGATGGACCCCGCAAGATGGTTGGGATAAACTCTTTTAGTCTCTGCCACCCCGGGCAGACTCTTTGATTTGACCATCCCCGAGGAATACCCCATCTATTGGTTGATCATGAGGTCCAACAGGGACAGACTCTTCCGAAGTAGGGGAGAGAAGCTGTTCCTTCAGAGCTAGTGCATATAGCAATACAGCTGGACGGTCATTTGATGCCTTTCCCACCGAAGAGACAGCCAGCGCATATCGATGCAGGAAGTAGTCGTAGAATCCCTTGCCATGACCGAGTCTTCGTACAGCTCCCGTTTGCGGGTCGACGTCGAAAGCCACTCCAGGCATGAGGATCAAGTCGAGAGACACATCCTCGGATCTCTTACCATCCAGCTCGCCCACGCTACGTTGCCGTTCGTCAACCGTGGTAGCATCGACACTTGGAATCCCCCATTTGTCCCGTTGCAGGGACTCGTAGTCTTGAATGTTCTTCAGACTCACCATATCCATGAGCCTAGCCGGGCCCTCGCCGCGAGGAAGGCTGGACTTGTGTAAGTAAGGAACAAAAACCTGCTTGCCCGAAGCTATGGCGTGCCTGGCAATGCCGTCCGTCTGGACCTCACCGCCAGGCATAGACAGGTAAATTCCGACTTTTTTCGCCTCGACATACGGCCTAAACTTGGATACTGAATCGAAGACCCTATTACCTGTATTCACGATCATTAACGAACTCCTCTAGCCCCATCTCTGCGTCGGGAGAACCCACTTTGAGATGCGATGGCCTCCTGCGAAATGCCAGACAGCCTCTGCTTCATTAAGGAGCGCAGCTGCGTCTTAGCCGCGCTGAGCGCCGAGGAATTCATGTCAGGCTGCTGCTGTTGCATCCTTTCCAGGCTGGTGGGGGTTTGGCGAAAGAATGTGGCAGTGGAGCCGATGACGGTATCGCGAGTTTGGTGATTCCACTCTCCAGTAAAGTCTGCTGTCTTTTTTTCTGGCGAGGTTGGTGACGGCCAGCGATGCACGACTGCAAGAACCAGCGGTGACAAAGTCCCACTACCGTGACTTGAAATCGAGCCTGGTGAGTGCCCGACAAAAAGCAGAGAATACTGGCTCGGCTGATATCAAGGGATCGAATGATTTGTGCTATTGTATCTGCAGTGAGGTGGGATAGCCTGGCCTAGCGGTTTGTGTGAATGCCTTCCAATCGCCGAGCTCCTTTAATTTGCATGAGTGGTCTTGGCTCAATGCAGGTGTTTATCTAATCCATCAGCCGATCGGATCAATCTAATCAATCAGTGCAGCCCAGTAATAAGGCGGCCACTATCACAGTGACGGACGGGCTGTCAAGTTTTGCAGCACTCGGGTCCTTCCTCATCGTCCACTTGATCCCGTACAGTGGGTGGCACATCTCGATTCGCCCATTGTCAGGATATCGACTCATTATACCCACTACACTCAGTGACACAGGAGTTTTTTGCAAATCTCATCTTATTGCTACATCTCTTATCAATCACATCAGCTACACACCCCTGTAAGGACTGTGACAGAATAATAGAATATGTGATCACTGTTCAGCTGAGCAGGTTAATGCGGCTATCTCGCTCGGCCCGTCGCGGTAGCCTCCTGAGTCCTCTGATCGCTCCTCCCCATCCACTGTCTCGAATCCACTACAGTCTACAGTCTACAGTCTACAGTGTACAGTGTACAGTGTACATAATCAGACCACCTGATGCCGGGTGCTCCTGCGAAAAGCAACCATGGACCCCAGGCTGACCAGGCCTTCCCTTTGCGACGCGTGATAGCTCACCAAGCCCACCACGCGAGCTCCACCATCGCCTCAGCAGACCCCACGCTGCCCGCCTTCACTTCTGTACCAAGGACGACGACTCCGCCCTCTTCTGCCTCTTCTGCCTCTGCAGCCCTCCCCCATGGCACGAACGATGCTTCCGACCAGTCCGAGTTCGACAACGACGAAGCCAATTCCAACGTCGCTGTCGTCCATGGTCACCGCAAGAAGATGTCGAAAGCACCCCTCCTGATGCGCTCGTCGCCAGGTTTCGGCACGGGCTCCTATGGCGCTGCGCCAGTCGATTCCGAAGTCGAGTACCCCGAAGTCGATGACGACTACGCCGCGCTACCGTCCAGAAGACGTGACACAGACGCTCGAGGCTCGAGGCGACGCCAATCCGGCAGCAGCAGCCGTTCTCTTGCCTTCCGTACAAGCACGTCATCCCTGAGCCGCAGAAGGAGAAGGCACTCCGAGGAGATTGGAGGTTCGACCGTTGTTGGCGGCCTGGAGGGTCGCTTTGGAGTCACCGAGACATCTCTTCCTAGCGATTTGCTCTCCGATGCGAAGTCGTACAGCTCGGCTGCTGACGATGAAGAAGGGGGGTCAGACGACGATACCGGTAGCGAAATCTTCGACGATGAACCCCTAGACAACTCTCCCTACCCTCAAGTCCGCGCCTCTGTGGCTCCTACCGACAACACCACCTTGTCTATAAACACCCCTCGAATGTGGACGCTGTCCACCCTGTTCTCCGTACTCGGATCTTCTACCAATCTTTTCTTTTCGCTGAGATACCCTAGCGTTGCGATTACCCCCGTCATAGCCTTGCTTCTAGTCCACCCCCTTGGTCTCTCATGGGACTATCTACTGAAACGCGAAGACGATCCCCACGAAGAATTTGTGGATGGCGCACGTATACCTGCCCCAGCCTCTGGAACTCTGAGTGCACAGTCGGCGGCATCTCCTGGAGGCGAGAGGAGTCGCGCGCAGCGCCTACGCCTCTGGCTTGCTCAGGGCTCGTGGAACGAGAAGGAACATAGCTGTGTCTATGTGAGCAGCAATGTCTCGTTCGGCTTTGCATTCGCAACCGACATCATTGTCGAGCAGACGCAATTCTACAAGCAGGACGTCAGTATCATCTATCAGCTACTGCTGACCCTGTCAACCCAGATTCTGGGTTATACTTTTGCCGGCTTGACACGACGGTTCTTAGTCCGCCCTAGCGGCATGATATGGCCTGGCACGTTGATGTCGGCCGCTATGTTTGGTACACTTCATAAGGAAGAAAACAAACCAGCAAACGGGTGGAAGATAAGCAGATGGACTTTCTTCTATGTCGTCTGGACATCTGCTTTTCTGTTCTATTTCCTCCCAGGACTTCTGATGCCGGCGCTTAGCTACTTCAACGTGATCACTTGGTTTGCTCCAGACAACGTTGTGGTAGCAAACCTGTTTGGCGTGGTCTCTGGCCTCGGCTTTTTTCCTCTCACCTTTGACTGGGCGCAAATCGCATATATCGGCTCGCCCCTCCTGACACCCTTCTGGGCTGCAATGAATGTTATCGGCGGTTTGGTGATCGTGATGTGGATCATCGCGCCCATTGCCTACTATTGCAATGTGTTCTACTCGTCCTATATGCCGATGCTTTCGGCCTCCGTCTTCGACAACACAGGCAGTATATATGATGTTGGCAAGATCCTCACCTCAGACTTTGTCTTCGATAGAGAAGCATATTCGAATTATAGTCGTGTGTATCTTCCGATCACCTATGTGCTCAGCTACGGGCTGCAATTTGCCGGGCTTGCATCGCTCCTGACGCATACGGCTTGCTGGCACGGGCGGGATATCTGGACTCAATGGAAGAGATCCTTGAAGGAGGTCGATGGGGAAAGCAAGCCGGTATACCAGCCAATCGGAAGTGGAGGCAATGGACTGTCCCCAATTGGTAGGGATACTGGGGTTACCGCAGGACCAGGCTCCAATTCCGACAGCCTCATGGGCCGCGAAGATGTCCACAACCGCCTCATGAAGAGGTACAAAGACGCGCCGATATCCTGGTATCTGATGACTTTCGTTTCAATGACGGCCGTGGGCATCTTCGTCGTTGAATAGTGAGTCCTACACGTCTCATTGCACCTAGTTCCACACTGACTTTGCTTAGCTATCCGGTTCATCTACCTTGGTACGGGCTTTTGCTTGCGCTTGGAATATGCGCCGTACTCTTCATACCCATTGGCATCGTCATGGCTGTGACAAACCAGCACAGCAGCATATACCTCATATGCCAACTGATATGTGGAGCCGTGTTCCCAGGCAAACCGGTGGCCAATATGGTTTTCGTAACTTACGGGTATATCTCATCTGCGCAGGGGATAAAGTTCGCTGCAGACCTGAAGCTCGGTCACTACATGAAGATCCCACCGCGGATCCTGTTTCTGGTGCAAATGGTCGCCACAATTGTCTCGTCTGTCACCCAGATCGTCGTTCTCAACTGGATGTTCCGCAACGTCCCCGGCATCTGCACCCCTTCAGCAATAAACGGATTTACTTGTCCCATCGCTCGGGTCCACTTTAACGGATCAATCCTTTGGGGCGTGGTTGGGCCAACTGAGTTCTTTGGGCCCAACGCTACATATCGGCATCTGGTGTGGTGCTTCCTCGTCGGGGCTATCGCGCCAATTCCCTTGTGGCTTTATGCTCGCAATAAGCGAAACAGCATCATTCGGAAGATCAACCTGCCCGTTCTCTTTGGGTCGCTCAGTTGGATCCCTCCGGCGACGGGCCTCAACTTCTCGGTCTGGGCACTGGTGTGCTACGTGTTCAACTACCTGCTTAAGAACAGGGCAAGCGCATGGTGGGCCAAGTACACAATGACTCTCAGCGCCGCCCTGGATTCGGGCCTGGCTTTCGGCATCGTCGTCGTGTTCTTCGGGTTTATATATCCCGGTTGGATGGAAGGGTTCAGCTGGTGGGGGACCGAGGTCTACAAGCAAGGCTGCGACTGGCAGGCCTGCTCGTACAACACCGTGCCCAACGGTAGCCACTTTGGGCCGGACTCGGGGTGGTAGACTATGACTATGTTAGGCATGAGTCACGAGGTTTTGCATGGTTGAAAATTTAACGAGGGCAGGCATTGGGTTGGTGTGTTGCATTTACGGGCTACCGGGGGTTTGGTCACTGATGAATAGACGTTATCCTGGATACATATCGAATCTTGAATGAACATAGATTTGCTGACTGTCAGCCACAATGCTGTTGGGCGACTCGTCGGAACATTTGACAAGTGGCAATGGCCACCTAGATACAAGTCTCAGAGCAGGATGCTGAAGATTAGGAGTGAGGCGATCATTTGGGACGGTCGGATGCGTCCGTATTGGGCTCTGGGGAGGAACATGGCGAGGTTGGTGAAGGTTGTCCTTTATTACTGAGTGGTATGGTGAATGGTGACAGAACCGAGCGAGGGACGAGGTGAATCTCTATTGCGATACTTGGAGCGAATGGCTGCAGTGACAGGGGTTCGTCAGGGTGACTTCATGCCCGAACTTTGCGATATTTTCGCTGTCGCAATTGCCAGCAGAAAAGAGATTTCTGGACAATAATCGACTGCGTGAGGTCGGCCTACTCAGGTGCCTTTTTGCGGAGTTGTGGTTCTTATGTCCAAGTCACGACGTGGCTTGGATAGATTTCACGCGAATGAATCATAAGACAAAAACCATCAGGAACTCGTGCTTGCAGTACATGAGCGTGGAAGGCTACCCCGATCAAAACGGCATGCCTGAAGAAAGCGTGGCGAGATCATGGCCAGGTCAATAGGACGGTGTGCCGCCAGTGGTGGTGATGAGGTTATGGTATAGCAGGGTTGGAGGCCTTTACCGGCTACAAAGCTCCGACTACGATATTCACGCGTGTGGTAGAGGCGAATCTATGGTAGAGTTCTGGCGTCGAGATTCGAATGCCTGCATGTTATGCAGGAGGGTGGTCAAAAAGCCTAAACCGGGTCGGTCGTTGCCTGCATTCTGCCCCTGACCGATCCCTGAATTGGGGATTTGACATCTCATCGGACGACGGGCGGGAAAGCACACACCTAATAAACGGTCATCATGGCACTCGAGTCCTTCACACGTATTGCAGTGACGTGGGAACTCGATTTAGTTCACCATCCGGAAAGAGCTCGTACTACATCAGATCTCGTATGACGACGGGAGAGTGTAGATCGCTTATCTGCCGCTGAAAATGTCCCGATCCCTTCACTGCATCAGCCCACCTGGATCGTGGACGTTTGCGTTCGCCGAGGTAGCCGCTCAATCGAACAATCACAGGTGCTCCTGTTGTTATATGCGAAGAGCGACTGACAAGACGCAAATCATTTCCCATATTTGTTGGGAAGCCATCGCCTTCGGACCTGCCACCTCGTCCCGTCGCTTTGGCCAAAACTGGTCATATTCAGACATGTCCCTTCCAGCCAGAAGACCAAGTCTTGATGCGGCTTCTGCGTTGAGAACCAAGAGCATGCAGGTGCTTTACGATACGACTGCCAGTTGAAGATGGGGGACGCTGGTTGTTTCCTCATACAAATGACGGACACTGAGCCCTTTTGCACCAGAGACGAACACCACAAGAGCGAATGATACCTGACCTTGGAAACCTTGAACATCATCTTCCACTCTCATTCAATTCAATCGACAGGCCTGAATCTGTTCCTCTCTTCACAGAGCAGCCATGGCGTCCTCCACCATCATCTTCCCGCCCCAGAACTCCGAGGCCCAGGCCCGCTCAACCATCTTCCCTCCCCAGAAACCCAAGGCCGCTTCTCAGGCCCCTTCTCTCCCTCATTTCAGCAACGTCAACAAAGCCATGAACAGCTCCCAGCAGCCGACCTCGATACCAATTCCGGTGTCTGCTCCAGCACCACCCAAGACCAGCAGCTCCCCCTCAACGAACCAACCCCAACACACAACCGGAAGCCACACCTCCTACCGCCGCCTGTCCGACGCCGAGTGGGTGCAGTTCTGCCACGGAATCGGCGTCCTCAAGGACGACGAGAGCAAGGAGGTGATCCGGCCCACCAGCGTCGTCTGGCCGCCCAAGGGCTTCAAGGACGGCCTGTTCCAGGACGTGCTCTTCGAGAAGTCCAAGTTCACCTACTGGTTCCACATGCTCAGCACCGTCCGCTGGGTCATGATGCTGCTCCAGCTAGCCCTGAGTGCCGTGCTGACGGCCCTGGGCTCGGTGTCGAGGAAGGATGGGACTGCGATCGTGAGTCGATTCCTGCCGTCAGCTACCCAGTTAGCTCCAGAGGAGAGGGAGCCCGTCCCCTCTGTCGCCGTCACCTGCACAGTTTTCACCCGGACCAGGCTAACCCAAGACCCCCCGATTTCCCCAAACCACAGACCGTAATAGCCGCCATCAACACGGGCGTAGCCGGCGTCCTGGCCATGCTGCACAACAGCGGGCTGCCGGACCGGTACCGGTCGGACCGCAACGAGTACTACAAGATCGAGGAGCACATGAAGGAGATCATCGACACGGGCCTCGTGCCACAGGACCAGAGCACCAACGACGTCATCGCCGGCTGTTTCGACATGTTCCAGGCCGCCAAGCAGACGGTCCAGAGTAATGTTCCGGCTTCGTACACCCCATCTGCGAACGTGACCAACACCACCATGAAGACGACTATTCTGAAGAAGTAGTTGGAAGTGGAAAATATGGACTGGTCCCTTTCCCTTCCGCTTGCGAGTTAGGAGGAGATTGTTGGCGGTACTGAGGACACTACCTTATGGCTTATCGGGCTGGACAGACAGTATTGTCACCATTTGACGGGGGGATTTGGAAGCTCGCTTTGTGTTGTTCTCTTATTACCACTGAACTGACGCTGGGGGATGGATGTGAGAGAGAATCTGATATGATGGATGGCAAAAGATTATTTGGTGCTGTCTGTAATGTTGAATGTTCTTAGACCCGGTGGAATCATTCTCATCATAGTTGTCACTGGACGCCGGAATTTGTGTTACTATAGTTGGCGATCGTTGTTGCTCATGTCCCAACATGAGCAGAGACACGCACGCACTTGTTATAGTCTTAGATACCTAATGCCTCGATATCTCATCACAACTCATGAGTCAAATATTGAAGAATCATGTGTTTACAGGTAGTCACGATGGTTCACTAGATAAGGTGCCGACCTTTGCCCAATATTGATGGCCGGGCATAGCCTTGCACGTTCGTATCGACATCTCTGTGACCCATCCACCAACCTCCTGGGAGGCAAGTGAACGAACTTGGCCGCAAAGAAAAACATTCCGAAGCAGTAGTACCATACAAGTAATTAATATTCTATTAGGGAATTAGGTATAGTCATGCCATATGCCAGTCTGCTCATGCAAGCCAGTGTAGTGTGGCTGGCAGTTCAGTATCGCCACCGCCCTTTTCGAAAAGAACCTATTACGCCTAGCTATGCAATGAAACGACAACCACACCTCCACTCCCTCCTCCGATCTCCTTACAGCCGATCGTCCCTTCTCCTATCCATACAGTACAGTCAAGCTCACGAAGAGCCCAAGATCTTCGCATAAGCATCCTCGACCTCCCCGGCCAGCTCCAGCAGCGCCACGATGACGATCTGGTGCGTGAGGTTGGGCAGGCGCTCGCGGTGCAGGCCGATCCACTCGAGCGGCGGCGTGGCCTCGCCCATGTCGCGCAGCTGCGGCGTCTCGATGACGGGCGGCTCGAGGGCCTCGTACTCGTACTTGGACTGGGGCACGTTGACCTCGGCCGTGATCTTCTGCTGCTGCGCGCCCTCGCGGCGCCCCTCCTGCTCCGGCTCCGGTACCCCCGTCACCTTGATAGCCGACATGGCCGGGATCTCGCGCCCCGTCATCTGCGCCAGCGCCTTGGAGTGCTTGGCCCACATGCCGCGGATGTAGCTGATGCGCGAGTAGTTCCACCCCACCTCCACCTTGCCCTCGAAGGCGCTCTTGAACGTGTACTGGATGCTGCGCGACTCTGGTTTCTGCCATGTCTGCATGATGGCCTCGACCTTGGGCACCTTGAGGATCGTGCCGCCACGTGACCCCGTAGCGCTCTTGACTACGTTCTCGACCGATATCTCACTAAGCACCTTGGGGGCTTCGGTTGCTCGAACGGCAGCCAGACCTATTCGCAGTTGACCAAGCGTCAATCCAAGAATACTGTGGATGCGATCATCTGTCATGCTTGCTGCAAATCTCGCTTGGGCGTTCAGGGCCTCTAACTTGAATACCTGGTGATCAGAGAACGTGCTTGGGAATACGCCGAGGTTGAGGGCTTTGAGTGTGACGACAACATCGGTGTCCAGAGATATCGGAGATTTTGTCACAGTCTCCTCGGTCTTAGGCCTGCGAGGATTGACCTCTTGGACAGGCCCTTGGTTCGCCGCAGACTTCCGTTTCATGAACTTTTCAATGTCTCGCAGCGAAGTCTCGTAGCTAGCTTTCCTCTCCTGTATGAGCTTCTGGATAGCTTGCCACAGTGCAACACCCTGGGCGGCAGATGCAGTCGTCCCAAAGACCTGGACGGCTTCTCCGTCGAAGACGGCCACAAGTCGGTCGCCAGAAGCGCCTCTGTGTTGGCGTACATTCCACATGAGGAGCTGCAGCGACGTGATATCTGCTATCAGGAAGGCCTGGTAGTCGAACGCAGCCTTCAATTTGAGCTGACTGAAGCCGAAAGATGCCTGAATCCTCGGTGTCTCATTTAGGGCTCGATGTCGGTCGGGCCATTCTATGGACGTGCGCAGTTTGAAGTCTTGCAGGGCAACAAAACCACTCATGCGACCGGTGCAGTCCACGCCGATGCTTTCAAATCCTAGACACAGGTTTTGCTCCCAGTCCGAGGTTTTCTTCGAAGACACCCAGAACTCTTTGATAGCGAATTGGGACTTGCCAAGCGACTGCCCGAGATCAAGGGCGACATCCAGTGCACTAATCGAGATTGTGGCCGTCCAAGGGAAGGCCGCTGTAGCTGCAACCTGTTGGTATCTTTGTACCAGATGGCCCTGTATGTTTGGCTCGCCGACGTTTGTTGTCACTGGTGCTGTTGACCCTTGTCGAATTTCTCTTGGAATCCAAATCTCTCGGAAGAGCAAGAAGTCTTGCAGCTGCTTGGCGTTGATCGTGACTTTCATAGGGCTGACTTTGAGTATAGCAGACAAACCGCTTGTTTCACTAACGTGCTTACTGTTCATGAGCGAGAGTACCATAGAATCGATGTCGAAACTGCCCGTAGATTCTCGTGAGTAGACGTGCTGAACAGCCGCATGGATCTTGCTGAAAGTGCCAGAAATTGCGAAGAAATTGCCGTGTTCCGTGGAGTTCACGGTGCTCATTGTGAGATAGATATCGTCGAACCGGGCCGTAGCCGCAACACGGCCTATAGGCTGGCAACTCAGGGTGAACTCTTGCTGGCAGATGCGTAAACCAATATTCAAGTTCATACGCCCCATGATCGCACTTGGGTCGGCCGTGAGGATGTTGTCCTCGTCGCCTAGCTTCGGCTTGCCAGAATGCTCACTTGGCGTGGCGGGCGTCTCGGGGACATTCTTGCCAACGACTTCTTTGATGCTCGACGTGACATCCATAATCAGAGGTACAACAGCCGGGTAGAGGACATTGCGTGAAGGCTCGATCTTGATTTCCCCGTACAGATTCGGGTCTTCTTTGCCGTCATCTCTGTACTCTGTCTTCCAGGCCAGGCCCGGGGTACGGAGGATTGTGCTGCTGGCAGCCTCGTCTGAGCTGAACTGGCCATACTTCCCAGCTAGCGTATGACGATTGGCTCTACGTCCAATTTTTTCCGTTGCCTCGTCAGCAGGCTTCTTTCCTGACAGGTGAACTACGGCACCGGCAAAATCAGCATCAACCAACAGGGATTCGACTCGTCGTTTCCCGAACAAGGAGCGCCTAGGTTTGGGTGCCTCGTTGGTCGACACTTCTGCTTTGTTCTCTGGCGGTACTATCGGAGTCCAGTGTTCGGAGGCACGCTGGACATTTTGGATAGACAGAGAGATTGAGTCTTGGAGATGTGCGGCCGGAACAATGAAAGCGGATGTTAGTCGAAGATCTAGAGACTTTCCCACCGCCTGGAAAGCGAGTCGACGGGCTTCGGCAGTAGAAACGAATGCGATATTGAAGATCATTTCAGGCAGAAGCGCCGAGTTTGCTGAGCGATTAGCCTTCTGCTGATGTGGTGGAACCATTTGTACTTGCAAGTCTTCAATAGTCAACCTCGCGCAATTCTTCTTCCTGGTAGCGAATTCGATCCTGCGGAATGATAGCACAAGGTCCTCCTGGCCCGTCAGAGCTACGTCTGGATTGCGTGAAACAAGCCAGCTGAGCTGGATATTGCGAATCTCGACGGAATACAAGATCGAAGCCAAAAAGGAGTCAAAAATGTCACTCTCGGTCTCCTGCTCTTCATCATTAATGGCGATTCGGGGTTTAGTCTGTCTCAGCTTCCGCAGATATTCAAGCTCCCGCGATGTGTCGAGGTCATTGATCTTGTCTCCCATGTAGCCGAGAACGTCTACGAAGGTAGAAACGGTATCGGACGAGAGGTTCGCCTCGAATCCATCCGACTTGAAGTCGAAGGATCTCAGCTCGGTACCGTCTTCCGATTCTCGAGTCGTTGCAGTGATCAGGGCCCCGAAGGCGAGGCTGCCGCACGACCGCATTGCTTCTGTGGAACCTTTCTCGATATCGAATTTGATCTCGCGCAAACTGACATGTATTTCTGGATTGTCTAACGTCGGCATGCCATGGACCTTGTTTGCGATTCCTAGATGCACACGATCCAAGCAGAAAGACAAGTGTGCGATAGGTTCAGTATCTGATTTTATGGGCGCGTTACCGAATATTTTGACACCAGCAAGAGTGGTATGTATGTCATACGTCAACTTTGAGTCGCCTTGCTTTGGTGACGCTGGTTTGACCTTATTCGGAGAACCGAAGATCTCGTTGACGTGCTCTTGTATGATCTTGCCCTGCTGCTGGAGATCGTTGATGGCGTTCAAAATCTCGGGCCGGTTCAGGGCTGCACGCAGACTGTACACAGCTGAGGCGTCGAGCTGTACAAGTTCGAGGGACGCGAATACGGTAATGGAATGCTCTCCTGGGGCCATCCGACTTGTTACTCGGCCATTCGCCGGGGGTATTTGGAGCAGAGATATGCTTCGAGGTGTGTTGTTGATTCGGAATTGCATGTCGTGCGAGTTTTCCTTGATGTCAAAGTCGAACACGATTTCCTTACCAAATGTTGCAGCCGTAGTTGCGCGTGCCACAGAACCAGAGATAGTATAGGTGAGAGATCGCAATAGAGGCAATGTGATAGTATAGGAGCCAAGGAACAACGCTAGGTTGACACGGAAAGACGAAAGCTTTGCAGCTGCTTGTTGCTTCTCAGGTTCAGGTAGCGACGACGGAAGCCTTTGCTGTAGTTCATAAAGTTGCGCGAGCTCATCCTTCACTAGCAGGTCCACGACCTCTGCGAGCACAACTGGGTCTTGTTTGACAGCGAGTTTGATGTCCTCACTGCTGGCTGCCGACCTAATGGTTTGGATCGAGGACTTGTCCTTGTATTGTAGCTCATGGGCCACAAACACGCTTGCTCCCCTGAGTCGGATGGTTGCCAAAGCCTGCGAGTGGCTCCAAACCCTTGTAGTGACTGAATCACACCCGAGTATGATGTTCGTGTCCGTAACAGTCTGATCCCCACTGGTCCTGAGTAGTGAGAGCTTGAGGTTGTCGCATTTGGATTCAGCACTCAGATTGATGGTGTCAAGAGAAATGACACCTTGTCCTAGCACGAATGCGAGATGGACTGGCCGTGACTGATGGTGCTTGGAGGGGGTATGCTGCTTTGGAGGGTGATATCCCTTCGGTGTCTGCGACTCCGCCTTCTTATACAGTCGCAAGATGTCGTCCACGAGCTCGCAAAGATCCCAATTCGAATGGATGCCACCCCTGCTGCAATATATATTGACAAGAGTTAGTGGCTCTCCAACGTCAGTCGATGCCTCCTGACCGCCATCGTGAGCGCCATGCCTTTCCTCAACTCTTGCGGTGAAGTCTGTGATGATGACCTGGTTCTGCTTCGGACCCGGGTCAAGCACGAATTGTGTCTCCTGTACTCTGATCACAGCCATTGTTGGGGTTTTGTTCACCTTGGATGCCGACTCAGACGGCTCGCCAAATATGTTATTCATAAGCACGGCGTGGCCAACGTCTTCTAGGTCCCAGCTCCTCCATCGGTCAAACGCTGCCATGACTTGTTGTCTCACGTCCGTTGGATATACATCCTGTACGCCAACACAGCCCTTCATCAGATTTGACTTCGTAATGGGGTCCAACGTAGTCCACATGTAGCGTAGTCTAGCGATGAGCTTCCAGGAGTCGTAGGACCTCAAGTGCCGGGTTGCCGCCCGCAGAACAGCAGAAGGGCGGACGACGAATGACGGATCGCTCGCTCGCTGTCCCTCAGTAATGACGCGGTAAGTGAATTCCTTCAAGCGCTCATCGGCGACTGAGAAGGAGCCAGAAAAAAGCTTATCCATTTCAGAAACCAGCACGTTTGTTCTGTGGATGAGTGCAGCAAGATATTCAATCCTGCTTGAAGAAGACTTGGTACGTATCGCACCGACATCAGCGTCCACGTAATTCACGTCTTTCGAGCCCATCGAAACCATAACGCGCTCAATCCTTGTCAATACCGCCGCATGAGTCTCATCCAGCTTTGCGAGTCTCTCAGCAGCAGATACATCCACGGAGGCAACTCGGAAATGGAATGATAAGCGAGACTCGTTGGTAGCAGAGTCGGCAGTATATGTATTGGTGCGCTTCTCTGACCGTGTTGCGAGCGCCAATGCCTTCAGAGAAACATCATACTGGTCCTGTTGCCCTTGTGCCAGGTCAGTTGCATCGAGGTCGGATGAGTTCAGAAACCGTAGGTTTGCATGGGGTAATCGAACAACAAAGTCTGTAATAGCTCCACTAGCTTTCTCCTGTTTTTGCATGTCGAATATGTCGGTTATCGCCCCGATCTGAAGAGTATCAAGGATGTCATCAGCTTCGGTTGGCTGGAAGGCTTGGACTAAAGCAGCTATACTTCTTAGCGACGTAGCATTCAAAAAGGCCGTGATGCCCGTAGGGAATTCGAAGAGAAGACTCTGGTGAGCACAGTCCTGGCTTAATTGGTCGGGGTCGATATCTTCCAGGCCGAACTCGGTAGTCTCAAATAAGCCATCATTTTCATCGGTTTCAATGCTTCGAACTGCAGCTTCTTGGGTGTCCGGCCGGACGTTCTCCAATGGGAAATACGGGGCGAAATATTGACTGGAGAATGATACGGTATTGTGAAGAAGATCCTTCCTCTGGCCCGACTCTTCTTGAGTGCCAAAGAAAGCAGATTGACGGCCAGTGGATGCAGAATATTCACGAGAGCGCATGCTAGGACGTAACTCGTCGCTTTCGTTTGCTGCGGCGGCACCTGACATGCTGCGACCGTGGACAGGTGCAAGTGTAGACCCCCTGACTGAGCCGGGCCGTAAGATGCTCCCGTAGCTTGAATTCGAAAGTGAGAGGAAGGAACTTTTATGATGAAGTCTCTTAGAACGCTGCGAAGTACTCCTCGATGAGGTTGACCTCTTGTCAGAAATGTTACCAGAGGAAGCAGGTAAAGGGACCCTGGGGACACTTTGTGCCACAGCGTCCACATGATCAGGTATGGCGTCCTCAAGCACGCCCGGTATGAGTAGAAATTCAGTTCGATGCGTTCGTTGATCGTGACGACGCACCAGCTCCTGCTGTAATTTCCTCTCTTGTGAGAAGTCATATTTCCTTCCAATCAGAGCAAAGTGAAAGCTGGTTCGCAGGAACACATCAGTTTCCACTTTGGAATGGAGTCTGGATTTATGCCTTGTCGCTGATTCTGAGTTGACACAAGCAAGCTCGACATGAGGAATTTTGATATCGGCTCGCCTAGAGTAGTGCGTCCTCGCCCAATCATTGAAGTTGACATCAATGGGACCTGTAGAAAAGAGGAAGGCAGCCTCATCAGCATGCAACCATAGCTGTATCGATTCAATACGCACGCGTAGAAACGTTACGTCGTACATGATAACAGACGAGTATGGGATCAATGCATTCTCATCGTCATCGAGTGTAAAGCCGAATGCCTTGCCTCCTCGCGCCAGAGCCGACAAGAATTCGGTTGAACACTCTCCACTTATAGATCCGACATTCAAGTCCCAGTTACAAAGGTATGTTGGCTCGGTTGGAGGTAAGCCAAATAGTCGATGCCCATATATGGCAAGGCCATCAACAAACAACTGTGTGCTTGATGTAGCAGCCGCTGGGCTCATGGGTCCTTCTTCCTCATCTCCGATGGAGAAACTCAGAGGACTCAGGCATAAGTCGAGATCCATATAGTAGTTTGTGAATCGAAGATCAACAGACAGAGACGCAGCTTCGATTGTAATATGCCGTTTCGCCGAATACAGGTTAGTAGGCAAGAGAATCTTTGGATCGTCTGCACAGATGCTTAACATGACGTCCAAGTCATTCGACTTCTTCGGAGGAGGGCGGTTTGCCGATTCGGCATCTGGATCTTGGGCTTTGAGCCGGAGCGTCTCTTGATATTCGTCGAGAGTCTTGAAGTGGATATGGTCCCCGAAATAGTTATCCTTCATCTGGAGGAAGTAACGGACTAAGAACCCATAGAGATAGAATGTAAGGGACTGGCCACTAACGTTCAGGACAAGAGTGTCGGTGTTCGCAGGGGAGGTGGTCGAGTTGTAGTGATATTTTCCATCGACGGCCAGGTTCTCCAAATGTCCTATCTCTTGAGAAGCTAGAAACGTCGCTTGGGTGTTCCATGGAGGGGTGTGCAGACCGAGGCGAAGAGACTCGGCCGTGATCTCGAATGGTACGGCGTTCTTTGACGGTCGATACGTGTCCAGCAAGATGGAAGTGTCTACCGCCAAGCAAGGACTAGTCAAAACGAGGTAGGTATTGTCATCAGAATTTGTCGGGTCGTTGACAATATTGACATCGTTGACGTTCAGATTAAGCTTGAGGTTGCGAAGCTGCAAATTGAGTAGGTATTTGAAGGGGGTGAAGAGTAGGTATTCAGGTGGAGGGCCACTCCCCCAATCGTCTATGAGATCTATCAGCAAGAAGATATGATCTCGCAGGATGAATACCTCCATTTCATCACTGTCGATATCAAAGCGCCAGGTGCGAAGGCCGTTCCACTTCAAAGGGGCAGATAGGTCGCAGGAGATATGTTGAGCGCCAGACCTCCAAAGTAGTCCATGGTTAATACTAGTCGAGACTTCCGTCGAGGGAAGATCGATTTTCAGTGCATTATGATAACCATTCGTTCTAGCAACCATGTCCATAGTGTACGAAACCGTGGCATTTGGTCCGACTTTGACATCGAGCCATCCATAGGGACGCTGTTCCGCAGCCGTAGTAGCGGCAGACTTCTTGTTGCGACCTCGATCTCGTCGACGATCTTGTTTTCGATGCTGCCTCAACGTGAGAGCCTCTTTCTTCCATCTCCAATTCTTAGAATCTTCTCGCGTAGGGACTCTCAGTATCACCTCTTCATCCATTTCGAGGTAGAAATTGAATCGCGTAGGCACGCGGTCTGACCCGACGGCCAGTTTCGGGGTGGTGGTTGCATCCTTACACAGATTTGGGAAGAAGACTCTCTGCAACTCAGCTCGCTGCCTGTCTGCCCAAGGCCCATAGTTGATTGTTCCACCTTTCAGGGACAGGCTAATTGCCCAGGCTGGGGGTAAAGCGCCATTTATATCGACTGAGTGTGGCAGGTCCTTCAGAGAAGATTGTAGCTCCTTGTTCTCGAGAACCTTACCAGGAACATCCCATAGTATCGTCAAGGTCGCTTCCGGACTGTCAACCACAGTATTCAGAGCGGCATATTCGACTGACGACCATCTCAGCTTGTCGTCATCATCGTCGTCGTTCAGATACCGAGACAGTCCTTGCCATTGACTGGAACCGGGAATATGAGTGTCAGCCGTTGCCGTGCCAGCCCTAGAGCCAACCGAGAAAGATTCGACAGAGCTCCTCCAATACGGCACCAGGTTCCTCAACTGGCCGAGTACCTTGCGTCGATGTCTTCTGAAAAAGGAGCGATACTGGACGGGGTCCGAATCCAGTGCCGTTTGCTTATCTCGAACGGCTCTGGTGAGTTGGTCTTCTTTATAGCCTTCATGCTCCCTCATTTCCATCACCGGATTGACAAACTTGATCTTGAAGACCTGCCGATACGGATCAAAGGTTTGACAGTTGAACGCATCAATACTTCCTTCCAAAGACTTGGTCTTGACGATGAGGAGGGATCGGGTGGTATCATTTCCCATAACCAGAGCCGCCTTGTCACACTCCAGATGGACTGGAAATAGCTGTAGCATCAGGGGAAGCTCTTCGTCATCTCCTTTGTCGTCCCGGCTAATAGTGTCGGATGCGCTGCTAGACACGTCGAGCTGCCGGCCTCTAATACCATCCTTCTCCTCGTCAGAATCCCCGCCAGGAGGGTTGGTCTCGTCTGAATGCTTTTCGGTAGACTTGCGTAGTCGTTGTCGCAGCTTCGGCGAATCATGCGCTTGACCTCTAGTCCAATCCGACGCATCAAGTTCCTCATTACCACCGTCGGTGTCATTGTCGAAATGCAAGTGATCCGTCATGGCGTCGAGCATGGAGTCGTAGGCGGCACTACGATTGTAGACGAACCATTCCACCCCCGATACGGCAACATTGATACGACAAGGCAGCTTTGCGTGCTTGTCGTCGGTTTCCGAGGCACTGGCACCATCGGCGGTCTTCCCGTTCTTCTTGGAAGCTCGAATACCGACATCACGAACCCTTCGAAGCCAATATGACCAGGTGATATGTCCGTTTTGTATCAGTATTGTTTCGTTATTTCCATGGTAGCGCAGGCCAGTGAAGAATACACGGCCCCCGAGTAACGAGACCTGGAAGGCCTGGACGTCGATGTATATACGATAGCGGTGCCAGGTGTAGGTTCGAAGCAGGTAGGACAGAACGGAGGCAAATACTCTATTAAAGTATAGCAGAAAGAAGACGGCGCTGCGACAGAATCAGCATCATGTATGGATGGGTGCTCGAGGTACATGGGCTCGAAGACTCACAGTATTCCGCAGACTATGCTGTACCCGAGGAACTGTCTTCGCCATGTCAGTACCAGCTGTCCAAGGGTCGCCAGTTCAGGAGCGTAGCCTACCCGTTGAAGTTCTTCCAGCTCGGAACGGTGGTCGAACCTGGGTTCCCATTGTCGGCCATGACTGCCAGCTCTTCCCGAGCGACCTGCGACCTGCGACCTGCGCCGCCTTATGTTGTTGTACCGGCAGATGAGGTAGCTATGGAAAGCATTGAGCTTGAGTCCATGACTGTTATCCGAAATTTGTCGCGGCCTGTGATGCGAATGATCAAGGCGTACCTAGTACCGGCATTGTATGTCTGTTGTCGGAGGTGCCGCACCTGTAACGGTTGCTCGACTCTGTGTTTCCTCGGTGCAGGTACCTTCCGTAGCTTCAAGCGACGAACTGCAGCTATTAACGCGTTAGTCGGCCGTGACGATAGTGTGCCTTTTGGTAGCTTTCCCAGATGCTGACAAATCACAAGTCTTGTTGTAATCTATCAGTGGTCTGGGTGGTGCTTGATTAAAAGGTCGGATGGAAAGGATTCCATCCGAGATGTATCTAAATACCTAAATTACAGTGGTGAGGTACCTGGGGCAACAAAGGGTTGCCAGGCAGCCTTCATCAGGTAACCTCCAACATATCTGGTGGGGTTACCAGAATACTCCATATGGGTCCATGCACTGGATCCACAATAGTGGCCGTCTAGCGCGGAACTGTTGCATACTGCTAACATGGACAGGGGCATAGCTACATCTTAACTACATGATTTGGATACATGCATATTACGTTGATACCACTACGTGCCGATGGTACATCAAGTTCATAAGGTAAATACTGTTGAATGGGAGCCGGAGATAAACACCGGAAGATCTCCAGTGGGGCAGAGATGCACAGGGCATCTGACCCACCAAGAAGACAGATAATCAATCTCTGCACACAGAGCAGAACAATCAATAGCATCAATCAACATCTGTGTATTCAACAATTAAGAGTCTCATTGAATCTATGCAACCAGCATCCATATTTCAAATACACATATCATACAACCATATTTCGAATACACATATTATACAACCATTTCAAGATAAATATCACAGTTCCCACCCAGAACGTAACTGCGTACTATCGGTCTCGAAAGGACTTTGTCAGCTAGGGACTCCAATTTTAGAAAAGGGCTGAAGCACTTGGTATCTGGCAACATATCAAGCCAGGGGTAACAACTCTATGGCCAACAGCACCAACGCCTCCGGATATCCTATCAGAAAAGTATTCAAAGAAGCCTACAAGAACTGCTCAAACAGCAGTGGAGGAGGGACGAGTCCTCGCTTCACACCTTACAACAAAAGGAGCAGCTGACTTCAAGATGAATATCGCCCTATTCGAGCACAAAAACAAGATCTATCAGCAGACCAAGACCTCCATATCCAAAGTTACCAAGTGGACTCTCGAAACTGTCGATCGTACCATACAGGAGACCAAACTACTCCCTGAACAAAACCTCCGCCAGTGGTACCAAGAGCTCGTAACTGAAGGAGCCATCTATAGTGAGAGTATTATGCACCAGGCCCAAGTCAATTACCGTGCCATTATATCAACAGTCAATAAGGAGGTACAGAAGAAGAAAGAGAAGGATTTTATCAGCTGGATTGAAGAGTGGGAATTGGTTATAGTCAGGGCTATAAAAGCCAGGGTCCCTAAGGCTCTATCTCCAGCAACCTGGTTTAACGACTTCATAGTTGCTGTCGCCTTGATGAACTCCATTTGGTCTTCTCAAGCCTGTCACGGCGAGCATACTGAGGAGCTGGGACATGGCCTGCAGCAAACAGCTATTACTCTATTGACGAGAATATCAAGACTAGAGAGGAAAGAAAGAGAGAGAGAGAGATAGGTACAGTGGAAGGTTGCCCTTTTAAGGGGATCCTCTGGTCAGATCCTTCCCCTATTGGGAAGTATCCGCTTGTCATGTGGGAAGGTCTGTGCAGGCCGTCACAAAACTAGATATTTGAAAAAAAAAAAAAATTTTTAATAAAAATCTAATATCTTATAAATTTGAGTAAATGTCACGATTCCATAAATATATTGCAAGGATACAGGGACCCTTATTAACTATTGACGTATAACGGAACTCTGGTTGAAGGAAAAGAGAGATCTAGAGATGCACTCGAATTGGTGGGCAGCTAGATATGGGCAGTCGTCCCCCACCAGACCCACCAGGGCATGGATTGTGACGGCCTGCACAGACCTTCCCACAGGACAAGCGGATACTTCTCAATAGGGGAAGGATCTGACCAAAGGATCCCCTTAAAGGGGCAACCTCCCACTGTACCTATCTCTCTCTCTCTCTTCCTTTCCTCTCTAGTCTTGATATTCTCGTCAATAGAGTAATAGCTGCTTGCTGCCGGCCATGTCCCAGCTCCTCAGTACGCTCGCCGTGACATGGATCAACCTATCGTCTGATCAGTCACGTGCTCAGTCACGTTACCCGGGCACCATCGCTAGACCTGATAGATGGTAGAACCATCACAACAAAAATCTTTTTATTCGACTTTTTATAATATCTGCAGCACACCGCAGTGCAGCCCCCTAAATCCGACAGTTGTAAATTTAATTCTAACTAGTTTATATTTTAATAAATATTTGATTAGATTCGGATAAAATAGGATATTATTCGACATATATTTAAATATTTAAATTATGATAAGGTAGTATTCGTCACTTAAGGCAGCCATTTTAAGTAACCTTATCGTATCCATCTTTAAAGGACAATGAATACGATAAGCTACCAGGTGGCTGATCTAGTGGCTGTGATCCACACTATTTGAAAGACACTTGGATAATTGCTTATTCCAGGTACGTGATCCCTACCTCACAGTACATGCAACTACCAGGTACCACCTGCACCACGTGCGACTTCGCCTCCGCGCGTCACCAGCTCAACTGTCTGCCTGCCCTGCTAATCCAGCACTTGTTGCTGCTGTTCTTTACACCACGAGTCGAGACAGAGAGGCTCATTCCAACAATGCTACTACCGAAATCCCCTGTCTGCTAATAACACCACTGAGCGTCTTTACTTGAAGACACCTGCTCAGCAGACAAGATGGCTGGCGGAACCGGCCAGAAGTTCACCACCGCCACCACCATCGTCGCCGGCGTGTTCGCCCTGGCGGCAACCTTCCTATCCATCGTGTCGATATGGTTCCAGCTGTACGGACAGTCACATTATCCAGCCTCGCTTCTACCAATGCTAATGTCCACCCAGAAAGAACTATCGCAAGCCGCTGTTGCAACGCTATGTTGTGCGCATCTTGTTGATGTAGGATTAGGTGTTCCATCGAGTCTACCAAGACAAAGCTGATCTGGTTCTTCTAGGGTTCCTATCTATTCCATCAGCTCGTGGGTTAGCATGGTGTCCTTGCAGGCGGCATCTTTCTTGGACCCGATTCGAGATATATATGAGGTGCGTAGTCCGTTGCTCTGACTTTGACCCCGCAACTCTAACACTCACTCTTCCACACAGGCCTTTACCATCTACACCTTCTTCCAACTGCTGATCAACTACCTCCAAGGCGAACGAGCGCTCATAATCATGACCCACGGTCGTGCTCCCGTCAACCACCTATGGCCCCTGAACCACGTGCTGCCGAAAGTCGATATTTCGGATCCCTATACCTTCCTATCCCTCAAACGAGGGATTCTGCAATACGCATGGCTGAAGCCCCCCTTGGCCATTGCCTCCATTATAATGAAAGCGACTGGTGTATACAAAGAGGGCTACATCGGTGTATCATCTGGATACCTCTGGAGCGGCATCGTCTACAACATCAGTGTCACTCTCAGTCTGTACTCGCTTGGCTTGTTCTGGGTTTGTATGCACGATGATCTGTTGCCTTTCCGACCTGTTCCCAAGTTTCTGTGCATCAAGCTCATCATCTTCGCTTCCTATTGGCAAGGATTCTTTCTCTCCATCCTGGTCTGGCTTGGAGCAGTTCCGGACACTGTTCCTGATTATACGCCCGATAATCTGGCAGCTGCCATACAAGATGCTTTGATATGCTGCGAAATGCCTATCTTCGCGGTTGCTCACTGGTATGCCTTTTCTTGGCATGACTACGCAGACAACAGTATCTCCTCTGCCAGATTACCCGTCAAGTACGCCGCAAGAGATGCTTTCGGCATCGTGGACCTCATTGAAGATTCCAAGGAGACGTTTAGAGGCAGTCATTACAGCTACCGGGTGTTCGATTCTACCGGAAAAGTCATTGCACACGAAGACTCCAGTTCTCGATTCGCTAGACTAAAGGATGGAATGAGGTACACACGAGGTGGCGAGGCCAAGTACTGGATACCGAAGCCTGGAGAAGTTCACGGGGAGATGAGCGCGAATACGCCCCTCTTGAATTCCGAGGGAGGACCCAGCAGTACAGGGGCTGCGGTAACACCAAATTATACAGACGGCTCGACCGACGAGACCAAGCTAGACGAGCGTGACGAGGATCTATTCGGCAAAGCGCGGGAGCTGGAGTTTGGAGACTGGAATGTGAGCTCTACGTTGACTGAAGTACTTCTGCCCTTTGCTAATAACTCGGTAGTACCCTGTGATCACTGCCAACATACCCACCAGAGACATTTGGGTGTCTTCGGGTGCTCGAGTGTATCAGTCATCTTCGGGAGCCTGGAATACGGCTCGCTCTGTGTCTTCCCTGAGCGTTACCAATGTACCGACGGAGCCACCGGCACCTAGTCCGGAGGCCGTAAAGCCCAAGAAGAAGAAGAAGGGCAAGCAGAAGGAGGCAGAGCCTGTTGTATCTTCGCCACTAGACACCAGAGCTCGTGTGTCCGAGGAAGCGGAATCCAAAGGTCCCCTGGGGGCACCCGTATTAACGACAAGTGATCCTTTCATCCTAGAGGAGGAGGCAGAGGATGATCTTAGTGATGTGGTCACCCCGGCGGGAAACGCGTCTCCAGATGAGGAAGCGAGTCCGATGTACGCCACAGAAAACGAGGACGAGTTCCGCAATGTCTGGGATGGCGATCGCTTATGAGTTTAGGTAGCCCTTTCTTGCCTTTTGGTGATATAGTTAGATACCCTGGGATTTCGCATACAGCCACGTGGGCATCAGGAGCATGGCGAAGGTGGCGAACGAAATTTGAGCATCCGTTTCTTGCGTTTCAATGCCCCTCTTTAACCAAGTGAGAAAGTGCGTTGAAGATAACCTTTTATTCCTACTATAATGAATGATCTCTTTTGTGCGGAACAAGTAGAGACCGTACCACTTTCTGCCACCTATTGCGCAATTTCACTCAACCGTTGTCAATGTTCGTGAGTATTTCGAGGTTTATGCCTATTAGAGACAGCTTCGTAAGTACCTAATTCAAGAGTATTTGTTGCATTTGGAATAAGCACCATGCAATAAGCAATCTTGATACAACTATTACTCGCGACACTCATTCCAGAGTGCTTATCCAGCTCGATGAAGCCCCAAATATCTCGAAATCTATACATACACTGAGACTCATAAAGGGTGATATCAGTCTGGTACCACGCCGCATTCTCGGGTCGTCAGCCTTGGGCAGGAAAGTTCAAATCATCCGCTGTGTGTACTCGGGTATCTCGTCTTCTATGTACAATTACCTAGATTATATACGGCACGCAATATATGCATATGCCCCTTTCTTCCAACCTAACCTATATACAACGAAACGAAAACCACGTCCATGTTCTCCAACTCAAGATTGGAGTGGAGGTGCACACACACACACACACACACAAAATTACGACGTCTTCGTCGCCGGACTCGGCGGCGCCTCTCCAGTCGCCCAGTCGGCCGGCTCAGACCCCAGCACGAAGTCCAGCGTCCCGCCGTCCGCGAAGACGTCCTCCCACGCCACCCACGCCTTATCCCAGGCGGCGCCGTTGACCTGCAGCGACTGCACGTAGATAGCTCCCTCATCATCGCCGCCCGTCGCGGTGACGACAAGGCTCTTCCCGCCGCCCAGGTCAATCGTCAGGTCCGCGAACCACGGCGACCCGATGAGGAAGGTGGTTTGGCCCGTGATCGGGTACAGCCCGATGATGTTCCACAGCAGCCAGCTCTCCATGGCGCCGGCGTCCGAGTTGCCCGGCAGGCCGGCCGGCGTGGGGCTGTAGTAGCTATCCGCGACGAAGCGGCTGTGCTTGACGCTCAGGTCCTGCCGCCCGACAAAGTTGTACAGGTACGGTGTCGTGAAGGACGGCTCGTTGCCCGGGTTGAAAAGCGTGTAGTTGAACTGCGAGTTGCTGTCGCTGAGCCCGCCCTCGAACATGGCCTCGAGGCGGGCAATGAAGGCGTCGCTGCCGCCGCTGTAGTCGATCAGCGTGGCCATGTCGTGATGCGCGTTGAACGAGTACTCCATCGGCAGGGCCTCGTAGTAGTCGTCGCCCCAGTAGCAGCCGCCGCAGCTGAGTGGGTCCTGGTCGACCCAGGCGCCGTCCTCGTCGCGCGGGCCGAGGAATCCGGTGAAATTCAGCGCGGTGAGGTCGGGGTTCCACTGGTTGCGCCATTGCCGCGAGCGGTTGAGGTATTTCTCTGCTTCAGAGTCGAGGCCGAGGCCGCTGGCTACTTGGTAGAGACCGAAATCGTTGCCGGCGCTGGGAATTGTTAGTTTGTATGCCTAGGGTGAGGGAGATCCGAGGAGGATGGGAGAGGGAGGCGCTCACTATTCGATGGCTCGGCTCACGGAGCGACCATATTTGGTCGTGATGTATCCGAGATCGATCCAGTCGGGCAGCGCCCCGCGGCCCTCCTTCGTCGACGAGGACGTGTCGCGCGAGTCGTTGTTGTTCGGCGGCACCGTCTCAGCATCCGTCAGCATTGCCGAGAACCCGTCCGTCCAGTTAACGGCGCCGCGGACGCCCTTGACGTAGGCGTCGGCGAGGACGTTATCTACGTTAGAGCCGCCCTGCGTCGCCCCGTTGAAGAACGAGGAGCGAGCATCCGGCATGAATCCCTCAAAGCGCCAGATGTCGATCAGAGATCGGATGAACTCCTCGTATGCTACAGGCTGTAGAATGTGCAGGAGAGGCGTCCCGCTCCGGAACTGAAGCTGGTCAGCAGGCAATCACGAGAGTCAACAAGTAGTGTTACTTACAAGATCCCAAAAGGTAAATATATCATCGTAGTAAGGCTCGCTCGATGTCCACAGCGGGTTTTCCCCGGTCTTGTTAGTCGGGATCAGGAGCAGATGATACAGGGAGGAATATAGCAGCTGGAGTTTAGTGGTGTTGGACGTGTCCGTGGTCGTGACCTTAGACAGCACCTGGTCAGTCCAAGCCGTCTTCACGTCGTCCTCCAACGTCTCTCGACTGGTACCGGCCGGGATCTCCGTGTCGACGTTGTGGCAAGCCTGGTCTGCTGAGATGAACGAGACGCCAACCCTCGAGGTAACTTCCGTCGTGTTAAAGGTGAAGACGGCGCCTAGCCGGACCTCTGACGCTTGGCTGGTTGCGTCGCTGTAGTCTACTAGAGTGTCATTCTCTGCGTCCGCTCCAAGGAAAGTCCTGAATGTCGCGTTCTGCTCAAAGTTTCCGCAGAAGTAGACTGTCCATTCCGGCGCACGGTTCCAGCCCTATCTAGTATCAGTGGCTGGCGATGCAAGGTATGCCTTGACTTGACATATGAAGACTTGCGAGCTCACATTATCATATGATCCTGATCCAACGTATCGAACTCCAGTTTCCAGAGTCGTGACCGATATATTTCCACCAAGGTAGCTCTGTCCTAGGCCTTGGCCTCGATACGAGGGAAGGACGTGGGAAACGTCGACGATGACATTGGATGCTCCACTGTCCTCGGGGAACACATATTGAAACATTCCAGCCCTCCCGGTAGCTCCCAGCTCGACGGTGATGCCATTGACTAGACTCGACTTGTAGTAGCCGAGTCTTGTCTCGTCCGCCACGCTTCGGTTGATGCTCTGGTCACTCAGAGGATTCTCAATGTCGCCAAGAACCGGCATCTGAGAAACCACGCCATACTTGGGAGCACCCCCAGTGCCGCTCTCATGGAGCATGCTGAAACCGATGAAATCGCCATCCGCCTGGTAGCCCGAGTAGCTGTCGGACCCGGTGTACAAGTCAGGCCCTAACTTTACCATGCCGAGCGGCAAGCTAACGCCGGGGAACGTGTTGCCTCCGCCGGTGTCGCCGGTCTAGCCAAAGTCAATTTGAAGCAACTCGTGATGAGTTCGGACGATCAACTCACATCTGTCAGAACGTACTGCGTGAGATCCTGAGCCTGACTGAGCGACGCGGTCAACGCCAGGCCAATCCGCAACGATGGACGCATCTCGGTAGCAGGATTCGGTAGCAGGATGCAAGGCTGGCAGGGGGTCGATGTGTTATGGAGGTTGACTACGTGCTCAACACTCCAGCATTGCAGAAGAAACGGAGAATCAGACGAGCGACTTCAATCAATGTGCCTTGAGACGAGAACGGCAAGACCAAGACGACAACCTGGTGCGCGTAGACGGTCTAGAAGGCAGCTGCTCCCTTTTATTATCAATATCAGCGCAGGGCGTGCTCCCTTTTGGTTTCTCAACCCATCTGTCTGCCCATTTCCTCTCAGTGACCCCGAGCCCCTAGGCTCCAGCATCAGAATCCTTTGTGCGGCGAAGCGCAATGGGCCGAGATGAGCTGCAGCTGCAGGCCTGCGCCCAGCTGAATGCCTGACCCAGCTGGGCCCTGGCTCACACGACATGACCCCAGCAACGTGCTGCCAAATGGCCATGTCATTTGCGAATGAGCGGCACAGCCGCTGTGGTGGGGCGTATCGCTGATCGCAACGTGAACGAAGGCCTCAGAGTCATAGGCCTGACCTGTAGATGCGGTCTCTAGCGATACACCCTCTGGATACAGACGGCGTCATTTGATACCACTAGGTAGACGACATTGAGAAACATCATGTCGGAAGAAAGCGTGGTTGCTTGGCCTTGTCGATGAACGCGCGAAGGAGTAGATCTCAGATTTGGTGTTCCTGACAACGACAGGATTCCCTTTTCAAGCTTATTTGAGTGAGGCACACATGGGTGACATACCAGGCCCACACCCCTTAATAAGACTGGATGTCAACCTAGGTGACGAACGAAACACACCAGCTTCAGGCAAAAGCCGTGCTGTATGAAAAACCAGCAAGTCGATGTCCGCGTGTCGGTCATTTCATTGTATAATGATGCCCTTCAGAGCCCGTCAGAAGACTTAGAGTAGGTAGATGTATGGTGGATGTCTTCCCCAGGTCATCTCTTTAGCAGTTTCATTGCAGGCCCGTGCGGCTCTGGTACTTCTTATCAGGAAATGGGGCTGAGGGGGTTGCGGGGTGCTATCGGATTTAAGCTCCCGTGCCCCGCCCGCCTGCCCGCTCGAAGTTCCTGTCAAAGCTTGGTGGCGCGGCGGGGACCTCGGGACCGACACACAGGGATAATTCCGTCAGGTGGTGAAAACTTCAACTCACCGCATTCACAATTCTGCCCGTCTTATTATCATCACTATCCCACCTTTGGTGACGACATTGTGGCATCGACTCTCGACAACATGGGTCGTAGACCGAACCCCCTGATCCTCGAGTTCTTCGAGCGCGGCGCCAAGCTGAACGACAACAGCAACAGGTACCATCATCGTTGCAAGGCCTGCGGCGAGGACTTCCCCAAGGGTCGCATCGACAGCCTGACATCCCACCTGACCAAGAAGTGTCCTGCCATCTCAGAGGCTGAGAGGATTAACGCTTGTCTCTCTCTGCACGGCATTAACAATGGATCCGGCAGGCAGAAGTACGACGGCCTCCTCCACTCTGGGCCCAACACTGGTCCCAGCTTTGGACAGAACCTCTCACATAACCATGACCAGAACCAGAGCCAGATCCAGGACTCTCTTTGGACGCCTCTGGAAACCCTTGCCGAGGTATCTCGTCAGATAGAAGCTAGCGAGAAACACGACGACCATGTGCCGACCATCCAAGATCCCACGAGCGAAGCTGTGCAGACCACTCTGGCTGCTGCCCTCCCTGCGACCTTGGCGCCTGGGTCGAACCCATTCGAGCTGCACGAACAATTCACCCTGGAGAACCCGCCCATGAGCTATGAGAATCGACCACAGCGCGACAAGAAAGGTACACACTTTGGTTCTACCTTTCGCTTGGTGCAGTTACTGACTCGGGCTACAGATGCATCGCAACAGTCACAGACTATCCCGCAGAATGAGCTTTCTGCCGAGGAGAGACTTCAACAACTCTTCCAAAGCACCGGCTCTCCAACTCAGTCGGCTCTCTCCGTCGCAGCCGCTGCCACCGCTCGACTGAACCCATCACTGCTCGACCCCCAGCTCGACCACCAAATCCTGACCGACGAAACCATTGCGGAACACATCGCTCAATCAGCAGCGTCAACTGAGATGATGATCGACTATCCAGAGCATGAAAAGTCACCACAGCCAGCACCTCCGCCTGCACCTGTGAACCACAATGATTCTCTGACGCCCTGGGGAGGTATGACATATATGCCAGATGACATCCATGCGCCAGCAACCGTCAATGATCATAGTTCACACATGGTGCCCACATTGAACAGGGGCGGGTTCCGCATGGATACTACCGACAGTCCGAATGGGCCGCGCTACCGCCACAGCAGGGCGCGATTCGACTCAAGCCGTCGAAGGGAAGTCCAGGAAGTCCGTCGCATCGGAGCATGCATTCGATGCCGAATTCTGCGAAAGACGTGTTCCAAAGGTACGCCGTGCGACACCTGCAAGAAGGTGCTATCTCCGCGAGTCTGGCGCACAGGTTGTGTCAGAACCAAGCTTTCTGAGTACATTGACCTATACTCTGCTGGCGTACAAGTCGTCATGGCTCAGAAGCGTATCAATGGCTACAAGAGCTCACATCAGCTTGAAAACGTCCTCAATGTGGTGGAGGTTTCGCACTTCCCGGAGACTGGCCACAAGGTCGTCTTCCAAGTTCTCCAAGGCTATCCAAAGGGTGGCGAAGGCGAAAATGGCGACAATGGTCATGTCAAAGTGGAACCGCCTGGACCGGTCATCCTACTAGACAACAATAAGGAGGACGTCCCGGGAAAGGTCGAAGGGTACATGCGTCGTATGCTACCTGAGTTCATCAGACGTGAGCCGTCTTCCCATGTGCGTGTCACTCTGGAGGCGGCAGATCAGCTTGCCAAAGACACCAATGACGAGCTGCTGAAGCGATCGCTAGAGCTCTGGGGAATCGTCGAAATGATGGATCGCGAGCGTCAATGGACCATGCTAGTAAAGTCGCCGAGAGACGAAGTTCCGGACTCGTGGATCAAGGACGAAACCGAATGCGAGGCGTATTCTAACATATGTATGCAGCTTACTGCGGCAGCTGAACGCAAGGCGTCTATAGCCAGCAAAAATTTGCTCAACGGAATCCAGCGGAACCTGCAAGACGGCAAGACGAAACTTGGCTTCCCCATGTTTCTCACCGTCATACTATTCCTCAATTGCGTTGAGAAGACCACTTGGGCTTTCAAGGCCTGGGATGAGGAGAACCTGCGGCCGAAATGGCCACTGGAGAAGCCACCGAGCAACTATACAAGCCAGGGACATGGTCTGACCGAGCTTCTAAGAATGCTGCTTGTGATCCGGCATATCCTTCCCAAGACCAGCCATCCAGACCCGGATGCACCAATCACAACTGAGGAGGATGATCCTATCATCGAGAAGTACTTCCAGGATCTCAACATAACCCGTAAGTGCCAACTGGATGATTGTTCTTGTGTACTGAAGTCGCTAATCATTTACACCAGCTGCGTACCTGCATATGCGTCACGAGCAGAACAACTTCCAGCCGACTGACTCTCGGTCGCTCGAATTTCTCTTCTGCGCTCCGCTCCTGCTCAATTACGTGCCTGCTCCCCAAGCAACTCCCCAAGGTACGCCTCAAGGCACACCTCAAGATGCCCCTCAAGGGCCGCACCTTGGGTTTCCATCTGTGTGAGTCACGCTACGGCGTACGTATACTCTCACGACGTCTATTTCTGCTCGTTGGTGTTTGGGAAGTTTCTGATCTCGTCATGGACGTATTGTCTGGAGCTCTCTGGAGCTCTTCATCAGATTTGGATGCCACATGGACAATCGTAAATGGGTTGACTTTGATTGGCGTGACGCACGTCTGAAAATCACAAAAAAATAAGTTTCGTGCAAGGAATTGAGTGTAGATTCTGGCACGAAATTGCGGCATCGGATAAACAAAGAATTTTGGCCGAGGACGATATGGAAAATCGGCGGAATCCAGGGAAAAGGAAGGTCTCACGACACTTGATGTGCGGCATCTGCTTTGCAAAATCGGCGTTTTGCGATGAAGATGGAACTGATCGCTGGTTCACAAACCAAACTATACCCCAGGGACGCGTTCGTTGCTTGCTGCCAGGCGTTGGAGGTTAAACTGTTAAATCATTTGCTCAAGCGTTGCCATTTCATCGGCAGCTCTACGTAGCAAAAATGTACAAATATGCTCTGAAAATGCCATCCCTTGCTTGATAAGATGCTCCGACTTAATCTACGCGTACAAATGCCATTTCTGCATGACCGATGAGGCCTCTGATCGATCAACGAGTAGCTAATGAATGAGCTGATCGACTGTCTGGCGCGCACGTTTATTCGGAGGGACTTCAGCATGGTCGTCGTTTCAGCATTTGATATCGAAATGTCCTGCTGCGCGAACCGGCTCTACATACATCTTGCGCCGATACAGGTGCTGCTCTTGAAGTACAGTACCTAGGTAGACACAACGCAGACCCAATAAACACAGTAAAAGAGGCACGCAGGAATACTCCAGTCAGTAACCGAGGTGTATACCCGTGATCAGTCACTGTTCAGGCTTGAGGGTGTGGCCTTTGAACTCTTTACTCTTCTTACTTGTTACTGACTGGACCTCCGGTCCCGCCATATCTGAATGGCCTGCGGTCACAAAACAAAATAACTTGATACTTGTAAATCATAGACAGGCTATCGTAAGTTGTAGGTTATAGGTTGTAGGGCTGTACGTATGTAGTGCCCCTAGAGCTTGAACAGGCTCTCGTTCTCGCTGTCCTACCAGACGTCGAAAGGCTAAATTGAGGTCTGGGAATAATTATGTGGTGTGTCAGGCCTGCTACAAGAACCAAGCATTTGACATAATAACTTCCATAAGCACCTGAAGTAATCGCAAGATGTCCGTCCAGTCACGGTCATTCGTCATGTTCGTCGGCTTCTCCAGACTGATTTTGTTCCACGTGCATTGGGAGCTTAATCATGCAATTCGTTCCTATCCTATTGTCGTACAGTCTACTACCGCCTAGGCTAGCTGCCATCTAGGGGATGCATTATGGGGGGTTGTCGGTGAGGTAAAGGAGGTATCTACAGTTTGGAGATTATGGCAGCGGCGAACTCGTGCGTCTTGGCCTTTCCACCAAGGTCACCGGTCAAGGCCTTTCCTTCGGCGAGGGTATCAAATGCGGCCTTCTCGATTCTGTTGGCGTAGTCGTTCAAGCCCATGTGTCTCAACATCATCATGGAGCTGAGGAGGAGGGCAGTAGGGTTGGCCAAGCCCTTGCCAGCGATATCAGGGGCGGATCCGTGGACGGCTTCGAAGATGGAGCACTCGTCACCAATGTTGCCCGAGGGCGTGAGACCCAGTCCACCGATCAGACCAGCGCACATATCCGAGAGAATGTCACCATACAGATTGGGCATGACAAGGACCTTGTCGTTGTATGGCACCGGGTCGGTAACCATCTTCAGGCAGGTGTTGTCCAGCAACTCGGCGTCGAATTCGATGTTGGGGTAGTCCTTGGCCACATCTCTGGCGACCTTGAGGAACAGGCCGTCCGACATCTTCATGATGGTGGCCTTGTGCACGACGCGAACCTTCTTGCGGCCAATCTCCTCAGCTTGCTGGAAAGCAAACCGCAGAACGCGCTCGCTGGCCTCTCGGGTGATGAGCTTGATGCTCTGAACAACACCGTCCACCACAACGTGCTCAATGCCTGAGTATTCACCTTCGGTGTTCTCTCGGATCAGGACGGTGTCGACGTTATCGTAAGGGGTCTTGTAGCCAGCAACGGATCGGCATGGTCGCAGATTGGCGAATAGGTTAAAGGTTCTTCGGAGGGTCAGGTTAAGGGAGACATGGCCCTTGCCGACGGGTGTCTGGTATGTGTTCAGCAGGCTTTCTCGTGATGTATCGACTTCCAAGTTGACCTACGGCAAGGGGACCCTTCAAGGCGACCTTGTTTCTCTGGATGCTTTCGATAGTGTCGGCGGGAATGCTAGTCTTTCCATTTACCAGAGTGGGTGTGACATCGACGGGTTCCCAGCTGATGGGCGTCTAGGTAGCGTTCAGTATTGCGTATGAAGTGCCCTGGGGGAGCTTGTAAACTAACACCGGCAGCCTTGAAGATATCCTTGACTGCTTGAGAGATCTCGGGACCAATACCGTCACCCTCAATTATACTGACTGGGAAGTTGCCCTATTATGCGCCTTGTCAGTCTCGGACTACTGGATCTCGAGTGCGTGCTCCAGGTTTCGCGAGCGACAGCCGAGCTTGAGTGATTTTGTTTCGTTTCGGCAGGACCTGCACCACGGATGAATCGGGGGTTGGGGTTACACGTACACTGGCATCTTTCACACCGTTGAACTTGGCGACCTTGCTCGAGGCTGCGGAGTAGTATCGTTGGTTCTGCGTTCGCCGAATGGGTCAGCAACTAATCGCGCCGTAAAGCTCGCGCAGGGCACTCGCTCACCTGGAAGGATAGGGTTGCGACGGCTCGGGGGGCTGTTGCAAGGCATTGGCGCCGCATGGGCGCAGCGACCGCTCGGAGACTCAGCATGATCGAGGATAATAGCGAGCGCTCGTGATAGACGGCTCTAGGGTATGTGAAGTACCTAGGAGAAGAGCTGTCGCAGAAGAGGCTGGCGTGGGGATTTTCGCGGGAGTGTTGTTTTGCTGGCTCGGGAGGGATCGGGCAGGCGGATGGGCCAAGTTTGCATCTGATAGCAGCCTGCAGCCCACACTCCAGACACCCGGCGGACCTCCAGCGCTGCAGCCTGCAGCCACCCAGCCTCACCCGCCGCTACGACCTCGGGACTGATGAGACACGAACCGCCATTATGTACCTATCGGGGCGAACCTCCAACCGCGGTTTTGTCGTTTCTAGCTTCCTTGGATTCAACACCCCAACTGCCAACTTTGAACATGTTTCAGCACCTGCAGGACATCGTACAGATACCGCTTCCAGGTCTAGTTCATGGTCAGGACATGTCCTTCTGGTAGGATTTCATTGAACGCATTGACGAAGCTACCAATGATATAGCTGCTGGTGCTAACAATAAACGGTTACGCTGTTCGTGGTGACGATGTTGTGAGGTGGTTTGAAAGTACGATGAAGGGCTGCACACAGTTGGAACGAGACCAAATCAAGACCCACATTTCTCATGTATTCATTCAATTGATGAAGGGTCCAGAAGTACGTACCTTTCACCCATAACCTCCCACCTTCAAGCTCCCGCACCTTCAAGATTCCCAACTTGCCGACTCGATCCGAAAGCAATACCGACCGCTAAGGGAAAAAGGGGAATGAGGGTCAACTGAGAACACCAGGAACAGCAGGGCTTTGCAGCTTGTCGTCGCATGGGCGACGTCGTCAGTACCCGACCGTTGGCTACAATCACGTGGGCGAAGCCGGCTGTACGCAGTCATGGCCGACTTCGACAGGAACGTGCTGGAGTTCTACGGGCTGTCTACTCTGTATCCTACAACCTGGCCAGCCGAGAAGAACGACCAGAGCGACGACTCCGATGAAGAAAAGGAGCAAAAGAAGCAGAAGCTGAACCGCAGAAAGTCACGATACCAGGCCCTCGAGCGAGCTGTTAGCAACAGGTCCAGTGTGGTGGTAGGATCCGAAAAGTCCGCCAGTGGAATTAGCAACTTGGTTCAGAAGGACGAACCCGATCCATTGGGCACCTCCGAAAGCGTGGTGCGATCCTTGAGGCAGCTTGGAGTGCCCCTCCAAGATGATATACGTTTACGTATGCTACTTCTACTTGCAGTCAATGTCATGAACTCATTGGATATATACAGGGAATCGTTTCTTGCTATCCTCGACAAGCTTCTCGCCCGCCTTATACCTATCCCAGATGCACGCTACTGCCGACACCGAGTCCCTTCTAAGCGGCCTGGACGTCCTGTCGAAATCCATTGACCAGAAGTCGGCATCCTTAAAGGTCCTAGTCGAATCCAACTTCGAGAGATTCGTGCGCGCCAAGTCAACTATCGACAATGTCTACAAGGAAATGAAGTATCGCGGGGCTGAGCCGCCATCGCCAGCTCGCGCTCGTGCGCATTCCCGACACACCAGCCGGGGCAGCTTCAGGGGCAGTGGAAGTGGTGCGGCGCTCGGCGCGAGCCCGTTGACCTTGCCAGTCATAAGTGACAGCAGAAAAAAGAACGCGCTCATAAAGGAGAGTGACTACGGCGTCATGGGCATCAAGGGCCCCTTGCTCGACGTTTCCGCAAAGGCTGAGGATGTTTGGGGCCCAGCCCTAGGTGGCCGGCAGAAAGAGGAGAACCTGAAGATTGTTTCTACGTCACTTGACCGCTATAAAGACTATATCGAAGCAAGCTCCAATATAGCGGATAGCATCAAGCGGAAGGACTACGACGCCCTAGTGGAAGAGTATGGTCGGGCCAGAAAGTTCGCAGACGACACGCGAAAGCTCGTTCAAGCTCTAGGGTCGACTCCGCCCAGTGAAATACAAACGTACCAGATCCTGATTGCAGCTCGCATGTGGTACGATGTTGAGGACCAGATGCAGCTATTCAAGCGAGATGTGTGGAGAAGGCTAACGTTACTTCACAACACCGTATCGAAAGCAGAAACCTTCGCTGGGCCGCCTCAGGATCAACACATGGAACTCATCGGCTTACTACTGGAGCTTGGTGTCGAGGACAACCCAATCTGGGTGTGGCTTTTGAGTAGATACGACTACTTGAAGGGCAAAATCTCACTGATGGGAGACCGGGCAAAGGTCGAGATCGAAGTGCTCAGGCGTCGGCTTGCTAATGCCGAGAAACCGTCACCCCAGACGGTGGCATCGCATTTGAGAGTCCTTACGCGGCATTCAGTCGAGACCAAGCCTGACGGAATGGACTCTCCTGACGTCATTGAGCTATGGGAGAAGATGCTCACCTTCTTGACGAGTCTCCTATCTGCCCAAGGGGTCTTGGGTGAGGTCATGGAGTTTTGGCAGACCGTCGAGAACTTCATCGACGGCAAGGCGCAGAAGTCCTTACCGACGGGCTACAACAACGAGTCGCGTGATCACCACCGCCTCTCTCAGCAAGGTACGCTTGATCTCCGGAAAGGCACCATCGAGCTCGTCGATATGATCCGAGCTCATGTGTTTGAATTCATCGCTGGCGCTCCGCCCGAGGATGTCTCGCTTCTATTTTCGCCCTTGCCTCCCTCACCCGGCACGCCTATGTCAGCGCAGTTGTCACCTACAAACGCAAGAGATCCCCGGTTCAATTTCGATGCTAATAACCTTCCTCCGCCCTCCCCTAAACGAGGCGAGTCGTGGGAAAAGTTCGCGTTCTGGCCGCCAGCTTCCAATTCTGTCAGTGGCGTCTACTACCTGTCCAAAATGCTGGCCTTGGTCGGTTCTGGGGCGTCCGAGATGGCCAGTGTAGCCCCTGTGAGCCAAGGCGACACGAAGCAATTGGAGATGTTGAAGACCTTGGTCGGAGCTGCACGTGAAAGATGCGTGTCGGCACTTTGTGCTGCATGGAACAGTGACGCCGAGAATATTAAGTATGTCGAGGACTGGAAGCGTTCTAAAGAGATGGGAGATGTCACGCGCATGCCGGCAAGCTTTGCTGCTTTCGAAGGCGCCTTACTCGTTGGGATGCAGAAGATCCTGTACATCTCGGAGGCGATGGCCAAGCCGGGCGCTGCGGATATCGTCCTTGCACCGCCGACCAAGCTGTTGCAGATGGTTAAGAGCCAATACGTCACAACGCTGTACAGAGCCCTCAGCGGAATGGTCGAGAATGCAGAAAGGGCAGTCAAAAGAGAAGCCGACGAGTGGACCACCGACTTGGATGCCCCGATGAGCTCTGGAAATGACAGAGCCTCGTTAGCCGTTGGCAAGGAGACTGTTGATGCCGGTGACCGAGTAGGTCTTGTTCCCCGAAGGAAGCAGAAGATGGCTAACGAGTCCACTAGAATGTCCGCATGCTCCTAACCCTCAGCAACCTGCAGGCGTTACGTTCCCAGGTTGTTCCTAACTTGAACAGCCAGTTCGAGAATGCATTCTCAGTCAAACTCACAGGTGAATCCCAGAAAATCAAAGATGCCCTTGGCCAAATCGACGCCCGACTTTTCCAGACATATACGCGACCGTCGGTTGAGGCTCTACGAAAGATCATCCGCACTGGTCTGGCCGACCCCGATTGGGCATCAGCCAAACCTACCGAGGTCAAGCCTTACGTATATGAGGCTCTCCTGTCTCTTGTACTTGTCCACACCCAGGTCTCGACTACGGCACCTAGCCTCACAAGCCAGGTCCTCTCATACCTCCTTGAACAAGCGAGTCGCGAGCTTCTTGAGGCGTTCAGGTCTCGACCGAAGTTCGATCTTGACACACTCATGCAAGCAACGCTGGATGTCGAGTTCGTAGCCCAGACCCTGAGCCAGTACACTACAGAGCGAGCCTCGGCGGTCCAGGGCGAGATTTATTCGATGTTGGACTCGAAGACGGACGACCAGGCGCGCACCCAACTCCAAAACGAGCTTCCTGGGATGCGGGAGGTGCTTAAGAAGCTCCGAGACCGATCCCGAAGCCAGTTCGCGTGCTTCAAGAGACCGCGGCGGATACAGACCGGTCTGGAGCGCACGGCGACGGGTTAGGCGGCCGATCGCCGGACGCCAGGTGGTGGGCAGAAGACGATCTGGGTCTCCAATAGAAAGGGCCGCGCCTTCTCCATCCCACGACTCCCTGACGAGATCACCCGGCAGCATGGTTATGGTTCGAGCTCGCAGATTGCGGAGTAGTAGTCTGGCTAATCATTTTTAGTAGCTTGACGGGTTGTAAGATAGCTATTTTACGAGTCACGATCCTTGGGATGCTTTGGCGTGTGTCTGCGACTGGCGGTCTACCTTGGGGCTAGTGGAGCGGGCGAGGTCTGGTCCTTTTCGATGTGGATGGCGAGGTTTCGCGGGAGTCGGCTTGACGCTTGATGGGGCAGTTGCCAGAGGAGGGCATTGTGACCTTTATAGAAGATACCTGTACATATGTACTGTAGGATATTGACACACGATTAGAAACTTCTGGCTTCTGGAAGAGGCTGCTGTCGTTGCTAACTCCCATGTCTGGGGTCCTCTTGCGGGCGGACTTGACGACACTACTTGGAAAGTATCGGTTATTTTCAGAATAGAAGCAAGGCGCGCATTCCAGGCCATGACGTCGATGTGGCTCGGAGTACAGATCGGGAACTGCCCCTCTCCTAGCGGGTGAGGCGAGAAAGAGTGCCTTTCTGACGCCGTGGAGAAATGCTTATCAAGCTTGATATCCATGCTGGCCACGACACGGAGACATCGGCTCGCTGGTGCCGAACTTCGCGAGAGGCCCGTCGGTGGCCGGCAATACCCTGGAGTGATGGATGGGAATACCGAGACCGGGGCAGCACAGGGGGGTTGAGAATCCCCGAGCCTCCACCAGCATATTGAGACCGCCCAATCAGAACTCTTCGGTCGAACTCTGGGTACGGAGAACCTTGTCTGTCATGTTTCGGCTTCTCAGATCGGTCACGAATATTCCCTCAGGTGGCGGTTTTTGCATCCTTCTAGAAGCCATCGAAGCTTCATTGACGAACCGGAACTTCCAGCTGTGAGGCTGTGAGGCACATGCGGTCTTTCACTTCCGTTATCGGCAGCTTTACATGTCTCCGGGAGACCCAGCACAACAAGCCTTGTACGGGCACCGTATTTTGCAAGCGCGATCGAAGCCCCCCTACCAGAGTACGTCCGGAGGTTCAATGCTTTCCTTTGTTGTATCACCAGGTACACCACTGTACCTATCCAGCGATACCTAAACTGGACACGTATTGCGGTGGTCGCCAGTAATAAATCGGCCGAGGGCGAGCCGGAAGGCCCGCTTCTCTATCTCGACTATTCTGGGGCTCTGGGACACACGCAGTTGACAACTTGACACGTCCTGCAACGCCCCAGGACGCCCCTCGCCTTCCCCAGCAGCAGCACCGAGCCGGCCCTGCATCATGTAGGCCCTTGCCCTGACGGGATGTGGTGCGTGGCGCTAAGATTCCAGGGAGCCCCAACCTTCACCGCGCTTCGTCATGCTCAGGGGTCCGGTGGGCAACTTGCAAGTGCGAACACCTACAGCAGTGGGCACCGAGGGTAGTCTGTATCTATTCCGGAACCGAATGAGTGAATGCTAGGCGGCGGGCAATGATGCCCCCGAACACGTTGGTTGGGACTGGGAGAGCCGGACAGCTGTCCTCCTTGGGTTCACGTCGGTCTCGGCACGTACCTATGGGAACTCTATTACCCACCAAAACATTGAACCCACCAGATATCTCCGAACGGGCATGGCTGGTCTGGCTTTCGATAAAATACCGCATTGCAGTGATGATTACTGGCTAGACCGGAGTACAGGTCCAAGGGGGCCAAGGGCTGTAGGTTGGGGTTTCCGCCGGCTTTGAAGGAAGAGGGTATCGCATATATATCGGCCTCTCTCTCGCCGTACATCTCATCGATCTTTCTTCTTCTCAGGTTTCGCAATTCTTCTTCTTCTTCTCTGTCACTCTTCACCAACCAGGCCAATCTCCACTCTACAAGCTTCTACCAAGCCCTACTACACACATACCAAATCTTGACTACTCCCGTCAAACCCACAATACACACACCTTGCCAAGATGCCTTCCCAGCAGAAGATCGACGAAGTCTTGGCCACCAAGCCCGTCACCTTTTCCCTCAAGACGACTGGCGGACGATGGAAGTGCCAGATCCATGGCAATAGAGCCTTATAGTAAGTCACTCCTTGGCTCTTGGCAGTATGCTAAGGCTATCCCGCTTATCGGAATGGTCTCTTGGCTTTGACGACAAGGGCAAAGGCAAGTAGAACATCGTCTCTGACAGATCGAGCAGTGAGCGCACACGCTCTGCAACCTCATCACCTGCACCCGGAGTTGGCCGCACCGACTCGGCTACCTCGTCTTCGTCCTCCTCCTCCGCCGGATCCACCTCGTCGTCCCACTAGACGAACCGACTCTCGGAGCTACAGGCCCCAGTCCTGCACCTAGCGACTAGTCGGCCCCGACTTGATAAAGCTTGTCTGCTGTCACATCTCTGTGTCATACAACAACAACAACAACAACAACAAGGGGCTTGCATATGACAGCTGCTGTACGCAGATGGGGATTGGATATGGAAAAGGGAGACGGGACACGATGAAGAATGAAGAAACCTCGAAGGAATTACGAAGATTAATGTTGCTGCATTTACGTGGGAGTCCTTGCTGCTGCAAATGGATATCATTTGCTTTATTTTACGGCACGGCACGGCACGGCTCGCAACGACTCGCTGGGAACCGGGCTACATGCGGTGTTTTTCCCTTCCTATGTACCTACTTTTGCTTACAGCTCGTCGGATACTCCAGACTGGTGTCTCGCAGGCTTTTTATGTTAGAGGCTAGAACGTTTTAGAGATGCGTCACCATGGTTTGTGAGGGAGTTTGACCACGAGGGTTGGGGACGGTTGAATAAAAGATCAATGTTACATATTCTTGAAGCTCAAGACTGCTGCTCTAGCTCATCGCTCTGAGGTCCTTGCCGGCAATGGCTGACCGGCTGGCTGGCTGGCTCGTTCGTGAGTGACATGCACGAGGAAGGTGGCTCGAACACTCTTGTGTTACTTAGCCCAACAAACTGACATACAGCTGAGGTATTTTCACTTTACAAGCGCTCGAGGCACAGAAATAACTTTGATGGTGAGGTTATTATGCAGGTACCTACCTACCTGTCAGACCGATGAGCCAGTTGCGCGGTACCGTCTTCCCCTCCCGCTCCCGCTGCTCACCAGACCGTGCGCGCCTTACTTAGCAAGACGCCGTATATCGACAAGTTCTTCGAAGCCACTTCTGCTCCCTTCTACCTACTCATGCTGTCTGTTCTGTTGAACCATTGACTATTCATCAAATTGCGGTTGAGATCGTCGAAGGTGTACGTGGTGTAAGTCAGCAAGCATGCTTGGCATTCGGTGGCTAACCGTCTGGTCCTATCAGATCACTTCATTGCCTGCACCAAGACTCCGGATTAGAAAGTTCTTCGGTGAGACGTCTGTCTGTCCATCTGTCATGTCCCAGCTCACCCAACACGGATATTGTATTTAGATACATGTAACTTACCTGCTGGCTAAAATAGGTAGATCAGCGGAGAGCTGTTCGTTTCGATTGGAGCTTCCCAACCGTCCGCATTGAACCGAATTTCCCAAGCAAGATACCGTGTCTATTCCTAGTCCTTGATACATGGTATTCGGGCAGCCCTCTCCCGATTTTGGAAGTGTCTCTTGGCCGACTTGTATCAGCCAACGGACATGCTTCTCATCATGATCTGGTCAGTTTCCTACTGTAGGTTATTACCATAACAAATGTACTGAGACGTTCAAACTACCCCCGGTTGATGACACCAATAGTCGTTCATTGGCATTTGCGGTGGGAGTGTTCCCAAGCGAGTGGCAGAGTGGTTGTAATGAGGATGGAGAGACTGAGTACTCCCCTAGCTTAATAACGGCTGGGTGTCTTCCGACTGTGGTCCATCGAACAGGAAATCACATTCAGTGCCGTCCCCGAGGCAATGATAGTATTCTGGGGAGAGCCATCCATATTTCTTCGTACATATGTTGGAGCATTTCACGTAGTTCTTTATAAAGTCCCACTTCTGGCGACTTGAGGAGCGTACAACGAATCGCATTCATGGCTGTCGGGACCGAGGCAATTGTTGTATGCATCTGACCATGGGAGCGGTCCATGAGCTTTGAGGCATATCTTAGCGCATCTTGCGTCGTTCTTTAGACCGTCGCACCTGTCCCCTCTGGCGACTTTTTAAGGAGCAGCCAAAGTAAGAAGTGCGAATAGAGTCACAAGAGGGACATCGGTTTAAAGAACTTTCATTGAGACGGCTATTGGCTGGTTAATAATGATGTGTCCCGGGTGCTAAAGTTAATAGGTGGTTTGAGAAGTCGTAGTAAATGAATCTTCTAGATACTCAAGTCAACGCCGAAACTTCCAAGCAATTTATATTCAAGAGACATTTCCAGATCGACACGTCGTCCATGGCCAACTAGAGCCAGGTGGCATCACCGTGAGACTTGATAAGACCAACGTCCTCCAGGATGGTGATGGTGATGGTGATGGTGCCGCAGCTTCGCCGTAGACTACGAGGGTTTGAGATGCTATGAAAAGACACTTGCTACAGGAGGCGTGGCAGACCAACACATGTATGATATCATGTTCGAATCCTGTAGGGCTGTCAGCGCTTGCTTTTGCACACACAGCTTGCTGTGCCGTTTTGCTTCCTCCTCTTCCTCTTGGTGATTTCCGCCCGGACTGCCCGTTGGCTTAGTGGCGTGGTTGCTGAATGGAAGACGATGGATGTAAAAACCTGGGCAGTCGTTGAGGACAAATAGCACCAAAAGTACGAGGGCCCAGACGATAGGTTTTCGGTTCGAAACGAAAGGAGAGCAAATGCGCACGGATGAGTTGGTCGGTCCCCCCCGGAGGTAGGTGGCACGGCAGAACAACACATATATTAATCTCATTCGTATTCAGCCTCGTAGGATCACTACCTATCATAGTTGCTGAGCAGCCTATCCACTTCCGACAAGTTACAACTGCAGAACAGGCTTTCCCCCGGTTGATAACACCAATGTTCCTTTACTCGCCAGCCTACGTCCTCTTCATGCAATCATCGACGCACTTGAAGTAATCTGTGGGGAATGATTCCCCCTTACATTCCTTGCCGCAATCCTCGAAGGCCCCTCGCTGCTCGAGCGTGTCCGCTCTGGCGACTTGTTGAGGAGCGGCCAAGGTGGGAAGTGCGAATAAGGCCACAAGAGAGACAGCGGCTTGAAGAAACTTCATTGTGACGGCGGTTGGCTGTTGTCTGGTTGACAGTAATGTGTTGCGGGTGCTGGAGTTTGACGAGAGGTTTGAGACGGCTGTTGGCTCTGGTCGACAGTGATGTGTTCGAGTAGCTTTGAGAAGTCGTAGGTAGGTGTACAAACTGATGGTGATGAAACTTCTGGATACTCAAGTCGACCCCGAGATTTCAGGTGATTTATATATCAAGACGTCTCGAGATCGACATGCCCTCTATGGCCACTTGACTAATTTTAGTATCAAGACACGTGCACATACATCATGCCGGAACTTTCTGATATGGTAGGTATTCAGCATCGTAGGATCACCTGCTGGAGTCTGGAGTGGAATCAACATCCCGACGTACTTCCTGATATGTTTGTTTTGTTTGTTTTGTATTTAACGTGGGGGGTAGCTCCTCAGTAGTGCAAACCACGCCTCCCAGAGCCTCTGTATCGCAGGGTTGTGGAGGTCTCAAGATAATAAGTACAGTCAGTCCCGCTCATGGGCCCATCCCCGTTGTTGCGGCGGTATGACCTTGGGGTCATCCATCTGGTCCTTCAAGAAAAGCTATCTATTGGGGGCAGATTGTTGAAAAGAACTTGCTCTTCTCCACGAATTTTGCCCATTCTGTGCTCCTCTCCCCTAAGTATTGTAAACAAGCTGTCCTAGGCGAGTACCTAGGCAGCAGCCGGTTTTTCCCCAGCCTCTTACAAAAGAAAATGTGTTGTGGTGTTTTCTTCTCACCACAGCTGCAGTGATCATTCGAGTCTGTATGCCCAAAGCGTTCATGGTATCTGGCAAAGTCGCCATGTCCAGATCTGGCCGCTAGAAGTCTGTGTAAAGTACTCCTCTTAAAAGATATAAGGTCTCTTTCAGTTACTGTATGTGAGTATACTTCTTGATACCTAGGTTCTGATTGGTCTTTCCACTATTGGTTGAACTCTTTCTTGCCCTTTCTTTTGAGATCTCTCTTAACCCAAGAGATTGTAGGAAGGTTTGTTGTTTCCTGATATGATCGGTATCCTGCATCGTAGGATCACCACCGTGGTTGGTAATCTGTCCTGGAGTGTAATATTATGTGTGATGCCCCCCTGCGGAGACGGAAGTGAAGAATTAGGCAGAAGGGCGTCAAGATCCTCCGCGGTCCTTCCCGTCCTACCTTCCGGAATCAGTCAGTCAGTGTGGTCGGGCCGGGGACCGCGGCGGGTTTCGACGCCATTCAGGAATCAATGCCTGCACAAATGTATAAGTTCCATTCAACATGGACATTGCATAAGCACTTGACTGACGTCAATTATGTTGCCCCTCAGTCTTCCGTCATCAACCACCTGCCACCTCATCTTCTGCAAACATGGGCGTGTGGGCAGGCCGACACAACTCTGTTGGTCTACGTCCACGAGAAAAGGGCTTTCATGTTATGATTACCCAGCCTTGCATACTTTCTCGAACACTCGCACCTGTACCTATTACCTTAGCCTGCACCTTATCAGCGGTACCTCGGGTACAGTGAGGGAGGTAGGCGGTAGGTAGGTACATATAATACATATGCACGGTTCATGAGAGAGATAGGACGACCTGGAGGGGAAGGCGAGGCTCCCTCCCACACTGCCTCCTTCCGCAACCTCCGAACTTCTGATCAGTGATCACTCTCCATTCCTCCAACATCTCACAATCTTCCATCTTCCGTCTTCCTGAACAGGCACCGAAACTTCATCTGTCAAAGACATGCCTGTTCCCGTGATCGCCAAGGGTGAGTCGAGTGCTGTTCATCTTTCATCCGTGCTTTGTGCTTGACACTTGTGCTGTGCCCCAGGCCAGGGCTGCTGGGCTGTCAGCCTGTCACCTGCGCTGCGCCGACTTTGATCTTTTTACCCCACGTCAATCATGGCAATCATCGCGGATCAAACGCGCCTGTCCGCCTGCCTGATCGCTGATCGCTGATCGCCGAGGTGGCGAATAACTTCCAACGAACCACGCAGCCACGCAAGCGCCGTTTGCCGCCACTTGTCACTGTATTCCTCATTTGATCCTCCCAGCTTCTGTATCTCTTTATCGTTTCCTATATTCTACATTCCCACCAAATCGTCTCCAACACAATCCTACTCAAACTCCTACCTTCCTATCTCTTCCTCCTACCTCCAGGGTCCCCCAACTTGAGGATGCCACCTATTAACGGGCCTGCTGCAACAGCCGGCGTCATCGCCATCTCGGTCGCCGTCGCCGCCGCGATAGCAGTCTACGAGTCGCCCGAGCTGCAACGCATGGCCAACGACCTCCGACGTCGAATCGCCATCGCCCTTCACTCCTTTGGTGACAGCATCACCCCCCAAGAACGCGAGAACCTCTTCAATAGACCCGAAGATGCCGAAGGATTCTTGGAGTCGCGGGGTCTGGGTGCCGGTATGGGTGCAGGTGGCGAACATGGCGTCGAAGCCGACGATGAGACCCGTCGACGACAGCGGGAAGAGCTGATGTACTGGAACGCCATGCTTCAAGAGAAGAAAGAGAAGGAGAACAGAGAAGACTCGGAAAAGGTTCATACAACACGGCGGCGAACGTCTACGCGAGGTTCCAGCTTTGATGATTTCTTGCGGCAGGACGATAATGCCGAGAAGGGAACATACGTATATCAGACCGGCCACGAAACCCAGAACAACGAAGCCCTGGTCCGACGCCGTGCCGACGGCCTACGAGGCCTCAACGCTTCTATGTACACGAACCCCTTCGCCGACGAGCATGGCATCGATGACGATATTGCCCTCGAGAACAGCTTGATGGACCCAGAGAAGGACGAACTATTGTCGGATATCTACAGCGCCACAGATCTGGGCCAGGACGAGCCATCGCGAAACGCCACTCAATCGCCATCACCTGCTATTCCTACCCTCGTCGAAGTTGGCGAGTCAACTTCTCAGCCAGAACAGCCTCAGTCCTCGGAACACGAGCTTGGCCGAGACGAGTTTATGACTGCTGGGCAAGGAGACCGAGAGGGGCGTCAGGATGCATACAGCTTGATCCAGGCATGGGCGAAGGAGACATCAAACCCCACATCAAACTCCGGATTCTACTCACCACTCCCAGAAACACCAGAGGCGCCTCTGTCAGAGCCCGAGCTGATTAGCGACGGGGAGATGACTCCCACAGACTCTGGTTCCCTGGCCGGTTCTGGCGTGGATGTCGCAGAAGAAGGCGCTTCCGCCAGATCAGGCAGCCAGGGTAGATATTACGACGTCGTGAGCGATGACGAAGGCATGATGACCCCGGCGAGCTGGACCGAGGTCGGCAGCGTAGTCAGCGAGAGCGACAGCGGCGCTGTTCATAGCACTCATCTCCCCGTTTCTCGTATATCATAGGGTTTAGGTGGTGGCATGGCGTTCGCAGGCTGGACATGGGAACCAAAGCACACCCATGGCAATAGGGAAGCTAGTCTTGGAGACTCTGGTCGCAGTTGATTTTCAATGTCTATTATAAGATACTACCCTGGCTTTGTTGGGTCCTGCTTTAGGGTGTAATAGAGGCTCAATATTGTAATGAGTACTCTAAATAAAACCCTGGTATATCAAACCAAATGTAACACAAGGGAGCGACTCGTAGAACCAGGATCTGCATTCATGTGTCACCCTATAACACTCCCGGATGATGTCTTGACTGAAGTAAGCCCCGTCGTGGTATTGCTCAGATGGTGTCTTACAGTCTGAGGATACAAAACATCTTCGCTGTGGGATATCATCACTGAATGATATATAAATCTCATTATTTTATTAAGAGAAGTTGCGATACCGTGTTCCCGCCGTATAGCTATGCTAAATATATAGTAAGTAAAGCGGAGATGTTAAGCTAAACAGCAAGTAATTATATAGAATAAAAATAATAAAACAACCTTGCTTAAAAAAAGCTTAGACTATTAAGCGGCTTATAAGTAAGTATTAAAAGGTATTAAAAAGCGGTTTTTTTAAACCCACCTTTTTAAACGATTTCAATAGTTTTAAAGTAATAAGCCGCCTAGTAATTTAAAAAGTGTTTATCGATAAATACGTTATATAAAATTGTTAGCTATTAAATAACAACTTAATAACAACTTTAAGTTCTTTTTAAGATAATACAACACGCTTTATATATTATAATATAAACTGTACTTAGGTTAAAATTATATATCGATATTTCATTTCATAAAATTTAGGCTTAATGTATTGGTCTGGTACAGGTAGCCCATGTGGTGAGTCCTGGAGCCCGGACATTAGTACATGTACCACTATTGAATGTCAAGCTGCCACGCTTGATATTCAACATCCTTTTGCGAGGAACAGCCATGGCATGGTGGTTATGGTGAGCGTTCCGTCACACTTATTATGAAACATTTTATTAAAAGCTATGAACTTTAATATCTTAGCCGTCTTTAACACGTTCTGTCACAATACAGGACCATATCATGGGGTCAAGAATGGTGTGTATTGGTTGCGTGATCTAACTTCGGTCCGTGGGACGAATCTCAGTACTAAATACAGTACAATCCTGAAAGACTGGCCCATCTTTAGATCTGACTGTCAACGACTTCTTGTCTATCACCCCTGAAAGCCCCTAAATGGGGCCTTTCCATCCCTGAATAGGGGCTTTCTGCCCCTTTTTTCCTTTGACCAGCTATTCTGGTCCATTTCAGCTGTTGCGCAGCTGGCGCCGCACCTGTATGACACCTGCACGACACCTGCACGGCACCTGCACGGCACCTGTATGTCAACACGTTCTTTATTAGTAAAAAAAAACAACTTAAAAAACTTATAAACAACCTTAAAGTCTAGATTTATAGTTATTAAAGAATATATTTTAAAATAACTATAGTTATTGTCCTATACTATTGGTAATTTTTAAATATATTGTAAAAGCTAAAAAAAAAGAAATCTGCTTAAAATATAAAAGCAACTCTTATTTACAAACATTTTTATACTTTATAATACTTATCATATACTTTAAAATATTTAGAAATAATTATTATTATTTTACTATATTAATTAATACATACTAAATATTAACTAATATACAAAAGCAAACAATTATAATATTTAACTAATTTAATATATACCTGTTATTTTACGTATTAAATACCAATCTGTAAGCATTGTGGTACTGTCAGGTATGGGCTTCAGCTGTCCGCCAGGTGAAAGGGATGAAAGGGGCCTAAAGGGGGTGAAAGATCTATTATGGTGACCAGTGGCAGATTTGTTGTTCGCTGTCAGGCAGCAGGGCATCAAAGGGCTGTTACACCTGTATTTAGGTGGGAATCTCCCCCATGGATCCATAGTCTTACCCACAAACTATCATCTATCCCATTCTAACCCCTGGATTTCCACACAATCGAAATATAATAATGAAACAAGCTATAATATTACCTTAAGTAAAAGCATTCATCTCTATTTCATTTTTATTAAAATGTCTACAAATAAAACTTATTTAGTTAATGAGACTTAGCTAGGTCGTCGATTAATACGTCAATCATGACTTTATAATATAAATTAAGATATTACGGCTTAAATTAAGGCAATATTATACAACCTTATTCATAACATTATATATAAGTACTTTTTTTACCTCTTTAAAACCTCGAATAAAACATAATATAACAAACTACGCTATATGAACAAAACTAGATTTTAAACTTAATAATTTTAAGCCCTTTATCCTCTTAAAGGTTATTAAATCTATTATTTTTGACACTATTTATAACCTCTTTTTAACAAATATAATCGTTATATATAAATATAAAAAGGTTATAAAAAGTAAAAAGCCGTCATTCTTACCTTGCCGCTATTTATTAAGATAAAATATTAAGTTATATATTATGAGCTTAATCAATTAAAACGAAAGTATTACTGATAACATACATAACATATATATATACAATTTTTAAATTTCAAAAAAATGTTACATACTTTTATAAAAACCTTACTATTATAATTAGAAAAACTCAAACTTTATAAAGTAACGTAGATGACAAGTGAGCGGCAATTACAAGCGAACAGCAACTTCTTACCAAACTTTCAACTAATATGTGACGGAACGCTCACCATAACCACCATACCACGGCTGTTCCTCCCAAAAGGATGTCGAATATCAAGCGTGGCAGCTTGATATTCAATGGTGGTACATGTACTCATGTCCGGGCTCCAGGACTCACCACATGGGCTACCTATACCAGACCATGACATAATATGTCAAATAACTCAATCACAACGCATTTAATTCAATCTAATCAATCAGATTCTTTTACTTCAGATGTTTCCATCTCTATTGTACAAGTTCGCATATTATGGCCAGTGTTGCCACAAACGCTACAAGGTTGCTCAGGCGCTGCCGCCCTCTTTGGACGACGACTACCTTTACTCATTTCCTGTCTTGCCAGCTCAGTACTATCCTTTGTAGCCTGAAGACCTATTATATCTTTAACAGAAAATATTCCTCTCTTTATTAGACATTTATTTTTTATTTTCTGACATTTATTTAGTAAATAATTGGCCTCTTTTAGCTCGTGGACCCGGGAATCAATCAAAGCAACCTTGTACATAAGACCATATGTAGCCTTTAAAAACTAGTTCAATGTATTAATTATTAATATAAGTGAGCTTCTCTGGTGGCTTCTGACTTGATTTTAGATATAAACTGATGGGTTTACCCCTTCGTTAATGGTGATAGGCGTCTTGGATTTCCAAGTAATGGGTGGCAGATTGGGGTCTGGCGACAGTGTTCGTATGACAGCGACAGCATCCAGCTTCAAAATAACACTTTCCAGATCAAAAAGAACAAGTCTAGTAGCACTGAAACCTGCTCAAATGTTTTCTGGCGTTATAGCAGCGTTATGTGCTTCACAAAACGCTGTAAGGAAGTCCTCTTTTGAAACATGGGTTATATGACACCAGATGAGATCCTAAATCATGCGACCATAAGCTTGTTTGAGCAGGCTAAAACAATTGACATCTAAAGGCTGGAACTTGTGTGATGAATGGGCAGGCATACAAAGGGTAATGATACCATTATTCTAACAATAATTCTTAAAGACCTGAGAATAGTGGCTTTTGTGGCCATCAAGTATGAGGAGGCGTTTACTGGCAGTCATACACAGTCTAGTATACTTATCAAAATGCTGAATCTATTTCAAACCAATCTCGTTTGTAGTCCACCTGTTGTCGGACACAGCCACCTTCCAATTGCTTGGTAATATCGTGTCACAATACCATAATGCGAGGTGGGTTTTGCCTTATAAAATAATGAATGGCAGGACTACCCAACCATTAGCATTGATAATAGAGATTGCTATAGACCATTCCTTGTTACCTTGCTAAGCTTGTCTAGGCCTGCCACGTCTTTCGGCACTTATAACGACCATGCTGGACCCAATAATGTCTATCATAAACCCAGTCTTGTCAAAGTTGTAAATATCTGCGTCTTGGATGCCATGTTCTGTAATTGTTGCCACAACTCGGCAAAACCACGCGTGATACATGTCTGGATCTTTGTTTAAGACCCTCTAGTAGTCTATCTTCCAATAAAAACGCGTCCAAAGGCCTGGTGTACATTTGATGAAGTTCTGCGTGCAGTTCTTTTTGATACGTCCAGCCCAATGCGCTGCTAATAATTTATTCACCATATCTTCAACATAACTGTACTGGTGAGGAAATGCTCGCGTATCTAGATTGATTATAAAGGAGTAAATGACATTCTCTTTAGAAACTATAAGTTTCAAAGTATTAGATATGCTGTCGCGTCGTAATAGCAATCCTTTGATTATATTACTCAGAGTGAAACAAGGAATGTAAGAGTTTCACAAGCTGAAATATAGAAATATGAGGATCATTTTGTTCAGCTTGTACAGCTATCTGTAAGTCTGATTCGTTATAACGTGGTGCCATTGTTGTTGGTAGAGATATAATGGTTTGAATTGTGTTGGTTAGAAACTTCATGACGAGTGCCAACTCGCTTATCAGCTACGTTAAAATAACATAAATAACATAAATAACACAAATAACACAAATAATATAAATAATATATTTTATAAAAAAAGGGGTTTGACATGTTAAAAAAAAAAACCCTTTTTAATAATTTTTTTTAAACTTCAATAAATATAAAGGAAATTTTGAAATTACGATTAATACTAATGCTGACTTTAAAGATCTTAATAAAACCCTTATTTTTTAAAGTTTTTTAAAATAAGTTTTAATTTTAATATAAAATAAGAAGTTTTAATTTTATAAAATTTACTGTAAAAATTAACTTTTTTTAATACTTTTATTTCATTTATATGATATTAATAAACAAAAAATAAAAATTTTAGAAATTTTTGTATTTAAATTAATAAAAAAATTAATAAAATAAAAGGTTTAATATTTAATGCGTTATTTTATTATAATAATGTCAGATTCAAGAGATCTCTAGAGGTGTATGCCCTGTGGAGTGCTGGCTAGTCAGGTGGCTAGTCAAAGAGGCTGTAATGACTAGCACCATGAATCGTACGTTGACTTGGGAAAAGGTGGGCCGGAGGATCGTCTCCGGCACCTCCAGAGCTGTACAAATAGGTGTAGATACCACCCAATTGGGATAACTGAAAAATGAAAACAACGATTGCAGCTACTGCTTAAGACCATAGGCTTGTCAACCCTTTGAGATCTGACAAATAATAATAAAATAAGTAATATTCTAAAAGATGTAAGTTTTAATTTATATAATAAAAAAAATATGTAAAGTTATTTCTAAAACCAAAATATCGTAATCTTTTTCTTCAAGCCTTATAAAAAAGTACCCATACTGCTAATTTTAACCTAGCTAGTACTTAAAGTACATTGCGAGCCCGAGTGTTCCCGACGGGGCACTCCGACGCCTCGCAGGGGCGTCGTTTGAGAGTGGTCACTGCGTTTTATGGAGGCAAAACCAGCCTTCGCAACCCACAGCTGCTACTAGTATCAGGCGGCATCGCACGTCGCGTCCTAGGTCTCGTCCGATGTTCCAGTGCTGGTCTCCCCGTCCGTCTCGAGGTCCTCCTTCTCCTGTTCCCCGGACCCTTTATTCTCTGTCGTCCGTGTAGCAGCTGTTGTTGTGGTGCTGCCTTTACTACTCCCACCCTTCGCATCCTCCTGCTTCTTGCCCTTGCCCCCTTTGTCCCCCTCGCCCTCCTTGCCCTTTTTCAACTCGGCCTTGTAATCGTCCCACAGCTGCTCGACCGGCCGCCCCAGCAGCTCCGTCCAGAAAGGTTTCTGCTCGTACCTGCACACGCGCAGCTTCTCGTTGAGGCGGCGCACGGTGCCGTCGCCGAAGCGGACGTCGAGGTACTCCAGGAAGTAGGCCGTGTGCTGGTATCCGGCGTCCCACCTCGCGCCGGCGTCGTCGCGCTTCCAGTGCGGCGGTGCCAGTGAGCACCGCAGCCGCACCCAGTCGGCCACGCCCTCGATCAGCCCGCCCGGCGCCGCGCCCAGGCCGTTATGCTGGTAGCAGTGCACCAGCTCGTGCGTCAGCACGCCGGTCAGTTCCTGCGTCTGACGCCACTCGGGTTGCGCGGCGACGTATTTTAGCGAGAGGTGGATCTCCTTGTGGTCGTTGTCGAGATCTGTGCCTGTTGTGTAGGCTACGCCGTCCATGGCCCGCAGGATCAGCGTCACGGAGCGGGTGGGTGGGCAGTGCGTTGTGTGGGTTGTGGGGGTGGAGTAGAGGTGCGTCTGCACGTTGAGCACAGCGCGCGCGAAGATGGCGGGGGCGTCGTTGAGGGCGCGCAGGAAGATGTGCGTCCCTGCGTGTGAGAGGTCGTTGATATGCAGACGTAGGCGCGGGACGTCGAAAGTGGGTTTATTGGAGTCCTCGGTTGTGGCTGCGGTCGAGGGGGCGCTGCTGTCTTTGCTGTCGTCTTCTGCTTGCTTGGGCCAGACGGGCAGCGGTGACGGCGCGGGCGCCGCGGTCGTGGGCGTCATGCCGGGCAGGAAGATGCCCTTGGGCTGCGGCGCGGGCGTGGTGTCGGGTGGGAGGGGCATAGACGGTGAAGTTGTCCGAGTTGTGGACGTTCTGGCGAGTGAAGGAGGTTTGTATACAGACTTGAAAGCTACTGGATAGGGCCTCGCGTGTCTCGGAGGAGACCTGATGCCTGGAGCAAGGGGCGCCGAGCTTGTTGTCTCGTGCTGAAAACAACCTTGATGCCTACCTGGGTAGCTTGTTGCGAATCTTTATACAATTCCACGTTGGAACTTGGCAGCTTATGAGCTCTGTGAAGGTGAAGGTGAAGATGACGATGGTTCAATGGCCTGTCTATCGTCCGCGATACGATATGCCCTTCAGTCTGGGCGGCGGGGCAACAGGGACCAACCCTGAAGCTGGTACCCGGCTATCCGCTAGCGTACTGTCAGGCTACAGGGGCAGAGGGGCAGAGGGGCGGGGCGGAGCGGAGGCGGGCGATAGAGTGGAGGCCATCAACTGTCCAGTCAGCCAGTGTCAACAAGCAGAAGCAACAACAAGCTGGTCCCAGCAACGCCACCATCAACATCCTACGCTAGCTGGTTGGGCAAATATTTTTGTATTGTTTCCTCGCCGCAACCACCAGCCTTTCGATCCTTGCGCGACATTCAAGCCAGCCTTCTTGTATTGCAATTTCAAGCGCTGGGTTCAGGTCAATCGATACTACCCGAAAATTCAAGTACAGACTGATCGCTTGACCTCTATCCGCGTCCGTCCGCACCGTCGACTAGCCCGACGTCCATCTCCGCACTCGCTTTCGACCACGCCATAGTCTACACGGACCAACCCGTTCTGTCAGGGTATACCGACACTTGCCAGATGCTCGATGCTTGCGCACCATGACCGAACGACTCACCGATGAGCAGGTCGCCGGCCTGCTGGCTCTCTTGAAGAAGGACGCCCCGATCGATGCGAAGGTCCAACAAGTCACGGCTATCAAGTCGGGCATTAAACAACACAATGTACCTGACAGCTGCGTCGCGCCGCTCTTCGAAGGCCTGCGACTGGCCTCGAGCTCACAGCACTCTGCGCTCGTCAATGCGGGCTTTACCGCGCTGAACCATCTGCTTACGCGTCTGTCGCGACAAGAGCCTAAGTACCTCAGCAGAGAGGCGAAACAAACCCTTCCTCTCATCGTCGACAAGATGGGCGACCAGAAGGACAAATTCCGAACGTTGGCGATACAAGCGATGGCCACCATGTACACTCAAGTGCCAATGGACGCCGAGAGATTTGTGCGCAATACCGCCATGGTTGGTAAGAACCCGAGGGCGAAGGAGGCGAGCATGCAATGGTTGCTCCAGGTACGCGACACCCGCAGATATGACCTGTTGCCATGATAAGAAGGCGTACTGATGGCGCGCAGATGCACAATGAAAACGGCCTACAGTTTCGCGCTTACGTACCAACCTTGATGGAGCTGCTGGAAGATGCCGATGGCATGGTTCGAGACACTGCGAAGACAACGGTCATCGAATTGTTCAGGTTGGTGGAAGCTTGTCGGAGACCTTGCGGACAAGTGGTTCTAACATCGTCTTAGAGATGCGCCCAACGCGGCCAAGTCGGATTTGAAGAGACAACTGAAGAACTTCAAAGTGCGACCTGCTATAGAATCGGCCATCGTAAAGGAATTGGCGCCCACCTCCGCCAAGACGGATTCACCCTCGCGGCCAGTCTCAGTGATGCAGACGAGGCCAAACCTCGCAGCCAGCGTTTCGTCCCTTGCTAGCGAGAGACCGACGACCCCAGCGCCAGAAGCGAAGACTGAATCAGTCGAGCCCACCTACGTTAACACCCAACGAGAGCTTGATGATATCTTTAAGGGAATGCATATGTGGTTCGAAGGCAAGGAAACCGAGCAAAACTGGTTGAAACGAGAAGAGAGCGTGACCAAGTTAAGACGACTTATTGCAGGCAATGCGGCTTCTGACTTCCCTGACGCTTTCGTTGCTGGTTGCCGAGCTCTGTTGGATGGCATCATCAAGGCCGTCACCTCTTTGCGGACGAGTCTGTCCAAGGAGGGATGTGCTCTTGTCCAGGACTTAGCCAACACTTTCGGCCCCGGGATTGACCCCATGGTGGAGTTGCTCATGCAAACCTTCATCAAGCTGTGTGCAGCTACAAAGAAGATAGCCTCTCAGCAAGCAAACACAACAGTCGACACTATCATTGGCAGGACGACCTACAATGCTAGGATCATGCAACACATATGGGGCGCCTGCCAGGATAAGAATGTACAACCACGAACGTATGCTACAGGATGGCTGACGACGTTGCTCAAGAAGGAGATGCATCACAAAAGCCACCTCGAACATGGTGGGGGCTTGGAAACGACCGAGAAGTGCATAAAGAAAGGCCTTAACGATCCGAATCCGGGTGTACGTGAAGGAATGCGCGCCACATACTGGATATTCGCACCCGTCTGGCCAGCAAGAGCTGAAGCGTAAGTTATTCATCCTCGCATCTCAAATATGATAACTAACACACCCAAGTCTCATGGATGCGCTTGATGCTACCGCGCAGAAACTGCTGCAAAAAGACCCCAACAATCCTAACGCGACAAAGAAAGTTGATCCAGCGCCACGTCCTGGTATGGGGCTTTCGAAGAGCACTATGAGTAGTTCGAAGCCTTCCCTGAAGGAAACAATGTTGGCGCAGAAAAAGGCTTTGGCTTCGAGGAATTTACCCCCGAGACCAGGCTCTGCCATGGCAAGTATATCACCTGTCCGAACAGTTTCGGGTTCATCAAACTCTTCCTCCGCGGCGTCGACATCTACATCGGCGTCAACCCGAACTCGTACAGAGGCTGCAGTCAAATCCCACGGTGGTATGTCCGTAGCCCCAATGCGGCCAGCTAGGAGGCGACCGGAAATTGCGGCTCGACCTGCCACTGCTGGGCCATATTCCGTCAGGACCCATGATGGACCATCGACCGAGCGAGCCAGTCCATCTGAAAGCGTGAGATCTAAGACTTTCACGCCGAAGACGATCTCGGGGTCCCCTAGAAGGACGGCACCGAAAACTCGGCCCGGTCATGTTGCAACCGCCAGTGAGTCCAACGTTCCGACGCCTTCAAAGGTCGCGGCGAGTAAGGCAGCCGCGTCCCCTCGCGTCAGTCCAGCGAAAGCGAAACCCACCGTCAACGGCTTCAACTCCAGCAGCCCTTCAAAAGCCAACGAGGAGCTCACTCTTCTTGTGCCAAATGTTTCGGATTTGAAGGAGAGCCTACAGCCGTCATCTTCACCGAAAGCGTCTCCACAGGCAGTCTCTCCGAGGGCGGACTCTCCAATGGCGCCCGCTTCAAAGGCGTCCTCGTTGCAGGAATCTTCGTCTCAGGCTTCCTCTCCTCGGGCTTCTTCTCCTCAGGCTCCCTCACAGCAGCCGGCCTCACCACAGCCACCGGTCGAAGAGGAAGAGGACGAAGATCATACAATAATGCCTGCTTCTGCAACTACGACACCGTCAAAGGCACTTAAAGTATACGAAGATCCGTTCACAGAGGATCAAACGACTCCACGTCCGACATCAAACGGTGCAACAGGAAGGCCTGTACTTGAGGACAAACCGGTCAACGAGGATGCAGCGAACATTACTCTTGTTCCTACGGAAACCAATGATGCCCCTATGAGCCCGATTTTCTCCCCTGGCAAGAGCCGACAGAACTCTCGTTTACTCGATAGTGGTATAGCTCGCGTGAAGGCTCAGACTCTGGACGTGCACGGGTTTCGCAAATTGCAGAGCCTCATCCGTGACAAGAAACTGCTCTTCGGCGATGCCAAGTACGATGCCCTATTGGTGGGCTTATTTGAATATCTGGAATCTCCTCTCGACAACCTTTCCACCGAGAAGGTCCAAGATGTAAAAGCGCAAATTCTCGCCACCATCAAACTCCTCCTCAAGAAGGATCGTGACAGCTTCCAGCCTCATGTGTCACGGGGCCTCGAAGCCCTGCTTGCTGCGCGAACTTTCTACGATGCTCGTACACATATAGTGAGCGGGCTCGAGCTATTGGCAGATGAGTTGGTGTCCATTGGCGATGCCGATGAGATCACAGTGACCATGACGCGGAACCTCACTCAGATGGATCTGGACACCAAGGGCTACCGCAGCTTGAGCATGGGCTTGCATGTCCTGAAGGAGCTTATCGACTCGAGAACATCCTTCGTACCTAACGACAGTGAGATTGGTGGCCTAACAAGTCTCGCGAGCCGCTGTCTGGAAAGCAAAGAGAGCGGCGTCAGAATGGACGCCGTCCAGCTCTGTGTCGCGCTACACGCCCGCCTGGGCGAGACCAAGTTCTGGGGGAGCCTGACGGGTATCAAGGACGACCCCAAGAACCTCATCACCTACTACGTCGTGAAGCGACAGCGGGAAACCGGCACCGGGCCTGCTTAGAGGACGATGTGCCGTATGTGCTCGCTTTCTCTGTCTCGTCCGTTCTGTAAACTATCTCTAGGGTGCTTCTCTCGCAGCGGCTGCTAGGCGCTGGGGATTAACTATTGCATCGCGACGGAAGGTATTTGGCGCATGTTTTGCCCTGAAAAGGATATGCTTCAACATTCTTGCCTCTTGGCTTCGTTGGGTTTTCTGGCGTGTAAAAAATCAGGTGGAGTTGGGAGGGTGCGTTCGGTCGGTCGGTCTATACCTTACCTAGATATCACTTCCGTGTTTGGCGTCACTGTTGCCACCGTATTATACCTTGTTTGTAATAACAGCTGGCAACTTCGTGGGAAGTTTGCAGTCTATAACTTATAGTGAGAAGCACGCGTTTGACTATACTAGACGCCTACCTGGCGAACAGTTTGCCCAGCTGCAACTGGTGCCGGTGACGCTCTGCCACATGGCAGGCACGGTCACTATGACATTCTCGACTTGATTATCGCCGGCCTCTTATCACGAAAATTGGACGTTGGGAACCCCTGAGATGCGCGTGGCGAACACCAATCCGGGCAAGCCCCCGCCAGCGATGATGAAGTCGAAGGTGTCTGAAGCGTTCGTGCGATGATGCTTGTTGACTCCCAGCCGTGAGCATGAACCAAGTACAAGAGTCAGTCGGAGAAAGATGTCCCTTTCCAGCAGGCAGGAGTCGCTGTTTGGTGACCCGAATTTCAACTCTTCTCTCGTCCCGACCTTTCGCCATGGCCGCGATTTGAGGAATGTCGGAGACAGCGACGAAGATTGCATTTTGCCTATAAGGGGTTGAGGTCAAGTCACTCGGATAAAATCCTTAAATTGACTGGTTGCAAATCACGGAACCTGGTATCGTCCACTCGACGATAAGCCTGGCAAAGGCACTTCAAACCGTGTTACATATATTGTATACCGTCGCGTCTACCAGTAAGCTATGTGTCCAGCACGTGTCTTCACACCAGGGCCAAAGAAGTACTTTCTCACAACTGAGGCCAAATGAAAAGCCAACCACTTCTTCGAAAAGGCGGAAACTTCAAGGATATGTTGCAGGCAAAGGGTTGAAGTAAGCGAAAACGTTATCCGGGTCCCAGACCGACTTTATCTGGGCCAAATGTGATAGCTTTTCTGCGCCGTATATCTGCTCGACTGTCTCGTCTCCATGTGCGTAGTTCACATAGACCGAAAGATCTGGGTACCCGGATGTATCGACGAAGTCGCTCCGGAGTTCCCGTCCCAAGGCGTTTGCTGGTCCATCAACTCCGCTCCCTGCTTCTTCCCATTCGAACTGCAACAGTCTGAAAGTACGCGCGAGTTAGTGTCTACAGCTTGATAATGTCGTGGTTTCTGCACTCATCTGGTCGCAACGAGTGGTATTCACCAGGGTGGCTAGAAGGTGGGGGACGGGAGGGGGTGTGTATTGTAAACGTACATATAAGCGGTCGTGTCCCTCCAGGGATATGCTGTCGAGTCCTCCGGTACAGCCATGACCGCCTCGTTCGAAAATAGTTAAATCAGGATGCTGGATGACTGCGCTTCCGGAAACGCGTCGTAGAAGGTTGCCATCTTGTTGAAGGTTGATATACAGGTCGAAGCTGAGAGAGTACGCAGGTTCACCCCATAGAGACTGCGAGTCTTGTCTGGCTCGCAAGTCACGGCGTCAAGACCGAACCCTGTTGCACTGTTCATCTGGTTCCACGGAACATCGCTGATGGATACCAGTGGCGGATTGAGGTCGAGCATCGGAGCCATGGCTTCCAATGCTTCCTCTCGGGTTCCACTGTAGATCCAGCTCGCCAGGATTTCGGCCTTTATCAACTGTTAGCAATGGTCATGGTATCGAAGCTGAAACCAACGGATCTGGGCTTACTTCTCCTGTAGAGGCGTTGTACGCGATCGATGTGGATGCGGCCAGCTTCGCAGGGATCGTCCCGTTGTATGATTGTAAAGCGTTGAAGTAGGAGGTGTTCATTGAGGCTGGGAACATGACATCGACGCTGGTGAGTATTCCGCCATTCGCCAGGGGCTCAGGCTTATATGTGGCGGACACGATGACACCTAGATTTGCGCCGGCGCCCCGAATACCCCAGAACAGATCCGCGTTAGAGCTGCTAGAGACCTCTAGGAGTTGACCATCAGCAGTGACGAGGCGCACAGATATGAGGGCGTCGATTAGCAGTCCATAGAGGCCCTGGGAACGTCCAACGCCCGCCCCGAGTGTCACCCCCACCATCCCAGGGCAGGAGCAGGTTTATGTTTCTGATCGGGAGTTAGCGGTCAGTAACGTACTAAGCTCCACTCAAAAGCTTACGAATGTCGAACCCAGCAGCGTAGATAGGGTCCATGATGTCTCTGAAGCGAGTTCCGCCACCAATTGTCAGCGTGGCCGCAGAATTATCGATGGTGACTGAATTCAGCTGGCTCATATCGATGGCTAAGCCGGCTTGGAGACCTCCGAGGGTAGTGGTGTAGCCGTGGTGCCCACCTGTTGCGAGAAACGGCACAGCGTGCGTCCTTGAGAGTGTGACCTGTGGAGAACACGTCAGCACGAAAGAAATATACCATTGGATAGTGGACACCCACAGCTTTAACCACATCTGCCTCGGTTGCGGGTGTCACTGCGGCGGCATAGCTTGGGCTGTCATATATAGTCCACCGTTCCGTTGCATTGACGAAGTCTGGGTCCTCAGGGAAGGATACGACGGTGTTGGCAGTCCAGTAGTTGCTTGGATCTGTGAGAATGGGCCTCAGATCCGTGCGCGAGCTCACCACACTGGTGGTAGCGACATGGACAAACGAGAGACAAGCGAAAGTTAAATGGGCAAAGAATGACTGCATTTTGACAAGAGCCTTGGTAGCTAAAATGATGAACCCAACATCTAAGGTATGGTGGAAACGGCTGATAGTAGGTAGAGGTCGGCATCACGAGGCTTTATAACATACCATCTCGCCAGCCCCTTTTTTTCCTGAAGGCAAGAACACGCCTGTGTGGGGGCATAGATATGCAAGCTCTATTATTATCTGTTGGCCCCGAATGTTGGCATCAGCAAATGATGGATAAGGGCGGCATCTTGGTGTAACTCAGCCATTGCTCTGGCCCGACCGGAGCGTTGGTCTGCTCTACTGACTGGTGCATATGCCGCGTCATGTAGTATCAATGATACCCCTAAGTTGATAAGGTAACCACGGGCAAGCAGGCTGGAGGGAGCAAGGCTGGGATGTACGCGAGACGCAGTTCCCATTGGAAGCGAGGCTCCCTGTTGGGCCTAATTTGATCCAGGCGCAGCCTTGATGCATATGTGGCTCTGTATCCAGAGGTCAATATGAAGTCCGAAGCACAAGCCGGCATTCACAGCACAGTAGCAGTGCAGTATAAGCTGGAATCACATCGCCACTTCCCACCACCCCGTTGTAAAGGGAACCAACCCCAATGCTACCATATCGACCCTAGGTAATCGGTGTTCGGTGAACCACTGCAACACTAAGCCTGGCACGATGGCTGCTATCTCACGTCTGAAACAATGTGACTGTTCAGGGGCTGTCCTTCACTGTTGGTTCCCATTCCAGGACGAGGTCATTGATATGAGGGGGTGTACATATTGCAAATATCACGCTGCCAGACAGTGTATACGGCTGAGTCAGACAACAATAGAAGACGTGACATGCGCTCCCTGTCACCAACCAGATCATGTGAAAGTGATGTCAATCTTGGGATCATCTCGTGAAGCAGAAAGAAAACAGCGCACCCCTTATGTCCCGCTCAACCTCATCCCCAACAGCTCAGCCAGACCGCTCAGCGTCTTCTGACTGTTCAGAATGTCGAGAAATGGGATATCGACTCTGAAGCTGTTCCAGAGCCAGGTGCGAACATCTGCAGCGATCATACTGTCGACACCAAACTGTGCCAGAGGCTTGTTGACATCAACCTGCTCCAACGGCATAAGAATCAGGCTAGAGAATCGTTTCCGCGTAATCCTCAGAATCGCATCGGTGATTGTTGGAGCGTCAGATTCGGGAGCCAAAGCCTTCATGACATTCGTCGGCACGGCCTTCATCCACAAGGGGGCATTGCTCAGCTCCCCATTCTGGACAGTATCTCCCCGTCTAGTCGTCTCGTCTTGCGTATTCGACAGTGATGCCACCAGAACAGCTGCCCGTGGGCCCTGCATGTTGCCGCTGGCTATATCGAATCCTTTGGCCATCAGCTTGCGAATACCAGATGGCTCCATGCCTGTCAACAAGTGCGAATATTCGAGAAGACTTCTGTCCAAGCTCATATCGGGAAGCACCTGACTCCGACTGTCCGCCCGCTTCGAACACCGTCGAGGCCTGGGTCGTTGCTCGTGACAGTTCTGGTTCTCCTTCCATACTGTTGAACAGCGTGAATTATGGTTCATCTGGTTGATAATGTGTATTCTGGTGATTCTCATTAGAGTGTGTTTTTTTGTGAAAATCCTTCTGTGGGCTAGGTGGCCTAAAAATGCCCTATTGGCCTTGTTGGTGCACTGCCACCTCCCTGAACGCCCGGTGGCTTGTGCGCCATTCAACACATACCAGTCTAGAGCTTGTGCGCCTAAGGAGCACAAGAGTATATATATATATATATTCACAAATCGTTATCAATGAGGGTAAACAGCGTTTGTGGATGTGTCTCTTCTTCAGGCGGCAACCATGTAAGCAATACCGCAACTTGAAATAAAGTGCGACTGTATACGCGTGGGAGAAGTGCTGTCAAGTTAAAATCAGTCCCAAACGACAGCTATTCAGCGCCTTTCTATTGCTATAATGATTGTTGTGTCTCAATAAACCCGATTATGCCGTAGGCGGTAGCTGAGGAGGCCGAAACACGGAAATAGGGGCTACCAAATTCAATGGTCATGAGATCTGAAAAGGGCCATATCTGAAGTTCTCAGCCTTAAGACTCGTTATCCAGTAAATTCAAGGCAAGCAAACTATCTATAGCAGATATAATACCATCCTGTATGATATGTAACACTCATTGTACGGCTTCGATAGTTCGCAGTTCCATTTTAGGTTGATAGATGTGTGGATCAGTGACTCGAGAGCCAAGAGTCAGGGTTTGATTTCGAGCTGTCGAGGAAAAGGGCTCTCACTTTGTGTTTAGATGCTCCATGGACGACATCGAAGAACACGATCAACAGCGATGCATACCGCAAGATGTAGCGGTCAATATAAGACTTGGGCTGGCCACAAGCTCTTGGCCAGCAGCACATTGGAAAGCAAGCTCGTCTTAAAGCACCAACATATTTCAGTCTGTGTGTGACCGAACGTGTTTAATAATGGAATTCAAAATCAAGCCTGAACTCTATGATCTCTACTATGCAACCCACAGAGGGTGAGTCTGAAAAAGGCAAAGGGGAATTTTTTTTTGGAGTGAAGAAAGGCGTTGCTCGAGTCTCCTGGGTAATAGCTAGTTGTGATGTAAAGGAGTGTGGTGATATCCGCCTAGCGTCGCGCTGTTCTCTCACGTGATCAGTATACTGCTTTAGGTGTATTCGCCATCGATGCGGCTACTCGCTGTGGCCTTCCCGTTGCGTCTTAGTCGACCTCCACAGGACCGGAAATGTCAGCGGCCTGCTATCGTCGCCAACGAGCGGCTCGCCATTATCGTCACGGGCGGTGATGGGACCACACCACTTTGAATGCTTGAAACCAAATTTCCCATGAAATCCTTCAAGGCCGGGCATCGAGATAAGTAGTGCCTTGGCTTCACGTTCGTCCAGTCTCTGCTCCAGTCTCTGCAGTAATATTCCGCCCGACGCCGCACCGTTGCATGTCTTCGTTGACGGCCACGTCATATACGACTAGAAAGAGTCAGAGCAGAGGTACTAGGACTGGGGCAAGGTGAGTGAAGGAAGGGAAAGCGGTGATAGAGAAGCTCATAACTGACACCAGTAGCCCCTCCCTGAACCTTTCTCGGCGTGTATTTGCTTGACTGCATGTAGCTTCTTCTGAAGATACTTGTCGATGCTAGTCGTATGACCCCATTTGTAGACCTCTTTGAGATGGGATACATATTCCTCGTTTGAAGGCGCTGGAGGTAGACGAGGCTTCTCGTCGTCAAGCTTGTTGTCGTCAAGCTGCGCCTGAGGGTCATATTGCTGTAGACCGTCGATCTTGTCGGCAATGAGGGCTCCGAGGACGTCGCCTTCAGGAGTGACAGCATTGATGACGACACCATCCGCTTTTCGTCCGTTCTCGTCGGTCCCGTATCGCTCTATTGCATTCTGCAGGGCGATCTCCAGCTCGACTTCTTCCGCCACTTTCATGTCTTTGTCATCCCTAGCGGCTGGGCGTATGCCTGCCTTGTTCCACACTGTCTCCGACAACGATTTCGATAAGGCTTTAGCGATGCCTTCTGCTTTCTTGACATCTTCCAATTTGACGATCACAGCGCTGAACGAGGGTGTAGATGGCTCTTGCCGAGGGTCCAGCTGGGCGCTCGACCCGGGTTGCTGCTTTGGATGGTGGGTTGCCATGTTGGTAGACGATGAGCTCATAGTCTTGCCTCATCTTTCACTTCTCTGGGGAGCAAATGGCACCTACTTATAACCCTCGAAGACACTTGTCCGGACGCGGGTCAAGGGACTGAGGGACGCTCATGACGCAATGACTACCTTCCAACTGTGGCCGATGGGAATCACAAGGTAGGAGCAACTACCAACACCCTTCCCCGGGAAGGGACATTGACTATCCAACGGCATGACCTCAAACTCAGCAAGTAAAGGGAGGAAAACCACACCAACATCTTGGTTGGAAGTCCATCAGCGAACAAAGCCCGAAATGCACGGGGGGGTCTGTGGAGATTCAAACCGCTGCTCGGTGCTGCATGCGGACATGGAACTCGACGTGGAGCTCGAAACAAGAAAAGAGAAGTTAGAAACATGGGCAGCCAAACGGTGGGAAATTCATAGCCAACCCTCTTCTGCTAACTATGGCGGGAAGCCGGCTAGCCAGCCAACTCGATGTCGACGTCGTTGTTGGTCGGAACTAGCCAGAGCGGCGAAGAACAACTTGCCTACCTACCTAGGCCAAGTCCAACATGGGAAGTATAGTATCGCTCGTACAGGAACTCACCAAAGAGAGAAAAAAATCAGCTCTTGCAACATAGGATCGACCGTAGTATGCAACTGGATAATCCATAGGAGGAAAATGCACGGCCGAACAACCCGAAAGCAGGATAATCTCTACATATGGCTTTGACAGTCTCCGTTCTCTGAGAACTGGGGACAGGCTGTCAGAACCCCGGGTTAGCTCTGCGTGCGGCCGACATGGGGTCGGGAAGATGGGCAAAGGCAGGTGGACCACCAACAGGAAACGTACCTACATATCCTCTCCCTAGCTTGCCGGCAAGTTCTGGGCTGCTGCTGGTGCGCTCTGGAGGAATGGTGACCGTCGCACCGGGACAAGCGAACTCCTGCTGCCACCCTCCTCCCTGCTCGACTATCCATGTCCGGCCGTATGAACCATGAAAGCGTGCTTGACGATTCCGGTCTAGGAATTCGGTCTGCCCTGCGATGTCCACAAGATACAGAAAAGGGGTGCAACACGATCATGAGTCACGAAGCCCTCACATAGCCTTGAGCAAGACCAAGAGTGAAAATCCCCATTCCACTCAGCTTAACCAGACCGTATACGTAACTTCTCTCACGAGTCCAGAAGTCAGTCAAACAACAAGCGGCAAAAGCCGAGGTAGGAATATCCATCGCATTGGATACTGAACCGAGCTACCTGCTAGCCAACTCATAAACACAATCCCAGGGCGCCCGGTAAGCCAAGCCACTGACCAACCCAACCGATATGTAAACCTGGCCCAGCCAATGAACTATCCCATGACCCAAACACCTATCCTTACCTCGAAAGTCCCCCCAGGCAACCAACGCCAGAAACGAATGCGATCCAGATAGACCTACTCCTCCATGGCCCCATCGTCGCGCTGCTGCTCTTGTGTCTGGTGCGGGCCCTGCACACCCAGGGTCCTCAACCGTTGCGACAACAAGCTCTCCGCCACGACAGGATTGCCGTTGATCAGGCCAGCGAACGCGTTGCCGCCGTAGCCGGCATCACCCTTACTCAACTTGTTATAGCGGTCGATCTGCTCATCAACGCCGGCGACGCCACCACCGCCCCAGCTCGACACGTTACTCGAGTTCTGGGTAGTTGGACGGCTGGTTTGAGACGAGTCGGGAGACTGTGAATCGCCAGCGACCGGTTTGGTGTGACCTGTCTCCGCTCCCGTTCTTCTCGCTTCTTTGCTTGAAAGTCGGAAAGGAACCGGTTCGACAGGGAGGTGGTGACCACCAAAGCTGAAGGTATAGGGTTGATGCGGCAAACTCGGAGGCGCAATGCCCTCCGCCATATCGAAGGCATGGTTTGCACTGCCAAAGTAGAAACCGGAGCTGCGCCGTCTATACGCCTTGTCAGCTGCTAGACTGGCACCCGGGCCAGTGCCACTTGACGTGGGAGGATGCATGACCCGAATGGGTTTGTAGGCGGTAAATCTGGGCTCCGGCAGTGTGATCTCATTGCGGAGTTTCTCTTTGCCATCAGGCACACGGTTTGCGAACACGACTCGGATACTTTTGTACAGGTAGTAGCGACCACGGGAGGGGCAACATATGTGTAGGTGAACGAGATATCTAAGAATAGGTCGATCTGCACCAGCCTTGTCCTTCGAGTCAGGCATATTCTCTATGATCGGACCATTTGAGTAGCTGCGTTGCCGCACGAACGTTTTTGTGCCGGGTTCCATCCCGGCTAGATCATATGGAACCAAGAACAGCTTCACAGCTGTCTTGTTCGGGTTTTTGATGATAATCTGAATCTGCCCCTTTTCGGGGATACGATAGCTCCCACCCGGAGGAGCTCTCGGAGAGCTAGATCGGCGTTTCGGTCGTTGAGACTTCCGGGCATCGCGCTCCGGCGTATCGGCAGGGCGATCGATCACATCCGGCAGATCGTCGTCTGCAGCCCTCCGGTCCAGAGCCCTGCTTTGTGTTTTGCGCTTTGACCTCGCATCCTCTTCTTGGTTCGGAAGTCCGTTCTCCAGGTCGACCTGTCCAACGTATGGGCTTGGACCGTCGTCTTCTTTTGACCGTCCATGCGATGAGTTGGCATAGCTGTAGAATACAGCAGGAAAAGGTAGTGTCACGTGAGGAGGACACCGCAGGCTGGATTTGCATTTTCCCAATCCAAGGACACCAATCTGTGCAACGAAGTCAAGAGGCTTCGATGGTGTTGTAGACATGCGACCGCGTAGTATGCTCTCTTCGTAAGAACCCACCATAGATGCGTGTTGGATTGGCGAGATGTCGGAACTGTACGATGGCCCTCTGGAGCGGAGAAATGCCGGTGTTTGCGGTGATGATGCAGACGTTGACAACTTAGGCGTCGAAGTAAGAGATCGACGAGGTTGGTGCGCCTGGTAGGGGAAGGTCCTCTCTTGCCGGAAAGAAGGTGGTTGCCTCTGTACTGGGCTCTGAGAGAAACCAAAGGATCCCGTGCGAGATGACATCAGGGTGTGTCGTCGGGGTTGTCTGGGTATGCTCGAACTGATATCAATGCCGTCCATTGGGGATGTTAGATCGATATCGTCATTGCTCTCCGACTGGACGAGAGGACTAGTTGGCGGCTTGTAGGCGAAGCTTGTAGAGATAGTTGAGAGAGACGACAGCGCAGACCGTACATCATCCGATCTCAAGGCAGCGGGTTGCCTTCTCTCGAACTGAAGGGGTGTGAAGTCCCTCGGAGGCGAAGTGGCCAGCCATGGGTGGCCATTGCCTTCCAATTCTTGCTGTTTTCGCGCTTGTCTGCGATCCTGGGTCGGACTATCCTCTCGAGCCGATTCGTCATTGGTAAAGTCGCCGCTATGAAGAGCTGAGCGAGGCCTTTCGATATTCAATCCTTCCTGGTGCCTTCTTTCGTCGTCCGACGTGGCGTCCCCCTTCCTCTTCTCGGGCGTTATCGTGGGCGGTGGAAGTAGCGTGGGTGAAGTGGCCGTCGATGGCTTCGGACTTCGAGTAGGAGACAAAGGCTCTTGACTCCATATTGACTCGAACTATAGGTAGCCAACGAACAGTCAGTACCTACGGTAGAATGACAACATCTTTGGCGCTGCAGGAAGGAAGCTACGAACATGTCGGTTGGGGATCCAGGTTGGGCTCTCGCCTCGCTTCAATCGCTCGATTAGCTCTGCTCGGTCGGTGCAGGCGGTCGAGCTGTCTTCGTCGGGTGTTTGCGGAGGTGGGCTGTCCGGAACTGGACCTTCACATAACTCGGTTCTGATGCTCTCCTCCGACAGCTTTCTTGCAAGCCGAAGGTCATGATGTGGTGGTTGTGGTTGTGGTTGTGGTCTATCAAGTGGGAATTGACCAAGGTTAGGCGGTGACGGCATGGTTGACGTTGCTGTTGCTGTTGCTGTCTTGTGACGCCGATCCTCAGCGGATTCCCTCCGCTCCAGATGCAGGTCCAGGTCCAGGTCTCGCTGGGAGATTGGCATGCTGCATTTGCACAACAACAGAAAGGTTGGTTGTACGTGTTTGTGTTTTTGTTCAATATGGAAGTAGGTGCTCCAACCCAACCGGATCTCTAAGAATGCCAGGGATCTGCCGTGGACTTGCTTTGTATGATAGCTGGGCAGGTACAGGCGATGGGCCGTGGGTTGTTGCAGGTGACTCGCTGTTCCTGGCTTTATTGGTGCCTGAGACAGCTTAGTCGAGACGAACAGTAAGCACCCGCCCGATGATGGTGTAGGTAGGTAGGAAAGAAGGAACAGAAAACAGAAACAGAACCTGTTGACTTCAACAGGCATCTACCTAGGTACTTAAAGCTATTAGAGACCGACTGCACTGGCGAGAACGAAACGGTCAAGGCCATGGCATGTCACATGTGGCATGTGGCATGGATAAGGGATGCATGTAGTCGGGAGAATGGAGAATGGAGAATGCAGGATGGCCCGCTCGATCCCTGACCGACTCGAAAGGCGAGACCCGGCGTCATAATTTGCAGGCATTGATCACTGAATACATCACCCGCGCTAGCACGTGCCACCTGCTTTCCCCCTTTTCCACTATTCCACTATTCCCCCTTACCACTTTTCCATCTGGCAGTTTAGGAGTCTTGGCTGTCTGGTCGAGGCCACCGCCATTTGCTAATAAGTAAACACGGAGTGAGCTGGAAACACTACTCGCTCAAGCGACTCTACTAACCCCTACATTTCGCTGTATGTTGCCCGACTGAAAATAAACACCTAACCGGGATATATCGGTGGACCAAGCAAAATGTGACAAATGCTCCAAGCCGGCAGCAGAGGGCAAGCGGCTGGACCGATGCGGCCGTTGCAAGAATGTCGCCTATTGCAGTGAGTGTCCCTGGGTGCCTGCATCCCAAGCACCGTCCACTAACGTGTAAAGCAACACCAAAGGCCGTGAGTGCCAAACGGGTGACGACATTAAGGACCCGCCGGTATGGCGCACATTGAGCTGTCCGGGGAACGCAACCTTCATGGCTCTCCATCAGGCGCTTCAAGCGTCTTTTGGCTGGTCAAACGCTCACTGCTTCGACTTTATCGTCAAGGACCCCAACGCTGACCACGAGCCTCCGGACGACATGGTGGGCATGATTGAACGGCTCAGGCTCATACATACCAATCCCGAGGGGCCGAGCAGCGTTCCCAGGCTCAATCACCTGCGCATTGTGCCCTGGAAGGCGGGTCAGCGCTTCGGCAACGGTGACTGGGGGGTCGACGCCGCGCAGAACCAGGACCGCTTCCATACGTCGACGCCCGAGAAGCAGGCCGGCAAGACGAAGCTGTGGAACGTCCTTGGGGATCCGAAGTAGGACGGCTGCCCTCTAGGGTATGTCTACGACTGGGGCGACAGGTGGGATCATGTCATCGAACTCATCGGGAGGGAACCCCCCACCGCCAGCTTCTCGTGCAAGGAGAGAGGCGGGCATGGAGTAGCCGAAGACGTGGGATCAAGTTCGGGATTGAACAAGCTACTCGCCGCGTACAGGAGCAACCGCCCAAATAGCGAGCAGAAGGACAAGATCAAGTGGTTCGAGAGCATGTGCAGCAATGCCGATAAGGATGGGCTCAAGGGCAGGGAATCGATGTGGGATATAGCTTCGGTGAACGAGGCTTTACAGAAGATCAACATCTCTGAGCAACGGGGCAGCCCCAACCCTGTGTGCAATACATTTCCGGGCAACTGGGGTGGGAGGTCCTGATAGACAACGTGCTGGAAGCATGATCTAGCTGTGATACTTTCGCATACACTCGGCCTCTCAAGTCTTCATCGGCGTCGGCATTGTATGTCTAGATTTAATCCTGACCAAGCTACTTATTAACAACATGAAAGAAGTAACATGATGGAAAGGGGTAGATCTATACAACGTTTCCCAGGGGAGTAGAATCCCACAAAATATGCACTGAACGTTTTATGCACATACAGTGAATACATCCCACTCTCTCTATCGATAACGTCCACGATATGCCTCCACTTTATTTTCAAGCGGCAGACTTTCCTCCAATTCCTCAACCACCCAGGAAGCAACTCCGACCCTGCACACGGACACTTCACTCAACATGGCGCCAAAGAGACCACTCGAATCCGAAGGCGCCGCCACCGCCGCCGGCCCAGCAGCAAGGAAGCACCGTAAAGGCTTCCGCGTCGGGCCCGAAAACCTCCCAGACGGCCCCTGGAGGCGCAAAGGTACTGCACCCGAAAACTTCAACCACCAACTTTCGCACCTGTACCAGATAAACCATGGTGACTAACACATAAATCCTACGGCGCAGTGGACAAGATCAAGCGCGGCCTCATCGAGAAGGCCAAGGTGAAGAAGGCCTACAAGAAGATCAAGGCCGCCCAACAGACAGCCCCACCCGCCTCTTCGTCCAAACCAGACACCGAAGAGACCGCAGAGAATGGAATCAAAGCCGAGGCCGGAGACAACGACGACGCAAAAGAAGAAGAAGCGCCCCCCTCCCCGCAGATCCACCCCGAGCGCCAAGTCATGCTCGACGAGCCCGAAGTCCACGAGCCACCTCCCCCTCCCCCTCGTCCTCCCCTTCCACCCACCGACCGCCCACCCCGGGAAAGAGGAGGACCCCGCCACAAGAAAAACGACCGCAAACCAGGCTACTTCGACAAAGCCGTAGCAGACGCGGACCGCAAGCGCGCCGAGGCCGAAGCGCGGGCAGCAGAGCACGCGCGGCGCGAGGCGGAGCGCAGATCCAAAACCGAGGAGCGCGAGCGCTTCCGCCGCGCCATGGCCAAGGCGCGGCGGCCGGGCCGCGACGGGCAGCGCAAGCTGGGGCGCGAGAGCGGGGTCTTGCTCGAGAGGGTACGGCGGATGGCTGGGGAGGGGCGGTGAGGTGTGGTGAGCGGGAGATGGGAAGAGAAAGAGCAAGAGCAAGAGAAGAGAAGCAAATGAGCAGCAGACGGGAGAAGAAGAAGAACAAGAAAGAGGGTGGATTCGAGATTATTGTCTAATGGGAATTCGGCTTGGCTGCAACTATGGGCGGAGTTGAGGCCCGTAAGGAAGCCAATTTGAGTATATGTCGCCTAACCCACAAAGAAGGACAAGGCACGATGGAAGTCAGGAGGTCTCATACCGCCACCACGGAGTACCGTATGGCGTTTTTGGACTGCAGTGTCACGTCACTGCGCCATCCCAATAGGAGAAGGAAGCGATGAGAAAAAGGGAAGTAACCAGTCGGTCTGGTAACCCAGAAGAAGCCTTGCCAGGCAGGGTTTATGTGGCAGCCACTTTGCGAACTTGGATGGGTTAGTAGTATAGCACTGCTTGTACAGGAGTCTGTCTACCAGAGCTTAGAAGACGAGACGAGATGTGAGTAGTGTTACGCTGCCTGCACATCCCATATGACTGATCTCCCATATGAGAGGCCTTAATACAAACAAACCCCAAGTCTGGGATCATATCACTATCACTCATCTCACATGTCGGAATTTACAGAAGGCAAGCATATGAACAAAACAAAAGTATTAAGATGTATATTTCCGATCCGGTAGCTCATGCCGGGGACCTGGTATCGGCGCCGGCAGCTCATACGTACGCTCGACATCCACACCGGGCAGCTCCACCTCCCTCACGACCGCACCATCAACCCCAGCACCACCAGGCCTGTGAAGTTTGACCTCCGAGCCCTGCAGTTCGGTATGCCATCCGGTCTCATGGTCCGGCAGCTCGCCCCTCCACTCCCACTCGGCACTACCACAACCGCCCCCGGGCCCGAACCCGCCTCCTCCGCCCACATAATCCACTCCGTACGCCTCGACGGCCGTGCCTTCCGTGATTCCCGACACGGGCGACATGTATCGCGGGTGCGGGTGGCCTCCACCTGCGCCGTGACCTTCCTTGGGCCACGGGTCGGGCCGGTACTCGGCGATGCCGTCGTCGACCTCCACCATTTTCTCGCGGCTGTTTTTCTTGTTCTTATGCTGCTTCTGCTGCCTTTGCCGCCGCCTCCTCATCAGAAAGAAGGTCGCCATGCCTAGAAACGCGGCCCCGACGGCGCCGCCCACGGCACCTCCGACAATCGTGCTTGTTGGCGTGCCGGTGGTCGCTGATGCGTCTGTGATATTGCCGTCCGTCGTGTTGCTCAGCGCGCTCGTGCTCCCGTTCACAAAGAGCGCCTGCAACGCGGGGGCGGCCCACTGGACGCCGTTAAGGCCGCCGGCTGCGTACCAGTCCTTGACCGTGTCCGGGGTGTCGTATGCGGCGGCGTTGGGATCGAAAGAGTCGGTCCACTGCAGGGCTGTCATATCAAAAATGCCGAGCCCTTGCGCCCAGGGGTCGGCCGTCGTGGGTGGAGTGTAGGTGCGGTTCGCGCCGTCGACCCCGCCGACCGAGAGCATCTGGCGCCGGCCCACGACGGCGCACCCGTGGTCGGACCGCGGCGTCCCGTCTTCGGTGTTGGCCTTGAAGAAGTTGAAGCCTGGGAGCGAGAGAATGTGCACGTCCGAGGATGTGCTGCTTAATTGGTCTGACACGCCGCCATAGATGAAGCTGTGAGTCTGTCAGTCACGAATTCTTTCCTCTTTCTGTCCCCTTAGTCAGACCAAGGTACAAGTGGCAGGTGGAACCTACATCTCATAAGTCCCATTTGGTCCCAGAGCCCCAACGCTACACGCCGACTCAGTTGTAGGGGGTCTCACACCCGTGGTGCCCTGTGTAAACCACTCGCCCGTCACAGGGTCCACCATCGTCAACGAGTTCCACGTAACCTGGACAATTGTTTCATTGGTGGCATCGACAGGCGTTTCGGCGCCGCCTAGAAAAAGTAATAACCCGTTCGGCCCTAATGGCACGTACTCAGCTCGCGCGTTTAGGCTGGTCCCGTACCCGCCGTAATGCGCAGACGAGGTGTTGGTCCACGTGCCCGTCTGGAAGTTGTAGGACACCAGTCCCGTCAGTGCATATCCCGGGTTCTCTTTGTGGATGTCGGAGTCCGTCAACGATGTGGCGACGCCCCCGAGTGCATAGCCCACGTCGCCACTCTGGGCGAAGGCCGCGCCCATAGGCCGTGTCAGCTGCGAGAAGTCGCGATAGTCCTGTTGCGAGACCGGCGACCAGGCGCCACCACCCTCGCCGTCGGCAGCTAGTCGCCATAGCTCGTTACTGGGTGGCGAGCCGGTGTTGCTCATGCCGCCCCAGGTGTAGAAGCTGCTGGTCGACGGATCGGTCCAGTGAATCTGCTTGCTCAGCAGTGGTGCCGTTTTGGGGATGGAGCGCAGTTCAACCGTCTCGTTGGTCCATGACTCTTTTAGGCTGATCGACAAGGTCGAGTTCACTGTGGATTTGGTTAGCGATCATGGTCTGATATCGGTGGTGGCTGAGGAGACCTGCCGGCATAGGAGGGACTGGCGCCCGGATCGCTGCTGTTGACCCGCTCCGTTACCATGCCGCCATCTATGTAGACATAGTCGCCAATGACGGTAACTAAGACGCAGTTAGACTCTGATGTCGAGTAAGCAAAGGGGTGCTCCCATGAGCGTTCGGTATGTCTAACCTGCATGGCACGAGCGTCGAATGTAGTCTTCGGCACTGGGGTTGTCGACGCCACGTCTAGTGACATGCGTCGCGTACCCGGGGCTGCTCCCCAGGCCTCCCAATACGGCGAGAAGCACGAAAGGAGAGCATTGGCCCTTCATTGAGGAGGTTGAAGCTTTTGGAAGAAATCAGGAACGAAGAACAATCATTATGAGAACAACGGAGAAGCCAGTATCTAAAAAAGATTGGGCAGGTAGCAGCAGGGAAAAGTAGGTTGGTCTAGTCTCGGGAGGATTATTTGGCTCGAATGAGTTCCAGTCAGCCCGGCATCCGAAGGAATCGCAACTCATGGCACGGCGCGACTAACAAGGCAACACAGCCGGCACCACTGACTGGCTGTATATTCCTTTCCTGCGGTTATTGCGCACCCGCAGACGACGTTTGGAGGCACAATATGACAGGAGAGGAACAGGAAGGGGAAGGGGAAGGGGAAAGGCTGCGCTCCCACGCCTGCGGCGGCATGAGCAGGTCTAATAAGGAACCAACACAAGTTGCACGAAGCAACAGGCAACAAGCAGGCAAGGATGCATGTGAGTGCGTGTATGTAAGAATCTTGGGTGACAATGCAGCGACGGTGCCGGAACGAGTAATCTCGATTCCTGGCCTCGGTCGCCAATCAGGGCGGCCGAACTGGCGAGGTCAGCCAGGGCCAGGCAGGCTATGGCAGGCTCTTCGCGCAGGAGTCGATAGTGTGGCTGCCGCGCTGTCAGCACGCAAATGAGCTTTCCCATCCAACAGCCAACAGGCCAACAGTTCTCTTTCGATCAATAGTTCCGAGGGGCAAGCCGTGACTCCATTGAGGCAGGCTCAGGCAGCGTTCGTATCCCCGTCTGCCCATCCCGATCCCGGTTTGGATCAAGTGGACCAACTGCATCTCATGGTCCGAATCCTTCGAATGAGATGTGGAATACAATAGCCGCATGATCCCGCCGGAAAGAGGAGGAGGATGCAGTTGGCACTTGTGCACTTCTGGTCCCGAACCGATGTGCAAGAGGTGGTGGTTGTGTCGAGTTTCGGACTTCTGTGCCGTTGAACGTGACGTATGTAATCGCACAAGATCGTCATTGTAGGTGAGGATTCTGCCATTCTGCCTCGTGGAATGTGGAATGTCCGATGTGCCGCACCTGCCACCAGCACGCAGCACGGCACGGCGGATCCTGCATTCCTCGAAGCGTCGGTCTCAAGCGAGGTTCGCTGAGACAAGACAAAACAGCACCTACATTACCTAGAGGTCGTAGTCCGAGACAGCTCTTGTCAGCTTGAGGCCAGAATGTCTGTCACATGCAGATACAAGCAGGCCAGGAGCAGGCGAGACAGCTGAGAAAGTACCAAGCAGGTTGAAATTGGACAGCCGTGGCAACTCGCTCGACAGGCACCAGGAACGGCGGCACTCGAGGCTGCCAAGCTTGCTCCAGTCTGTCCTGCCTGTGTTGGTGTTAGCGTCTTGATACCCCTGGCCCCCGACCCCCTGACCCCTGACAGCGTGTAAGCATGGATCCAGACGCGCACACGCCGACACGTGCCAAGGATCGCGGCAAATACGCGGCTCAGCGCTCACCTCAGCGCTCACCTCAGCGTCTATTCGGCACCTTCCAGGTCAAAGTCCCTTCGTCCTCGTCTCTCGTCTGGAAATCGGTGAACTCTAGGTCGCGGCTTGGACCGACGAGACGGCATGGCCGATACCTACCTTATCTCACATACATGGTCGAGTATCCAATGTTGAGACCTCGTCTCTTTCCCAGAATCACAGGGAGCGCGTCGAGGCCCAGTGAAATACTCGGTTCAAATTTATGCGTCGTAAAGTCTGCCCGTCGACATACCCCTGTCGGAATTATGCAATCTGGCGATCCGGCAGGATTTCCAATATCTCACTTGTCGTACCATGCCCGTGGTCATTGACGAGTGAGACACTACCTTAGGTATTGGTCTGCACCAATGCCCATTGACGTCGCCAGAGTGCTGCTACGCCGTCTAGGACTTGACATCTGGCCTCCAGTGCGGCTCGCTATAGATTCCCACGTGTCAAGATATAGAGGAGCCAGTACATCAAGCACCATGAGAAGGCAATAGCCGACCTGACAGGCCTATCAGCTGGCTTGCTGCCGAGGGTCCGTCAGACCCGTCGACTTTCCAGCATCTGGGGTTCTCAGAACGTCGACCACGACCCCCTAAGCACTCCACACGTTAGGTAAGACCGAACAATTCACGAGGACAAGCGCTGTCAACATCAACCTGTGAGACAAATACTTACTGATTAGCTGGTGAGTGGCAAAATCTCACGACGGCTCTTGTAGTTTCTTCAGAGCAGGCTGCAACGCGGAGGTCGTCGAGCTAGATTTCGATGCTTACCGGAATACCCTACCCACCGCATCCTACAACATCCTCAGTCCCCGATCAACAACGTATAACGGCAACCGAAGTGAGACTGCTTATCATGCCCCGCGACCTGGCAGGCTGTCGGCTGTCTTGGTATCCAACAAGCATGTAGAGGCCGGATGTGGCGACGGAGGTTTCTTACCGGCAACCAATCAACAAACAACTGTACCCTACCGAGTCTGCTGAAAGACCCAACTCTTCTTCACGACTTCTGGTGGGAGGGAGGATATGTACCAAGCAAGACAAGCCTAGACGCCATAACATATATTGCTCCGGGTCGGGCGTTTTGATTTAATATAACCTGGGGGGCAAAGATCCCTAGGGCCGAGTTTCAATGTTATAGACGTGTCGAGTAACACCAGCCAGCCCGCATGGATTCAAAGACCACGGCGCATCCATTATATAGATGTGTATCGAGAGAGTAGCCAGTGCTCCTCTGTATACAACCAAGCATGGAAGCTCAACAACCCCTCAACGCGGCAGGTGTCAGGTTTGAGAACGCTAACCCAACTACAGCGTCAAAGCCAGACAGACATACACCTAGTAAAGCGCCGTCATCCACTCAACAGATACTTACCCATAAGCACGACGGCACTCCCTATCACCCACCATGAGAACAGGGCAGATGCGGCCCGTGAGTCTCCTATTCAACAAATCAACATATAGAGCCAAAGTCTAAAAAAACATCTGATACACCACATGTTATTAGCCCGTTGAAAGTCCGTCCGGAGGCCAAACGCTCAGACCGACCAGAATGTCACAAAACCACGACGGTAACTAAGTAGAGAAAACGCAAGCAAGTCGTGAACAGAGAAATGTACCCTCTCTACACCGCAGGAAGAGAGGGGACGGAGATTGACGCTCGATACAGCCGATCATGGCTACTGTACAGCACTGTCGCCAAGCCGAAGGTCCTGGACGCTCGCCGAGGAGTGAACAGATATCTATCTCTATCGATAGAGATGCAAACGACGAACCACCCGCATCACCCACCCCGAGCAAGTTGAGCAAAGCCATTGTTATGTTCCCGTTATGAAAACCACGGGCTGCGGTGTCGTGATTGATGTGGTCGAAAGGTAGAGGTGATAGGGGTAACAGGGGGTAACAGGGGGTAGTGACCTTCCAGGGGCAAGCAGCCGCAAGTACCACGGACATACCGATGAACATCAACGTACACACAACACGGAGTCACGAAACCCAAGTCACAACCCGAAGTAAACAGCATTTTTGGCAGAAAGAACCACGTCAAGCTTCTATTTGTCAAGTCTGTCCGCCTATCTGTCTGTAGTTCTGTTTACCTCTTTGCACGTCGTTCCTCCTCTCGGCCTCTGGTCGACGTCGGAGAGAACATGGCGAACTCTCCCGCGTCCGGCCGCATGCGCGTTTTGCTGTCCAAGTACACAACTCAAGTCGAACAGCACAAGAGTCCTCGGATCTCTATCGATGGAAAACAGAATCGTGCAGCAGCAGCTACACATACATAGAACGACGCTCCACTCGCATGCTCGCCCGCCTGTCGGCCGTGGCTTCGGATCCGGGGAATAAGATGGGCCTGATGAGACCAATGAAACAAAAGCGACCCGCAATGCTCTGAAGGATATCATCAAATTTCCTAACATAAAGACAGAGAAACCCACTGCCGGGACACCCCTCGAATCGAAAACCTGAGACAGATCCAACGACTGGCCCGAAGCGTCCTCTGCATCGAAAGCAGAGACATGACACCTCGCTCTCGTAGTGTGGTCGTGATCCATGTGGTCTCGCACGGAATGGCATTTTGGTTGGGCAAATTTCCTGGCGGAGCTAGAATCCCACTGCCTCGTTCATATATGTACAGGGTCAAACATGAAAGCGCTCGACGGCCATGTCGTACTAAGAGAAGATGTTGTGGCTATTCTCGATGATGAACTGCACCGCGAGATTCTTGGCATGCATATCCGTCATCTCTCGTTCGATGTTGGTGTCTCGCATGATGGTTGGCGCAAAGACAACAGCCAAGTTCTTTGGGGTCATCTGCACATCGTTAGTAGGAACATATACATGGTCGAGGGCATAAATCACGTACGAGGTTCTCACGCTCCCGTCCGGCGACCCGAGAAAGGTGGAACATCAGGAACTCAAGGCAGTCCTTGTGTTGGGGCGGCAGCTGGTTGAAAGTACTCTGCAGGTGCGCGCACTTGTCTTCATCAGATGTGAAGGCTAATTGATGGTCAGTTGACGGCGATCAATGAGGTGAACTTGGTAAGGCTTACTGTTGGTTTCGAGAACACCGTCATAGATATCATAAGTCAACAGCGGCGTCGGTAGCTTCCTGAAATACTGCTTTAGGACGCTGGTGACAGCCGTGATGTCCAGGTCCGGATCTGAAATATCGAAGTTTTCGTTCTTGTCGAATCCTTCCTGGACATGCTTGACTTGGGAATTTCCACCTGTCTTGCGGTATATGCCTTCCATATCCATACCTCTGAGCTCAACCTCCTCGATGCAGCGGGTAACTACGCAAGGAATTTGCCGGCGTTCATAATCAGCTCGTTCCGACAGCTCAGATCCGAAGAGTACAGTCGGGGCCTCGGCGATAGTTGGGGTGGAGGAGTTCAAAGATGACATATTCCTCGGCAGGTTTTGTTGTTTCTTGAAACCAAAGAATCCTTGGCGGCCAGGATCTGCATTTTGGCGGTTCGGTCCACTTGCAGGGGGAAGTTGGGTGACAGGCGACTCGACAGACTGGACAGTCATGTTGTATGGAAGGCCGATGCTCATACCCTCACCACCCATGCCTCCCGGGTGACGTTCAGGCTGCTGGAAAGCCACAACCGTCCGATTCACACCCTTGGCGATATTCTGTGCCATGGCCTTGGAGCCCTTCTTCCAGTTGAACTTCTTCACCTGGCCCTTTCCTATCTTGACCACGGTCGGTCCAGTTTCCAGGATGGGTTCTTCCTGATCAGCGGCGATGATCGTGGTACCGGTCTGGATGCTGGAGGTATCCAAGCTGACAGAGTTGCTTGACGCCGCCTTGTTGTGCTGGTAAATTCCGAGCCCGTTCGCCGGTGATCTAGGATCTGAGTGTTTCTGGAACCGCTCTTGAATGCGCTGTGTCAGATCATTATTAAGATCTGCCAACTGTGCATTCTTAGAGACCAGCTGGTCAAACTCTGCTCGAGCACCATCTCTCTCTGCCACCGCTCGGTTCTTCTCTTCCAAAAGCTGGTCCCGCTCGCTGTGGAGTTGCTCCAAGTTAGCTGACATTGACTGCTTCAACTTCTCCAGCTTTTGGACGAAGTCTCTGAGCGCGGATTCCTCCAGTTCTCGGGGGTCGATAGGCTTCTTGGTGTCCTTGGCGCGTTCCACATAGCCAGCCAAGACTTCCAGCTGACGAATCATGATTTCGGTTTGGGTGTCGAGCACGGAGACTGTCTTTCGCTTCTCCTCTAGTTTCTGCGTGAGGTTCTTCAGGTCTTTCTCGTTCGGTAGCTGTCGCTCGAGTTCTGCAACTCGTTGTTCGGAGTTTCGAAGGCGTCGCTTCAGAAGAGCAGCATCATCACGAGAACTAAAAGCCAGAGGACTGCTTATGTCATGACGATTGCCATTCACCGAGTCCTCGCCAGTAGGAGACTTTGGCCACCGGGGTGACGCAGTCGCGCGTGTAGTCTCGCTCACACTCCTTGTGTGGTGACCGACCCGAGGCGGATTACTGCTTGATTCAGTGCTGTTAGTCCGCCCGTGACGCACTGCGTTGGACACCCGTCGAAGAAGCGATGACGAGCCCTCGTCCGTTCCTAGAATGCGGGCCATGTCTTCATCCATAGTGAAGTCACCACCGGCACTCCATCTGGGCAGTATAGGCGACGTCTTCTGACCGCCCGTCTGACCGCCAGCATCCTGGCTCGCACCATGTGCTGGAGGGGCAGGTGGCGCTCGCGGAGCCATATAAGGGTCACCGGTATTCTGGTCCCCCATAGTAGGCCGAGGCGGAGCAACGTTTCCTATGACAGAGCGGTTAGTTGGCTGGGAGGATGTATGTAAACAATCGCAGAGACTCACCGTTCCTCGAAGCTGTGACAGGGAGCTCTTTCCTAGCAATGGGTTTACCATTATTGCCAGTTGGTGCGCCCACAGCGTCGTTGGGGCGCACGTCATCATCTTCTTTGAAGCGAGAGTCTTGCGAGCTGCGCGGGGTGCTTGTCTTTTCGCCTGTATGCAGGTGTTGGGCCGATTCTGAGACGGGTACGTTGGTGAGTGCGTCTTTGTCCTTCCGTGCCGCGCTGCCATCCCTGGGACCAACAGATTCTTGAAATGTGTTGGACTGGGAATTATTTCGAGCATTCAATTTTTTACTCTTTGGCGCCTCCTGCAACTTGAATTCGTCTGGTTTGCCATTCGCCAGCCTCTGCGACCTATCGTCGCTGGCCGCCGGGGACGGCTTCGACGAGCTATTTCTGTCAACCCTAGAGGATTTGGATAGTTTCCTGCCCAGGCTCTTCGCAGGTGGGTTGTCGTAGTCGGACGAAGGCTGTCGGCCTTTCTCTTGGAAAGCAATATGCGGTGTAGATGACTGTGAATCGGCCTTCCTTTCTGATGTGCCCGTCGTCGTCTTGGGAATGCTGAAGTAGTCTCTCTCCTTGGTCTTCCTGTTCGTTTCTACCTCGGTTATCGATCTCGGCGTCGAACTTGGCAGCGGGCTTGGGTCCAGCGCAACAGGGATGAAGAAGCTCTGATCATCCGTAGGGGGGTTGCCAGTAATGTCGCTGCCTGAGAAGACCGCAGAGTTTCGGTTGTTGCGGTAGCTATGGGAGGGTAGGGACAGACTGAGATCTCTCGGTGGATGCTCGGAGGGCCGTTCAGGCGACCTTGCCGGTCTCGAGCTGCTCCTGGACGAGGAGCCATTGTGGGTGTAGGATGGCCGCGGCCGTGGGGAGAGTTCGGTTGGAGTATCGGAATCGGGGTCGACTCGGTCATTGGAGAAAGCATTGGGAGGTATCGCATTGGGAGGAAGTGCCGGGAGGGACTTGTCGACTACCATGGGCGATCCCTCTTTCTCGCGTGCTTTGGCTTGGGCAGCAGCCTTTGACTTTTTCCTGCGTCGCGCCATGAGGGACTCGTGACAGCTCATGCAAAAGATTCCCTGTGATGTTCGGGCGTATCGTAGATTTTCGATCTTCCTCTTGCAGTTTCTACACCGGAAACAAGTGGCGCAGAAAGCCTGATCGCCCGTAAGAATGGCAAGGTCTTCGATCTTGTCGCCGCATGCGCTGCAACTATACGTGCAGTTGTTGCATATCAGGGAGCCGTCGCCGAGGAGTAGGAGGTTCGCATCGGAATCGAGGAGAGTGCTGCACGTGTTGCATCGAAAGCAATTGAGATGCCACCGGTTTCCAGCTGAGGCGAAGTTAGATAGGTCAGGTGAATCGGGCCAGTCATTCGAAGAGCGGCAGGCTTGAGCTGCGCCGAGGAAACAAGCCAGAGTACCACTGACGAGGGGCCAATACGGGGGATATGATTTGGCAGAAGCCACTGTAACGTACCAAGTTCAAATGCTTTGCCCTCCTCGAGTATCTAGGTAGTCGGCGACTGTGGTTAGCTATGCCAGCATCTGCAGACGGATCTCTCGAGCAGGCCACGATTTCTTACCTCTCCGCAGCCCTTGCAGGGGAAGACATCTTCACCGTCCATGGAAGTCTCTACGTAGTCGTCCATCGTTGCTGTTGATACTGCCAAATAACCAAAAGAGCCCCGCGCCGTAGATTAAGCCCGGTCCAGATCCACGAAATAGACCGGACGGGCGATCAGACTTCCAGTGGGAGAAGTCGTCGAATGGTATGGTCGTGGACTCGGAGCGTCATGGAAGGCAATTGATGGGGATGCGTCTATGGCAACATTGGCAATCACAAGGTGACAGGCAGCACAGCTGGATGTTGCCGGGAGCGATAGGTATTAGGAGGTAGACCGAGAATGGAAGTGAAACACGCAGACGTGTCGGCACCTCAATCCAGTTGGATGGTTGGTGGTTCGAATAGTGAACCACAGGGATGATAATATCGTGAAGCTCGCCAACCCAGTTAGACGCAGGATATGTTGATAATCGGTTAAGATGGCAAAGAGCAACGGGCCCGGTCGAGGGTAGTCTGTAGTATGTATATGTCGTTGAGTGTGCGAATGCGGTCGACGGCGGCGATTCGAATCTACGGCGGCACGACGTTGGGAGGCCAAGCGGGACCGGGTTTGGAAGGCGGTGGCTTCGGGAGGGTGAAAGGCTGGAAGTATCAAGAAGAGACACGACCAGGAGACAGGACAGAGCATGGACCAGAAAGGGTACCGGTGTGACAGACAGCCGACAGGCCCCTTGGTGAACACTGGCAGAACAGGCCAGGCGAAACGGTCGACCAGAAACAAGTTCATTAACGTCCTCCAGTGGTGTTCCCAATACCGAGATGACACCTGCAGGCAGGGAAAGGGGGGAATCGGGGGACCAGACGATAATAATTGACAGAGGGGCGTTGGTGAACACTGTGCGCGACAGATCTCTCACCTGCACTGCCTCTTAACCTGTGCTGGCCTAAAATAACATGATGGAATCCCAGTGCACCTCCAAGCTAGGCTCTAGCAGCGGATGGCCCCAGTTGCCCAGGCCCAGGAGACTGGAGACCTGCAGGCTGCAGCCACCAAATACATAATAGTGGCCCGTGTGCTCATTCTCAAGCTGTGATCGTTGGATCAGCATGGAAGGTCCCATGGAGTCATTGGAGTGAGGTGACACGACACCCCGCTGGCGTTCACTTGGCAGCATTTGAGCTTCACCAAACCCTGAACAATAGAAGACAACATCCATGGATGGCAGGCTGGCCGACTGGATGACGGGAGTGAATGCCTTTGTCAACATAAACCCGTGCTCGTCGTGCAACTATGCAAACACTGTCATCACGACTTCCACAATCTGCGCCGTGCAAACCATGCAGGTATTACCTTAACATTGAACGTATTAACTTGGAAACACCCGACAGACAAACCCCTTCACCGTACCGTCTTTTCTGGACAGTCTCATCCCCTAGTCCCCCTGCTTAGCGCGGGTGGCTTGCGTGCAGATAGACATCGAATCCAGCCTCACCAGTAGGCTGGCAGATGTGGCTTTATAACAAATTGCCTAATAAGATACCTGCCAAGAAAGCTGATAAGCCTATCGGTGTAGCGGCTAGGCAGGGGGACCCGGGATGAGACTGTCCAGAAAATACGGTCTCTCATCAAGTGCTGTTCATATTCACTGCCTGCTATTAGCTTCATTCTCTTCTCGATATCAATGTGCTTGTCTCCTTTCCAATCAAACCCTTGGGTCTCGACTGACTATTCTATGCCATGTCACCTTTGTGATGCCTCATTTCCTCACTCGCCCACTCGAGTGTTTCTTTGTTTCCTGTTGCCTCCAACCCGGTCCGTCTGCTTAGACCGCCAGCTGTATGCATTTCGACACAGCGTATCAGACCTTATGATACAGGCCAGGTTGCGCTTAGGATTCCTACGTTTGCTGACGGCATCCCGACCTCCAGACGCTAGTGCTGCCAATTGACCGATCCCCAGATGCCTAGGGGGGTTTATATCTGGAGAAGAACGGGATCCTTCGACCTCCAGCTTCCTTTGCTCTGACGATTTACAGGACGTTACATACAGTAGCAAGGCCCTGTATCTGTACATCATCGACTTCGAGGTTCTGGCCACCAGATCGGCACTTCAGGTGCCTCGTCCGCCTCGGCTGGCGTTCGGTGGCTTCGCCAAGGGTCCTTCTTTCATTGCTGGCACCTCTGAGACTGTATGATGGCGGCACAGGAGATATGATGTGGCAATACGCAGACACTTCCATGTCTTCCCCGTAAGGTAACATCGTGTGCCTCGCCGTTATAGAGGACAGGGGGCATGTGGCACTATGCCTAGACCAGCTGGAGCACCGAGGTCGCGAATCGACGACCCTGATGATTGAACCGCGTTTCAAGTAAATATGGTTAGTATCCACCCTGATCTTCGTACTGGATGACTTCCAGAATGTTTGAAACACAGTGCTTCCAGACATCAAAGACCCATGGCCCATGGGCAGTTTCCGAAGAGAATTCAGAATGCCCATTCGAACAGATGACTTTTTCGAAACGTCCCCAGAAATAGCCATCCGCCAGGGAACAAGATCCAACTCATTCTCTACAGCTGCGTCTGCGCAAGGGGGTTCTAATCGCGACGTCAGCCCTCTCGGTAATCGCATGCACCGCTGCAGTCAGCGCTCAACCGCAATTGCGCCTCGGCTGAGCCTGTCAGCTCCAAATGCTAGGGAATGCCAGACCGAAGGAGATGGGCGGTGGATCAACTAACAACGCACCGCGGGGTTTCAAGATCCGCAGTTTGTGTCACTCAGAAGAGCTCTCTCTGCACGCGTCCAACTTCGCCCTGCAGCTGCTTGCATGTCAACGGGTGCCGCCTCATGCCTCATGCCTCATGCCTCGTGCCAACAAGCGTTGGTGACGCTTGCTAACGTTCCATCAGTACCTGGGAAGCCGTCCCAGGGCGATGGGTCGCAAGCGCCATCACCCGTCAGCCCGTGCATCCTACCTCATCAGCAAGTCAGTCGATGTGAGGAGTCATGGTGAGGCTGCTTATTTCAAGACATATTCTCTGTTCCCAGTTTTGTTTCCGCTTACTCAAGCGCTGGTCATCCGTCGGTCACCAGCATGGCAGCTCAGGTCGCTGGAAGGAATCCCTTTTTATTACCCTTTCCGTTTCGAAGATGTTACTCCGACCCTCTATTGTATTGGCGGTTCCGTTTTCACACACTCCGACGACACGTCTCGGCAGTTGGTTGACTAGCCAGTCAGCCAGCCAGATCCAGAGACAGAGACAGTTTACCCTTCTCCAGGTGTATGTGCCTCTATTACATCTTTGAGACGGATGCTTCGTTCCAAGAAAGTCTACGATTAGATGAGCGCCCCTGCGGTTCCCTGCTCCTTGCAGCAATGTGCTCCTGCGCCTTCAGCTGCGGTTCCACCGCAGTCTCACGTTGGACTGCTCCATATGTGACCACGTCGTCGTCAGACGACGTCGCGTGCTCACGGGTCTACTTCAGACCTATCAGACCGTTGCCCCCGAGGGGACTCCGCCCGGTCATCAGCGTTATTGGTGTAATTAGGTACTTTTAGGACTCGGAGGAGAACGGCGTCCTGAAGCATTCCCGGAGACCTGGGTACGGAAATCCCCGCCCCTTCCGCGTCCCTCGTCACCGTCCCTGCGGCATAATGTGACGCAGGCGCGCAAGGCGTGGTCATGCAACTCACCAATTTCGCCCACGCTGCCCCAGGGCACGGGTGGCGGTGATCATTTTATATCAGAAACACAATACCGCGCCGTAGCGTAGCCCCTCCCTCACTCATCGGGATCAGCTTTCCGCGATCTGCGATCTCGACGCACGGCCAAGTGGGCGCACGGACTCTGCAGCCAAAATAACCGACCGGTCGTCACTGCATCGTTGGTAGATGAAGCATCTAAGATTGATGTACAGGACGTGCGTTGCCTCAGATTATGTATATCGCACAGACCCCGATGTCAGGTCCAATGCTGGCTCCAAACGGTATCAATTGCCGAATATCCAAGTAATCGCCCTATATATGCCCTAGGATCCATCATCCTCCCATAGTAGATAATTATTCATCGTGGTGATTAACTCGATTTTGTTTAATTCTGTCAAGATGTCCATAGACAGACAGATCTCTCGACATATTCCCCCTATGTTCTCACAATCCCCCTTTGCTATGCCGCCGTACCTTACAGGACAACCTAGTAATTCCCCAAAGTCTCAAATGCACCTTCGATGCAGTACCTTCCTAGGTCTCATCTCTCGTGTCGTGTCGGACGGACCGAATTGACAATGACGTACCTCGCCTCTTCTCTTCTTGTCAAGAGAGCGAGAGAGAGCCTGGAAAAGACAGCGACGTCGCACAACATCAACGGGACCGAACACCGTTACCGTAGCACGCACGCGCGCAGCCCCGAGCCTCCCTGTCTAATCAAACTTCGCCAGTCCTCTTGCATTATTCAGTCGCACAGCTTTCAGGTTGTCTATCTGACACGAGCTTGGGTTCTGTCTGTCTGTCTGTCTGTCTGTCTGTCTGTCTGTATGTTCTCGTTCACTATCTCAAGGTGTTGTTGGTCCGTCAATGCTGCGGAGTCGGTGTGGGAGGGAATGGGAAACTGTGATGCGGTATGACTTTGTGCGGAAGAGCCGTTTTGAAGCAAAGCAAGGATGCATTGATTTTCTTGGGAGCCGCAAGAGCTGCGACCTCCCGTTGAGCATGGAACCACCGTGTTGCAACGCACCGACGCCTCACACGTGTTCATGGGTGAGTGAGATACGGGGCGCGGCCGTGCTTACCTACTTTACGAGATGGGTGCGAGGCGAGGTTATCTGCATGCATGCTTGTGTGTCTGAGTGAGTGTGTCTGGGTGTGTCCAGATATTCTCCGAGGACGGGTGTGCACTACACACCGCCTTGAGCCCCTGTTTGAACTCATCACATGTGTGTACAATTGTATTAACAATATATCCTTGGAGGTACTGTACCCTGCATGTTTATGGGGACGAGGCGCTCATTGTACCGATGAGCTGAATCTAGCCACAAGTAGGTAGGTAGTTGGTTCTGCGTAGGGAGTGGTTGGCCAGACCTGCGGAAAATAAGTTTTTTGAGCCTTGCAGCCATGTATAATGACTTTGTTGGGATATTACAAAGGGCCTGCCAGATTGGTAACACAAAGACATTGATACTTGATCTCTTGTCTTTGACTTATAGTCCATTCTCAATGGAAGTGTTCCTTCGGGGATGAAGTTCTTCAACGTTGAAGTAGCTTAGCATGTATAAGTTAGAGCTGGCAACCTCCATATCTATATACGATATTTTCGTCAGGCTACTCGACCTGTCTCGGCCATCGCTAACAGCAATTTCCACCATGCCTTCCCAGCACACGTCGAACCAGAAGTTCCTTCGTCACCTTGAGGCGATAGCAGACAGCCGTAAAAATGTGATCGGAGGCGTTCGTGCCACGTGGCATATGAAGGTATGATACGACGCACGAACAATAACATTGCACACGGAAGACCATTGCCAAGCTGACCGAGACACAGACCTTAGGCTCGTCTGGCACCTGGTCCGAAGGTTCCAGAGAGACATAGACAGAGAACTGCCTTCATACAACAATCTTCAAACCCTCCTCGAGGGTTATTTGCGTTACTTTGATAAGCTTTTCTTCTTTGGGCTGCTCCGACGGCGTGTGAGAAGAATGCTCCCAGTTCCTCGCATGCTCCCCATGGTCGCGTTGAAGGTGATCGACGAGCAAGACGAGCGTCTTGGGGACTGGCAGAGGGACCGTAAAGACGAGATAAGGCTGTGGACCAGAGACTCCCATGGGGAGTATCACGCCCTAGAGGATTTCGTCACCACAGTAGCACATGAGATGATCCACGCCTATCTGCGTATATTCTCGGACGAATCGGCAGCCAGCCACTTCAGGTGCGTCGACGCGGACGGGGGCCACGGCGTGATGTTTTGGCATTTGCATCACTTCATACTTAGCAGGCTGTGTACTTGGATAGGGACACCCAGATTACGAGCATGGAGGGATGAGACATTCGGAAAGTGGCTGGAGGCTCAACAGCTCGACGTCTCAGGTCGACAGAAGGATGAGGCCTTCGTTGAGTGGGTGGAGGCTCAGAAACTCGATGTCACAGATCGACAGGATGATGACGAAGACATCAGCGAGCCTGAGCTCGGCGATCAAGAAGAGGATCGATTCCCAGACGGAGACAGCGAGGACGAGGAAAACCAGTCTGATGAGGAGGAGGGAGACGAGTGACGCCACCAGAGTTACCAAGCGATACATATACTGGCTTTGTTGCGGATATGGCTCATCTTGAACCCTGGTAGTCATGTCTCTTGTCTATCCCTATTTACTGTACGTATATCCTCCTGCCTATCGTCGTCCTCTCCATCGTTCTCATCATCTAGCTGGCCTGACGCAGCTTCGACGCGAATGCTGGCACCTAACATCTCGCGCTCATTTGCTGCAACCATATCGAGACCTAATATCATATTAATTACTAGTAAAGTAGTACTTAGTTTCAATATGGGTTTACCGTTTAAGATTGAGTTGCGGCGCTCGGCCTGAAGCTTTCGCAAAGCTTCAAAGGTCACCCCACGCTGAGGCAGAGCCGGGTGCTCGATTTTGATGCCCGCAACCTAGCGAACTGTTCGAGCCTATGTCTGCATCCGTTAAGTCTGCCAAGAGTATCGACAGCTGATGTGTCCATGGTCATATTAGGCGCTTCCTTTCCAGAAGCGTCGCCTTGACCGCAACGCCCACCGGCGTGGTATACTCCCGACTTGGCCATCTTGGGTTCGTTCTCCATCAGACGTTACTCGAGCTCGGGATGCTCAATCAGCCATTCCGCCCAGTGATGCCGTGCCTGGTCATATCCGAAGGCATCTGAGCACTGAAAGATTACTACATTTTTGGCTCCGTCCGATACTAGAACGATCTCCCTGTTCTTTATGTGGTGGAATAGTTCCTGCCTGGCTGCGTGCTCATCGCGTCGGGCTTGGTAATAAGGGTTGGAAGTGTTATATAGAGATAATCACGTTATAACTCTTTCGGTGACTATGGAGTTTCAATTTATAAACGTGAAACCTTACATAATAAAGCTTCAATATATAATAAAGTAATAATGTATTAATTTAAACCTGCTACTAGCATGTAGTAAGGTAATATTCTATTCTATAAAGCTGTAAAACGATATAGAAAAAGTATGCGTTGATTGCTATTACATAGTACTATACCCCTTCCTCTATGTTGCTTGCTGAGGAGCCGGAGACGAGCAAACGGGGGCTGCCACCACAAACCCACATTTACCAACTCTTAAGAAAGGAGCAAACGAACAATGGCTTACGCAATCATCCTATTCGTCACAATGTACAGATGGTACACGACAATCAATTCATGCTAGTCTAGAGCTCCCACCTGATGCGCGGCTTGAAACCCTGTGTGATCCGGTCTTCGTGAGGAAGCGCGGGACACTGTAAGGCTGGCCTACCCATCACCGTAGATGCCGTCAAAGGCAGAGATGTCGTGGATGCGCAGTCATTATGTACCGTTAAGAAGCTTCAAGTCGTCCTCTTCGGGTTAATGAATGAGGCAGGCTTCCTACACCAAACGGGTACCCGGGTCGGTGTCGGTAGGCAAGAAGACCTCCTTGGTTATGACAGAAGCTGCTTGTAGCCCCATGAGAAATGAACGACGGGTAATATGGTCAGATTCTTGGTGCCTGAAGGTTGTAGGGTGCAGTGCACTGGGCAGACTGCAGATCTAGAAGAAACCTTGGATATAGCTGGAGGGGCTAAATAGATACTGACTGCTAAAGTATAGCGACAGGCAAGTAGGTACTCGACTGGAGTGGTTGACTGAAGGAACTGTTGTGTTCCATCTCGTAGTTGCATATGTGCCCCTGCCCCCCTGAAGTGGAAAAGGGGGGTGGGTCGACTTTGGAGATCAGCGTCCTGTCTTTCTGGTACCTAAGCCCGTGAATAACCAGGAACCGTGCCATCCATCCAAACCTAGGAGCCATATCCACCAACCTATAGCCTTCCCGAGGTAGGCAGCAGCCATAGTAGCGCGCCATTCGTTCTAGGGACGAAGTGTTCCCTGACGGAGGGGACGTTCCCTCTGTCCACTAGGTTGTCGCGAGCATTTCAACGAAGCAACTTCGTCCCGCATCTTTGTCAATCGTCCGCCTTCCGAAAAGCTTCTGCGACTGCGCGTGACTTGCATTCGGCAGTTCATCCGGCCTTGACGTAGCCTTGGTACTGCAGGCACGTGGCAGGGTTGCAGATCATCTTCACCGACTGGAAGTGTCCGGGGTGGAAGTGGAGGATGCGGGGAAAAAGGGGGTTTATCCATCCCAATGACCCCTCTCCCATCTCGGCTGCCATACTCGCGGAGGAACCACAGTGGATTTCCTGCAACTGCCAACCACTGCACTTTGACTTGACGGCTAAGCATCTCCGTTCACCGAGTATTGCCTCCACCACCCCCGAGTCTGGGAAAATCGTCAAGATGTTGCCGTAGGTAGTGGGTCTTTCGGTAGGTCAATATGCCGGAGCTATGGGGTAGTTATTCCAGAGGGCTGAGTGGTATAACTTGAGCTCATCGCCTCATTACCACCTCCAGGCATTGTCCATTGTCGCACCATCTGTATCCGTTTATCCCCAGTCATGGCAGCTCTCCTCCTCCTAACCTTAGCTGCTGCTCCAGCCGCATACGCCCTCGTTCAGCCTGACAATGTCGGACGCCTGCCAGCAATGGGCTGGAACAGTTGGAACGCCTACGGTTGCGACGTGGACGAAGCCAAAATCCTGCAGGCCGCCAACGACGTCGTTTCCAAGGGGTATCAAGCCGCTGGCTACAACTACATCAACATAGACGACTGCTGGAGTGTCAAGACCGGACGCGATAATGTCACTCACCAGCTCATGCCCAACCTGACGAGCTTCCCCAATGGCATCAGTGGAGTGGCCGACGAGATTCATGCTCTGGGCTTGAAGGTCGGCATCTATTCCAGTGCTGGTACCGAGACATGCGGCGGCTATCCAGCTTCAATCGGGTACGAGTCCATAGATGCTGCTACCTGGGCCGCATGGGGCATCGACTATCTCAAATATGGTACCTATCCAGGCTTGCCCGCGAAATGCTACTAAGTGATACTGATACTGATCTTACCATAGACAACTGCTATATTCCGGACAACTGGACAGACGTATGCACTTCATGCAAGCCCGATTGGGGTTATGGTCATGACGGCAGTTACGGTTTCAACGGAACATGTCTTGACACCACTGGCGACTGTCCTGCGGGCTACAACTACAGCCAGTCATCCACAGCCAAAAGATACCGGATCATGGGCGATGCTCTAATGGCACAGAACCGGACGATATTGTACAGTATGTGCGAGTGGGGTGACGCCGAGGTGTGGACTTGGGCCAATGCTACTGCCAATAGCTGGCGGACGACAGGAGATATCACGCGTAGGTCAAGCATCTCATTAGTGAAACATACCATGTGCCTATACCGAATGCTGATATGAGGTCTAGCCGACTTCCGCCGTGTTCTCCAGATCATGAACGAGAACTCTTTCTACTCCAACTACGCCGGGTTCACCGGCCACAACGACCCCGACATGTTGGAGGTCGGCAACGGCAACCTGACTCTCCCGGAGACGAGGAGCCACTTCGCCTTCTGGGCCGCCATGAAGGCACCGCTCATCATCGGCACCGACCTAGGCAATCTCAGCCAGACCAACACCGACATCCTCCTGAACCCGTATCTACTCGACTTCAACCAGGATCCCGTCTACGGCGCGCCCGCCCAGCCGTATAAATGGGGCGTCAACCCAGACTGGACGTTCAACGCCACGAACCCGGCCGAGTACTGGGCCGGCGACTCCACGAACGGCACGCTCGTTGCTATGCTCAATACGCTCAACGGCACCAGGACTATGCGTGCCGACTTCGCTGAGATTCCGGGCCTGCAGGCTCGGGGGCGGTACAAGATCATCGATGCCTGGACTGGCGAGAGCATGGGTTGTGTGAGGAGTGGGGTGGACATGCATGTTGAGAGCCACGACACCGCAGTGCTCCTGGTACAGCAGGGATGCGAGAATGCTACTTCGCTTCTTTACTAAGTACCTCATTGAGAAGGCTGAACCGTCCAGACTGTTGGGCATGCTGCTCGAGTTGAGGTTCCACTGGTATCAATGAGATGTTCTCTGAGACCTTCTGTCATGCTGGGTTGGATCATCGCACGGGTCTCCTTTGCTCTTGTCTCCATTCCGGCGCTTTTTCAAGATCGTCCGAGCTGGCCGACATGTTGCTCCGGATTGAGATGCTGATTATATCTGCATGAAGGCTGTCACCTTGGATGCTGCCGGGTATGATGTGAGAAGTTGGCGGTGAAGATGCAGTTCTCCATGTATCTAAGCAATAAATGTCGCACATACAGGTAGTAAATTCAAAATTCAGGTACAACTAACCACTAACGCAAAGCGTGCCACAATAGCAGTACTTAAGCCTTTGCGTCCGTCCCATAATTTGCGTGTTGGTACCTATGAACTTGTAGCCGACACCCCATTTACCCAGATTTTCGAGGATCCCGCAGCAAGACGTCTATCACAGCCGTCTCGTCTTGACCCGCCTTGCTCAGGTCATACCGGTGCTCAAACCTGTCCACGAGGACAAACCCATGCCGCTTGTACAGTGGCGCGGCCAGCCGAAGGGACTCCACGTACGCCGGTATGCCCTCGGCGTCCGCCAGCTCCAGCACGCTCTCTAGTAGGGCCGAGCCGATGCCGCGGCCGTGGTATGCTGGGCTCGTGCAAAGGTGGGTGAGGACTGGGAGTGTGGGTTGCTTAGCCCCTCTTCTGTGCTGGTCTGTGTATAGAGGTCTGGGAAAAAGGGGTAAAATGAGATGGGATGAGCAAAAGCACCCACCGCCTTTATATCCCAGACGGGATGTAGCCGAAGCTCAACGAAGGGGGAAAGGAATGCATCAAATAGAACTCACCTAGCCTCTCACTAGCACCCCATTTCTTCACCATCCGCGTGATCCCATCGAAGAACTCCCGAAACAGCTTCACGTCAGCACCCTCGGGCGCATCCAGCGTAGTCTGTGGCTTTTCTTCCTCCCCTATCTCCCCTCCCTTCTCTCCCTTCCCTTCCTCTGCATTCCCGCCATCACCACCACCTTCTTCTCCTCCTCCTCCGCCCACGACAACACCACCACCCTCCGGCGGCCCAACAGCCCTCCCCTCCTCATCATAAACCACAAACCCCATCCGCAACCCCGTCATCTCAGCCGGCGGGTCCCACTTAGCCCACGCGACAACGTCGCCCGAGGCGTCGTCGACGACCTTGAACTGCTGCGTACCAGAATCGGCGAAGCGGCGGCGGATGCGCTGCTCGTTCCAGGCGCGCATGGTGGGGAGCGGCGCCCACCAGTAGGTGTACTCGGTTGGGGCGAAGGCGTCCATGTCTGTGGGGGTTAGTTGGTGGAGGTTGCTTCATAGGTAAAGATCAGGTCGGGGTTGGGTTGTGTAGGTTGATCGAGTTGATCATTGAGACCGGGTGGATGAGAACTCTCTCCTCGCTGAGAGCTGCCATTGGAACGAGGAGGAGATGGCAACCTGAACTGAGGACAACGTGGTGAATTATCCAAGCGAATCACTCGCAACCACTTACTATAGAGGCACATGTCAGCACTTCTCCCATGCAAAAGCATACACGGAAAACAGGCTGTCATCCGTAAGACCACCACAAGCACCTTCCGCCGCAGTAGCGCACCCTATCCGCACAGCAAGCGGCAAGACAACAGAAATACCCCTAAAAAACAAAAGTAGAAACATACAACACCGGGGATTCGCTGGTCGTCACCGACCCAACTACTAATCCGGCGGTATCAGGCTTATTTAAGGCAGAGCGGACGGGATGCCAAGTTCTCCTGATCCTATGGTCGTATGTGGTTGTTTTCGGTGTTTCGTGTATCATATAGGGAAGGTGGCTCCATGGTAGTTACGTCGGACGCAATCCAGATCACCTCGCCCCTAACACCAAAAACAGAAACGAAAACGAAAGCTCACCAAACAGAAGTCATACCTGGCGCATCAGCAGGCTTGCACCGGGACATGGTAAAGCCCGACGGTAGCGTCGGCGAGCGAGCGAACGGCAGGGCCATTATCGTGGTGGCGGTGGTGGTGGTGTTGTAGCGGCGAGTTGCCCTACTCTACATTGCTTGAAAGGGAAAGATCGACTTTTTATCACAGTGGTTGAAAATGGAAAGATATAGATCCAAGGCTGGTAGTTTGCCTGTCTTCCTTCCTCGGATGAGTTACATCTGCCTTGCTGGCTCCGGACGGGCGATGGGTCATCCATGCTCTTGACAAGACGCGCCCTTCCGGGTCGGAAGCCGACCGGCCGGACTGTTCAGGGATATATGGCGACTTGGCACGTGCGGTCGGAACTGCTTTGATTTTCAGATCCATCAGTTCCGTCGAGAACATATATGGGATGACGTCTGGATTTTAATAGGTAGGAGCAGTATTCCTCATTGAGTTCAATTGTATGTGTTAGAATGTGGTGCACACAGGTATCAATGCCTAGATCTAGCCCTCCTCTATACATAGATCCTGGTAATGTACAAAATTTACAAATATGTACAGGTGTACAGATCCTTGTACACGTAAATGTCACCTTGAAGGCTTCTCTTCCCAAGAATCACTATCGTAACCTCCGCCGTCCAGCTCGTCGTCATCGACAGTATCAGGAGACTCCCCGGGCCCGAAAATATCGTACTCAAGATCCGAATGCACACGGATCATCGACTTGATGGCTCGAACAACTTGCATGCATTCCTCGTCGATCTCTCGAGCCATCTTCCCGGCCTCAGCGGACCATGGACCCAGTCGGTCCAACTCCATGTAGCCATGCGCAAGATGGTACAGCGTGGTGGCCACAGGGCGAAGATACCTCGGGGAAGAACCCTTCCTCCGAACATCTAGTGGTATTTTGTTCCGCACGTTCTCTTTGGTGCGGGCAACGAACCATCCGGTCCAGTTCGGCATGAGAAGCTTTTCGCAGATGGTGAAGGCCTCCTTGTACTGCTTCAGCTGAACAAGTATCTGCACGTGGTAGTTCCAGTTCTTGCTGTCCACTTCGAACCCGGCCGTGCGTACATCTTTAACAATCTCTTGAATACCAACGAAGTCCTCTTCAATGAACAGTAGTTCTTGCATCACTCGAAGGCCGCCAGATAGGATGTATCGATACTTGGGTGATATCTTGGGCGTGTGCGGCAAGTTCTCGTCATAATCCAGAGATTTGGCTTCCGTCTTGGCGGCGTTGAAGAGGAGACGCCACGTGGCTTTCACACGATCGTAACGCTTGTCATGCAGGTTCGCAACCATGATTGAGTTCAACATGGCAACGGGCAGTACTCCCTCGCTGTCATCTTCCCGCCCTTGGAAGATATAGCGATAGAGGTCAATAAGCTCCTTGCTTCGAACAAAGTCCTTCAGCTGAGTGAACATGTATACCATTGTGCCGAAGCGGGAGACATCGACCCCAGGCCTCAACAGCTCGCCTGACTGCTTGCCTTTTGGGCTTTGAGACTTGCCGAGGCTGAGATTTCTTCGAGAACCCAGGCCGTATATGTGATAGAAAGATCGAAGTGATTCACCAAGCCACTGTGTAGCACTCATCCGTGACCTTTGCTTGGGAGGCAGATTCCTGTACTGCGTGAGAGCCTGACTCAAACGGAACAGGGTGCCAGATGAGCTCTGGAAACCATAGTCTGTCATCAGCTTATGCAGGCGCATCACCGGCCCAGGCTCCCCAGTGATGAGCAGGGCGCCCATGACGACTTGGAAATGCTCGTGCGTTACTTCAAAGACGTGATCCTTCAGCGCAACTGCGAGCAGGCGAAGGGCATGCTGTGACTGGCGGCATAGTGAGAGACCGAGCAATAGCTGCTGGTATGTGAACTGATTGTAGGGGACATTCTTCTCAGCCATGACGTTGAGAAGACTGTTGATGCTGGCAAGGTCCCGGCGCATCGCGTTGTAGTAAAGTAGTTTGTTCCACATCCAGGTCGCGATGATTCCCTTGTTCACAGCGCGGACGCACACATCCTCGGCCTCCTGGAAGTGGTCATTCTGGCAGTAACCGTCGATAAGACTGCTGAGCATGGCGTCGTTGGCGAGGACGCCCAAATTGCGTGCTCGACGATATAAATCAACTGTAAACCCCAAGTCACCCCGTCCGCCAGCCATCTGCATCAACGTCCCGTAGCTGTACTGGTCCGGCTGTTTGATACTGTCGAAGGTCGCTATCGCTGCATCGTAGTCGCCGGCCTTGACGTAAGCATTCAGCAGGATATTCCAATGACGCACGTTTGGTTTGAAATGAAACCTTTGCTTTAGGTCGTCGAAGATGCGCTTGGTTTCATCTGCCTCTCCGTTGACGGCATGCACCTGAAGCAGGTGCGTGAATGTATCGCTGCCCTCCAAAACAGGGAACTGGTCATCATGGAAGAGCTCGATGTATTTGATCCACATGGCATGAACTCGCTCTTTGTCGCCTTTACTCGCAAAGAAAGCCAGATATCTCTGGTATGCTCTTCGGGAAGGAGTGCCGTAGAACCGATGCCAGTCGCCCCAAAGGAGCTCAATGCCGGCAATCTTCGCTGACACGGGCGCGTTCATGCCTTTGTAAGCTTTGAAAACTTCGTACAGAACGTTATGGCTCGGAAAATTCCCAGGGAGATCGCGGTACACTTGGTATACTGTGGTGGCAAGTTTCTTCTTGTCCCTGTCAGCCGCAGGCCGCAAGAACTCCTCAAAAGCGAGGGGATCTTTCGTGATATTGAGGAGGGGCATGACTTGGGCGTCGGCGCAAGCGATGAGAGCTCTCCTTACGAGTAGTCGCTGAAGGGTATCCAGTGCTTTGCGATCAGTCTCAGCATCTGCCGAAACATCAAGTCTCTCCGCCCTGTACTCTTGGAAACTAATGGCCTTCTCGGCCAAGCCAGGAACTAAAGCCACATGTTTCAGATGTGATGTAACGCCATCAAAATCCCATTTAGCAGCCATTGCGGGATAATGGCTCCAGATATCCCACAGAAAGTCTCTCGTTGGCAATTTTAGAGCCGTGGCAAGTAGCCAGTCTAACGCATTAATAAAGGAAGGCAGATCGAGGGAAGCTTGCTGGAGTCCCGTCACGAAGACTTCCAGTGCTCGAGTGGAATTTTGAAGGTTGACCTCCGCAGTGACACCGGCGACGAAGGTATAGCTGTCCCAGCGAGATGGATCTAGCTTGTGAAAGAGCTCTGATATTTTCCACGAGTCAGACAGTCGACCAGTTCTTGAAAGAAAGACGAGCACTCGACTGAGATAGATCATTTGAGATTGGTCGTCTAGCGCCTTGTAATGGTACCAAGCGCGATCCGCATTTTCCAGATTATCACTGATCAAGATTTCGTCGAGCATCTCGATGGGATCATGCCCATCAGCCACGCCCAGAACCTCCTGTTCACCGAAACCGGTGTGAGGAGATTGCGTGGCGGTCTGCCCAGCATCTAGGAGTGAAGCTGAGGTTGCGTCATTGGCTAGAGCACTCGAAGCTGGGACATCTTGGACGTCTTCCGTAACCGTAGCATCGAGTATATATGTAGCTGTGATAGCGTCGGAGTCGTTCCTTTCGTGACTGTCAGGCAACTCTGTCTTAGGTCCTTGCACTCGTTGACGAGGAATAGACGACGTATACAGGCGCGGAGAGATGTTCGTGAAGGGTGGCCTATAGCGGAAGCTTTCAGTGCGATCGGAAGAGCTCGGGGTCAGGCGGCGCATCAGCGCAATGGTGCCACTCGGGTATAGGAAGTCGAGGAGAAAAGACGAAGCAGCCAAAGCAGGGCTCCTGTCTTGATCAGACGCGGAGTCCATGTTGAAGGCGAAGGTGCCATGCATTAGAGCTTGCCAAGCGCTGGTGAGCTCGACGTCAGCAGCCCCATGCTGCCAGAATGTGGTATGAAGCTGTCGCGTGCTCCGGAAGGACTTTGTCGCGCCAGGAAGGACTCGTTGAAGGCCGCATGGTTCCAGAGTTGCGGCCGTCTTCTCCAGCATTGGAGAAGGTGTGTGGACTGCGAGCGACGTTATACACGGGTGTATGATTCGAGAGAGGGCGCAAACGATGCTTGGACGGAAAGACTCAGGACATAGCGGGAATGGCTCCGTGAGCTTGCGAAGTTGTTAGCTTGGACGAGCGTCGAAGTCCCATGGCGCAAATCTTGCAAGTGGGTGCAAGCTGGAGCAGATGAGACGAGCAACCTACGATGAATCATAACGCGATCCTAAATTCGTCAACTCTCACAAAACCCTCCCACCACGAACGCAACATAAGGACTCCCTGATTGCGGCGATTCAAAGTGTGTCCCTTTCGTGTATCGGACTGCTGAAGCTCGGAAAACAAAGTGCACAGAGTCAATGACGAGAGCTTCTTGATTTTCTAGAAAAAACAGCTAAAAGTCACGGCCGGTCAGGCCATGCACAAGCCATTTGATGGAGCTTACGGACAGGGGGTTGCAGCGGCCAGGCATATCTCGTCACCAGCCACAGACATAGTTTCATAATGGACGTTGGAAGCCACACTATTCGAGGTGTGGCTTTATACAAGTCTTACACTGTGCTGTCACTGCTGTGTCAAGTGGTGCGGTTTAACCCCACCAAATCCTCCCAACACCAAATCAATATGGGGGGATGCTTCGATTGACGATTTCCAGCACGAAACCTACTCGGCGCCAGCAGCACACCCACCAGAGGAGCTGTCTTGACAATTGCTTAGTCTGGTGTCAAACCATTCGCCTACTGCGCAATCCTCCCCTGCCTCCATCCGGCGGGCGCAAAGAGCTATGGACATCACCAACTTCGTGGTTTCCGCGAGGAACCAGGCTCTACTCTACGGCGACTACGCTACTTACCACAGGCAGCTGACCCAGAAGCTGCTCAACTCGCGCAAGAGACTGAAGATCTCGACCAAGAACAGAGCAAAGTACAGCAAGAAGCCCACCGTCACGGCCGCCCAGATCTCGCAGAACCATGAGTATGGACCACCCTCCGCGCCTCGTATGTTTTCCTGCCGCTGACCGCACCAGGGCTCTTCACCTCCTGCTACTGACGGCCGAGCGGGCATGGGCCCAAGCTATGCGCTACAAGGCCGTGCACGCGACCGAGACGAAAGGTATCGCCGGCCGTACGCGCTCCCATATTATATCGAGACTGGACAAGGGTGCTCGCACCGCTGAATATCTCGTCGAAATCCTCTCTGATACCTCGGCGAGCGGGGCGAGCGACACCGATATCTTAGAAGCCCGAGCCTATGCTTCAATGCTCAGGGGAGCCACGAACTTTGAGCAGCAGAAGTGGGAGCCTTGTCTGAGAAGCTATGCTACGGCACGCATCATCTTCAATGCCCTTTCCGCTTCCATGAAAGGGGATATCTTTAAGGACCTCTTATCCGAGACCATCGATCCCTCGATCCGATACGCTGCCTACCAGAGCAAGGTCCCGCGGACCTTGGCTATACCTACCATTTCACGGAAGGCCTTCCCTTCTTCGGACAAATCCCTTGTGGACAAGATCAACAAACTGGCACCAAACCTGCTCCAGGAGAGTGATTCAGATGCCCAGAAAGGTCAAATTGACGCCCCGAGCGCACCGCAGACCATTGCATGGAGAGGCCGGGAAGTAAAGATTGAAGATGCTGCTATTGCGCTCGCCTTGGCCTCGACCGATTCGGCCATCGCTCAGTTGGCCGAGAAGCTAGCGTCTTCTGATGTTACGCTGCCAAAGGAGATGGCAGCAGCGTACGATGGAGTCCTTATAGCTAGTCAGGATGCAGCAGATGCCACTAAGCATGCTATCGATGAGTTGAGGGAGGAGGGTGTGTCCCAAAGCGATCCCCGCGTGCAGAGTCTCCAGATCACTCGCACAGCTGTCAACTACCAAACGATTAGCTGGAGAATCGGCCGCAATCGGGTATTGAGTGGAGAGCATGACGGTGCTCTCCTTGACTCTGCCCCCAACACGACTCGGAAGTCCAAGAAGGACGCCTCTTCGCGAAAACCGAAGATAGAACCTCCCGGCAGGAAGATCGCTCGGCTGAAAGAGAAGCTCGTTCTGTACGACTCCACGTTGCAAAGTGTTGACTCGATCAAGGAGTTGCCGGGTGTTGCCGCAGATGAAGATCTACTTCAGCAGCTAGACGCCACTGCCAAATATTTCCAAGCTCTGAAGTCAGTTTCCCACTTCTCGTCCACAGCAAGTATGCTAACATCAAGCCCAATAGGTCTCTGTCAATAGCACGCTCGCACTCGCTGAGCAGCCAATCACTCAATGCTCTGGCTCTTACCAAGCATGCGTTTGACCAAGGGCAGCAATCTGCCGCATTCTTCTCCAAGCATGGCACTTCTGCCTTAGAGTCGACTCCACGAAACATAGATGTTCGCAAGGCTGATATTCAGTTTCTTCATAGCCTTCTCAGGGGAGAACTTCAGCGGTGTCGCGCCATCGTTGAAATTGACAATATACGAGAGAAGTCGAAGTCGACAGCGTCAAAGGTCAAGGCGCCTTTGGTGGACAGGCTATTCGAGTATCCAGAAGAAGGCGCAGACCTCACAAACCTGGTCGACTACCCTCCCAAAGTCCAGCCGATTCCGGTCAAGCCGCTATTCTTTGACGCTGCCTGGAACTACATCGACTACCCTGGGAAGGCGCCGGCCGCTGCTGCTGAATCTGATGAGAAGTCTACAGAGGCCCCTGAGCCTAAGAAGAAGGGATGGTTCGGGTTTGGAAGATAGACGATTGTCAAGGCCCACAGCTGCCTGTCCAATGCAGATACTCCAAGCATCCAAGAAAACTCTGTCGTGTCCCGCCCTGAGGCTTGCTCATTCACTTTGAAGGTCATTAGGGGTGCAGACAGCGCATCATATGTCTCACTGAGCGCGTTCTGCGACATCTCATACCTCGCGTGTGCATGACCCATCCCTTGCTACTAGTACGCGCATGCTTCTAATGCTAGATACCCCTCGAAGCCATGAAATGTATTGTATTCCTTCTCAAAGCCCATTATGCCGCTAGAACGTTGCTCTCCGAGCAGCTCGAGTGATGTGATGATGTTCGACGACGAAGACAGCACAAGACCCGACCAACCGTGGTCAAGCAGGCTCCTGTGGAAGAGCTCCAGCACTAGCCTGTCCGGCTTCTCCTCCGAGAAGCGCCCCCGTCGGACGGTGTCCCTCTGTTTCTTCGCAGTCTCCCTCATCTGCTTCTGCTGCGTGGCGCTGGCGCTGGGCCTCGGCCTGGGGCTCGGCTGGCCGCGCTACAAGACCATCGACGCGGCGGCGGCGGCGCCCTTCAACTACAGCAGCTACTATAGGATCCCGGCGCAGCTCGACGTCGTGCCCATCGACCGGCTCGTCAACGCGCGCGAGCTGGACCTCGACATGGGGTTCAACCGCGGCAGCCCCGGAATGCCGCGGGTGGTCCGCGAGTACGTCTTCAACGTCTCGCAGGCGCACGCCGCGCCCGACGGGTTCCAGAAGCCCATGATCCTGGTCAACGGGCAGTCGCCGGGCCCGCTGATCGAGGCGAATATCGGGGATACGGTTCGCGTGCACGTCTATAATCACATGGGCAACTGGAGCACGGCGATCCACTGGCATGGTATTGATCAGAGGCGCTCGACGTGGATGGACGGCGTGGCGGGCGTCACGCAGTGCGGGATACCGCCGGGCCGGAATTTCACGTATGATTTTGTTGTCGATGGGCAGCGGGGGACGTATTGGTGGCATGCGCATCTGTCGGTGCAGTATAGCGATGGCATGTACGGGCCGATTGTGAGAGAACCTGATCCCTTGCCCTCCATGAGGGGTGGTCAAAGTGTGGGATAGGAAACAACAGTCTGATATACGAGATAGGTGATTCACGATCCGAAGGAGATGGTGCCCGAGACGGACGACGAGAAGGTAATATTCGTCAGCGACGTCTATCACACCTACGGTTCCGTCGTAAGTCTCACAACCCCATCCCATTCCGCCAGACCATCAACCCCTATCTCCTCTTCTCCCCATACTCCAAAGCACCCGGCTCACCACCACCATCTACCCCCTTAGCTCCTAGCCAGCTACCTCAACCCAACCTCCAAATGGGTGCCCTTCGAGTCGGGCGTCGAGCCGCTCCCCGACAACATCCTGCTCAACGGGCAATCGACCTACGACTGCGCCATAAACTCGACAACCTACCCACCACCGGCAGACCAGCCCCTCCCCAGCAACTGCACGGGTGGGCGCCCCTACACGACACGCGTGCGCTCCGGCCAGCGCGTGCGCCTGCGTCTCATCAACGCGTCCTCGTTTCTGAGCTACTGGTTCAGCGTCGACAACCACACACTGGAGATCGTCGAGCTCGACGGCGTCGAGATCGAGCCCATAGACGCGCGAGGCGGTGAGTAATAGCCAACATTCCCGGGGGAAGCCACCCCACACCACCCCCACCTTCTTTTTTCCCCTTTTGAGTCCTTATGCTGGGCTCCTATGCTCTCTACTTACCTTGGGTACTCGGGTATAGGTAGTCCAGAAGCGGGAGGCTTATGTGCTGACTCGAGAACGCGCAGTATACCTCAACCTAGGCCAGCGTGCCTCTGTGATCCTGACAGCCGACCAGCCGCCAGGCAACTACCACATACGCGCCACCCTCCCACAATCCTGCTTCCTGCCATACGCGCCGTACAGCAGCGCCGGGCTGGCATCGGCGCAGTACGCCGCGCAGGGCATCCTGTCGTACGACGACATCAACAACACAAACCCCATAATCGGCGTGGCGGGCAACGTGTCGAATCCGTACGGCGTCGATAATAACGCGGTGCGGGGCGATGTCTGGGAGGGCTGCGACGACATGCCGTTCGAGATGTCGCGGCCGATGCGCGCGATCCCGGCGTTTGAGGTGGGCGATGGGAATATGCACTATATCGAGTATGCGTTTCGGCAGGCGCAGGATGTGAATCGGATTTTTATTAATAAGGTGTGTGTTTTTTGCTCTCCCCTACCCCCCTATCCCCTAATCCCCCTTTTCCTTCGTCTCCTTTGACCCTATCCTCCCAGTCTCACCAGGGGCGGGCCGTCCCCGAGAGCCGGGCCCCAGGATGAATGAACGATTGCAGTGAATCCTAGAACTGAGCAAAACTGACAAAGCCCGAACAGACGGCCTACGCACCCCTCCCCAACAACGCGACGCTATGGAAGGCCGTAGACCAGCACTTCGTGGCCAGCGAGGCCAACTCGTACAACAGCTGGGACTTTGGGCTCAACCAGCAGGTCCTGCTCGTGCCGGACGCGGACAAGGGCGCGCAGATCGTGATCAACTCGCGGGATGCGATGGAGCACCCTTGGCACTTGCAGTGAGTGTTTATTTTATTTAGTTCTTGGTGCACCTACCTGCCTGATCTATATCCTTCTGCCGGAAGGAAGTGGTAGGGATGGATGGCCTTTCGAGTTGTGTCTGCCCTTGAACTGAACTGAGCACTTCCTCGTCCTCGTATATGTAAGCATGAACTGACTTGAGATAGTGGTACGTGAAGCTCACTCGTCATCCTCTCACCCCACCTCACCTCACCCAAGAGGAGAGAGGCATACAGTACCTTACCAACCCAACCCACAAGCCCCCCTATCCGCCTCTCCCTCTCCCTGCCAAAACAGCAGAAACAGAAATAGACATCATGCCCACCATTGACTAATCCCCGAACAGGCCACACCTTCCAGATCGTCGGCTGGGGCAAGGGCTACTACGGCGCAACCAGCAACTCCACGACGTGGAACCTCGCCAACCCGATGCGCCGCGACACGGTCACGGTGCCGGCCTTCAACCATGTGGTCATCCGCTTCGAGGCCGACAACCCGGGCCTGTGGGCGCTGCACTGCCACGTCGCGTGGCACATGGAAGGTCAGTCAGTCCCGCCTCGCCGACCCTCACTCACTCACTTCGATTCATTCCCCCGTCCTTCATGCCTTCCTTGCGGTGTGGAGAGTGGGGGTTGTAGCAAGCAAAGACAGACTAGAACGCTCGCTGACAAGGTCTTTATGAGGGAGCAGGCGGCATGTTCGTATCCATAGCCGAGCGGCCCGGTGATTTGGTCGAGCTGGTCACGAACATGGATCCGGCCACGCGGGTGCTGAGCCAGAGTTTCTGCGGCATGGGCGATGGCCGGGACATTGGTACTGAATGTAAGTGGTTCTCTTCACCACCTGATGCGTGGGACAGGCCACACACTGACGAAGAGCAGCTGGTTATGATGGGCCGGCGTGATCCCCTGGATTGTCCAGTACCGTACTTCGCGCCTGTAGGAACGGATCAAGGAATCACTGACTTATTGTATTTATGGGCATCAATTGAGTTGCAAAGATCAAATTTCTTGAGGGGGGATCTTAAATTTAGTTTAGGTTCTTACAACGCTTTATATACAGAGCTCAACCATGAGCAAACCTTCCAATGCTATTCATCAGTGACCGCGCGAAATGGCTTCGGCCCGTGGGCAAAGCTTTTCCATTATCTCGTAACGCCCCAGCCGCCCGCGAATGTATCAAGACATGATGGTTTCCGGTGTAGGAATCGAGGAAGAGAGAAGCGGCAAATATGAGTACATGACAAAGTACAGGTAAGACGAGCCGGTGTGGCCCCCGCCTCAAGATGATATGTAAAACAGTTCAGAGAAAGGATCCAGTCTTCTCAGTGGGTATTTAAGGCTTCTTCTCGTCCTCAGGCTTGGCCTCCGTCGATCCAGCCTCGGAGCTACCGGTTTGCTCACCAGACTCGGAGCGAGCCTTGTGCATCTTGTCGAAGAGGTTCAAGCTGGCCATTTGCAGCTCGTCAGTCTTCGTCTTGATGTCTTCGGCGGTTGCGGTACCCTCGCCAGACTGGCTCTTGCTGACGAATTCACGCAGAGCAGTGATCTTCTCTCGGATACCGTCAGCCTCAGTCTTGTCGAGTCTGTCAGCGAACTCGTTCAGCGCCTTCTCAGTGTCGTTCAGGACGCTGTCGGCACGGTTGGCAGACTCGATGGCAGACTTTCGCTCCTTGTCTGCCTCGGCGTACTTCTCGGAGTCCTCAACCATCTGCTCGATCTCTGAGTCGGACAGACCGGAACCAGAAGCGATTGTGATCGACTGGTCCTTGTTGGTGCTCTTGTCCTTGGCATGGACGTGAACAATAGAATCGGCGTCAATGTCGAAGGTGACCTCAACCTGGGGAACACCACGGTGGGCCGGGGGGATACCGACTAGCTGGAAGTTGCCCAACAGCTTGTTGTCTCGGACAAGCTCACGCTCACCCTGGTAGACCTTGATCTCGACAGCAGTCTGGAAGTCAGCGGCCGTGGAAAAGACCTGCGACTTCTTGGTGGGAATGGTCGTGTTTCGGTTGATCAATCGGGTGAAGACACCACCGAGAGTCTCGATACCAAGGGACAGAGGGGTGACGTCCAGAAGCAGGAGATCCTTGACCTCACCAGAGAGGACAGCACCCTGAATGGCGGCACCAATGGCAACAGCCTCATCAGGGTTGACCGACTTGGCGGGGTCACGTCCGAAGATGCTCTTGACGGACTCGGCGACCTTGGGCATACGGGTCATGCCACCGACGAGAATGACTTCCTGGATGTCCTTGGCTTGCAGGCTGGCGTCCTTGAGAGCCTTGCGGACGGGTTCGATAGTCTTGGTGATGAGAGGGTCCATCATGCTCTCGAGCTGAGATCGGGTCATCTTGCTGTTGATGTGCTTGGGGCCGGAGGCATCGGCCGTGATGAAGGGAAGGCTGATGTCGGTCTGGAGAGAAGACGAGAGCTCGATCTTGGCCTTTTCGGCGGCCTCACGAATTCTCTGGATAGCCATGCGATCGTTGGACAGATCAATGCCAGAGTCGGCCTTGAACTGCTTGACCAGGTGGCGCACTAGGTGGATATCGAAATCTTCACCACCCAAGTGTGTGTCACCGTTGGTGGACTTGACCTCGAAGACACCGTTCTGAATCTCAAGAATCGAGATATCGAAGGTACCACCACCTAAATCGTAGACAGCGACGACCCGGTCAGCCTCCTTCTCCAGACCGTAGGCCAAAGCAGCGGCGGTGGGCTCGTTGACGACTCGAAGAACATTGAGACCTGAGATCTGACCAGCGTCCTTGGTTGCTTGACGTTGGGAGTCGTTGAAGTAGGCAGGGACAGTGACAACGGCGTTCTTGACGTTCTTGCTCAGGTAAGCCTCGGCAGTCTCCTTCATCTTGTTGAGGACGAAACCACCAATTTGCGAAGGGGAGTACTTCTGGCCTCGCGCCTCGACCCAAGCGTCGCCGTTGGTGTGCTGGACAATCTTGTAGGGGACCTCCTTGATATCTCTTTGGACCTCGGCATCAGTGAACTTTCGTCCGATTAATCGCTTGGTAGCAAACAGGGTATTCTCGGGGTTGACGACGGCCTGTCGCTTGGCAGCAACACCAACCAGTCGCTCGCCATCCTGGGCAAATGCGACGACGGAGGGGGTTGTTCGTGCACCTGCGCATTGTCAGTGTCTCAGTTGCTTCAAACGTATGCGACGGTAGTGTGATCGCTTACCTTCCGAGTTCTCGATAATTCTGGGCACCTTGCCCTCCATGATGGCGACGGCAGAGTTTGTTGTACCTGTGATGAGATGCGTCAGCATCATGCGCGTGTGTTTGCTGGCAGAACTGGGCTATTGGTAAACTTACCCAGATCAATACCAATAACGGCACCCTGGACCTTGCCTTCCGTCGACTCATAGCGAGCGAAAGAAGCGCCGAGAGGTTTCCGCAGAGGTGCTGCCCATCGCGGAGCTGTGGTGGCTGCCCGGGGAAGCTGTCAATGGCGCGCGGTGGTTAGCTCCAGATCAGGGGCTGAAGGGTGGTGTCGCATGCGCGAATGGACTTACAGCTCTGGAAAATCGCGACGCCAGCATGTTTACGGCTTGGAGGTATCAAATGTGGAAAAGAGGGACGGAGTGGGAGATGGAAGTGGTTGCGTGACGAAGAAGAGAAGCCGGGTATTGTACAGACGGGCGGCGCGGTGTATTATTATGGGTGGTGGTGATGGCGAATGTTGAGTCGAGAAGGCGGGTGCTCGAAATTTTCTAGGAGCATTTGAAGGAGATGGAAGATTTCCGAGAGCTTCCTTGGAGGCGGTCAAGTGTGGCAGTATTTTCGCAGGGTCGCGCTGCTCCACTGCTAAAATTTGAGGCGAAGGCGAGAGATTGGTGACGGGATTGAATTGATGATCGGTGGTGACGTGCACTGGCCTCAACTTATCTCCGGGCTGTTCACGGGCCAGTTCTGGCTGAACATTGGAAGACCCGCTCCGCTCCGAGTCCCGTGCAGCTGGTCTAGTACCGAGGCGTTGGTTCAATGCTTCAAGCTCCATGTTCGCCACGACTGATTGGTAATATGGAAGCCCGGACGATTACAAGCGCAACATGAAGGATCATCTAGGTATTCACCTACAATTGTAGTGACATACTGTATATATGTTGTATGCATATGCATCTCTAAACGTGCGGTATGAGCAGTCGCATACTCCCTACCCACCAACGATGGTTTAAGGTACTTACCTACCTATAGGTAGTTAAAGGACAGCTTATTATACCTGGCCTTGCCTGACTCAGCATTCCCAATCGAGTGAGTACTTGGAACAGAAATGGAAGGTACATGTAGGTAATAGGCCCAGCATGCACGGAAAGAGTGTTCCTGGAAGCCAGCAGACACCTACATGAACTGTAGGTGTGGGTACGAGGTGCCATGTAAGCCTTTTATCTCGAATGCGCGCTGCCCGGATAATATGGAAAAGCAGTACAAAGATGCAGGTAGTGAGAGACAGAGAGGTCAATCAGGTACTGTCGGTAGTGATAGAGGGATGCAACATATGTGAATGAGCGGGAAGTAACGAACGTCATCCGAATTGCTGAGGTTAGTGCTTTGAACTGCTTTGCATCTCTGGGTCTCTGACTCTGACCTTTGTCTCGACGTGGGCGGAACCCGGACCTTGTTAACCTTGCATGCGCTGCATCCCCAATCCTCACTTCCACCACCACACAGTTGCACTCTTTGCCATCACCTCGCTTGCGCCCGCAGCCGCAACCGTCACTCTTTGCTGTTGCCGCTTCTTGCATTCCATCCAGGAGCTCAAGCCTCAACCAACACCTCCTGTATAATAAGGCCGACCCGCGAAGGGCGCACTAGCAACTGCACGCCTCGCCAATCCTCCCCACCTCATTCGACTCTGATTCCGATCTCCAACATTCCGAACCACGACCTGCCGAGACTACACGACCTGTTGCCTCGCGCGCGCCCATGACCAATGCGACTTGATGATCTATCGTCACAGCCCTGATCGTCGCCCTTGGCATCATGGCCATAGGCGAGCAGGCCAGGTACGGTTTCCCTGTTTCCCTGTTTCCCTGCGCGCAGCAGAGCCGGAGAACATGGAGACAGCCCTGCTGACCGAGAATAACCTGCAGCTTCTGGCCAACTGAGGGCCTGCTCTTCAAAGAGGGCTCCAAGCGTTACTGCACCGTCATATCGCCCATGTCAGTCTTCCAGTCTTCTGCGATGCCGTGTCTTTATTTACCTATACCGACTAATACTGCTGTTATAGCCATTGGCAGCTCCGGTCTTTGATCAGCGCCGAGCGCCAGGACGTCATCTACTTTCCCACCGGCATCAACAACACCCATATCACACGCCTCAACACCACCACGCGCGAATACGAAACCATTAAAGTCCTCAGCTTCCACCCTAGGTGTCTGGTGGCCAGGGGCGGCTGGGTTTGCTGCGGTGGCGAGAATGGAGAGTTTACTATCATCCGCGACACCGGCCAGAGCAACGACACATCCGCTGCCGATGCGATCAACAACGAAATCCGCTCAAACCTTAACTCATTTGAGGCCTCCAACATGGCCGAGGCTTCCATGACCCAACTACACCGGGACATGCTCAATATTGTGGAACGAATCAACGGTTCAAATAAGCCTTGGTCCGCTTCCAACCACAAGATTGGCAGCGAGCGAGTCAACTGCATCACCATTTGGCAACCCGCGAAACTCCCTTTCGATGCGCCCAGGACCAACCAGTATGCCTTCCCGGTCGGCGTCCTCGCCAATAACGATAAGACTGTGACCATCGTGAACCTGGACGATGGCGAGCCTGTCGACGAGCTGGAGTACCCCGACTGCGTTAACCGCGGTGTTATTTCTCCCGATGGAACTCTCCTGGTTGCCATCTGCGACGATCCTTTCCTCTATGTACACGTGCAATGCTCACTCGCCACGGGGAAGCGAGGAGAGTACTGGGATTGGCTACCCTTGCCAAGAATACGACTCAGAGGCCAGTGGAACCGAGATACTTCAGATTGCCGAGGGAGCTTCGCCGCCTGCTTTTCTCCTTCTGGAAGGTACTTGGCTGTTGGGACACAGTACGGCACTATATCTATATTTGACGTGCCTGCTCTTGCGAATCCCAATGCCGATCCCTTGGTCACTTATTTCAACTCTGCACGATCCCCTGGTGACGACGGTGCTGTCAGGGACATGGCTTTTTCGCCGGGCCCGTACGACCTTCTGGCCTGGACCGAGCACCGAGGACATATCGGTATTGCAGACGCACGATCCGGCTTTATAAAGCGACAGATCATCAAGATAGATGACCACGATGGCTACGACCACGTAACCATTGCTGATCGGAGTACCATCGATCCACGTCTGCTGGATCCCCGCAGCGAGCGTAACAACGCGAGCAGCTCGTCTTCCTTGCCCAGCCTCTTGAGTCAGTCAACGTCGGGCCGGCCGCTCCCGAACCCTGAAAGTTCGGAGACGTCGAGAGTGAATCTCCCCTTCACCGCCGAGGAGACTGCAATACTGGAAGCCGTACAAAGCGATCGTCGACGTCGAGAGGCCCGGGAGCAGAGAGAGCGTGAGCAACAGCAGGCCGCTAGAGGAAGTGCATGGAGATCATCAGTTTGGGCCGATCGTGTAAGTCCCCAGCGAAGGGCACCTAGCTTCGCAAGAGGGCGAGGGCAAGACATCTTTAGATTACAACATCTAACGACTTTGCAGCGTGATACGCTGACACGGATTCTCGAGCGCGAACGGGCTCGGGAGAACCGTGATCACCATCGCTCGGCAACTACTCAGACGCCTCCCGAACAGGACCGCGAGAGGCGGGCTCCCACGCCGCGGAGAAGAAGCTCAATAATGCAGGCATTAACGCAGACCGTTGCATCACAAGGCGCGGGCGGTAATAATGAGAGTTCCAGCACCTCGCGAGGCTCATCTTCGCCGTGGCTGGCGGGTCGGCTCACGTCCGGATGGGCTGATCTGGAGGCATTGTACAACATGGGTGGTGGGGACGGGGGTGGGACTGGGACTGGGACTGGGACTGGGGCACACGACGCACCTCGTACCGAGTCCAGCCGGGTTCGCCGTGCTATACCGGTAATCAGTGACGTCTGGAGCGACGACATATCCGGGTTCCGTCGAACGTACGGGCGAGCAAATAGTCGCGAGCATCAGCAACACTCCGACGACACTGCTGGCCTGACTTGGAGCGAGGACGGGCGGACACTGTGAGTACCCCTTTCGTCCACCCAGATGCCGCGTTTGCATTGCTGACCTGTGGTGGTAGGTACGTTGGCGCCGAAGATGGTATATACGAGTTTCACGTCAACCAACAAGATAGGAAAATCTTCTCGGACCTCACCCTTCGTTGATACCCACACACGAGCTCGCATTTGGAGCCATTCGATAATGTAGGCAGGCAGGCAGCCAGGGGCAAACGGCGTTTGGAGTATACCTACACATGCATATGTCAGGCGGTGCGTTGGCATTCGTATGTTTTGGCACTTGTGGTTTGAACAGTGGGCGGCCTCAGATTTGCTCACGCACAGTCGATGACGGACGTGTATGCGGCATTTTGATCCGTCGTCTCGCATCTCCAAAAGTACTGCTTGGGCGTTCGTGTGGAGCTGCGTATTCGAAGCAATGATGATGCTGGGCGGAGGAGTAATGGCTTGTCATACCTATATATAGCCAGCCATGAGCATCCATCATGCTCTACTGATGCTCCTGCTGCTGAGCATGTATGTATATACCATGTAAAATATGAGTACAATTTTGTGCAGCGGCTCACTCGCTCAACTCTACTCTTGCTCGGAATCTTTACTCTATGTGTAATCGTCCACCTTCAGTCCGTCCATACCACCTAAGGCCCCCTCCGTACCAAGCCAACCAAGTCAAACCGATTCCCACGAGACCATCTAGCTCTCCCATTTCAACAGACATTCTAACAGGTGCTGCGTAGTTGTATTAGCAGAATGCCCCTTTATAACTGTTGTGCTGCGTTACCCGCTGGCGCAACAAGCTGGCCCCAGGCAACGAGTCTCGTTGCAGTCCTTCTCGACAAGTCAGCATTCGCGGGTGTCTTATGGGAAGCGCCTTACAGGGAGGGACACATACACATTTCTCGCGTTCGGTAAGGCTGCTTGAATCATCATCGGAGGCACTGAGAGGCGTGGCCGCTGCCATGAAGACGAAGATTGTCGTCGTGACGAAGACGGAGAAACGCATTTTCGGAATAATAATAATGGATGATTGATTGTAAGCGGCGCTGCCTTCTGGGGGGGTTTGGGAAGTGAGTGCGGAGAGTCGTTCGAAAAGTGAAGAAGTGAGGAGGTTAGAGAGGTATGGCGGGCGATCAACGCTTGCAGTGTTGGTGTCTGTCTATGTGTATATAGCTATCTACAGAACCAGCAAGACTACCTAGGTAAACACCACAACACGAAAGAGGGACGGACCATTGCCATCTTATAAGCGCCTTTACTGTAGGTACCTAGGTAGCCAGTAAACATGTTCTAAAATTCGAAACCTATATAATGCCCAAATAAGCTGTTGTTAGGGACACCGTCGTCGCGAGCGTAGGTAGTTGTTGCTAGCAGATGGGCGTCCCTTTCGATATAAGCGCCGGCGACCCCCCTTGTTGAAACAGAGTGCTGGTCTCGTGAGTATATTTAGGTGTGGGATGGTGGCCGGCCGGTCTCCAGATGAGGCGCCGGCCGCGACGGACGGTGCTATCGGGTCCGGCATTGGACCTATTGCCTCGGATTGCGTGGCTATGTTAGATGTGGGATGGGATGGTTCGAAAAATCCGTGTTGGGATTGACGATGTTGGAGTAGGTGGATGAGGAATTATCAGGGGAAGAACAGGTGAGTTGACTGCAGGTACCGTAACCGGAAACAAGAGGTTGGTTTCTAGAACTCATCGTCAGTTTCAGAGTCTTAAAGTCATCTTTGTCTCACTCAAATCACGTCCATCCTCGAGCTCGCTCTGCGCTGCACTGCGCGCAGCCCAGAGAGTGGGGGCCAACGCATAGATACCGGAATAACACAACCACCTGAATAATACTTCAAACAGGTGGCATTACCACCTAAAAACAGGTATAAATTCATTAGACGCTGCTCCCCCACGACTGTTTATGCACGGAGTAGCTGTAGGATGCCATCTCGACCCTCCGCCTCCGCGAGAGATGAAGCAGTCAGGCCATTTCCATCCTTTATACCTACATCCGCACCTCTCTGCAGTAGGAACTGAACAACCTCGGCGTCGCCCCTGGAAACCGCAGCATGCAAAGATGTCCTTTGCCTTGCTTTTACCACTATGCTCTGAGCGTGCTCCAGCTCTGCTCTGTCTCGAGGATCGGTGGTGGTAGGAATACTGCCGCTGTCGCTGCCGAGGCTCCGCGACGGAACGCGTACGTGATTGATGTCCAGACCATGCCGGTCCAGAAGCCATCGCAGTATCTCAACGCTACGACCGCTTCTGGTCTCGACCGTCTTGACCAGCGTGTCGTTGTCTGGTGTGATGGAATACGCATCCCAGAGATATTGAATAACTTCAGGCTGGCCTTTCGCCAAGGCCAGGTGTGTTAGGAGGACTTGTTGTGACTTTGGATCTGAAGACAAAAAATTGGGCTCTTTGCTTTTCATGGCGTCGAGCAGAGCAACCCCTTCGGCGCCGTTGTTGCTGGTCGCGGCAATCCGTGCTAGATTCAGGGACGGCGGCGCTGTGCCGGCGCGGATGCGACGAGCCCATTCTGCGGCAGACATGGGATCATTGACGGATGATCCGGGGGCAGCACTCATAACGAATTGTATGCGTTACAGGCTCCCGAAGCATGGACTGGTCGGATTTTCCGCCCAGATATCGGGGATGAGTTCTTTCGAAGGATTTAGTGCTGTTACCTATGATCCGGCGGCCGTGCATTTAGCAGACAGTAAAGGGATGGGTCCGTCCCGAATACGCCCGCCGCTTCCAAGAGGCCGGCCAAAACGGAAAACCCGCCCGCCCGCCGTTTATTACGTACTAGCTTGACTACCACCTCGCCCATCTCGCACGCAATGCTTTAGGGGTGAAGAAAAATATATTGGTCCGAACAAGAGTTGTACTTCTCTCTCTCGTTCGAATCCGTGGCGAAGCCCAGCCGAGTATATTGTAACTGGCTGAGTGAGCTTGAGATCGAGTGCGCCGGGAAGATTGCGAATCATGAAATCATAGCTGGCGCAAATCGCTGAAGTACGATTTCAACCAACTCAGGTCGTTTATACCACCGACTTTACCCACTCGTCCGCCCGCCCGCCCACTGGCATAATAAGTATTGACCATGTTCGCGAGAGCTTCGAAACGGCAATGCCTCGCGAGGCCCCCCGGCGAGCTGCTGGCTCGTTCGTTCTCTAATACCGCGCCGGCGAGAGCAGACTTCACTCATGTGGTGAGTATCTTTCCGTGACCCGTCTCACCCACGCACCCACCCCGCCGCCATGGACGAGAGGCGTAACATACATGTATCCATGATATATGTCCCGAAAAGGATATAGACTTCGCACACCCGAACCCGAACCCGTTCCCCCTCCCGCAAGCCCATCAACCATCAAACCACAAACTAACCCCAGCTTCCTAGGTAATAGGCGGCGGCGCCATCGGCCTAGCCACGGCGCGCGCCCTCGCGCTCGCCCAGCCCTCCAGCAGCACGCTCCTCCTGGAGCGGCACGCGCAGCCCGGCACCGAGACGTCGTCGCGCAACAGCGAGGTCATCCACGCGGGCCTGTACTACGGCGCGGGTTCGCTCAAGACGCGGCTCTGTATCTCTGGCAAAGAGGCATTGTACGCCTTCTGCGCGGCGCACGGCGTCGGGCACGCCAACACGGGCAAGTGGATCGGTATGTAACGTTAAGCCCTAAACAAACAAACAAACAAACAGATATTCTCGAAAAGGTCTCGGAAGGGAGAAATTTATTCCCAGTCCTCTGTTTTTTTTGTTTTTTGTTTTTTTGCCGCCGAGGCAGGCAGGCAGGCTCTCTCTAGCTGTTGAGAACGAATAGGGAGGGCTCTGAAGTTTGCAAACTCTTGTTGGAACATCACCGGGCTGGGCTGGGCTACATACCTTACCCGAGCCAAGAGATAGTATCGTACTAACCTAACCAACCTGTGTTGCAGTGGCGCAAGACGCAGCGCAGCGCGAGGTCCTCGAGCGCACGCACGCCTACTGCCGCGACGAGATCGGCGTGCCAACGCGCTGGGTCGGCGCCGCCGAGGCCGCGCGCGAGGAACCATCCGTGCGCGCGCGCGCCGGCGTGCTCGCCAGCCCCACGACGGGCGTCGTGGACTCGCACGGCCTGATGGTCGCCTTACAAGGCCAATTCGAAGACGCGGGCGGCACAACAGCCCTAAACTCGCGCGTCGACGCCATCGAGCCTTTACCAGGGAGCAGCAACGACAAACCCGGCAGCGGCGGCTGGCGCCTCACAGTCGCCGACAGCAACAGCAGCACGGGCTCCTCCTCCTCGACCTCGACCATCACCACCGAAACCCTGATTAACAGTGCTGGTCTCGGCGCCGTCGCCGTGCACAACATGATCGCGCCCCCGGCAGACCAGCGCCAGATGTTCTACGCCAAGGGCAACTACTTCAGCTACGGTGCCTCCTCCCCAAAGACGAAACGCCTGATTTACCCCGTCACGGCCCCGGGCGCCGGCGGGCTCGGCACGCATCTGACATTGGACCTGGCGGGCCGGCTGCGGTTCGGGCCCGACGTCGAGTGGGTCGACAGCCCCGACGACCTTTCCGTCAACACGGCGCGGTTCGCGCGCGCGCTGGACGAGATACGGGCCTATCTGCCGGATGTGGACGAAAAGGCGCTGGCGCCGGACTACGCGGGCATTCGGCCGAAGCTGGCGCGCGCGGGCGCCGTGGGGAGTGGGAAGGGGTTTGTGGATTTCTACATCCGTCGCGAGGAGGCCTTCGAGGGCTGGGTCAACCTGCTGGGCATGGAGAGTCCGGGGCTGACGAGCTGTCTGGCCATCGGGGATTACGTGCGTGACCTGCTATATGGGAGTCAGAAGGTCGACTGAGACATAGCGTGGAGGAATGGAATGGAGTTGCCTTGGCTTGCTACGGATGGGCTTTGGGTGGTATGGACTGGATTGAACGATTAGACATAGAGCAAAGATTCCAGAGCAAGAGTAGAGTTAAGCAAGTGAGCCGTCGCTCTCGAGCTTTCGCGATTCTGGTTTCCTGAATATGTACGCAGGTAGACTCCAGCTAGGCCGGGAAATAACACATACTCAATCCTGGATAGGACCGGAAACCGATTTTGCTAGTGTTGACATGTTTTGGATGACAATGGTGAAGACAAGTGATCCATAGTCCCTGCTCAACGTGCTGTCCTGGCTTCCATCCCCAACGCCAAACGGAAACAGATTCTGAAAAAGCATGAAAGCACCCGTGTTCTTGGCCCTTAAGAGATACGACAGTGTCCTAGACCGAGTGAATCCCCTCGACCATAAGAAATCGACAGATCTGTACGTCTTATTCGTCCTTTGCGGCATCTGATGCTAGTCCATCAAGTTGAAGGGGCTGTTCATGGGATGTGTGCAGCTGACACTTGATGTGCACATCGGGATGGGCAGACCAAGGCATCGTAGGTCGCGACAACTTCGTCGACTACCACAGCTGGCGGACATCACAGAAGGATGTCAAGCCCTACCGCTGGCTGTGAGGTGCGAGCAGCAGCTGCATCCTCTTCTGACACCGAAGTGGCATGCGTCAGATGTGAATGATGAGCCGGCTCGCGTGTCACCGCAGCAGCACTTGCATGTGCCTCGTTGACTTGACGCTCTGGGGTCGGGTTAGCATTGGACAGCTAGTATGACAACCCAAATGTACTTACCGAGTTCACGGATTCTGTGGCGCAACATCTGATTCTCACGAACCAGCGACTGCGTCTCGGCCTGATAGTAGACACTCTCGTCACGAACTCCTGACAGATGTGGCTCGCCTTCTTGGCTAAAGGAGGTTGATCTCATTCGCGGGGACGAAGCGCCACGACTTGGCGTCCTAGATCCGCGGTGCAGTGCATCTCGAGCCATGTCGAAAGACAATCGAGGCTGTGAGAAGACTGGTGATCGAGGTGTAGAGGCCAAGGGTGTCGGGATAGCTGATGTCACATCTATATTCGGCTGCGTTACGGAACTGGAGCGCTCCGACGTAGGTGTAGGGTCCTCAGCAGCTACACTTGTCTGGCTTTGTCCTTGACCTGTCTGGAGCTGTTGGAGCTGAAGCTGTTGCTGGCGGATCATTTGTAGAAGCCGGTTCTGTCAGTGTAATCATTTTAGCACCGTCATAACCTCATCCATGCGACGAGGGGTACACATACCACCTGAGCTTCCTGCTCGGCCTCAAGCTCTTGATGAAGCTCTCCCAGGCTCGGGGCTCTGTTGTGGTGGGGATCGCCACCAGTCAAGGAGGGCGATGTCGACATGCGCCGTGGGCTCAGCGCGGCAGGCACACCATGTCCTTCTCCCTCTGCGGCTAACTCGCCCGGACCGGGGAGGGATGGATCGTTGAGCTGGAGGTTCATCAGGACTGTGGAGCGTCTTCGGCCGGTCTGGGGTGACTGTCGGTGTCGCGATATAGAGCTGCTCGAGGAACCTGCCATTAGAAGCTCGTGTCAGCGGTATTTGTGTGTCAGTGTCGGTATAATGTGGACCTACGTCGAGTTGGCTCATGCTGCAGGCCAGCGTTCACGGTGGCGGCAGCTTGTAACGAGATGGAGGCAGTACGGGAGGAGGGCGAGGGCGACTCCCTTGGTGGGGCAGCGGCTCCTCCATTGCCATTGCCGTTGTCGTTGCCGTTGCCATTGCCGTTGGTCGAGGTCATGATGCGAGGGTATCCGGTGACTGGCGATGAAGACGGCGGGAGTGAGTTGAGATCAGGAGACATCTCGACGATCGGAGGGGTAAGTTATTAGGGGTCCAAGCAGCAAGGTTACATAGGCCGCCTTGCTAGGCAGGTAGGCAGGTAGGATCTGAAGGTGGTGGGTGGTAAGGTGGGTGCAGACAGAGACACCTGCAGGCAGACAAACAGCCAGGGCGCTTGGGGCTTGGGTGACTGCGCGAACGCCGAAGAATACCTGTCGACCTCAGGCTAGGAAGCGTCGGTGCTCAGGTGATCGCAGAAGGTTCAGGTTGTCTCCAGGTTGCCCAGGAAGGCTGCGATAGGTCGGGTGTTGGGAAAGGTTCGCAGCCCAGCAAGGTGGTGTGATCCAAGACATCTGGAGTGTGCATGTGGTCTCCAGGGTGTGGTTCAGCTTCAGCGCTACGTCAGATCTGGTGATGGTGGGGCAATCAGAACTCAGAAGGAGCCAAGCCACACCTGGCGTCCTGGACCCCTACATTTCAACTCAGCCTGGAGTGATTCCATGCTTCCACATGTGCACAAAGAGCCGCAGTCCAACTGAGTACAACGCAAACAAGTCAACTGGTACATTCACTACCAGATATACCAGTCAACAGGCGAGTGCCACAAGTGAGTTGTTTCCATGGTACTCAGCTAGGCACATGTACGTAATACCTACAGATGACTGAGGTACGACAGCCCCAGAAGCCAGAGGCACGTGGACCCTAGCCACATGCAAGTACAGTTACAGTTCCGGATGTATGACCCGCCATGATTTGGAAACTTCCATTGGACGATCACCTTGGATGAGCAGCCAGCTTCATGTACGACGCGCCTCTACCGCCAGCATCGCAAGAGTGAGAGTTTGCACTTCTAGGACACTGCCTGTAATCCTGAAACACATGCAACATACTTTTAAAAGCAGTGGCATCTCCCGGACCACGATCTCCTACAACAGTATCCTTTCATGGAAAGAGCTGTTGCTAGGTATGGTGGCTTGCTTTGAGGGAGCTCAAAGCAGACATTGAGCTCAACTGGTAGTATACTGTCTCTCTCTATCGCTTCCTGTCGAATGCTTGATGGAGGAAGCTCATCTTGGCCCATCTTTTTGGCCTCAAGTGGCCCTTCCAACTGGGTTAGAGATCCCGAAGAAGCCGCAAGGAGACCAGAGAGGACGATTGGATGGGTAAGTTCCCAAGCTTGATATCCATCATTCGCATACAACGTGACGTTGAAGGCGAGCGATCTCCCAACCGAAACCAGGAGACGCAGCCGCGGCAAGCGACTATGTCGTATGCCCTCGTGGACTCTTGAGCGCACCCACAGGCCTGCCAGGGAAGGATGATCCGAGGCTTACGGACGACAGAACCTGCCGCAGCCGCAGCCGCATAAGGTTCGATCATGGCAGCAAGGCACGTTGTCCCCAGCGACAGCCGGCAGGCCCGCGACGGTCCATACGAGCCGAATACGGCTCCGATCTTTCCAGATGATCCCTCGCCGACCTGGATATAGTCCGCACCGGGTGTCAAGGCAACCGGCGTCGCCAGCGTCTCGTAGGGCTGGCTGAGCATAGCCGCCTCATCAGTGTCAGCTTCCACAGTGATGGGAGCATAAATATTCCAGGCGTAATGATTCATCAATCATCAAAACATGGCCCAAGCACGAGACGGACAAGATTAGTGATCCCACGAGAGAGGACAACTCATCAACCCCACGATCCGGTGGCACCACCCTGTCATCCCAGCATACGGGACCGTGAAGGAGCCGGATGCGGTCGAGGCGGTCAAGCGATGCTTGTCAGCCGCTGCGTCGACGGGGCCCGAGGGAAGGGATCCAGGAGCAGATCAGGGACGGGGTCCCATCTGTAATCCAACTGCCCCCATCTTGGCCATCTGTTCTTTGTGCGCTGCAGACTCTGCCCTGTCGGAGGAATGCCTACTACTCCATATTATGTTCGAAAAGCAAGAAACATGCCAGCTTGAAAAGATGAAAAAGAAATTTCGTCCTTGTTCTGGCCCCTGTCCCGGTTCTCTTCAACCTTGCAGCCGTTCGGGGGAATGGAGTTTGCAAAGTGGGTGCGACAGGGAAGTGTGAGATTTGGCAGCTGTAGGTTTTTATTCTTAGTACAGGAACAGCTGATTCTGGTCACCGCTTGAAAGTCACCTGTTAATAATAAATTTAAGGTTCTAATGCGATCGATTCCACTTGCCCAGCGACAAGAAGACGGTGAGAGAGGGAATGTCTGCGAACGGCAACCTCATTTTTGAGCCGTGCCAGCTGCAGCCGTTGGGAGAGGATTTGTTTATGCTGTCGTGTCCATTGCCGGCACCCATTTGGCTAAAGTTCGAAGTCCGGAGGGGGAAGGCCCACACCGAGAAGCCGTTACCGGTGTTCGAGCAGAAATGTTGCTTGCTATGATGAGCGAGAGTGCCCAATGCCCATCAATCATCTCAGAGTCCCAGAACGGCAAGGTCCATACTTTCAGCTTTGGGCGCCGGCGCATTCGCTCGATTGGGCTGAACACGGAGTTCGCGCTTCGAGGCCGCTTCCTAATAAGAAGTAAGCTTACCAAGCGTAAACAAACGGCCACATGAAGGCCCAAGTTCTGAATGAAAACATCGCATGAACTTTAAAAATCTAGATCGTAACCAAGGAAACTCCCTGCTCTGAAAGTAGCTCGTAGGTGATCGCTCGATTTCGTTGATTTCCTTACATAATAAAATGCGAGATCCCAAACGGTGATCTTCATCCCAAAAGAGGTCTAGAATCCAAGACAATGGCAACGGTCTGACCCCAGTTTCGACTAACAACGTATAAGTGGTGTCCCTCCCTAGAGCCGACAGTCGTGATACATTAGAGCGCAAAGGTCTTGTGCGCGTAAGAAGCCGAGAGTACTAAACGCGAACTTGGAGTACTGGCCTGGTTTGGAAATGCCGATGGTGTAGCTGCCGGCCGTCACATCAACAGATGGCTGAGGTGCTCGTGGGGAGGAAAAGTCCCGAGAAGTGCCTGGCCTGGTCTGGTGCATGACACTACTGCAGGAACGACGATGGACCAGCCGAACAAAACTCGACGAGTCGACGCCACAAGCCTTGGGCGACGGGAAACTTGAGCTTGCAGATTTTGGTGCGACGTCAAATTGCCTTTACGAGCTTTTGCCAGAGCAGGACGGACGTCAGATGGCGCAGCTAGTCTTTTATGGCGTAGCTGGAATTACCGAGCTGTGGGTAGTCCAACGCCAGCCCGACCCGTCGACCCGACTGAGGAGTCTTTGCTAGCCCGTGGTCGAATAGCGAGAACAAATATCAGTGGGAGCGACGAGTACATAGTAGAGGGCGGACTTGGTTTCAGGTGACAGGTTGTGACTAGTCAAATGTTTGTGACTGGTGTTGAAGATGACGACAGCTATTCTTCATCCGAAGTACACAGCTCGTATCTCGAAATGACGAGTGTCCTGACCGTTCTGTATGTCGTAAACCGTAACGGATAGGGACCATCAGCTGAGCTGAATGAAGGCGCATGTAGCTGCCCGTCTGTACGACGACGCACCACAGAAGGATAGAGACATCCCGTGGGAAACATGGCGTTCGGACGAAGCGAAGCTGGCAGTAGGTACCGTGCAGTAGCTGATCAGCAAGCAAGACTGACGAATGGGACATGAGAGGCTCTCGTATTTGTGACGAGTCCGGAGCCGATAGATCGCGGAGGCGGCCCGCCACCGCACCATAGCACCGCAGCTGCTCGTCGCCAAATACCGGAGGGCGGGAAAGAGACCAGCGAGGTAATAAAGGTAGGGCGACCATAGCGTTCCCTCTTCTGGGGGAACACAGAGATGTTGCCAATAACTCAACTGCATCCTGCGAGTACCTTTTCAGCCTGATCTTTTGAGCACTTGCTATCGATAGTCCGATGCTCTCATGCTGTGTACCGTAATTCGCAATGGATGTGATTTGGCATCATGGTCCATACATAGGAGGGTACGACAGAGGTGCGGCATGTTGCTGAAAATTACCTAGATACCTCCATAAGCATTGTTGCGGCATGCTACTCTCGAATAACGTGTAAGATGATCATTCCCCGGAGTTTACCGGCGTATTAGCTGCAATTGGAGTCGGAAGCAACATGCAATGCCGTGCTGATGCAACGCTGATCGATGGCCATCACGTCCTGGCACGTCGTTGATTCGCTGCGAGGTCCAGGGGCACGCAGCGCGTTTCTGCTCACGGATTCAAAACAACATCGGAAACCCTGGACGTACCTGGGACGCACAGGACGTGACAACCGCGTGCAGGAAATAGGAAATTGGAGTCCATCTTGGTCACACGGCTGTAATGTAGTTGCGTTCCAGAGGGTGGTCACTGGTGACTTGGTTCAACGACCGCTTAACCAGTCGAGGCTAGAGTTTGGGTCGCGAATTTGCGCTTCCACACCGGCACCCACTGTCCACATACCAGTGCCACATGTAGTCGTACCAGCACAGACTCGCCCAGCAATACAGCGCCAAAGGAGAACTGATGTACTAGGTAATAAAACCACCTGCAAGTCGTGGGCCATGGTGAACATTGATCACTGATCATGCCGGGTAGTCCATCCCCCTTGCATCAGATCAGGCACCGCATTCACTTCGCGACTACATACCCAGAGAGTCACAGTCGAATTGTGACAGTGGACAGGCTGCATTCGTGACTGGACGTGCCAAATCACAGGATGCCCATTGAACAACGCCAGGCCCGAGGATACGGCACAATTCTACAACACTGTGTCTGAAGCTGCCCGCTGGCACTGGAGGAGCAGAATGCCGGTCCAGTGGTACCTAACAGCCCCTGCAGGGCACGTTGCAGGGCACCCCGGCCGCCCCAGCCCAGCACGTCAGGGCGCCAGGGCATGACCCGGGAGCCTGGAGTGCTTGGCCAGGTGGGGCCCTCGCCATCCTACATCCCATCCCACTCACGAGTCACTGCTCAGGTCTCAATGGTCGGGTGTGACTTGAAGTAAGCACGGGCACGCTTCCATCTCTTCCCCCCTCCCACCTTCGTGCCTTCATCAACGGCCTCTCAGCTGGCCGCCGACAACCAACATTTTAACATTTTCTGCTCCCAGTTGCATGCCTACCTACCTTACCTATTCCCAAGGAACCGTCTCCTGTCAGATGTGACTCGTGAGACTGCGAAGAAACACGCCAACCCATGACACGCCCTCGTCATCAGATACCTTGGGTACCTACATGTGCATCTATGATCTGATCATTCCTGCCTGCATTTCTACTGCGCACAGGTCAACGGGTCTTTGATTCTTGTTTTCCCACGCGCTCTTTCGCCCTAATTATAACGTCACCAAGTCTCGCAAGCTCTCACCACTCCGTCAGCTCCACCACGAAAGCCCCGCCTCACATCTCGATACTCGACCTACCTCTCATTTTTAGACTAGAGCCGCCCGGTGGGCTTAGCAGCTCCAGTCCACGGTTGCTCCGGACTGGAAGACGTCAAGGCACCCTTCAAATCCAGAGTTCCCGTGAGAACCGCGCCTGAGGAACTTACACTGCAGGGTCACCCTTCACACATTTCACGCGGCCTCATACTAATCGCGCCGTTGTTGACACATACTTGCGACTGCGGCGGTGCGGTGTTGGTTGTGCTCTACATGCCTACATGCCTGCGACAATTTCGTTCCACCTTACGCATTGGTCATCGTACAAACATCATATGTTACGCTGCTCCCCACGCTGCTCTGCGCATGTCTTTAGGTGTCTGCTCTCCTTCTTCAGTATTCTCTAGTCCACATCTCCTTGAACCGTCAGCAAGAACATTGCCTTGTCAGCTGTCCTCACAACGCATTGGAAATACAGGCCATGGCAGAATCACTGGCGAGCCCGCAGAGTGGCACATTCGAAGCACTACAAGCAATAAATCAGCGCGCGAGTAGTGGGCGACGACCACGACCAGCCGACATTACCATCATCGGGGACGAAAATAGGATCCCACTGCGCGTCAAGAGGTCGATGAAGCGGGAATCCATGGTTGGCTTGAGGAACATATTCGGCAGGTCAAAAGCGGGGAAGGACGACGATGTCGCTGAAGAGTCAGCGTCCCTACAAGAGTTGCGATCTGGTGGAATTCGGGCTTCATTGGCCGAGATCAGCAATTGGCCTCACAGACTACACTCCTCACGCTCGCAGCTGTCCCTGTTGAGTCCACCATCAACTGCGTCGAGGTCTACCGCCGATCTTCTAACCCCACCTCGATCACGGCAAGGCAGTGCCGACAAGGAGAAGCCTCTACCGCTCGCGCCCCAGAAGGCGCAAGCTGCGGCGATGGGTTGGGAAGCACCACCATTGTTCAAGGTCTTCACCCAGGCTGTGAAGCATGCGACCTTGCCGGCGTGCAATGTTTCCATGGAGACACTCGCGCGCCTGAGCGACTTGTCACAGAGCAACAACCACGGGCTGGATCAAGTTGGGGACCATGGAATCGACAGAAAAGGCGATACGGTGAAGAGGAGGCAGCGCATCGCCGGCCGAAAGAATTCTTTGGATTGGACAAGGAAAATATATGTCCTTGTCACCTCCGGATACATCCTGCAATATGCCGTGGATGGCAACTTCGACAGGTTACCAGAAAAGGTCTTGCAGCTTACGAAAGACTCCGCTGCCTACGCCAGCGATCTGATTCCCGGTAGACATTGGGTCCTGCAGGTGGCTGCATCAACTGACGCGGACGGAAACCCGTCGTCCGACCACAAGTCGCTCATGACCAAGCTTTCTCCAAGAGGCAACGACCGGAGACAGGTCTACAAGACCTTGCTGATTTTTGAAAACCCCGAGACGATGGACGACTGGCTGGCAACATTGCGGCGCGAGATCGAGTCTCTGGGTGGCAAAAAGAAGCTATCAGAGACTGGAAAACCCGACGTCCACGAAATCGTGAGTGTATTGAGAGAACAACCTAGCCAGAGGACACTTGTTCTCCGTGATCCAGAACGCTTCTCTCGTGTCGTCACCGAAGATTTCTCATACACACAAAAGAATGCTCTGATCGACCCTGCGGATAGCGGCATTTTTAATCCAGCCGCAGAGCGAACGTCGGAATCGACCCACGATGGTGACTCCACTACTGCGAGTCTAGTTTCAGCCGACGGCCGTCATCTCGAAAGCCTTCGTGATAGTCATGATAGTGGCATCGGCAACCGGCTATCATACATATCTTCGGGCCAGAGGACGGTTGTCACATCGACAGGCTCTTCCCCGGGCTGTTCTCCGACACGAGAGAGTTTCTCGAGCTTTGAGGATCCTCGAATTGCACCTGGTGTACCAGAAGTCCATCTGCGACCGAATGCTGCAGCAATCTCGAGTCGTCGAATGTCGATGCAAACTGCGGTGCCCGGCCTCGAGCCTGTTGAAGATACAAGTGCATATACACATTCAACAGTCTCAACTTCGAGTCAAGAGTGTCTTCAGCAATCCACGCCAGGCATACAAGCTGTGCCCAACTTCAGCGTGCCGCACACGGCAATCAGGCGGTTCTCCTCGTTGAGCCCAATATGCACTAATGTCACCGCGAAAGTATCGCAGACCCCTGAGCCCGAGAAGCCATCAAAGCCTATCCGAAGAACTCCACCAACAGCGCTCGCGTTGTCACGTCCTCTTTCGACAGTTGTTGATCAGCCAACTCCCGTATCTCCCCTCTCTGCGGTTTCCAAGAAGTGGAAGTCACTGAGTCCGTTCCCACGCGCTGCATCTGGGGCAAAGGACTCACCTATCAACGGCTCGTCCTGGACTAGCAACTACTCTGTACGCGAGCCACAAGGCAGGGCAGATGTCCCTAAAGTCCCCAAGCGGCATTCGAGTGTGATGTCGACCCAAATGGCGGACGCCGTTCAGTCAAGCATAAGCTCAAACCGAAGAAGTGTATTGCACTCAGACAGACTTGATGCGCCGGAGCACATTCCGAGAGCCGCTTCAGCGATGGATTCGTACGGCCCAACCCGAAGACTTTCGACGACCCCAAGTACCAAAAACCAACCCTTCAAAAGATCAGATTTCTCGGTCGACGGCTCATTCTCTCAGGACCTGCAATACTCATTCTCCCATCGCGCAGAACGGAGTGCACCTCGTAATGAGGAGTCAAGACCCGCACCCACGGTCGTATGCTCTTCCAAACGTTCGGCCTCATCACTGCGGACTTGTCAGCAGAGCCAGTCGCCGCCGTTCCTGGGCGTAGACCCAGACTTGAAAGCGCGCATGTCTCGAAGGAGCTTGCCTCAACTCGCAGAAGGACCGCCTCCGGCGCCGCCGCCAAACTGCGCACTTCCCCCTATTCCGAAGAAAGCCTCGAGAACACTCCGAAGCATCAAGGCTTGATTTATTGATGCACGTACCACCACAACGGCCACCCTTTTCTTTCCATGATGTTCTTCATTCGTGTATACCCCTTATGCCTGTTATGACCGATTATGATGGCGTTTTAGATTTGTACATAGACTCATCTGCTCCAAAAGCTGATATGGGTCCGGCGGCCCCTTTGGCTTGGCTGGTTTTTGATACCTTGAGGGATACGAAGAGATACCATCACAATGCAATGAAGAGACGATATAGGGCAGTGGGATGTACAACAGAAGCAACCCCCTACGCCACATAGCCTGGCTGGCTACCTCACATGACTTTTCCATAGCTAATCAAAGAAATTCTACATGCAACAAAACTTACCAGACTTGTGCAACTTGTGCATCCCAGTGCAAACACAACACCACCCCATATTGAAGTTTGAAAGATGTCGTTCCTCACACCCAATTGTAATGAACCTTTGCAGCTTGAACTTGGATTTATCCGAGTTTGGTAGATTCAAATGAGCTCGATGACTCACGAATGTCGAGGTGTGTGGCGGCGGAGACACAGACAGCACAGATACCTGGTGAGAGGCTGAACGCGGGGCAGAGATTGCCCCACACAGTCCAAACCTCCCTCAGAATTATTCTCCAAATCGCAAAAATCCACCTCTACTGAACAAACCGCCACAACCACAACCATCAATCAACGCAACATATCCCGCTCTTTCGACCCTCGATAAACAGCTGCGAAAACACCACGATCGCACACAGAACCGCCAATATGGCTTCGACCAAGAACAGGTACGCACTGGATCCTGCCGCATCCGACAAAAAAGGGTCTGCGCAGTTCGCTAATCATGCATGTGGAAACAGAGATTGGGCCGACGACGATGAGGGCGACGACGTCGCCATCGAGCTCCCGCCCCCGCAGACGATCCAGAACAAAGACGGCACCAAGACCACCATCTCGTACCGGCTCAACGACCAAGGCCAGAAGGTCAAGACCACGCGCCGCATCCGCCTCGTGACGCACCGCGAGGTCGTCAACCCGCGCGTGGCCGAGCGCAAGCACTGGGCCAAGTTCGGCCTGTCGGAGAAGGACGGCGCCGGCCCCCAGATGGACACGACGTCGGTCGCCGAGAACATCATCTTCCGCCTCAGCACCAACTGGAAGAAGGACACCAAGGACGAGGCCAAGGATCCCGACGCCAACGCCATGAAGGACAAGCTCAAGGACAAGACCGTCAAGTGTCGTATTTGTAACGGCGAGCATTTCACCGCCCGCTGCCCCTACAAGGATACCATGGCCCCCGTCGGCGCCGAGGGTGCCGCCGGTGACGTCGCCGCGGGCATGGGCGACGACGAGCAGCCGGGCGTTGGCGCTGCTGGCGCTGGCAAGAAGGGCAGCTACGTTCCGCCGGCGATGAGGGGAGGCCCTGGCGGTTCTGCTGCGGCTGGCGAGAGGATGGGTGGCAAGTACGGCGAGCGGGACGACCTTGCTACACTGCGTGTAACGAACGTGAGTTTCCCTTTCCCCTTCCTCATCCTTATGCAACCACCCTTCGAAACCCCTTGTTGTGTTGAACCCGTTGTGACTTTTCACTTCGTTTGTATGTGTTATGCTTGGTACTGACATGTATAATCACAGGTCTCCGAGATGGCCGAGGAAGGCGAGCTACGCGACATGTTCGAACGGTTCGGCCGCGTCACCCGTGTGTTTTTGGCTAAGGACCGCGACACGGGTCTTGCGAAGGGCTTTGCTTTCATCAGCTTTGCGGACCGGGGCGACGCCGTCAAGGCGGCCGCCAAGATGGACGGCTACGGTTTCAAGCATCTGATTCTCCGCGTGGAGTTCGCAAAGAAGGCCGCCTAAGTTGGATCAGCTGCGGCGTACGAACAGGCAGCATACCACAATGCCTGGGGCGATGATGATACGAAGACACAACCTCGACTTGGGCATGGGCACATGGCTGGGTCGGTCGGACATAGACTGATGCATTTTACACACAAGTTAATGGGATTACTATGGTTCTTGTACTCTGCACGGCATTGCTGGCTTCACGTGGCGTGACATGTTTCTGGGCAGTTTAGTGTGGATACTTGTCAGGTAGTATTGCCCGGCTTCTGAGCCGCGTCGATATGGTATCAAGTTCCTCTGCCGCGCCTTCTTTCAAGCTCTACCCCTAGGTACCTATGGGATATGAACGTGATAAATACAAGAATGTTGGAAAATCGGATATGACAGACAAGACAGACATGAGATCTGAGGTTGGAAAACCATGCATGGCCGGATTTGTGTTGAGAAAACGCCCTTGTCCGTTGCCCGTTGATGAGACTGAATGCTGTGTGATCTGGTTAGGGGGTTTACGTAGGTATGGTGTATAACGCCGTAGACCCCCATCCGATCCGATTCAGTCGCGTCGTTTGTTGGTGGACGGACCAAAGGGTGACGGGATTATGATTATGCATCATGGATGTTTTCTTTGCCTCGTGTGTGATCGGCGTTGTCTCGTCATATCATGTCGTGTTCGTTATAAGGAAAGAGTGATGAAAGAAAGATGGGTGTTCGTCAGGCTGACCCAAGAGCAAGCGATGTTGATTCCGGTTTGCGGGATCCCCCTGAGCCGTGTGGGGTCCTGGGAGGTGGACAATCGACGTGGAAGCCTATATCAGGTGTCTGTCGGTTGCAGAGATAATATTTTGGTTCGGATAGGAAATGAGCGTTGGTGTTGTTGTCCGTCTGGACGAGAGCGAGTGTTTGGAAAATCCGAGATGGAAATAAAGAGAGTATGTATAGCCGGGTGGCCGTCTGGAACATAGGAAATAGCGAATGTGTGTTGTTTTTTTGGGCCGAGAAAGGCGTGGCGAGCAGGGTGTTTGTTGCGTGTCGTGGTGGCCCAGCTTGGGGTATCATCGTTGTCCTCCTCCTCCTTCATCTTCACCTCTTGCCGTTGGTACACGCATATCGTACGGTAACCCCTACTCCGCCGCGCTCTTCTTGCCCTTCCCCTTCCCCTTTTTCTTCTCGCTCAGCTTCTCGTTCTCATCCTCGCCCTCCGCGGTCTCTCCACCCTCCGCATCATCATCACCATCCCCGTCCCCCGACCGCCGTGCCAGCTCCTCCTCAAGCTTCTTCTTCTGCTCCAAATGCCTCGCCCTTTTCCTTGCCTCCGCCTTCCGCCGTCCCTCCTCGCGCCTTTCGCCCGCCAGGTACGGCAATGCGCGCATTACGCCCAGCAGCCCTTTCACGCCGAGGCGCAGGTGCGTTGCCGCGGCCGCAAAGTGCGCCTTGGTTTCCGTGTAGTTGGTGCGCGCCGCCGACGCGTGCTTCTTAGCGCGGTAGGCACGCTCGGCCTTCTGGGCTTTCTGGAATTGCTCTGAGGCCTGCCGCCGGTTCGTGATGAGCAGGTTCTCGGTGCCTGAGGTGCCGGGGCGCTTGGTAGGGGCGGGGACGGGCTTCTCGAGCGTGATGGAGGATGAGTCCGCCGCGTCGTGGGTGGTAGGCTTGGCCATGGTGAAGTACGACGACATGTGATGGGTTTGTGTGTGGTATAGGGGTGGTGGTGCAGGGATGGGATATAGGTATTATAACTGGTGTCTTGGGCCGGTTCGAGGCTGGGGTTATTAGGTGCGTGCTATGGTATATAGATAGATGAGCGAGAGAGTGAAACCGCATGAGAGAAAACAGAAAGGAGTAAACAGCAGACGAGAAAGAAGGACGCATATATAGCTGGAGGTCTTCTATAGACTGACTGTTCGCCATACCTGTCACCATCGCACGAAAGGCACGAACGGCAGATGGGATCTATCGCGGTTCCAGGACTACCCTTCGATGTGCGTTGTGCATGTGCATTGTGCATTCCAGAAGTTCATGCGAAGATCATCGAAGACACTTGGTACTGCAGGGGATGCAACGTTTCTGTGGTCAGTGTGTGGGTGTTTGGTCGGTGGTGTTCCGAAGGCATAAGAATCCAATTAAACGCGAGTCGGGTGAGCCGAGCTTCATTTGTCCACCTCGCTCCCTCCTCGTCCGCACAGCACGAGTTCCTACGACATTGTGTGTCCTAGGTGGAGGGAGCCAGTACTCTTTTGATTGCCTCTTTGCCAATGTTTGCGAGGGTTCCAAGTCAGGCCAGGAAGTCGAAGATGGACAGGAGGCGTTGCATGGAAGGCAAGGAAGGAGGCAACATGAAGGTCACGCGCTCGACGCGTCAGGAAAGAGCAAGTCGAACCTAATCTGCTGTCTCCACTTTCACGGTACGAGACTACATACGAGTTTTGGACGACCTCGGTTGCTCGGGACCGTCTTCTGCCACACCACGACTACATACCGTATCTAGTCCGCACTTGATTCGAGTTCTAGATACGGCTACAATTTAGACGTGCAGAGTCAACCACTATGGAGGACAGCGACTCCGAAGCTTATGACTATGATGAGAATGACCACTGTGACAACTATGACCACTATGATGGCTATGATGACTTGAAACCCCAGCCTTCCGACTGCGAGGACAGCGGCTCCGAAGCTTCTGACCACGGGATGCCACTTGGCCAGGGCCATGGACCACTGCACGACCTGGGTCTTCTCCTCGGACAAGCGCCCACCGAGCGCGTCGAGTTCTCCTTCGGCGGCGAGATCGACTTCCTGCCTGCAGCACCGGGGCTCAGCATCGACGGCCTGGGCCATATCGCGCTCCCTGTCGTCGAAGACGCCCAGGCCGAGGCCATCATGAGGGTCTGCGAACAGTCCCCATTTGGGCACGGCCTCGAGACCCGGACCGACACGTCCGTACGCAACTCATGGGAACTAGATCCTGCCAAAGTCAGCATCCACAATCCCGCCTGGGGGGCCGGCATCGACATCGCGGCCATGATGATCGCCGACAAGCTGGGCGTTCCCAACGTGCCCATCTCGCTGCACCTCTACAAATTCCTGTTGTACAAGGAAGGCGGCCACTTCGCCAAGCACCGGGATACCAAGGAGGACGACATGTTTGCCACCCTGGTGGTCCAGCTTCCGTCTGAGCACCAGGGCGGAGAGCTTGTCGTGTATCGGGACGATGCCGCAGAACCTGTTCGACACGACTTTGGTCAGGCTGCTGGCAAATCCGCTTACGCTTGTCACTACGCCGTCCACTATGCTGATGCAGAGCATGCTGTCACACCCATCACGCGTGGATATCGACTCGCCCTCGTGTACTCTATCTGCTGGCCCCGGTCGAGCGCCCAGCCAGCCGAAACCCGTGATATCAACAAACAACTCAAGACTGACATGGCCGAGACCTTGACGGCTGTGGCCCGCACTGGCCGCAGTTTCCATCTTTTCTTTGACCATGCGTACACGACCAAGACCATTGAGGCTCTAGGTATCGCCGGCCTCAAAGGCATAGACAGAAGTCGCATGGCCGTGTTGAGCGAGATCAACGCCGCGGCGCCGGGCGATGCCCGCTTCGCCTTCTTCATCGCAGAGGCAGAGATGCACGCCAACTTCTACGGCACGGCTGGCTGGCTATGACAACTGGGAAGAATGCGACGCCCCAACCCAGACATCTACTACGTTGTACTCGCTCGATGGACAGACCCTACGCACCTCTAGCAGTAAACTCTCGGAAGACAACGTTCTGAATCCGGATTTTAAGTCCAGGATGCAGCTGTGGCACGGTCAGCGCAAAATTACCTACGAGGGCTACCTAGGCAATGAGTCGCCACCCAAGGACTGCACATACCATAAGTTTGTCTTGATTGCGTGGCCCCGGCAGGCCGACCTAATGGCCCACGTCGGAGAAGCGGCCGCGTTTGCGGCCCTCGTAGGTGACTGTCCCTCGGTCCAGGAAGTCAACGATTTTTTGAGGCGACTCGTGGCACACCGGGCGAAGAAGCCTCGGACTAAATCTTTTTATTCGGCCTATACTGATTCTTGGTTTTCGTCCGGTACTCTGGAACCTGAGCACCGTGGTGACAACCAGACCATGCGGCGCAAGTTGTTCAAGACGGTCATGCAAGGAGCCCCTTTCCACTCCCTCGTAAGCCTATAGCTAGACTCACATCCCACGGCCGTCGATCTGCTAGGCCCGAGTAACACAGGCTGGCCCTCACATAAAGCCACCGCTGACTTGCTCGACATCATTCGGACGCCGGCCCTTTGGGATTAAGCCTCAGTACGCCAAAGAATCGTGGAAGCCATCAGAGACGACGAGAAGTGCACGGTCGGTATTGTTCACACGTGTCTCTGGATAGACTTGCCGGAAGATTCCTTGCGTGCTTTGGTCGACGTCCTCCTCGATGCTCAGCAGAAACCCATCGAGACAACTCTCCTGAATGACGCCAAATTCCAGGCCCGACTCTGGCCGTCGCTATGAAACTGCATGACAGTGCTTTGTGCGAGAAACTAGTCACGCGACACCTCGCGTTGCCGCTGTCGCGACTCGCAGTACCCATAGGGGCCTTGAATATGTTATCCACGAAGCGAATCGACCTGTACGATTCGAAGCGCCAGTTGCTCAGTCCCATCATCCAGGCCCGGCTAGCATGGAGCGAGAAGGCGCAGCAGGGCTTGTTAGAGGATACCACCTTCGCCGACGGCTGGGGCGAGAAGCAGTGGCAGACATTGATCCGAGCGCAGGCCAAATTGCGGATCCTGTTACAGGACCGCTCGGGCTCGGCGCGGAGCGATGGCGGCGAGGACGGGGACGCGCATTTGGAGAAGAGGTAGCGGACAAGTTAATCTTGACATGTGTACACTCAGCCTCAAAAGTCTCCGTGCGCGCTATGTTAATAAGAGTCAACGGTTGTCCGTGGCAAATTTCGAAATACAGGAATAAGCATACATGAATAAGCAGCTCTGGTTTGATACGCTATTTTCAGTGCTTATTCCAGTGTTATTATTACAATTCTACATATACCGTTGTTTTCTAGAGGGTGGTGTACGGAGACTTATGAGGGTCCAGTGTACCCTGTCAAGCCGTGAAATATCCAGTAGGTATTTTCATCACCTGCACAGGTACACATACTTGAGCTCTGCCTACCTAGGTAATCATCGTGGACCCACTGGCTATCTATACCATAAGGCTAAACACGATTTACCACAGCCCTTATGGCAGGGAAGGGGAGTCCAAGGTACATTGGTATCACCGCGGTTTCCAGGCTTCTGGTTGCCTCGGGACTTCCACATTCCCCTAACATCTGTGCAGGCAGAATCGGTAAAACCGGTCCCTCGTAGGGGTGATGGCATCCGATCAGGTACAGGTCACGGGTAGTGATGATTCCTTCGATCGGTGCACGTGATTTGACTGGTTGGTTCACTCTGATCAAGGGTCTCTCTCAATTGTTTCGATGTATCATAACGTGAGCTGCGTCCGCCATGACCTTATCTCGCAGGAATTAGGTAGAGAAAGCAAGCTGGAAAGTTTACCCCTGAGCAGTTTAGGTCCACTGAGCACAGTGAGTGCGCTCGATCTAAAAGTACCTATGGGTTTGCTTCGTTCCAGTCACCGGCAGCATACATAGTTGCCAATAGTAGGCCAAAACGGTCACGAAGAGACAGCTTAACTGTCATATTGACGTGATAATAGCTGAGCTGCGAGAGTACTTAGGTACGAGTATCCGGCTGTTTGTTGAAAATCTGGTAGATTAAGACATGATACTGCGCCAGATGAATACACGCCATAATTTCACTTACGATACCAACTCTTGTGTTAACTCATTTGCTAAGTTCGCTTCGGCTTCCCTATTGTGACTTAAACTCAATATTCCTATCAAGACTGCACTGACGAAAGCAGACAGCCTACCAAGCCTGTACTCTCCCGATTCGAAAAGCCCATCCCTCATCCCGTCAAGGGAAATCCCACATCCCCGTTCTCCCGCAGAACTTCGATCTCCCAGTAAGTCCTAGCTAGGGTAGCGAGTTCAGTCCCCGTCGAAGCAGCTGTCACCCCTTGCAAACTGAGGTAGAGAGCAAGAAATGGCGACTGTACGTGGCACGTCAGCGCGTCGATAATGCGCGCCGAGCTCGGGTAGATGTTTTCGGTGCTAAAGCCGACCCAGGCCTGCAGGGCGTTATTATTCTCGAGGAGCAGCCGGGAGGCCGCCGTGTAGGCGATGACACCCGGCGTTGGCTCCTAGAAGATGTAGTTGGCGATGGCGTAGCGGATGATGCCGGCGTCGCCTCCTGGAAGATGTGGGAGGTGATGGCGTAGCGGATTGATGCGGGCTAGGTTGATGGCATCCAGGGTCGTTTTGGCCTGCGGCTCCGACAGTGTGATGCTCCCGTCGATAGGGACCAACTTGACTGATTCTTTACGTTAGATAGTTGCGGAATAGGAGAGCAGAGAGAGTACTTGAGCTTACGAATCCCATATGAGTTGATTAGATTAAGGCACTGGTTTAACTCTCCCACGTCGACCTGATATGCTTTGGTGTTTCAAGACCGAAGACTCGGGCTAGGACAAGCGTATATGAAGATGCCGTAGGTACCAGTCATCCACCACCCAGACGCCTTGGACCCAACTCAATCAAGTCCATGAGGCTTCCTGGGAGGTGCTGTGGTACGTGGATATCCCGCACTTCCAGGGCCTCGAAAATCCTTGTGCTCGCGCCTTGGAACGCACGTCTGAAATGCTTCTACAGTTCGACATCGCGCTCGTCTTCGCGCCCTGGCCGCGGATAGAATGGGTCGTTCTTCCAGAATGCTTGGGCGGTTCGTTGGAGGCCTTCTTCGTCCATGGTGATTACCCTGCAGCAGTCGAAGTCGAGTATCCATAGGCAGTGATCGCCCAGAGGCGACGGCGAGCTGCCCGACTCCGACTCCGATCCTCCTCCCGTTGAAACCGATGAGGCTGGCGCAGGCGCGAGAACGTATTCTACATCGTTCGCATCGATCCGCGCTGACCAGTGCATTCGCTACCCACGTCGCGTACTCGTAGATGCCGAGCCCCAAATCCTCCATTTGATCGATGTGGAGAGGATAATTCCGGAGGCTGAAGCTTGGGAGTCTGGAACTCCCTCGACCTCTCCACCGACGGCCTATATATGGCCTGATCAGGCAGTCGTCGTCGTTCCTGTCGCCTTTGATGGTTGGTCTCAAGGCCGGCGGGCAGTACCGGTCGACGAGGAAATGCCGGACTGCTTCGGGCACGGGCGGGATTCTCTCTGTGACCAGCACGTTGCATGGCGAATATCCTGCTGGAAACTGGGATAGGAGCTGGCGACCATGACCCCAAATGCGATCGTCCGTGTTCTGAATATAGGCGTGCCATTTCGGTACTCGGAAGGAGCGAATGTCTGCCGGACACGCCTGGAGGGCTCCTAGCAGTTGTTGGTATATCTGGGTGTCATTGAGTAGAGACCGCCCCGATCCGCCGTCTTCGCGCTTGATGGCTGCTGGTGCTGCTGCTGAGGCTCGTGCTGACAGTGTACTTGCTTCTGCCCATACGGTACCGCAGAAACCAGCTCCGATCCGCTTTAGGGGGCCTTGAAGGCTTTCGTGGTAGAAGTCCATGACTGCTCAGTTTTTTGCAGTTGGTAGTTGTTCGGTGGGCGGTGTTGCGTTGATAGTGAGTCGTTGTTTGTAGTTGTGTTGAAGAGTGATTATCGTTCTGGCGAGAGGGCGGCAGAAGAACAGGTATTATTCTTGCGTTTAATAGTTTTGGAGAAAATGTTGCGGCCTGTGACTCAACCTGGCCTAACCCACGTGGCTTAGGAAACGTGCTCATGAAGGTTAAAAGTTCCTCACAGTAACTATAATTTCAAAGTTCGAATCCGTTGCAATCAGATGAGATTTTCGAATTGCGAACTCTTTGGCGCAACCTGACGGAAGGGTTATGGTATATCTTTATGTCAAATGCAAGCTTACTGGCTACCTATGAAGGTATTGTGCTAGTTGGCCTTTTTGCTGCAGCGACGGCGAATTCAGCACGAGAACAGGTATGTGTTTCGTTTGTGTCGTTTAGCTTGAGGTCAGCGCATATTGTACTGCACTTACGTATGATGCAGAATAGAGCACCTCTTCCAGTATCGAGACTTGTGGGAGGTGATGTGGAACACGTCTAATGGTCGACCGACACACTTTAAGTACCGTGGCTATCGAGGTTGATATCATGAGATCTCGTGCTGCGCAGGAGGGATGTCTGCGACAGCGACAGACGAGCGACAGACCGCTGATGGGATCAACGCATCAGATGGCAGGGTGGATGCTCTTGAAGCGACACACCGAGGTCGCTGAGGATGCCGCCTGCTATTTCGAGGCCGGGTTTGACCGTCTTCAATGGGCTCTATCGAGTCGATCCAAGGAGCCGAGCTTGTATGGTGAGTAGAGTCGAGGACCCAAGCGACCAGGCTCGTGTTTCGATTGAACTGGCTAGGTATAGGTACCTGGTATGTAGCTCATCGGCCGAGGTGCCGCAGGCAATCCGCAACAGCTCCCTCCTTTCGTGCCAGGTACGATGGACGGAGTACTCGATTGGGGGATTCTGCATGATGTTTGGCCGAGTACCACCACATCGCGATGTACGACAAATGTCGCTCAACATAGTCCGCCCCAAAGAAGTTGTCGCACCGGAGTCGGATTCGCGCCCGCCCATCGTCATCGAAAGGACCAAGTATACGGATATCGAGGCGACGAGTCCGTCACAATTCCAGAGGCCGGATGGCTATGGGCGGTTCAGCGAGGCGTCCTCGTCGACCGTGGTGGCCGTGTCTAGCCCGAGGCATTGGCGGTTCGATGACATAACGCCTACCGGTAGTGCTCTAGGGAATCCCCAGAGAGGCGAAGGATGTGGGCAATACACTGAAGCGCCTCCGCCGACCATGGGAGTCGCGCCCAGTCCGCAGCGTGCGCGGTCCCATGGTGACACGTTGGGGCTTTGAACATGAAGGGTACGGGCGATTGAGTGAGGCGTCTTCATCGGCCGTGGTCGCGATGCCTAGCCCGACTGTGGCGAAGAACTTTCAGCCATCTGAGGCCTACGGATACGCCCCGATGATGAGGCACCACTGGATTGTAATATCGTCAATCATTCCAGCGACAATTGTGCAAGAACAACGCGCTGTCGAAATGGCCCCCATGCCGCCATGGTGAGAGGCGAGCCTGCAGCACCGAGATACCGTATACTGGCGCAAAAAAGATGAAGATATCGCGGTTCTCGGTGTTGTATACCACGGCGGAGATAAACCGCAGTGCGGCATACCTTCACATCTCGACACACGTCATATCAATCCCTCTTACGGCACAGAAATAGCGGCAAAACGAAATAGCATGCTAAAAAAAGAAATCAAAGTGCAAAACATACAACACCGGGGATCCGCTGGTCGTCACCGACCCAACTACTAATCCAGCGGTATTAGGACATGTCTGTGGGAATCATGACCGTTTATCTATGGTGGTATTGAGTTGGAAACCGGTTGCCTCAGGCAGAGCACACAGCACGGACCTCGAGCCAGCTGCATACGGGCGGCTATACCAAGAGAGAAATGGGCACACTTCATATCTTTCACGTTTGTATCCCGTTTTGAACGTGGCCAGTCGGTTGGTCAAACACAGACAAGGATGTGACATATGGAATAAGTGAGTGTCCCATTAGCTGGCCAGTTGAAGCGCTGACATGACAAGGATATGACAGGGCATAGGTGAGAGTCCAATCAGCTATCTACCTTAAGTGCCAATATCCAGGCATGAAATTAGAGCTGCTTGGCATGCATGAGAATTCATCTCAGGTGCTCAGGCAAACAGGAAGAGCGCTGAGGTGTCGGTTTGTCTGCGAGTCTTGTTTGTCTGTGATGGGCACGCCAGTGATGCCAGTGCACAGAGCATCCAGTGGCTTTGACTTTCTCTGGTCACTTCACCAAGCTCCGAAGAAGAGCCGAAAGAGCGTGCCATTAGAACTTGCTAGCTCCTAATCAACTATAAGGCTCAGAAGGGTCATGCTTGACTGCAGGCTGATGTCGTGCTTTTAGCGGGCGCCCCGTTTGTTGAACCCCTAAACCTCAATGTGTAATGATGTCTGTAAAGCCTCCAGATGAGATAGACTTGATGTTGAGCAGGATACAATCGCAGCATGCGGGAGGCTGCCGCGTCCTTTTCCGGTTCACCCTGCATATCACACTGTAGAGAAGACAACCAACTATGACTGTGTGTGTTGTTCAACGTCCCATACTTGAAAGACTGATATGCTTGTCCCCAGGACCACTGTTTTTCTACCCTAGGATTCATCCTTGCCTGCATACTGCTTGTGCTTGGACTAGGGTCTGGGAATCGAGGTGTGTCGTTTAAGATCTTCCGCCTATAGTAGCCACACAGTCCAAGGTTCCAGGACGCAGGTAGATCACGACCTATGCAGACAAGACAATATGTTTTTCGGGGCCCCTATCCTGATGTGCCTACCTGGTCAGAAAACTGCATAAACCCTTCTACGATATGTGTGACGGCCTGCACGGACCTTCCCACATGACAAGCCGATACCTCCCAATAAGGGAAGGATCTGACCAGAGGATCCCCTTAAAGGGACAACCTCCCACTGTACCTATCTTTCTCTCTCTTCTTTTCCTCTCTAGTCTTGATATTCTCGTCAATAGAGTAATAGCTGCTTGCTGCAGGCCATGTCCCAGCTCCCCGGTACGCTCGCCGTGATAATATGCATCGAAAAGGGTGGTATGTATTAGTGCGCTTATACATGGGGCCGTGCCTACTCCGACCCGACGAAAGAACGAGCTCTAGACAAGACATGTCCCTATGCTTCCAAAATCATCCAATGACTGTTTTATCTGGCTGCGTCGTTACCGGCTTCTTGCCTCCCCAACACCAGCGAGAGGTCTTACGTTCACGAAAGCAGAGAGATACAAAATAGTATGAAGAGGGGACATCTTCAGCACGCGGCCACTATTTGAGAGTGGATGTTCTATGTGATGAATGTTCTTATTCGGCCCAGTATGCCAGTACATGTGTCTCGAGAGGAATGCAAACACAGCACAACAGTCCACCAGGTCTCGCTTAGAATGCATCGCTTTGAAGTTGCCACCACCTGTAACACAACGCCGGCTCGGCCATCAACCACAACATGCGGGACTGCTCATCCAGACCGCAACCATATATGCCACCGTCGACTCCAGAAGGTATCTCGCCACGTCCAGATGCCCCCCCCAAGTAATCAGCGTGACTCGACACAAGCAGGGCAAGGGAAGCGTTGGGAAGGCAGTTCGACAGACTTCTGTCGCCATCCGGCCAGGACCGGAAGGAGGTTTCCAACAAGTCGGTGCCGCTGTTCAGCAACAGACGAAATGAGGCCTTCCGTACTGTGCTCGACCCACCAACTCTGGGTGTCGCAAGCCAGGAAGTTGATAGTCGACCTCCGCGGCCCATGTCGCCTCGTCGCGGCGCCGAGCGGCTACCTCGGGCACGATCATGTCCATGGCGCGATTCTGTTCCTCGACGGCCAAGAGGAGCTTGCCCAATACCTCAGGGGCGGTACCAGGGTGAAGCCGGTTTCGAAACTGCGCAGACGACGCGCGTATCGCGGCCATGGTGCAGCTCAGGGAGAAGTCGTCTTCCGAGCGGTAGACGTGCAGCTGTTGGATATCCACGTCGCCACCAGCGTTGCGAATTTCGCGGGTGACGTGGTATGGAGGACGGAGGTTGACAACATCGCAGATGCCATTAATGTTGAAGGATTAGGGGCTACAGGCCAAGTTAGCTAGGTATCAACACGGATAGCGAGACTCGACGCCCAATAGTGCCTCCAGGTACAAGCTTATCTAGAGCTTCTCCTCGCTGCCACACTCTACCCACGCGGTGCGTCCAAGGACAATGTGGTCTTTGTTGCACGTAGGGCACTGGGCAGCCATGGCGATGCGGACACGCGCGGTCTGGAAGTTCGGCGAGCTCATGATGGCGGATGCGCTGCCATGTCGGGAGGGGATTGGGTGTGACTTGGGGAAGAAGCGCGGTTGCGCGACGGGGCAAGCGGCGGGAGGGAAGGCGAGTCGGCCTAGGTAGCGGCAAAGGTCAGTAGATGAATCTAACAGAAGTAGACGAAGGCCGGCAACTGGCAAGACACCCACTCGTACCAAGCAGCGGGCCAACCCGAGGTCCGAGGTTGGGCTTGTCGGTGCAAGACTCGCAGTGGTGGATTGCTAGACTGGATGATCGTGACAAGTGGTAACAGTAGGGACCGAGCAAGGGCGCCAGCACAAGTCTGGCGGGTGACTATTAGCGATGAGGTTGGTTGAAGTTGTTGGCAGTAGGCAAATGGCTGGATGATGGAGGGATTGGAAGGTTGGGAGGCCAAGGCCACCACAGAAAATGGGGCGTGGAGGATGGAGAAGGCCAAGCCACATTGACACAGCCACAGCGGCCACAACAGGGCACCTCGAGATGACGCGTAGGAAAAATGGCCAATTAGGAACAATTTGGCCGTATGGCGCAATGGTCAAATGCGCCTGGTTGTGTTCTCGTTTGTGCGGTGGGCGACGAGAACAAGTGGGTTCGAATCCTGCTATGGCCCCCTTCTGACCCGGCTTGTGCGAGTCGATAACCAGCACACGACAGTGGAGAGGCCCCTTATCGCAGAGCCCGATAGCCAAGCAGCTTGTCTCCACAATACCCACTCCTGCGAGGTTTTTCCCCTTGTGGTTTCCCTCGCCAGCAGATAACAAACACCTATTTCACCCACTAATGCGACATATATCGAACGGCTACTGGAACGATGTGTACACCAGAGTACTGAGGTTCACTGGGTCGCTTAGTCACTGGACAGGAGGTTTTTCTGACGGAATCGTGTTTGGGTATTGACTAAAACCATCTGGACACTCCAGATTGGTACCGCTACAGCGAGGATAGGCTCGTGCGCGGATCTGAATGTATCTAGACTGACACCTCTATAACCTTGCGATGCAATGGCTCTGGGAGGCGTGGTTTGCCCTGTTGAGGGACTGCACCCACGATAAATACAAAACAAACAAACAAACATTAGGAACAATTATGCGTGAATTGAATTCTTTGCTGCTCGAGGCGAGCAGCGACTAAGCCGTGTATCTCAGAGGGGTCACTTCTCAAAATAGTTCGAATCCAGAGGCGTCGGTGGAAGAAAGTGATGTGCGAAGGCTGGCCATTGAAATAGGGGGAGTGGTCGACTGCCCACTGCAGGGTTGCAGCTTCAAGATGTTTAGTGGCAGCTGGATTTGCTGTGTGTGTGGCCAAGGCCCCGACACGCAAGGCTGGTGCACCGCAATAACACACAGACTGGGATACAATACAGACACTGGCCATGTCCAGGCTATGGATGCGCCTTGTTCGCACGGATGCTGCAGCAACTGCACCCAATCTTGTAAGATACATTTGGCCTCGTCATGTGCTGTGTCCCTAATTCTGTATAGCGACCTCGATTTCGAGCCGGGAGATATTGTTACCTGATTTGCAAACAGAAATCAGCTATAACACCAGCTCGGCCCTGGAGGAAGATATACCGGCTGCGTCGTCATCCTCTACACCAAGTCCCCGCGGACCTCGCAAACCAGAAAGTGGCCCGGGCGGCGAGCCCTTGTGTAAAAATGGCAAATGAACAAACAAGAAGAAGAAGCCCTAAAGCAGTCAGGGTCACCATTGATTAGATACAGATATATAGGCTGATGAACATCGCCATCCTAATACTTCCCAAAGTACCCGGAATACAACAAAGTAAGTGCTGATACATGGCTGGGACATCCAGGCTCACAGATTAGCTATTACCACTCTCCGAGGACAGCCTCGACCTTGAAGACAAGATCAAGCAAATCTATCAGGAGAACGAGATATACACCTGGCCACCAAGGAAGAATCCATAACGTCCGGATCCTTGTTTGGAATCGATCTATCAGTTGCTGAATCCACCTGGCCATCAAGGTTACGTTACTGCTGCCGGTGACGAACGCTCAGTGGTCTACGCCACCAGTGAAGACGCAAAGGGACTCAAAGCGCTGGTCTACATAAGCTTCGACCCTGCGGCCAAGTTGGCAGGTATGTCGCGTGGAGGGAATTTGGTGGGCCAAAGGGAAAGCGGTGGCTCCCAGGGCAATGCAAAGAAGCCTACGACCGACTGTTACGGTATTACATAATACCTCCACATATTTATGTACATATATACCTCTAGCTTCCCCCTTCTCTTCCGACCTTGCCTCTTCTTCCTTAGATATCGTTGAATCTAGATATTTCAACCCATCAGCCCTGACCAGCGCAGCTGCAGGCCTGATTGTCACACCGACCAGGAAGTAAAGACGAGCGGGATCTCCCAGCCGGCCTACGCCGGTGCTTCAATAAGCCGGGGTAACGACAATGACACCAGCGATAACCCTCGAGGTCTGCACTTATCTAGGTGCACGTCAGCAAACACCGGAGGGGGCTCGGGATGGGCTTCGTATACTAGAGCCATGCATCACGAGCTCCCGGGGAAAAAGTGGAGTTTTGCTTTCCAGCTATCCATATAATGCTGGTGTTCACGGTGGTTACCAATCAAAACCCGACACCAATGTATTGTTCCCATCTGCAGAGCCACGTTCCCGTCTTGCCGGGTCTGGGCACAAACGTGGGTTGCCACTGATTGTGAAGTTGGTAGTTTCGGTAGCAAGTCCAGAAAAAATTTGTCCTAATCAGAAGTCGCTTGTTAACAAGAACCCTTACCTCATATGGGCTGCGACCAATCGCAGCTTTCATCGGAGTGGCCGTCCTGTTCTTGAATTCGTAAAACATCTGCACTATCCTGCATTACTGTGAGATTTCAAAGTGTTCTATTGAAGGAGAGAAACCAGGAGTAGTTCCTGAAGGGCAGAAGGTCCTTATATATAAGGAATACAGAAACAATGTATGTGGAAAAGGACAGTGTGTCCTTTTCCAGCAATCCTAGCACAAAGGACAGATATGGGGTTTTGGTAGGATTGGTGACGTTGAGACCTCAGGGTGAACCAGAACCCCTAGATTCCAACAACTACTCGGTGTATGGTAGAAGCAATCGGGACGAAGCAGCCATTTAATACACTTTCAAACTGTCACGTCTCGACCGCCCAGGTCAAGATCCTACCGAAAAAACCTGCCGGAATCTATCACGGAACGACACCTTGCCGCGCGTCATGTTGTCAGCAATAATGCATGAACAGGTTACGCATCAGTTGACCGTAGTGGTGCCACCCGCACCGTCGACTTGTTCCTGGTATATCCATCGTCGAAAGCCATGAGATGATGCAAGCAAGCGCGGCGGAATCAAATGGACTGATTACTTTGAGACACTTCAGGCGGGCTTGTGCGACCTCTCACGCCTCCACGGAATGATGTGTGACAGGTTACCCCAGGTGTTGGGGGGGTGCACGGGCCCTAATATATGCGCCGGGACTATGGTCCGTGCTCCTGCTTGTCGTCCCTGCTTCAAACGGTCATCTATTTTCTCGGCCAACTTGACCTTCCCAACTTACCTACTAACAGCACAATCGTGTCCTCGTTGGGACTCTGGATTCGGGTTGTGAAGAAGTTGGGCCGTCTGTAGCATTCCCCTTCCCAAAAGACCTTGTTGGTGACTGACGTAGCCGATCCTTTACATACGGCAAAGGGTGCGTCTCGTGCCTTGCAGAGCTGTGTGCGGAAGGTGTTAAATGGCCCCACGCTGTTCTCTGGGTCCCATTTCTTGTCAGTGTGGTTTGGTCCCAGTCTAGTAACTCGTTCTAAACAGTGCCATTGTGCCAGTTGTCTGTTATTATGCCTTGTGAACCATATCTGTATATACAGTGCTGCTGTTATAACAGTTAATCTACCCTATTTCTTCTGTTTCAAGGAGAAGATGGAGAACCATATAGAGGAGCTTGTTTGATGATCAACACCCCTTTAAAGGCAAACTTGCCAATCCAAGTTCTGGCCAGTACCCTGCCATGTTCCTCAGTTGTTTCGTGAAGAATTGTATATTTCCCCCGTGGGGTTCGTCCTTCGGTAGTGGCCCGAGAGCCTCGAGAGGGAAGAGCCAGAAGCCCACAGCAGGCCTTGAGGCCTTCTCCAGCTTGTCAGGACTTTCGACTGGAACATTTCCTCCCCACCTGAGTATATGTTTCTCGTACTTCCGCTGTCTCCTAGTCCACGCCCTGTCCTCCAACTGAAGCCAATCTTCAGCATCTTGACGGCAGGCAATGTTATTACCCCGGTGTTCCCCTCGTTCGATGGCTAAGAGGTATCTACAGCGGGCCTGTCGACCTGGCTGCTGGATATTCCAGTTGCTGAGGGTCTCGCTCCAAACCATAGCCATTCTGCGCGGATCGCCGGTCCCCGCGAAAACCCGACACAGGTCTGCGCAAATGGGGCGAGGATCTCGTGCTATGAGGTCAAAGGTCGGCGTTGCCGCGAGGATCGGATAGGATCGGTTGAACCACACACCCTTTGCCGCCGGGATCCCGCTCAAGGGGCCTAGAAAGGCCCGTCCGGTAGGTTCGATCACACAGAAGAACACCTCCTCTACTTGTATCAAGGTCGACCGGAACGCGCTCTGCATATGCTGATCAAGCTTTTCGGGTTCGACCTGACTAATGCGTACGAGGCTGTTGAAATCTGCTGCCAACCTTAGCAGGCCGACGTCGCGTGGGTCGTAGGCCTTGAGCTCGAAGACCAAATTGGCGAAAGCTACGTCGGTGGATGGTGTGATCCGAAGGATATCAAGTTCGGGGTTGAAATGCAAGGTTGCTCGTTCCGACTTGAGTCTTCCTGTAAGGAAGCACGGCAAGTGAACTCGCTGCACCTCTAGCGTGAGCTGTCTGGATTCTCGATTTACTCTTAGCAGTTTGCTAAGCACTTGAGCACCTCCCACCTCGATGCGACAACTATCTCCAATTATCGGCTTTCCCAAGTGGTTCTTGTGGGCGCGGGGGCGCTGCAGCCCGCGCCGGTGGGTCGTTACACCCACGGTTATGATGCGGTGGCGTTGTGATGCATGCTTCCATATCTGGATGCGAATCTCTGGCGGCAGTAAAGCAAATTGAGGGAACGATCCGCCCCTCTCCATGTTCACAGGGTTGAACAACTGCAAGTGTGGTTCTTTCATGGTGATGCCCTCGAGCGACGGATATTATCAGAGCTCGAATGTGCTGGATGACGTGCAGTTGCGATGTAGAGTAGCTTGAAGATGGGTGATAAGTGTCACGGCGAGTGGCAACTAGGTCGAGACGAGATACAGGACAAGGGCGTACCGGCTCTGCCGATGAAATGACAAAGATGGGGAAAGAGAGGAAAGGAGGACCAGATACTCATTCATCTGAAAGATCAACCGAACCGCCTGTCCAGCTTAGGTCCAAGCGTGACAAGGGGTAGACGAGTACAGAAAAACGAGTATAAATAACTTCAAACCGGGCTCACCGAGGAGTGACCTCGCAAAAGGTAGCAGAATCCTATGTGGCACGATGCTGAGCAAAGAGAGGACTCTGATGGATACGGGACGTTCGCAATACAGGTGTCCAGGATGGTAATGGTTAGCGGTTCCATATAATTGGAACTCTTCAGGTCCGTACGTCGCCTGCTCAAAACACGTAGAGTTCTAATTTATAATTATCTGCACAGATGTATATAACTTTATAGAATTTTACGTCATGGGAACTTTTCATTGTGTATTAAGAAGGCCCACTAGAGGCTTGGAACTTTATTATGCGGCTCAGCTGGGGCAGCTCCTTTCGTGGGCCAGATCCTTTCGTGGGCCAGCTCCTTTCGTGGGCCAGCTCCTTTCGTTGGCCCTCTAGTAATCCCTCCCCAGAATGTCGGCCGAATAACACGGAACGCGTTTTATCATTGGGTAACCTGTTACTAGAGGATCCTCTAGTACGGCACCTCAGATACAGGTAGCAAGGATAGTAATGGTTAGCGGTTTTACATGTTAGGGGTTATAGGTTTGTTACGAGAAAGTTCCTACATACAGTAAGTAACGAAAAAGTCCAATATCCCATCGCGTCAAGTTCTATCTATCACCATTACGTATAATTATAGATCAGAACTTTGCGGAACTAAAAGGTCCCGTTACGTAGAACCGCTTACCATTACCATCCTGGACACCTGTAAGTTCCGGCTCTGCATAAGGGGCATAGTCCAGCAATGGTCCTTTCGAAGCCTTGCGCGGAGCTGAACACGCTTGGCTCGACGGAAACACCGACGTCGATGATCAATACTATGGAACTCCTCAAAGATGTCTGTGCAAAGGCGGAGGCAACATCATCATCATCATAAAGGCAAGAGCCAGATGGGTATGGCACCTGATAGTAAAGGCTGCGTCAATATATAAATACACGTATCAACAGCCTAAGTTTGACTTTTCTCGTTACCATCATTACCATCATCAACACTCACGGTACCATTCCAAACAACTACATAGCCTCATAGTCTCAAACTACCTCGTTTCAAACCCAACTTTTAACACACAGAACAACATCAAAATGCATTTCACGAAGAACTTGTCGACATTTGTTGTCAGTGCTCTGCTTGCCACGTCCGCTACAACAGAGCTCACGAAAGCTCCGCGAGATATCAGGTAAGCCGGCACACGCCCTGTCCAGCAACATGTACCATCCCTAACCATCGTTACAGGAGTGTCATCGAGCGTGACGGCACCAGCAAGACTGGGCTGTCTCTTCATGCTCGTGCCGAAGAAGTACCCATGGGCAAGACCGGAGGGACAAGGGGCAAAGCGATTTCCACCAGCGGCCTCGACACATGCATCGGCCTTCTGATCATGGGCAAGCAAATTCACCATGGCGATGACAAGTGGGATCGTGTCCTGGGCCACCTGTCCGAGGAAGACGAGGAGTGGCATTTGGACGACATCATATACCAGTTCGAGACCTTCAAGAAGAAGGTCAAAGAAATGGACCTCGAGAATCAAGAAGGGTGGTTCACGGCTGTCGATGTCTCATCGCTCAACGCGGAAGATTGGGAGGATGACATGAAGGAGATGCTGCAGGAGACCATCAACGACGTTCGCAGCAAGTTCAAGGATCTCGTCGGCGGCAAAATTAACTACTTCTGTTCCCTCTGCCTGGGTACCTCCTATCTGCCTGTTGAGCTGCAGCACATGCATGTACGGTGACGTTGTGCTGGGAGACCGTTGGTTTGAGGCAAGATTGGTCAGTGCCTAAGGTTGAAGTAGGCGATTCCTCTGCGTTTGAGGAGTATGATGCAGCTGCGTGCACAAACCACCTGCATTAAGCTTTTTGAGTTCAGGGACGAAGTCAACGATGCTTCCCGTCCTCTGGTAGCATTTTGTTGGTAGATGTCTTCAGGTAGCAGGAGCTGGAACTAGGAGAGGTTGGCCCAGTTAGGGGGTAGCATACTAACTTGAGTACCCCTTTCAACATCAAGACAGCCAAACCGTGACATGGATCTGGCTCTCTCAAACCCCCTATCCCACAACGCACTCCCAAAATACAGACAGAGCCACCGCCAAGACCATCCGCAACCCAGTCCACGCCAAGCCCTAACTCCCCTACCGTGGACTAATCATAGGTCTCCTCGTAGGCCTCCTCATACTCCTCCTGCGCCTCCTGCAGCTCCTCGCGCCGCTCCTCAAGTTCCTCGCGGTCACTGCTCGACACTGAGCTGCCGCTGGCGGTCTCGTCAGGCAGCGGCTCGGCGTACATGGGATTGGGGGCCGGCTGGTACGACGACTCGGCCGGCGGGGCGACGTAGGCGGGCTGGGCGGCTGCGTGGTGCTCTTCGTCGGAGTCTTCGGCTGTACAAGACCGCCCACCCTGTCAGCAAGTCATATTTCGAGGGGATGTTTTTGGGTGTCGAGCATGGAAGTCGGAGGTAGAAGAAGTTGACAATCAGTGAGAAGCGGAAGGGTTCCAGCATCACAAGTAACATACTCAGCTCATGCGCAATGACTGCACCGCCAATAGCGCCCACAGCCAGCCCACCTGCCCCCATCGCCCACGCCTTGCCCGAGCCCGACTTCTCCTTCTGCTGCTCCCCGCCCTGTCCGTATGCCCTGTCATCCCCGCCATACTGTCCCTGGTGCTCCGTCGGCGGCATGCCGCCTTGGCCGCTATAGTACGTGCCGCTCTCGCCACGGAACCCGTCGCCGTGACCCGTCGTGTACGGCACCTGGCCGGGCGGGCCTCCGACGGGCGGCGCGTAGGGTCCCTGGGGCGGCTGGCCAAAGGTCGCGGGCGGGTCCCACTGCGAGCGGCCGGTCGACTGCTCGATGTAGTACCAGCGGTTCTGATTCGAATCCCACTGCGCGTTCCAGCCCGGTGGCATCGGAGGCGGCGCGCCGTACGGGGCGGGAGGCCCTTGCGGGGGAGGGGCGCCTCCGTAGTATGAGCCTTGAGGTTGCTGTTGCTGCTGCTGCTGGTATTGTTGGGGGTAGCCGCCTTGTCGGTAGTTGTCGCCGTAGCCGCGTGCGTGCTCTGGGGTCTGGTAAGCAATGCTGGAAGTGAAATTTGATGTGACAGTCCCTTGCTGACCTTGGCCTTGAGGCTGACTCTGTACTTCTTCCTGCTTCTTCTTGTCCTTATCGTCGTCTAGGAAATCCTCGACCTTGTCGGCCAGTTTCTTGAAGAACGACATGGTGAAGTCGTGGTGCTTTGCTTTGGTGCAAGATCGCTCGCTGTCCGGAGCAGTAGGGGTGGAAGTCCAGTCTGCAGAGGACAAGTGAAATGTAGGTAGGTAGTTTGGTTTGGGAAAAGTCCCCTCTCCCCTCCTTAAATGCCCAGCGCATGGCGAAACGTTGATTGTGGATGATGCACTGCACTTCTGTAATCCTTTGTGCCTGTGATACATGCCAATCATACAGTGACCCTCCGTACAATGCGAGTGACGCCCCTCCGATCCACTGGAACTATGCCGCCAAGACAGGACGACGTCGTCTGATGTCGGAAGATCCCTCTGTAGCCATTGTCTTCTGCCGCCTCGCTCAGACCATTTCTCGGGTTCATCACCTCCTCCGCGTCGGACTCACATCACCACCAATGCGCGCAGCGCATGTTAAAGTATGATGCAAGTCACCGCACGTCAAACTTGCAAGTGTGGCCAACGATGATTCGAGTTGAAGACTACGCCGCCCGCTTGGCAGTTGTCAGATATGTGGTGCCAAACCGCTCGTCCCAATATTCTTCCCCTTTCGGCTCTATCTTTCAGCTGGACAAGGGTCGTTCCGCTCGTTAAGGCTCTTGGCGACCTACAGAACCCTGTCATGAGGCTCCCGAGGTCCCTGAGATGGGCCGTCCCGAAGGAGAGAGTGATTAGCACCATGGGCCGAGATAGCCGGTCTCCATAACCGAACCGCCCCGGGCCATGGCATGTCCAGGTAAAATGAGGGTCGATGGAATACATTCAACCCATTGCCTGATCGGAGCTGGATCACACCTGACTATTTATGGCGGTGAACGTGCCAGCCGTGCGTGTGGGTAGAAGGCCAAGGCAGGTGTCGGTCAGAAGGCGGACTTGCAGACTGACAAGTTCAGGACCCTGCAGATCTATCATCTTCCATGCCGAGCATGAGATCTGCATTTGTGGGTATTCTTGACTCCCCGCTCATGAGTTGTTGTCGGCTGTGGGGAGACATGACGGTAAAGGTCCGGAGCTATATTCCAGCCAGCTCGATCAGTACAACGTCCAAGAGAAACTGTACGGACCTCACGGATAAGACAAGGGAGGTCTGCAACTGATGACACCTTTAGTGCACTCTGTTCCTAGAGCATGGTGCACATTGTAGTCTAAGAAAATAATCAGTGCCATTGGCCTTTGAACATCATGAAGGGGGCAAGACGGTCTTGAGCTTCTTGAGAAAGACAACATGCCTTCACCCCCAGAGAAGTTCTACTTTGGATTGAATCCTCGCGGAAGACTTGACCCGTTGAAAGGTGAATTCATCTTCGTTATGTCATCACGGTCACATTCTTTGCTGACACACATCCGCAGCTGTAAGTATGCGTTTAAGGACCAATCAAGTCGATCCGCTTATGCGACTTTACCTTACTCAGCCAACATGGATTGGAACAATGGAGCAACTGCGAATATTTGCACCTTGGACCCCGCGTTCCCCAGCCTCGCTCTCGGTTATGTCCAAATACATCATCGCAGAAGGTCCTCACAGGTTCCAGACTCTACTTTTCTTCGCTCTATATTGTTACTCTATGTGTCGCTCCTCACCATCGCATGAGCACATGAGACATTCTCTCAGCACCACCCCAGTATGAGCAGCTTACCTACTGTGAGATTTCAAACCGTTCTAGTATTGAAAGGAAAAGAGAAGAAGATCTCTGGGGGAGAAGCCCCCATATATATGTATAGGTGTGCCATCAGAGTGACCAGATCATCATACGATAATGGTGCCAGAATCCTGGTGGCCTGAGGGTCGGCTGACTGCCCTCAAACCAAACCCATTAGCGCATTCAGCCCCGAAGGCCTCGTCTGGACCTACTATGATATCCAACACCTACCCCGTCGACTTTGTGCGAGAGATGCAAAGTACTGGAGTTTGATGATTCGGCTTATGGGTGCGAGGAGTCCGTGCAACATGCAGCAAGCCATCTCGCATATACGGGGGGAGTGATAAACCGGTGGCTCGATTACGAACTGATAGACGTTGCCAGATTTGCCAGTCCTTTCCACTTCGGCGAACAGTGGGCGCGCCTTCTGCTCCGCTATGTACACAGCCATTCAAGCATGTGGTTTCAGGTGGAAAACAATTCGCGTATACCTCAGATACGACTTGAATGATGCTCGTGCCTTGGCCCGTCCCGTGGCTGTCCTGCTTCTGGAAACCTGGAGAAAACAAGGTGAGCTCTGAACCGCGGGGTGAAAAGAAACAAGCAATGCTAAAGGAAAGATAGGAAAGGGAGAGAAGCTGTTATTTACTATCGACGGTGCTCCTGGTAAGCAGATCATCGAACAAGCTGTTCACGTCGCTGCGATCAGGGTCTTCACACCTGGGCCGTAGCGAGGCATACCACACCGGTCACATCTGATAGTGAGCCTAGGACGATGTAGCGAATGGCTTAAAATCGAGCCCGCCCGGAAAGATGAGACGCTGTGCTCGGAGAACATCGAAATGCTCCGACACTGTTTGGAAAAAGAAGCCGCGGTGGAGGACCCTCTTCCCTTGTACAGGCCTTGCCGTCTCATCGAGTAGGGTGCACAGGAAGAAACATGTGTCGGCTGGGCGTCACTGATCCGAGCAGGGCCACAAGCAATGTCCAGTACCTCGCCCTGAGTTACTGTTGGGGCAATCCGGAAGATGCCAAAGCGCAGTTCAAGACTGAGAAAGCCACTCTCCAGGACCGAGTTCAGGGGTTCAATATAACCACAGCTTCTCCAATCATACAAGACGCTATCAGGGTTACGAGAGCGTTAGGCATACGCTATCTGTATGTACATTTTAGAGTCTCTTATTCCCCCCGCCCCTAATCATCGCCATCGCCATGTCTTGTGGGCGAAGTTTCTCTTCTAGCCTGCGTAAGGAGCCATTGCTCCCGAGACACGCATTACGAGTTCTTGTTTCTTTCCCCACCCCTCTCCCAAAAAAGTGCAAGAGAAGAAGGAATAATTTCTGACTCTAGTCTTCTAAAAGGTGGATCGACTCCCTCTGCATCATCCAAGGCGATAAAGAGGACTGGGAGAGGCAGTCCGCCGAGATGGCTTCGATCTATCAGTGCGCGTTTGCCACTATATGTGCGGCTTCTTCTGACTCCTGCCAAAGTGGACTTCTATCAAGGGACGACGGAACGCGCGTCAAGTTCCGTTCGAAAATTGATCCTACTGTCTGCGGTACATATGATATTCGATGGCACTCCAAGACACTTATTCGGGATCACGAAGAGAAAGGAGATGATCTCTTGCATGATGGTCTCCACTACTGCCGTCTGTATACCCGCGGTTGGGCGTATCAGGAACTCAAACTCTCAAGGCGCGTGATCATATTCGGTAAAGGCAAATTGCACTTATGGACCAACGATACCAGATGGTCTGAAAGCAATGAAATAAGCCCTTTGCCCACTTTGCACGAGCCAATTACGAGCGATCTCATTCGGAATCTTGATACTGATAGTGTTTCGGGGTTGCTTTGAATATATAGCATCTTTCACGTGGCGAGAGTTCTCCAATCCCTCGGACAAGCTCCCAGCAATCGCAGGCCTAGCACGAGTTGCTTTGGAAAACCAACCAGATCAGTACCTCGCAGGACTACGCAGAGCCCATATACATCGTGATTTGTTCTGGGCAGCCGAGAAGCCTTTGTATCCCATGCCGTGGACGAACGGAGAACTAGGGAGGAGGAGAAGCCCGATGATCGAATCCATCGCCGGCATTGTATATTGCGCCGTCGTGGAGTTGGGCGAGCCGCGCCGAAGGGATTATGCATATCCCATCCTTGGCGGATCGAATGTTCGGCACGTTCTGCTCTAGTGAGGTTCGAGACGAATCAGGAAACATCGAGGCGAAGACCTTCGTCCCTGGCGCCAACCCGTTCGGCCAGGTATCTGGTGGGAGCTTGGTTTTCACAGGGGTAGTCTTGCCCATCTCAACACCACTCAAATTTGACCCAAATATATGGGAGGTCCGCAGCGGTCGAGCATGCATTGCCAGGGTCCTCTTAGATTGGTTACCTGCTGGGGAGGAGGAACCCTGCCACGGTCTTTCACTGGTGCTACTCGGAAGCATTTTGGACGAAGTTGATAGCGACGAAGAACTTGATAGCGACGAAGAGCTTGATAGCGACGAAGAGCTTGATAGCGACGAAGAGCTTGATAGCGACGAAGAGCTTGATAGCGACGAAGAGCTTGATAGCGACGAAGAGCTTGATAGCGACGAAGAGCTTGATAGTAACGAAGAGCTTGATAGCGACGAAGAGCTTGATAGCGACGAAGAGCTTGATAGCGACGAAGAGCTTGATAGCGACGAAGAGCTTGATAGCGACGAAGAGCTTGATAGCGACGAAGAGCTTGATAGCGACGAAGAGCTTGATAGCAACGAAGAGCTTGATAGCGACGAAGAGCTTGATAGCGACGAAGAGCTTGATAGCGACGAAGAAGTCGAGAGCGGAGAATTCGAAGGGGGACCCGATCAAATGATAAGAAGCCCAGCCAACGCAAGCAGGTCAAGTAGTGAAAACGAGGAGGACGATTTTGTCAGCAGACATCGGCCTGGTCGATCCAGCGACGGGATTCGTACAGAGAACGACGCCCTCCGAGCTGCCTATGGCATTGTCGTTCATCCAGCTAAAAGTCCTGGCAAGTATATTCGCGTTGGCGTGTTCAGCTCAATGCCGAGAGGCTTCAGTAAGTCCCTATCGGATGAACCGACGTGGAGCACTGTCAACTGTGGTGGTCTCAGCTATTTTCAAAGCCACGAGCCTACTACCATAGAGATCATCTGACACAGTCGCCATATACTAATATACACGTGAGTATCTTCAAGCCCAGCACCCCCAGCAGATCTCTTTCCAAGTATCTACAGTGATATGCAACACCACTCCTTTTACTCAAGCGTCAAGCGTCAAGCCGAATGCCGCATGTCCACTGACCATCCGATCTGCCCCCCCAAGCTCAGCCCTTGACCGACAATATCCCTACTTGGCATAGTCGAAGGACCCAAATCGCACTCTCACATCACACAATACCAAGTCATACTTAAGATTCAACGCCGATCAAAGCTACTTGTTGACGCCGCTGCGACCCCCGCACCACCACCAACACAAAGCACCAACACCAGCACCACCACACAAACACTTCCCCAACACAAGCCTAGCTCCCGTGTCCTGTAAAGACCATAATAGTGCATAATACATCTCTCAGTCCCAGCCAGTCACGTCCGGAGTAACACACTATACATACCTGCCTCTATACCTACCCCTTTCCTATCCTTTCCTACCCCTATTTGAACCCCTATTTCTGCCCCTATCCGGCACCCGTTTCCGTTCAATAAACCCCAGGCACACTCGCCAACCAATCCACCCGGAGTCAAACCCTATCAGGTATTCCACACGAGAGGCATGAGTGACATGAGAGACATGAGAGACCAGCCCAGTCCAAGGATTAAAATTCCTAGACTTCACACCTCACAACCTCACAACCTCACACTCCACACCTCACTTCAGGGCCACAATTGAGCAGCCAGACGACCTCAACCGACACCCCACCGAATGTCAAAAGATAACGCAGTTACGTGGTATGAATACGTTGTATTGGATAGAGAAGAGAGATCTATCTGATAGCACAGGGGATAAGATGAATGCTCTCTATATATATATGTAGTCAGTCACCACTGTGAGTCGTACCAAACCACCCGGAATACCAGCCGTCTTCCAATACGGTACCGATCATGCGGATACGTGGCAACCCCCGATTGCCGGCGCCCAGTGTAGACGTGACGTTCCTACCGATCGTAGTCACGGCGCTGCTTTCCTCTTCAGTATGTAGTGAGTGGGCATATCGGAGGGATTTTGAACGAGAGAGGGAGATTGCACGTTATCAAGCTTCAAGAATGGACACTACAGCGGAACACGAACGGCCTACAAAACTCAGCAGGATGTCAGATCAATAGCCACAGCGGGCGAGTGTCATCTGCAGCGGCGCTGTCGACGTAGGTAGGCTGTGGCCTAGCGCATCTTGTCACACCAAGAGGGTCTGGTCCGGACGGGGGCGACGTGAACATAATGTAAGTAATTCTCTAGCTGTGGCGGACCGGATGGGTATATGCAACGTAACGGAATAAAAAAAAGGGAGGGTCATTGAATGCAAAGCAAGTCTTCGTACACTGTGGTGGTCATGCTAGCTGGCTCTCTCTGTCCGCCCCCAAGCCGCGAAGCCAAACTCCCAAGTGTAAAGGAAACCAAGGTCCACAGAGTCGTTCCGTGTCTTTTGTGCCCCGGCCGGCTTCGTAAAGTTCGACCGCCCTGAAACGCCAGTTCGCAATGTCGTGTCATATCCAGACATGGTGATCTCGAAACTCCACAGCCATCCTATCCGGTCGAGCGATGTATTCGAAGGATCAAATTGGTATATGAATGCGCGTCTCGTAAGACATACCGGAGATCATCAATGTGATTTGTCGTGAAGAGCTCCAGGCCGTCTAGGGCTCGGGTGAGGGTTGATGGTAGCCAAGCGCCCTGCATCATTTGAGAAATTCGGAGCTGCCCCAGCCTCTATGGTCCGAGCATCGACGTCCGACGGTGTTAGAGAAGTATTGGAGAGCGGCAAGGACACGCCGTGGAATATGTTGTCATCATTGCGCGCCCTTCACCTCACGTTTGACGTTGAGCGCCCATTTAAGCTTGGCAAGTACTTGCTTCGTCTCTTCGATCGTTCTGGATTGCTCCTCTTCTCGTTCCCCAGCCGCCTTCTTGATATCTCTCAGGGCCGCTTCTTGTTCGCGCTTGTAGGATTCAAACTGTTGGTTGATCTCTTCATTTTGCCTCTTGAGATCCCGGATGTTGCCGTCCTGTTGGTCGCATAGATCCCGCAGGATACCAATCTTCCGGTCGTCACTCCTCCGCTCATCGACCAGTGTCAATATCCGTCCGTTCAAGTTGGTCATTGCCAGTTTCACTTCTTCACCTTGGTCCCGCCAATGCGATGAAATGGCATTGTACCGGCCTTCCATCAACGCCGCCTGAGTGTTTGCCTCCTCGACCTGTATCTTGGTGTCGCGCCGCCCTTTCTCCATCTCCTCTCGCCATGTCCGTTCTCGTTCCTGAGCATCGGCGGTACGTTTCTTCTCCAACTCGACTGCCGACTGTAGGTGTTCCACCTGTCGTTCTTTCCGACTCAACAAGGTCTTGGTGACATTGGCTTCCAAAAGCCGTGATTCATAGTCGGAGACCATGCGCTCCATCTTGTCCTCAACCAGCTTAGCGGCTTGTTTCGATTCTTCGGCCTTCATCCTCTCAATCTTGATGTCACGTTTCAATGCTTCATTGTCGGACACGAGCTTGTTGATCACTCTGCCCGTCTTTCCCAGCCCAGCCTTGCCAACCGCGCCGTCCCATTGTGGTGAGCTCTCTCGCGCAAAACTGGACTGTTCTTCCACAGGTGTTGCTTCCGGTACTTGCAACGACATGCGGTGGTCTGCCGCGTTTTCCTTGCCTGTGACGGTTGCATCGCTCGACGACATCTGTGAGCCCTCGCACTGGTATCTTGACGACAGATCCTGTTGGTGTGATTGCGTTTTTAACCTCACAGTCGAGCCACTGTGCGCTGGTGGTAACAGGGATACGTAGGACGCGCCGCTGACATTACTGTGTACGGAGCTGGAGAAGCCGCTGTTCCGTGCTGAAGGCGACTCGGAGGAAGAATCTTCGGAGGCAGCTTCGAAGCTTGGGACAGTGCGGATGGTAGGGGGTGCCCTTGGGGTGCGGTTGAGCGAGGAGCCGGCGTTTGCATAAGGGTCGGGATTCGAATTGAGCGCTGCGCCGTTGCGATTGTATGTGTTCATAGCGCCGTTTGAAGCAGGCGCAAGCTTTATTCTTAAGTTCGCATCTGAGGCGGCATCCAGATAGGCGGGCTCTGGTGGACAATTGTCAACTGCAGTTCGACCATGTTTCTCGCCGGAAGGGTGCAGGGTATGTGCTTTGTTTGCTGGCCTCGATCGAGCCCCCAACAAAGAGGTGAGGCCCGATCTCTATGCGGGCTGGCGGGCTGGTGTTTCAGGAGACACATATGCTCCTAACCACATGGCGTGTGAAAGGAAAGACAGCATTCGTTGCGACTTACCGTTTTCAATGCCGTGGTGTCTGCGGTTGGGGATGAACTGAGGTCGGGATTTCAGGAGTCGACTGGGCATATCTCATGACCTCGTGGGAGCGGACGGGCTTCGGGTGTGGGTATCGTTGTCGAGGGTGGTTCGTTCATGCAGCAAAGGAGCAGATATTGCGTTTGGACTGGCGGTAGATCGACGTGGTTGTCAGACAGGGCAGGTGCTTGATCCACGATGTGTAAGGTAGTAGCAGATTTCGAATGGCAAGGGAATGGCTGTCTGCATTCAGGGCACAGGGACAAGAGAGAATGGGGGAGAGCAAGCGAGAGATTTCCCATGTCATGTTATTACGGCATATTGAGAATGAACAACACTGGATGCTCGCTGGCAGCTGGCTGGCTGAGGTGGCATGGGATGATGTGTCGGGTGTTCAATGTTGTTGGCTCCAGCTTGTATTGACGGCGGGCCATTAACATGGCCGCACGGCCCTTCGTTGGAGTTAAGCGTTCGCCATCGGCTTCAGGCTTCAGCAGGTACCCGAGAATGCCGCTCTCCATCCACCAATGACATGGATCTGGAGACGGGCAGTAGGGTCACCTATAAGGCGCTACCACCACTGATGAAACGCCACTCCAATTTGTCCCGGCAACCAGCTGCCACCACCCTCAAGGCTCAACCTTGAAGCTGCATGTGCTGCCGTCATCCCGCATGCTATTAGTTGGAGATCCATGGATTCCACCTGTCCGTCTCGTCGTCGTCGTCTTCAACAGCATCATATTCGAAGATGTCTGTCACCATTCAGGGCTGCCGTCCATTGTTCCAACTGCCAATCGGAAATTCGACATGAGCATGGGCATGAGCATAGGGGTACGCGCGCGTGCATTGTGCATCATTAGGCATTGAATTGCTCCATGGCAATCTCCTCCTATTTGGGGTCGGCATCGATCACTCTCATCACCCATCCTACCATACCTACGAGTCTACTATTTATGACAACTCGGCACAGCATCTTTCTGTTCTCGGAGCTGTTTGAAGTCAAATGGACCCATCGATGAGTGGCAGCCTTGCCCTTGGGGTCAACGGCCCTCGGGGTCAACGTGTTTCGAAACACCACACGATAAGCGATGTCACCTCGATCTATGCTTCCGATCGTCTCAAGATCAACCCAACGGCCCGGCCGGATGACACCTCTTGAAACTCTGCACCCTGCAACTTGAGCTCGCCCTCTTGACCTGGGGGCTTGCCTATCGGTAGCGTCGAGGGTATATCTGATGATGAGAAAAGCACGCGCAGCCGCGTCAATATGCCACAATGCATGTTCCCCTTTTCTTCAACCCTAATCAACGGGCAGGTGGAGCAGACTGTCGTCCAACACCACCTGGGTCTACCCAGCACGTTATAACACAGAGACATCGATATCGACACATAGGCCTGGTGTTGAATGGGAGCCGGAGATAGGCACCGGAAGATCTCCAGTGGGGCAGAGACGCACAGGGCATCTGACCCACCAAGAAGCGGATAATCAATCTCTGCACACAGAGCAGAACAATCAATAGGATCAATGAACATCCGTGTATTCAACACCTGGTCAGTCAATCCTTGCGTCTAGACACAATTTCGACGGATTTCATTGGACTAAGATTTTGGAAAGCTGGGAATTGGAAATGCCATATACAAAAACTAAGTACTCTCGGGGCCTGCAACCCGGTAGCCACAGTCTCCGATGCTCGACTAGCACTCAGGGCGGACAGACAGCGTTGATAATACATCGCTCGGGGGCTTGGAAGTATGCGTTTAGCTGGAGGCGGACCATCCTTTTCAAGTATGGGTTGTCATTTATTCTCCACACACTGGCGATGTGCGCCTGAGTCGCGGCACCATTCCCCCTCAGGTTGGCGGCCACGTCGAGGCCATTCTTTCTGATCGTCTTGATGATGAAGCATATCATATCCGAAATTTCGGTCATGCCCGAGGGGATCTCGCAAGTATCATCCACCGTCAGGGGCCCAACTGGCGCAAGGGGAATCCCCGGGAATATCCCCGGGAATGGGACGCCCACGCCCGGCGTGTTAATCATCTTGCGCATCACGGTTCCGATGGTACCTAGCACGGCGAACTGCGTCAAGGAGCCCTTCATCTCCTGATGCGTCATACCTTGGAGCAGGTCGAGCGAAGTGTAATCACGCCTGACGAGGTTGGCGGCGAAATTGATATTCACGCCGTTGCGCTGCCAAGTGTGAGGTATATCGGTCCAATAGTCTTGGATATCATTCCATCGATCATTACCGTCGTGCGGCCACGGATTGTGCCAAATCGTCTCGTCCCGCTGGAAACCATCAGTTAACGACCGGTCATAGCCGTCCGGAATGCAAGCGGTCGGTCAATGCCCCTTGGCATCACCGTCGTTGTGGTTCGACAGCGCCTCCGCGGCCGTGGGTGGGAAAAGGATACAGCCCACATACCTCACGATCCCAAATCGATACCGAATATACCCTATCGAGATCTAATCCCGTCGCCTCTTCGACTCGGCCTGTGAGGTGTCGGTGGATGAATATGAGGCAGCGATACCTGACGTCGCTCGTCAAACGTCGGCGCGGTTGCGCAGCTATTTGGATCCATGCGGCGTTGAAGTCGCGAACCAAATTCACTTGTTGTCTTTCTATTCCTGCCCTCTCGCCTGTCTGCCAGTTCGCCCAATCGTGCGTCAGTAGCGGGTCGCGAGGTACGTCGCACATGTTCTTATTGGTATATGCCCACTGCGATGACTCAGTGTCAGCCAAGAAGTTTCACTGCCGGCTGTATATGATGGAGATAGCCACTCACAACTCTTCTCCTCCTGCGGTCGCTGCGCACATTTGAACGCATCTGCCGTGCTCCAAGGTTAATCAATGGAAAGGTCGACGGTCTCTCGAGCACTCGCAGAATATAAACCTACTCAGCATTTCTTGCATTTCCGTCTCATTCAGCAAGCTCTCTCTGGTCCTTTTTACGCCGCTGCCACCTGCCCGTGGAAGCCTCTGAAGCGTCTTACACATGCGTGTCGACGCTCCGGCCATGTTGTTAAAGGAGACCGTTTCGAGCCCTACATACACCGGCGTTAGCCGCTGGTGACTCCAGTTGATATACCATTTGGCGGCCAGAGGCGATCTGACACCGGGTGGAGACTTACGCACGGGGGCTACACCACCGGTGTAGCTCTCGAATGGATGCGGTGCCTATACTACATCATCAGTGACCACGTTCTCCACCAAACAGAAAACGAGACACGAAGCTGGTAGATCGATTCGTGATGAGAACGGATTGAAAGCAGATGAGAGACTCACATTCCATGTCGGGACGTTAGGAGGCCATGCCATTGCGATCGGAAGTTCGTCTTAGTAGCCTGCTTATAGTAAGGTGTATCTATGAGCGCCGTTTCCTCGGCAATTATGAAGACCTGAAGAACACAATATTGGTGACAAGCGACCATACGTGCGACAGAAAAACACGGGCCCCTCTGCCATTATCAACTCGAGACTCGGTCTTTGCGGGCCAGTAGAGACACGGCGGACAAAGACCAGACGACAATGGGAGCCGCCCACGCCGGAACCAGCGACCGCCATCGTAGGAGGTATCACAAAGCGGAACAAGTCTTCGAACAACCTCGTGTTGAATTTCGTGCGTAAATTCGAATTCAATTGAAACTATGATGCTGTCCTGGCACTGCAGAGAGAAAGAGAGAGAGCTATCGGTGTGCTTGCTACATTGGTTGACTGCAGGATATTGTCAAAGGGTGCGGTGTTTAAGAGACACTGAGCCCTCATGAGTCTCCGTACACCATACGTCTCAGCAAACGGTAGGTAAATTTATCTTACCATCATGCGCGTACGGAGCCTTATGAGGGTTGAGTGTATCATCACAGTATGCTCGGGTACGGCTACAAGACTCCACGCGCAGCTCAAGTCGTCGCACACCTGCTATTCTCGCCATCCAAAAGTCAGTGGCAACAAGACCCTCCAGGAGCGGATCAGGTGCAGAAGGATTAATGGGTACTAATAATATATAGGTGTCCAGGATGGTAACCAGTAGCGTGCCCCATACCCCTATTTATATACTGCTATAAATATGGGAATAAAGTTCTATCGTTGTTATCGCCACGTACTAGGTTAATAAGCGTCAACTGACACCGACGGACGACAAGGATGCATACTACTCATAGCCATTGGCTGTAGGCGGGCAGCAGTTCACTCGGTCGACAAAGTCGCTTCCATCCCAGTGACTTCTCGGAGGCTACCAGGGTCCAGCGATGATCATCGCTCTGTTGGTATCGAAGCCTGTTAACTTGTATGACATTCCTCCCAGCTTTCCCACCGAAGAGCGGATACCAAGAACTTCATCTGGCCCTACATTATTATGAATCAGAACTTTGCGTGTTTTTAACAAGCCTAAAGGCCACCGTCACGAGGAACCGCTAACTATTACCATCCTGGACACATGTACTTACATCCGGACCGGCACCGCCGGGACCACCTTCCAGTCATCCTTGGTACGGCACGCCCTTATGGAGGCCTGAATTGGCTTCAGAAGCCAGTTGTACGTGTATATAGGTCGACTGCTTGTCACGTCCCACCGTTCTTGAGACCACTAGCATAGACTTTAAGCACTACAACCAACCCAGTCAACCAACCACCACAGTCATCCTTGACAGTCAATCTCGCCTCATTCCTTGGGCATCCAAAGAAGAGCTGTTCTTCATTCACACTGGCCTGGAAGCTGCATCACTTCGCACCAATCGCTCAGTTAGGCTGGATTTCCAATCGGACCTTTCGACGCAGCTATGTACATCAGCAAATGCATTCTTGCCTGGGCGTTGTCAGCCCCTCTGGCTATAGTCACAATCGCGCTACCCGCTTCAACTCCGGCATCTATTCCTGGGGATACTGTGAATTCTACCATGTATGTTTCAACCCCCAACCTCCTCGGAACGGGGAGCCATGCCGGTTCCGGAAGCTGACTCGTAGAGCAGACTTGCCAGTCGTCCCCATCAGGATGGCTTCCCCAAGACGGTGCAGTATCGAAATAATCACGTACTCTCTGAGAGAGCACCGAGAGCGGGCGAAAAATACTATGGACCCTATGGCGACATGAACACAATGTGGGACGGATTCCTCAAAGTTTATGATCCATACGGCGTGGGTAGAAGAACGGTCAGGAGCAGATCCGGACAGTATCTGTGGACTTCAGGTCTGAACACGTGCCTGGGAGTCGCGGCGACCATGAAGCCACGGGGCACATCGGAGAAATGGCACATTCTAGCGCATGTCGACCCTCAATATGATTGGCAGAACCACTGGAAGGATCAGCTCGCCAACATACAAGCTGCGTTCAACGAAGCCAAGAGGCTCGGCATCAAGCCCAAAAACGTCAAGCTGGTGCTCGACAAGGGCGATGTGGAAAATGACCCTAACAAGGACATGCTATTCTCCAGCTCGAAGAAAACATGGGCTCAAATGCTCTACTACTTCTACGACTTCATGGAACAGGAGTTGAGCGCGATGATGAGCCCGGACAAAGTCAATTATGCATTGCACGGTATCTCGGAGCGTGGCGAGGCAGACTTCAACCAGCCACCGCTAAGCACCATGGTGATATTTGGGGATAGCGTCATCACAGCAGAGGATCTAGTGGTTTAGCTTTACTTGAGAATATACAGTTCATTCTGGGAGCGGAGCAGTTTTGCATCGGTACAACTACTCAACTTTGCAAGGGGATCCCTTAAGTTACATAAGTTTGGCGTGGGAAGACTTCTTCGTGGGGCTCTCCTGCTATTCTTCCCTCAGTTCACGAAGGCCTTATTTGGGCAATGAAAAATGTGGCTGGCAAGTCAGGTGGATGCCATTCCGCATCCCTTTGGCTCTACCAGTTCCCAGCCAGCGACGTGATAGACACACAATTCACAAAACCAGCTATGGCTGTCACATCCATAAGCAGACAATGCTATGCTAAGACCAGGCATGTAGTCATGGGGGATAGGGCTTTGCAGGAGTCGTGCCACTTGAGCAGTGCCGAATTCTCAGTCTCAGGGGTCAAGGGAAACTTTTGTGCACACTACACTGGGTCACATGCAGAGAGGTAGTTGACCGAACACAGGTAACACAACAAGCAGATCATGCCTAAAACTGAAATCAGAACTGAGGTGGTGCTAAGCATCAAGGGGGCGACATCTGGTGCGTAGGTAGGTATAATCCAGGAATATGTATTCTAAGCTGCGACGTCGTAGGTGGGTGGGCAAGGTAGGAGGTATTTTAGTCCCTCCTCTCAGAAGGAGGCCTACATCCTCCGCCAACACGAAACCCACGAGCTAGGTCCCCGACAACTGCCCGTTTTAGATCTAGAGGAAAGCGAGTTATAATAGGCACGCTACTGTGGTGACAGGGTCACGACGTCGTGAGGTATCCTCAATGAGGCGTGCTCGTTCTCTGTAGCCACCTAGGTCGACGCAGAAAGACCACCGCAAGCGAATGTTACATCACTTCGTTACTGCTAGTAGAGTCGGCCATATTTCCAAGAACCTCTCGGGAGAATGGAGCATTAACAGGGAATCTTGAGGATCTCGCACGACGTCGATGATGCTGGGACCTAGGTAAGTAGCTTCTTTGGTCTGTTTAGCACTCTTAAGCTCACTCCAACATGCGACACAGCTCTAGACACGCAAAAAGAATGGCAGGTCAACTCATAAGTGCTTTGAGCGTTGCGGTAAAATCATCGACATCCGGGTATATGAGGCGTTCCGCAGATAACGCCCCGACCCTTCATGAGCTAGCTATACAGCCATATCGATATAATCATGAAATCATAGTGATACCGCCACATCCTTTTCCAAACGCCAGTCTCCCTGCGTGCGCCTGTCGATGCCATGCCGCCGTGGATGTCTCGCAAGACCCCCGAATCTCCCTGAGGAATAGATAAAGATACCGTACAATACATTCCAAAACGTCTCGTCGCGACTTGCAAAAGCCAAGATAGCTTACAGCAGCCATACGTAAAGGGGTATCGTGTGATCACGCCAATCAAGCCGTGATGCTAGCTGCCAACGGTGTGCCATTCGCAGCCAGACCTTGTTGTGCCTCTTGCAGAAAGGCAGGACGCCATTTTTGCAGATATTTGGCAGCCATGGGCCGAGAGTCCTCATACTCGGTCCAGATCCCCTGAATTGCATCCAACGCCAGATCCCGGACGGGCGGGCGCATTACTATCAAATAGTATAAGCTCGTAAGAGCAAGCTGGACTAAGCTCGGGTCTCGACAGAGTGTCTTGACGCGCGAAAGAATTGGAGCGTCCAGCTCGGGAAGCTCGCTGAGGAAGCGCGTCAGAACTTTATCCTGCGCGTGGAGGTATGGGAGGAACCCATCGAGAAGACGAAGAGCCCATTTTTCGTAATGCGCCGGTACATGACGTGGTGTTGCGGAAGCGGATGCAGCCTGACGTTGTACTCGGTCGTTGTACCATTCCTCGCTTAGCCACGACACAGCTACCTCGATACGCTTTCGAAAGTCTTCGAGGACGTAGCTGTAGAGGCTTTCACGTATACTGTTATTGACGCTGCTTGTAGGTAGGACCAGTTGGCTGCTCTCCTCCTTGACCGAGATGTCGTCAAGACCCGCATTGGCTCGGGTTGCTAGGCGAGTAATTACGGTAATCCACGAGTCGCGGTCGTACGAATTAGCTGCCAATCTGTTAATGCCAGCCTTCATCTTCTTGACGGCAGGGTCTTCGAGTGTCTTCATTGTGCCGAAGACGCGTGTGACAGATCCTTGTCCAACCCTGGCAGCCTGGTCCGAATCTAATATCGGTGGTGGCGGTAGGGAAAACGTCGGTAATGCAAGACCGTTCAACACCGGCTTCTGCAATTCACGTCTTTCGTCGGAAGGGGAGGAATCGAGCTTATTCAGCAGTTGCTCGGTATCTTCTGCCGCGTAGTAATCGGGTTCGTAGTCATCATCATCCTCCTCTACGCCCAGTGGTGCAGTCTCAGGGTTGATGGGTTGCTGAGATGCTTCGTGAAGAGCTACCAGGCGTTCTTTGATACCCTGCAAGACCTGTCAGTATTAACATTTGAGGATGGGTGATTTTAACAACGGGATTATGTATAGCTAATCATTTATCGAAAGAAAGAGGATGGTCGGCATACGTTGATAGCCAGCTCCAAAAGCCTGGGGTCTAGCTGGGCAATTGTCCGGACACTGATCTTGGCGGCAATCGGTGCTGGAACAATGTCGCCTACGTTGAAATTCTTCAACCCCTCATTGGTGGTCAAGGTGAAGACTTCTGCCAAGCTGCGAGGACCGGGCTTCAGAGGAGGGATCTCGATCTGCGGTTGTGCAGGCACAGTGGCGACGCGCTGGCGCTTGGCCTCCAAAGCGCTTCCCTGGTCCGGCATTGCTCGTTTCCGACTTGTCTCGTCGAAAAGTTCAGCTCGTGATTGCATCAGTCGTTCAACGTATTGTTGCATCCGGCCAGCAAGCGGATTGTGGGGATCGCTGCTACGAAGTCAGTGATGAGATGGTCGTTTTGATGCAGAGCGCGAACATACCGTCTCGACAGGTGGATGAGCAACATCCGTGTCGTCTTCTCCATGGATTTGACCAGAACCTTTGTCTTTGATGACATGGGAGAGCTGGCAAGTCTCAATGGGTTGAAATTCAAGAGGGTATTGAGAATCCGGCTGGACGTGGCAGGTCTCATGCGGATGAGAATGGACAAGGTATTGAGAGTTGCATCGACAATCAGAGCATCACTGCAGGCAAATACGCTTTAGTCACCGATTTTACCGATATACTCCGAGTTTGGCTTCCTTACCTGCTGCTGTCTTGCAAGGCGCCCAAGACCCTATCTAGCAGCCCAAATGCTTCAGCCTCGAGACTGGGTCCTTCGAGTACGGGATGATTCGGTGGGATCATCAGGAGAGATATATCGAGGGGATCGCCACGCTGTAGCCATTGTCAGCAACCAAGTCTTACAAGGGATCTGTCAGAGGCTTCCTACCCGTGGTTCTGTGTTGACGCTCGGTGTCTGTGCAAGCACAATCCGTTGGGCGAACTTGACGCAGCACATGCGTATAGTTACAGGTGCAGTTTCCCAGATTCGCAGTATTCTAGTCTTGATGGCTGTCATTCGTTGCCAGGTAGAAGTATCGTAGGAGTTGTTGATTCTGACAGAACCTCGAGGATCAGCAGTCTGGCCTCAGGAGACAAACCCCCAAAGGAGATACGGAAGGGGATATGGACGAGACATCTGCATGCATAGTCACAGACATGGTGGCAGGTCTACAGAGTCTACGAACGCATACAATTTGGGAGGGGAACCTACATCCAGCGCATCGCAAGCGGGTATATGCTGGCAGCGGCCTGTATAGCACTCCTCAACACGACGACGTCCTGGTTGACGTCCTCTACCAGCAGCTTCAGGGTCTCCAGTACTAGCAGCGAAAGTGTCTCCTTTTGGTTGAGCTGGACGGCCGGTGTTGCGAAAGCTTCGGCAAGGAACTCGGCACCCCATCTTCGGAATTCGACTTGGGACGAGGGTCCGATGATGGGCAGTGTTGCTTGGATGACTTGGGGGTAGTACGTGACATCGCCCAATACAAGCTTGCGGGCTCCCTCGAGTTGGCGAATCTGGTCGGCAACTGATAGTGAGGGTTGACTTGACGCCATGATGGATGGGGCAGAGTGGGCTCAGGCAAACCTGAGACCAGCGAGAAGGGGGATACAGTTTACGGCAGCGTGCTGTGTCACGAACCAATTGTATAAGAGGTTGCGTTATTTGAGAGTGTCAAATCGGCGCCTGGGAGCTGCAACTGGTAGTCGAGATCTAATAGCCAGCTTGCAGTGCTGGTTGTGCGTAGACCGCGGCGATGTTGAGGTGGTATGGTGTGGGAGTGTGGGAGTGTTGGAGTGTGGACTGGACCGGTCGCGCGGGCGCGTCGAAGTTCAGTTGGAGTTGTTTTTTCCTGCCCGGTGATGTCAATTGGGACGATCGATGCTCTGTTCCTGGCACCCTCTACAGCCTGAATGCGAACCTACCTACGATTGCTGGGAGCCGCCTGCCCATCTCTTAAGTGTAAAATTGAGCATGAATGTATGCCCCAGTACACAGCAGTGGAATCAAATACAGGACGAATGGTCTCTCATCAGGGCCACCGTCATGGACCGGAGATAAGGTACCTAGGTGAAAGAGGGAATGCTTTGTGTTGAAGCTTCCCGCGAAGGACATTGAAGACAAGCTTGGGCGGATGGGAGCTTGGCGTGACTGGCAGGGCATGTGGACAGGAAGCCGGGAGGTTGGTCAGGCATGGCGTATTTACCCGAGGAAATACAGCCACATCTCTAATTGGCCAAAGGTACTACCTAATAAGTGCATATGTAGGAGATCTGCGGCCATTGCTCTATCGGGTCTTTCTAACAGCAGCCAAGCCCGCTTGAAGCATCGCTGCATCGTTAACTTTTAGCGGCTCCCCCAAATAATCCATTGAACATACGATTTCCCAAATCTGAATACACCAAGCCAGCGACCACATCTAGCTGTCGCATATCACAGACAAAGGCCCAGTTGGGCAAAACTACATCAAGATGCCATCTGGGTATGTACTACGTCCATACCCAAGCTTCAAGCTTGCTCATACGAACTGTCGCAAAGATCGACCAATATAAAACTAACACCACTGGCAGATTCGGAAGCTCCTCCTACTACGACCGCCAGTCCCGGCAGTCGCCCGCCCTCATCCGCGCCCGGAAGCCCTACATCTTCAAGAATGCCATCGTCGGGTCTGCCGTGGCAAGCTTCGCCATCGGAGTCTGTAAGGATACTACTCCCCATACCCCCGATGCGCCGCCGGGAGGCAGGTGTCGAAGTACGAGGATAGGGCGCTGATGCTCGACAGATATCTACACTATCCGAGCCATCGGTCAGGACGAGTTCGACGATGTCAAGGTTCCCGATGCGCCGAGCCAGCGAGCGAAGTAGTCGAGTACAAAACATTGACCTACCACCACCACTAGCAGCCATCATGACTACATGGATGGCCGCGACCCGACACCGGTCTGCCTCACTGGTCAAGTTGAGGGCACTGGGGTATACAATGTACAACAAGGAGGGCTTGAATTGAGTCTTCGACTTCGGTCAATTGGTTGTAACAACATAAAAACAAGCTAGGTGGTATCATGGCCCGACGAGGACCTCCCGACAAGGCGAATCGCCCCCCGGACGCCAACAAAATGTGTATCTACAAAAACCCATCAGATTGTACCATAGAGAAGTGGCCAGCTCTACTCCCGGCTTCCCCGGAAATGCACCGAAAAGAGCCACCCAACGCAAAGATCATCCCTTCGTACATGTATGGCCTGAGCAGACAACGCCAATATATTGCCCATGGCCACCGCTGACGCCCCATGCAAAACATATGCAGCTTGTGGTATAAACGCCAATATGCTTTCTTTCGCTGTCTATTCAAATGGAGAAATTCCACGTCCCACAGAACAGTTGTCGTCGTGTCGTCGTTGACGTCGGGGTTCCCCCGCCGCTCCCTGTGTCAAAGCGCTGTTGCAAGCTTCAAGTAATTGTGAGCATGTGACTGTTGCGCTTAGAACCCGCCGACTCGCTGGCCATTCTCGCGTTTCGCGGCTGTCTCCGCTGCCTTCATGCTCCGGGCTTTCGTCTGTTCTAACACATTCGCAGCTCGCGTGACTTCGGGCGACTCCGAATCTTGCCTGGGTATGCTTTTGGATGGCTTCGCGTTGCCGTTGAAAGGTTGGCTGGCTGATGATATCGAAAAGGGGTTCGGTTGACTGGTTTGCCGCCTTGACCCGGCAGACGCATTTGTCAACACACTTGCTGCCGCTTGCGTCTCCTGCTGGGCTGAATGCTGGCGCTGGAGAAGGTAGGCGTTGGATGGGTGGTTGGGATTTGCCCATGGCGTTTGCTCCAGGAACTGCTCTGCCGCTGGCCCTAGAGGTTCTCCAAAGGGTACACCGCGGTAATCAGTATAGCTTGGCCTGGGTACTGAATGCCGCGGTGCTTGCTGACGACCTCTCTACTCATACAATATCAGCATTGCCGTCCAGTATTGGCAATCGTCGATGGCTACTTACGTTCATAGCATCGAAGTCGTCTTCTACCTCGGACAGGGAAGCTCCTGGCATGTCTGGAGCTGCTGGCATTCCCTCGTACTTGGCGATGCCAGATAGAATCGATACCTCCTTGTTGTACGCCAACGCATTTCTTACGTGCTCGTTATGCGTTTGGGGAAATCGAATGCCGTATTCGGGTACATTATCGGCGTGCTTCCGTCGCTCGTGCTGGATGTCGTACCAATGTTGGCCAAGTTCAGCCAACACCGTCTCTCGGGACTCTCTGACCGCCTGGAAATACTGTGAGTGGATTTGCGCGCGCTTGGCAACACCCAACCTCTCCAGCATCTCCAGGCGCAGCTCGAGTTCGCGATCTGCTACGCGCAGTTTCTCGTCTCTCCTAGCGTCTATACATTTCATCATGGCGAGATACTCGGGGTGTGTAGGGTTGTCGGATCGCAACATCGCCTCTTCTTGATTGAGCTGCTCCAGTCTTTCCTCGTAAAGTCTGTGTCCGTGTTAGCTCGCTGAAAGGTACCGTAGGACAAGAGTGGAATCCCGTACCTATCTCTGAAGGTAGCGAAGCGTTTCTCTATACTCGATAGCTGCTCGAAAGCGGCCCTTTTTCTTTCAACTATTCCGAGCGAGTTAGCTGTTGCTGCTATATGATAGCCCGAGAGGTCTGCCATACGTTCTTCTTCGTTCTTATGAGCTGCTTCTGCCTCCCCATCTACATCGACTTCCATGTGCTCGTCGTCGCCCGTATGCGCCCCGTCTTCTTCGGGCGCTGTACCATCGACGCCAGCTTCGGGAGATACACCGCGTTCCGCTTTATCTTCTGGACCTTTGAGCTTCCTCGAACTGCTCCGTGTCGGCTTCCTAGGTCCGGTCTCCCGATCCGATGGAGCTCCAGGTGGAGGCTTATCCACCTCGTCGTCACCCGCAGTCGCATTAACTCCCTCATCAGCAGAGTGTTCGCCGCTGTTAGTGTTCGATGAAGGGTCATCCTCATCTGCCATGGCGATATCATTGTCCGGAACTTCTTGACTGGGAGGGGGTGCCGACTCTGTTCGTTTGCGCAAGGGCTGCTCCGGCTCGGCGGCTCCTAGTTCTACTGGTGGACGTTTCCGCTTTCGGTTTTCGGCTTCTTGATTTGCTGCTTCGGCTAAGATATCCAACGTCGGTGATTGCAGCTTCTCGGGGGCTTCGAGTGGTTGCGCAGGTGGACTGGAGGCCATTGAGACGTCTTCGTCAGAGAGGCGCCCACTGTCGTCGTAATTGCCGCCGGCGACGGTGCTATTGGCTTGACGCAGCTTGCTCGGGGTGCGCTCGTAGACACTGCCTGCCGCGGACTGGTCAAGGGGGACGTCTTTGTGGCGGGTGGGATTCCTGGGCGTGTCGTAGAGGCGCTCCGTTTCGGCTTCGGTGTCGTTGGCGTCGGATAGGTTGTCGGGCGAGCTCGGTTCGTCATCGTGGTGGTTTGCGATGGGGCTACGGCCGTGAATGTCGTCAGGGTCATCGTCCTTGTCCTCGACGTCGCTCAGAGGACTGGACCCATCGTCGTCGGAAAGTGGTTCAGTCGGCGGGGGAGGGATGGAGAGCGGCGGAGGCGCCGTGTCTCCAGTGGCCATGGTAAAATCGCCGTTCGTAGGCCGTTTTCTGTTCAACGGGTTGGATATTGAAGTACGAGTTGGAGCAACGATTTGCCGAGAGAGGCGTGCGCAAGACGATGGGTGCTCGAAGCTGTCGGGGCGGATGAAGCTTCAGCAGACCAAGGAGGTACTGGCTGTAAACACGGGAAGTGGGCTTCAGGTGGGAGAAGCCCTTCGACTTGAGCCGGGAGCCACAGCAAATGGGACCTATGTATGGGATCCGTGAAACGAGCGGCGGTTGGACCAGAAGTCTGTTGTCGAAAAGGCAGAGTCATTCAAGGTGGGCAGGGTCAGGCGCTGGGAGGGATCAGTTTGCGCTCGCGGAAACAGAAAGAGAATGACCAAAATCTGGGTGGTTCGCTGCTAAAGTGCGAAGGTACCTCCCCCCAATGACCCCAAGTCCCAGACGCTCATAACGGCATTTGGCGGCCGGAACAAGAGACGCCTGCTTATCGATAAGCCACTGGCAGCTAGCTCCCTTGAGCGACTATCGGTTGGCTGCTAATAAATTGGAGCTAATCCGTCCGATAAGATAAGGTTCATGGTTGGGGGTACTGCCGGTGTTTGGTTGGAACTTTTTTTTCTGCTTGGGTCCGAACTGCGCTGTGCTTGAAGCTGAGGTCTCCTGCATTCAACCTCAACCAGCTTCACCGCGAACGAAGTTGTCGCCATCTTACAATGGCAAAGTCGTGAGTATACATTGCACCGGATGTTTTGCTCGCCGCAATTGACTAACTGGTGTGCCAGAAAATCTGGTCTGGCAGCTTCAGGCAAGGTCATCGACCCCACCTTGGATGCTTTATTCGCAGGCAGTGTCAGTATTCCTGGTCGACGCCGCACGTTGCCACAATCAGAAGCTAACCCTTCGTCAAGTCCGGTCCTGCCCAGGCGCCCTCGACAAACCGATACGTGGAACTACTTGAACGAAAGGAGATCAAACCCTCCGAGGCGACCCAGGACGCAGAATCAGTCGTGGATGGTGAATCGGCAGATGGGAGCAACGCGGAGACGAGCGGCGAAGACGAGGCTGAAGAGGAAGACGACGAGGTCCTAAGCGAGATAGAAGATGACGACGAAGATGGCGCCCAATCTGAAGGTCAAGACTCGTCTTCCGAGGGCCTGAACGCTGTCGAGGAGCCCCCAGTTCAGAAGAAGGATCGCAAGAGAAAGCGTAAAGACGAACATGACGACTTAGAGGTCAAGTACATGCGCAAAATCGCAGAAGAGGAGGAGAAAGAACATCAAGAAGAGAAACGTCGTAAAGGACCAAGTGGCGAGGCCATCGCCAGCACAACGTCTAAAACAGCGGAAGCTTCTGGAGATGAAGAGGAGGGCGCTGCCAACTTGGTACACGAGTCACTCCAGAAGACGGACGAACACGCCAACATCGAGCTCGACAAAGCAAATCGCACCCTATTTTTGGGTAATATTTCCAACGAGGCCATCACCTCCTCCAAGGCGAAGAAGCTCCTGACAACTCACCTCGAGTCTCCCTTATCCACTCTCGATTCCTCCACCGGCCCTCATAAAGTTGAGTCGCTTCGGTTTCGCTCCACGGCCTTCTCCACGGGCGCAATACCGAAACGGGCCGCCTATGTCACCAAGTTGGTCATGTCGGCAACCACCAAGTCTACCAATGCGTATGCCGTTTACTCGTCACCACTCGCCGCACGAACTGCTCTGAGGGCCCTCAATGGGTCAGTCATACTTGATCGCCACATGCGGGTGGACAGTGTAGCCCATCCGACTCCCATAGACCACCGCAGATGCGTGTTTGTGGGAAACCTGGGCTTCGTGGATGACGAGACAGTCATCAATACGACCGCAGAAGGCGAGACTACGACAAAGAAGCGTACCAAGATTCCTGCCGATACCGAAGAGGGTTTGTGGCGAACATTTGGTCAGCATGCTGGCAAGGTGGAGAGCGTCCGCGTACCCCGAGACGACAAGACACGGGTGGGGAAAGGCTTCGCATACGTCCAATTCTACGAGGCCAACGACGTGGAATCGGCACTGTTGTTGAATGGGAAGAAGTACCCGCCCATGCTGCCACGCATCTTGCGCGTGTCTCGCGCCAAAGACCCGCGTAAAACAGCACTTGCAATGGAGCGTACGACGAAGGGCAAGTTTGACGGCCTGAAGGGCAGAGACGGCAAGTCAAAAAGCACGAAACACAAGCCAAAGGCCACGCCGGAGCAGCAGTCACAAGTTGGCAGAGCCGGGCGATTGTTTGGTCGAGCCGGCGCAGCACGGCAACGGCACGGGCTGGAGGGCGATGGCAGACAGCCGAAAGAACGGCCTGGCAGAACCGAAAGTGAAGACACGATAAAGCCGCCGGAGCAGTTCGTTTTCGAGGGTCGCCGGGCAAGTTCAACGGATGGTAAGCCACGGGATCTGAAGTTGAAGGTGAAGGGAAAGAAAGGGGCAGTGAAGGCCAAAACGAAGGGTCGAGGGGCCAAGCGAGCGGCAGAGTGGAGGAAGACAGGTCCGAAGAAGTGAGAAGCAGTCGGTATTTACCACTTGGCTGAGGGCGTGCCCTCGAACGTCGAACGTCAATGGTGTTTTTCAGTCTCGATACCCGGAGTCTATTGACATGCGTGCTGTGATGACTACCAGACCCGACTTGTGATTCTGAACTTTGGGTGATATATCATTATGAAGACCTGTCATAAAACGATGCCCATCAAACGGTCAACCTGCAGCAAGCTACCACATAGTATGTAGAGAGATCAGCATGAGAGAGGCATGGCCCTTGTCACGCCGGCTTTGTTGATAGGCGGTGTGAGCCCGTTTTGACCGTTTCGCATTAGCTGTGAGACGATAGCAGCATTATTTGTTTACACCGATGTATCTGAGCTGGCCAAACACTGCAAACTTTCTGCAAACCAGCCCTCGAGGTACCCCGACCGCCAACACGGCTGCCCCTCCATCGCGCGTCAACATCAAAACACCCTGGTAGCCGGTCTATCTTAGTGCTTAAGCCCCCCCCTCACTGGAGACTGTGGACAACTGATTCGACGAGGGCATTCCCAATCCCCACACACAAAACCACCAACACCCACACCTCCCTGACCTCCTCCTGCATTCTTTCCCTTCAAGCGCTGTGCGCATCCTGACCACCAGCCCGTAATTGGATCTTCCGAATCGGCATCGACTTCTCGACACCCTTGACCTCACCAGTTCGGACCACCAGCCGACGACGATACACCATGAAGGGCGAGGTAAGTTCTGAGCAGTCGTTGAGCTACGGTTTACAATGGCCATTGATTTGTTCCACGGCACCTGGTCCGGTGTGGGCTCTGCCAATTGGAATGCCCCTACGACGATAGAGATCGTGAAGATGCTCCTTCTATTACTCGAGCTTCTCCTGGTCTGCTGAGCCTATCTTGGATTCCGTCTGATCGTCTGCTTCACACAGATCCTCCACATTCACCTGGGCCAGGCTGGTACCCAGCTCGGTAACAGCGCTTGGGAGTTGTAAGTGTTACACCGCCTTGTGCTCCCATGGTCCTGGCTGACAGCTATCTACAGGTACCTCCTCGAGCACGGCCTCGGACAGGATGGTCGCCCCGATCCCAAGGCAAAGGACGTCCTCGACGGTGGCTCCTACGAGACCTTCTTCACCGAGACCAGCGGCGGCAAATACGTGCCCCGATCCATCTTCGTCGACTTGGACCCTTCTCCCATTGACGAGATCAGGACCGGTGCCTACCGCCAGCTCTTCCACCCCGAACTGCTGATCAGCGGAAAGGAGGATGCCGCCAACAACTACGCCCGTGGCCACTACACCATCGGCAAGGAGATGGTCGACAACTGCCTCGACCGAGTCCGCCGCGTTGCAGGTATGCAAGCTGGCCAGGAATCATGCGTTGCTGCTTGGTGACTGACTGACACATGCGCTAGACAACTGCAACTCCCTGCAGGGTTTCCTGATCTTCCACTCGTTTGGCGGCGGTACTGGTTCTGGCTTCGGTGCCCTCCTTCTCGAGCGCCTCTCTACCGAGTACGGCAAGAAGTGCAAGCTCGAGTTCGCCGTCTACCCGGCTCCTCGTGTGTCAACCGCTGTCGTCGAGCCTTACAACGCCGTCCTGTCCACTCACAGCACCATCGAGAACTCCGACTGCACCTTCTTGGTCGACAACGAGGCTGTCTATGATATCTGCAGACGCAATCTAGACGTCCCCCGGCCCAGCTACGAGCATCTGAACCGACTGATTGCTCAGGTCGTCAGCTCCATCACCTCGTCTCTGCGATTCGACGGTGCTCTGAACGTTGATCTGAATGAGTTCCAGACCAATTTGGTCCCCTACCCTCGTATCCACTACCCGCTGATCAGCTACGCTCCTGTCGTCTCAGCCGCCAAGAGTTCCCACGAGAGCTTCAAGGTCCACGACCTTACCTTCCAATGTAAGATCTGCAACGCAGCCTAGATCCAGTTACGTCAACTAACCAAATCACAGGCTTCGAGCCCAACAACCAGATGGTTGTCTGCGATCCTCGCAACGGAAAGTACATGGCCGTCGCCCTCCTCTACCGTGGCGATGTTGTGCCTCGTGACTGCAACGCGGCCATCGCGGCTCTCAAGGCCAAGTCATCCTTCAACCTGGTCGAGTGGTGTCCCACTGGCTTCAAGCTGGGTATCAACTACCAGAAGCCGATGTCTGTCCCCTCCACATCTCCGAACGACGGTGGTCTGGCTTCAGTCGACCGTTCCGTCTCCATGCTGTCCAACACCACTGCCATCGCCGAGGCATGGTCGCGTCTGGACTACAAGTTCGATCTTATGTACAGCAAGCGGGCTTTCGTACACTGGTACGTTGGTGAGGGTATGGAGGAAGGCGAGTTTTCCGAGGCCCGTGAGGACCTTGCCGCCCTGGAGAAGGACTACGAGGAGGTCGCGGCCGACAGCTTCGAGCCTGACGAGACGGAGGCTGAGTACTAAGCCTGTTGTGTCGACGTATAATACCCCCTCCTTTTCCATCCATCGGCTTCCCTATGCGGCGGCTGTGCTGCACTCTTGCGTAACTCCAGGTTCAGTTCTTTGAGGTATCGGTTGGTAAAAGATACCTATTCTTGTCGGAGTCACGTAGAGAGGGAGAATAGGTGGCGAGGATATTTTGTTCTTTCTTGAGCTATACTTATTGGCCAGGATTTGTACAGGCATGAGACTCATCCTGCTCGCCTACTCGTTCTAGGAGATTTGAGATGACGAGATGTCGAGATGTTTGGAGGCAAGGATTCCGTAGATAGTTCGTGATGGGATACCACTTGTCGATGGAGGAAAAAGAAGCTACGTTTCCGACTACAGTTCCACCTTACTCGTGCAACGTAATGGCTTCTGATTCCGCGGCAACAGTCTGACCAGTAAATACGCGGAAAGGTGATTCACGACTGAGACGCATTTACCCCTGAATACTGGTATGCCTCTGAACTCTAAGCATGGCTCAGAGCCTCAAACAATGGATTCACACCGATCCACATTGCCGGCAAGCCACTTTAGCCCGCATGTGAGACACTATTCTCCCTCACGTGTACTTACAACAGCGTGACTCCAACTGCCTCCCCAAGAGGATGGAGGGACATCGACTCTTCCATTAGAGTCTGTAGCAGCGTCTGTTCCGCGGCTCCCGAACTACAACCCCGAGTTGGGGTACATCATAGTTGACCATGGGGTCACACCAGATAGGGAGATACAATGCCAGACCCGCGCTATAATGCCCTTCTTTGTCTATGTATGTTGCGTGACTTTCCCTTGGTCCAGGGAGAGCGAGGTGAGACAGGCGGTTATAGACCTTTCTTCTCCAGGACAGATGTCAGGTGCCCTCGCCTTCTTCAAAGCGCATCGATTACCCCTTCACCATTTCTCAAAGAATAATCGTTGTTTTCCGAGGGTAAATGCAGACACAGATATTGATATTATGACGGCGCCAGTATTTGCGTCCAAGAAGCACGGCCTCGTGGCCGTCCTGGTCCTGGCCCTGATATGGTCCGGCTTCTTCCTCTTCAGGAAAACGACACTGGTGAGCATCACCCCGTAGAGCAGCACATACTCACGTCCGGAGTTGTAGATGGCTGACTGACAACGTCGAAACCCCCTTTTTAGCTCCAAGAACCCCTAAACAGCCTCAGCAGCAGCATCAGCAGCAGCCTGCCCCCCGCTTTCAAGCCGTCCTCCTCCTCCAACCCGTCCCCGCGGCCGCTGATCCTGTACGCGTACAAGGAGTCGGAGAACGCGCGCGCAAACCTCGAGTTCTTCCTGCACCAGGGCCTGCACGCGGCGGCCGACTTTATCTTCATCCTCAACGGCGAGACCGACGCGGCGGCGCTGATCCCGACGGAGCAGCACGCCAACATCCGCGTCGTGCAGCGGGCCAACACGTGTTTTGATTTAGGCGCGTTCGGCGAGGTGCTGCGCGAGGGCGACCTGTGGCGGCAGTACTCGCGGTTCATCACGCTCAACGCGTCGATCCGGGGCCCGTTCCTGCCGACGTGGAGCGACCAGTGCTGGAGCGACGCGTACCTGGACCGCATCACGGAGCGCGTCAAGCTCGTCGGCATGACGGTCAACTGCTGGCCGAGGCCGCACCTGCAGTCGATGATCTGGACGACCGACGCCGTGGGCATGGCGATCCTCCTGGACCCGCCGGCCAACGCGTCCGAGCCCGACATGTGGGGCGGGGCGGACGACACGGTCGCCTTCGGCGGGTGCTACGCCGAATTCCAGCGCGCCATCCACGCCGAGATCGGCGCCACGCCCGCGATTCGCGGTATGGGTTATGAGGTCTCGGCCATGATGGCCGCGTTCCAGGGCGAGGAGTATATTGACGAATGCGCCGAGCACCCGCACGACGTGCTTTACGACGGCAGGTACTTCGGCACGAATATCCACCCCTACGAGACTATCTTCATCAAGGCGAATCGCAATATCGATCCTGCGGCGCTGGAGCTGCTGACAGGCGTGCATAAGAGGCCTAAGTATGAGGGCAGGAGCTGGGACTTGTGTAAGTGATGCAAGTTGTACATACAGGGCTGAATCCAGCGCTTTTTGGTATAGGACTACCTGGGTTACTGGAGCGGTGGTGTTTCTTAGAGGCTAGAGGTGGAAATCATCTTGTAGAATTTGGAAGGGGCTATTTCCAGGGGTGTGTTGGATACGTTACCCCTGGTTGCAGCAATTGGGGCTAGACATTTTGGATTGGTGATGGGTTTGGGCTGGCGTTTTGTGTAGATTCTCGGGTTTTTGGAATACGCCAATGGTAACGGTTGCATGGTGATCTTGCAATGAATATGGTGTATTCCATTGCTAGACTCAGGGGGGAGGCTACCGTGAGAGAATTGTCAGGAGGCTTTCCCCACTTTGATGGTGTTCTCCTTTGATGCCGGGAGCTTCAATGTTGTCCAGCATTGCATGCCTGGCAAGTCGCAAGCGATCCGTAGGTAGACATTCACGGCTCACCTTCTTGACAACAATCGGCTCGGAAAGGTGTCGATACGCGAATACACGGGGCGCATCAGGGCCATGCCGTCTCGATGTTCGTGGAGACAAATGCCCCCCAGTGAAAGCGCTTTTGGCCCAGCCTGGGTTCTCACACATTTGGGGTCTTCCAGGAAGCAGTTCTCAACAAGAACGTAAAGTCCCTCTGCGGCACAGCAAGCCTTTCGCATGACACTCTGTTCATGGGCACCATCTTGTGGCACTCTGCTGGTATTCGACTCGGTTGGTCTTGCTCACATCGCCATACGTTGCGACTCGGCCATTTTTGAGCCTCCCGATGCCGCTTCACGGCTTTGTTGCAAGCCAGGATATAGCGACCTTTTCAATCGCCATTAGCGGACTGTATCAGAGTACAAACCCAAGAGATTTACCTCTTCGGCCTCCTGGAGCTGCTCTCGGACAGTGAGGCACACGACCTGATAAGCGACTGTTCGATGACGAGAAACGCGGTTTCCACCCGTTTCTCGCAAGCCTTAGCATTGCGGCCCTGTTTCGAACGTCCAGTGGAATACTTGGTTTTGGGTGAGGCTCCCGTGGCGACTGGCGATCGTGTCAATCACCTCTGTGGCGCAGAGGATCGAGGGATCATGGAGATGGTGGCCCCAGGCAGGTTCATGGTGATATCAGCCGCTGGCACGTATCCCTATTACGCTGCTGTTTCTTCGTGGAACCGAGATGGAGTCCTGGTTCACGTATACTGATAGAAGCTTTGACCGACATGATGAGGAAGGGAGCGAGATCTATGCGTCGCTGCGCTGGCAGTTCCTTTGCCATTCAGGAAACTCGCCGGCTATGCCGATCTGGAGAGGTCAGAAACTCCGAAAACCATTGTTCTCTGCGCAATGTCGGGTATTCCGGGCTACCATCAGGGCGTTCGACCCGGAGACGAGGAGACACCTCACTCGGAAAGGGGTGGCGGTGCGCTGGCCATCTGTAATGCCCACTTTGGGCGGCTTCGAGCTGGACGACCGCTTTCTCTCGCGGGGAGACAGCCTCAGACGCAATCATCGACGTCAGAAACGCAGACTACATGCTTATCATTCTCGGAGTAGCAGCAAGTCCTCAAGCCCAAGAGCCTGTAGGATCGAGGGACACGCAGTCGCTGCTGACGCAGAAGGACGTCGCGGAACTGCAAAGCCAACATGCTCGTCCTGGTTCAATCGACATGGCGCGCAGCCAGAGGTTCCAAGGAGCCGGTGTCCCAGTTGGTCGATGCCCGTGTTGCTGCTGGCACGGATGTGGTGGAATCGCTCAAGACAGGTAACTTCGCATAAGTTTCCGAGAGCAGTCCATTGTGTATCAGTCGTATCTTGCCAGGCTATTCACGACGTAACTATTTTGGAGTCATGATTTCCATTTCTGTTTGTCAACTATCAAATGCACGGACCATCGCGCTTGCTGGTCCACTTCGCCGAGAGCCGAGTGTACTACTTAGGTATCACGAAGGGGTCAACGGCCGCTTAAGTCTTGTGTTATCGTGACCAGTGGAACGACTTAACATAAAAACATCAGCGGTGTGGCTCATAGGGCGCAGAAAGTTGTCTATATCAGCATTGGGGCATCGTGTACAGCTACTTCAGCCCTACCCATACTCCACTACGAGCCGAGACGTGACCCGAAGAACGGCCTGTGATCCAAAATACTCACTGGGCCTCGAGATATCCTGGTTCGGTTGTCAGACGGTATTCCTCGTTCGAAGATGTCCATCAGCAAAGAGGAAGCGGAATCCCGGCTCAAAGCCCGGAAGCCCATCCCCAAGCCGTTCCCCGCCTACCTCCCGACAGCCGGATCACCCCTGAAGATTGACGAAGACCTATACGCCAAGATCAGATCGGCGCCGCGGGTGCAAACAGACAGCTTCACCCTCCCCATTCGCTCCGGAAAGGCCTGGAAGGCGCCCGCCGGCTCCATCGTGCGGATCAGCACGCCCGACGGCCCGCAGGTCGGAGACCTCAACATCTGGAACGCGCACAACCCGCGCGAGCGGTTCTGGGCCTCCCGCACCAAGCAGCTGCACGCGTCGCACGTGTCGACGCATGACCGGCTGTGGTCCTGCCTGCCGTACATGCGGCCGCTGGTGACCATCCTCGACGACACGCTGGCCTGGTACGGCGTGGACGAGCACGGCGGCCGCGTGCACGATCTCTTGGGCACTAGATGCGATCCGTACATAAAGACGGTGCTCTCCGGTGGGACTTATGACTACCATTGCCACTCGAACCTTGCGCGCGCGGTGCTGCCGTTTGGGCTTGGCGAGACGGACGTCCATGATGTGATCAATATCTTCCAGGTTACTGGGCTGGATGAGCAGGGGCGCTACTTTATGAATCCGTGTCCGGCGCAGGCGGGGGATTATATCGAGTTCCTGGCCGAGCAGGACGTGCTTATGGCGCTGAGTAAGTGGTCCACTGGCTGCCGGTGAGACCCTGGCATGATGCTGTGTACGAGACTGACACGGAGTGACTGCAGGTACATGCCCTGGAGGCGATTTGTCATTGTGGGGATTCGGCGCTGGCAGCGACGAGGAGATGCTCAAGTGCTGTCGTCCGCTGAAGATCGAGGTGTTCCGGCTCGAGGACGAGGGCCTGCTGCAGAGGGGTGGGTGGAAGCCCGCTGAGATCTCGGCGTACATGGGAAACCATGGCATGGTTGTGCCCCAGGGCGAGCCTGCCTGATGTCAAGAGCTGAGTAGTGAAGTCTTCCATATTACCAATGGTAACAAAGCTCAGCGGTACTTCACATGGGTGTTCGCTATTATCCCTCGCTATATACGCCGTGACCTATATACATGCTTGTGTCACTGCGCTCCACGACAGCTAACGAACTACAGACCAACGGACTACTTACTCCATCACAGTCGAAAACATTCATGCGTTGCCGTTATAAACGATCATGCTGTTATCCGACTCAGAGTCACCAACCGCATCCTGCGTACCCAACTCCTGAATCCGCTGACACAGCGCCACGGGGTCCCGCTCACCCTCCAAGGCCAGCAGGTACGCGGCCAACCCCGTCACATGGGGCGTCGACATCGAGGTCCCCGACAGAACAGCCGTCGAACCGTTCTTGTACGTCGACAGGACACCCACGCCCGGCGCCCAGACGTCGATCGCCGTGCCGTAGTTGGAGAAGTAGGCGCGCGTGTCGTTGGACGCCGTCGCGCCGACCGTGCACACCGTGGCCTCGGAGGCCGGCGAGAAGATCACGGCGGGCAGGTCGTTGTTGCCAGCTGCGGCGGCGATGAAGAGGCCTGCTGCCACGGCGGCTTTGGCTGCTGTGTTGACGGTTGAGGTGCCCAGACTTAGCGCGCCGAGGGACATGTTGGCGACTGATTTGGCGATGCCTGAGTTCCGGTCAGTCAAACTTGCTGATAACATTACTATTATGGAAAGGGGCAAATTAGAGGCTTGTGTGAATAGTGCTGACTCACGGCCTTTGGAAGTAGCATCATCAACAGCCCACTGAATACCCGCTATGACCTGGCTAAGCGCCCCAGAACCATCCGCATCGAGCACCTTAACAGCAATAAGATTCGTCTTCTTCGCCACGCCATAGGTCGCAGATCCAGTCGTGCCAGCGACGTGGGTCCCGTGGCCGTTGCCATCGGTGTCGGTATCGTCGCCCTCGACAAAGCTGGCCCCGAACGAGGCGCGGCCCTCGAACTCCGGGTGCGCTAGGTAGATGCCTGTGTCGATGATGTAGGCGTACGTGTCCGCGCCCGCACTCTCGTCGTAGATGTACTCGGTGGTGCCTGCTACGTGGCTGGAGATCCGGGCCAGGCCCCAGGGGGCTTGGGCTTGGGTCTGGAGGCTTGCGATGCTGACTTTGACGTCGGCCTCGACGTAGGCGACCTGGAGGTGTGTTAGTCTATATTTGTCTTGGCTGCTTCAAGAGTAGACGATGTGAGACTAACTTCGGCAAGGTTGGCGATTGAACTTATTAGGTCTTCTGATGCTTCCATCGTGTAGCCCTTGAACATGCCCATGTTGTATGTGTGCTTGGGGGTCAGATCGCCTGCGATGTCGGCCATGCTGCTGGCCATGGACTCGTGGGAGCTGTCTTCGTTCATCACGACGATCCATCTGCCTGGGATTGTCTCTCCTCTGCCCTCGAGGATAGGGGCCGCGAGGGCCAAAGGGGCAGCCAGCAGAATACCGGAGAGCTTCATTATGAATTCGAAAGATGGCAATGAGTTTCAACACCTTTTGATAATTATCGAGCACAGTTGTCAAGCCAGTGAGACTATTGCCAGGAGAAGGCGGACGTCACCTCTCTTTAAACGTTCAAGAGACACCATGCTTTCATAGCCACCATCGCCATTACCAACATGCCCCCCTAGATCGCCAGTTATCACATTCTCCTCTCCACACAACCTCAGACAAGCGGTAGGTATCTCCTCGTTCCCCCGCAAGCCCACCAGATATCCAGAGACCAAGTGACCACAATGAGCTCAGTTGGCGACGACTAGTTGGCTCGCCTAAAAGCGAGGCTATTTGTCACGTCGCTGCATGCACATCACCCGCAGCCACTATCGAGACTACGGCCGGCAGTACACCGATAGCTCGAAGTCGCTTTGGAATGAACGTGTGGGGAAAGCTCCTGCACAGCTGCAGCAACAGGAAGGGCTGGCTGACAGAGTGTCACGTCACCTGCCAGCCTGCTTGGTACACACTGAGAAGCCAACGGGCCGGGTACGCACTGCTACGCAGACCGGGTTCCCCTCTGGCCTCCCGGCAGTAGGTGCCGGGGACCCCTGCTGGGCGATGATGTTGGGTATAAATGCCTCTTTCGGTATCGCGAACGGTCTTCACGGGCATCACAGGAGACAGGGGAAGCGGTATGGCTTGTGATACGGCGTGCCCGGCGCCACGGCTAGTGTTGTAGCTGCATCAAGGCGCATGTTGACTCGGTCGGCGATTCAGCGGTCAGTCCCCGCGCGATCCATCATGTGGCTTCGTGACAACGTCCAACGTCCATCCTTGACGACGTCGTCACTCACATATCTATCTGTATGTCAGAGTCGGCACTACTGGATCGGGGTCCCGGGCGCCTACCGAGGATCTCTCCTCCAATCCTCCAGACCGACATTACCCCATTCCCGGTTATCTTCTCCAATCTCCAACTGACGTTGCGTGCCACACCGCATACGGGGCGGACGGGAACCGACGACGGACCGTCATGGGCCGAATACACCCAGACTTCAGGCAATACAAGATAATTCCAAATCAACATAAAGGGCGCCCAGCCCGGAACATTCTTGACATTTCCTGGCATCTGTCTTTCGGGCTCTGGACCCATTACCCCACTGGCTTTTGCCGAACAGGCGGTAAATACGGGCTGAGAGCCTTGGGTTTACGTTGCATCAGGGCGTCTGTGTGGCTTGCACTCTTGCAAGGTAGAAGCCGCGGCAGACGAAGCTTGCGCGTTGTCCTGCCTCCTCTCCACTGCTCACGAGCTTCAGGCGCTTGCGATTTCCAGATAGGACGGTTGAAGGGCCGAACTCTCTGATGGCTTGTTGGAGAAACGATAAGGGGTTGGGTTGGGTATGATCGGTCAGAACTCCGGAGCCAACGTTGATCATGGGCCTTGGTGAGCTGTCAGTCCCGTCTCGCAATGGTTCCTCTGGTGAGATATCTCCCTGTTTTTCCGTTTGCTATTCGAGCTACGCGAGGACGCGGAATATCGACGATCGGAATACCGCATCACATGCAATCAACCGTGGAGCTTATCATTGAAGAGCAGCTCGGTCGCTCGCTGTCGCACCGACGGGAAGTCTCATTAATGCGGGCATGTGCTGTGCGCACGAATATAGGAGTGCAGGGTCGCATTCGACGCGAGTATCCACGAACAGGATCCAGGGTTCTACCAAAGGCCCGAGAAAGGCTGCTCTGGACCTACCATATGGCACGCGCACCCGCGCCCATCTAAGCACATTTCCAACGGATCAGAAGTCCGAACTTGCGGTCCACGATCTTCCATGTCACGAGTCGGTTTATGAAAGTCCGGGATTCCATATGCCGGCTGGCGCTGGGGGCGGGAGGACGATGTAGCGGTCATATTGACTGACGTATCATGCAGCAAGCTGGAACTACCGGTTCCTTCGCAGGGGAGCGCTTCACGCCACATGCAGCCATCGTCGGCCTGCCTCGTGGGTAGGGGTCAAAAGCCCCGAGCTTGGCGAATTCGGGGTACGTTGCACTCTCGCCCCCAAGGGGACCAGATAACAGGAAAATGGGAAAATGGGGAGAAGGGTCTAGATCTCCCTCGCAACCTGCTTTCAAGCGAGAGTCGTAAAGAAAAATGCGACATAACCAGAGCTCATCCCCTCACAACGTCGACGAAAGTGGCAATCCGGCTGGCTGCGCAGTCACATCACATGAACGTCAAAGCCGACAACGACATACTGCTTCGTCTGCCTCTATTTGAGCGAGCGTAACATGTGGTATGTAGTCAGCTAGCTCCATCGGCAGCGAAGCCCTGCTCGCGTGGCGTGGTTACAAGCGTGTATCAGTACGCACATCCCGCGCCTGCATGCATGTCACAGCCGATGTAACAGGTTACACGGACCAGGAGACTGGTACGCTCGACGGCTGAATTGGCTACAGTTCACGTTGTTACAAGCTGCTCCGATCTTGAGTTCTAGACACCCTTGCGTGAATAGGCTAGACTCCATTGGACATTCCTCAAAGCTTGAACTACTCGCAGTTGCAAAGCTATGCGCCGACGGCAGATCGAAATCCAAGGACGGTGCTCCCGGCCCCTGAACATTCCTTCACTGCAGTCCTTGATGGTTGGTAGCCTTTGAAGGCAAGCGGTTGAATTAAAAACTTGCAGTGGGAAAATCTGCGGTTCTTGAAGCAGTACTTAAGTTAAACACTTTCAACTATGAAGGCAAAACTAATAGACTGCTTAAAACTCGAGATACCCTGAATCCCAATCTAGTGTATACCAATAGAAAGATTCGCTCTCGAGAGAATTTATATCAAGCTTGACAGCTCGAAATCAAGCCAGACGGCAGAGCCGTCTGGGCGGATCATGCAATTCCCCGGATGAGCATCTCCGTGCCGTATCCCCTTCTCAAGGAGTCGACTAATTCCAGCGTCGCAAGCATCATAATTCTCGCCTGACCCGACGGAGAACAGCGTTTGGGCATCTCTCAGATATTCCAGAAGGAAGCCGATGACGCGCCCATCTTCGGTGACATGTCCCAGAAACTTCGGCGCAATGTCCGAGCCCTCTAGCAGCTGGTATATATACCTATCTCTCGCTCGACCGGCTCAACTCCGCTGTCGAAACTGGTGAGCTTCATTATCACTGGGACGTCGAAGTAGGGATGGGTCACCACCTGGAGGAAATCCGATTGGTGCAGTTGCTGGACCTCGGTGGAATTCTTCAGCGATTGCACCTTGACAAGGTCCAGGTAATCCACTCTGTACGGGTGCCAGGCGTTGTTGACTCCGGACCGCGTGGTCTGGGAGAATGAAGTGAACATCACTTCGTCCGAGTGCGCGTCGACGTCAAATGTGGCCGCGTTCCAGTTCCCACTCGGCAAATCGATCACATGGCTCCGGCCTTCCCGGCGGTATATCGCCATGGCCTTCTCGTCGACGTTCACGTACGTGATGGCGTCATGTGCCAAAACGCGGAGCTCCATGCTGGAATGCAAGTCCCCGTGCACGGCGAGCACTTCAGCGTTCTTGAACCGAAACTCGGGGAGGCTCCTCGTCTCGCGCTGCCCGTACAGGAGAGCGACAATGATTTCGACGGCTTTGAACATTAGCCATTTCCGCTGCTGTCGACTCATGGACCACTCCATGGTGGTTTATTGTAGGCTGGTAGGTTGTTAAAATGGCACTGGGCTTGGGTGGTTCAACGAACGGTTTACTTGAAGTCTCTTCTGGCTTTGGTGGGGAAACGCTCCGTTTTAGACTCCCGACCTCTTATAGACGGGTGGACTACCTATCACTACATGATATAATAGCATAGCGTCTTTGCCGAGGATCATACAAAGACATTGAATGTCTTCCCTTGTCTAAGCCGCTCAAGACCAACGTGTTTTTTTCTCGGGAATCCTATGTTAGAGGTTTGAAACTGGATACAATGGATGATAAACGCATTGTTCATACCCTCGGCTTTGCCACCGGAGTCGAACAAAACCCGAAAGCCAAAGGGTGTGTGAATGAACAAAGGACCGGCACTAATGATCGAGAGCTGTCGCAATCCGCGCTGGCCTTCCCAGACCTCAACATCTTGGTGGAACGAACAGACCCGGTCTTACAGCTCACGACTTCCGGCCAGGCTCAGTCCAAAGCGGCTTCGCCGGCTGTCGGAGCCTAATAGTATGGTACATGAACAGCTCCTACTCCTCTACACCTCAAGGCCCGATGTCTTGCTCTGAATTTGTTGTTGTTGTTGTTGTAGCATTTAACGCCGGGGGGACTGCCGCGTAGCGGCGTCAACCAGGGGCTCCAAGAGGCCGCTCAGGCGTGCTAGGCTAGGTCTTCTATGTACATACACTGCCCATCTAGCAGGTCAAGTCCGTAAACAGCCACCACACTTAAGCGGCGGATCACACCGTGTCCCCCCTCCTCCGGGTGAGGGGAAGTATCGGCTGGGGTCCCAAATGTTCAGTTTTCAGGGCGCAACGCCAGGTTCAGTGCTCTTAGAGCTTACAGTAGGTGCCACGGCATGCCGCAGTGATTCTTACGCGCCCTATGAGGCATTAAAAAAGAAAGATAGAAAGATAAAGCCCCCAGACACCGTAACAGAAAGAAAGAATGAGTATACCCTTAGTGAGGAGGACAGATGCTGCCGTAGAAGTCGGTAGCTACGAATAGGTCCATGTACTCCTGTGGGGTAGTCATAAGTTCGTTTAGATACTCGAGCCTGGCTCCGAGCTCCGGCCGGGATGCCGGGGCCCTCGACCAGACCATGTACCGTGCCAAAGTCTCCCAGCAGTGGATAAAGTGCGTCAGAGTCTTGCTCCGGCCGCACGAACAGTCGAGGACGGCGTCCTGATATTTGAACTTGACATGATACCAAGAGAAGTCGCCATGCCCTGAGCAGACAGCGAGAAAGCGGTATAATAATGGCCCATTAAGTACCTACAGCTCTTCGTGACAGCGTAGTTTGTATTTCAGGTCCCAGTATTTGTAGCGGGCCGACAGCTTGATCTGGGCCTTGGTCCACCATATGTCGTGCGAGACTTCGAGTTTAAGTCTTGCCTCTGCTTTGATGCCGTACGCCGTCGGCGTATAGTCGGAGTCGACATTAGAGAGCTTAGAGCCGGCCTTAGCCAGCTTGTCTGCCAGTTTATTGCCCTCAATGGCGCAGTGCCCCGGGCACCACTTGACGTTGATATTACGGACTTCAGCCTCGGCGTGGAACTTTAGGTAGGCCCACTGGCAGGACACCGCGGCATTGCCGCGGAGCCCCCAGATCGCTCCTGTGTTGTCCACGCACACCCAGATCCGGCGCTGACTAAGCTCCGGGGGTGACTTGACCACGTGCTGAAGTCCCTTCCAGGCTCCGAGTACTTCTGCATCAAACACGATAGAACACGGGTCTAGACGACCCTTGCCAGTGGTGTGCAGGCGCCCGCCCTGATAGATCGCATAGCCGTATCCGACGTGCATCCGTTCCTTCGAGCCGTCTGAGAAGACCACCACGTCATGTAGTGGCAGAGCCTCAAACCAGGTCTTGAAGTTCTTGGCAGCGTGCTCCTTGTCGATACCTCCGGTTGGATCGATCCTACAGCCAGGCGTGAAGCGCGGCGGCACCAGTAAGGGCCGCTGTACAGGGGGTAGCAAGCGAGCTGCTAGCTGTAATTTGATTGTCTTGCTCTGAAGGTGAACCCGGGGGAGATATTGAAGAACGTTGTACCGATCGTGGGCGGACGCCACTGGGAGTTACTCACGTCTAAGGTCCATCGGATCGATCAGAGTTGAATCTTATGGGATTTCAGAACGTCTTCTCCTACCAGATGGACTTGCGCATAGCACTGAGCTAGTGGACTCAATCAATCTTGGAGCTCGATATATAATATGATGGTGAAAAGCCTTCATGGTGGGAAACTTCCGTAATGCCCAACGGCGACGAGAGCTCATAAAACTTACAATAACAGCCCATCCCTCATGATAGCCACGTCTGCCTGCTTGGGACAGAACACCGTGCCGTCGCGATTCATGATTGATATGTAAGCGGTCCTGGCACCTAACCAGTCCTTGGGCAGGTAGAAGTGTATCACCGTTTCCTGACGGATCTCTCCTCCATCGCCCCCATTTAAGAGCGTGCGGTGAACTGTCGGTGGGGACAGCATACTGGTGACGTCGACGGTGCAAACCCAACTATCGTGATCGAGAAAGGCGAGGTGATTACCCGTTATCCCCAAGGCCAACTTCATCGCCCTCGCGATCTCAGGAGAGAAGACCAGTTTCGACTGTGGAACGCCCCCGGGCGAGCTAGATGAGTGGCTCTTGGCCTGCTCCTGATCCTCGATGCGAATCATCTCGAGCTGCATACCGCTATGATTGATTTGATTGATCGTATTTAACGTGGGGGATCGCTCCTCAGTAGTGCAAACCACGCCTCCCAGAGCCTCTGCATCGCAGGGTTATGAAGGTATCAAGATAATAAGTACAGTCAGTCCCGCTCACGAGCCCATCCCTGTTATTGTGGCTGTATAACTTTGGGGTCATCCATCTGGTCCTTCAAGAACAGCTATCTATCAAGGGCAGATTGATGAAAAGAATTTGCTCTTCTTCACGAATTTTGCCCATTCTATGCTCCTCTCTCCTAAGTATTGTAAACAAACTGTCCTAGGCAAGTACCTGGGCAGCAGCCGATTTTTCCCCAACCTCTTACAAAAGAAAATGTATTGTGGTGTTTTTTTCTCACCATAGCTGCAGTGATCATTCGAGTCTGTATGCCCAAAGCGTTCATAGTATCTTGCAAAGTCGCCATGTCCAGATCTGGCCGCTAGAAATCTGTATAGATTACTCTTTTTAAAAGATATAAGGTCCCTTTTAGTTACTATATGAGTATACTTCTTAATACCTAGGTTCTGATTGGTTTTTCTATTATTGATTGAATTCTTTTTTACCTTTCTTTTTGAGATCTCTCTTTATCTAAGAGATTGTGGGAAGGTATATCGCGTCCGTTTCTAACATGGCATCCTCTTTTGCTAATGTGTCAGTAGCTTTGTTGCTATTAATATCTCTATGTCCAGGAATCCACTTGACGGTCACTCCAGGAGTGTGTGTTGTGGCGAGTTCTTAGAATCATAGAAAAATGATCTGTGATGTCTCAGGTGGAGTCCCATTGAGCCCATCTATCACTGACGTGTTGTCCAGGCAGACATATAGCTGTTTTCTGCGTCTAATTGCCCTGGCTCCTGCAAGACCTTAGAGAGCGTCATGGACTTCAGCATCTATTACTTCTGCTTGAAGAAGTCTACCCTTTCCCTAATATACTTCTTGTGTAGTGCCGCCTTCCCTGATAGTATAACCCCATCCAGTGCGGGTTGTGCCTTGGTTGTTCAATTATGATCCATCTGAGTAGATAACAAGGTCAGTGTTCACATTTTGTTGGATATCGTACCAGGCTGAGGCTTTCGGTGATGAATGCGCTGATAGGTGGCTTCATGGCATTCACCTGGCGCCACTATCAGATGATTATCTGGTCACCTTAGCGCCATTATCGTACGACTATCTGGTCACCCTGATGGCATACCTGTACATATATATGGGGACTTCTCCCCCAGAGATCTTCTTCTCTTCCCTCTTCTAATACAGAACGGTTTGAAATCTCACACATTTCTCTCCCGTAACCATTACTTAAAGAGCTCTATTTTTTTGTCTTTGTCCTTACGGACTGGGGGCTTTTTCCATAATGGCTTAGTGAGTATTGGTCTCTGGAACTCAGGGACTAGTTGGAAGCTCCTTTGTAGCCTTGTTGGTTCCTTGCGAACTTGTATTTGGAGCCTGCCAATAAGAGGGTGTCTCTGGTTTATTTATTCTAGTCGGAGGCCATGACGTTGTCTTATTGATTCAGTGAGAACTCCTGCTGGGGGAATCTGTGATTCAAAGTGTAGGATATGTCCAGGGTGTGTTTTTCAGACCGGCAAGATAGTCCTGATCACTATTCGTAGTACAGCATCTATTGTTCCAAGAAGCCCCTTAATGCGACATGCTGATGTCCGACCTAAGCTCCTAACTTTTTCGATTCCTGGGTACCAGGCCTCCAGGCCATATGTAAGAATAGGGATAACGCAAGCTTTCACAGCCCTCCTGGTTGACTTTACTGGAAGTCCTTTGACTGTGTTGCATAGTCCTCGAAGGTGATTTGCTACCCTACTAGCTTTCTTGGCCCAGTAGGAAACGTGATCTTTGAAGTTTAGTTTTCTATCCAGGAGGACACCTAGCCGTCGCATGGAGTCCTTTGCTGTTTTGTTCATTGTCCCGTGGCGGACTGCATACCGCTGTGGAAAGAACCTGCCAAGAGCATTTTCTACGGAAGCTTTCCGTACATGTCGCATCGTCCATCTCGCGTAGGGGCAGCCCACTTGACAATAGAAGACCCGGTCCCATCCATACTGACCAAGGAGGCGCTCGAGGGGTCTGAGCAGAGACTGCCGGGTCGCAGGCTACTGTCTGTTGTGCCGTCGTCCCCGGCTTGATGTACTTCTCTTAGAGACTGCCACGCGAACCTGTATGCTCCCACATCATCTAGCCAAATGAGCTCAGCGGCCTTCCCGGGGTGCTGGATCCAATGGCGAGCTATTCTACTGCCCCAGTCACGAGATGATATTTCTTTCGTCCTCAAGTTCCATACTCGATCCCAGGAGTGCGTAGATATCAGGAGATACTTGTCGTCTGGTCTGAAAGTCAGCTGCTGGGCGGCTTCTGCCAGCCGAAGCTGGACAGAAGGGAACACGGCCCCCGACATGAGCTGTGGAGTCGCAGGAGGCCAGGTACATACCCGTGGTTGACCAAGATAGCTAACACGAGCATCTTGCTTGCCATCGGGTGGGTATGGACCTTTCGGGCTCTCGTCCCCTTGGACGCGTCATGTATAGCCACAGACCCATCTGCCCGGCCACATGCGTAACCGTTTCTCAACTGGCGTGAGTTTGAGGTCGCCTCAGCTTCGACTATGGAGAAGGTTATACCTCGACTACTCCTCCCATTGCAGATCAATAGAAGACTGCCCAAGCCGTGCCTGGTGCACGGAAATTGTTGGGATGGGGAAGCAGCCATGGACGAGCAGAGCGGCGAAGCCTTCATCTTTGACGTATGTTCGTTCTATGCCACAATGAGTATGATACAGGAAACTGGCGGGCCCCGAGACACATCCTGAGTAGGGAGGATTACATCCTGAATTACCCGGAACATTTCCCGCCTTCAGAGCCAGGTAGGCTGTCTGCGTGATGAACCCTTTTACCCACTAGTTTCGCTGCTGACAGTTTTTGTGCAGCGGATGCGTGGGACGCCCGTAACATTCTGTACTCGCTTCCGTTCAACAGTACGTGGTGGCTCCATCTTTGAAGAGATCGATTCGGAACTCACGCTCGTTTTAGGACGGAATACCGTCAACGTCCCAGGTTCCACACGGAGACAGGTGTAAGTGATGTCCCTTGCACAGTAGGTTTATGACGACGTGACTGCTCTCTGCAACATGTTCTTCCCCAAAGAGCTTCGAGATCGCATGCATGCGCTGCATGAATCTGACGAGGCCAAGTGCCTCACATGCGATGTCGACTTCGACCGGAAGTCGAACAGTAATGACGGTAACTGGGACGACGAAGAATAGGAGGAGGAAGAGTCGGCTTAGGGTCGAGTGGATGGGGCGAAGACCAAGAGAAATGTTATTTCCAGACTGGCTTGTTTCCAGAGCAAGGGAACAACCTTAGCATCCTACGACCTACGAATTTAAAAAAAAAAAAAAAAAAAAAAGCATGTGTTATTTTTCTAATTTGTTAGTGACTGTGCTTCTTCAGTGGGCATGATCCAGAAGCTGATATCGGATGAACAAGAATGGTCCGAGGCAGTTGGTCGCCAGCTGCAGCTCAATAACTTGTTTCGACGCGCTGCCAACCGGGGGCTGGCATACGCCGACGTTGTTCCAAAGCACGTGCAGCTTCGCCTCCTTGGGTTTGAACGCCTCCGCCGACGCCTTGATGCCTATCAGGTCTTCGAGATCAAGATGAAGGAATCCGAGGCTTCATCCTTCGGGTACGGAATGCTGGATGTCTTTGATTCCTTGCTGGCCCTTCTGGTCTGAGCGGCCGGCGATGTATACGCGACCTTTCTTTCGGTACAGCATCTTGGCGAGCTCAAATCCGATGCCTGAGTAGCCACCTGTGATCCTGAACACCTTGCTATCCTGGGGTGCCACATCGTCCTCCGTAAACATGGGATTCGGCGTGGAAAATTGCGACCACAGAGACCCCATGATGATCTGCGTTGGAGCAAAAGGGATCCAACAGTGCAGTCGCTGTTGGACCCAGAATGCCTGGATGGAGGTTGGTTGGTTTCGCCAGATGCAGCCAACTGCTTACTTACAGTGACATGGGTGAGCTGGCTTCGGCCCCGGGCTTAACCTGTACACCAGCCGTGCCACTATGTACTGTTGATGTATGGGTGTCATTGAAACTGTTGGCCGCACTGCAAGGAGGTTGAATGGATAGGTGGGGTGCACCAACAACAACGTGACTACAAACTACACAGCCGATGCCCCCTTTCCTGAGATAGATAACGGCGGGGGCATGCAGATGGGACAGCCCCCCAGATGGGACAGTTCCCCCACCAAAACACAACATTTGTACCCATATATAACCCCATAGGTATTGAGGCTATAGATAATGTATATATATCAAAAGAATCGCCTTTTCTTGGTATTTTTAGCAATACCAGTGCTTTTAGTGGTAGCGCGCGGGTTGGCGGATTTCTCGGCGCCGAGATCGCATCACAATGGGCTCTTCCTCTTCATCATCCGGCTCGTCAGACACCCCCTCGCCCTCTTTGTCAACAACCACCCCTTCGTCTAGATCTTCTAAATCTGTTGAATCAGAGGAGAGAGAGTCCTCAGAAGGCGATTCCTCTGTGTAAGGGTTTAGGTAGCTGAATGCTGAAGAAAGGTGATGGTGGTGATTCCAAGAAGTAGGTGTATTCAGATACTACAATCTAGCCTGCTGAGATTGTGGGAATTGGGGGTTTTAAGGAATATGACAGTGGAGCCTTAGGGCTCCGGTCGGGGGCTGGTAGGCCTGTCGTGCCGGTGCAATACCCTTACACTCTGATTCTTTGGTCTCCAGGTTCTGCACTTCGCGCAAAAGTCGTTGTCTCTCCGCCCGCTGGCCAATCAGCACTCGTGCGGCTTCCGTATGCTCGATCTGTTCCTGAATAACGTCTCCTATCCTCTATAGCCGTTGATCAGGCTTTTTCTGGGGGGCCTTACGGCGCTTTTTAGGCTGTAGATGCTCGATCTCGTCGTCTTTTGCCTTGTTTTGTAGCTTCAGGATGGCTAACTCAATCACCATCTCATTGTATGACTTTGCGACCACGCGTACTGCTGCTCGTTGATCAGGGGTCTCCACGACTGTTGACAACATCAGGGCTATATCCTGTCCTGATGTAGGGGCTTCCAGGGCATCAGGGATGGTTTCAAGGTTCATTATAACAGCAACTGTTGCTTGTATCTCTGCTGCCTTTACCACATGCTCATTTGTTAGTGTCTTGTTCCTATTTATGGGCCAAAGGCCAGCAGCACGCCATCCCGAACGCACGATAACAGGAGTAGCTTTGTCACGGGCTTTCGCCAGGCAAGAAAGAAACTTAATCTTGCCAACAGGGACCAAATCGTTCAACTGACCGAGCTGGTTAATGAGGCGGCGATAGGCGGCCTTCACCACAGAAAAAACGGTCAGATCCAAGAGCTGGAAGATGTGAGACTACCCCTATTAGCGGAATAACTACTAATTAAGGATATAACCTACCGTATGGGCAGGAAAAAAGCTCAGATAGACGTTGTTTATATAGCACAGATACATAAAATCATTTGAGCAGTGGCTGTCATGGCCGTCGAGCACCAACAGGTGGAACTCATCCGGGTCTTCAGGTGTGACAGCCTGCAGACCTTCCCACATGACAAGCCGATACTTCCCAATAAGGGAAGGATCTGACCAGAGGATACCCTTAAAGGGGCAACTCCCGCTGTACCTATCTCTCTCTCTCTTCCTTTCCTCTCTAGTCTTGATATTCTCGTCAATAGAGTAATAGCTGCTTGCTGCAGGCCATGTCCCAGCTCCCCAGTATGCTCGCCGTGACATCAGGGGCAGTATCTGGCAGATAGATCTAGGGGGTTGTTTAGCATATAGTTAACATTAAAAAATAAGAAAAAAATAACCTTCTTAAGCCATTCGAGCGCGATCGCGTTCAAGGACCAGCTATTAGCAGAGTAAGTCACTATCCAGTCTGCCACCCCGGGATGCTCGAGAATAAGCTGTTCTTTGAACCACTGTGTCTGTATTGACTTCGCCTTGAAGATAACCAGCGGCTGGAGCTTTTTCCCAGTGATGGTGATCGATTCTATCACAGTAGTCCACGTGCGGTTATCGTTAGACTTGACGTTGGCCCCTTTTGAGCCAGAACTGCCTATTACAAGGCCATCAGACCTATAACCTCCTGGTTAACCGTTTGAAAAATACTTAGATTGGACGTATGTACTGCTGGCCCTGCATGATGCTGTACTTATTGATATTTGTGCGGTTCTCGGGCTTGATAAAGTCGAAATCTGTATAACAGTCATGATAGCCATGGATGTTGTCAGGAATGGCAGCATTGATACGCTTGTAGTCAAGTTTTCTGCCCATTTTGGTCTTTATCTCTGGGTTCTGGCGGATGAAATTTCGCATGTAATGGCCCCAAAGATGAGGCGGTTTTCCCTGGGATTATAGGATCTTCTAGATAATGTACCTCATATTGGCGTGAGTAGGGGCATGACCGGTCTTTTCTTGGTACAGAATCCATGAAATTACCTTTTTTTCTTGAACAGGGCTTATTTTCTGTCTGTGAGTATGTCTTTCATGCTAGGTGCCAGTTATAGGTATTGTGGAGTCTTTAACTTTGCGAGAAAGGGTGGTTTTTGGTACTCCATAGCACTGGACAGCCTTCCGGAAGGACAGATTGTCACCGTTCACAGCGGCTATCGCCTCAGCAAGGTCTTCTTCGGTGTATAAAGGCGCCATTTTGACGTACTGAAGCTTATGATACTTACAGAAAAAAAGAAAAAAAGAACCACAGAACTTCTGCCTGGTTAGAGGGGATAGGGGGCATGGGTCCCATTACCCCTCAGATTAGGGCCGGACGTGCTAACTTCCGACCCCCGCCACGGGACATCCCGCTGTAGGACACCTAATAAATTCCATATTGGAAGAAACGCCAAGAAAAGACAATTCAGACGATATATTTATGATATCTACAGCTTTAATCCCGATAGAGATGTGGGTGGGTGCAAATGCTGTGTTTTGGTGGGGGAACTGTCCCATCTGGGGGGCTGTTCCATCTGCATGCCCCCGCCGTTACTATCCCTTACCTATCGGGTCAGCTCTATGCTACAATAGCGGCATCAATGGTGGTGACCCAGACATGGGAAAGTAGGAAGAGATCTAATCGAAATAGTAGTAAGTATCTGACTGCTGCCTGAATCCTGTGACCGGGTCACCGGGTGCATATGGACGAGCTGACCCCTACAAGGGTCTGGAATCAACCTATAGGGCCCACCATAAACCACGCAAAGTTCCGAACTTTGACCTTGGTGTATGGTAGAACTTTATAGTACGCGATGGGATTGCACGACACAGGGGGTGGGGCCCAGGAGCGCAACCTGGTACTCCAGTCTGACTCCAACCACCCAAGGTCATCTCCGTCCTTGGTCGGGAAGATGTCGTCCCCGTCGTCCTTATACATACCTGAAATCGCTTACATCCCGTTCATTGTGACAATATCTACGCATACCTGGCTACTCTCTATCATTCCCATCTAAGATCCGGAAGGGCGAGCGAAGCAATCGTCTTCATGATGCATATCAGCGATGGGGCTGAGTACTTGACGTACTTGACACCTTGGTCTATGGTCATACTTGCCTTGAGTGCGGTAAGAACTGTGCTTCCGAGTAGTAGAAAAAGAGCTAATACCCTGCAGTATCTCGCGTTCAGTGCGATATACAACCTCCACCTACATCCCCTTTCAAAAATCCCTGGTCCGCGTCTATGGGCGATTTCGCGATTGCCATTCGTGTGGTCACTACTACGAGGTACTATCGTACACGACGTAGAGAAACTCCATAGAAGATACGGACCAGTTCTACGCATCGCCCCGGACGAAGTAACGTATGCCCGGGAGGATGCGTGGGTTGATATCTTTCACCCTCGGCCAGGTCATCGCCCGTTCTTGAAAGATCCGACGTGGTGGCGGTCGCAAGCGAACAAGCCTCTGACGTTGCTCAGCGCCATTGAACCGGAGGAGCATGCGAGGTTTAGAAAGCTTTTAGCACCTGCCTTCACGCAGCGGGCCCTGAAGGCTCAGGAGCCGGTCTTACATCGCTACGTTAACCTACTTGTCGAGCGGCTACGCGACGTTGCGGCTGGAGATCCGGAAAAGGGATCAGAGGTCAATATTGTCCCTTGGTTCAACTTTGTCACCTTCGATATCTTCGGCGACCTTGGGTTTGGCGAGTCCTTCGAATGCCTTGAAAATTCCCGATATCACCCCTGGATCGACCTTCTGTTCAATAGCGTCAAGGCTGCTTCATACATCGCTGCGGCACGCTTCTATCCCTTGGTAGGTTGGGTACTCGTCAAGTGCATCCCGCCCTCTCTTCGAAGGACGCAACGTGCCCATGGCGAACAGATCGCGGAGAAGGTGTCTCGCCGCCTCAACTATGAACTTGAACGACCCGATATCATGTCACATCTCATTGAGGCAAAGGGGCAGAAGGGGTTGACGACTGGCGAGTTAAATGCGACATTCGTGGGGCTTACGACTGCCGGTAGCGAAACCACCGCTACTGTGCTGGTTGGTACCTTGAACTATCTTGTTAATCATCCAGCTCAATTCGGGGCTTTGACGAAGGAGATACGAGAACACTTTCAAGCCGAGAGCGAAATAACTCTGGACGAGTTACGGAAGCTTCCATACCTTCACGCAGTTATTCAGGAGGGATTGCGACTGTGCCCTCCTATCCCATGGGTGCTTCCGAGACTGGTCCCTATCGGTGGTGACACAGTATGTGGGCATTGGCTCCCTCAAGGGGTAAGCAGGGTCCTTCCGTCTTACGGATTCAACCACACGGCTGACAAGTGATAGACGCGAGTGTCAATCCAGACATACACTATAAATCGCGATCCAGGATACTTCCATTCGCCGTGCGAATTCTGTCCAGAGCGTTGGCTGCAAGGGGCGAAGACCGATACCGGGTCTCCTTTCTACGAGGACAAACTTGAAGCAATGCAAGTCTTCAGCACAGGGACAAGATCCTGTATGGGTCAGCATCTGGCATGGGCAGAGATGAAATTGGTCCTCGCCAAGGCAATCTGGGCGATCGACTTTGAGGCGGTAGAGGGTAAGAAGGTGAAGTGGGAAGATCTGAGGACATTTTTGCTTGTTGAGAAGCGACCTATTGTGGTGAATATGAAGGTGAGGCAAACCGAGTGACGGAACGAAGATGTCGCATTGCGCCTAGAGGTAAGATTGGGACCGACGATTGTGAGTGACTCTGTCGATCGGTTATCATCAGAACTCAATCCATATCTAGCGCGGTGGAACTTCGTCCATATAGCAGTGGTATAACAGACGTTTGTAGCTTACACTCTCTCGCCATTTAATCTCGTGCCAAGTGGACTTTCAAAGCGGTACCTCGTGCCATTTGCGCTTCTCGAGCCGCAGCAGCATGTACGTTGGGCTTGCGATCGAGGATATCAACAACACCAAAACCATGTTAAATAAGCCAGCGGCACCTAGTTGTGAAGTAAACATAGCCCGGATGCCATTCCTGAGCTGTACCTGAAGAAGAGGATGGTCTATAAGACGTAGTCCCTTCTAAGTTCACGACTAGAGAATAGGGGCGCAAGTGGTACAGTATCGCCGATAACACCGAGAACCCGGTACCGGGCGACAATATACAATTCTAAACGCCGAGAAATGCCGAAATTTCGACCCTGTCCGAGTTAAGTCCGCGCACAAGTCAACGTCATCGCCCGAGACCGAAGCGACAAAAAATACACCCGACATCACAACCGATTACCTACTTCTAGACGTCGCCTCCCAAGTGTCGCAGTGATCTCCTATAGTCCATCACAGTCAGCGATTCGCTCTCTTGATTATCAGCCGCTGTATAGACTGGCAGAATGAGGTCAGCATTGTTACCTTCGAGACGGGCCAGTCACCTCTGCGACGCCTGCAAACAGCAGCACCGCAACCTAGCCATCAGCAGCTTGTCTCCCTTAAGCACAACGCCTCGCCAACTCGCGAGTCCGTCCTCGAACACACCACGGACCCTTCAGAGCCTCCCGGCCCTTCCGCGCATAACCCAGTCGCAGGATCGGATACGGCCACAGACACAGGCAAGACCATTCTCGAGCAGCGTCGAAGACCTGCGGCCCAGAGTCCCCAGCACGCACTACGAATTCTTCCCGCAGACGCTGCCCGACGGCCCGCCTCCGAATGGAAACTTCGTGATCGACGTACGCGCGCTGCGCCGCGAGTTCCTGAAGCTGCAGGGCACTGCGCACCCGGACATGCACCCACAGCACCTGAAGGGCCGGGCGGAGGCGACATCGGCGCGAATCAATGAGGCCTTCAAAACGCTCGAGAGCCCCTTGCTTCGCGCACAGTACATCCTCAGCTTGCGTGGCATCGACGTCGCCAATGACGAGACGGCTAAAGTGGAGGACCCGGAGCTGCTGATGGAGGTGCTGGAGACGCGCGAGACTATCGAAGAGGCGCAGAAAGAGGAGGACCTCGAGGAGCTCAAAGTGACGAACGAGGAGCGGGCTCGGGATAGCGAGGCGACGCTCGAACAGGCGTTTAGGGAGGACGATGTAGAGGCTGCGAAGGCCGAGGTTGTGCGGTTACGGTACTGGATTAATATCCGGGAGAGCATCCATAATTGGGAGAAGGGGAAGCCAGTGGTGCTTGAGCACTAGACACAGGACAGGATCAGGCAGTTCAAATTTGGAATATCAATTCTAGGAGCTACACAGTTTAGGGAGCATGATGCTAGGTCAAGGTATGTTTTCCCGGCCTTTGCAATATTGGGCGATGCTTATGTATGCAATTGCTCTGCTCCTGATCCAAGCCAATCCAACCAGAGCTTACCTGTCCATCACCACTGATTCGTTTCAAGCACCTTTAGGCGTCCTTCTTCTCTGGCCCGCTCGCTTGCTCTTTGGAGAGCAGAACACGAGCTCCCTGGTCCGTAAGTCTTATCCATTTTCCAGCTGCAAGCCTCTGCTCAAGGTATCAACCGGCCCATGTTCACAGCAGACTGCATGTAAATGAATTTGCGCCCCATTGTCTGTGCGGCCATCTCCAATACCAGTAAATCACCATTATCCCCATCGCCGCCATTGTTTCTGACTTCCCTCCCAGATTAATACCAGCCAGCATTTCCTTGGAACAGCTCGCTCCCCGAGAACCTCTGGTCCCATCGATCAGATCATCTGCGGTAAGTGACTGTTAATCCCCCATTTGGCATACACACATTAATGATTGTCTTCGTCCAGCCACCAGATCCTGGGTTACGTCGGCACAAAGCACACCAGCGTCAAAGCCCTCGCCGATCCCAGATCTCAATCTCGCGATCCCAAATGTCAATCTCACGATCCCACATCTCAACCCCAGTACCGTTGCTACCGCAATTTTCATATGCACGCTTGACATTTGCACACTTAACAAGATGCCTCCCAAGACAGATCACGGCGAGATTACTGTCAAGATGTGCGCAGTTTGCATGAAACCAGGTCATGCCGCCGCCTGTCCTCGATGCGAAAGCTGCTATTCTTGCAGTACGGCCTGCCAGAAGACCGACTTTGCATCGCACATGTTGTTGTGCAACGAGTTCAAAGCCTTTATCTCGAAATTTCCGCGCCCCTCATCCGAGTGTGTTCTTGCTTTTCACTTCGCAGCTGACGAAGAGCTGCCCGAGCTTGCCTGGGTCACTCCTTCGCCTTCCATGGTCAATGGTTCGACTACCTGGCGAGAAGAGGCGGGTAAAGAGCTTCAAAGCCGGATGTTCGTCATCGAGAAGAATATGCGACAGAACCAGTACATCGATTACAAGCTTTGCGTGGTTTCCACCATTGCAGCTCAAGTCCCAAACAAGAGTCTGAACAAGGCTCTTGCTCCCTATGGCGTGCCGGACTACCGAGCACTTGGACCCGTGGTTGTCTGCAGCCATGTGGAAACCTCGCAGGATGACAATTCTAAACAAGACGAAGGAGAAGACGAAGATGAGGAGAAGAAGGTGTTGAGGAATATCGTGACATCCGGCTTAATGACCTTCGCCACGTTCTGGACTGGTTCACACACAAGAACAGAGACGACCGCCTCAAGAAGCTGAGATTTGCCACGCCCCTCGCTCAAGGCAAGGCTGAAGGCTACACTTTGACTTGCATTGGCTGAACAACCATGGACAAAGTAATGACCGTCATCCCGTCGCGAGTCCTGAAGATTGGCATAATCAACGACGACCTTTCCCCGATCTCCCAACTCCTTGGCATACCCCTCCGAGCAAGTAAGATCACCGGAGACACCAAAGGCAACGGCAACAATCCTCTCACGTCGTTCATGATGCTCATCACCGATCTCGACGATCCGAACTGGGGCAAGGTTCTGGCAGAGTGGGATGGAGAAATCGGCGATGTCATGTTTGTCCGAGACGACGGCAAGGAACTCGGAAGAGATATCGGGGAGTGGGCCCAGTTCGCCATGTCATGGGTCTACTACATCTTCCGGAAGGCTCGCCGAAGCGGTACCCGGAAGGCCAAGCAGAGGGCAATAAAACTGGTCACGCTGGAGAACGTCAAGGAGTCCGAGGGCACATCGCCGCGCCAGTTCTCGTTCTAACGGACCGACTCATATTCTCTGGGAGCATGTCCACCGCGCCAGTTCTCCTTGTGACGAACCACCGCAGTCTCTGAGAGTGTTTTGGCCGCACCAGCTCTCCTTCTGACGGACCGACAATAGTTCTGAGAGCAAACCGACGACGGAAGAAGACCTACATGATCACGGAAGAAGACATACATGATCATGGGAGATGACATACGTCATCACGGGACATGATATACGTGATTACGGGAGATGACATACAGTGTGCTGAGGATACATTGGTGACGAGGGGGAAATGAGTCGGCATTTAGGGTTTGGTGTCAAGGAAGGCCTTCGACTAGGTAACTCCTCAATACACTCTTGAATCCCCTGCCGTGACATAGTTCTCTTCAATGTCATTTACTCACAGTGATGTCTGGAAGACAAAAACGTAAGGCATGGTGGTGAAAGGTAAAGCAGTCAGGTGAGCACCCTCACGCCATTGGCAGTATTGATTGTGCGCGTGCCTCGCCAGAAATATTGTAGTCGCCTCAGACATCAGGGTTTAACATAAGGTACCTTTGAAAATTGCACAGAACTTCCATTGTGGGCGTAAACGTCTTCACAACCACGCCCATGGGGGGCTTATCTCTTACCAATGGCCTTTGATAATGGCCGACGTACTGCCTCACCTACATACCATGGCTGCCTTTTGTCCCATTGAAAACTTATACTAACTACTCCGTTACAAACGTAGACCAATGCACACACCAACGCCCATGGAGGGATTGTCACTTGCCCAGTTTCTATTTTCATGATTATTTTGCTTTCTCAAAAGTTCTCTTTGTCCGTGATAAGGGGTTGGTAGTGTACTGGAAGAACTGGCAGACAACCACCTGGCCGGGACCTTTGTGTAGTTGATCTTGCAGCCACTTCTTGAAACCAACCCGATCTGACTTCAGGCATTTGACTTGGTACTCTGCCCCGATTCTGCATCATTAGATCCCGCCAGGCGCCCATAGCCGGCCGTGGATTCTGATCTTTGATGCCTTAGAGGTGGACACCGGCGCTCACCCCTTTCAACCGCCACGATCTCTTTCACATCGTTTCCTTGCCATGATTCATCACTGCCAGACCTAGACAGTATTGCTTCACTTTCTCCCATCATCCCAGGTTCTACCATAGTGACACTTAGCATTCGACAGAAACTGCATCACCTTCAAAGATGGAAACCGAGATCAGAGACCTAGCACCTTGCCTAGTAAAGCCTATCAACGACGCAGCTCAGCCGTACACACTAACGTTATACCTTTAATCAAGCCAGCACCCACGCTGCCAATGCTTTTGCAAGGCCTTCGTAGAGGTCCTTCCTCTCCCGTCACCTAAGCACGGCCTCGGCCTCCTCTTCCCTGTGTGCAATGAGGCGTCCTTATTCATCTGGTACACTTTTTTTTGGTAAATATATCGGATATGTAAGCAATGAAAGCCAAGGCTCCCGCGGTCGGGAGCGCCAAGTCCCGATATTTGGAAGAGAACCCCTGATTGACGAGGCACTTGACTAGTTGAATGTCGGCGCGGACATCACCATCTTCAAGTCGAAGTTGCCCGCTCGGACAATAGACTAAGACTTCCACTGAACGGCGACCGCAACTTGCAGCGCTTCCAACGAAGCCTACTGATCTAAGATCTTCAGCGGCTGCGATGATTGAGGATGATCATCCCGCCCGGGGAACAAGGCCATTAAGGCCGTTCCCGAGCCACAGTTTGCCGTCAATATTCCTCGAGGTACTTGCCTAGTCATCCTCGGCCCGGGACCGGAAGACCCCGATATCGAGGACTGGCATGGTTGGACAACGGAGCAGTGGCATACATGTGATCAGCTGGAGAATACCAAGCTTTTTCGATCTTAGATATGTTGTTGATTAGTACACATTCCATACCAGACTCCAGAGCATGTGGCTGGCAAGACACACTGCCCAATTCCATGAGTATCTATTCTGTCTACTTCTATTTTCCGCCTCCTTCCTTACTGCGCTACAAAACGATGACTGTAACGGTTACTGACCCCTGTGCACAGTGATCTGGGGAGCCGCCCTGCCTTGCGGTTTTGAGTCAGACTTGCACAAAGTCGCAGGGACAGGATTCTGGGATACCGAATAAAGTTCTCACGTACCGATCTTATCGTAACCGAAGGCGAGGTCGAGAGACGATGCGCCTGGAGAGCCAGAAACTGGAGCGCCAGAAACAACAGGCAGATGACGCAAGTTCAGAGCCGCAGCAGCCACTCAGCGACGTAAGGCAGGCGGAGCACTCGGAGATGATGGTCTGCTTCAAGGGGGGGATGACACCGCGACGGAGTTCGCGGCAGTTGGCGGAACCAGCTACCCAGATTCAAAGGACTTGGACGACTCATAACATGGGAAACAAATTCCGTGAGCGGAGATACCTTGGTAGACTGTGCGGACGCAGCCGTCAGCCGGTGATGAGGATAAAGTCCCTAGACTGAAGGCGGACTAGACTAATATACTGTGCTGCTGGAATCATGATGAGCATTAGACACCGTCTAAAGGCCGCCAGAGAGTGCAAGTTTGGAGGCTTAGATAAACATATGTACTTAAGTAGGTACATATGTGGGAGGCGGCACATGCTGCTGGGCCGCCAAGTTAGCACAGAAGCGCGCTGACATCAACATGTAGTAGACCAGAACGACAAAGGCTAATCATTCATAGCTATTGACAAGTCTATCTGATAGTTGAAGAGAGTGTGACAGGGCAGATACATTGTACGAAGTGACAGTTGTGATAGTACATGGTTCTGTAGGGGGGGTATAGCTATGCCTACTGCCCAACGTCGGCAATGACGGCAAACTTGTCGTAGCGACCATTCTTCTCGTCAGCATGAAATTCGAGAGCCATACCCTCATCGCCTAGGGGATATGGTACATAATCGTTGTCTTCCTCATCATCCTCCGCCTCCTCAAACCCTTCATCGCCAGCAACCGCAGCATACTTTGCTTGGTTGTTGTGGAAATCCTTTATAAACTTGGCCGCGTTGGCCTTGTTGGGGAACAGATAGAGGGTATGGCCGTCCATCTCCTCGATTTTGAATTTGTCTGCACCGCGGCTCACGCGCTTGATGTTATATAGACCGAGTGCAACTGTCATCTCAAAAGGGTCGTCGTCCCAATGAACACTGGCGTCCGTTATATCTTCTCCAAAGTGTAGCTTCATGCCCAAGGCATTGGTAGCCAAGGTGGCGAGGACAACAGCCCTCCAAAAGCTCGTGGTTGACCAGATCATGTTTGCGGTCGGAACGATTGAAAAGTAGGTAAAGTTGTAGTAGAGGTGGGTTTGTTGAGGTCGATAGCATGCGTAAGTGGGCGGTGAAGTTGGAACTGATGCAAAATACTGTTCAAGGCGATACCTGCAACATTTTATAACCAGACTGGCCCAGCGGGCTCTTCGAAAAGAGCAGGGATCTCAATAGGCCACATGGCTAGATGAAGTGGCCCCATGAGGCCGTATGGCGCAATGGTCAAATGCGCCTGGTTGTGTTCTCGTTTGTGCGGTGGGCGACGAGAACAAGTGGGTTCGAATCCTGCTATGGCCCCCTTCTGACCCGGCTTGTGCCAGTCAACAACCAGCACACGACAGTGAAGAGGCCCCTTATCGCAGAGCCCGATAGCCACACAGCTTGTCTCCATAATACCCACTCCTGCGAGGTTTTTCCCCTTGTGGTTTCCCTCGCCAGTAGATAACAAATACTTATTTCACCCACTAATGCGACATATATCGAACGGCTACTGGAACGATGTGTTTACCAGAGGACTGAGGTTCACTGGGTCGCTTTGTCACTGGACAGGAGGTTTTTCTGACGGAATCGTGCTTGGGTATTGACTAAAACCATCTGGTCACTCCAGGTTGGTACCGCTACAGCGAGGATAGGCTCGTGCGCGGATCTGAATGTATCTAGACTGACACCTCTACAACCTTGTGATGCAATGGCTCTGGGAGGCGTGGTTTGCCCTATGGAGGGACTGCACCCACGATAAATACATACATACAAATACATACATACAATACAAGTGGCCCCATGACGATATGATGCCTTCGTCGACTACCACTGTCGATCAGATCCTTTATTATTGCAAGAGGAAAATGACAAAAGGCAGCCCTACAGCCACGCCGGCGGCCCCGCGTACATTGAATGGTCTGCTTCTATTTTCATACAGGTGTCCAGAATGGTAACGATTAGCGGTTCCCCATGACGGGGAACTTTTAGGTCTATGTAGAACTTACGTCGCCACTCAAAGTTCTAATCTATAATTATCTGCATCGGATGTAGAACTTTCAGAACTTTTACAGAACTTTTATAGAACTTTACGAGCTGACTGCACTTGTAGCTGCATCTCCTTCCTGCACTACCACCTCCACTCTGTTGTCCGCTCTTTTACCTCCTCTCTCTTTCCAAAGCTTAAACGCTCAAATAGAAGGTTATACCAATGAAGGCATACAAACTATTATTATAAATACTAAAGTTAGGGCCTCATGATCCCTATTTCTCGTCTAAGGGCAGGCTTCGCCCAAGAAAGAATTATTCCCAATATGTTGCTTACGACCTGACCTCCCATCTTTCTTGTGACTGTGAGCGCCGAACATTCCCGCGATTCCGTGACCGGTAGCTTTGGCTCACAACACTGGAGCACAGCACCTGGCTGGTATTAGCAAGAAAAGGCGTCCGCCATAATATTAGGAGAGACCATGTTTGTTGTTCTTTTCATACTTGCTCCTTACCCGCATATTTTTTTTCTGCTTCACGGTAGTAGTGCTAGAACACATCAATCTTGTCATCATGTCTTCTCTACTCAATTCCACCACCACCGCTCCCGGTATCCACAACTTCGCGACCCTACTCAATCTTACGTTAACCAGGGTAGTGGTTAGTTTGCTGTTGGCTCTGGTCTTCTGGCGAACATGGAGGTTTACCATACTGCCCTTCTTTCGACCCGACCAACCCAAGGAGTTGCCGTACTGGGTCTCGTGTGAGTACAATATACCCTGAGGTGGTTGGGACCACTGGAGATGGGTATATTAACTGTATCTTTGGTCATGCGTTTGTGCCCCTGACACCCACTACATCTGATTCTTTTGACTGAATATTGCTTTCCGCTAAGGCCATGGCCGAGCCTTTTTCCTGGAATCGAACGGTATGTTGACAAGGGCCAGGTGAGCAAGAAACAAGCACGAGAAAACTGGTATAGTACCAGATCAAGCTGATGTTGACCAGAGCTACCTTGGTGAAAGTAAGGACCCATTTGCCCTGACTGCTTTTGGGATGACCTTCAACGTCGTGTCGCAGGTCAAGCACTCAGCCGAGGTCTATCGCAATACCGAGACGCTCTCGTTTGAAGAATTCGTGCAAGGATTAATGCGCATCAACGGCAACGATGAGAAAATCATCAAGACCGTATATACCGCTCTGCCAACTGACAAGACCGGCTTCCCGAACCCCCAGGGCGAGTCGCTCGGCGTACTGGCGCAGAGAATGCATGCGCACCAGCTCCATCCTGGCGAAAGCCTCGTAGCCCTCCAGAAGCAAGTCCAGGCTTGGGTTGACCGGAACCTGACCATTGCCGATCTTGCCATGTATCCCAGCTCGGTAACCAAAGGCCCCACGAGCATCGAGGTACCGCTGTATCAATGGTGTTCCGAGATCTTCATCCAGCTCGGTCAGGACGTCTACTTCGGCCGGAAACTGGCAGAGATCGACCCAGGGCTGCCCGCCGCATTTTTGGCCTTCGACGAGCTCATCTGGGAGATGCTATACCAGTATCCCAACTTCTTGTCCGCGGACATGACCATGCCGCGTGCCCAGGTCATCGCCTCGTTGAACAAGTACTTCGACGTGCCGCAGAGCCAGCGCAGCGGCGGGACGGCATGGCTGATCAATGCCATGGAAGACGAGATGCGGGCTATCGGGGTAGAGGGTGAAGATTTAGCCGTCGTGGTATTTCACCTATACCTTGCGTAAGTCTTCCCTCGTTTCCTCCCCCTTCCCCTGATGCATAATGAAAGTACATTAGCGGGAGCACACGACCCTCCAGCATCAACACCAACACCCGTAAAACGGCATTCTGGGTTCTAAGCTACCTGATCCACCGCCCCTGCTCGCCGCCTACCGTGCCGAGACAGCCGCCGCTTTTGGACCGACCGGCGCGCTCGTCGACCCGGTGCTGATCCAGGATCCGTCGCGCTGCCCTTCCGTGGACGCCATCTGGCACGAGACGCTGCGCATGTCCGGATGGGCTGCATCTGTGAGGCTGATGACGGCGAACACGGTCATCGGCGGCAAGCTCATGCGCAAGGGCAACCGCGTCATGGTGCCGCACCGGCTACTGCACTTTGACGCGAGTGTCTTCGGTGACGAGCCGCACCGATTCCGGCCCGAGCGCTGGCAGCAGAAGCAGAAGGGGGCGGCCGACGACGGGCCCGCAGGAACGAATAGTCTCGCGCGCAGCCCGTCGTGGCGGCCTTTTGGCGGGGGTAAGACGATGTGCAGCGGCCGGTTTCTTGCACGCTTCTCGGTGACGACGTTCGTGGCGACGCTGTTACAGAGGTTCGACGTGCAGCTCGTCGGCAATCCGCCGTTCCCTGGGGCTGGTGAGGGTAGGCCCGTGTTGGTGACCATGTCAACTAAGGAGGGCGACGAATACCTTGTGAAGATATCCGTTCGGGAGTAACTTAGGGGGCAGTATATGATATTGATGGACATAGAAACCATGATTATTTCAACATACAATGTTCCACCTTTGATGTGTTTTTCTCTGTCTGCCTCTTCCGGCCTTCATTCTGTATTCCCACATTTCCCCTGTTCTAGCTATTCGTTCTCGAGATTGAGGTGCAAGTAACTACGCAGCAAAAAATCCGTCACAACTCCATGCACTCGAAGGGGGTGGCGAGCGCATACTTGCACTTAATCCGGAACCCCGTCTCAGACTGCGTGGAATTAAGGTCCGCATGTTACGACATTATCGGGATTCCACACATGTCATACATTGGCTGAGCTTTTCAGACTGGTGATGACATAGGGCTAGCAGTGTGGTACTGACCGATGCTCGCTTCCGAAGGAGCAGTTGGACCAGGGCCGAAACATTGGGTGTCGTATTTGAGAAGCATACTGTACTAGGCCGGGTGCGCGCATAAATGCATCCTTCCGTACAGACCTCCGCTTCCATTAGATGCAACCCTCCTATCCCTTTCCGCAGGTTGCACACCATCCGACCGGAAAAGCCGGGCGGACGCCACCAATCAATTATACGCAGTTTGCAGGCTGACCAAGATTCCTGCAGTAACTTATTGTATAAAATCACAGTAGTAGCAAAGGATCCATGATATGTTCACCTCAGCGAACCAGCGGAGAAACATATAAGCGTCTTTGGAATCGATCCAGAGAGGAACCCCTAGGCCACCGCTTCGCTCACACACATAGGAATCGCTGAGGGTGGTAATCCATTGAATACATGTAAGGAAACATGTGGTACAAGTTAATGGCCACATCTGGCGGCCACCAGACGCCGGTCCCCCCTGATCTGAGCACATCATCTTTTCTCGGGTTACTCGGGGTAGTCTGAGGGCCCTTCCCACGATGGATTGAGCACAGTTGAAGGATCATTATCATGATTATCTGAAGTTGCCCAAGTTTTATCGGGGGATTCTTCCCGTCCTGTTCACATCTTCCCCTGTCTGAGTTAAAATCCTCGCCTCCCAGAAAGGCATCCACACCACCGCAGAAAGCTGAAGAGGTGTGAGGCGACAAAACGAGTTCAAAGATTGGAGGACGGGTGTATAATGATTCTCAGTCAACGGGCAGCCTTCGCGTAGATGTAGGTGAGCGTAGGATCAGCCCAGGGTCGCGTTGGATTACGTCTTCAAAGTCCAGATCCTCACGTCGGGCGATTCAGCGTGGCTTGTCGCCATAACAAGCCTGTGCTCGTAGGTATTCCTGCAAGACATATCGGTCCCTTAATTCGAATGCCAACGTTACTAACTACCTACGCGTGCCTTGCAACCGCAGCCTGATCGAGACGAACATCGCCATCATCGTGGGCTTCATGCTTGCATGTGCGCATTTCGCGACCGTCACGATTGGCGTATCGGCCTTCTTCAAGTCGATCCGGTCGCGGCTGCTGGGCAGCTCGGCGCCGGCGACCAAGACGAAGGGCAGCAGCGAGCAGGCCAAAACGCCGACACTCGTCACGTTCGGCGCGAACCAGACGCCGCGCCGCAAGAAGTACTTGGAGCTTCCCGACACCAACCTGCTCATGTCCCAGGGCAACCTTACTGTCGCAGGCGACCCCGCGGACGACTACGAGATGCACTCCAAGCCGAGTAGTAACATTACACATAAAGAGGCCGAGCAGGGTGTGTAGGAGAGATGGCGGGGTGATGAGACCTCTGGTAAGGGAACTTGCACCCAGCCAACATATGTGCTAGCGCATGTAACAACAGCTCGTTAATGTATGGTACAAGCCGGAACCAGAGCCTCAAAGCCAGGAGATTTGTGACGTATATGCGAAGATCAACGAAGTAGCACGGTATCTCACATGCTGACTAACAGATACGTTCTTCGGTACATACCTCACCCCGTCAGATACCACTGTCATACCTCTCTGGACAGCCGCAAGCGGTAACGAGAGCACAAGTGGTGGGTGTGAGCCGACGTGGTATGCACAACGAAACAATATTCTTATGTCCCTACGTGACTAGATCCCAGAGTATAGTACACTGCTTCCCCAGAGAGGACAACCGGCACTTGAAAGACTAATTCAATGGCTGCTGACCTATTGCCCAATTCGTAGCACCAAATCCAACTAGAGCACTACCTGCTCTGCTCAACCTAGGTTAATCACATCAGCTCTTTGCTTGGCTTACTACTTAGCTACGTCGTCCTTAGCCATGATCATATCATTACTCCTGTCCTCGGTGCTGGGCTACCTGGTATGGACCGTCGTCTGCCTCGAGGCCAACGTACGTAAGGCTCGAGCTCTCCAGGTCCCCGTGGTTCGTATCCCCTTCAGCGCTGAAAGCAATACCTTGGTGATCTTCCAACCCGTCGTGTGGGCGGCCCTGAGCCGCTGCTTACCTAGTATTCCCTGGAGCTCCTATCCCGACTTCGTCCGCTTCTCTCACCGCAACTGGCACTTCCTCGAAAAGAGCCGACCCACGGAGCGTTTCGGGCCCGTATGGGTCCTTGTGTCGCCCGCCGGCATCAGCCTGCATGTTGCTGATCCGGATGCCATCGTGGAGATATACTCGCGATGGAGGGCTTTCGTGCGCCCTGTTCAAAAGTACGGTACGTGGGTTCCCCTCACGCAGTAGACTACCGCGTGCCCGTCTCATCTAGGGGGTATCTGGTATGCTGGCTTTCTATGGGCCGTCCGTCTTTACCGTTGGGTTGGATGACTGGCCGCGTCACCGCAAAGCCGTCGCTGCGCCGTTCACTGAAAGTTTGATGGAGTTGGTATGGGATGGAACAGTGCGCCAAACCCAGTAAGTGGTCGCCTTCCAGCTAACTATTCGCTTCCAGAACCAATTCTTGTTCAAACTGACTCAGGCTACCTAAGGGGGATGCTGCAAGACTGGGCTACCAGACACCAAGCAAAATCACGAGTCTCGAAGGAGACCTGCGAGCGCTTACATTCAACGTGCTCTCGGCGACGGCATTTCAGGAGCCTCGAGATTTGAAGAGCGGAAGTCCACATGCAGCAGAACATGAGCTGGCAGCCACGGCATCCTACCGAGACACCCTGCTCGTCGTGCTCGAGAGCTCTATTCTCCTGATGCTGATTCCCTACCGCCACCTCACCGGAGCCCTAGTACCCAAGAGCCTGGCCAGAGTCGGTCGTGCAGCCGCATCCTTCAAGTCCATCCTGATGAAAGTGGTCACAGAAGAAACAGCCGTGCTCGACCGTGACAGCTCAACAAGCGGCGGCTTGCTGACACCACTAGTACGCTCTCTGAAGCCGCTGCTGGCTGCTGCCAACGAGGACGTCGCTAGTAGAGCCAAGAGAGGCGGGCTATCAGCCGACGAGATACTGGGTAATACCTTTGCCATCAACTTCGCAGGCCACGACACCATCCTCATCGCCCTATCCTTTGCGTTGACCCTCCTGGTGGCGAATCCGGACATCCAGGAATGGCTGCACGAAGAATCAGTCGCCGTCGCAGAAGACGGCGATGATGGATGGCACTATAGCGCATTCGCCAAGCTAAATCGCTGCCACGCCGTGATCCTCGAGACGCTGCGCCTCTTCGCGCCCATCACGGGGCTGCCCAAGATAGCCTCGGAGCGCGCAAGAGAGCTCCAGGTCGGAGACCGCGTGATCCCCGTTCCCCCCGGTATCGGGGTCTTCCCGGTTCTGCTCGGTATCCAGACAGACGCGCGGTACTGGGGCACGGACCCCTACCAGTGGCGCCCGTCCCGGTGGATCCTGAATCCAGGGACGACGACGGGCGATGAGAGACTCCTCGTGCCCCGGAAGGGCACCTTCTTCCCGTGGTCGGATGGACCGCAGAACTGCGTTGGGAAAAAGTTATCCATGGTCGAGGGTGTCGCCGTGCTCGCCCGCTTGTTCCACCGGCATCGCCTGCGCGTGGAGAGGGGAGTTGGCGAGACAGATGCTCAGGCGAGAGAGAGGACGAGGGACTGTGCGGACGACGTGAATTACAATCTGTTGCTCAGGATGAACCATCCAGAGAGGTTGAGGTTAGTGTGCGAGAAGCGTGAATGATATGTCGGACTGAGAGTCTTGCGTTAGCGAAGATACTTACCTGCGGGTAGATGTGCAACAGATAATCTTATTCGGAGATTGATCATTGTTCCAATGAACACAGCGAAGTGCTTAGCACTGAGACTTATCCTGCGCACATGGAGGGACCACGGTAGAGGAATAAGGAGTGCCTAGGTATGGAGTTGGGCGCAAACCCATGTTCTAGGTGTTAAACATCCCCCTCCAGGTAAAGCAGCACAGGGTGTTTATGAAGCTGGATTCAAGTTCAACCATAGATCGATCACCGATGATCTCTCATGGCTCTGAGGCCAACTTGCCGTCCAAATTTCGTCTAAATATCTACACTGCCGGTCAACCTATCGCCCTATGTTAGCGAGAACCTACCCTTCATCGCAGCAAGTTTATCCATCCAGGGATGGTGAGTATGCTAGCAAGGCCAATAGACTGAGAAATCATGGCACTGAAACAAACTCCCAAAATATTGTGTAGATGCTAGCATACAATGCCCGCCCAAACGCCGACGCCGACGCCGACGCCATGCTGAGTGACGAGAACCACGGAACCTCTTCTCTAGCGCAGCCCAATCGCAAACCTGGCCTCTAGACGGGAACGCACAGAGAGCCCAAGCCTTCTCAGAATACACTAGCCTTGCTCCATTTGTTCGCAGCCCGGATCCGCCTGCCATGGTAGTAAAACACGAAGGGTACCGGAATGAGCAGACACCCAAACCCAGCAAAAATAGTCGACCCGGGCCCGACGCCGATGTTGTGGTACAGCGGCGACACGACCAGCGGGAAGGCGGCCGCGAAGCAACTCCTCAAAAACGTGTTTGCAGCCACCGCGCTCGCCGCGTACATCTGGAACGTGTCGACCAGGTAGTTGAGCGCGGCCTGGAAGATGGTGTTGAAACCGCAGCCGGTCAGGTAGAGGCCGATGACGGGCGCGATCCATGGGGCGACGGCAGGGTCGGCCGTCCAGCCCGTGATGAACTGGCCCGCGGCGAAGAGCACCGAGCCCAGCATCATCGGCGGCAGGCGCTTCTCGGGGACGGCGCGGTCGCCGGCGGCGTGGTAGGCCTTGTTGTAGTAGACCTGGTTGGCCATATTGATGGCGGCCCCCGTCAGCGCGCCCAGACATATGGCAAGAAATGGCAGTTCGCTGGACACCTGCGGCCAGCCCCTGACCTCGTGGAAGATGATGGGGACTGCGCCTAGCTGCATGTAGAGGATCCCGTAGCAGAAAGACGCGTACAGCGCCACAAGGAAGCAGATGGGCGTGCACAGCAGCTGCACCGGGCGGACGAGGAACTTCTTGGCCAGCTCGACGATACTGACGTCCCACTCTTCGTATTTCGCGTGCAGGGCCCAGTTGCCGGTCTCGTGCCGCAGGCGGCGCGCCTTGGCGACGAGCAGGACCGGTGGGTAGGTCTCGTCGATGAAGATTAGGGCAAAGATCAAGATGAAGGACTGCAGGATGCCGCTGATGTATTCGGTCCAGCGCCAGCCGAGCCACGGCTGCACCACCACGGCGGCTGAGACGATGGGACCGACGGTTGGACCCCCAACCACGGCCATGGCATAACCCGCCATTGCGATGCCTCGGTATGCTGGCGAGAAAAGATCGCCTAGCACACCTCCCGTATTCGTCACTGGCGCCGAAGCGAAGAGCGCGCCGAAGAACCGCGTGATCATGATGGTCTGCAGATCCTTGGCCGGCGCTGTCGCGAACGAGAAGCATATGGCGACGAACATGGGCGAGAGCACAGCGATACGGCGTCCATAGACCTCCGACAGCGGCGCCCACATCAGCGGCCCCAGCCCGAATCCAAGAAGAAAGAGCGTGGTTCCGAGCGTCGCAGTCTGCGTGCCGACGCCGAACTCCTCGGCGATCTGCATAGTGCCAGCCGAGTAGGCCGACGACGCCCACGTCGCGGTCATGGTGACGAGACCGTAGAGGAGCGTGGTGGACACTTTTTTGTGCGTAGACCAGTTGATGGGGCGATAGGGGTCGTCCGGGCCCTCGAAATCTACCAGACAGTCCTCCGACGTCTTTTGCTGGCTCAGCGGGTGAGAGAATGGCGCGACTGTTGGCCGAGATCGTATCCTCGATAAGGTAGTCTCACGGCGTGACAGCGTTCTCCTTAACTCATCGGGTCCCTCTCTGCCGCTGACTCGTACTTGAGACGGGCGCATCTCGAGGGTGCAAGGCCGATGTCCATCGTGGTGTTTCTCATTATGCTGGCATTCGCAGGTGGATAAGGCGTCGCTCGGGGAGTCGGAACTGTCTGACAGCCCTCCTCGAGAATTGCTTGCCTGTGAGCGCTCGACATCGTCGTCCTTTGGTTCAGCTAAAGGCATTGTCGATTCAGGAAGGGCAGCATTGGCGCGCCCGACTTGATGAACAACGAGATCGGGTATGAAGGCGGCGGCGGTCTTGGCTCTCTTTTTGGATTGAACCTTGAAGTTCCGCGCCAACGCCGTTCATGGAATCGAAAAAGGCTTGTTTGCCGCGCTAAATTACATATGGTGACGTATAGTGGGACTGCCGCTGCGAATGCTCCGCCATGGCTTCAACGCTACCTCCCTTGGGGCCTTCACTTTTACTATATTGGGGCAAGATCGGGTGGCCCGATATCTCCGACCGGTACTGGGCCACGGCACGGGCACTAAGTTACCGTGCCGGGTCGCGAACCGCGAGCCGCGAACCGCGAACCGGAGGTGCCGGGGCTCTGATGACTGATAGGCGGGCGACGGTAGTAAACACAATATCCCGTGAAGCTGTTGAGCATGAGCCTGTGTAACTTAGGTTGGGCATACAGCAGCGATGGTCGCCACTGACATTGGGGCGAGAGCATGTAGGAGCGGCAAAGAGCTGGGAATTGAGCGCGCCGTCCTGAAGATCAGGAGTACCCCCCGGAGTGGATTGCAACTATCACTCACCTTGGCGACTGCGGAAACCGGGTGTCGGGGATACCCACGGTACTTACGCGGGGAAGGACGGGCTAGGTATGTGTATCTCTCATTCGTGAGTGTGAGTAACATTCCAGTTGTGTTTTGATGACGCATACGAATTAGGAATGGCAGAATCAGTCGTGTGGACGTCCAAGTTTATCAGCAATCTAACCTAGCAGCCTAGTCTATTTTGCTCTATGAAGAAGCACTCAGGCACTCAGTTTCTCGACTTCAAGCGACGCCAGAACGTAGGCGGCAGATCCCAACACACTGTTGTACTGGATGGGTTGACCGACGTAGTACTATCTCGTATGTTAGCTTCGATGATACTGGTTCTCAGCTGTAGGTGATGCGAGCTTCAGGGGGGTTACATACCTCATAGGATGCAGTCGAATTGAGGCTGCATACTGAAACCGTCCCGTTGTAACTCAATGTTCCATTCGTCTCCTTGACCACGAACGTGTCGGTCAGGTACCCTTGCGCCCGCGTCGCTACCTCGGAAGCATTGGACGCCAGTCCACCTGCGAGATATCCCAGTCGCACTCCTTTCAGCAATGCGTAGGCGAACATGGCACTGCCGCTCGACTCGATGTAGTTTCCTTCCTTGCCTGGCTCGTCCAAGATCTGCCACCATCCTCCGGTCTGCTGGTCCACGGCGTCGATGATGGCGGGCATGAGGGTCTGGAACTTGTTAAGCACGTCCTGCTTGTATTTGCAGGGCGACGACGGCAGTAGTTCCAGCGTATCCACGAGCGCCATGGCATACCATCCGAGACTTCGACCCCAGACGTGAGGGCTTGCACCGGTGATCGGGTTGGCCCAGACAGCGGTGAGTGAGGCGTCGTATCCATGGACAAGCAATCCGGTCGAAGAATTGTAGGTGTGCTGCCAGATTAAATCGAGTTGAAAGAGCATGTCGTCTAGTTCCGCGGTGCTGTTGCTGCTGCGGGACACTGCGTTCGTCGAGTAGAGAGTCCAGAACGGTGCCAGTGAGTACATGCCATCGAGGTAGCTCCATTGGGGGTAGGTAAAGTACCACAATCCTCCATCAATGTTTCGGTGATTCAGCATGATGCTTTGGTGCAGGGCCTTCGCAGCGGCGCGGTTAGATGCGGTACTGTTCGCCGAAGGAAGAGTCAGGAGCGCGTTGCCGTTGGAGAGCCGGTCCATGGGGTATGCCATGGCATCATAAGTCGCGTTGGACAGGAAGGGTGCCGCTGCTGCAACGCTGGTCTCGATGTACTGTTGCACATCGGTGGCGTTCGGGTACTGCGCGACGAGGGCTGTGAATGCCTTCTGTGTGAATCCAGACTGCAGCGCTTCAGACGAGCTCCCAGCTCCAGTCATGATACCCTGGTGTCGGGACATGATGCTTGATGCCATCCATTTCGAATAGGTGTGCGTGGCGACCGCACCCGTGGCTGCGCTGGCCCAAACGGCGAGCGCAGTGGCCACTGCCGCAACGCGGTTGAAGTTGACTCGCATCCTGTCCTCCAGATATTCGGCTCGAGATCCAAATCAATTGAGGCTATAGGTAACCGTCAGTGAGACATTCGCAACGATGTATCAGGAGGAATGTCGGATGGCGCTGAGGAGTTAAAGAAAGAACGGGTTGCTGGTCAACAGAGATTGCGAGAACTCGCCCTTGAGGCATTCCCACATTGTTCCCAGCAATGCGGCGCTGGGCCCCGTCATTCATTTCAGCTGTTGGTCTGGAAAGGGAAAAGGCTCACCGCGTCGACATGGGACTTTCAAGGTTCTTGATAGTTGATTCGGTGATTGAGGCGTGATCGGGACACGGCAAGGTGCCTCGGTTCACAATATTCCGTCTTATCGCAGTTACTAAGTGGTTTTATTAAATACAGCTGAGATCGATTTAATACATAAATCTCACACGACACCCAATTGCTGCATATAATCACTTAGACTAGCATTGTTCCTGAGGGAATAAGGGAATGAGTTTGCTGGCAAACACTCTTCATCTGACCTCACAAGATTCATCTGACCTCACAAGATGTTCCGCCTTTCTTGCAATTTTGCACCGCCATAAAACCCAAGCAAAACCAGCTTTCATCCCTGAATTGGGCGCCGTGGCTGTTTGCCATCTAGCAAAGGCTGACGATGGCTTCCAACGGCCACGCGTTACTTCTCCGCACCCCCATTTGATGGGAGATGCAGCCCCCGCTTCGTGATAACGTTACTTGTGTACAACCCTTCCTCCGCTTTTCCAGAAGGCTCCCGGGCTGCTACAGCTGCGTGCAAACGCTTGGGCCCTTTGCTGCTTTGCAGTGTTGCAGTTGTACTCGTACACCTTGCTAATAATAAATACATACATGATACCAGGCGGACAAAATCCATTCCGATGGGGGTGTTGACAAATCGGAAAGCGAATTGACCGGGCAGTTTATGCAGTAGAACTGGCTGCTCCATCCTTCATCTCGTCTTTACCCCTCAATCGGGAAGCTGAAGCGCTGAGGGAGGACAAGAGAAGGGGGCGTGGCCGCGTGGGGTGGTAGTAATCGCGACCCATGCAGGAAATGTTGCCATACGGCATGGGGGCTGCAGCGTCAATGATCCTCCAATATCTTCCTGGTGGCGCACACGTTCGTCGTTCGACACGCCTAGAACCTTGGAACACCTGCGGGCGGCCGGGCGGGCACTCCCGTGGGCCGTGGCCGCCTCGCTTTCATTTATGATTTTACTGACGCACAATCACAGATGTCAGAAGCCCACCTCATGCAGCCAGCAGTTTGGGATTCGCGGGCCGTTTTTAGGTGCGCCCGAAAGAAGACGAGACGACATGGATAGATATGCAAGTCGATATGCAACCGGACAAATATGGCTGAGGTTCCGAGCAGCTGAGTATATTATCAACTCGGTCACCGTACGCAGTGCAGCCTATGGTTACAGCAGGCAGTGCAGGGCGAGGCATATTGGCTTATGTGCAGACCACCTCATCGTTGATTGGGACACACTTCGGGACCGTGGTGCACATAAGCAAAGATGCTTGCTTCGCCCTCGAGTGAGATAGCCTAACGGTGATGATATTAGAGTCGTCTGGGCTGCTCATTCCGAATCTCTGATCCACCTCTTTACCTTCACCGGCTTTTCTGACAGTCACTGGTGACTGGTACCACCGTTCTCTAAGACTATGTAACGGAGACTGGGCAGCACTGAGCCTGACCCTGACCCTGACCCTGACCCATCAACAACTTGACTACCTCCTCGAACAGCCGCAGATCGGTTGATCTAATACACGATGGGCTGGCTGGATAGTCTGATCGCGGCCATGGTCGTCTTCCTGATCCTCGACGGAGTTGCCGTGGCCGCTCGCGTCTACGTCCGCACCAAGATGCAAACGCGGGGATTCGGTATCGATGACATCGCTCTGTGCCTGACGTATGTGAGTTCATTCCTGGCTTCCCCTTCCGATTTCCACGCTGATCCGAGGCTTGTCAGACTGGGTACATGATCGCGTGTGGATTTGGGTTCGCAGCCATGTACTACGGCTACGCGGCTGAGGACCACCGACCGTATTACAACCCTGCCAAATCAACCCAGGTAAGCATGACATCGACGCACAATGTAGTACCAATGATGAACTACCAGCTGACTGGACGCCTCTACCAAGTACTTATTCGCCTGCCAACTCGCCATCTACATCTCGTCTGGCTTGGTGAAGATAGCCGTAGCTCTGGTCGTCTACCGCATTGCAGTACAGAAGAGCCTTCGCTGGCTCCTCATCGGGTCAATGGTCGTCGTCGCTATCTGGACCATTATCACCACGATATACTCATCGTACCTGTGTGCCACGGGCGGTACAAGCAACTATGCCGGGAGTGAGACCTGCACGCGGGTCGGTTACTTCCGCACGATTACGAATATCTTCATCGATTACTTCTACGCCCTGTTGCCGGCATTCATGCTTCGAAAGGTGCAAATGAAGCTCAGATTGAAGCTTATCGTGGTGTTCCTGCTTGGATTGGGGGTATTGTGAGTGAACCTTTGCCACACCCCGGCCTGCCTTCCCGGACCGGGGTGTCCAGAACTCTGACTTGCTAACGCCATGACCCTTGCCGCAGTGCAAGCTCCACCACCATCGTTAAGCTCGTCGTTATCATCAGGCTCACGCACGCGAGCAAGGCAGAAGCCGAGGGCCTCCACTACCAGCTCCTCCTCTGGGCCGTCATCGAGCTCGGCCTCGCCATCTTCGCCGCTTCCCTCGCGGCGCTACGGCCGCTACTCAGACATCTGCCCGCGTTTTGGAACATGAGTCGGACGCCGAAGAGTAACGCGAGTGATGCTGTCGGGCCCTACCACGAGCTGGCTCTGGCAAGTGAGATGGGTCGCTCGAGTACGAAGACGGGCGGGGCGAGCCGCCTGAGTAAGAACACGCACGAGCTATCTGTGGTTCGGTCGGTGTCTAGGGGGGACGAGGTGCATGTGGCTGCGGCGTCTGATGACGCGCTGGTATGATAATGATGTTATTTCACGACTATATGGAACTTGGATTTATGGTATCACCTACATTGAACATTATCAGAGAAGATATCTGGAACCGGTGACTATATCAGTAAGAAAGCCCCATACCCTTCAAGAGAAGTCCAACTTCAAGTAACGCCCGGGGGTGATGATGGTTCTAGTGTCGATAGGGGCGCAGGGATGGGAGCTCGAGGGTCATGCTTGGCAACCCCTTTCCACGCTCCGGAAGCCCGTCACTGACCTGGAGCGCGGTAACGTTATTTGCAACAGATGCGGTCCCCCAAAGGTAGACCCGCCATTGCATTAATTCAATATGTCCCAATGCCATGGTTTGCTTGGGTGTGCTTAGCATGCAAAGTATCGTCCATTCGACATCATGGAGGGTGGCCGAAGGCGGCCGTCTCGATAAAAGGGGCAACACACAATCCCTAAGGTACCAAATGCGCACCGTCGACACTCCAACATGAAATGCCTTAGGGCCCACCGCAAAGTTCTTGCTGCGTTAACCTAAGGTCTTGCGTTTGGGCAAGCACGTGTCCCAAATACTCCGCAACTTTGGAAGGTGTTGCCTGGGAACCTGCCCTGCTACACACGTATCTACTGAGGTACTCCAGCAACGCGTTTCCATGCCCACTTCCCTCCGCAGGTTCAACTTTCTGGTGGCCTACCTGCGTGAAACACCCTTCCCTTCGAATTCTCCCGCGCGGCAACACGAATGTTTCCCTTCCTTCCTCTTGGACTCCATCAGTTCCTGTCACGTCTACTTGGCGCATCCAGCACTCCAAGGTCGAGCAAGATGTCTGAATACAGTCTTCTCTCTTTCGGTAGCAGCCAACCTGACGCGCCCGACACTTCTGATGTAACGACTCCTGTTGCTCCCACCGAAACCGCAGCTGCTTCCGAACAAGTTACCGCAGTCGCATCGACCAGCAATGGCACCGCCGATACCACTGCTGCGGTCGAGGCAGAAGTACCGGAGGAACGCAGCTTCGGTCGCTCACTCATTCATTCACTGTCACCATTCCAGTAAGTCAACATGTACTCCTCATGCAATCACGCTAGAATTACTAGGGTACACCCATACGCGCTTCCAATTTCTGCAACCGCGCACCCCATACGGAATATTCCAGGCACCACTTCCGTTGAGCGTTCGCAAAACTATCAAGCAAAAGAATATCATCCACCCTTCTCGATATTGTAGGCTGGCCGAATCACTCTGTCGTTTAGCTACCCCCAAACCACCGTGTGCGTAAAGGCGGATGGCATGCGCTTCGACATCTACAAGAACGTCATCGAACAAGACTCCAAATACTTCAAGGAGGTCTTCCGTGGCAGTGAGACTGTCCATGCGCTAGAGGACACAGATCCTAGAGCATTGGTAGAGTACATCCACCTGCTGCACCGCAAGTATTACAACAAAGACTTGGAGAGCTACGGCCTGAGCTCCCTCGTACTCGTACCCGGCGGCGCCCGACTCAGCGCGGTACATACTCTTGCAACACTCTACAAGCTATGCTGCAAGGTCCAGAACACCAGCCTGGCGGAAGAGTGCTACGACGCACTCGAGGCCCTCGAGCGCGAAGTCACCCTGGACTGGACGACCGACCAGGCCATCCGCGACACGATGGAACTGGTGCAGCTGATCTCCTCGCACTGGGTACAGCTCGACTGGCCGGAGGGCCAGAGCCGCATCGTCGCCAAGTTCTGCAAGACTTGCCCCACCGGTGTGCTTGAGACGCTCATCGATACCATGGATTCCCAGTTTCGTCGCGCTGTGATCCTCGAGTTTTCCAAACTTCGCGTGCAACTCGAGGCCGAGGTTAACACCGTTCACGATCAACCGGCGGATACTTCTGGTTCTTAACAGCCCACCGGCACCTCAGAGGAAGCACCGGTTCGCGATTTTGATACACTGGCGGATACTCCTGATTCTCGACTGTCCGGCTGTTCCCAGGAGAAAGCGCCAGTTTGCGATCTCGATACGCCGGCAGCTCAGGCGGGTGAACCGAACAAACCGTCCTCCTCGGGAGGCAGCCTAGATCTCGGTCCCGTTGTTATTCCTCTAATTGTTGATGGTCGTGGTAGCTTGGGTGGTCGAGGTGGTCGAGGTGGTCGCAAACTACGGTTCGAAGAGGAGTTGATTCTCGACCAGGAACTATCTCTTACTGAAGACTCGATCAGCGACCAGACCATGACTCGGGACCAGGAGACGGTTCAGGAAGACTCTTCCTCGGATCAGGAGTTGGTTCACGACAACAGTTCCCTGGATCAGGAGTCGGCTCACGAAGATGATGGTTGGCCACCACTACCAGTTCCGGTGGTCAAGCTGACTATATACTACCGTGAGGCATTCTATGGACATTGAGAAAAGGAGTGAGCGGCCACTGGATATTCGCTCAACCACCCGCGAACGATTGGTCACTCTGTGTCAAAACTAAGTGGAATACGGCAGAGCAGAAAAAGACACTCGGGGCTTCCTCATTGTGCAAGAACTTGTGGTAAAGTAGCTACATAGTATGTGGCATCACAGATGCGTGAGAAAAGATAACCCGAGCCTATAGGGTCTGTAACATCCCATTTTCGTCAGTAACAATTGACAAAATACGTGCTTTCAGTTTAATCACTTGCAACCTCTGCCTACAACCAGCTTTCTAGCGCAGGGACGAATGGTGGAGGAGCTATTACAATGTGCGCGTTGAGTACGCACCAAGGTATAGCCGGACTTTGTACACAGCGATCAAAGATATTGAATTTAACTTACATATAGGAGGAAATCTTGCCTTCCAAATCGTTCAACACATCTAAAGGGCCACCAATATCTCCCTGGGGAAGTCAGATCGCTGGGAGAGGCCCATTTCAACCCGTCTTCCAAAGACCACGGCCAGTTTTGTGGGCACGATAGAGGATCACGAAAACTCACAGCAAAAGGCGGCACCTCCTTGTCTTCTCTAGCAGACTCAGGAGCATCCCTTGGACGTGGGGAGGATGTCAGAAAGTCGGAGTCAGCACCAGAGAAGCTTGGCAACCGGCCATTGGGCAACCAGCGCGGCGCAGTTGGTGTTGGGGATTGATCCCTGCAGCTTACCATTGGCTTCGGTCTCCCGAGCGGATTTCTCACGCAAGAGAGCTCTTTATCTACATTAGGGATGTCAGACAGGTTATATTGAGCCCTTGTTGCGGAATGCGGAGAATGCGCGAGTCATCTCGCGCGGCATTCCCCTTTTCTTCAATGTACTTGCGGCTGCGCCACCTACCCAGAACTCCTTATCCTCTATTTTCCCCCTCTGAGTGCTGGCTAGAAGTTTGCTGCTTCACCTCACGAGATGACAACATTCCGCGATTCGCCTGAGAAGGAGGCGAGCTACAGCAGCTTCCTCTACCGCCAACTCTTCGTCCACCCGTCAGCCGTCGCGCACAAGGACGTAAGCCTCCATGGTAAAATCGCCATCATCACTGGTTCCAATGGCGGTCTCGGATTTGAATGCGCCAGGCAGCTGCTGGATCTGGGGCTGAGTAAGCTGATAATAGCCGTCCGGAATGAAGCGAAGGGCAAGAAAGCCAGCGCCGAGTTGTCGGCTGGCCGCGCTCTCAAGACGGGCGCCATTGAGGTCTGGAAACTGGATCTCTCCTCCTGCGACTCAGTACTCGCATTCGCCGAGCGTGCCCGTACCCTGGAGCGCCTGGACGTAGTGGTCCTCAACGCCGGCCTGAACAAATTGACATTCAGCCTAAACCCAAGCACCGGCCACGAAGAGAGCATCCAAGTCCACTACCTCTCCAACACTCTGCTGCTCATGCTGCTTCTTCCAATCATCAAAGCCAAAAGACAGCAAGGGAAGCCAGGCCGTAAGGTCCTCATCTCGTCCGACAGAGCGGCCTGGGCGCCGTTCAAGGAGAAATACACGGCAGAGCGTCTGCTGACAGCCATGGACCAGCCCGAGAGTTTCGACCTCTGGGACCGCTACTCGACGTCCAAACTGCTCGGCCTGCTATTTCTGGTGAAACTGGCGAAACGCGTCCCTCCGTCGGTCGTGGTTGTCAACGCCCCTAACCCGGGTTATTGCTACGGGTCGCGGTTGGGCCGCGAGACTGCCGGTGTCGTGAAGCTCGTGGGCGACGCTATGGCTCGCATCTTCGGGCGGTCGACGCCTATAGGCGCTCGTGTGATTGCGCATGCTGTTGTTAGGGCTGGGGAGGACAGCCATGGGCAGTATATCGGGGATTGTGAGCTGAAAGCGTGAGTCCTATATTAACACATGTTGGTCTCGAGTGTTGATGAATATGCTGACCGTGAGAAGGATGGCACCGATGATCTATACGACTGAGGGGCAGAAGCTTGCTCAACAACTCTGGCGGGAGACTATGGATGAACTTTCTTTCGCTGGGGTCGAGGAGATTGTGCGAGAGGTGAGTGGGCTGAAGTGAATGGGGTACCAGATAGGGGACGGTCACTGGGCACGACAAGATGGATAATTCGATGATGCCGGTTATGCGACACATGCGGTATCCTGTAGTTGTCCATTAAGACATTAAGCATAAACTTTTACAAGCTGATAATGGCACTAGCATTCGGCGTGACGCGCCCTTCTCGCGGGCACACCCGTCACGTCGGTCATGACACTGCCGTCTCGACCGGAGCCAAGCATGATGTATGGGTTGAAGCGTTCAAGCAAGGTACTCGAAGCCAAGTGACACGGCTGGCTGCTGCGTGAGAGCCGAGTGAGTACTGATTGGGCTCTGGGTTTGAAGTGAGTCCGAGAGATGCTCTCCAGCGTCACGAATATGATCTTGAATCATTGCCAACGGAGCATTACCCAGTCTTCCACTGTAGTCCCTGGCCGGCGGTCAACGGGGCTAGATATCGGTAGGGCACACCATGATACCACTGGCACCATGCTGGCGCACTGCTTACCCGAAGGATAAGACATTCTGTGGGCCCCGGTTCGCCTGAAATTGATGCAATCTTGGCTACGGTAGAATAATAAGATTCCTTAGCGAGTGATAGGTAAGGTAGTGAGATAGAAAAAGAGGTACATAGTATGGAAAAAGCCGTAGTAATCATAACAATACTCGCTTGGTTGATATGCTCAGATACATGAGATGCCCTAGGTAAAGAGTGTGGTTGGTGGCAATATCCACCGCAAAAGAAACGCCAACGCCTTAAGCCATGTCCGTATCTCATCATCTCCACCTCATCAGTTGTCAGCCCTGCCTCTGAGGCTCAGAACGGTAGGAACATCCTTATTCTTCGCCCTCGGGTCCGTCGTCGTGTCGATGTGCCCCTCGACGTTGTGGAGCTTGCCCGCGCCGGTGTCGAACGCCTTGTCGCAACTCCCCAGGTTGTAGAGGTCGCACTTCGTGCCCTCGGGAATAGTCCAGTCGCTGTAGCCCCGGGCCAAGGTCTCGCACTTGGCGGCGGAGACTGAGAGCGGGGAGCAGATGCTGGGTGCGGAGCAGTACGTGACTGGGCCGATATCGCGCTTGAGGAGGGCAAGATTGTGGTCATTGATGGGGATGGAGGTGGAGATCGCTAGGCCGGTGAAGGCGAGGAGGGTGGTTGTGAGTGTCGCGGTGTGCATCTTGGTGCTGTGTTGCTTTCTGTTGGTTGTTTTTGGCTGTTTTGTTGAAATCGATGCTGTTCTGGAGGGACCGACCACTTGACGTTGTTGCTATGGAAGATTGACAGACAACCTACTTACTTATATACATAGGTACCATAAGTAGTATGTTTAAACTACCGCGCCAACTCTCAGTCCGGGCCACGATAGCGCTCCCGCACTCATCATGATCAAACGACCACCAAAGTAAGCCTACCTAGGTTCGATGAGTTGGAGAACGGAGTGATGGGACGCCGATAGACCGCAATACCAGGACAATGAGGTCATCCTGGACAAGCGAGATCCATGGTGACGGTGTGTTGTTTGAGAGGATGGTGGCACGGTGGTTTGTAGCCTCCGGGTGGCGGCGTCGTGACGAAATTAGTCCTCAAGAGCCTGATAATCATGTTACTAGTAAATGTGCCCGTGTAGTGACCCACGACGTCTATGAACAGTAGAGGTAAAAGGTCGCAAACGACACCCCTTTGACGTCAAAAGGTTATATACAGTGAATTTCAAACAAATCGCTTACGCGCAATTACTCCGCCGTCCATCAATTGCTAGCAGCCACGATCCTGCCATGGTCCAACATGGGCCGAATCGGCAGGTTACCAGGAACCGAGCGCAGACTCCGCAACTGCAAGAGGCTCGCAGACTCAGAGCTGCGGCGCTTGGGGATTATGGCCCTGCGCTTCGAAACGCTGCTGTTGCCAAGCGCCATGATCTTCTCGGCCGCCTTCTCGGCCACGACGTAGATCATGGCCTTCGTATTGCCGGTCGGCACGTCGGTGTGAATGGACCCGTCGACGACGAAGAGGTTGTCGGTTCCGTAGACCTTGGTGTCCAGATCGACAACAGCGTCTCCGCCGTCCCGCCCGTCGTCGGTTCCCATGCGCGTGGTGCCGAGGTAGTGGTTGCTGGAGGTCATCTGCAAGTCCGCGAGCATCTCCTTGCCTGTCGTGTTGGAGGCTCCGTCATAGGTCAGAATACCGCCCGGCTTGCGGCTATAGGCGAGCAGCGTATCCATGAACCCCTCGACGGCCTCGACGTCCCCGTCGGTGTTCATCCACGGCTTGGTCACGAACTCCGTGGCGCCGTTGGCCGTGATCCCGAGCTCCCCCGTCGACGTCAGGCCGTGCGTCAGGTACACTATGATGCTGACGGTGCCGTTAGTCTGCGAGAGGCAGGTGCCCTGGATGTAGCGCACGCTGCCGTCCTTGTTGGTGACGTCGGTGGAGAAGTCGAGGCGCTGGTCGCTCTGCACGAGCGGGCCCATGCCCTTGGCGAACAGCTCGGTCATCTGCGGCGATGAGCCCACGAGGTTCTCCGAGGACAGCGATGTCATGTTCGCCATTCCCCCGTTCACCTTCCACTTCGTCCACCAGATGGGGTGGTCCATGAGGCGCTTGCCCACAGGCAGATCGATCCAGGCCGACTGTGCTGGCAGCGTGACGGCGGTACTGCCGGATTGCACGGTCTGGATCTGGGACGCCGGCCCTATACCCGAGTTGAACAGGATACGGGGCGTGGACACTGCAGTATTGGGTAAGCGCCCGCTCGTACACGTTGGAAGGATGTGGTCAGCCACTTACTGGAGCCAGAGGCGAGAATGACACGTCCACCGGGATTGACGTTGATGATTTGGCGGGCATTGTCGGATTCAACTTCGACGCCGGTGATGGTCGAGTTGCTGCGCACGGCGCGGATGACCTTGGTGTTCAGTTGAAGCTTAAAGTTTTCCAGCCCCTGAGCAAGGGGTAGGTATGTCCTGACTGGACCAGCGCAAAGACCGTCTTTGACCTAGTTCACGGAATGGCTGATTAGCTACGCGCGACTCCTGGGTGTTCGTTTTCATGCTTATATTGTATGTCGTGTGGCCAAACATGAGGTGCTTGTTGTCAGGGTGCTGGATAGCATCGTCGGACGACCATCCATTGGCAGTAAAGTGCTGTGATAGAACATCGTAGGCAGCCTGGTCATAGTACTTTCCGTCGGCAGAGGGGAGTATGGTGCCCGGGTTCCTCTCGTAGACGCGGTCAGCGGCTCGCATCACGTCAGCCCATCGCCAACCAGCGGGCCACTTGTCGTCGAAGTCCCTCTGGGCCGGTCTCACCCAGTTTAGACCGTTGACAGCGGTGCCACCGCCTAGAATACAGCCAGCCTATCCAGCGGTGTCGGAGCAGAAGGCTTCGCCCGCACCATCAATCTCGCTCAGGTAGAAGGACACGCCGGGGACGTCGAAAGGGCTGACAGTGTCGTTCCACGGCATCGTGAGTTCACCTCCAGTCGAGTGGTAGGAAGCCGCCCCACGCTCAAGAAGGAGAACGGAGTGGCCCTTTTCGGCGATTTTCTGCGCAACGATGATACCGGCAGCCCCAGCTCCGGCGATGATGTAGTCGTAGGTCGTGTTCAAGACTGTCACCGGGACTGTCGTGTTGGTGGCAGGGCTGGTTGTGGTCCCATTACCGGGAACAGATGGAGTTGAAGGGGTGTCACTCGATGCCATCGCCGCCCATGTTGCAAAATCGGCAGATTTGGCGGCTTCCAAATCCAGGCTATACAGGCCAAATTTGTTGTGGTAATTCAAGACAGAGCTTGTGCTGCTTGGATCAGCGATCGGCGTGTTGGACATTGCCCAACCGAGAATAGGGGCGGCATCAGAAGCGGTGAACGAGCGGCCGTCCGACAAGATACAGTTGGAGCACAGAAAGGTGTAAGTGAATGCTGTGCCGTTCACGTATGTTCCGTCTGCAATAGGCGTCAGGGTAGCATCGCCATCGAAGACGGCCGGGTTGGCATAAGCCGATGCTTCACGCAGCCCACTGACTACGCTGTCGTCGTTGGGGTATGCTGCTATCAACAGAGCACCGGCCATGGACCCAGTCAAGCTGACACCGACCCATCCTTCTGTCACGGATGCCGAAATTTGGCCAATGAAGTCTGTAGTGATATCTTTGGGGACAGCCAAACCGAAGGTAAACCCCTCGGAACGTGATACCGGTGTTTTCGTCGGTATATGCGGTTGTTTGCTGAGCGTTGGCGCTGAACCTGCCTAAGGCTAGAAGAGAAAGAGCGGAAAGGATGACGGTGCCGGCCATCGTGAGTAAGTAAAAGCCTGCTGGTAAGGTTAAAAAGAATGACGAAATGAAAGTCACAGACTGTGAAGAAAGGAATGTGAATGGTATGCAGCAAACCTATGAGCACATCCCGAGAGTAAACACGAGCTCAAGCTCGTGGCGCATCGTGGGTAGATATGCGGAAGCCCAAACCCATGAGTCAGTTGCGGCAACATGAGATTTACGAACTGATTGATTTGTTTACCCTGATCGTTCATGGATCGGGGAGCGGCACCCTAGCTAACTCACGGTAACCTGGTCTCTGGTCCATCCTGCCGCGAGGGTGCTTTGAAGCCAGAAAACCGTCTATCATGGTTTGGCACTTGTTGAGCGAGGCGAGCCATGACATATCAAGGTTTCTCCGTATCGCCAAGGTGAATATGCCTACGTTGATTGGTGGACAGTGGTTGGTGCCGACTGTGAATCTGGGGTTAGCAGAGCGGGGGATTGGGAGACTGTTTCTAGTTCACGGAGATGGAATAGTGTCGTTTTTGGTATATTTGGGGGGGGCCCTATATTGGGCTGGGCGCGGCGACGTACCAAGGGAAAAATACTCTTAGCAACTGCTAGCTTTGAGATTATGGTCCATGCTGTGACAGTCTGACAGATGTCAGTATATACGAAACAAGGATTCATCAGACGAACATCCCTGTGGGAATCAGACCAGGGAGTTGGGAGCCAGCCAGGGGTATAGGATGTGGATCCTGCTCACTCACCAGAATAGAAGAAGCCAGTCGACACCACCTGAGGTTAACATCCCTCTAGACCGGTGTAGCGAACTTATGGAGGTCTCAGCTTCATCCGTTAACGAAGCTGGGGTGGAGTGGGCGTACCCCGACAGCGCACTTCACACGAGCATACAGGACTGTGCTGCCTGTATTCCACACACATTGAAGCCTTGGCTCATGTGCTAGAGCGGCAAAGCAAGAAGGCTCCCTCCCGCCAGACCGGAAAGGATCCGGAGCAGGAGCGATGTTATTAGAGAGCTTGCATTCCTGCTCGCCTTTGGGATGGGGGTAGGAATTGCGTTCCATCGTATGACCTGATCAAACCCGCTGCCCTGGAAAGTTGGTGATGAGATCAAATCAAACAAGATCTCATGTCAATTCTACAAGACTCAGTGAGGCTACACATACCCATCAATCCCATCCAATACATCCAGATTGCAGGTATCAGGACCAGAAACCCGCGTGTCCAAGGGTCAGGTCGTGCTTGAATGTAATCCCGGCACGCGATTGATGTCCGCCATAGACGCTTCTATCCCACGCACCCAAGAGCCAAGTCTCCCAGGGACTGATCTATTCCACCGTGGTCATACCTGAGATTTCAATCACCCCTGCGACGTGGCTAGCATGATTAGCCGATGGGAGCATGATGGGACACATGGTCAGGAGTTTGACTTACACCCGTCGTATCCTCTTGAACAACCGTTGGTAAGGTACGGTCCATCGCATCATCTATCGGCTTGTGTAGGCGTCGTTATCGCAGTCAGCATCCATAGCACGTTGGAGAGGATCGTCTTGCCAGCCCAAGACATAATCACCGTGCGACGTGCACCCATTCCTACATATGATTTTAGTCTCGTGATACAACTGCGAGTGCTGGCTGAGGAGAGACTCACTTGTCGCCAGTGATCCAAAAGAATTGAACATATCGGGAATGTAATGACCGAGAGTATGCCGCCGGCGCAGCAACCCGTGTGCAGACTCTGCCCGTCTGGAGATGCGCAGTTGAGGTTGCTACTGTCTCCCGAGGCCGTCCATGCCAGGCCCGGTCCCTGAGACATCCCCGACAAGCATGCAGAAGCCGGGCTTGAAGGCCGTGACCTTTGTGTTGTTTCCGGGCCCGTGGAGCCCGAAGGCCTGGTCTATTGACTATGTACGATTCCAACATCGTGCGGGACTCTCACGTATGCGCTCGCCGATTGCGCACAGGTATCCCTTTTCATGCACTTCATGACCCCCTTTCACAGCACAGCTCCGCAACTATCAACAACCTTCTTCACCATTCCAGTTCCTGGGTTTCGAGGAGTAACGTGACTGTTACCCAATATATTTTTCCTCCCTTGGTTTTGTGACAAGATTGAGCCCCATTGAATTGTATGATTCAAGGTCCCATGGCGGTTGACATACCGACTTGTGACGCTATGTAAACCCGTGATTATCAAGCTCTACCATTCAGCCACACTACCAGAGTATTCTGGTTCTGGTAGTATATTCACTAATCGGTAAGGGACAGCTCAACCATCTCCAACTCAGTGCCCAAACGGCTCGTCATAGATATTCACAAGGCACAATGGCGCATCATCCATGCCGCCGTCGATTTTCCTACTTAAACCCACCATTCCCACTGCATCCTCTCCAGCAGGATATCCATTCCTGCTACCAACACATCCGCGAACACACCTGGTACAGACAGGACTATCACGCACATATTTTCCCCAGCAACGTGGACAAGATGCAGCTCATGAACACCCTCCCCCTCCCCCTCTTGTGGGCAGCCGCCACCGTATCCTGCTTTCCCACTGACGGTGGTGCCCTCCATCTCCAGCAGCCGGCTCCGATCAGTGTGTCCAACATCACCTGGACAGGCGAAATCCATGAGAACGGCCCGAATATGACTTTCACGGGGAGCAGCCTCAAAGCTATCGAGGAACAGATCAGTAAGTGCTCTAAAAGGATGTGCTCAAGGGGAAATCTATCTTGTACACCGGCTCGTGGTGCATGTTTCACGGCGCCCAATTCCGCTTATGCCTCATGAATTCTTGGAAAATGGATGGCTGACTGTCTCGCAGAGGAATTCTCCCCCGGCTTCTCCCCCGGCGTCGTCTTGTCCAGCTCCGAGAATGTCACATTCCCAGGCGTTGAAAGGGTCTTTTTAAAAACCGTCGGCGACGAGGTTGCCCAAGGCACCGTCTGGGAATCTGAAGTCTTGGCGGGCATCGAAGCAATCCGCGGGTACACGGGGTACTGTCGACAGTTACCTACACTACAGGGTCAACCGCTCTCGTGTAGTAAACCCTTCTGCCAATACGGTAGGGAACTGTACAACGGTACGTAGATCCACCCTCGCCACATGAAACATTCCCTTGTCTAATCACTTGTCGCAGCGATATTGTTTTGCAACCACAACACCTGGGATGCGGTGCAGCGTTGCAGTGTCTTTGCTGACCATGCTCAACGCATCTACGACCGTTGTTACGATCCCACTGGGGACGAGAAACTATTCAAGGGGCAGTCTTACGATGGCGATGGGTTCAGTGTGATTGTGGGTAGTGTGGACCACTGCTAGGGAAGCTGATGTGAGGGCGAGACAAGGTTCGGTGAGGTTCACTTGGAAACAAAGCCTTCAACCACGACTGGTAATGCATTAACTGGGAAGCCGGATTGCACGCCAGTAACAACTTCCTAACGTAAACACTCATACCCTGCACTTCACCAGCCCTGATGTGTGTGCCTTCATCTCCTTCCGCCGCTGGGAATCGTGATGTGCCCTGGCCAGCCTCTCATACCAACGAGACATGACCAGAATAGGGATGCATGCCATTCCATTTGGGCTCAGGAGGTGTCTCGTTAGGGTAGTTTTGTGATGAGTAAGGTATACAATCGAGAACCCCCCTCGGTCGACCAATCACAATGTCGGGAACCACAGCAAGTAACGCTTGCGGGGAAGTAGCTTCGTGTCTATAGTAGCTTATCTGTAGGCTAATGATAGTCTAACGCGATACAAGACATGACTGGGCGACGATTTTGCATGGCAGCGGGGAACCAACCAAGGTGTCGCCCTCCTGACTCGCAACCTTATCTATGCGGCCATTAGAAACACAGCCGACGATCGGTCCACTCGAGCACAGCTCCATCATCATGACACACGGCAGCAGTATACACAGGCACAGACACACGCTTCTAACTAGTATTGGCTGCTGACTCGGTCTATAGGTTGGGCCAAGCTCCCCAATCTCGTACCACGTTCACTTATCTTCGAGCGCCCAAGATAGGCGGCCGACAACGGGCGGGGGACTATACTCTTCACCCTCCTCAAGCCCGAGATATCTCCAACACCTTGTGGCTCTCAACCAATCTGGTCAACTGAATAGTCGCGGATGGTTATACTATTTATTTATCGTCTTTGTGGCCTGACCGTGTGGCCTTACGTTCGGCCGAGAACGGTGGTGGTGAGGAGACTGATAGGGCAGTCCCCCCTCAAGCGTAAACCTAGCTAGTATATCACCATCGTCATTCCTCGATCTTGACCTTTGAATCTCGCGTGATTCACGTCTATACTGACATCAGTCCTATTGATACTCTGCTGTCTTGATTGGCAACGACATATTGTACTGTGAGGTTGAGAACAGTGCTTACTTAAACATGGAGAGCACGCTATCACGCGCATCCAAGCGCGTTGAGCAGGCGTCTCGCGCATTCAACGAAGCAACTCACCGCTGTGCGTCGATGGTCAAGACAGCATGGAGCGATGCATCAACGGGCGGACATCATAAGCAGTCCGCGTCTGTCTTGATCCTCCTCCTGCTCCTGGTCGGTAGTGCAACAGCATACGTTGTTCGCAGACGAAAGCTTAACCACCACGCTGCACGTCCACCAACGCCCACGACACCAGGCCTCGAGAAAGCTCTGAAATCCCAGGCGCGCGAGCCTGGCAAGTGGACGCCATCCGACTTCCAGATGCCCAAGCCGGAGCCCTACCCAGACTGGTCCATCGAGAACACCAAGCCGCTTCCCTACCGGCCATTTCGGTACGGTCCCAAGTACAACGTCACGATGGGTCTCCGATCCGTCAAGCACGCCGACTGGATCGAGCTCGACAACCACTACCCGCGCTTCCACGCGGACAAAGCGCGGCGGATCGAGGAGCGCGGACCCAAGTGCTGTGCGACGGCACCCGAAGCCTACCCCGCCGCCGTCGAGCTGCTGGAAGAGCTCACAGACTACCTGCCGGCGCGCTACCCCTCGCTGTACAAACGAACGGACGTGGGACTGGACAACCTCTGGTCGGGCGAGAGCTTCGACATCGTCAGCCGGCCGCTGCCTGAGGACCCGATGCAGATGTGCGCGCGCCTAGTGCAAGACGACCTCGCCATCATGATCGAGAAGCCCGACGGGCAGTACTACCTCCTAGCGGGCGCGGTGTTGCTGGCGGGCTTCTGGCGCTTGCAGGACAAGTACGGGATGCCATTATCAGAAATCCACACGTCCGGCGACGTGCCGCAATACAAGGAGAAGCTGGAGCGGGGCATGCTGAACTTCTTCCGCCGCCTCAAGCCGGAGGAGATGGTGGCGCGGAACAACTACTTCATGCAGGTCGACGACGACCTCGCGTGGTCGTGGAGCATCGGGCCCGAGGACGCCGAGGGGGAAATCGCGGGCTGGAACACAGCCGAGAAGAACCGCGCCGTCGACCACCACTACTTCCGCTCCGAGAGGCAGACGCTGCGGCGCCTGCCGAAGAGTGGCGGGGTCGTGTTTACGATTCGCACGTACTTCCACCCTGTCAAGGATGTTGCTGAGGAGGACTACGTGCCGGGCAGGCTGGCGAGCGCGGTGAGGAGCTGGGGCGACGATGTGAGTCGGTACAAGGGGAAGGAGCGGTATGGGGATGTCTTGTTGGAGTTTCTGGATAAGAAGCACGAGGAGCAGGTGGCGCGGGGATTGGATCTCAGTCGCGAAGACGAGGTCCGGGCCTACCCATATTGATAGCACCAGTAGCTAAAATTTGAACGATTGATCTGTCTTAAGTCAATTTCGAATCTTGAATGGGCAGTGACTGAGTGTGACGGGTGAATAGGTAAAGCTGGAGAGTTCCTTAAAGCAAACCTGTGGACATTGCGTATCCACACCGTTTCCAGTTCAAATATATAAATGAGTAAGACGCGAAATATTCACCATTCGGATCGGTAGCTCAGTGGTAGAGCGTGGGATTGCAGTTACTCCTCACTACTATCCTAAGGTCACGCGTTCGATCCGCGTTCGGTCCTTCCGATTGACTTTTGGTCTTCTCCATACCCATCACGGCAGGTGAACGCTTTTGTTTCTTCAATTTTTGTAGAGAGTGACAACCTCCTATTGACTGACAGCCAAGACGTGGTGAAGCAGAAGTCGGCAGTAATTATGTAGCAAACCGTATGTGTAGTATAGTAATTCAATAGTATGCATCAGTCGAAGCAAGATAATGACACCTTATCGGAACAATGCGACTCAACTTCCAAGGTCCTGCTGGACAGCTTACCTGTTTGTACTTGACCACTTGATGCAGCTCTCAAGTACCTACACAACATTCCGTCTGCAGAGCACCTGAACTCGACAAAACAATGCGATTGATGTCTATACCTTGACCGCGACCCGAACCTCGTCCGCTATGGAAACAGCACAGCCGTCGCCAGGCTCTCTGAGCTGGCGCCTCAGCTCCCACCCGATAACCCTCTTGACCTTCCTCGCCTTCCGCGTCTGTAAGTCGATCAGCAACTCGTCCAGTCCCAGTTCCACTTCCAGTCGCAAGCATCGCGCACGCGACAGCGACCCTATCTACCTCGTCACCCATCCACTACCACGATCGATCAAGCAGTGTCACGCTAACTATCCCACCCTCTCCCCCTCCAGCCTCCCTCCTCGTCTACCTCTTCGGCGTAATCTTCACGGACAACATGGTGATGATCTTCATCATCACGATGCTGCTACTAGCAGCCGACTTCTACTACCTGAAGAACATCGCGGGGCGGCGGCTGGTCGGGCTGCGGTGGTGGAACGAGGTCGACCCGTCGTCGGGCGACAGCCAGTGGGTCTTCGAGAGCAGCGAGCCCGGAACCAAGACCGTCAACCCGACCGACAGCCGCTTCTTCTGGCTGGCCATGTACTCGCAGCCCGTGCTGTGGGTCGCCCTGGCCGTGCTGGCCGTCGTGCGTTTGAAGCTTATGTGGCTGCCGCTTGTTGGTGAGTTTCCTCCTGTCCTTTTTATTTGGGGTGGTGGTGTTTGGCGGGGGAGGGACTCCTTTCTTGATGGGGGCGGATTGGGTTGCGGATTTGGCGCGGTGATGAGGAGGGAGCAAGGGGCGATGCTGCGAGACGGAGGCTGACATGAGAGTTCGACAGTGATCGCTATTACCCTCACCATAACGAACAGCCTCGCCTTCTCGCGCTGCGACAAGTTCAGCCAAGCGTCCAACATCGCGGGCAGCGCATTGTACTCGGGTGGCCTCGCCGGCAACATCGCGAGTAACATGATGGGGCGCCTATTCACATTCGGTCGGGGTTGAGATGGGTCGCGTATCCTTCGAGCGGTGACGACGAGCGTATGGCTGGTTGGGACATACTCTGGGGAACGAGAAGAGCTTCAGGAGGTTGTGTCCAAGGCCGCAAGACGTGGTATGGAAAAACAAACGTGTTTGAGATGACAAGAGAGGATGGATTACATCGGACAATATCATCACGGGTTACCACAAGTACGGCGTTTGATATCAGCAATCCTCCAACTCCCACTTCCGGGTTCCTGGGCAGTTCGCAGTTGTATAAAGGACGCTGTGTACGATATAGGTTACAGTGAATGATATCCCAGTTTACGCGCAGTGATGTAGCATCTGGTTTCGACTCGCGTACATTCCCGCTGCTTGTGACGTTAGGCTGATCAACAGATATCCTCTGAACGTCGCGACAGCCAAGGCTTTCCGAAGTTAGGTTGTGTCGACGATGCAGCGAAACCATTTAATTAGACTAGGTACCCAGCAATCGAGCGCACATATGGGACGTTGCCATACCGTCAGTCCTCGTTCGTGACAGGTCAGCAACGTCCGCCGAGGAATATACCATCGAAGAGATATGAAGTGGTGTGAAAAAGCACCAGCAGGACATCCATCGTCTTCGCAAAGCTCAGCAAGACGAGTAAGTAGTTAGACATACAGACCAGATCAACACTTGCATCTTACGTTAAGTGCTATAGGCCTATTATGTATACACTCGGCGAATGCAACTACAAATTCCATTAGACAGCATGCATCAACAACATACTTCTTGACATCGATATCACATGAGCTAGCTAGGTGAGGTATATAAACTAAAAATGCAAGCCCAATCCCCACCAACCAACCCCATCATCACATTCACATTCACAACATGCATCTCATCAGCAGCCTTCCATCACCCACCACTCTGTCCGGCTCTGCCCTGACTGACTCTGCTCATATCACCTCACCGGGTCCCGCGACTGCTGTACCGCCCCGCGTCCTCGATCGCCGCGTCCAGGTGCCGCTCCTCGGCCTCGAGCTGCCGGATCTCGTCCTCGGTCATGCCCTCCTCGACGAGGTGCGCGTAGCGCGAGTTTAAGCGCGAGTCTAAGCGCGAGTTTCCGGGTGGCGTGGGCGACTGCGGGCTTGTCACAGATCCGGTCCCAGACCCGATCCCAACTCCGATCCCAACTCCGCTCCCAACACCGCTATCGTGCCTGTTCATCATCGACGGATCCGCCGTGCTCTCTCTATGAGTCGCCGCGACAGCGGTGCCCGGCAGCGCTACCGCCGCCGGGGGCGTAGGCACGCGATCCGAGTACGGCGTCGCGTAGGCGTCATGGTCGAGATCGAGCGCCAGACTCGGCCTTCCGCCCGGAGTACTCGCAACATGCCCGTCGAGCGTGATGCCGCGCCCACTGGCGCCGTCGTCGGCGCCGCCGTACGTCGAGTGCGTCGTCGACTCCGACGTGATTTCCTTGCCGAACATCATGGCACGCGAGCCCGAGTCCGTCGCGAAGCCGGCCTTGTTGCGGTGGTTCCTACCGCGCCGTCGCCGCCGGAAGCAGAAGAACCAGGGCAGGACGCCGCCGAGGAGCGCCAGGCCGGCCAACGTGCAGCCCACGGCTATGCCGGCAATGGCACCGTCTGAGAGTCCGCCGCCACCACTGCTGCTGCTGCTGCTCGAAGAGTCCTCGACGCCCTGCTGATTTCCAGAGGCTTCGGAGGTCGGCGTCGATGTGGCGGCTCCCGTGCTCGGGGCCGTCGTTGGGTTTGAGTCGTCGGCCGAGCCCGTGATGCTCTCTGGTTTTGCCGGTTCTCCGTCCATCTTGCCCGTCTCCTGCAGTGCCTGCAGTGCACCCGCATCCCCGTCGTAGGTGCTGTATATTGCTAGTACCGGACTAAAGCTGCTGCCACTCGATGTCGAGTTCTCCCACTGAAACTCGAGATACAGAGCCTCGTTGATGTGCTTCTCATAGATGTCCTTCTGCGTGGTAAATGCTAGTATGACGCTATCGTTTCCCGCTGTCGATGCTGGTCAGCTGTGTGGCCATAATACTACGAGGAATTATGGCTTACTCGCTAATGGGAGAGGAGGCAGCAAGCTTCTGTCGTCCAGATCATCATCCCGCTTATCCAGACTCGCGTTGGTGCTCGGCGTGGTTGCTGTCGTGAACTCGGCTCTCGCAATAACCTCATCGCCACGAAATTTGACCAGGTTGACAGCAGTAACTGTCAATTCGCTGATCCCGTCGCCCTTCACAAACTGTAGCGTCCGGTTCCCCGAATCTTCCGGAAACACGGCCGGAGTCGGAAGTGCCGACGCCAGGGAAACAATAGAATTTGAAGACGCCGAGGCCGTTGTCACCGTTGCTGTGTCATCGTCGTCCGTCTCTTCCCCCTGTGCGGGTGGTCTCGTGGGATAATCTGCTACTGCCAGTCCCAACAAGCAGGTCAGGAGCCCGAATAGCGAGACATCGAGCCTCATCGTCGTGTGGTCCTAGCCAGACCGGTGTCCCTCGTCGCGCGTCGTCGGCCTGACTCCAAGTAGCCCAAGGAATATCCAGTCCTCAACGCCTGCATGCCCACGGCACTGGGCCCGATGTTACGAGTTGCGCACGGGTTCGATACGTCCGTGATGTTGGGTATACGGCCTTTGACGTTGCATGAGGCGATAAGGCAAAATATTATTAATCGAACGCGCCAGGCAGCCGAGTACAGAGAATACAGAGAACAGGACAGTGGGTGAATGTGGGAATCGTGGGAGAAAGTGAAGGAGCCAGAGGAAGGGAAAGATGTCAGTGTAAGGGCAGGGGTGGGCTGGGCTGGGCATAATTCCGCACCGTCAGCTTCAGCTTCGCCTGCAAGGATCTGGACGAGTGAAGCCGCTGGACGAGTGATCTGATTGTCACAGACTCACAAGTCAGCAAGCCACGGGCTCCAGCCTGCGCCTGTATCTTGTCTCTACACGATGAATGGTTCCATCTCGTTGGCCAATCCGCTGCCATGCCGGCAAGATCATCGCCCCGGTCATCCCATGAATAGTTTATTCGGGGTCCCTTCACTTGTTGGCTTCACTGGGCCCCGGTGCGGAATTGGTCACTGTCCAATAATGTGTCCAGCTCCATGGCCAACTACGCCGCACGCCGCCATCATCCATGAGCTATCACGTTCATTTGGTCGAGAGGGTGGCCTGGGCTGCCTGGCCGAAAAGCGACCGTTAGCGGTTCCAAGCTGGTGTACCGTGTGCGTCCTGTGCCGTCCTCGCGCGCGCGAACGGCTCTGGTCGACAGTCGCTCACGACTAACCCCGCGCACGGATCAATCGGGTTAAAGATAGATACGATGCCATGGTGTTACATGAAGATATGCAGGCCGGTTATCCCTGGGGTAGCCTGGTAGGTGGGTACGGTCAGAAGGGTGGTGGACTTGCGCGGTTTCACGTTCCAATGTAGTAACATGCCAGCTCAACGCATATTAAGTCCCCAGTAGTAAAGCGACTGTGTGATAACAGATCGGTCAATTGCCGGTGCTGCAATACTACCGGGCTTAACGAACGGTGCAGTATTCTGCATTCGACCACTTCGACCGCAGTCAGCAAATGCCGTTATGCTAGGTATGACCGAGTGAGACGGTGAGACGGTGAGACGGTGAGAGGCGGAATTTGCACCGCCTTCATGATATGATCATTGATGGTTGGGCCTCGCAATGCTGACTGTTGACTGTCACTCTCGAGTCGTGCTGAGTCGTGCTCGGGCTTCTGGACAGGGAGGTACGTAACGTGAAGGGGTGCTCGATCCTTCAGGCTGGATCACCCACTTTTGAGAGAGAGTGACAGAGATCCGTCGGGTGCCGGTGATTTGAGGCGTGGGCCCCGAGAATCCTGGGGAAGGATTCAAAATTGAAATGGGGACGTCTGACGGAGACTAAAACAAAAGGTGGTGGGACGGGAGAGGATAAGAAGGTGTTCGGGATCAAGGCGAACTTTCGCCCAGGCCTGGAGTACAGTACGACTAAAAGAGGAGTACCGTATATCAGTCTATGAACGTAATGTTGATTTGTTCAATGTTCCATCGTCCCGTCGCATCCATCCGAACAGGTGTGAAACCGGCGATGGAGGAGACTGGAGACGAGAAGTCGCAGGTGGGTGGACTCAGGACTGTGGATGTGATAAGATGGGCTGAGCTGTGTAAGACTGTGCGAGGTAAAAAAGGTAAAAAATAGCAACAGGGGCTGACCCCATCCCTGGCCTGCCTGACCCGGTGCAGCCCCGCCCCTCCCCCCTATTACATGTACCAAGGTACCCGACATGGGGATTCTGCCCACCTGCACTCGTCTCGGCCCCCATCATGATGAGTCCTGCCTGCCCCGTGCCTGCGAAGGTGCGACCTAACATCCTTCCTTTATGCCTTCAAGTTGCTGTCTGCCAGCGGTCGGTCCCGTGATTACTCAGGTCGCTTTGGGCTGATGCCCGACTTGTGCATATCGTACATGTAGTCGAGGACTACCTAGGAGTAATCATGTTTGACCCGTTGAAATCGGGCTGCAAGGAGTAATCTTGCCTCATCCACCAGTCAATTGCAGCTGCTTGCCGTGAAAAGGTCATCACTGATCAGCTGATAATCAGCACAACCGATCAAAGACCTTGTCCGAATCCATGAAACATCTAACCCACGATTGAAACACCGTCTCTCTTCCCTCGATCGACATCGAGACAGTCGTGTGTGTTGGTTAGTTATCCAACACCGAGTGAAGATCCGGGCGGTTATCAGGTGATCACCAAGCGGTTACCAGTTCTCAGCCGGCGCATAGTCAGCACACCCACGCTCAGCGGCTCTGATGTGTGCTGCGATGCAGATAGCAGCGAGCGAACAAGCCGTCATCATTCCAGCTCATCTCATCTCGTCTCTTTCTACAGACGGACGAAGGGTGACAGGCGGCAAGGTACGGCCAAAGCTGCGACCTGCGATGGTACGATTGATCGTCTGATAGGAACTGGTCGCAACAGGTACGAAACGGGCTGCATGCTGCATGGCGTAGCGGCATACAGTAAGAACTGTCTTGCGTTCTCACTGACGACCGCATACTACTCTGAGATGACATAAACATACTCACGATTGACGCCGGCTGGGGCGAGGTAGTACTGTCAAGTACCATCCGACCCCCCGAACCGGCACACCCCCCCAACCGGCACAGCCAAACCCCACAATCACCACCAAAAGTCCCCTTACTCACTTACACGGATTACAGCCCTTTTTGAGGGTATCTAGACTTTCTTTAGATGGTTAGATAGCCCTTTTCTTGGTGTTTAGCGGAATGTAGATTATTTAATTGCTGGGCCATCGGCATCGGCATTTAGCAGCCTCCGTGCCCCGCCCTTAAATGCAAATTTGCTGTAGAATTCTCTCTGTGAGCCCCTGTCCCTCATGCACCACAGCATCCTGAAGCCAGCCACGATGCCTCCGCCCACGTATACAGAGGATGATGTGGTGGATGCCTACCTAGACGTCACAGATAATGGCATATCCGTGAGAAAATCCAGCCAAAAATACGGCGTCCCGGCCAGCACGCTGTCAGCACGCATAAGGGGGAGAGGGACTAAAACGGAGGCTCACACCACCGAGCAGAGAATTTCTCCCGAGCAAGAAAGCAAGGTAGCAGCCTGGATATTGCGCCAGGAGACTTTGGGGCTTGCCCCTTCTCACTCAGCCGTCAGGGAAATTGTGGTAGAACTCCTAAAAAGAAAGGGGGATTTCGCACCACTTGGGAACCACTATATGGACAGCTTTAAACGACACAACCCTACCATTCAGACTAAAATCGGCAAGCGAATGGAATCCGCTCAGTTTAAGGGGTTTACCCCTAAGTCTGTGAACTGGTTCTTTAACATCTTGGAGGACTACGGCTGGGTGAAGCCAGAAAATACGTACAATGTCGATAAGGGCGGCATCATGTCGGGTTTTGGTAACTCTTTCAAGCCCCCTACCCTCACAGTCAACTAACTACCCTTATAGGCATCGATTCCCTAGTTCTGGGAAGTTCTGAGACGAGGAAAGCTTTCCTAAAGAGCCCCCAGGGCCGCTCGTGGACATCTTTCATCGAGACCATTTCAGCTACCGGTAGAGTACTCAAACCAGGCTTGATTTTCAAGGGAAAAGATCTTCAAGCGCAGTGGTTCCTCGAGGAATTCCAGAAGATAGCCGACTGGTACTATATAACGTCAGAAAACGGCTGGACCAGTAACGATATCGCCTGCCAGTGGCTTGAGCACGTTTTCATACCACAAGTAGATGAAATTCGTGGCCAGGAGCAGTGGGAACCAGTCCTTTTGATCCTAGATGGCCATGGTAGCCATACCTCCGTACGTACACCAATTTTTTCTATTTTATTTACTGGTTATTTAATTTATTCCGATTTAAACAGCAACTGACTGTAGAAAGGACGAATTTATGATGCGGTGTTATTTTGCCAACATCTTGCTATGCTTTTTCCCAGCACATACCAGCCATGGAATGCAACCACTGGATAACGGCCCCTATAACGCCCTCAAGTCCTATTACCAGAGATTCCTTACCCAGTTAAATTCTCTGACTGATTCCTCTCCTGTTAACAAGATCAACTTTATCCGCTGTTATAGCAAGGCAAGGGACATGGCGTTTACGCCAAAAAACATCCGCTCGGGCTTCCGAGTAACGGGGTGCTACCCAATTAGCCGCAAAAAGTGTCTAGACTATCCAGAAATCCAAGAAGACAAGCGGAAGACCCACGAGCCGGAAGAACAGGAAGACTCGGAGCCGGAGGACCAACAGACCCCTACCACGAGCCGGCAAATCCGGGATTTCGGGAAGAACCGATCCCCAGCCACTCGGCTGAAGTTCCGGAAGATCTCCCATGCCTTTGAGAACCAGGAGACGGAGCTGGCCATAAAAGACCAGAAGATCAGGGCCCTGGAGGCTGAACTGGAGCGGCTACGGCCCAAGAAGAGGAAGAAGATACTAAATCCCAACAAAAAGTTCATGACAATGATAGAAATACTAGCCCAGGGTGGTAATCCGTTAGTTCCGGTTGCTGTAGAGTCTTCTTCTTCTTCTTCAGAGTCGGAGGTTGTTGAAGACGGGGTGGAGGAGGACGAGGAGGTTGCGGACGCTGAGGAGGCTGTAGAAGCCCCTGTTGCAGAAGCCCAGATGACTAGATCTGGGCGGTCAATCCGGGCGCCGGCTAGATACGTCGATTGAGCAGCCAAAACACCACAGAATGATAATTTTGCTGATTTTTTCGACCCTATACAGCCTCAAATGCGTGTAAGTGAGTAGGGGGGTCTTTTGGTGGTGGTGGCGGGGTTTGGCTGTGCCGGTAGTGGGGGTGTGCCGGTTCGGGGGGTCGGATGGTATGTCATGCAGCTCTTGATCCGGTCTAGAGGCATCGCGAGCCACTTCTCAAGCGCCGTCAGATAGCCATAACCATAACCATGGGCTGCCGTTAGCATTAAGCTCGGCACTTTACAACCTCCATCCCGGCCGCCCAACACCGAAAAGGATCTATATACACAGCGAAGATCGCGAAGTGGGAGCGTCTGCTAGTCGACACCCCATTCCGTGATTGGTCCCCGCGGTGGCAGGATTCGAGAGGATCACGAGATCCCAGATACGTGATGACCCCCCAGCTCCCACACCGATACCAGTGAATAGTAATCCAGCCTTCAACTAGTCCCGAGGGCCGGTTGGGGAAGATCATGGTCACGAGAACGCAGAAGGGGCGATCTACCGAATTTCTGATTGATTTTCAAATTTCGTACTGGCTGTACTGACGCGATCTACATCAATGGCGAGGCATGCGTGTCCATCATCCATCGCTCCGAACGCGATACAACACAACGCAATGCACCGCGACGCGACGGGTGGCAGGAGTGTGATCTCCATGACGACGAGCTGCAGGGAAGAGGCTTTGACGTGGCACACACACCTCACACCTCACATCGCTGCGAGGAATCACGACCTTGCAGAACCCGTCCGCGTTCCCGGCGAGCGATCCAACACCAGACTGGCTGATATCAAAACCACCCCCTGATAGCCGTCCTCCACCAACACTACTCGATCCCACCAAGCTACCGAAGGATACAGAGTTTATGGAGACGTACAACAGGAAGTGGGAGATTCCACAGTAGTTGCCTACTTGCCGTCATCCACCAATGCCTCTCGATCCCATCAAGACAGCAAAGGATACAGATTCTATCGAGACCATTCCCATAGTACAGCAGGAAGTGGAATACTCCATAATATAGCAGTTGCCTCCCTGCCGCCCTCCATCAACGCTACGCGATGCCACCACCAATATATCGCCAATATATATCGCAGGATGCAGACCCGTGTTCCGACCCATAAGGTCCCATCCCACGCCTGCACCACTACTAGGACGCGTGATATTCAATATCGGCGGCCTCCATGACGCCTTCCTTCCTTCGTTCCTTCCCCCCCCCCCCACCCCGGGTGCTTTACATGATGCGGTAGGATCCGGTCGGCACCGAGACCGAGACCTGGTGATGGTCCATGGACACCGCGATCCTATGGGAGGAGGGACTGGTGTTTCGTCTTGCTATCTCTTAAATGGAGTGGGTTGTAGTTGACACTAGAGATCGACGGTACCAAGAGCAATACCAAGACTGATTGCCTTCAGCAGATACGATGATCGTCATACAGTCTACAGCCCTGCTATACAGCCAGCCCAACGTTACTAATCTCGTACAAGAGACCGCTGGTTGCGTGATCCATTCCGAACGAGTGAAAAGCAGGCAGTAACTCCCATCAATGTGCATACGAATCCGCACCGGACGGTCATGACAGCGCTGGACCACCATGCATGCATCTTATTAACAGTAATGTATCCACTTCCGGCCAAGAAATGACCATCTTCCAGTCCCAAAATTACATGCCCTCAACTGAGGAACCCCCTTATGCAAAGGTCATGGAGATCTCCTTCTCCTTCCCAAAGTCCTCGTCGTCGTCTGCCCAGGGGTCGTGAAGGGCCAGATTCGGCGTAGTCTGCGAGGACTTCAGGTCAGGTCGCTCGGCTGGCGGATGAGTATAGTCCTTCCTGGGTGGAGATGGTGGCTCCGACTCCCTAAATGAAGTATCGAAGGTCATCTGGATTTCGTCGTCTGCAGGCCGCGGCGGAGCATAGTCGAAGCCTCGCGAGGGCAGTGTAGGGGTTCTGTCTTGTGATATTCTGTTCTCAAATGAGGTTGACCGCCAGTTGGATGCGCCATCGTCGCTCTTTGTTTCGCGTAGGTAGTCCCTCGGGTTAGAGGCAGCCGATGGTGACAAGTCGAGCTTCATTGGTGGCAAGGTCGATGTCAGTTCTTTGGGTTGGAGCTCATCGTCCTTAGCCAGCTCGTGCCGAATGGCATCGACATCGAACAAAACGCCGTGGTTATTACCGAGTTTGTCTTCTGTTTTGGACGAACCGGCCGCGCCCTTATTGTCCTCATACACCTCCCACTCCTGTTTATCGCCCTTCTTCTTACGACCGAATATACCCCACCCGCCTTTCTTCGGCTTGCCTTCCTTTTCTAACTCTTTCCGAGCTTCTTCGATCTCATTGATGAGTTCTCTTTGGCGTTCCTCGTGTTTCTCGGGGTCGGGATCCTCGATCTCACCGAACTCGTCACTCTCAACAAGCCATCCACACTCCCTAAGAAGGCGAGGCATGGCTGTTCGGTACTGCATGTGGCCCGCAACGGATTCCGTGCAGTTAATATTCTCAACGCCGGGTATTCCATCCACGGTCGCCAAGCCAGCTACACGGCGGATCCCACCGTTGGTGAGGCGGAACAGGTAACCCAGAATCCAGTCAGTGTTGTTGTACCCGTTCACAAACCGGCCGGCCACCACAGTTCGTGCCTTGAGAAATTCATCCTGCTTGACTACGATGGGGGTGCCGAACATGTAGACATTCTGGACTAGACCATAGGCGCCCTTTCGGGCGAGCTCCAGGAGACAGGCGAAGATGACTCGCGCACCCAGGGAGTAGCCGACTAGAGTGATAGGGCGGGTGCCTAGATTCCTATCGATCAACGAATCTGCTAGGATCAGACCGGCGGACCAGGCTCGGTCCAGCGACACTGCCCAAGGATTGTCGATCAAGTAGGACAGTTTTGATAACACGACAGGCAACTGAAGGGCGGCCATGAGACCGATCAGGATGGTGCTGCCTAGCACTTGTTGGAGACCTTGCGTGAGAGCCTAGTCTGGTCAGTTCGCCAGTCCAAGTCTAGTGACGCACTCGGGTACGCCTGTGCTCACCTCTGTTGCTAGAATGTTGATGGTGTCACCCATACTGGTCAACATCTCCGGCTCCCACAGAATAGAATAGAGATCTCCCATGACAGGATCGACAGTGCTGTATGGTAACCGTACATCGTCGGCCGTGCTGGTCATCCATCCAGCAATGGTGACAATCAGGTTGACACGCTTATTGTTGTGAAGCGGTCGGTACTCGAACGTCCTCACAGCCCCGGTTCTACGTCCGGCTGCTTTGCCACCCATGAAACTGCCCGACGCTGCAGCACCTGATGTGATGACGGCTGCTCCGCCGGCTCCTGCCAGGAAGGAACTTGTACCTCCGACTCCAATAGTCGTGAAGCCCGCTGCGAGACCCGCCCCAATCAAAGGTGCCAGCAGACCAGCCGAGAGACCGATGACTAGACCTCCTCCGACTGTCGCCAAGCCCATCATGACATAGCGTCTCTTGAGAGCGAGTTTCCTTCTGTGTTCGAGGTGCTCTTCCTCATTCCAGTTCTCTTTCTCGGCCTCTTGTTGCATCTCCAAGGCATCGGTCACCCGCTTCTCAAACCGACAGATGTCCATCCAAGGCACTTCCAAGTCTTTGCCGACTCTTTCTAATAGGACTCTCGAACGCGCGTCGTATATACCATCCGCAATGAGCACAAGAAACAGATCGCAAAGAACAGTCCACCGTAGATCTATATCGATCTTGGCCGTACTGGGCAGCTGCGACGGTGTCCTCACTTCGGGCATGTCCTCTCCCTCATGGGTCTCATAAGGGGGTGGCGGTTGTGCAGCAGGTTCCTCTCTGTAATTTGGTGAAACAGATAGCCGCGGGCTGCTTGTGCTAGGTAGTCTCGGCGTCGAAGCCGGGGTTGCTTCGGCCATTGGGTTCTTCACCGTCGCATTCTGCATGAGCGTGGGTGTAAGGTCCTGGGGCATGACGCCGTGTGCAGCTAGCTGTTCGATCATGATCTGCTCCTCGGGGCTGATCTCCATATGGGCGTATAATCGGATCATGATCTTCTGCGACCACATCTTCATTGCCTCGGTAGCCATTTGGATGAGCTTATTCGCCCTCTTCCCCCCTACAGCACTCTCGGATAACTTGATCATCTCGGCCATCTCCAAACGAGCAATGCCAACATAGGCTATCCTTTGGCCCTCGGTCAATAGGTCTTTGGTGGCCTGTAGTTGTGATACTGCATCTCGCTGTTCCTCGTCCATCTCCCCCATGCTTGTAGACTTGCCGTGCCCAAAGAGGTACCGCGTATTATCGTCCATGCTCGTTTCCGATTCGGCATCCTCGTCGTCCAATACACGAGTGTAACCCTTGCCCGCGCCACCAAGTCCTGCATAACCATACGTATCATCTTCATCAGCACTGTGCTCTTTCGCTATGAGCTTGTTGTCGTCGTCGTATATATCGTAAGGCGCATAAGCAGGCATAGTCTGCCATTCATCGTCTGCGTCGCCTTTCTTCTCCTCTTGAGGTGCAGTCAGAGCCTGATGGGAGAATTCGGACATGTCATGATCAGTGCTTGCTTTGCTGACGTCGCGACTGTGATCCACCCGAGGCGCATTCTTTGCTTCTTCAGCATGTTTGCTGGCTTCCACTTGCGTGATTGTCGGCCCTGAGATTGCTTGAGCATCCTTGTCGAGGGTGTTCTTGCGTTTGCTTATCTTAGGTGCGATTGGGTTCATGTTAGACGGCGGAGTGTCATTGGGGTCTTCGTTTGGCGAGGTTCCTTCCTTCTTGCTCTCGACCTGGGGAGGTAGTGGTGTTTGAGGAGGTTCTTGTATATCTTTCGGAGCGTTCTCGTGAGTAGACTGCTGTGGTCTTGGGGTTGTGGGAGCGTCTTGAAAGTCGTCGGTATCGCTGTTACAGGCAGAGCTGCCATCTGCTCTGGTGTCATGATTTGGTGGTTTCAATGCTGCATCGGTCGCCTTACTTCCCACCTCTTGCTGCGCCTCCCCAGGAGTTGATGCACTCGGTTCCCTGGACGTCTCTGCTACCTTGTTCGGTGCAGAAGGCGGGTCATTCGGAGCAGCATCAAGGGGACTCTTGCTGCCGGCATGCTGAGAGCCCTCGTCGGGACTCACGTACTTCCTGATGGGCAGGCCGAAGTCGTCAAATACCTGCGCTCCTGCGGCCGCCATGAGGGTGTCTGCTTTCTGCACATGTGGATGTTTGAAGCTGGTGGTGGTGTTGTGGTCGGACGACGTTGACGACGGTTGAGTTGTCGCGGTGTGTTCTGGGGGAGGGTCGTCAGATTCGAGCATCGTTCACCAAGGACCGGGAGTGATGCTGCCAATAATTCCGACACTCCCCACCACGAGTCTGGCGAGAGCGGAGGCACAAATTGCCCTAGCAGTTTAGGGGGTACAGCACGTAGTAGCACGTGCCAACGGAAGGAACCTCAAGTCAGGGGCCTGCACCTGCAACCAACTAAAACACAACCTCCCGCAAAAGAGCTGCACTCCTGATCACATTGCGACTCGATGAATGAATGGAGAACAATTCGACAAAGAACCCAAAGAATGATCACGAGCCCAGCTAGCAGTGTGATCGGGTCAATTTGCAGCTACATTGTCTGGCGGCCTGACCACATCACCAAGCACCTGCAGTGACGGCCGCGCACGCCCTGCAGTAACTACAGTCAGGCTAGTCCGGCGTACTTATATACATACGGTACAATGGGAAGACTGGCCGCACCCACGCTCAGAGTGGAGGAAATATGACACTGCTAACCTTTCCATCTAATCACAACAACTGGCGGGGTTTATTTTCGAAGTGGTGAAGTAGAAGCTAAAGCCAAGGATAACGTCCAGCGTGCATCTCAAACTATCACGCTCAACCTACACATGTCAGCCTTTGCCAACTTGAATTCATAAGATGAAAACAGAGAAGGCAACACTCCTTAATACGATCAAGCGGCTGATTTATGCACTTGTGCCTATGGTCGGCGCAGTCTCGGAAACATGGCATGCAGCGAGATGGAGAGCCTGACCTTGTGGCAAGTCATTTGATACCCAGGCTTCAAGACCAACTCAGGTAGAGTTCAAGTACAACAACACTTTCTGTCTCGAGCTCCGTGTGATTGCAGATTGGGCGAGTGGCAATCATGTCCTGCTGAACAGGTCCAGGGCGAATCAAACCTGATCTGAGCGCCCTTTATGAGAAAAGAGATCGAAACCAGCTTCAGGTTGTGTCCGAATTGCAGCTGTCCCTGCCATAACCTCTCATCCCATTTGATCCGTGCAACATATCGACAACACCGCGCCGATCGTCATGGAAGTCTTGAGCTCCCCGTAATCACAGATATCACGATATCGAACATTCCACATTGGTAAACCTCTTCTCATTACTTCATCGTGGCCAGAAAAGGTCCTATTCTCCGGCTTCCAAACCCTGCGCCCCGGCGCCAGGATCATCTGCAGCCGTTTCCGTGAGCTTGGACTTGTGCTTCCGCCGCCGCTTCCGTGCCGGAGCTTCCCCTGAGCCTGTGTTCTCAGTAACAACATCTTTCTTTGCTCCATCAACTCCCACAGTTGCTATATCGGCCTTCGGTATCTGGGACCCGTCTCCCGATGCTGGCGTGGGGTCGGGCTTCTTCTTTTGGACGGACAGAGGATTAGGTTGCTTGGGACCACTGGTTTTGGTGGTGGTCTTCTTCTTTGTCTCCGTTTTGCCCGCCCTTCCGCCCGCCCTCTTCTGGTCCTTGTCATCCTCATCGTCTGTGTCATCTTCGTCCCTCTTCCGCTTGCCCGCTGGTGCCTTGAGCTCTGCCCTGAACTTCGATTTCTCGTCTCGGGATCTTGCTTTCACGGTTACAGTCGACAGCGGCTCCATTATAACTGGAATGAAGAGTTAGTAACAATGTACTGGGGGAGCGGCATCGCGGGACTCGAGGTTGCTTACGGACTGAGCGCCGGATGTACAGCAACGGGACCCCGGGTATTTGCCTTAAAGAGGCTCGAGCTTCGTCGTCGTTCGCTGCAACGCAGTACCTGAACTTATTGTGCCCATTATGATTCACCACATGGTTAAGGCATTCTGTGCCACTAAGAGGTTCCGGGTGCTGGTCGGGGTGGTGTCCGCAAAAGCGCCTTTCGACCTGCTCCTTCGCTAACGTTATCGCAGCACCAACACCTGGCTCCTTATTCCGCGCATAGAGATGGCGCATGCAGCTGTCGAGTCTCGAGTTAGCAAAAGTCCTTTGGCGGTTTGGCATCAACTCGTGTTTTCTGACTCCTCGCGCAGAAAAAACTGTTCCAATTGAAAGGACGGCCTACTCACCATTGTGTGATGAGAAGCTTGACCTCGCCATGGAGTGTATTCTCCAAGGTGCGCAGCAGATCCGATTGCGTGGCAGCCAGTAGGAAATCGGCATCGACGAGGACTTGGTACGGAGTGCGGAAGCCAAAGGTCAACGAGACCTGGTTCATAAGCTTCTTGTACTGCTTCTTTGGGTGTGTTAACGTTCCGATCTTGAACCAGAGGAGACCGGCAGCGCTGCTGGTTGAGAGGGAGATGTGGTTATACATACCGACCGTTTCGCGCGGGGCATCTTGGGCGATCGTATGGTCGGTCGGAGTGGTGGTTTGTGTCTGAAGACGGCGGGTGTAGCAGACCAAAGCAAAGGCAGTCGCGAAAAACAATAATTTCTTGGAGTACAGTCCGATAAGGAATCAAGATCTCTTATCAAGAGCCTTGCAGCAGGTACGTAGGTAGCGAAGTGGGTCCAAGGCGCACCCCGCCATCCCACATGCATTTGATGGGCCGACACCTCGATATGCCCCCCATCTCCAATACCTTACCATCTTCCAGCCTTGCGGTCTATGTTCCCTGGAACGATCCCCAACACCAATGCCAATGCAGTTTCCAAATTCGATACCGTGTTTGGTGTAGACGCTCTATTCGTAGCCCTTGCAACCCGAGTCTCCAGCTTCGTACGCCGCAATCCCCATGACCTATTCGGGATATGCCACTTCCAACGCCTCGTAGGTACCGGAATCAGTCAAGAACAGTAGGCCTAGGATATAATGATCAGCTCAAAGGAGCCAAAACCTGCTTGATACAAGCTGGTCGATATTAGCTGGCCGAGTTTCGTCGACATAATGCGGCAACGACGCTTATGTCGTCGAGTTTTCCTGCATTCGCTGGTGAGCTGATGGCGGCGGCCAGAACCACGTTACGACTGTGACATACCTCCTTCGCTCGCCAACCCCTCCTCGATGGCCCGTTCCATGAACGGGCTCTCCGCGAAAGGATCAGTCGCAATATCCTTGGCCGCATTCATGAGCTCCTCCGCAACGAATGTCATGCCGCCATTCGCACCGTGTTCGCGGTCACCCCCGGCCGAGTCCCCTTCTCCGGCCTCCCAACGCTCGACGCTCTTCGTTACGTTCTCGACGATCTCGTGCTCCCAGAGATTGTCGATGACGCCGTCGGACATGGCAAGGACAATGTCGCCTTCGTGGAGCTCGACCGTGTCCATGACCGCATTCTGAACTGGGGTATCTGGACTGTTCGTTCCTAGTTGTCTCGGACAGTCAAACCAGTGCCATTGCTCTTTTGATCTATATATCATCTTCTGGCCCTTTACACGCACCACGCAAATGGATGAGTCCCCAATGTTTGTCACGTATAGCAGCGGTGTCGCAGGCGACGTCCTGTTGGCCGCGTCACCCTTGTAGAAGAGCTGTGCTCCAGTTGCTGTCGTAGTCCCTTGGCAATCTATTGGGGCGGCGGTGGCCTCGGTTGTGCGCTCGAAGGCTTCTTGAAGATATCGTACGGGATCTGGGCTATAGGGGTGATCCGGCGACCGGACTCTTGTAATGTCTTCTTGCATAGCCGACACCCAGAAGTGTAGTATTAACCTTGACCATAAGCTACCGTGTCACTGTTAGCGACCCAATACCACAGCATAGAGGGGTAGTCGAGTGACATACCCGGCATGACCCCGTGGCCGAGCTGACCATGCGCCTACCCCATCGTTGGCGCATATGAAGTGGTCGCTCGCATATACCGCATCGTCCCCGTTCGTCCACCCGCGAATAAGCTCCCCATCCACGAATGCGCGCTTGTGACGACTCTGGTGGTGCGTGCTCAGAGGGTCGGAGAAAGAGCCGGACGGCGGCGAGTGGAAGGGCGGCGGGAATGGTCTGGGGGCCCGTTTCGCAAACAGCGCAAAGCCGGTCTCGAAGCGGAACGGCAGCTTAGGACATGAGTCGGGCAGGGGCGGCGTGACGTCGCCGGACGCCTCGATAGCCGTGGCGGAGGAGGCGAGGGTTCTACATTGCGCTTGCGGTCGGCGAGGCCATCGTGGAGTTGGGTCGGAAGAGCAGAGGACTCGTCGTCGCGTCGGACCCGGGACGGAGGCCAGCAAGGGCAGAGGTGACCTCCTCATCCCCACAAACCACGAACGAGGTCCCACGAGACACTTGCGCAGAGCCGTTCAATGGCAGGCCTTTCAGTTAAAGACGTTTGAATGAGTTCGAAAAGCAGCCAGGCACGGTTTGCGCAATCACAACTGTGCTGCTCACCTCGAGACGGGCAGTATGAGGCCGCAAAGGGGTTTGATGCGGGATGAAGACGTCGCGCGGACTTCCGATAAGGGTGGCATTTCTTATCGGCCTGAACCTTCCAACTGGACCTCGTCGCGAAGGAGCATCGCTGTGACGTTGTGACGCTGTGACGCTGGCCGCCCGCGTTTAATTGAGTGCAGAGGCCATTTTACACGTGAGGAAGCCACCGGGGAATTTGGGTAGTAGAACGGAACCTTGGTCTTCTGCCGGGATTTATTTGCTTTTTCTCTAGATGACATCACAACCGGGGAATAATCAACTTGGGATCCTTAGCCAAATTCGCCATTTCTTATTATATCCAAGGACACAGTCGAAGGACTGACAAGGCCAAGAAGAGATGTTTTTCTCTGGGAGGCAATCCACTTCCGAGAAGTGTTTACCTTGCCTGCTTGCCCAAGGCATCTCCTTCTCTCGCAGTTGATGCACTTGTTTTGAGTAGCAGGAAAGGGGGATGACGGGTATGTTTATTGCAAACTTGCTTTGCTGGCTGCCGGGCATGCCATGCCGAACTGGCGGATCGTGGCTTGGATGCTAAACGCTTCTAGACCCTACTCTAATAACGATTAGCAACTTGCTAGGAACCTTGGAAGTTATCATGACGTCCGGGGCTGGTCGATCTGGCTGGGCGAGCTGAGGATGTCGACAAGGGGTGAGCGAGGGACTATTAGCATCAGCCGCAGTCTATTACTCTGGCAGTCTGGCATGGGAAATACGGTGAAGATATTCCTCTGCAGTAGTGGATGAATGTTACGAGAAGCCGTGACGATCTGACAGAAACATGAACGCGCGTCCAAAGTCCACTGTGGGTGGCTGAGCGAAACTCGGCGCTTGAGGCGGGAACCCGAATCCGAAGTCGTGCGAGGTTCGGGTGTCGGACGCGGCCGCGACTTGTCGGGACGGCGCAGTGCAGGTGCCATTACCAGGAAATCCCATCCCCGCCAGAATCCCATCCCACATGATCCCGCTGTCTGTCATCTGAACTTTGACGTGGAGATCCCAGCGTCCTGTCTTGTAACTTTGGAAGTTGGTCAACTACAATGTAGTGAATGGCAGCAACTCCGAAGGGCTCTGTCGTTCAGTCCACGGGACATGTTTCATGACTGGCCCAAACCCCAGGGCCGAACCGCCTCAATCATTACTCGTACTGTCGTACGCGCGCTTCCTGAATCCTGAGTGGAAGAAAGTGGAAGACAGGGCGTGCCACCGTGCCACCGTGCCACGACGATGCAGCCTGTCGTCTGACCTCGAGGCTCCAGATGGAGCTTGTCCGTTACATCCGGGAGGGACACGTCTGAACCAATCGCTTGACTTCGGAAGTTTTCCCAGCGTCAGCTTGCAGCATGGTAGCTGATGCTTGCATCTGCTGGCCAGTGAAGTCAGCCGGTCTTTGTCAGGACGAAATGTACAGGCTGGCAATGAGGAATCATGTCCAAATGATAAGCATGTCAGACGCTCTAGTTGACGAGTCTGATCCGACGGGGACAGAACAAAACTGCATGTATGAGGTTGGGTAATAAATATCGCAGGCTGTGGCATCTCGTATTGGACGACGCCCGCCCCATCTGTCGTCAAGAGCTTGTCATCGGTCGACGGGCCATCCGAATGCGTCTGCAGAATGCTGGTCTCACTGATCGCCGTATCCCTGCCATTCCGCAAGCGGTGCTGCAGGAGAGTGGCAGAGTGGTTGGCGGCCGGCTTTCTTTTACGAAGCTGCCAAGAGGTAACCCATCATCAGATTCCATCCATCCATCAGGACGACCACCCAGGTTGTCGACACCGTCAATCCCTACTCACAGTACCAGCAAGGCTAGTCTAAATAACATGTATTGTAATTTCACAAAACCTTCGAGATACGAACGACTACAAGCGACTACACGTTTGAGCGTAACTATCGGTCATCCCGCAGCTCGGCATGTAATAAGTACCTTATCTATCCTAGTACTGTGCAATTATTACCTACATGTATCAAGGTCGATACAATCAATTAAGTGTCGACTACCAACCAACCATCCACTACCATCGCTGGATCCCGCCAGCTGGCCGACGTACTGACGTAGCGTGTCTATCAATATCAACAGTCTACCAGGTATCTTGGCCAGGCAGCCAGGCTGTTGGACTTGAGAGCAAGGTTTAACATTCAGAGCTACCTTACTGTAAGGAGAAGTGATGCATTTGGAAAAGGAAAACCACTCTTTCGGGATCTACCTAGTATCGGTCGCTACTAGGTTATTCATGACACACCACACCTCGCCCAGTCTGCCAGTGCAGGTAACGAAAAACCCTAGAGGTAGGCTACTGTACTGTTAATCTTGACTTCGTACATCTTCAGATTTTACATCACGCGAAAGCCCCAAGGGCCGCTGAGTGTAATAAAGCAGCCTAGAAACGGACAAGTTGATAATTCCAGGTAGCTTGGAAGGTTGGTGTCTTGGGGAAGTTGCATCCATGGACACGGCACCGGGTCTGACAGACAAGCGTGGCCAGGGTCATAACGCGCAGTCCGATGCTTCCGTGACGACACAAATACATACATCCATGCCTTCATGTCGACACCTGACAGTTTCCTCTGTTTCTACTTCGAATTTCACCTTCCTACCCTTAAGGTAATATTCAACCTCTCCGGTCCTGGACCAGCAGGTATTCCACTATACCCACTCAGCACGAAGGCATCTGCAAACAACAGAGACAAATCAGGTATCATCGGCATATCCTCACGACTGTCACTCAGAACTGGGTCTCCTGGGGCGGATACCACCAAGCCAGGTCTACGTCGCAGGTTATCGACTCATAACACCAACCACCATCGAGTTACGGCGGATCCGAGACTGGCACACTGGACCCTTTCCTGAACTGCCTTGCCTGTCAGTGCCTGGCCTGTTCCCTGGCATTCCACCTCCACCAATTCCGGACCGCGTATTGCGTAGTGTGTGAAGGTGGATATTGTGCCTGCCGTGACACCACTGACCACTGACCACTGACCAGTGCCAGAGCCCAGACTCCCAAGACTCCGTGAAGCTACAAAACTCGTTTCTTCTCCCACACCCCCAGAATCTGTTCGTTGTTTCGGGGCTCCCTCGCTCGTTTCGTGCATTCTGCCCATGTTGAGAAACATCACTCTTCTCTTTCCCTCTTCTCTATTTGTTCCGGCTGCGCATCTACTCCTCCGTCCATCTCGACAAATTCCACTGCTACTGCGACAGCAACCCGAAAGTCCGTACGAACCGACCGATCGAGCGAACGACCGATCGAGCGAACGACCGAACGACCGAACGACCGAACGAACGAACCTCTCCGAGAATACTTGTTTGCGGGCTACACTGGCGCCTCGCTGGGCTCAGAGCCCTAATATACTCAAGTAAACTGAGTTCAGCCAAGAACCCGAAAGGCCGCCTCGGTATCACGAGCTGCTGGGTGGTTCACCCAAGTAGGGGTTCAAGATGGGTCGGAATCGAGGTTCGTTCTTCTTTACTATTGCCACGGTGTTTCTGTTTCCCTTGCCTCGAGCCCAGAGACCACAGACACTGTCATACCCTTGAATGTCTATTTCTAGCTTGCCTGGGCAAGCCCATTGCATTCCGTCGCAACACAAGCACAAGCATAAACTACCCACCTGGGCACACCTGAACACCACCACAACCTCCCTTGGGATGTATCGACCTTGCCAACGCCAACACCTCCCAAACCGGCCGCGTGCGATATCAGGGTTGGGTACACACGGGTATGATAGGAACAAAGAGCCTTCACCAACGGCCAGACCACCTTGACCTGGAGGTACTCGTACCAACGCTTGAGGGTTTCGAGCACGACGATCCAGGATACCGTTTCAGGCAAACCTGCTGTCTCCTCTTGGCCAACTGGTGTCTAAACTTGCCCTTAGTTGTGCGCGGTGCAGTGCAGTGCAGTCCAGCACAACGAAGCTGAGCAGAGCTGTGCTGTGTTGGGGTGGTGCTGTTGTGCTGCGCTGCGCTGCCCGTGTGCTTATGTTGCCGGCTTCCGGTCATTCACGAATCTCTTACGAATCATTTCATTCATATGCTCCTGGAGGGCCCTGTTTGTGCATGCATTATGCCGTCAGTGCCGCACGAGTTGCGCCCGACAGAGATAAGGTCCGCGCTACAAGCATTCCAGGGTTGCACACATCAGCTCTTTCTTGGGGGTCCTGTGAGCTGAGCTTTCGCCAGTGGGCTCATCAGTGCCCTTTGGCAGCCCTTTCAGGCGCCCTGTGCCCTGAGTGACCCTGACCGTGATTTCTTGGGAACCCCCTCCAGAATCCCAACAGCGTACCTATCGGCACAACCGTCCTTTTATCCCGGGGGGCCTGTCTCAGTCCCTCCCATCCACCGCCTCGTCGTCATCTCGTCTCGCTCCTCCTGGCTGCCTCACTGCGTGCACCTCGCAATATCGTCCCCCTCCCCGCCAAGCTCCATCACAAGCACAAGCGCAAGTGCGGTGGTGACAATATTCCATAATTCAATAATCCTCGCGTTCACACGTACACTGTGCTAACCAGTCCTTGTTCACTCTCAAAAGTGCTCTCTTTTATGTCACAGTGGTCTGGCTCACATTCACCCATCACTGGCGAACCAACACCTGCCAAAGAATTGCTCACCGAATCTCCCACATCTACGCCGCCTTTAATCGAGCGACCGAGTTCTGGCAACCAGCAGATTCCATTCGCGAACCCCAATTCCAGCGCCACGAAGAGCGACTTTTTTCACCGACGCACCCGTTCCCGTGCAGTGTCAACCCCCATATCAACATCGCCGATACGAATCAACCATGACAGCTCTCCAGTAACTGAGTCTCCCATCTCTGCCGCCGACCACCGCAGAACCCGAAGCCGTAGCAATTCGCGCCCGCTGTCTATGGTCCATACCTACAACCCGCCCCTCATGGACGTCAACCAAGATACCATTCCCGAGCTCCAACCCATCTTCACATTTCTCAACAGCCATGCCAATAAGCTCTACCAGGAGGGCTACTTCCTGAAGCTAGACGATCAAAACACCCGTACGTGACGGGGGAACCTCGGTCAATGATTTGCATTTCTAACCCGCTGCAGAGGGAAAGCCCAACCCCGATCGTACCTGGACAGAATGCTTCGCACAACTTGTCGGGACTGTCTTGTCCCTTTGGGATGCTGCTGAGTTGGACGCTGCAGGCGAAGATGGCGAGGTCTTGCCGAAGTTCATCAACTTGACGGATGCTTCAATTAAGATGGTATGAAACTACCGAACTCGCCGCGACTCTTAGTTGGCACCGCCCTGACTAACACATCCAGATCGAATCGTTGCCGACAAGGTCAAACGATGAGCAGCCGCTACAGAACATCCTCAGTATATCAACAGCAGGGAGGAATCGCTATCTACTACACTTCAACTCCCGCCATTCCCTGATACAATGGACTGCCGGTATCCGACTTGCCATGTTCGAGCATTCGACCCTCCAGGAGGCCTACACTGGTGCGTTGATTGCGGGCAAGGGCAAGGGTTTGAACAACATTGGAGTGATTATGGAAAGGTCACGGATGCCGGTAGACCAGTGGGTTAGAGTCCGATTTGGTGCTGGTGTTCCTTGGAGACGCTGTTGGTGCGTCATCACACCTCCAGATGAGAAGGAGTACCAAAAGATGCAAAAGGAGTTCAAGAAGAAATCCCCATACGACCGCTCGCATCCCCCACTGCTAAAGGGGGACATCAAGTTCTACGACTCGAGAAAGGATGGGAAAAAGCAGAAGAAGATGCAACCAATAGCCACGATCAGTGATGCATATTCGGCATATGCTCTATACCCGCAGGCCAAGTCCCTCATCGACGCGTCGACACTGGTGAAAGTCGAGGGAAACATCACGATTCATTCGGCACCCCCATCTTCCACCGAAGGGTTCGTCTTTATCATGCCCGAAGTTCACCCTGCCGTCAGTGGTTTCGAGATGATGCTTCGCTTCGTCTTTCCAACCTGGGACACGTTTGGTTTATACGGCCGCCCTGGAAGACTGGTAGCCAGTGTATTGGACTCTAGATCTCTGATGTTCGCCATGCCAAAGCACAAACGTTACGGCTATCTCGAGATACTGGACGTGTCTGGCCTGATCACAACTGATGGGAGTTCGGCCTGGATCGAACGGGAATGGAGGAAAAAGATGAAGGAGCTAACAGGGACCCGCATGAATGCGATGGAAGAAGGCAGCAGCAACAGTATCCCAAGCCGAACCAACAGCCGTACGAAGCGCCTTAGTTTCGGGCCGGCGGCCGGCAGTGTTTTAAAGCCTCGCGTCGGGTTTGCTGATGAGGCGCCTCCCCTAACGAACCGGAGTTCGCGTTCCATGTCTCTCAACACTCGCCCTCCCATAAGAACTGACTCGGCTCCTCCTGAGCGCGGGTCTCCTGCGATGGGTGGTGCGAGGGTTGGTCATACTCGGAACTCATCGGATCCCAACTTGGCTGGGCCACCGCCTCTACCTCACAGCGACAGTCCCTACACAGCCAGCCCTCTCTCTGGCCGTGGACCCAACCCGGCAAGGACTTTTGTGAATGACCTGGCAGCCACCCCAGAGCGTGTAAGCTCGGACGAGGAAAGGCCAAACACGCCGCTCCGTGACTTCGACGGTATACGACAAATGGGAACTCCAGAGCCGGTGTCACAACCACCCTCATTCTCTCATGCACCAGGGTCTAAGCCCAGCACCCGGCCGTACCACTCGCCAGAAATGCGCCGCGCTAACAGCCGCCTCTCTATCACCACTCTCAAGCAACTTGCCGGGGCTGGTGGTGTTTCAGTTGGCCAGGAAGCATGGAGCAATGGCAGCGAGAGGAGCAGCGAGGAGCAGCGCGGCCCGGCCTCGCAGAATCTCGACCAACGTGGTCCACCCCCGGTACATATCCACGCCAACAACACTGGGATGTCTGCTAATGCCGGGTCTCGTGAAGTTTTAACCGATAATACGTCTCGCTCTCCTGGCCTGCCGCCTCCTGACACGGGTATGGCATCAAAGCGATCAAAATCACCATTGAACCAGGCCATGGGCCCAATGTCTCCTGATCCTCGAGGGCCAAGCCCTGGTGGTCGACCGAAGACTCCGGTATCTCGACCGGGTACTGCATCGAGCAACAGGGCTCCGCCGCCACCGGGTCACAATCCGCCTATGGGCAACATGCCACCAGGACAGCGCGCCCCTCCTCCTGGAATGGCACCGCCAGGTAGAGGTAGAGGCCGTCCACCACCCAATATGCCACCCCCTGGTCGTGGTTATCCCAACAATCCACCTGACATGTACCGGGCCTATCAGCAGGGTCCCCCGGGTCCAGGCGGTCCGGGCGGCTCAGGGCCGAGATCCCCTCCGAATCGTGGTGGTCCACTGCCACCACTGGCAACCTCAGGGTCCATCTCTAGGAAGCCTTTACCAGCACGTTCCGATAGTCTACAACATCGGGGGGTACGAGATGATATGTCACCCGCCACACCGTCAACGAGCAACGGGAGTTTGACGGGAAATCGTATCGATGCGAGTGGGTTCGGTCAAGTTCGGGCTCATAACACGAGCGGCCGGCCCGCTCCACCGCCCGGCATACGGCGTCAGGACACGGGCAAGAGTCAGGCTAGCAGCCGCTACGATGACGGTAGTAGGTACGATGATGGGGCATCAACCGCTAGTCCTGACTACGCCAGTTCTCGCCCGTCAACCGACACGGCTTCGTCGGTCGAGCGACCTAGAGCTGGTGTTCTCAAAACTACTGGGACCGTCGGGGAAGCCTCATCCCATGGAGGGCAAGGTTTCGCGATTCCAGACATAGACTTCGGTCCAACGGCAAACTATGCCTCACCGCCACGAGCCATAACTCCTGCTGCATTGCCACCGAGGTCATCCTCACAGGCTGTGAACTCACAATTGCCCGCGCCAATGCCTCGGCGCAAATCGCCTGGGCCTGATCTGTCGCACAATCACCAAACATCAGATGAGAACGCGCGAAGGAGCGTGATTTGGCAACCAGCCGGCATAACTGCTGCGTCCGCTAGTCCCGGTAACGCGGGACTCTCGGCTGAAGAATATGTGCAACAGAGAGCTGCTGCTGCGGCCGCGACACCCTTGTATGCTCATCAAAGGAGTGCTTCTGGCAACACCCTCACCGGATTCCGAGCAGGCACGCCAACTCCCCCACTGGGTCGTGGGCAAATGCAAGACTACTTTATTGGGACTGCACACTCGCGAAACAGCTCCCAGGATCTATTGCAGCGGCCAAGCTCCCGTGGCGCGGGCGAGCTCCTCCAACGCCCTGGCTCTAGAGAACTCTTGCAGCGTCCTGGCTCTCGGGAACTCTTACAGCGCCCTGGCTCAAGGGAACTTTTACAACGTCCTAGTTCTCGTGGGGCAGGCGCAGTGCTGGGCGGGCAACAAGCGAGCGGGGAATCGCATTTGTCGGCTCGTGAACAGGAACATGTTGCACGAGTGACAGGATCTCCACTAATCAACATGGGTGCCAGCAGGCCTGCGCCACAGGCTGGAGGAGGACTTGTCGGCGCGATTGAGGCCAGAGAACGTGAGAAGCAACAAGCGAAGCAAGGTTGGAATAGCCAAGCTGTACAACAAGCTATCAACCAGCGTCAGCAGCAACAGCAGCAGCAGGCATATCAACAGTACCAGCAACCCCTGCCTTCACCTGGTATTGCCCCTCCCTCGGGCATGTATTCCAACATGGGTATGGGTGGCCGTGGCATGCCCTCACCAAGGCAGCAGGCTTTCGTGATGCCTCAGAACTACGGAAGCCAGAGCCCGCAATTCGAACAAGGAGGCAACTGGGCACCGTCAGGCTCTGGAGTATTCGGGTCTTCGCCGCCCGGGAACTTCGACCCACGCTTCGCGCCCGGTCCGAGGCAGTTCTCACCGCCGCCTAGACAGTTCTCACCAGCACAAAGCCCACAGCCCGGTGGGCGTGGACAGAGCCCGTATTCTTACCAGGGTGGCCATGCATTCTAGGTAGCGACGCCAGCCTGATTGCGGAAAGAGGAACGTTATGCTGGAGGTTTGGAGCATTGTGTTTGGCATGCTTATACGATCGAGCGAGCAATGAAGAGGCGCGTCTTGCTTCCACTTGCTCCAAAGGTTATGAAAAAGGGTACGAGAAAAGTCACATGAAAGCTTACGAGAGACGCGTGTACATAGGTGACGAGAACGAAGCGGGCATGCACTGGGCAGTTGGATTCGACTCGGCATTCTGCTCACGGTCATAGGCAGACGGGAGAGCATCGCATGGGTCATTGTGTTGGAGGTATTCTTGTAATAATAGTAGATGCATTGAGACGGCTACCCAGACTTGAATGATATTACTCTGGTTTTCTTCTGAGTCAAGGTGCTATTCCTCCTCACGCTGGGTGAATAGCTGGGACTTGGCTGGCTCGCGTTCATTGAACTACCACGGGACTCATGGAAGGGGTACAGTGCTCACTGGCCTTTAGGCTTCATACCTAGGATTATGCCTCATGTGACAGTTCGAAGCTACCTCGTAGCGTGGCACCTGGGCCTTGGGCTGGCAAGCAGGGGCAGGTGGAGATCCGGGGATGACCCCTTTTAGGCTTTAGCGTATAGTATGAGGTACCACAGGGCTGACGGGGCCAGGGGCCTTAATTCTTATCGGACAGGTGCCTTATCGCACCCCAGTCCCGCTCGCCCGCATGGATGATGGCGGGGTGGGACCTTGGCGACTGACGCCACCCTCCTGCCCGCCCTCCCTGACCAGTGACCACGCGACTTACCTGGTACACGACACGACCACAGGCGCTTAGCCAGCCTTGTTCACTGCCTACTGTCTACCGCCTACCGCCTACCTAACCTACTTGCTTTCTCCTCTATCGTACCACCTTGACAAACCTGAAACTTGAGCCGTCTATCTGGCCATTCTATTCTCTGTTGTTGAGCATCTTAGCGTTGGAGTGGATGGTCTGTCTGTCCTGCGTCATCGCTCACACAACTAGCAAGTTGCTCGTACATCTAACTACCTAGGTAGCTAGCTAGCTCATAGCGGTTCTCCTCGGCTAGGTGTCAGAAGGCGAGGGCTTGCGTACATTGCCGTGGCAGTCGGGTTTAGGGTCTACGGATACCTCTGATACCTCTGATACCCTGACGCTTGCCGTCGTACCACCGGAGCCTCATCCCATCACATCTCAACCATCGGAGGCCTACGTCACTCAGCTCACCTGCCAACAAACAGCCTGATATCTCACCTACATACTCACACACACATCAACCGCCCGCACCAATATCCATCCACACGCCAACAATGGCTTCTTCATCAACACCAGCGAACAGCGGCAAAACTCCCAAGCCCGCCCTCCGCATCCTCTGCTTCGGCAACTCGCTGACGGCCGGCTACCCGGCGGACAACCCCTACGGCATCAGGCTGAAGGAGAAGCTTGAGGAGGTGTTTCCGCACTTTGTGAAGGGGAAGGAGAAGGGGGGCAAGAATGGGGGTGGTGTCGAGTTCGATGTCGATGGTGTGCCGGGAGACCTCGTTGCGCGGGGGAGCTTCTTGGGGCGGATGGAGAGTGCTTGTGAGTCTCTTTCTCTCTGTTTGCTGTGTTTGGTGGAAGTTATGGGAAAGATGGAAAAAGGGGCATGTTGGTATGATATGGGTTTGGTTGACGGGAGGAGAGACGCCAAATATGGGCTTATCATGAGTTGCCATGGGTGTCGTAACCCTTGTAAAGGTCTCGTCGGTTTTGAGGAGAGGATGATATGTTGGATTGACAACTGACATGGGGGATGTTGTAAAGAGAGCTTTTGAAACGGACACTCAACGCATCTACTAACACGACGGGCACGACAGGGCAACAAGCGGAGCACCCGTATGACTGGACGATCGTGCTGGGCGGTACAAAGTAGGTTATCCCATGAAGTCGCCTCCCCCTTTCCGGCCCATTACCAAAACATTCAACTTTCCAAGTTTTCTGGGTTTGGCGGACACTTATCTCAATAGCGACATCGGCTGGGGCGTCGACACAGACCAGCTCATCGAGGGCCTGAAACGCAGTTGGGACATCCCGCTGTCCAAGGGTGGCAAAGTTCTGGCACTCACCATACCAGAGACGAAATACAGATCTGCGAAGCTCGAGGAGTCGCGGAACAAGGTCAATGATGCTATTAGGGGGTATAAGAAGAAGAATTTGTAAGTCTCGTTTCTCCAGCCTGCTCTGGTAACGTCATGTGGGCTCGGACGCATGCTCTGTTTTTAGACGAGAAGAAAAACGACATAATGAGTGTACGTACCAGTGAATGTCCAAAGTGTCTAACCCCGGACTTCACATCTAGCTTCCACTTCGACCTCTTCAACGCAATCCCCTACCACAGCATGCCAGCCGGCGACCGGCCCACGTACTGGGAAATGGACGGCGTGCACCTCACAGCGGCTGGCTACGACCTGATGGGCGAGAAGATCGCCGAGGCCCTGGTGCGCATCCTGCGGCTGGCCGAGGCGCAAGACACGGAGATCAGCGAGATCGTGACGGATCCGCGGCAGCGGCGCGCCATCGAGGACCTGATAGTGGAAGAGGAACGGGGCGATCATAAGCTGCTGAGTCAGGGGTATATCATAGTGCGGAAACGGGACCTTGATTAGGGAGGATAGGGGTAACGGGCATCGATAACAGGCAATCGAACAATATCACTCCCTTTTCTGATGAACTATTCAACTGGAATTGATCATTGGTCGATTGGTCAAATGGACGGACTGTCTCTATTCTTGCTTTTTAAGATGTCCCTTTTGCTCTTCATTCTGCTCTAGAACCCCAACGCCGTGTGTTATGCATGCATTTGTCGTCATCATTATGAGGAGTGTTCTTCTTTCTCCCAGAGACGATTACCGTAGCCTGTATCCAGCAACGCCCAAACCAGCAGGATTCTCTGCCTCCCAATAGCAGCAGCCTCGCATTCGTCTTTCTCTGTGTCTTCCTATCCCCTGTAATCCGCCTTCTCATACGACCAGAGTGGCCGCCACAAACTCGGGAAACTCCCGCTGCAGCGCATTCGTGACGTTCTCGACCTCCTCGGCCAGGCCCTGGACGTTGGCGTCCCACCTCCGCATCTCCTTGCCAACGGTGATCTCGGCGCGGCCGCTGCCCTTCTCGCCTGAGGCCTCGCGCTCGCCCTCGAACCAGATGACGCGCTCGATCTGGTCGATGCGGCCGACGAGGCGGCCCTGCTCGATCATGCGGGCCGTCGTGTCCTCGGCCCTGTCAGCGTCGAGCCCCAGCAGCACGCCCAGCGCGTCGAACCCGATGTTGCTGTACAGCCGCGAGGCGCCCAGCAGGTTGTGCTCGACGACGGCCTTGGCCAGCACCGTCGACCCGTCCGAGGTGGTCGCGAGCTGGTGCGGCGACAGGCCCTGCGCGAACTTGTCGACCTCGGCCGGCGCGAGCAGCCGGTCGAAGAACATCTTCTCCAGCATGCCGAACTCGTCGAGGCTGGGGGCGCGCTCGTCCTTGCACAGGCGGCCGAGGGCGCGGCTGCGCAGGGGGCCGGCGGGCGCCAGGATGGCGCACTTGACCGCCATCCCCAGAGTGTGCTGGCGCTCCTCCTCGGACACGGCGGGCGAGAAGCTGATGTCGTGGTAGGCCTGGCTCGCGGACAGGAACTCCCTCTTCGAATCCTGGATGCGCGCGGCCGACAGCTTGAAGTGCAGGTTGAGCGAGGGGTCGGTGACGGTGTAGATGACGTTCTTGAGCTTGTTGAGGTACGTGTCGGCGGCGGTGGTGTCGTCGACCTCGAGGTAGTTGCGCACGATGCGCACCCAGATCCGGACGCGCTCCTCGTTGGTCACCTTGCGCTGGGCGCTGTCGAGCGGCATGTCGGCCAGCACCTTGGCCGCCTCGAGCCAGTCCTCGTTGCTCTCGTGGCCGTCGGCCACCAGCTCGCGGATCGTGGCCGCCTGCTCCTGGAACGAGACCGACGTCTGCGCCGCCAGCACGTCGAGCGCGTGCTGCCCGGCCTCGATGTAGACGTCGGCGTTGTTGAAGTCTTTGAGCGTCGCGATGAAGGTCGTCAGGAGGGACCGCAGCGCCACTATGCCGAGCGAGCCGGAGAAGATGGCGGTTATGATGGTCTTTAGGTCGTCGCTGACCGTCTGCGGTGTGGACAGCGACCGGAGGTTCGTGAGGAGCGAGTTGAAGGCCGCGGCTTGGTCGGGCGAGGACTGCACCTGGGCCAAGGCTTCGCTCACTTTGGGGCACGCCATTCTCGGCAAAATCTCAGCGCATGGGGGTCCGAATCTGGGAAGCGTCGATGGATGCTTTGCCGTACTGGTTTATGAAGGGAACCGAGTTGATCGTGAATGTCGGACGGTTTGGACAACTGGCAGTGGAATGGCTGATAGACGGAGAGTGAAGCTGAGGCTACGAAGGCAAACAACGTGGGGGGAGTAGGGGAGCTCTGAATGGTGGGGCAGAATCACAGCTGCCCTCATGCTGCAGTGCAGGGTGCGCCGGGCCGCCATTGAACTCTGGATGTTAGGTAAGCCACGATCAGCCATAGACGCACTAGCCACTTTGTTGAACAGTGCGCTACATGTATTTCCCCCCTATTCGCGTTATACACAGCCCTGACTCCTGAGCTTCCGTTTTGTTGAACGTTCATGTTTTGGTCCCTGGTTTTCATGCTAGCAAAATGACGTACGTCACGACCTCTATCCTCGCGGGCTTGACCGAGAATCCATCATCTATTTGTTCGTCCAGATGGGTTCTGAGGGATCGCATACCCACTTAAAACCGAACGATGGATTGCAAATCATCACCACCAGGATCTTGAATGAGACCATGACAAGTTGCCTACCATCTATAAATCATTAGAGAAGAAGTACTCTGCATGATGGACTCGGCATATCTTGAATGAGCGCTGGGTATTATCAGATAGCCGGCACACTTCTAATGGCCCAAATACGATACGAACTGCGCATGCATTTGCCATGTTTTGTCACAAAGTCGCTCACGGCTATGAGCCCTGCAGGACTGTCTGCATATTGACTATATGGGCCGTGCCGCCGGGTCGGCATGTGTTGCTGCCGTTCCATGAGTCCTGCCGCAGGGTAGGACATCGGTTGCCGGCTGATGATCCGGGATGTGTGCCCGCCATGGATCGAAAGTACGTCGACTTTACTATCCCCGCCTCGCCATGGTACAAATGAGCATGGAACTGTTTCCGGTTTGGTTAGGCGTCTTGGAAGTTTAAATCGGCTAAACATGACGAACATCACAAGCACCACAGGCGTCTGCGTGAGGATGTCCATGACTCTCCTGTTCTAAGACAGTCACTGACAGACAGATGCCAGTGCCTAGCCTTGTTTCTCGCACTGAAATGCAATGTCTCATTTCCCGGGAATACCACGTACGAAACATCGCTAGGGTCATACTTCTCCTGGCAGGAAGCCGCCATCCACCCGAACTGCATTGTCTCGCCCCAGATAGCCCAAGACGTATCAACGGCGGTAAACCTCCTCACGGCAACGACGACGACCACCATCTCCACTCCGTCGACACCTCTGGCGGGCTGTCAGTTCGCTGTCAGGTCGGGTGGCCACGCCAGCTTCCCCGGGGCAGCTAATATTGAGGGCGGTGTGACTATCGACCTTTCCAGGCTCTCCAGCATTACGCTGTCGCCCCCAGGGGTGGGCGCAGCAGCGCGGGCAGCGGCCCTCCCGCCTACCGTATCCGTTGGCGTGGGGGCCACTTGGGGACTCGTGTACGCGCAGCTCGACGCGCTGCGTCTCAGCGTGAATGGCGGCCGTGCCGCCAGTGTGGGTGTTGGGGGTCTTACTCTTGGCGGCGGCATCAGCTACTTCGGACCTCGTTACGGGTGGACATGCGATAGCGTGGCGAACCTCGAGGTCGTCCTGGCTGACGGGAGAATCGTGAACGCCAACCCCGATGAGAACCCCGACCTCCTATGGGTATTGAGCGGTGGCACTAACAATTTCGGTATCGTTACCCGCGGTGATCTCCAGACCTTCCCTCAGGGCGACCTCTGGGGTGGTCAGGTCGTAAGACCGATGCAGACGGCAGATGAGCAAGTGGTCGCGCTGGCTGCATTTAATGACCCGGAGAGCTACGATGAGTTTGCGTCTTTGATCACGACTTTTGCGTACTCGGGCGACCAGGACGTACAGGTTGTGGTCAATGACATGCAATACACGAAGCCCGAGGCGAACCCGCTCGTCTTTCATGCTCTGAGCAGCATGGCCGCGGTGTCTAGTACTCAGCGAATCACGAACATGTCGGATTTGGCGGCTGAGACGGAGGCGAACGACGCAAACGGCTCCAGGTGCGCTCTTTTAGTCCTTTCATACTTCCCCTTCCATATGGATAAGCATAGCTGGGGTGTTATCGCGAATTGCTTACACATAGCATACTGGTTGGCACCATATTTCTCCTCCGATTCCACAAGTTACCTTCCTACTGACTGCCATTTGCTGGCCCTGGTCGACAGACAAGCCAGCGCGACGCTGACCAAAGTCTCCTCCATCGCAGCCCTCAACGCAGCCGTTCAAGCGTGGAACGCAAGCGTTGCTTCGGTCCGCACCATCCCAAGTATCGTATGGGGATTGGGACTAGACCCGTTGCCACCTCTGCTATATGAGCGGCACGCCGACGCCAACGCCCCCGGGCTGGCTGACCGCAAGGGTAAGGCCCTGATTATCATTAATTTGACCGCAAAGTGGCTTGACGTCGCAGACGATGACGCCGTAGACGCGGCGGCTAGGGCGCTTATCGAGGCTATAAAGCGGGATGTGGGTGGGTTGGATGCCCTGGATCCCTTTCTCTATGTGAACTATGCGGCACCTTGGCAGCGGCCAGTAGAAAGCTACCGCCGAGCGAGCGTGGAGAGGATGCGAAGGGTGCAGGACATGTATGATCCTGGACGGGTTTTCACGAACACAGTCCCGGGAGGGTTCAAGGTCCATCAGTGAAAGTTATTAGTTGACTGAGTGGGATTATAGGAGGGCGGTGAGGGGGTGTATGTAAAATAAACGAACCCTATGGTGGCATTGCCTGCATGCATGGGACTTGCTGACACACAAGATGTCATGACATGCAGTATATTCGGACTGTGCATCAAGTCCCCTGCTGAAGGGCGGCTGCTTACAACCTCATACTTGGACCTGGAGTCTAGACGCTGCCTTGATTTGCTCAGACTCTGAGGCGACTGTAAGCCAACCGAAGTTGATGGTTGTGATACTACCCTGACGTGATATTGCATAGAGTCGACGTCGCACTCGAAGGATGAGCAAGCCGTGTAAAGAAGTTAGTAGCCGAGGTTCGGATGCGCATATGCTTGTGAGCTTCGAATTCTTGCTGCAATGCTACTCCACTATGACTTCTGCCTTCGCCATACCTGTATGATGGGATGACGCCGGCAGATGGTGCTGGCTAGGTTGATGGATAGGGGAGTGGTATGGGTGCCCTTTATCGACGCAAGGTCTACGATACTACCTGGAATATCTACAGACTACAATTCTGTGGAAGAAGGCCGCGTATTCCTCATATCAAGTACAGCACTACATTCGATATGTATGAACCTAGTCAGCTTATGCACCAGCCAAAAGGGGCCGAAGGGGGGTCGCATAGGCTCCCAACTCTGTCGACGAGTGGGTAACCCTGTTTCCCATTGGCATTTTCTACCATACAAGCTCTTCACCATACCATCCCCCCATAGAAGTCGGCCACCCCCACTAGTCGGCCACCCCCACTAGTCGGCCAGCCAAATTGTGGGGTCACCACCAAAACACCCCCTTATTCATTCACCCACGAATGAAGCTATTCAGATCGGAGATTTATTGCAATATTATCATCTCAAAGGGCTGAAGCTGTTTACTCGTACAATCATACGGGCGCCCGAATGGCTCGTCCCGAACAGGTGTGCCTAGGCTCCTGTACAGCCTCCAAAATCTCCTCTTCAGTCGAGTCTTTGTCTTCGTCCTCTAAATCCTCTGAATCCATAATTATAATTTTTGCTTCACCCGCAAGGGCACCAGGGTGATAGTACCACCTGTAATTAGTATCTATGTGACTGTTCTGAATTTCTTGTTAGGATTAGGGACCTTTTTTCGCTTCTTAGGCCATGCCTGTTCTAGTTCAGTCTCTAGAACCTGTGACGGCCTGCACAGACCTTCCTACATGACAAGTGGATACTTCCTGATAGGGGAAGGATCTGACCAGAGGATCCCCTTAAAGGGGCAACCTCCCACTGTACCTATCTCTCTCTCTCTCTTCCTTTCCTCTCCAGTCTTGATATTCTCGTCAATAGAGTAATAGCTGCTTGCTGCCGGCCATGTCCCAGCTCCTCAGTACGCTCGCCGTGACAACGTCGATAAGGACGGCATTATCGATGTGAAGGCTGATGGCACCTTGCCCATTGTTCTGCCATAGAGTCAATCTTGAATCTCTTCAGCCTCTTCTCCTTTAGGTTGAGGAGTCCTTATACTTGATTTTGACTTGTTCCGCTTCAAGGCGCGGACTTGAGCTTGTAGTTCTGGATCTTCCAAGGCTTGAGTCGTCTTCTCAACGAGATAGTCCCTAGGTCGGAAGCCCTTCCATGCCTTCTCCGGAAAGACATAGAAACAATTTGCTAATGCGTGTTCTATTCCACACGCTGGACATTCGGAATGGTCCTCATCCCTACTTTTCTCGTTCCTTGGTTGGCGTTTAATCTGTTTTCTTCTAGGCCTTTTGTTTCCGGCTTTTTGTTCTTCTTTGCCGGAGCCTTTGCTGTTGTAGGTAGACGCAAATGCACCTTTGGAGGCTCGTCCAGCTTTGTTGGTGGTCCGCAAAATAGCTCTTATGAAGTCGTTGACAAGATCTCGATGTTTGAGAATCCTGTGCCGGATTTGTTCGTCCTTGGTAACCGCATAAGTGCTTGACCACATGGGAAATGCTTCGGATACCGCGTCCAGGAAGTCTCTGGCCCATGAGCTCACATTGAGCGTCTTGAGAACTTCCTTCTGATGGGCCTTCGTAAAGGCGATCTCTCAAAAGGCAATCTATCTTGCTGCGTTCTTGGGATTTCTGAGGGGTTGGAATGCTGTCTTGTAGAGTTGTCTTGCATCCTCCTGCTCATCTGCACTAGCCATTCCGCACTGGGCTTGGAGATTTGCGTACCACTCCCAGATTGGTTGCTTTGGAATGCAGCAGGTGGTCTTATAGGTGGTTTGCGACAGACTTGAGTATATGGTTCTTGATTTTCTCTAAAGACAGTGCTTGTTTCTTGTGCAGCTTCTGGATTCGATCGTAAAAACTATTGTCGAGTTCATAGGCTTGTTTCTCCGTTGTCGTTAGATCTGATAGCATCCACACGCCATTATTTCGCTTGTGTTAGATGATTTCGTCGTCTTCGTTTCTGTCATTCAGATCGGGATTGACTTCGATGGTTTGGCTTGGTTCGAGAGTCGTTCGTTTCTTTTCGTATTTCTTTTGTGCAATATTCGGAATCTCTGGTTGTGGTATAATTCCCTTCTTCTGAACAAGGAGGTCAAGAAGACCTAAGGCGTCTGCCTTCAGTTGGAACTCATGGTCCCATTCAGGCCATTCTCTTGCTTCCGACAGTGATGCTGAGAAGTCTGCTTTCTCAGACTCTCGAAGTATTAAAAGAACAGGCATCTTAAATATGCAGGATAAATATGGTTTATTAAAGGGGTCAGCAATGAGACTCTTAATTGTCAGATTTGAGCCAATCGTGAGGTTGAAGTGTGTTTGTGTATTCTGTCTCTCTAGAGTGTCCTCGTGCGACCGTGGCAGTTTTGTGCCAGAGGGGGCTGGATCGGGACGGAACAACTAGGCTCCGGTGTCTACCTATCAAGGTGCCCTCTTGGCTCACCTTTAATCTAACACGAGGTCACTTAGCCAGACCTTTGGGTCCAGCTAGACCTCCCAATTCAACTATCAGCAACATCATGACCTTGACCCAATACTCGAGTATTATGATTGATCGTCCAAGCCTGTTCCAACAAAAGAGATAATATTTACTACTATTATTTTCGAGACATATAATCTTTTTAATAAGCCATTTTATTATTCTTACATGCTTAACCATATGTTCTATAAGTAGTGAAGTTGTATTTATTTTCCTTGATTTACTACAATAGCGTAAAGTTGGGGTGTTTTGGTGTACAATAGGGATGCTCAGAGACTTATGGCCGGGGAGTGTAGCAAGCATGGTAATGGTTAGCGGTTCCTGGTTATGGGTCTGAATCCAATGTGGATCCCAGCCACTGGATCCAGCCACCAGTACCTTATCGGATTTCCTGTCATCCAGGGCGTTCTACGATAAGGTTACCTGGGATGGCTGCCCCAGGTGACAGGTACGAACCCACTGTAATTTAGGTATTTAGATACTTCTCGGATGGGATCCCTTCCTATCCGAACTGAACCAAGCACCAACCAGAATACAGATCATCCCAACCAAGACTTGTGATAGATCTCTGTTTTGGTTCCGCTACCACAATGGCACACCAATATGATGCCTGTAACTCTCATGCTACTAAAAACAGGCCTAACAGTCTAACAGAAACGTTAGTATAAAAAAGTTCCATGAGAAAGTTCCTATCTAATAAAGTTCTACCTATTACCATTGCTAGATACACGTGGACCGCTAACCATTACCCATCAACCTAGACACTTGTAGATACGGTAGCTTATTACCGCAGCTACCCAGTATTGACAATGTGACACGTGCGCCACCCTGTCGGATCTGCCAATCGCAACAGCTCCATGAACCGTGTAGATAGTCGTAGGGACTCCAGGAGAGGAGCGATATGCGAAGGACCCCATGTTTCTCAAGTGCGGCTGAGGAGCGCTGCGGTGGCGTGTGGTTTGTCGACACTTCGGCTTGCGCTCTGGGGATTCCATCATTCCCGAAATACCTATGGAATATTCTTGGAACAAGCTGGAGATTGACGGTCGAGCGGCGTCCGGGGGCTAGCCAGGGGGTAAGACCTCAGGCACGCATGCGTGCAAAAGTTCCCAAAGGGAAGCTGACTCGACATGAGCTGAGAAGTGCGGACGCATATATCTCTCGCCTTTTCTCCCCCGGGACGCTGCAGGACTTTTAAGCAGTCGGATGGTTGCTTTGCATGGAACTTTCTGCAGCATTGCCAATATTACCAGCTTTCCTGCAAGCGTGATTCGCACCCGGATGCTGTGTGCTTACCATCACAGCCCAACACTCCGCTGCGGATGCGACTCGGAGAAGCCATAAAAATGGTGGACAGCAGAAGTCTCCGCCGAGCAGGTGTGAGCTCTATGCCCAGCCCCCTTCCCAACCCACCTGAGACCTTGACAGCCATCTCCCATCCCACGCTCGCCTGTCCTCCAGCTGACGTAAGGATGTCTTCCCGCCAGTGTGAGGCCCTCGTTGCGCTCCTCGGCACAGACAAGGTCCTCCTGCCGGGCAGCACAGGATACAACGCGTCCCTATCGTCCTACTTCAGCCCGCAGGCGGCGGCCGTCCACCCGGCCTGCTTCGTGACCCCGCAGACGGTTTCCGATGTCTCGAACGCGGTCAAGTCGCTGACCACCTCGGCGAACAACAGCACCCCTGGCGAATTCGCAGTCCGCGCTGGCGGCCACACGTGGTTTGCCGACGCGAACAGCGCTCCCGGCGGCATCACTATCGACCTGCGCGGCCTCAACGCCATCGAGCTGAGCGCCGACAAGGCCGCCGTGTCGGTGGGGGCCGGCGCCACCTGGGATAAAGTCTACGGAAAGCTTGACCCCTCGGGTCTGAGCGTCGCCGGCGGTCGCGTTGCCAATGTAGGAGTGGGCGGGCTGACCCTCGGGGGCGGGATCTCCTATTTTGGCCCGCGCGAGGGCCTGACGTGCAACCAGGCGACGTTGTTCGAGGTGGTGCTGGCCGACGGCTCCGTGGTCGAGGCCAACGAGGAGCAGAACGCGGACCTCTGGTGGGGGCTTCGGGGCGGGTCAAACAACTTCGGCATCGTCACGCGCATCGACTTCAGGACCTTCAAGCAGGAAGGCCCGCTGTGGTCGGTTCTGACGCTGAACTCTCTGGCTGAAGTGGACAATCAAGCCCGTATCTACGCCGAGCTGATGGCGGCCGAGAATTACGACGAGAACGCCTCGTTTCTTACCGGCTGGGCTTATGCCAGCACCCAAGGTCTAAGTGTAACGCTGAACCAGCTGGTCTACACGCAGCCGGTCGCGAACCAGACCCCGGCGTTCTACAAGCCTATCCTCGACCTGCCACCTATTAGCAATGCGACGGTCACGCCGCCCGTGGTCGCCAACATGTCGACGCTTGCGCAGAACTCGGTGGCTCTCCAGGCGCCGCAGGCGGCGCGGTACATGACGGCCACGACGACGTTTGTCGTCACCGAAGCCATGATCCGCGCGACCTTCGACGCCTTCAACGCGTCGCTCGCGCTGGTCCAGGACGTGAAGGGCGTCATGTGGGCCATGAACATCGAGCCCCTGCCGCCGCAGATCTACACGCGTGGCGGCGCCGACAAGAACGCGCTGGGGCTGAGCGACCAGGCCGGCTCGCTCGGCGTGTGTCTGATCTCTCCGTCCTGGACCGACGCCGCCCAGGACGAGCAGGTCTACAGCGCGGCGCGCTCGCTCATGGCCGACGTCGAGGCCAAAGCCAAGGACCTGGGCCTGTACAATCCGTACATCTACCTGGACTACGCAGCTTCGTGGCAGGAAGTCATCAAGGGGTACGGCGAAGAGAATGTGAAGAAGCTGCAAACGCTTAGAGCAAGGGTCGATCCTCATGGGGTGTTTACACGGCAGGTCACTGGCGGTTTCAAGATTCCGGAGGCGAGTTGAAAGGGAAAGAGAGCTAGCTCCTGGTAAAGCCAACCTGTGTGAGTGGTATGAGGCGGGCGTTGGCTAGGCTGACTAGGCTGACTGCCTTACCAACACCCATCACTGCCACATTGTCCTGTTCATCTGTTACTGCGCAACTGGCACGGCTGCTTTATTTTCCAACCAATTGACGAAAACACCTACTGGCAACTGCAGATTGGGCGGCGCCAGTGACAGACTCACGACGCGAGTGTATGCTTTTCGGTTGAACGTATTGGATGCGTGCTTACCTATGTCTCCAATGTCCAGATTCTGGAGGAATGGAGGTATCCACCCAACCCCCCGCATTCATTTAATTTCACTTGGAGATAGGGGGGTGAAGTGAAAGTTCCGGGACCAGCCCCGCTCCCGTTTGATCGGTGCCACATGCACGGCCAGGCAGGGCTGGCTTTAAAGTAAAATCGACAACACGTGTCAGTGGGGCATCTTTTAAAGGTATTCAAAAGTTCCTTCCGACGTCCTGGCGCAATGGCCTACACCATTACACCCGTCTAGGAAAGCAGGCTGCCGGCAGTCATACGTGGGTCTCATTACCTATGCGAGCGACGTGCTAATATCACCGGTCATTAGGTACACCTGGCACGGGTACATGATGACCTCGCCAACTTCGCTCATTAGGTAATGTAGGTAACCGATGTGTTGAGTGGAGTAGTAATTACCATCATGTTGTCGGCTCATTTTATTATTAGAGTACCTACCTCCTTACATAAGGTACCTAAGGTAGGTAGGTATGTGAAGCTTGGCTTATTCCCGACTGCACCTACCTTACTAGCCAATCTCTCCCTGCCGTGGACCGTGGAAGTATCGGACGCATAGGCAAGCGAAGAGTATCAATCTGACAGGGATTGATTAGTCCCTTGCAGCGTTCCATGCAGTTCAACTGCTTGGCCATGATGGATATAACCACTCCCCGCCAGAGTGTGCGGCGTATGGGCTCACCCCCTTAGCTGAGGCATCAGGATTCAGCACTAAGACTTCATCTCACATCTCTCAGTCTGTTCCTCCCGGTTAAGATGCGCAAGCCTGATTTATCCCGAGACGAACATTTGTCAGCGTTTCGGTACAGCATTCCCCTCTACCTCGTTCTCTCACTCAAGTCTGTATAGCAAGATATTACTGGGCATCGGCAAAAGAAAGATGGCCTCCGCCACCTCCAAGGGCACAATCCTCGTCACGGGGGCAAACGGCGCGCTCGGCAGCGCCATAGCAGAGCAGATCGCCTCGAAACCCGAGTTCTCCGCCTATCACGGGCTTTACACAGTCCGCGACACGACGAACGCGCCTGCTCTCACCTCAGCCCTTGCACATGGTGCTGCGCATGCAGACGATGTGCTGGCCCTCGACCTGACGAAGCTCGACAACGTTCGCCAGGTGGCTGGGCAGATCAACGTGAGTTCACCTAGGCTAATTACCCGGACACTGTTAATGTCCATTTCCCTTCGTCTTATCATTCTGTATACATCTACAGTGTGATTAACGGCGCATGCTAACAACCCATGCGACAGGCTCGCGTGGCCGCCGGCGAGATTCCGCCCATCCGCGCTCTCCTGCTCACCGCCGGCTTCCAGGACTTTGGCAAGCAGTCGTGGACAGACGATGGTTTTGACACGACGTTCGCGGCAAACTATCTCGGGCACTGGCTGCTTACATTACTCCTCCTCAAGAGTATGGATAAGGACGCTGGGCGGATTGTCCAGACTGGAAGCCAGAGCCACGAGTCAGTGCCTCCCTCCCGTTTTGTCGGGGTGTTCTAGTCAACAAGTGTTTGATCTTGTCCCGTCGAATGAAGGGACGGAACAGTCTTGCAACAAGCTTCTGAGCCACAGGACCGAAGCTAATTCGCCATGCCACTACCCAGTCCCAAAGACCCACGAAACGCGCGTGGCAAAGCCTTTGATGACCCGAAATACCAGACCATTGTGTCTGATCCCGCCAGCTTTGATGCGATCACCAAGGGGACGTGGAGCCCCGCGACCGAGGACGCCTCCTTTCGGGGCGGATTCCGGCGGTATGGGGCCGCCAAGCTCTTCCTGACCATGATGCAGCACGAGCTGCAAGCGCGGATGGACGCAGACCCGGCCCTGAGCAAGATCTGCGTGCTGGGCGTCGACCCGGGCACCATGATCAGCGGCTTGCAGCGACTCGCTCCATTCTTCATCCGCGTGGTCATCTTCAAGGTCATCTACCCGCTGGTGCTGTGGCTGTACCCGGATAATGGACCTGTGAGGCCACCAAGCCGCTCGGCTGGCGACACCTTGGAGGCGGCATTTGGAAACGGTGAGGGCGGCAGGCTGCCGAAGGACAAGTACTTCGATGGTAGGACGCCGTTGGAGACGGGCGAGGAGTCCAGAGATGCGGCCAAGAGGGAGATGGTGTGGAAGGAGACCGTGAGGTTGACGGGCTTGAAGGAGGGTGAGACGGTTCTTGCCGACTGGCAGTAGATGAGCAGGTAGCTGATGGCGGAGTCCGGTTGTCTACCCAGATGCTCATTATCTCGAACGCATTGCCGCGTCTTCCAACATGCATATCTACGTCTCCGTGGGGTAGTACTCTCAAAGGACTTGGCAATTTGATTGGTCGGATGTGAGAGAACCTACGCGAGGTATGCCATATTCGTTCAAGGACTTGCAGCCAATGGATATGCAGGTAGCGTGGTATGGGACTGTGATGAACAACCAACCAACCATCGAATCTAGGCGGCGGCTTATGGGCTTTAAAACGAGTCTGCTTCACATACCTGAGGTGCTATGGGTATTCACAGGTGTACAGTGCACCTTTCCTTCGCCTCCTTCGCTTCCTTGGCCACCAGAATTGTACCACGATGCTGTCTCAGTTGCTTTGGCACCCAGCCGTAGTCTTAGCGGGCCTCTTCGTCGTCTGGTTCGTCGTGTCCCTCCTCAGACGACCTCGTCTTCCCAACACTCCCATCGTCGGATCTCGCAAGGGCGACTGGTTTCCGCTATTGCAAGCGCAATGTCGCAACACAAGAGACTTCAAAACAGCATTGGAGCTGGCCTACGCGGAAGCCCGTCTCATCCTGGTGCCTGTTGCCGGCGAGGGCGACATCTTTATTCTGCCGCTTGCAGACATCAAATTCATCACCGATCAGCCGGACTCCGTGCTCGGGTTCAGCGAACGCGCGTTCGAGATATTTCAGATCGACTACACGTTCCCGGACCCCACGATACCGCGCGTGCCGCTGCATGAGACCCTGTTCAGGATGAAGCTGACGCCCCAGATTGGCAGTCTGGTGCCAGACCTGGCTGATGAAGCCGCCTGGGCCTTCGACACGCATTGGGGGAGTGCAACCACTGACGACGGGTGGCATGAGGTGTGCGTCTTCGAGACGATGCGTCATATAGTCGGGAGCGTGGCCAACCGCGCGTTGTCGGCCTGCCATTCTGTCGAGATCCCGAACAGGTGAACAACGGCATGGCGTTCGCCATCGATATCCCACTGACCTCTACCCTGATCAAGTTGGTCTGGAAGCCGTTGCGCCCACTCCTGGCCCCCCTGATCACCATTCCCAACCGTCTTCACACGCGCCGATTCCGGAAGATCCTGATTTCGGAAATTGACCGTCGCCTCCGAGACTATGACAAGCACCAACGCGACCCCGAGGACAACAAGACTCTCGCCGAGGCGCAGCCCAACGATTCCTGCAGTGGTCGATCCAGGAAGCCAAAGCCGCCGGCAACCCTTACATGTGGCGTAGCACAACGCTGGCGGACCGGATCCTGGTGGTCAACTTCGCGGCGATCCACACGACGTCCTTCACCTCGACTGAGGCGATACTGGATCTCGAGTCATCCAAAGCCGAGTGTCTGACGAGATCCACGACGAGATCGTCTCCGTGCTCTCCGCGCACGGCGGCGCTTGGAACAAGCGCGCCCTCGGCCAGCTCGAGAAGCTGGACTCGGCGATCCGGGAGAGCGCGCGCCTGAGCTCGATCGTGCCGATCGGGCTCGGGCGCACGGTCGTCGCGAGGGACGGCGTGATGACGCCCAGCGGCGTGCACCTGTCCCGGGGCACAAAAACTTCTGTGGCCGCGTATTGCATCATGCGAGATGAGACGGCCTACCCCGGGGCCGAGACGTTCACGCCCTTCCGGTTCTCCGACCAGCGGAATGGCAATAGCACCCAACGCGGTCCGAAGACTGATGACGACGACGACGACGACGACGACGACGACGACCAGAAGAAGGCTGACCATGTACGCCGCGCGCGCATGGCCCTGCCGACTACGAATCCCGACTTCTTGGTCTTTGGCTATGGGAGACACGCCTGTCCGGGCAGGTTCTTCGCCGCCGCGGAGCTGAAGCTGATCCTGGCTCATGCCCTCCTCAGCTACGAGTTTGGGATTCTGCCACGGAAGCCTGAGGGCTCGTGGGTTGGCATCACGAGGATCCCGCCGTTGCAGGCTACTATCAGGATAAGGAAGCGGGTACAGGCCTGATGTGAACGAGCGTCCACGAGAGCGTTTAGCTGGTGCATTTGAACTAGCTATAGATGGAAGGTGAATGAAGCGGGCGAGTACATTATAGTGGCCTCGGAATTCTTCTATTCGTTGGCCTTGATAATCCTGGTATACCAGGGGTCGCCGTGCCGCGCGGAGCTGACGTCCGATATTCCTCATTTCATTGCGTACTACTCCCACTGAGTCACCGCTTCTTTATACACCCGACTCCTGTGAGGCAAATCGAATGAGATACTTCACAGACATAACAAGGCCAGGCTCTATATAGAATGGCATCAATACCGAGTGGCAGCGCGCTGCACCTGCATCTTGAGATCAGCCAACAGGGCGTAGAAGTACCCCGCAAGGAGCCTCTTCCCCTGTCTCACACCGCAACCACCCCTACAAGCAAAACCGAGACCGTGAAGCCACGGAGGTCAACAGCCGCGATGTCGTCTTCAGAGAAGCAACCATCTCGCCATGAGAATAAGCTACTCCCCGTCCCTGGGCCCACGCTGCCCTACTGGCGCACGGAGCTGCACCCGCTGGACTCGCACCACTCGACGCCCGAGCTGCCGGCCGAGTGCGACATCCTCATCATCGGCGCCGGCATGTCGGGCGTATCGGTCGCGTACCAGCTCTCGCAAGCCCAGCCACAAGACAACACCACCACCACGAGCTCCCCACCACCGCCCTCCATCGTGCTCCTCGAAGCGCGCCAAGTCTGCTCCGGCGCCACGGGCCGCAACGGCGGGCACGCCAAAGTCAAGACCGCCACCCTGCTCTCCCTGATAGCCAAGCACGGCCCCGACAGCGGCTTCGTAGATGATTGGGACGCGTACGTGGGCGCGCAGATCCACGCGCTCAAGGCCGTCGTCGAGCGCGAAGGGCTAGACTGCGAGTTCGAGCTGCGCCGCAGCTACGACACGTTCAACGCGGCGCGCGACGCCGCCGAGATCCGGAAGTCCTTCGCCGAGGCGCTGCGGCGCGGCGACGCGTGGACGCGCGAGCGCGACTTGGTGGTGGAGGCGTTCGTGGAGCGCGTTTCTGCCGTGCGCGGGGCGCGGGGCGCGGTTAGTACGCCCGCGTGCTCGCTGTGGCCGTACAAGTTCGTCACGCAGCTGCTGGCCAAGGCGATGGAGCGGTACCCACGGCTGAACTTGCAGACGGAGACGGCGGTGTTGGGGGTAGAGAGCAGCGGGGACGGGGATGATGGGGGTTCGGTCGTCGAGACCTCGCGCGGATCAATTCGGGCGCGGAAGGTGGTGTTTGCGACGAATGCTTACACGGCGGGTCTCCTGCCGCAGTACAAGGGCGTCATCACGCCTTACAAGGGCACGGCGGCGCACCTGGCGCCGCCGGCGGAAAAGGGGCCGGTTTATCCGCATCTCAGCCATACTTATAACCTGGAGTACGGGCTGGACATCGAGGGGGAAACGGTGGATTATCTGAATCCGCGTCCGGATGGCGGGATCGTGGTCGGTGGGGGGAAGTATCTGTACGAGGCGCAGCGAGAGCTATGGTGGGATACGGTGGATGATTCGACGTTATTGAATCCCATCGTTAAGGGGAAGTACTTCGAGGGGTATATGCAGAGGAACTTCAGGGGGTGGGAAGACAGCGGGACGGTGGCGGACAGGATTTGGACGGGAAGTAAGTCGAACGTCACTGTGTCTTTTCCCCTGTGGTGTTAAGCCCTTGAGGCTATACTGACATATTCATCTAGTTCAGGGACAAACGGGTGATGGATTCCCTCACATCGGCCAGGTGCCAGGTCAGAAGAATCAGTGGGTGTTGGCTGGATACAATGGTGGCGGTATGTCACTGATTTTCTTGGCTGCCACAGAGCTGGCGAAGATGGTCAAGGACGATCTGCCGTTCGAGGAGATAGACCCCATCGTTCCAAAGTTCTTCAAGACTACGGAAGAAAGACTGAAGGCTAGTGGTGTGTGACGCTCAGGATGTTACCATCTTGCGTTTTTTATCCAGCATGCAGCCCCGGCCAGGTCAGTAGCAGGCGGCTTGCAGCCGCCCAAGCATGATTTGAGCGTGAGCGTAGTCAGTACTTGCAGAACTGATCATAGAATATACGACTATCATCATAGATAAGGGGTTAGCTCATTGCGTGAGATATCAAGTCATCCCATCTTATCAGTAGTGAGAAGGACCAGAGGGTGCTCAGTTGAAATCCAACACTTTAGTCATCTAATCCTTTTATGTACTTGGACGTTTCGATGGCCAGCAATGGGGGCTAAGTACTTGCACCATAATCATCCCTTTCGGCTTGCGATACGAGCATTCCATTGAAATCCCTCGCAGCACTCTGTACGTCAATGTCACGAAAACCAAAGCAACATGATAGATAGGTAATTGAACACCCCCCAATGAGGCTTTCTAGACCGTGACCTTCTGGCCCAGGAGATGAGCAAATCTATGACGGTACCGCCCCCTGTGCGGAAACTATAGCACAAATGGATATTGTACTTCCATTTAACGGTCCCGACCTCAGGGCCGATAGTCGTCGTCGCCCTTCTCTTCCGGCCCCTTCCTGATCATCAGGAGCACTATCCACACCATCACTCCCATCATCGTCATCGTCATCCCCACCACCTCCGGGCGGCGGCGGGACCGGGGCCGCAGGCGGATATCGGTGCACGTCCATCATTGTCGGGACGTCGTATTCGAGGCTTGCGATTTCGAGCGCGGGCCGTATGTCATGAAACATTCGCAGGCGGTTGAGCTGGTTCATGATAACTTCTTTTTCCGGTAGGTCCGGTAGGGGTGGCGTCTCTGGTCTTATGCGCGCGCAGACCTTGCACGGTGATTCTATTTCCTCCTCCCCCTCCTCTCCCTCTTCCTCTCCCTCTTCCCCTCCCTCTTCCTCTCCCTCTCCCTTTCCTTCTTCCTCTTCCCCTTCCTCCGCCTCTACCTCCTCCTCTATCTCTACCTCTACATCTTCTGGGGCTCCCTCATCATCTCCCGGTGGATAGACGGCATCTCCTGGAGCGTCGCCACGTTCAGGATCCCGATCGCCTCGAGGTGGAACTGGAGCATACTCGCGGAAATACTCAAACGGCATGAGTCGCTCAGGTTTTTTCCACGAGACATCCAGCCGCCGGTACCAGCCAGCAGGCTTGCCGCCCCGGGGGTCCCGGTGCTGCCGAACCTTCCTCCTGGCTAACGGCAGCTGCGTGTACGTTAACATCCTGGCTCTAAACCCGTACGGCCATTTTCTATATGAGAAAAGAAAGGGAGCATCAAAGCCTGTTCTCGAATACAAGGCTCGGGGCCTTGGGACGGGATGTTTTTATACGTACCATAGTGTCGACATACCACCGCCTGGGGGCGTCCCGGTCCAATTGCCAACTTCATCGCCCGCCGCGTTGATGTGCTTGTCCGTTACGCTATCACCGCTAACATCACACCCCGGCCATTCGAAAGTCTCGAGAAGCCTGAGGAGGTCGTCTGAGTAGGGAGTCTCGGACGGTTTGAGACGCCCGTTCACTGTCGACATGAGAATGTTCTCTGGACGATCGCCCCAGTCACCGCCGATTTCGGAAGCAAGAAATGGTACATCTGTCTGGCAGAGCATCCGGAGCATCCCCCCCACGCAGTATATGTCTTCCCACTCGGTGAACTCCGGTTGATTGATTGATTGATGATTGATTGTATTTAACGTGGGGGGTAGCTCCTCAGTAGTGCAAACCACGCCTCCCAGAGCCTCTGTATCGCAGGGTTGTGGAGGTCTCAAGATAATAAGTACAGTCAGTCCCGCTCACGGGCCCATCCCCGTTGTTGCGGCGGTATGACCTTGGGGTCATCCATCTGGTCCTTCAAGAAAAGCTATCTATCGGTGAACTCCGGTTGTTCATATATTCCGCCTCCTAGATATCCGCCTTCGTCCTCCTCTGTGGCCGCTTCGCCAAAATTACCCACCACTATCTCGGGAAATGCGTTCGTCGCGAGACCGGCGCGAGGTATTCTCCCTGCACCTTTGGGCAGGTAGTGGATAAAGATATTGTTGACCGCCAAATCACGATGCGTTATTCCTATGGTATCGTAGTTAGTCGAAATGCTTAATAATAAATTGAATCGTATCGTAGTCAGGAGGCAAGTACTGGTACCACTTTGCGGGTGGGCTGCTGTCCAAGGTTGTTGGATAGTGCCAAATTACTCATTGCCGCTTGGGGATCATGAATGATTTCGGTATACTCACGGTTCCATTTATCCACCTCCTCTTCACTTCCGGGCTCGGCACCGAAGTGGAAGAATCGTATCACTTCAGCAAGTCTTAGAGCCACAAGCCAGATGAAGTGCTCCGGCACCGGTCTTGCCAATTCGAAATACTTGTCCCGTAACTCTTCCAGCGCACCTCCGTTGCAGAACCTATCTTGTTGTCAGACGAGGGTCCTACTTCGAGAGCCATGGAGAGTTTACCTGAAGTACATAGAGTAAACCCGCCCCCTTAGGCGTTGATAAAAGTCCATAGCGTTGAAGTGTATCCTCTCGACTCTATTGATGAAGATGGGCCATGGCAACCTCTGTACAGCATTTGGTGTAGTTGAGATACGCAATTCTTCGGGTATATTCTGACGGTACGGTTTGAACGTTAGTTTGGACCCTTTAGGGGCCAGTACCTTGTTGATGAACAACTCCCCGGTCGCTACCGATTGCACCGGAAACACAGTAGGCTGGATGTATTGGACCAGTATGAAGCCGCCTCTCTCAATACCCAACAGAGACGACCATTCGTCGTCGGCTTTCTCGTATGGGAGGTGCACTCCATAGTGCCGATGCGGCCGCTTTCTTGACGTTGCCATTATTTCGGTCCGTTTGGTGGCGGTGGTTCCAATGTCGCTTTTGACTCTGCGTGGCAAGAAGCGACCTCGGCTCAATCAGGGTGGATCGATTTTCCTGGTATTGATATTCAACAAAGGCAACATCGGCCTAGAGTGACTGTCCGCTTGCAGACATACATTGAGGCTCCAACTTTTAAGTCTTTGTCAAGGCCTTCGGCTCCCGTTGATCTGGGAGTGGCTTAAATCCGGCTATAAACATGCGACTGAACGAAGCGAGCGCTTGCTCGGTGTAAGCCATTGACATGTTCTGATGTAAAAAGCAGTGCGTGTTGAAAGTCCGGCGAACAATCATGCCGCCGCAAGTTGAAGTTCTTATGACATTGGTGAAGTCCTCAAGAATTCTCTGGATGGCACTTGCACCAACATATTTTTGTTACACGAAGATATGTATTTGGTACAAAATTTCTGTCATTCCTTATGTGCCCTAGTCGCCATTCTATCGCTGTGAAGCCAACCTATATATTTACAACGCAGCCCAATCCCATCTACAGCTCCATCCCACTATTTAAACAGCAACGTCAGGCTTGCCAAACTCCTTGATGAACTCTTGCGAGTAGGGGTAGTCGATGTAGCCCGGCTCCAGCTTGTCGCCCTTCTTCTGGTTGATGTAGAAGGTAAACCGATCATAGTCGTTGAACTCGAGGCCCTTCTTGACGCGGTAGACCAGGTCGGGCGTGGAGATGAAGCGGCGGCCAAAGACTACGGCGACATTGTGGTCGTGGTACTTCGCCTGGACAGCCTGAATGGCCCGCTCGGTCGTGTAGCCTCCGGCGATCAGGACGGGCTTCTCGCGGCCCCACGACTGAAGCGCGAAGTCGAGGCTCTCGTTCTCGGGGTCGCGGTCGACGACGCCGGCGACGCGCGGCTCGACCAGGTGGAGGAAAGCGAGGTCCAGAGCACGCAGCTGGTGGATGAGGTAGGAAAATTGGGGGATTGGGTCGGCCATCCGCATGCCCTGGAAGTTGCTCCAGGGGCTCAGTCGCATGCCGACGCGCTCGGCGCCCACGGCCGCGATCACGGCCTTGGTCACCTCGACGGCGAAGCGGGCGCGGTTCTCGATGCTGCCGCCCCACTGGTCCGTCCGCTTGTTGCTTGTGTCCTGCGTGAACTGGTCGATCAGGTAGCCGTGGGCGCCGTGGATCTCGACGCCGTCGAAGCCGGCCTTCTCGACGGAGTTCTTGGCCGCCGTGGCGTAGTCGCTGATGGTGGTGCGGATCTCCTCCTCGCTCAGGGGGCGCGGTGCCGGCAGGCCCTCGGCCATGGGCACGTCGCTGGCGCTGACGAAGTTGTTCTTGAAGTCGAACTCCTCGTTCCTGACGGCGCCGCCCGATCCGGCTGGGTCAGGGTCTGCGGCGCGGCCGAGGTGCCAGAGCTGCACGAAGATCTTGCTGCCCTTGGCGTGGACAGCGTCGGTGATCTTCTTCCACTCCGCGAGTTGCTCGTCCGCCCAGAGACCAGGGATGTTGGCATAGCCGCCGGCACGCTCTGTGATGAATGAAGCCTCGGAGATGAGAAGCGTTCCCGGAACGACAGCTCTTTGCGCGTAATACTGTGCCATCACCGGAGTAGGGACGCCTTCCTTGGTAGCCCTGAAACGGGTCAGGGGCGCCATGACGACCCGGTGGTCGAGCCCGACCTGCCCGATCTTGAAGGGGGTGAAGAGCTTCGTGTTCTCGGCCATTGCTGCGGATGGTCTCTAGATTCGTAGAAGATGAAGAACAAGGAAAACGATGTATCGAGGGTATCAGTAGCTAGAACAGAGAGAAAGAAAGACAATGTGCTGGAGTGTTGAGTGCATTGGGGTATATGGTACGCGGGCACTCGTCCCTTTATATAAAACCGCATCAACAAAATATTACCATGGTGTTCTGCTCCGGCAACGCCATGCTCATGCTCCACAGCCCCGTCGGACAGCAGCGTAATGGCCTCGGACGTTCGCTTTGCTTAGCAATCCAGCTTCCGTTTTCGAGTGTGGATCGCTGGTGGTCGCCGGGTGGTTAGTCGCATGAGGCATGCTGGCAGATGAGGGTGCGAGCTACTTACCCGACAGCCCAGACAGTGTGACCCTCCAAGCCAGATCAAGTGCTTCGTAATATGGAGGAGTGATATTCCGCCTGCCAGCTGCGGGAAGTCCGAGTGGATCCGCATGAGAGCTCCGAGACTCCGGACAGCTTGGCTCCACAACAGCACAAACATCGTTTTCTGTCGAGTTCGTCGTGTTTCGGGGTACCATCAACCATCAGCTGATCTGTGCAGGTCGATTAGCTCGCAAGCCGTGACGTGACATGGCTGGTGGTGGCCGCAGGACGTTGGGCCCACGGCCGAAACGGCAACGGGAACGATGAAGTTTTTATATCGCGGCAGTGGGGCCGCACCACTTTGACGTGTCGACGGTGTCGTAGGATTCGCGCCGCCGTCGGTTGCTACTTTAGTGTGCGGCTTGCCACGTGGCTGGTTTTTGGGCTGAAACAACTGACAACCTCCCATCGGCCGACAGCGAACCTCGGGATACTCACGCCCACACTTTCCGGAGCAACTGGGCTGAGGCGTGTTGTGCTTGCGACCATGTTTTGAGGGCAAGCCAGCGCGGAATGAGAGTTCTGCCGTTGTAGACAAAGACCCGGCCGGCCACCAGGGGGCCCGTCGCTGCTCGTGGTAGAGGCAAGGTAAGACATGAGAGAACTATCTCATGGGATGGAATCCGGTGGCAGAGCAAATGCTTCCTGATCTGTCGTCAAATGCGCGATGGAACCAGGAGTGAGGATGATCAATCTACATATGACGACGAGCAAGACCCCCCTCTTGCCAGCGCCCTCCTCGCAAGCCGTCATGGAATTCAGCTGCACAAGAGCCACACGCCTCGTCCTTCGGACAACGCAATATCGAACAGCACGTGCCGCCGCCACTCGCAAAGGGCTGCTACGCGCATCAAGCAGTTCCAAAGGAGACACCCAGCCCACGTCCCGCTGCGAGAAAGGGGAAAGATATGATGGTAGCACGCCTCGGCCGCGTGCTATCTTCTTTATGAGTACGGCATATCGACTGATGCTCCAAATCCTGGCTGGACATCGGCTAGGGAATCTCCAGACCTGGATCTCACTCATCTTGGTGCCTGTGAAGACATATATGCCCGGTGCGACAGCCGCTCGCAACCTCGAGTCGAGATGATGGGCTAGCCGGCGTGACATTGTGTAGGGGTTCCCGGTAACAAACTGAAGGGAGCCAAGCCTCAGCATACCGACCGGAAACGACTCAGTGATTGTGGCGGAGATGAACCAGAGGTTATGGAAGGAAACAAAATTATGGCAGACACGGCGCGGAAGGAGAGAGCAACATCCAGGGGCCTCATACATATTGCTTGTTCGCTCAACTTGCCTCAGGACCACGAGGCGTAGGTGAGCTGGAGATGGTGGCACCGCTCACCAATTGAGAGCTGTAGCAAGTCCATCTGCCCCTTGATCGAAACAATTTCGCTTGGGCACCTTTGTTCTCATAAACCCCTAGTACCGGAAGCAGGCTGCCTGTATACCATGCAAGACGAACACAGCACGAGTACCGGCACCTCATAACCATGCTCCACAAAGCCAGGCTAGAATCAAATCGAACTCCAAGTACCTAAGCCAGTGGCTTGACCTCGGCGTAGGAGAAAAACCGCTGTCACGAGCACATGGAACCTGGCGACGGCTCGGCCGCCGTTGCAAAACGGCTGCAAACGTACTTCTCTGAAGACAAGCGATATGTGCTATACCGGAGTCTTCCCAGTGGCGCGAGCGGAGACTGTCGCGGCTACATAGAGGACTTCGGGAGCGGCAGGACGAGGAAGTTTGTGGTCAAGTGGCCCAATGACGATGACGAGACCGTCATAGACGGGTTAAGGAATGAGATCGCGTGGTTGCAGGTAAGCCGCAGAGCCCCAGTCTATACTCTACTCGTAGATTGCGATGCTTCCACAACGCATTTATCCTGCAGCGGCGTCTAGAGGCTGACAGGCGTCGCTTCGTCGACTTCAGGTTTTGAGATTCGCTGAACATATCGTGAGCCCCTTACCGATTTCCACTGGCAAGGAACTTCCGAAGGACGTGTACATATTCCTCGAGTATATGGAGAATGGGACGCTGTCTGAGTTCCTCGAGCGAATTGGGTCCATGGCCATACCGAATCGTATATTATGGAGTCTGTTTCTCTGCCGTGAGTCATTCACGCACCTTTCCAAGGCTTGAAAAGTTGGGCCTCATCTGCTTCGTCTGAAATGACACCCAGTTGGCAGTGGCTCGACACTAACCAGAGCCAGTGATCAGAGCCTGCGTGTCCATGGCTTGGCCACCAGCTGCAGGGCAGCCTGAAGAAGTGAAACCCGGACCACCCTCCCGGCTTTCTCACTGGGACATGCACGATGAGAACCGTGAGTGTCCTTTACCCCAATCACTCAACCCGCAGCGAGAAGAGTTCGGGCTCAGTACAGTTGACTGACTCTCCGTGCCAAGTGATGTTTGGTCAATTCAACACCGCGTATCTAGAGCACAGATTTATCCCAATACTCAAGCTTATCGACTTTGACAATGCAACCTTGATCTATTTCGAGGAGAAGCCCGATGCGGATGTCGTGGCAAAGTTCGACAACGAGTTGGAGCTTGCGAGATAGTGAGTACATCATCTACCATACTCTCGATCGTGTGCGAACATAGCTCCGTGTTGACCTGATCCACCAGCCGCGAAAGCCAACACGTCACAAGCCTGGGAGCCAGCGCCAATGTTCTCGACGTAGGAATAGTACGTGACCACGCCGGGGCGGACCATGTCTATTCTCCTCTCCATATCTAGCCCTTTGCTAACATCACCACGTCGACTTATCAGGCCATGACGCGAATGCTAGCACAACACCGCTTCTTGGACGTGGGCGGCTGTCGCGAAGCAATACAGCACGAGTACCCGACGTTGGACTTTGATCTGCAGTTGCTGGTAGTAAGATGCCTAGCAGCCGAGCCGAAGAACAGGCCGAGTCTGGAAGAGCTGTTGCGCGTGGCCTTTACTGCCGTTGCCACCAAGGCGTTTACAGGAGAGACTGATGAGGTGATCCAGCAGATCATACAGGCTTTTATACTTGACGGCAACCAGTCATAAAGATGAGAAATGGCGGGCTTGCAGGTTATATCTCCAATATCGCAAAATAGGGATACCCGTCATGCCATGTCTCGGGTGAGTCTTTCTAGCAACCCTGGAGAAGGGACCAATTGAAATTAGCAATGATGTTGTCGCTCGCCAGTCAAGAGTTCTAATATAGTTCATACCATACGTTCTGCTCGCTGCCGCGTGCCGCAGAAGCTTGATTGACGAAGTGATCCCAACCATCCAGATTCCCCCCCGGTTGACCACTCCGGACACCAAAGTGGACCCCGTCCACCATCTATCCTCCAGCGTAAACAGTGGTATCTCAAACAGCGGTACCTACTAAGCGCAGACACGACAGCACACGAGACCGTAGTCGTCTGGTCAAATGACGCGGTCTAAAGGACTCGGACTTCGGGAAAAATCGTTGCTCAAGCGTATGATGGCTTGAGCGGTATAAAGGTGTATATGTAGTTTCAAGGTCAGAGGTAGTCGGCCGGAGGCTCAGTAGGAAATGACCAACCTACAGAGCAGCACATGGCACAGTTAGAATCGCCCCCTATCTTTCTCATGAGTCCAGCGTCCACGACCGGCATACAGTTACACAAGCAGATTCTACACAGCACCCAACACATCCCATCTTCCCAAAGTCCTTTCACCCACGGAAAGAAAGGCGTCTTGCTTCACCCAAGGCTGACATCCCTCAAGAACCCCTTGCCCCGACACCACCGCAGCAGCATCTCCGTGGCCAAAGGAGACGCCTATCTTCATTTGGGCTGAGCCTTCACCTGCGTCCAGGCACGCCTGGGTCACTGCCGCCACAGCGCCGTGTTCCCCGGTACATGGATGTAAATGACCAGGTCGAGTGAAGGTCACAACATTATTGCCCGTGACAATCGGCATGTCTACGGTTCTGCTGCGCTGCGAGTCTCAGCTGTGATGGGAACGAGAAAGTCAAAATGAAGGCATGGTGTTGTGTTGTACAAGTTTTCCTGATTAGACAACTATACTCACGTGGGCATGCAGTGGCATCCCAAGGGTAACCTATCTAGCTATGTGCTGCATAGCCAGCTAAGGGGCCACCCATGCTTCCAACTCCCATCCCGTGTATATAGGTACAGCGAGATACCGAGACACTAGGCACACAAAGTGTGCGTCCCTGTCCCATCCATCCGGGTTGATGTTCAAGACATTATACAAAAAGCAATTGCCCTGGCACATAGTGTGGCGGCGAAGTATATGATGGGAATCCAAGCATAAAGAATCAGGGCAGGTTTATGCCACCTCCATTGCCCTCATCCACAGGGTGTATCCTGCTCAAATCCAAAAGCTGCCCCCAATACCCAATGCTTGTAAATGCTCAAGGACAACAGATGCGCCGTTAAGCAATGATTTGTTTGGCTTCTAGAAATCGAGCCTTGCTCGATCAAGGCTGATTCATGCCAGAAGAGACTTGAATCGACCCTCAAAGGCTTGGAGCTTCTCGGCTTGAAGCTCCTTCTCCAGTCTCCGGGTCTGGCGAACGGCTGCTTCACGCTCTTCTTGTAGCTCCAGGACCTCGATCTGCGCCGTGTTCATGCGCCCAACCACCTGCTGCATCTCTGAGTCGGCATCCGTCAACGCGTTCTCGAGCTCCGCCACGCGAGCTTTGAGATTGTCGACTTGAGCTTCCTCTGAAACGTTCATGGCAGGGCCGGAACGTGTCGCACTCAGGCGTGGAGAGCGCCCACCCTGGGTGAACAGAGGAGACAATGGCGACTTTGGTGGGAATGTCCGGGGCGAGCGCAGGCCTTCGCGCATTCGTGTGAGCTGGGCGTTGTGGCTCTCCTTGAGCGTCGACATCTCCTCCTCGTGACGAGTGACTCTGTCCTCGGATGCCGCTTGCGCTGCCTCCAGCTTCTCCTCCAGGATCCGCAGTCGTGACTGCATTGTGGTGATCTGCTCCGAATTGGCCTTCTGGTTGGCCTCGCCGCGAGCTACCGTATCCGCAATTCGTTGGCGGAGGTTCTGGTTGGCGGCCAACTGCTGGCGAACCTGGACGGCTAGTTCTTCGACACGGCGAGCCGATTCGCGCAGCTCGTCCGCCAATGCCCTTTCAGATTCCAGGTAGGCTTGCTCGCCAGCCTTGAGAATGTCCAGTTGCTCTTTGTAGGACGTGACCTCATCACGAGCGTAGTCGCGTTCCGATAGGGCACAGGACAGTGCGTCTTCCAACCTCTGCATAGCGAGCTGGGTTGACTCATCCTGTGAACCGGCTTCCAACCTCTTGATGCGCTCAAGGGAATCTGTATACGCTTCCTGAAGATCCTGGTACGCAGCCGCCAACGAGTCCGACGTGACAGGGGCGGCATTGGTATCGCTTCCACTGCTCGAGCGTGCGAGCGCAGGCGGAATGAGAATGTCCTTTTCGCCAAGCAGGCTTCGGAGGGATGCGATCTCCTGCTCTGACCGGTCGAGATCCATCTTAAGACCACCGAGTCCCTTCTCTACCTGCCACTTCTGTTCGAGGGCTTCTTCGGCTCGTCGGCGCAATGTGGTGATCTCAGCTCGCAAGTTGGTGACCTCCCGTTGAAAACCGGCCTTATTGGGTGATGAGGTCATTAGTCGGTCACGCTCCATTTCGAGAACTCGAATCTTCTTATCATTCTCGCGGTTCTGGTGCTCTTGTCTCTCGAGCAGGTTCTTGAGAGCACGGTGCAAGGCATTTCGTTGCTCCTCGACATCCTTGAGCCGCTCGGACAGTTGGTCCCTGGACTCGGTTGTCTTGACCGACTTGGATCTGGTAAGTCCTGACGTTGGTGCCCGTTGAAGCCTGAAGGATGAAGGTGGGCCTGTGAGAGAGTTGGATCGCGACAACCGAGATCCAGAGAGTCCGGCTTCTTCCGATATGCTGTCCATCGAGGCCGTCTGCGCCTGCTTCAAGTCAGAGTTCTCGCTTTTGAGATTGTGCATTTCCTGCTGCATCTTGGTCGACTCGTAGGCCATCTGCTCCAATTCCGAAGCCTGGCCCTCGAGGCCTTCCACGCGGGCGCGCAGTTGAGGAACGATCTCGTCGCGCAGGTTGTCGCGCTCATTGGAAGCATTTTGGAGCTCTCCCTTGAGTGCCGAAAGCAAGTCTTCGAAGTTATCCTTGACTTGACGTTCTTCAGAGAGCTTCCGTCGCAGTGTCTCGCAGGTGATCTCGAGCTCCTTCACACGGCCGCTGGCATCAGCGTTCGACGTCTGGCTGAGGTCAATTTGGGAGGCCTTCGTGGATAACTCCTTAATCTGCTCGCTCATCTCTTGTCTCTTGGACCGTTCATCCTGGAGCTTATCGGTCAACTCAAGCCTGAGTTGCGCCTTCTCTTGCTCCGATCTCCTCTGTATCTTTTCAACCTCTTCTCTAGACTGATCGTATTCACTGAACTTGGCTGAGCTATATCCCGAATCAGAGAAGTAGTCGCTTGTCCTCTTATTTATAGTGGTGGTAGGATTATCCCTCTCGGTTTGTAGTCTGTCGACTAAATCTTCTAGGTCCATCTCGCGCCGAATGGACGCTGCCAATTCGGCCGAGATGGCCTTCAGCTCATCTTCCATCTCTTCGATGTCACCAGTGTCTGCCGCGGTAGCTGGCGGCGTAGCAAGATATGATTCGCAGTAGTCCCTGGAGTTTGGAGAGCCGTATTGCGCCTTGGGGGCCTCGAGTAGTGAATGTGGTCCGATTGTAGTAACGGGGGATGCATCGGCAACGCTGGTGGACTTGGAGAAGTTGAAGGGTGACGGGAGTGGCGAATAGCCTTTGTCTGAAGTCTCGGTGTTGGACGGCGACGATGTCCAGCCGAAGAAGGTGCCGAGGCGGGACGAAGTTGGTGATTTGGGCAGAGGCTTGTCAGTATTGACGGGTGTGTTGATGGTATTTCTGTGTGTTGGAGTTGGGACAGTGTCGTCCGGTATAAGGGTCAAGTGTGGTGGTGTGGCCTTGCGGGTGACATGCAACGACATAGTATTAGGACTATTATGATTAGAATTATCGGACGAGTCTGAGTTGTACCCGTCGAAAATGTGGTCACTCAGTGGATCCTCGTCTTGGTCGGACAGCAGGTCGTCATATGGGGTCTGTCCGTCGTCTTGCGACAGGTCAGCAGTCGCAGATGTTTGAAGAGCTGCAGGGTTGCTATCCCGTAAGCTTGGGTGTTTGACTTCACCCGCTGTGACAGCCGGATCGGAGGCTGCAGAATCAAGCGAATGTCGAGGAACGGGAGATTCCCTAGTTGAATCGGAGAGATTAGAATGGCTTATTTTGGTTGCCAGATGCGCGCTGGATTGCATTGCAGATTAATGAGACCTTTGACTCACTCTTTGTTGTCTTGGTTGGCGTTCTCGTTAGCAGGCGGTGGCTTTGTTTGCGACTCCCAACTGAGCCGAGGCATGGGCGAGGCGGGCGGCTGAGGAAAATGGTAGACGGTAGGGCTATCGACCGAGAAGGAGCGGTCGTATCTGTGGTCCGGCCTGGGTAGATTCACGATGGCCAGATACTCGCCGGACGAGTAGCGAGTGGCGATGGGTGAGGCGGTTGACGACAGCGGCTTGCGTCGAATGGGGTGGGCCGGCGGCAGGGCTACGGAGCTGTCGATGACAAGCTTCCTGGTGTTTCTCGTACTCGAAATAGGCAGAGCAGGCACTTGGTCGACGTCGTCCTCGTCGTCCAGGGGATGGGTATAGTCTGGGTAGGCAGGAAACGATTGACGAAGGGAAGAAACATCAGATGAAGCACGAAAAGTCTCAGAGTCGGCCCTCGACGAGGGGGCCGTCTCCTGGTGGTTGGGTATATGGACCGACATGGCTCTACTCCCTGGTCATATCTCTCATGACGACAGGCGCGCAGGTGATGGTTGGAATGTGGAGTGTATCAATAATCCCAGGAGAAATTACTGGGGACCAAAAAGGCCAAGACTGATAGATAGACAGAACCAACAGCTCAGCTCGAAAGGAAATAGTAGGCGTCGCAGGGAGTGACAAGAGGCGATCGCAGAGAGAGAGGTAGCAATGGACCACAGACAGACACAACGACGGAGGGAAAAGGATAGGAAAGAGAGAAAAAGCACAGACGGACGGGTCAGTTCGAGACTTCCAGTTCCAGTTCCAGCCCCAGCTCCATATTGGAAAGGGGCACTGGCCTGGCCATTGGCAACAGGTAGCGTCGCAATCGGCCTCTTTGGCCAATGATTAGACCAAATTGATCCCAAAGAGGCACAGAGGATGGGGAATTCGGAAAGTAGCACCAACCGCCAACGAAGCGACGCGCCACGCGCGCATGTGGCATCATCCCCTGTCCATTCCCCTGTCCATGCCCCTGGACCGCCTCCTCTAGCGTCGAGGGGTGCCCCTGACCTGGCGCGCAGCGGGCGATTCTAGTGGCCGCGCGCTGTCGTCGCACAGGCCCGCAGCAGGCTGCCCCTGTCAATCATCTGTCACCCTGGATCTTGGCCCGTCTGCTAATTTTACTTATCGCCGTCACCTGCGTCGTAAGTGAGCAGCAGTGAGCGGTTGGCGATGGGAGGCTGGAATGGAAGCCAGACGGGCAATTCTCCCTCAATCCCCCTGCATGATGCAGGCACCACTTAACCACAGATGAGGATATTCGGTAGATGATCTTTGAATCTGAAAGATGGGCTTGGCGTTTGCGGGGGCATCATGACTCGGGAACTGGTGGCTCGCTCGCTTGAGCTTCTTTTCACGTCTCTCCCTGTCAAGTTCTTTGCATGAGGTCGATTGATTACCCCGAGATGCAATCGAGACTCCGCATCTCGCAGCAGGGTGCAGTTAATACCAGCAGCTAGACAGCATCTACTGGTAGAAAGGAGTGATGCTATCTCGGCTGCTCGGGCCCGGGCGGTCAAATGGAGGCGCTTCCAGGTTTGGCTGGCCCCGTGGTCCGGTCCATGTGGCCGGCTTGGTAGTTGAAGAACGGCGTGGCGCGCGGCAAGATATGTGATACACCGTTGCGATCTGCAGGGTGGTCTGTCGTGCTCTGTCGAGCGTAATCTCAGCAGAAACCAAGGAAGAAGAAGATGGGAGGCGTCAAGACTCAACGGCCAATCGTACCACGTCGGTGCGTGTCACCTGGTCATGCGACAGTCCGACTGCCGGATACCCTGAGCGTGACGACCGGGATCAGCTTGCAACTTTGCTCATCTCAGCTGTACACACACAAGTCTCCGTTCAATACCGAATGTATTCGTGGCAGCATTCCTGAAGGCAAATGTGATTTTTGATTGAAGAATTTGAAGAACAAAGAAAGTCGGCGCGCGGCCCCAAAGCAACCCCCTTAACGCCCCACCTGAGTTTGTATGCCTTTCGTTTCCCCTGGAACGCGAACTCGTGGCCAATGAGATCCATTCCCTACAAGGTGCTACTCAGGTGGTCTAGGCGCGCCCCAGGGCTGCAGCGGCGGTGGGGTGACGGGGCGGAAACGGACTAGCGCCAGGAACGCTGCAGAGCGGATCCAAACTGTCTGATGATTAATAATTCATAATCAATCGTCACTCTCCTACCTTATCGCACAAGTGCTCTTCCGGGTTCCGATGTCATTACTCGCTCACACTCGAGGTTACTGTAGTCTGTAGCCTTGATGACTCTGTGATGAACGCAACAGCCATACGTCGGACACAAGTGACAAGCCCAAATCAATACAAAACCTCACGAAGACGTTCCTTGAGTTTGGCTCTCCCCTCGTCCCAGCCCGGCTCAAGCTTATCGCCGAAATCAGCACCATACCGGTTGTCCTCATCGTGAAGGCTTGCCCCAAAGACCATGGGATAGGCCTGCTATACAGCATATCCTTTCCCTCCTGTTTCTAGTCTTCGTCCCAGAGCTTGAACGCCGCTTGCCTCTGCGGCTCTAGGGGAACGTCGCGAACGCTCCACTCATCATCAGCGCCCGCAAGCTCTCGGACGAGCGCGATGAGCTCGTTGACCGCGATGGTAGTACTTGCGAAGTACGCAGGCCGGTTCCGGTACCGCTCTGGGTTCCGAAGAATTGCGACCACATAATCGCCACACCGTTCCTGTCGGGTCAGACTGAGGCGCTGGTTTCCAGACCCGTAGCGGGTAATCGTGCGCTTTTCCTTGTTGATCATGGAGAAGCCCGCGTCGATGGACCAGTCGTACCAGAGGCTAGTGAGTACAGACGTCCACGTCAATTGTGGCTCCGGGCGGCCGTGTTTGCGAGCTTCGCTCTGAGCTTCCTCGATGGCTTCTTCCAACTCTCGTTGAGCGCGAAGCTTGGGGTTGAATATGGGGATCTCCTCGATATGTGGGCCGAATCTATCGATCGTAAAGTCAGGCGTGAGGAGGTGGGCCACGCCGGCAGCCAGAGCTGCCTTGACGATGGATCGTTGGTGAACCTGGGCGGCAGGATTGAAAGCCTCTATCACGGCGTGTTGGCCGTTGAAGACGGCGGTCATGGACTCAACGTCCGAGTATGAGGCAGTCTCGATGCGGATATGCTCAACATCGATGCCATTGAGGTTGAATGGTTTGGAATCCGGACGAAGAACGATGGTGAGGGTGTATCCTTCAGAGAGGAGCTTTGGAATGACCACGTCGCCCACATTCCCAGACGCCTTCACGCGGAATCAGTAAAGGTAGGAGTAGATCTCGCAGGAGACTGATACTTACACCTAGGATCGCTACGTTTTGGATGGTAGGCATATTGTGTATGAGCCTTTGACTGGTTGTTCCTGAGCGAGACCTCTGTTTTGTTGCCTTTCATCATTTCTCTCGAGGCGTATATGCGCTTCAAATACTCAAATTCCTGAGCACGAACAATCGACTGATACCATTTAGCTTGCTAAGCTGCACCGGCCGATGCATGAGCCAACCCACACATCTCCATGCTCTTGCCATTGAGACACCCTACCGTTCGGTGTCTCATAGAAACATTGTGTATCCTTACGTGCTGACAAGTCATAGGTGCCAGGAGTTCGGGCGGTGACATGTAAGCGGGACTAATGCAAGATTCGATCCCCTGCCTCTATGCATCGGCCGACGCAGATATTGCTACCCCTACCTGTCTGGCCAATAGAACGGGCCGACCGAAAGCCTACCATCTTGGCCAGCGATGACGCCCTTTGGGTTCCAGTAATGGCTTATAAACTGGGTAAATCCAATATCTCATCCTGTGTCGGCCGATGCATGGTGTCCCAGCATATTGGCTACATGTGACTCCTTCCAAGCCCAGTCGCCATGTCCTCTCCAAAGCCGTTGTTAGTGTTGAAAGCGCAACGGACGTGCTCACAGTGTCGATCCCGCAAGCAATCCTGTGATAGGACCATGCCGACTTGTTCGTGATGCGCATCGTAAGATGTCCCGTCTTGCCTCCTATTGACACTGCTCGGAATATTCGCCACAGTTCGCACTAACACGAGTTGAGCGTGTAGGAAATCACTTCATTGCGACTATGCTGCCCCCAATCTACCGTGTACTGGGGATTTGGTCCATTTCCAAACCCAAGGCGGCCCAGGCCAACTAGTAGAACCAGTGGGAGATTGCTGTACTGATCTGACATGCAAGGGCGAGGAGCTCCTCATGCAAGCACTCTGCGGCCGTCGCCCGGTTCACTCGGATCGTCATAGTGAACGAATGAGTCTCGATGCTCTGGTTGTACAGACACTCACTGCCTTCGGGATCAGTCTGGCCGAGTTGGCTGACCTCCACTTCGACACGGTGCACAGATGGCTACCCGTGGTCGACAAGAATTCCTTCCATGATACTCACAAGCAGCTTCGAGAAGATCATGGCTCTGCTCTCGATGAAGAGCTGGCAGTCCTGACCCTCTCAATGTTTCTGGCAAGCCGAGTTCCTTGCGTAAAGCGCGAATACCCCGTCGAAAAGAGTCCCATCTATCGCGTCACGAAAAGGCTATCCCTCATCTCGCTATCTGAGCAACCATCCCTACTTCTACTCCAAGCCGGTATCTTGGTCACGGCATATGAATTAGGGCACGGTCTCACCAGACAGGCGTATCTCAGTCTTGCTACCTGCTTCTCGGTGGCCAAGCTGATGGGGTTGGCCTATGCTGGCAGTGTTCTCTCCCAAGGTGATGGAGAAGGCCAACTAGCGGTCTCAGCTTGTGCTGGGGCGCCATCACACTTCTCGATCGGTAAAGGTCACCGGACCGCGATAATTCACATCTCAGATGCTGATAATAACGCCTTATGCAGTATGATCGCACTCTGTGCTATCGATTGGCAAGCACCTCTTCTCATCCCGCCGCCCGACGAGCCGTACGTCGCTGCCTCTCTGAGAAACGTGACTGCTTTCTTGAAGGGAGCCAGCTTCCTCGTGGGACCTTTTAGAGCTTTCCAAGTAACTGTTGAGACCGCATTCCTGATCGGCAGCGCGTTGACTTATGTGCACCGCCGTTCTACAACGTCTGTACAGCAATGTGCCACTTTGGATTCACACATGCAGCAACTGGTTCAATCCCTCCTACATACATCACAGAGGAAATACCTACGTATATGCGAGGCTGCTGCGCTGGCCATTAGGTGAGTCACACATCCATGCTCAGTCCTCTACCCGTTGTATTCACCTATATGACTACTAAAACCTCCCAAGTGCGCTCGCCGCCCTCCGGTCAACACATTCAGAGGGGAACGCCCACGATCTGGACTCGGCATCAGCCTTAGCCCTGCGGTCGATCTCGAACATGGTTCTGGACATGGCCCGCATTGCCCTTGAATCATGCGATGCCCATGATTCACGACAGCATTCGTTCATAGCGTTTTGTACCGAGTCCCGTGCCACACTCTATGTCGTTGAACACTTGGGACGTGGACTGTCGGAGCAGGAGGTGGACGTCTTGAGGTCGAGCACATTGCGCTTTGGTAGACGGTGGGCTATTGGATGTGAGTGGCGGCGTTTCTGGCCTGCGGAGCTGACTCGTGGGTTTGCTGACAGGCAACAGGTATCTACCCCAGTCACCTGGAGTCACTACTTCGCTAGAACCACCGTGACAGGATTATCGAGGGGGGTGGGGAGGCACGGCTGTTGCCTGAATGGGGCTCTTTAAGAGCCGCATATTTGACCGAAGCACCGACTACCCAAGATGCGCGCATCATCAACAAACCAGAAACATGGCCAGTAGTCTAGGCCAGTCATTGGTCACCAGTCTCGCATGGTCTTCAAACACCCTGCAGTGTCAAAACTACTACGTTGTCAAGTACCGGCCACATCGCGTCTCTCTGTTCTTTTTTCTCGTTCTTTATTTCTCGCTATCCAGGTTCCATGGACATATCGAGCGTGACCTTGCTCTCTTACACCTCTAGTAGCGCTGGCGGCTTGACTTGGTTTACTCGACGTCTGTCAGGGCCTGAATCCACATGAGCCTCGCGAGATGGAGCTGGCCGGGGATTGTAGGTTCACGCGTACCTAGGGGACGATGGTCTCTACGAGTCATGCTACGAGGCCGCCAACGCGGTCGTCACCGCACCTGCTCGCCAGGGGGGAAGTTCGCAAGAATCATCGTGGCAGTGACAATACTTTGTAAATGAGAGACGATCAAGTCACACAAGAGAGAATATTTAGGTAGGTGAAAAATAGCAATGAAAGAGACCACACTCGAAGCTATTGAGTAGCTAATATCACTGGTTTGGGTCGGGAATTCCCAGCAGCGTTATATCGACTGGAAGAGGCGGGAAGGGATAGCAGAAGTAGCACCGACTCTTACACTCGACGCCGGCGCGGAGGTTCTTGTGGTGAGGTCTGATACCTTTCTGGGGCCCATCGCTTACCTTGAATGGACGACCACGGCTGATGATAGTCTGGCGTTCAATCTTTCGACCAAGCTTGTTCAGGCTTTCCAGCCTGGAGACAATGTCCCCTGGTGTGTGCCCATTGTCATCGACACAGGCGCTTCGGTATGGCTCCAGCAGTGCAATGATGGAATATGCCCTGTACTCCGCGTCGGCGACCAGTTTCTCACAGATTTTACTGATCTTGACGTCGTCGGCGACGGTCAAAGTCGGATGCCATGCCTGGTTGCGCAGGTGAGGCAGGACGTCTGGCGCCCTCTGATTCCGTCGACGTCGGCCCGGATGAAGATGCTTCATTAGCTTGCGTCGCAGGAACTCTAGAACCTTCTTCGCCACGGGACCTTTTTGCGAGAAAGGTTCACCAAACGCGTGGTGGGCTGGAGAACACCTTTTGGGCTGCAGCTGAAAAGGGTTGGCTCCCAACTCCACAAGCAGTTGGACGGTGTCAATCTCCCCGTAGAGAATCGCGTAGTCGAGAGGAGTCAAACCACTGCTGCCCACGGCGTTGATGTCGACACCGAACTTTACCAGGGACCTTATCAGATTCGGTTTCGACAGCGGCTCTGTCAGCATTTTACCGCCGTAGCACCTGGAGACCAGCTGGCCAAGGTAAGTCTGGTTCATCGCATTACGATCATGGATGTTGAGCACACCTCCCTCGACCAGCAGTGTCCATATCTCATCGGAGTCGATGGGACACTGAACGTAAGAGTAGAAGATGTCCTCGAGCATGACGCCGGTTGGGCTGAAGAGACCTTGGGACCGAGTGGCGCCGGCCTCGATCAGGATCCTCAGCGAATCGATCCAGGCCTTTTGCTCTTGAGTTCCGCGAACTCTGGCGCCAGGTGCCAGCCATAGTCTCCTCCTTTCGTGGATGAGATCGTATAACGGAGTAGGTGTAGCAAAACGGAGCCGCGGCTGTTCGTCATTGCTAGGGGGTCCCCATACGATTTGACCCCAACAAGCTGGCTCTGTTCTGGGGGAGAGAATTGCCATCTCCTCGTCGGCAATGCCGTAAGCTGCAGAACCACTGAAGTTGGCTCCCAGTTTAATTAAAGTTCGGATTAGCATAGGGTTTGCCACGCGACAGGCGTGCCCAACGCTGTCCGACGGAATATGAGCCCGTGGACGACTTCTCCCCTATCCAATAAATCGACATCAGCTTCAGCTTCAACCAAAAGCTGTAGGACCCCGCCAGAGTATATGAGATTTTTTTAAGTCCGCCGCTCACCCTCTTCATCTGGTGACCAATATCGCTACAAAGTGCTCTCAAGTGAAAAAGCGTGCATCAGCCCGTGTCTGGGACGATCGCGAGAATAGCCTAGGTTGGAATCTTCATCAGCGAGCTGTATGAGATTCAGATTCGGTTTACAGTCGAGAAGGACGCGCATCATATCCCTGCTCTTGACTTTGCGTATCAAGTGTGTCAGTCTGGACCCGTCGGGAGGGCCCTCGCACTTCTCCAAGCTGTCCAATGCGCCGTGCTCAATCAGCAGCTTGGCAGCTATTGGTAAGTCCCGTTCAGCGGCTTGATATAAAGCATGCGTCTGGTACCGGGCCGTGCCTCCGCTCGGGTCCGCGCCGGCCTCGAGTTAGCATCGAACAACTGAGGTGGCGCTACTTTGCAATGCAACTCGAGGAGACTTCTGGGTGCGGGCTGTTTTTGGTCTTCGGGTTTCCTCCAATGAATGGTGCTGTTCACGTCCAGTCGGCTCAGCGCCGAGTACTGCTTGAACATCTCCGCATCGTCGTTCTCGATGAAGAACTTGAGAGCCGTGGGTCCACGCGGGCTTCAGCTCCACCCCATGGCACATCACGCGCCCACAGGCACATCCCCAGGCGGTTTTCGGGCCCGAGTCCGTCCCCGTGGCGCAGTGAGCCGATGCGATTTGGCACGTCTGGGGCATTCAGGGATGCGTCGGCGTATAGGAGCTGCTTGTAGATGCTCTGGTGCGATGTTTGGGACGTGAGTGACAGCTCGAGGGCTGTCTTCAGGTACAAGTCCTGGCACAGCGTCTGTGCGATGAGGTAGACGACGTCATGATTAAGCTTGGGGGCCATGTTGGCTGGTTGCGTATTGTGGATGAGGAACGCGAGATGAGAGAGTCACTCTTGCAGTATCTCGGGGGGTCTTGTAGCTGGCGGATCTCAAGTGTACATGAGTGAGTCTCCAAGGACCAGATGGATGACCCAAGGTCATACCGCCGCAACAACGGGGATGGGCTCGTGAGCGGGACAGACTGTACTTATTATCTTGATACCTCCACAACCCTGCGATGCAGAGGCTCTGGGAGGCGTGGTTTGCACTACTGAGGAGCAATCCCCCACGTTAAATACAAAACAAACAAACAAACAAACAAACACATGAGTGAGTCTTTGTCTAGATTCTTCATAGAACAGGTCATTTTCCAAGCTTGCTTTTTACAGACAAGTCAGAGAAATCTTTACTTCTCTTTGTTCACTGGCAAGCGCGCTACCAAAGAAGCAACCAAAGGGCGGCAGGGTTCGGATCAAATTCAAGAAAGGTCGCAGATCTCCATCACCAGGGACACTGCTAGATAATGCAACTCCGCAGCAACTGAGCATCCTGCAAACGTTCCTCCAGAGGAGGCGACTCGAGGCAATAGATTACGCTGCAATCACAGCAATATTCACATCCCCGCGCGGCAGTACAGACTGTTGACAGAACCCTCCCCCGCACGAATTTCTCGCACACGCATACATCCAACACGAGTACATCCAACACGCGTACATCCGACAAAAATGGCCCTCAGCAGTGGCAACAGCGAAATCCAAGTCGCTCAAGACCCCGCTGACATCCTAAAAGATAAGAAGTTACAATACCTTGGCAAGCACAATCTACATGCCAACCTTGTCGACTCCATCGACCTCGATATGATCCATCCAGTCGATCTGAGAGATGACGACACTATTCACATCAACTCGTACACCCTAGCCTGCATTGACCGCTATAATGGCAATGAGAAGCCTGTCCCTTACGACATCTTTGAGAGCTTCCGAATGGACTTTGAAGAATGGACAAGAGACAACTTCGAGAAGATTGAACGAACTATCCGAGGCATCTTCCGAAAATACCTTATTTCCCAAGGAATCTATCTAGGCAAGGCAAACCACTCTATCGCGGACACACTTGCCAACCTCGTAACTGCAGAAGACCTTCCCGTCTGGGACAAGATCACACTTGACAGGACGAAACTGTTATATCCAAACCCTGACCTGTAGAAAATGGTTGAAGGTTACATGGCTATCCAAGCACGAGAAAACGGCGATGACGCTAATTTATCCAATACCAACACACCTGGTTTCGATCTTCAAGACAAAAATGACCCCCCTCCTGCTAATACTGCTAACCTCGAACCTACCGAGCAGCATGTTTCACAGAGCCATATTGCGTTCCAGAGCACTGACAGCAACCAGTTAAGAGATACTTTACGAACACCTGTTCCGATACGTCCCCAATATCGGAATCCCTCACAGACTTCGCAAGCCGGATTCATACCCGGACAAACCCCGATGGCATACGCAATTGACAGCTTCGTCCCCGGTCCTCGACATGTTACTGTTACACCGGACCCCGGTTTTAAGACCTACCAGCAGCATAATCAATGGCTTCAAAACCAGCCACCTGACCCATATACGCAGATTCCCCCTGCCCCAGTAACGAATAAAGATCTTATTTCTGTAACCATCGCTACGTTCGCTAAGATATGGACAAAGGAAGACTGTTACTCCGGAAGACCGTATGATATCCTGGACGACAAGATGCGTTATTTCCTGAACACGTATTCTATCATTGGCATCAAACCTGGTCAATTCCACGCGGTATTCCCTCAAGTGCTTACTGGCGCAACCCGAATATATTTCATGCACCACGTTAGCCGTCACTCCACGTTTTCCGACATGTATAATCGTCTCAAGATACATTTTGACACAGAGGTCAACAGGATGCAGTATCATCGTGATTAGTCTGCAATTACCTATAGCAATTTGAAGGCACGACCCGAGAATGCCAGCAAGTCTAATATGGACGTCCTCGAGGCATTACTTGACAAGTTGCAGCTTTGTCAACGTGCCCTCAGCCCATCATATCTCGGCGAAACACAGCTGACTGCAGCTGTGGAACGTGCCTGCCGTGGCGTTAAGGAACTCGAATACGCATTGTTCACCCCGTCTCATACATTCGAGGCTCTTGTGTCCAAGCTCCGACAATCACTCGAGACCTCTGAAGACTCAGCCAACAGCGCCCAGCATGCTGCCAACCAGTACTTTACTGATCGCAAGTTCCACCAGCGGAAAGACAAATAATACGGTAAACGAGATGGCAACGTTACCAGATGTCACGACCAGATCAAGGCATTGAGGCGAACTCAGTCCATTGGGTGCTATAGACGAAGATTCTAAGCTAAAGAGAAAAGAAAAGAAATGACCAACAACGCATTGCGAAAAGCGCGACCAAGTCTAGGAGCAGGTGGAGCTCTGCTTGTGCCTGATCCCCACAGCCAGCTTCCAATTGGCTACCACAGTCCTGGCAGTTGAGGGCTGCTTGGGAGCAGGTCCTCACACCAGACGTTGTTACATCTGTAGTGACCCTGACTGTCGATGGTGGAAGTATTCTCCAGAGGAACAACGAAAATCCAAAAAGAAATGGCGGCACGATCAACAGTTCCGTGGACGACCGACCACAGGCCCTGTCTACATCCATTTCCTGGCCGATTACGAGCCTGATCTTGACTCAGACCCTGATGATACGCATGATCAACACGTCACGGATTCCAGGAGCGACAGCAGTGACGATGCTATACAGTATCTCACAGCCACCTTACTTGGTAACCAAGCATTTCAACATGCAATCACTGCTGTGGACGACTTGCAGACTAGATCCGAATCTGATGGCTTCATACTGGATAGATACGCCAGTTCCACATTCCAAGGAATTATGCCTGATTCTGGCGCTGCTTCCGTTTCAACAGCCGGCAAGGGTCAGTTCTTAGCCATACAGCACGAACTACCCTCAGTTTCACTCGATAAATCACGCGCTGGAGAAGCTACGGTTAAATTTGGTGGAGGACAGCCCCTAGATTCCCTCGGCACGATCTATGTTGACACCCCCATTGGAGACGTGACGTTCCATGTCGTCGACACCCAAACTCCCTTCCTCCTCTGCCTGAAAGACTTCGATAAGCTTGGCGTAATGTTTGATAATATTGCCAATAGGATGATCCGACTACAAGATGGCAAGTCCATCCCAATCACCCATAAATGAGGCCACCCCTGGTTCTTCCCCTCAGCAATGACAACCGCATCAACCGATGTTTTCCTGACAGAAGCTGAATTACGACGCGTTTATACCCGACTTGGACACCCTTCCGTCGGCAAGCTTTACAAGCTCCTAGAGAAATCTGGCAACAAAACTGATCGAGATGCTATTGTAATGATCAATAAGTTTTGCCATCACTGCCAGGTCAAAGGCCCGTCACCACAACGGTTCAAGTTCTCCATCAAGAAGGATGTTGATTTCAACTACGAAGTCATTGTCGATGTCATGTACCTGGAGAGCAAGCCCGTTTTTCACTGCGTTGACGCCGCTACAGCCTTTCAAGCAGCCCAATTCCTTCTCAACCTATCTGCCAAGGAGACCTGGGAAGCACTGAAACGATGTTGGATTGACACCTATCTTGGCCCTCCAGATGTCCTAACGCACGATGCCGGTACCAACTTTGCAGCCACAGAATTTCGCGCTGAAGCCCAATTGCTTGGAATTACCTGTCATCAGATTCCCGTCGAAGCTCATTGGTCGATTGGCAAGGTTGAACGGTATCATACCCCCATTCGACGCTCTTACGAGATCATCCGAGCCGAATCATCCAGGATCTCTCGAGAAGCTGTCCTGCAGATGGCAGTAAAAGCCGTAAATGATACCGCCGGTCCTGATGGTCTTGTACCAATACTCCTGGTCTTTGGAGCCTATCCACGCGTTACGATGGATTCACCCCCGACACTATCGCAGCTTCAATGTGCCCAGGCCCAGGCCAAAGCAATGACCAAACTATGTAAGCTCTGAGCCAAGCGAAACGTTCAAGGTGCTCTAAACACAAGGAACGGCCCTGATACAACCCCAACACTGCCTCTCTCTCTTCCCATTGGCAGTGAAGTCCTTGTTTATCACGAAAAAAACAAATGTCAAGGCCCGTATAAGGTTCTATCGGTTGCAGACCGAGAAGTGACTGTTGAGATGGTTAACGGACCAACCCTCTTCAACCGTACGCACGTTAAGCCGTATAACTGTTACCCTGACGCGATTCTCAATGCTGACAAGCTTGACAACCACGATACCCCCGTTCCGTTCAAATATCCAGAACCGACACTCCCCCATCGTCGCGGCCGCCCTCTGAAGCTTCCTATACACGTCCAAAGTACAAAGCGACCGCGAGGCCAACCCGGAAAAGTATACGTGGTACACATGGCCACTGCGACTACAAGCGAAGAGAAGAACTTCGCTGGCTTCTTCATCCAGCAAGATGAATATGGCATTTTCCTCTCGTACGAAGAGCGTGCTGATCACGCCCTCGTCCTGAACTTGCGCACTGAAGGCAGGATCACAGCCCCCGGAGCACCCTTCGAGCAATCCGATATCCTTGAGATTGAGTCCCTATTTGCCAATCAAGTGCTTGTCCCCGTTCTGTCCGATAGCAAGATTCACAGCGATACCCGACTTTTTAACTCCCGCCTTGTCCGCACGGTCAAAGAGGTCAATAACCGCCCTTACAAGAAAAGCAGACTCGTCGTCCAAGGATACAACGATCATGAAAAGCACGATATCATGACCCAAGCTCCGACGATAATGCGATGCAGCCAGCAACTGGCCATGGCATTGAAACCGTCTCTGCGACAGCGAGGATGCCTTGCTGCCTCTCGAGACATTATTATGGCCTATATGCAGTCACGAGACCCAATGAATTGTCTTGTCCTATATAAGCTGCCCATTAAACTAAAGAAGAAGTAACCAAAGGGTACGATTCTTTGCGTCGACAAACCCCTGT